GCCGGTAATGTAAGTCCTATATATAAGACGGCCCGGACGTAGCGCCTGTGCGAGTTTCTCGGCTACGAGCGAGGGCGGTTCGCTTAATATGCTCGGCACTAGACGGGAAGTGCTGCGTGGCCGACGAGGGATAGACCGTATGGATAGCGGGTAAGAAGATCTCGTCCGTCCAAACCTGCCAGTCTGCCTTAGGGATCACGAAATGGTCGAGGTTAGGATGAAAGAGGCGGGGGAAGAGGAGATAGACTTTAACGTCCGAGAAACCCGTAAGACGACCGAGTGGAAGATAGGGGACGCGATGGAGAGGCTGTTGCTAACGCCGAAGCCGGCCGTTCGCCGCGAACCACTGTACCCGAATCGGGTCTACGTGGAGGGAGCTTTAGAGGTTGCTTACTTAGGGACGGGCGGCTTTCTAGTGAAGGCCTTCGCGCGCGACTGCTAAGCTCGACGTAAACCCGCTAGTACTGTCGATATTAAGCGTAACACGAAGACTCCCATCGTCGGGGACCGTATCCGATTCTAGGTCGATAGTAGGCGGCTAGAGGGCTTGCTCCTCTCTAACGGAACGTAAGTCAGTAAAGATCTTACGACGCTCGGCTGGGGGAAAAGAGAGTCCTATACAGTCGGATACTAAGTAATCTGTCTATTCGTAGGCGGCTAGAGTAAGTCTGGAGCCGCCTAGCTAGTTATAGTTGATAGGCTGACTGTTTGGGTTGGACCTATAGGGGTTAATGTCTAATGCGAGCTAGTATCGTAGCTATGATGCGTCACGAGTTGATCGATAAGAGCGGTAGCCAAGGTGTCTAGTAGGAGGCTTCCTGATGCGACCGGCGCGGTAGCAAAGTCAGGGTAATCTGCCGTAGGACTAGGAGTAGGATTTGCTGTAGGCTCCTGGGAATCTCTAGGTGGTTCGTCGTCGTTTAATGGGCTAGGTTCGGGGACGAAAAACTCCGGCTCTAGTGGAGAATATAGTCGTTAGTGAATAGTTCTACGGAGTGATAGACGTCCTTCTATCGTTAATTACTAACTAGTAGGATCTAGGTCCAGAGGCCCCCCGGATACCCCTATCGAAGTAGCGCTACCGAGACCCTCGGACCGATTAGGTTTCTCGTTATATACCGGAGGGATAGCGTAAAGGGTATTATATAGGTCGTCTAATTGAGTGGCTACACTATAGTTCTCGAGTGGAGGCGCTGGTATCGCCTGGGGATCGTGGTTGAGAAAGATGTTCAAGAACGTGTCTGGGGTCTCGGTGGCCTCTGCCTAGCGCCTACGACTCCGAAGCCGAGCTACCCGTGCTCGTGTGGCTACTCGTTGAGTGGTATACTTAGTAGATCGGTCAGGCCGGGCTATTTTGGAAGCCTAAACTAATAGGAACTGCTATTGTATAATAATAGAAAGTAACCAGTAACAGATAGAAGTCTAGGCGAGAGCAATTACCGCTATTGTGCGGAATAGACGGGTGCCTCTTTAAATGCGATATATCGCATTTGGATGTGGACCCCTCGACGGCTCACGAGTAAGTCAGAGTAGCGCTAGAGCGCCCTCGTGTAGGAAAGCCCCTAAAGTAGCGGGGTTTGACCTTAAGGACTGTTAGGGCTTAGCGGTTGGATGGATAGCGTCGACTCGCTTCTATATCGTTTTCTAACCCGATAGTTCGTTAATATTATAATCGAGAACCGATGTCGAACCCGAGGAGATTTACCGCTAGTGTGTTAACTGTTGCTGAGAGCGCTTCCGATAGTATTAGTTTACTAGAAGTAACAGCACCGATCTCACGGGTACTTAGCACTGTGGAGCGGCGCGGGGAGAAGCGTACTCGCTCGCCTGGTAGGTTTAACTCCTTTAGCGAGATAATTAGGTCTAATACGTTACCGGATACTAGATCCGACCGATAAAAGTAGCGAAGATAGTAACGTTCCGCTGTAGCTCCGAGGCGCGGAAACCTTAGAATCCGACGAAGACGATAGTCCTGCTGCGTCTACGCCTATAGCGCCTACCCCGATTAGTCGTACGCCGCGATATAGTCTAATCGGTCTAAAGGCTAGTACTCGGTCAGGAGTGAATATAGCGGATGAAGGAAACCCTACGGATAATGTCTCTAGTAAAAGCTTACCCGCTAAGGTAAACTAGATCGAGGTAGTAGATCTCACGAACGTGGGATGAATGTCTCCCCCTCCTTATCTAGTCGAGAGGCTTATGTAGTTAGAAAGCCCGGCCCTAAGGTCGATAGCTAATTTTAGGGCGTTATACGATAAGGGGGATATGCTTACTGCGGATAGATATACACGTATGTAGGAATGGATCGCGACGGCTGAAGTAGCCCACCTAAGTTAGGCACCTGTCTTACGATCGTATAAAGGGTTAAGGAGATCTTTATCGCTTATATTAATAGATCCTCGATTTGTGTATCTTACTGAGAGGACGCCGAGAGAATCTCGCGGGCGCCCTAATGATAGGTCGACGATAAGTAGTAGTCGGCCCCGATAGAGATCTAGCGTCCTAGCCGATCTGACTACCGCCGCCCGGCTAGAGCGTAGTGTAGACTGGGCCTCGGTGATAGATAAGGGATTATCGATAATAAGTAGACCGTCGAGAGAATCCGAGCGGGCTTCACTAGTACTAACTAATATAACGTAGCTAAGCGTCCGATCTATAATCCCCGGATTCGACGTAGATAGCTTAAGGACACGATATAGGGAGCTATTAAGGGATAAAGCGCTAACTAGCCGACGGCCGTAGCCCTATGTAAGGTTTACGGCACCGGTCTTGTAGGCGAATCTTAAGAGAGAGGATAAGCTAATCGACGAGTGTGTCCGATAACTATCTAATAGTCGCCTAAAGCCGCCGGATCCAAAGAAGCGATGACGGGAGCGGGTGCTATGGTCCCGTGAGGAGATTGCGGCCCTAATACGGCTATGGTGCGTCCACGGAAATTCCTAGGCGTGGATTAAGGTAGAGGATGAGAATGCTATAAGACCTGTGTTGTAGCTCCGTACCTAGGTAGACCTAAAAGACAAAGTGCGGAACATTAAGTAATATATACTACGGTACGTTTATTCCGCGGCTAGTATTCGTGGCCGACACTAATCGAGGCATAGACATAGAATCTAACTCCTAATAGAGTTCGGCTAGATTACGCTCGGCCGAGATCGGATTGAGTCGGTTGTAAGGGCGCTGGCTTAGCGATAAAGGATGAATGGAGATCCTGGAGACTTATTACGCGGGAGGGTAGGCCCTGTGGGGCTTGACTAGATCGAGTGGGTCGAAATTAAGTTGAATGGCATAGAGTATATACCCGCGCCTGTCCCTTAGCTAAGGCGGTAGAGAAAACCTAAACCCTAGATCGCGAGTAGGGCTAGGGGGCGTTTTTTAAGCCCCTTGTATCTCCACAAAAAATAAGTATTTCTGTACTAAAACTTATTACTAAGTGCTGCCTGTATCTGTTATTATGAATGAGAAGTTTCAGAGCCTCCCAACATATATTTAGTGAGAAAAAAGGGGTTTGGGATTAGCTTCCCGATTAGGCCAGAAATTGTAACGGGAGTGGTTCTGCGGCTAGGGCGACCGTACATTTCCACAATGAAGAATTATTATTTAACAAAAATTTGACACAAGGTACTTACTCGCTCTATGATACAGATTTGAAATTTATATAGCACTTTACGACGTGGTTGTCGAGAAAAGGGGGAGTTGTGACTGTTATCCCGATTAGGCCAGAAAATGTAACGGAAGAGATATATATTCTGCCGTCCCCACGGGAGTCCAACGGCAAGCTCGATTTTGCCAACTTTAGACAGCTCCCACGTCATCTACAAAGCTTCGATTGGAAAGATAATAGTACCATAAGAATCCTGAAGATTATCTCTATCGAATGATGTTATTTTTATGTTGATCTAACGAACTGGTTTCGGGCTCGATTCGCCTTCTAGAGTTTTCTTGTCGTTTATTTCTTCAAACATGCTCTTTAAATACCATGTCGCTTCTAGATCTATCGGTGGGAGATCAGCCGAGGAGTGCAAAAGCCAAAAGGCTATGGTTAGCTGTCATAACAAGGAGCCGGTCTTCAATGTAATTTGATGCGAGGATAACGTGGGACTACCGCAGTACCGGCTGTACGCAGCTACTAGTCTTTGGAAGAGCCCATCGAGATAGACGGAATGGAAGGACGCATTAATTTTGAGGCAGTCTGGTTCTACTTTCATAAAAAACTGCGTGGCGACAGAACCAGTGAGCGTAACTCAAAAGAGGTTCGATGAGTCTTGGCATCTTTCTCTGTCCCACGTTACAGGTTATAGAAAACCCTATATATGTGCTTGCATTGTATCCCGGGCTAAACATGGTTTTGACATGTATGGAATCTATTATCTGCACTCCTGAGTGTTCGTGCCCTAAGCAATTCAGCTCATAAGACCAAAAACATATTGTCTCACCAAAGCTTCCTCCACTTTCTCATATCGTAATACCATGCATTCAATTCGGTTATACGCTATGGCTTTGGGGTAGTCGTCCTATTCCCGCCGTAGTGCGTTCTGGTGGTCTGGAAACCGAGACAAGGTTCGCGGTTTTGTACTGTTCCGTCTGGGTGAGAGCATTGGCACCTTCAGACCAATACGTGAATTGAGAAATGCAATCGGTATTTCCCATGAACGACGACGTCTCGAGGGGGCCAGGCTCCCACTGCGAGTGTTTGACATGGAAAGGAATAGCATGTTGACCAGAGTAGGAGATTAATTGCCTGTGGTCTTGGCAATTTCCACCTTGGTGCGAGGTGACGCTACCAAAATATGTGAGAGACGTAAGAGAACTGTTCACATTTGGAGCATATATCCAGTCGTTGGTGGAAGGACCAACGGAGTGGGTGCTATTTTGGTCAATAGCAGCACATCCGATGGGTCCAGAACTACTGGCCTTTTTCTCTTGGTCAAAAACATCTAGACATGAAGGCTGTTTGAGCGTCCGCTTGTCTGCGTAGAAAAAATTAGTCTCAATATTGATAATTATGTTGTAAAGGTGTTACCGGTCTGCCTACTGATCAATCGTTCTTCCACTTCTCTTATACTGTACATTTCCTCGAGAAATTGGAGTCTACTTCTTGGTCGAATTTTATCTCGAATAGATCGATCTGCGGCTTTGAGTGTATCCACGGTTATCCCATGGCTCGTGTGCAGCTCGCGGACAATGTGGATAAGAAGTCGGATACGCTCTATGCGGTTAGCTCCAAAAGTGAATCCAATTTGACGCCCTCATACCAGCTTTCTTGAGATGATCTGGCTCGTGGTGGCGCACTTGGGAAGGCCACCAGGGCGGTTTTGTCACCTCTGGATCAAATTGCACTTTTCTTCCTCCGACTGACCTCCGTCCATTGTACGGGTAGTTCACTTGCTTTCTTGGCTCAAGCATCTTGATATACGCCTTGGCAAGGACACGGCAGTTGGCCTGCTGAAGATTCTCGAAAGCTCTCTCATAGACATGGACCATGGCTGCTGGATCTTGCATTGGTAACGAGTCTTCATCGCAGGTAAGACGTTTCGGGAGAGCATTCAAGCTTGTGTCGAGCAGTTCAAGGTCGGGATAGTGAGCTTGAAAGGACTGAGGTTGCCAATAATACAAATCCTTCGTCTGCTTTCGAATTGGCAATCTTTGCCCGGGCTGTGTTGCCACTCTCGTCCTCCGGGACCTCAATAGTGCGTAGGCTTCCAAATCTCCGTATTTAGAGGACCGTTGCTGCGACATCAAGCGGTACATTGTCTTGGAGACTGTGCGGAATAGTGACAATATTATCAGTCCCCCGCTCGTGCACTCGGGTAAAATTTAATAAGCACGTGCTTACTATAGTGACTTTCCAAAGCAGACGTAGCTGAACATTCAGACTGTCATCAACGTCTGCGCTTTGCTCTTTGTCTGGAAACAGTCCGATTGCGTGCTGAGACTGATTCAGGGAACTGACTAATGTTTAGAACGAGAAGACGTAACTGGGCTTCGATATCGTAGTAGTCCTTCGTCGAACACGTGGAGTCAGTCCATTGAGCTGAAGAAAATGCAGCGAGTACTCTAAGCATACAAATGAATACAAGAACCTGAGTGTCCGGAATTCAGCAAAATGGAACAAAAGTATCGCAGGTACTCCGGAAATGAAGAAGTCCATAGGAGATTGCCAAAGCAAGATATATATTTGCTCTGTATTCTAGCCTCTAATTGTGTCACAAAGCATGCGCTTCTTGTAGTTTGATCCAGTATCATCGACGCATCTTCATTTCCAAATCAAGCGCCCTGCGTTCATGTACATACAACAAAGAGGGTAGCTCTACGTACGAAATATGAAATGGTATGCAGGTGTTCACTCTATGATCTCTGCGTGGTAAAAGTAAATCACCAGTGCTTAACAAAGTAGGGTGAATAGGGTAGTGGGAGCAAATCAAGGAATAAAGCTAGTGGCCGGGTCCAATGTCCGCAATGACAGAGCCGCACGCAGAACTCGCAGGGACAAGTTGACGGACTGCCTTGCAGTAAATCCCGTTGGACAAGGTTCCCCACTATCCGACAGGGATCTCTCAGCGCGAACGCATATGCCAGGCTGTCAACGGACGGCTACATGCACCACAGAAGTGAGCGGTGTATGCGGTAAGTAGTCAGTTCACTCATAAAGACAGATCAGCAACATGGACCTCATAAGTGGTTTAAGCATCCTGAGAATCTTAGACCAGGATCAGAGCATGTCGGAAGAATGGAGCTTGGTTCGCGTACCTTTGTTAAGGGAAGGCAACTAGTGGCGGCCGCCACCGTGCTTCACTACAGGGCTATCTGTAGTCAGGACTCTCTGTTATCGCTTCATTTAACCGTTTTTTGTGATGACCTACTACCTAGTTTATCAATGGAAGATCACGCCAAGACAATCGGGCATCGAATGATGCAAGGAGCAAATCCAGTCAGCACAGGCAATCGCAGCTCCTTGATTTCCTTACGAGTTTCTACCCGGCTCGTTTTTTCGCCCGAAGAACAAGACCCTCATCTCCTCTCAGTCACGTAAACTCTCCATGCCACCGACGAGAGATAGAGGCATAAAATCCAGGACAGCAGGAGAGTAATTCTAAATAAGTTTTCCATTAGTAGATTGGTTTCAGGCGCACTCCGATTCACTCGGTTTAGTGCTAGAATTAGCAATCACACAGCGGCATAGGCGCTTCTTGTTATACATCGTTAGCTTTCTTTGAATGGGCACGGTCCAGAATTAAATGGTGGGCTAACCGTTCATGCTGAGAGCTTGCATCTCACAGTAACCCTACTTCGATGCAGTTCATGTATTCTCTTCCTTTATTTTTTCAACGTCCAGCTTACTTCTTATTTTACACAAGCGCATAAAGGAGACAGATGACATGAACCATGATGCCACCATAGGTTTACTTGTGAGCTTTGGCCACGCGTACTGATCGTGAGGTCAATGCGCCACTTCCTTGTAGATCCGTTCTAGACTTCGCTGAGCGCGCCTCATCTGGCGGCTCCTTGATTGTGGGTCGTACCACAGAGCAAACACTGTTGTAGGGCAAAGTATCCACGCCCTTCAGTTGCACCGACCGCTTTCGCTAGTGATCCGGTTCGACTCAAACAGACTCGGAGCAGTCCCAATCTGCACGAACCCTGTTCGATCACTTAGGTGTACGCACTGATGACATTCCATCGCCTCCTGAATAGTCTGCAGCTTTGTTTAATTCGATGTTGGCTATACTTCCGTGTCCGTCTTCCTTGGGATATATACGTCATGGCCTACTACAGGACTAGGTGCATTCATTCTTTAATCTGCTTTTCTTTTGAAAAATGTATAATGCACCTACCTGGCTTCAATTGCGGATGCTTTCATCCACATTGTCTTAAAACCTCCAGCTGTCCACCATTTTCGACCACTTGCCTTGGGCTAAATCAGTCTCCTGTTTGAAGTTGGACCCAGTTAGCTGGTGTCGATATAGGCACCCGGCGATCGTGCCGTTGCCCCGGGAGTCATGCTTCTGCTCTGCTAACTTGAACTATGACTTACACTTACATCTTGCCTAGGCCAAGCCCATGCCTTGTCGATCTCGTGGAAATTCTCTAGCGGTCGGCACCGTATTCCAACTTTTAACACAGGTCCTGTCAGGTGCTCAAGAAAAAGATGATTGCCGATTCCGCCTCATAGCCCTCACGGTGCCCAACAAAAGCAGGATAGGCAATTTAGTGGATTATCGTGGAAACAGAAGTCGGTACCATGAGCAGTTCTCATTCCCAAATTACCACGGTACTTGTGTATCTTACCGTAAGACATTCCATTATACTTTCTCGGAGGCACGAGCCATGTAAGGAAGGTGTGGCCCGTTCAGTCACCGTGGAATGTTGCTTTAGTTCACGCATAAACGGCGCCTCCTCTGCGGCTTTTGGCACATGATTCTATGTGTACATTCCTTCCCCAGATGACAGGTGAAATGAGTCTTCGCTCTCTAGCGAGAAGATTTTGGGATCTTTACAACAATCAGTAAAATAACGCCGACAGATCATTATGGTTTTGTGTCTTACCGCGATCTCCTGATCCTCGCATTTTCCTGGCAATGAGACCAGAAATATGCTCTGCGGGCGAACTCTCCACGGTCCGAAGGCCATGATTTGGAGTTTCTGACGCGAGGTTAAGGGGGCGCACAGAACACTAGGGGCAAATGACAGTGCAGAAAATTAGAATACTATACATCTGGCTACTATGGAATGGGATTCACCTAGCAGACATGGCGGACACTTAGGCGTTGCTTAGGCGTTACTTAGACTCCGGTGTCTGAGAAGCATCGCGCTTAAATCTTCCAAAAGAAACGCTGAAGCGTTCTGGCTGAACAATTCTAGATAGTGAAGTTGAGTTTTTCACTCCGTTATTGTAAGCCTAGAAGATTCAAGTACCGTAGAATGGAGATTAAATCAAATCAAGTGCTGCCAGGTGGAGGTTTGCAGAGAATTTCTTGTACGCCGACCGAAGTTAGCTTATATTCGATATCTGATCGACTGGGTCTCAAATTATTCCGCACATCGGCTACTTTGATCCTCTGCAATGGTTCGCCTACGGTGCTTAGCTGACTATATATCACTGGGCAATTCTTCAAATAAAACCACATGCCATTTTTTTTTACGTCAATGTGACTCACATAATTATCTTTATTTTTGCATAAGGATGAGCGACGTACCATATTTTCCGGCTGAAATTCGAGTAGCTCCTTTACAACAACAGCTTATTTCTATGGGAAACATTACTTACGCATTAGCAAGCTCCTTTCAAGGTCATTCAAGACGACCTAGATTTTTCTCACCCTGATGCATGCCTATTAGCGCGTGTTATTGGCTGACAAACTCAGCCCTGGGTCAGCTGCGTCATATCGCGGTAGGTATTTTGAATTGATCTATTGAAATTGTCTTTTTGTAGCTCACGTGTGACCAATTGATGTAACGCGTACTTGTATATTGTCAGGGTGATACCCGCCGAATGGAGCCGCAAGTCCTCAGAAGACTTCTGGACAGAAACTAAACAGTTACCATGCAGCCTTGAAAAGTGAATGTATGAATTTATGGTTTCATTTACTGTGTTGCATCACTAAAGTGACGTCTGATTGTCAGCAAGTCGGGACTGAATTCAGCTTCGTACAATTCCGTGAATTCCAAGCTACGTGCGGGAACAGGACCGGTCCGCCAACGGCTTCGACCCACCCGGAATTCAGCTCCACCAATGGACTATTTCGATATATTGACACTTATTTCATAGACCTGTGCCTAGACCTGTGTGAAGGCCTTAATCAGTCAACACCGGGCCAGACTAACGTCCTTTGTGCGCAGTCTCTACCCCAAGGGCTTCAGCGGTTAACCGAATATATTGGAACCTTAATCATGGTCGCACATTACCCTCATTCCTATGGATACTAGGTTGAGGTCCACCCAGTCTACAGAGGACATGTAAGAATGAGAGCGACCTCATGATGGCTATAGCTTCCAAAGTGTACTCCTTTGTTAAATCAATGTGTTAAATTCTTGCAAGTTGAGTTTGCTCATACCATATTATATTGAAATTATTTTGCAGCTTGAACTCAATTAATTTCAGCATATGGGTATGCGGGCAATCTGGGAGAGCATATTTGAAAATAAATATATTCATTCATATTCGTCGCGAATCCACTAACATGGGTCGCCGTTTGCGAAAAGTGGCGAAATAGTACTAAATTACGCATGTAAGAAAGTGTTCGAGGAAGCCACGAACCTATATCTGAGGTAAATATGAGATGCGCAGACATAGCTAGGAAGGATTTTGCATTCTTTCAATGTTTTTAAAGCTTGAGCTTGGGCAAGGCGGCGTGATTCTTCGTCTGGATTCCATAGTCAGCATAACCATAGGTCGCTCAGGTTCCTTGTGTTCCATGGCTTTTCAATAGAGAAAACTTGATTGCAAAACTAGAAGAAAGTGAGAACAAGTTAGTAGGTAGAATCTCTTCATGTAACTGTCACATCGGGTCATCTATACTGACGTCTACAAGTCGCGCTTTCATGCTCTTAAACAGCACATACAGAAGATATAAACTCGGCAACCACCCTCCGATTATCCAACTACTTTTCGTCTGATCAGTCATTAGAGAACACTCTGGACACACAGCTACTTTCTTACTTTATTGGCTTCCATAAAGAAACTCTCACAGGACACTTTACAAATTACCCAACATGAGTCTTCCAACCTCGATTTCTGGCATTGAAAGCGGCGAGTTGAACGCGCTATATTATGCTAGGCGTAATGGCACCCTAGCGAGACTTGTCGCTCAAAAAGCCGGTCCAGAAGACCCTAAAAACCCGAAGTATAAGGTGGAAAGAATTGAACTGAAGAGCGAGGTCGTGGATACAGCGATTCCACATATCAGCACTGTTGCATATACTCAGGGCGGGAAGCAGGTGGGTTAAAATTTTCTCGCTTTCTGAATCATTGATAATTTGTTTACTAATTCCCACTGGCAATAGGTCCGTATCTACTACATTGGTTACAGCGACAAGGGCAACAAATTCCAACTCAAGGAGCTTTGCCAGACTGATAACGGTCCATGGTTTGATGGGGCTCTCAATCATAAGAAACACTATATTTCCAAGGATTCTCGGATCAGTGCTGTTGTCGCAGAGCAGCAGAAGCACCTCAACGTTTTCTATCTTGATGAAGATGAAACTTTAAATGTTGCTTGGGTGACTTTAGGCCAAGAGGCATGGTCGAACCGTGAGGTTTACGACGGCAAATTTTGATGCTGTTTATCTACATGATCTTGAGATGAGGGAGATTCCAGTCCTTCATTTCAGGATAATATGTTATCAAGAGCCTTAATATGGGTTTTTCCCTTGAGTAGCTTAGGTTTTCCCCATACTGTCTGCGAATGCAAAGGCCCTATAAAATTATTTAATACCTCCGGAGTCCGTCTTGTTTTATCTCCATACCGCACTTGTCGGAAATTCTGTAGGTGGACTTTGGATTGACTTTGTGCTTCCGCCGCCAAGGCCAACTACTTGCTTTGGTCAGCACCCACTGCTCAATCGCTCTAATCAGTGACACCAGAATTTGCAACAGCACGTTCGACCTACGCAGGATCGCTCCAGACGGTTGTGGATGCGGATGAGCCGTGTTTTGTTCTTGTCTGGGCTTGACAGCCGGCACCGGTCACGAGGTACAGTTGAGTTGAGTTAAACGGCGAAGGCTCGTGGCATATCGAGGAATTTTATTTATAGATATGCTTCTATGTGTTCGTTAATCTACGGCTATAGCATGTGTTTCGAGTTGACTAAGCCTTGAATAACTCAACTTCCGATCTAGGTAGAGGCAAGATGAGTTTCGTTCTTTCCTCCACCCAACTTCTCATCCAAGATTGGCTTCCGCCACCCCTCAGATTATTGCGTACTTGCCAGAGAAGATCGCTATTTTATACTATCTCAACTTGCTCGGGCAGTTTATTAATTTGGTTTATTATGTAGTCGCTGAAAAGGAGATGAAATTTGAAGGTTTATTGTAATGAGAGGGGTATATGAGGATTTTCTGAGATACCTAGGCATACAACACCGGTAATCGCTCAAAAATGGAGCTCTCCCCAGGGGATTGGTCACCACAGACTAATATCGGCGGCAGGGAGATATAGTAGCTAATGCCCTACGCGAGAAGGGTTTCAATTTAATTGAGAAGATTCAATTACTCTACTGAACATAGATCGCGTAGAGCCTCGATATCAAAGTTCCCAGGGCTTCTTTGCAGATTCATTCTAACACAAAACCCTAAGTTCTTGTGGAAGAAAGCTGAGTTGAGCAAAAGATAAGCTAGAAGAAGTACCACTCATGTATTACTGAAACCGACCTATGATTGGAGAGTATGGGTAGTCAACCCTGAAAGGCTGGGTCAGTGATCTGTCATAAGCTTAGTTTGTAGTTATATGACGGTTTCCGGGATTCCCTATATTCAGCCTCTGCTCAGCGAGCTGGTGAAATGGTTCTGTGGCAATGGTCTGGAAGGTGCTAGATACTAGAAATGGAAGAATAACTGGTTGACGAAAAACTCAATGCAGTGGCTATGTGGACACGTCCTAATAGCAGCTTGTTTCAGGTTAGTCTTGGCCATCCTCCCGCGTCTAGTTCCAAAAAAGACAAGCAAAATCGAATCGTAAAATATGGACAATGAAATTAATTGGTTAGTTGACAACGACAACGCACGGACAATTTGCGTGTAATGGCGGGACAGGTCCCTGCTGTCCACCCTACATGGTTTTGCTTTTTAAATACGCCATAGGTGTAAGAAACGTATGGACGACACGACCTGAGATTGGACATAGCACACCACACCAACATGGCCGTTGACAATTTGATTGGCCCATGGTAAGTACATACGAGCTTAGACTATGTGATTGGCGGAGAGCAGACACGTCACTGTATGTCGGCCTTGGGCGTTGTTGTGGGCGTAACAATGGGGGGCTTTTGGAGGTATTGTTTTTTGGTACTTTTGTCCCGAGATGGTGTGTGGATGCAAGCAGAAGCAAAGACTTATGGAACGCCACTGTACAGAAGGCGGTGTCTTGGTCACACTTCTTCGCCCGCCTCGGAACCAACGCTCTGATTACCCACTTTGGTCAACGGCGGCTAGCTTCGAAATTGATATCTCCAGCCCCTAGTCGCAACCGATTTGGAAATCTACCTCGTGTCCCGGAGGACTAAGTGATAGGACAAAGAGCATAAGCGTCCCGCTATGAAGCTGAGAGCAGAGTCGCCTGCAGAGCACCTCCCCGATAACATCTCTCTTTCGGGCAACGGAACTGCCCATAAGATCATACCGAGTGATGCTATCCCCCACACACTTCTTCCACGCCCGGTGCCAAACAACTCGGCAGTGTGGGAGGACGCCGTGGAGACGGTGGTCAAAAGTGTCGTGGCCCTCCATTTTTGCCATGCGCATCCTTTTGACGGCAACAGAGCCTATTCATCACAGGCCACCGGCTTTGTTGTTGATGCGACATGCGGATATATCTTGACTAATCGCCATGTGGTCTCGGCCGGTCCATTCTATGGATACTGTATCTTCAACAACCATGAAGAGGTAAGCACACACCTAGTTGACAGTATTCCAAATGATCTAGTCTTATTTAATATCGAAATTCTTAGTGTGACGTCCGGGCCGTATATCGAGACCCAGTTCATGATTTTGGCATCCTTCAATTCGATCCGAAGGCTGTTCGCTATATGGAAGTGACAGAGCTCAAACTACGTCCGAACGAAGCTCGAGTAGGCACAGAAATTCGACTGATTGGCAACGATGCTGGGGAGAAGCTAAGTGTCCAACCCGGCGTAATCAGTCTGTTGGACCGGAATGCGCCCCAGTGTGGCGATTTCAATACAAACTATATTCAGGCGGCAACTTCGTCGAGCGGGGGCAGTTCCGGGAGTCCGGTCGTCAATATCCACGGCCACGCGATCGCTCTACAAGCGGCCGGTCGAACTGACGCGGCAACGAATTTTTTCTTACCTCTAGATCGACCCCTCAGGGCGCTTGAATGTATCCGCCAAGGCAAACCGATCACCAGAGGGACACTACAGACGGTGTGGCGTCTCAAACCCTTGGATGAATGTCGCCGCCTTGGATTAACGCCTGAATGGGAGGACGAAGTCCGGAAAACTGCTCCCGCCCAAAACAAGATGCTGGTCGTCTATATCATTGTTCCCGGAGGACCAGGGGATGAGAAACTGCAGGAAGGGGATATATTACTAAAGGTGAATAATGAACTTCTGACGCAATTTATCCACCTTAGTGAGATACTCGATTCGAGTGTTGGCGGTAACCCAGTCAAGCTGCTGGTGCAGCGAGGAGGGCAAGACCTCGAGGTAGAATGCAAAGTTGGTGACCTCCACGATATTGTACCGGCTCGATTCGCCCAGGTTGCTGGTGCGACTTTCCACGACATATCGTACCAAGTTGCCAGCCAGCATGAGATTCCGATTCGTGGGGTATACCTTCATGAACCAAGTGGCTCGTTTCAATTGAACGGGAGTTCGAGTGTGATTATCGACATGGTTGATCATTTGCCAACGCCGAACCTAGATGAGTTTATTCAGGTGATGACAACCATACCGGACCGGGCTCGTGTGGTGATCGCGTATCGTGAATTACACGATCTACAAACTAAAATAACCAGCGTGATTGATGTGGATCGCCACTGGCACCCGAAAATGCGATTAGCAGTTCGCAATGATGAGACTGGTATCTGGGACTTTTCAGACATCGCTGAAGCAATCTCTCCTCATGTCCCCATTCCTTATCGGGCCGATTTTATTTCGTTGCAGAACGTTTCTTGCGGTGTCTTTGAAACTATGCACAGCATCATCAGTGTGAAATATACTGCACCCTTTCGGCTTGATAATTACCCGATGAAGACAAAGGCCGGCTTTGGCCTAGTGATCGATGCCGAAAAAGGGTTAGCCGTTGTTTCAAGGGCTATTGTGCCCCATGGGCTATCTGACATCAATGTCACCGTCGCTGACTCAATAACCATCAACGCCCAAGTCGTCTTCCTACATCCGTTGCAGAACTATGCTATCATCCGGTACGATCCCAGCCTTGTACAAGCCCCTTTACAAAGCGCGCGCCTTAGCAGTGAGCACCTCAAGCTAGGACAGGAAACCTTTTTCGTCGCCCTCAACCAATATTCCAATATCCTCGTGGCCAAGACTACCGTTACTGAGATCAAGCCTACCTCAATACCTGCCTCGGTTTATTCCCCTAAGCCCCGAGCTATTAATCTCGATACAATCCAAGTGGATACACAGTTAAGCCACAGCTGCGAAGGTGGTATATTAGTGAGCGAGGACGGCATAGTGCAAGCTCTATGGATGGACTTTGACGGTGCTGACTATACCCGTTGTTACGGGTTGACGATACCGTTTCTTCTTCCCAACATTTCCAATATCGAAGACGGCACGGCTCTGAAGTTACGAATTCTCAATATAGAGTGTGATGTTGTGCAAATAGACCAAGCACGGATCATGGGCGTTCCAGAAGATTGGATTCAGAAGGTCATGCAGATGAGCTCTTTGCGTCATCAGCTGTTCATAATCCGACGGGTTGGATGTCATCCAGGGAAACATGTCTCTGATGTGCCGACTGACGGCTTTCTGGAGGCTGATATTGTTCTCTCTCTGGATAGCCAACCTATAACCCGTGTTTCAGAACTAAACAAGATGAGCGAGGAGGAGTCCTTTGATGCATTGATTGTACGCAACCGTCAACTGATGCATGTTCGAGTTGCAACTGTTGCGATAGAACATTTGGAGACCGATCGTGTGGTTTTCTTTTGTGGTGCTATCCTCCAGAAGCCTCATACCGCTGTGCGTCAGCAGATCTCTAAGCTTCACAGCGAGGTCTATGTGAGTGACTACGTGAGTTCGACTCTCAGCCTCCCCGGAAGCCCAATAGTCATTGAGCCTCATGGACTACGGTTAGTCATGACTAACATTATTCATAGTACGATGGTTCTCCTGCTAGTCTATATGGTCTTTCAGATGCGATCTTCATCACTAGTGCCAATGGGATTTCGACCCCCACTCTTGATGAATTCGTCAAGGTGGTAAGGAAAATACCCGACAACACCTACTTTCGACTGCGAACTGTACAACTGGATGGCAGACCATCGGTGGTTACTATGAAGAAGAATGACCACTACGTAAGCCGCTGTTGAATTCACCATCACCCTAGAATACGGGAACGCTAACAATGATGCCGTATCTAGTCTCCCATGCAAGAGTACGTGAGGGACTCCTCTGTTTTGGACGGCTGGCGAATCGTCTCTTATGACAATATTGACGACGAAGCCGAGATCTCGTCAGATGCAGTAACTGATGATATCTATGCTGGCAGTGGGGATATGGATTAAATGAGCCATTAACTAATGACAGCGTACGAATCCAGCATTTACACTATACCAGGAGACATTTCAGTAGCGTGTCGAGAAGTTGATTGTTCATAATGAAACATAAGTCACTCACTTCATACTGCAGATACATGCCGCTGCAGAAATTCTGATTCTTGTCACTCTCGGAAGTACTCTAACAGGTAAGATGGATGCCAGAAAAGTAGGATTTACCATGTTCCGACCACCCGTCCTAAAGCAGCAGATAAGTCACGATGGGAGAGTTTGACGAATTATTATGATGTTGCTAGTTTATATAATCAGCAAACGTAGTCCTCCGCTGAGCCAAACACCCAGAAGGCGGCAATGAAAAGGATGTTACATAACTTGATTTTCAAACATTCACAGTTTATAGTTAGGTATGGATTTTTGATACACAGCTGTCAAATAGGCCTTGTCTGGTTAATACTGGATTCAAGTTATCTTGGTTATCACAAATCTGAATTCTCATTGCTACTAAGAGGGAGCTGAAAAGAAATATTTATTCTAATGCTTTGGGTGTCCCTGGTGGCCATCATATTGCCGTATTTGTTGGATAGTCCCCACGTATAGATATAAACCAGACAGGCATTATCAAACATATTAAGGTTAACCTGGCTTGTTTCAGAATTCACACAATCTCTTCGCCATGACCCCCCAATTCATTCTATCTGTCAGACCGAGGCGGTGCATTATTGATTCGCGTTATCGAAATAAAAATCAAAACCTGAAGATTCAGGCATCTTCAGACAGGGGGGTGGGGGTCACTATACCAATCCCCTATATGTAAACATTCTTAGAGTGGACAAGACAGCAGAGAAGGGAGATTGTCTCTTAAATGATAATTAGTGCGTAGTAATAGAGGCTCCTATAGGCTGACTAGATCTGTGAAGCAAATACCCCTTTAGAACACGGGAAAAAGACTAGTAATGAATTATCAAAACCGGTGGAATTGGTATAGGCTAGTATGCATATGGGCGAATGAGAACTATCGGAATCATACAGACAAGGTTGATTGATTGAAGAAAGGAAAGGACTCGAACGAATGGAAAAGGGGCAGGTTGAGCTGTCCCATGGCGGTGTAACCAGGTATTCGAGTGACCATACCGATGTCGAAAGGTTACCCGCATATTACATACAAACACATACAAAATCTGGGAGGGAAATGGACCAATCCTAGGTCACTGTAATGAAACTCTCCACTTTTCCACGACATGAATCTTTGACGTAAATAACACCAAGGTAGTTATCCATAATTTGGGTTGTTGCTCAGCTGAGGATTACTGGCCAAGAGATCTCACTACTGCGCGGCTGAAGTCCGCTGGCTCCGTCACACCTAATGCCCATTTATCAACCGCCACCACCAGGTAGCATTATACAATGAGGCGAAAGTTGAACTGACAACACATAAGTAGAGAATTTATATTATTCGACTCCAAGGAACATAAATACCCCACCCGACCCCCCTACGAGATCACCAATCCACCTCAGCCCACTCTGAATCCTCGCAGATTCAAAACGAAGATGAAGTTCTCCATCCTTCTAGGCGCCGTCTCTCTTGCAGGCTATGCCTCCGCGTTTTGGGGTCAAATGGCCGCTGGTAACTATCAACAATACGAAGGAACGACATACCAGATTATCACTCTGACCGACTACTACACCGGGTCTATCTACACGGGATCTTTGCCCGGCGGATTCAACGGTTGTGTGGCTTCACACTGCGCAATCACGTAGGCCATGGTTCTGCCCATAGTTTAAAATGACACAAGCTGACTAGGGCAAAAAAAGCTTTGGGGAAGACACTGATGGATTCTACAAATTCACGGCCTCCATGTGGAGAACCAATGATGGATGTCATAATATCGATTTCCAAGGCGCTCTGGATGCTGGCCATGGGTATTGCTGTGGTTCGCTTCCATGTGACTTTAGTGCTTAGATGAGAATTCTCGTTACGGAGACGGAAGTTTGATGTGTGATACAAGGATCTGATTGCACTTTAACATAATTGGTTGGATGCATGATCAGGGGCTAAGCACTGTTATTCTAACTGTATCTAGAATCTATTACTGATTATCCTCGATCGATCTGATATTTGAAGTCCACACTAGTGCTTTCACGACTTCTGTTTCTTGCACCTTCCCACATAGTTCTTTATAAACCCTAATAACCAGTTTGTAGGCTACCAGTAATTTCGATAAATTGCATTGCCTGGCAGCCTGCCCACTTAGATCGCAAAATTCTTTTTTTTAAAAAAGTGATGGGCTTTGTATGTAGAATAAAGGGTATGTTAAGTAATATGAGGATGAGTCCTTGAATGCCATCGTTCTTATAACCGAACCAAGATAGCATAATTTCGCTTGCTCTACTGCTGCCTATTACGGCAAATTTAACGGGGATGCAGCGGCTTCGACACGTAATGTAGCCTGATAAGGCCTAAGCTTATACAGAGCCACGTGTGGCAGAAAATTGATGTTCTCATATTAACAGACGTTTCAGGTGGAGAAAGACCTCCGCTAGTCCGCAACTGCAGCAGCAGAGGGTAAGTGGCTGATTCCGCCCACTTACTTTTCAAGTGCCTTGATTGCGAAAGTCCAAAACATGTCTGTTACGTTGGTCATTTTGCCTTGAAAGAAACAACTAGAAACGGGTAGGGTGTTTCTTGGTCTTCTTTTAAGAGTTTCAGCCTGGTCTTATAAGGCATTAATGATGGAAAACATCAACGGGTTTCTTCTAGGCGCTCAACCCTAGAAATTTATACCACCAAGGTCGCGACCAGCAAAAGAAACACGTGTTCCCCGAAAGCTAATACTGCTAGAAATTTCATAGATATGGTTTTATCATTAGCTACTGCAGGGCATATTTTAACGTTTACCTATAGTGCGCAATGTGTCGTAGTTGACGCCGATTTCCGCAAATGAGAAGAAGCCCTGTAGGAACTTCCACGCTTATAATAATGCGAAGTGCTATTAAACAATAAATAAAGATGTAGACCAGGGCTACCCAGCGGTAAGGGAAACCTGAATCTTCATGGCCTGAGTGTTGGAAAGACCAAAAAGTCGAATCTGCTTGTGAATTGTCTACGTTTAGCTCCTGGCATCCACTTGATATTACCCTTAGGAAAGTCTGGCGAGTCCCATTTTGGATTCAATTAATTTAGGGAGCAACAACTATGGATTGCAAAATGGTGTTAAGCATGTGTAAATCACAATGAACTGTTTGCCGCTATTGACATGTTCGCCTCTCGGCAATGCGGAAATCTTACGCAGCACAGAGTCTAGCGAGAGTACTAGTATTGAGAAATGCGGTCCCATTCGAGTCATTCAAGGTACGGACAGTGCGGGTGTCAGCTTACCAGCATCATCCATCTGGTAGTGCCTCTTCATCCAGACCGCTCTCCTGCACCATAGATCTATAAATACGCGTTTCAACCTGCATCCGCCATCTTTATGATTCATTCTTTCTTCTCAATCCATTTGTAACCGAAATGCCTCCTTCGCTCCCCTCCGTATCCGGGGTCCTCCTCATCGGCAGCGTCCCGCTCCCCTCAACAAGCGAAGTATTCAACAAGCTCACCTCCACCCTCCCGCAGCGCCTCGCATCACTCCCAGACGGCGAACCGGGATCGCGCCAAGACTTCATCCTCTGGGAACGCTCGCGTTTTCCCCCAGAAACCCTCAAGTACACCAACGGTGGAATCAACCTCCCCGACGGCCACTCGGGCGTTTTCACGCAGGACGACGTCAGCCCAACAGATTACGGCGCGGCTGCGGTGGAATCGTGGCGGTTCTTCTGTGAATATCGAGAACGCGGTGTGATCCCAACCGGTGTACGGTTCCAGGTCTCGCTCCCATTGCCCTGGGCGGTTATCGCGGGGCACGTGCGGCCGGAATTCCACGCAATGATGGAGCCGCTGTATACGAGGCGGATGGAGGATGCGGTTCGCATCATTCTTGACAATATCCCCGCCGGCGACCTAGCGATCCAACTTGACCTCGCGCGCGAGATGCTGGCGTTAGAGTATGAGCGTGGTCGGCTGGGTGAAGAGTTTCGGCCGCACTTTGCGGGTGTGGAGGGGATTCTCGAGGGGGTGTTGCATCGCATTCAGCGCTTTGCATCGCTTATCCCAGAGGATGTTGATCTCGGTTTGCACTTTTGTTATGGAGATCGCGATCATAGGCATTATGTTGAGCCGGAGGATTTGGGAGTCGCCGTGGGGTTTGCGAACGCTAATCGGGAAAGGCTGAGGAGGAGGATTGCCTGGATGCATCTTCCTGTGCCGAAGGATCGGGCTGATAAGGGTTACTTTGAGCCGTTGAGGAAATTGATTTTGGGGGTCGGTACGCTGGCTGAGACGAAGTTGTATCTGGGTCTTGTCCATGCGAATGATGAGGAAGGGACGAGGAGGAGGATTGAGGCGGCGCTGTCCACTGTAAGGGGATTTGGGGTTGCGACGGAGTGTGGGCTGGGGAGGACGCCTACTAATGAGCTAGATTCGATCTTGAGTATCTCAAGGGAGGTCTCAGCGCCTGTGTAATCCCAGATGTAGATAGCAAGGAGCGCTTGAGCAGTGAAAATACCCGAAATATATCACGACAAGGAATTCAGTAGAATAACAAGAGCGCCTTACGGCAACTTCTTCACCTCCATCGAACTAAGCATAACCGGCGGCGCAAAATCCCTCCTACTAACTATCGACAAGCTACCATCGTTCTACGCTCCCAGTACCTTCAGTTATTCCGTGAAAGCGAGTCGAACTGTAATGGGTATGGAATGAACCAATCAGATCACACGGTTACCCGGGGCTTCAAGTCTCGACACGTGACTGAACGGCAGAAACTGACGTGCCCCTCGATTGAGATACGATCGAGGTGCTTTTGCTTTATATCCTTGGAAAGACGAGAAAAAAATGAGACGCTGGTGAATATCAAGAGATCAGCCAACAGCGAGGTTTGTCTGCTGTCAAACTCTTGAGGGTGGGCAACTCCAGCAAAGCCTGAGCCCCCTATGCCTAAAAAGTTAAAAAGGTGCTTGCCCGGTTACCTGGTGAGTCTGACATTCATGCATAGAATTTGCCATTTTTTAACGACGGTCGTTAGTGGTGACGTTGGCCGGAGGAATAGGGTCCAAGATTACCGACTGAAGCTGAGAAGAGAGTGAACTCCCTTTGAAGAGCGCCCCATGGGGAGTTGGAGTGCCGCGTTTACCTTGCTGATATAGACCCGTCCAACGTCGAAAGGCTCGGTGCATATTGTATGCCAGTCCATATACGTCTTGCTTTCCGAGATCAGCCCCAGTCCCGAATCTGATCCGCCTCTGTCATGCCGAGGATGGACCCGCGTGCCTATCATGCTTGCTTATCCTGCGCCCAAAAGAAGAGGAAGTGTGATCGCCTGTTGCCCTCGTGCTCAGAGTGTCTCAAGTGAGCGTTCTTGATCCACTTGCGCAATGTTTAGGCTAACCTGGACAGACAAGGGCGACAGTGCTGGTACAAAGCGCATGCTAGTGTGCCGGCTCAGGAGAACGTAAATGATCAAAGAAGCCTGTACTCTCACACCGAACCAATGCTCCCGACAGATCCACGCCCAGAATCATCTTTGTACCCCCGAAGAAGTGGCAGTCAAGCAGCGATTCTCCTCCTGACCTCGGATGCTGTGAGGGCTATCAGGGCATGTCTCCAGTGCCGCACAGGGAAACGAAAATGTGACAAGATATGGCCGACTTGCGGCCGATGCTCAAGGTACCACCGCCAATAGTAAGCCTAACAACATGTTTAGACGACTGATGATGGCCGGCAGACAATCTAACCACTGCGAGTATACTAAACAGGCTCTCGTGGTGGATGGTCCCGGTGCCTCTTTTCTTCGTTCGCTGGACATCGACCGGCTGAACGCCGCAGTACCGTTACCAGTAGAGTCGCAACCCCACATGCCTATGCTCATTCACTCGTGTAAGTAGACAATTATATAGCACCAATGCGAATTGAAAAGCTCTGGGCAAAGTGTGTACTGACTAGTAGCTTTGATAGTCATTGAGACCTTTGGGATGGACCCGCTCCCTGTTGACAGTGGTAGCCTCGCATTTCTTCTCAAGACGACGTGGATCCAACAAGCGCTTGCTGATCCTTGTGCACTGCACACCACCCTTTATGCCGCGTCAGCCCATTTGGACGCATTCCGAGGTGCCAAAAATAGCAATATGACATTATATCACTATACAATTGCACTGCGGTTGCTCAAGGAGAAAATGAACGATCCAGATGCAGTATACAGAGAGGCTTTCATGGCTTGTGTTGCACCATTGGTCTTTTTCTCGGTACGTCGGCTGCTTTAGTTCCCCTGAGCACTCAGTCTAAGGGCAAGATCTGACCATCTCAGGCCCTCTTTGGCGACAAAGTATCATCCACTATCCACAAAACGGCATTGATGAGGATGATCAAAGCAAAAGGCGGCCTCGGGAATCTCGCTCTTGGCAGGTTCCTGTCAGAGCTTATCACTGTGTGCGTATTTCTTCATTCCTAACGACGTTTAGCGCTGTCTCATATTGTTTGCTGGTTGCAGATGCGTTCTCACCGAGGCCATCATCATGGACTCCACACTCGACATACCCTTCCTAGACATCCCTCCCACTCCTCTGACCCCTCCCAACTATTTCATCTCCGCCATTCTCCGTCGAGCAGCCGGCAAAAAAGGAGGCTACTATAACCTTTCACCCCGTACAATCGAGCTGTTTGAAGATATTGAATCTGTCGCCCATCTTTGGCCAGATGACCCTTCTGCCATTAGAATCCGAGCAAAATGGGCAAGCAAAGTAGAAGATCTCTTGTTCTTGTCCCCAGGCCACCAGAATGGCAGGCATCATACCAATGATCTTTCTATTGAGTCGGACATCGAGGCAATAACCCAGGCTTGTCACACAGCAGTCTTGATGTTCTGGCTATTGCTTCTTGAAGACCATGAGTATCTTGCTTCATTTTCCACGGATTATTTGCAATTTCTTGTTGGGAAATTGCGTTATGCGATATCCTGCGGGAGCATGGATACGTGGGTGAGAACCGCCCCGGAAGCACACACTTGGGTATGTTTGCTTGGAACAGCGGCCTCATTGAAGTTAAATGATCGTGTCTGGTTCAGTCTTCGGCATGGTCAGCCGGTGGTTTGTATCGAGAATAAAGGGGCGTCAGTCATGTTGCAGAGTTGGTGTGTTTATGATTGGGCGAATCAGAGACGCAAGAAAAAGATGATGGTGGCAGCGGGGGCGGACTAGCGGGGTAACGCAGTTTTGACCAGTATAGTATTTGAATTGCCACAAGCTGAACTTGCAACTGCCCGATGTAGCTAGCTCACTTAGAGCACCGCCCCACGGCAAATATGTATCAGCAAAATACTACGACTTGTTCTCGAGGTATAAAACCCGAGATCATCCGATTAAGATGAAACCAACTGCGGTAAGGCTCGCATATCTTGCTTAGTTGCGTCTATTTCCGACAATGGCCTTACCGACCATCGTGTTTGTTCCAGGTGCATGGCATACCTGCGACTATTACAAGCAGGTTATTTCCATCCTCATGGCAAAGGGGTTCCCTACCGTAACGGTCAACCTACCATCCGTTGGGGGTATCTCGTCCATGGCAGATGATGCTTTGGCTATTCAGGAGGTAACCTCAAAGCTGGTGTATGATGGTCAAGAGATTATCCTAGTCATGCATTCGTATGGTGGGATTCCTGGTACGGAGAGCGCTAAAGGACTGTCTCGGGAACTACGCCTGGCAAAAGGTGAACCAGGTGGAATCATTGCCCTTGTTTACGTCACCGCCTATCTTATCAAAGAAGGGATGAGCGTGGAAAGTGTGGCAAGTGGAGTAGAATGGCCAGCTTTCTTGACCAAACAGGTCCGCTTCCCCCTACTCTCTCAGTCAGTGTTTAAAACGTGGATATATCCAAGCTAACAGGCTTAGGATGGAAAAATCTTTTACGACAAATCAACCGCTGTCGAAAGGCTCTACAATGATTTTCCCAAAGAAGAATCTCCAACAGCATGGGCTATGAAAATGGAGCCACAATCTGCGGCATCTTTCTCTGGCGCTCTTACCTATGCTGCGCATAGGGATATTCCAGCTATATATTTGCTCTGTGAGGAAGACATGTCGCTCCCGATTGGGCTTCAGGAACTCTTTGTGAGTTACGCGGAGGGGAAAATCACTACCCGGATCTGCAAGGCTGGGCATAGTCCAATGGTAACAATGCCAGATGATGTCGTTGACACGATACTCATGGCCGTTGAAGCTTGAAGCAATAATGTTTAACACTTATTAAGATGCAGAAACATAGTATAAATCAAGGGCAATTCTGCTAGATATCTCCCTCACGCCAAGATGGCAGTCTATTTGCTTTCTAAAAACCAACTGTTTCCAAATTTCATTAGCCCCCTAGCCAGCCCAATGAAAGTTCTCTTTGCCGATCTAAATCCCAAACCTAGAATATCCTTTGCGTATGAAATATTTCTATGATGATAATTGATTTATACGTAGATCTATCAGAAGGTAGCCCAATTGAGTCGTAGAACTATGACGGGGTTATCTACTTACAGAGTAGAGAGCCCATCAATTGACTAGGTAGAAGAAAGGCACTGATGTTATGAACCTCAAAGGTGCGAGGGCCGCAACCAATCGCGGAGCAACCAAGAGCCAATCAATCCCCGGTCGCAGTACAGTGGCGTTCCATAAGTTTTTAACACCCCCTAGACCCAGATAGCTCACCGCCATCACCGCCTACTAGATTTATGCACGGCGTATACGGATCACTCTATTATCTCGCTCGAATCCACGAGATTTTTTACGTACTGAATTCCCTCGATAAGGTCGAGCCATATCCTCGTCCTTAGCAACGACTATAGTCAGTGGGAGTTGGTAAACCTAGCCATCTCTGTCGGGATATAGCCGGCAAAATATTAGATAATCTCAAAAGTGGGGCCAGGTGTTAAAAACTTATGGAACCTGACTGTATGTACTCCGTACAGAAAATAACGATAATGATCAAGTGCAACACAACGGAATATGCCCCACTCTTACTTCAATGGCCCGCAAAATTACCTTCCATACCACCAATCATCCCATCCAGCTGCTCGGGTGCACCAGGCTAGCACAATGAAATACGAGCGAGTGTAGAATCCGCAAATTAAAATGGCCCCCAGGAGAAGGTTCTCCCAATGGCGCTGTTAACTAAATCCGAATCACCACGTGTCATGGAAAAAGTTGGACTGAGCTCATCTGTTTGAAGCAAAACTCAGGATCGAATGTTCCTAATAATCTCCTAGCTTTTCAGAATTACTGGTCTATCTTTCTTCAAAACCGGCAAGAAAGTTAAGAATCATAATTTCAGCATACAGGAGCTTGACTTCAATGTATATCCTTGCAAAAGCTGCTGGCGGCGAAGTTGACGAGTATTACGATGTTCTGGAGGCATTTTGTGCTCAAGGTGCCGATGGTTCGGGCTTCGTGATAACGTTCCAGCGGCAACTTTCTGCACAAGAGCCGTGGAATGGCGATCCTTCAACAGACGACTATTTCAACAACAGTTACTGTATCACCCTCGGATCCGAAGCGACGATATATGGGGGGCTAGAGCAGGTCTCCTTTTTGGATTCCCGTCGATGCTGTTATTTCTCCGAACCTGCGGCGACAGGTCTCGGTATAGGACGAAAACTGATCGTTGATTTTGAGGTGGCTGAGCAACTCCTACATCTCTTTCAACGGTTTCTCAGGCAAGCAGTGACATGGGGAGTTCCTAGTCAGACCCCCCAACTCAACGGTTTAGCCTTCAAAGATTCCATTTGGATCCCTCCAACACTCAGCCAAGGGAGACAGATGAAGGAACTAAGGCCCCCAATCTCAGAGGCGGTCACCTCAAACTCATATTTACCTCCCAAGAAGAACTGGATCGGGAAGGCAGACGCCCTCCTGATGATGTGACTGGTTCTAGCGAAGCATCCCCTGAATACATCGCATATCTTTCCAACTTGACTTCTTTCCAACAGAGGATATACCGATAGCTTCCACGATTTGGGCTGGATTGACTCCGACATTTGCAACTTTCTGATCCAGTTCGAGAACGGGCGAGAATACATACGGGCTGAACTGAGAATGAAGGGGCAGAGAGAGACCGACATTCAAAAGCTCGAGGATCTCTGTCAGGCAGATATGGAGGATTTCTCGCACCTCCGACGGTCTGGGGCCAACCGAGCCCTTGAGCAATACCGGTCCGAGCTATATTTGCTGCATGAAAACAAGAGACAAAGAAGGGTCATGTTGGATGAAGAATAACTTCTTCATCGTCCCTTTTGCCTTTAATCACGAGCATGACTGGAAGATACGTATAACCTATATGAACGCAGTGCGCCCCCTGGAGTGCACTTAGACACTCACAAAAACAACACATGTCCAGAATCGATCCATCGGCTTTGATAATACCATATTGTATATCGTCCTCGTACCCCACAGATTTCATACGCAGCGTCACGTTGATCTTTCAAGAGGAAGCAGCGTGGTTAATTTTCCATACAAGATCCAAACTTCTGTGTCTTCTAATTTATGGCGTGGTGATCAACTTCATCGCAGAATGGACATTCAATGTAGCAATTTTAAGCATTCTAAGACAGCACGTCGGTTTTAGGGAAGGCTTTCATAGTATAAATATACCCACACAGGGATATTCGATAAGAGGCAGTTACCCAGGGCCGTAAGGCCAGTGATGCAACCGATTTATAGATCATTCTGTCGAATAGAAGAGCGGCCTCAAAAGAGCTGAGGCCTCGTCCATGCACGCACGCCAGACCAATGGAGGACACAGAATGGGGTATACGCGCCCCTGACAGCCCTAATGTACGCTCACCTTTCCGCCATAAAAATCTGCTAGCTGTTCATCATTTTGTGTAATACCCCCGGTACCTTAATCCCGTGCATCAAATTATGTCTCCCAGTTCTTTAGGGTGTCTCAAACTCCATATACTCTGATTTGTCTAGGTCGACCTCTGTAGGGGCATCATACACCGTCGATCCCTCTTGGGTCCCATTCCGATACACAGCCCAGGGCTCGCCCCCTTACACAAACGCAATAAAATTCTTAGCAAACTGCTCTGCAGCCTGTCCTTGGCCCGTCGATAGGTACGGATTATAGTCGAGCGGCAAGAATGCATGGTCTGGAGTATATATTGCATGACCCTTCCATGCTTCGTGCCACGGATTAGGGCAATTGAAGTGGTGTATAAAAGCCTCTAATCCCGCTAGAAACCATACGTGCCGCAACGGCGAAGCACACGTCATTCCCGAATTCGAGGACTCGCTCAGTGGAAGCCTGGGAATTAGCCGCGATAGTAGAACTAGCGTCCAGTCCGTACGCGATTCACCTCCTCTATCGCCCAAGTATCGACTGTATGTCGAGTTTCCTCGCGCGTCCTGATTTACTATTACCTTGAAACCCAGATTTTAACTCTTCTGTTTTCCGGGTATCAATTTAACTGGTAACTGTCGTTATCTTTGCTGATGACTCGACCCTATTGACCTCGACTACTCGGTCGTTTGGTCATGCGTCCTCCCGTTTACACCTGCATGGATTGCTCTGCAGGTTTGATGGTTCTTTCCAGGACCAGCGCTTCTTTGTCTTGTAGACCTATTTAGGTCTTTCTCTTTTCCCTTTCCTTCTTCTTCTCTAGATCCATCTTCATCATCATGTCTAGATAGAGACAATCGATTCAGATCTCCTTTTCCTGCTTCCTTGCGCTGGTGTCGATGACACCATCATTTGCTTTTCCAGCTCTGCTTCGGGACTGTCATACGCAACGGTCCCCCGTCATTTTGCTTTTTATGGCAATGATCGCACTTAGCTTTTATTAGATGTCTGGCATGTACCGGTCGTGACATTCCCGGCGCTGTTTGTTTCGGTGTGCTTGTCCCAGTTTGTGTTAAGTTTCAGGCTGACTCGCAGATTTCAAAATTATGGTGAATATGGCTCTACATCTACTACCACAGGTGTCTACCCTCCCTGCCCTTGAAACATCACCTGGCAGAGTGTCAACGTAGCCAGACAGTACAAGCGTGCTGCAGGGATGGCCATGCTCATTGGCATTGGTAATATTTCAGGCGGTGAGTCTCAACCTGTCGTGAAGCGTTCATCATCTATTGAGAGGGATCAACGTTTGACAAATCCCTTTAGCCATGGCCTCAAAGTTTTACGAGGCGCAATATGCTCCGAATTTCGCTCTTGTTCGTTCCTCCACACTTGGGTTTATATTCATGGGCGTCGGGACTGTTTTCTTCCTGCGTTTCAATTACCAGTGCATCAGTCGCAACGGTGATCGACTAGAACCGTCAGAATATGCTCTCGATCCACACCTCATAGGAGACCTATCACGGGCCCTCAGATATACACTTTGAGTTTCCATTCCAATTTTTGGCTTTTCCTCAGGCTATTCATGACGAATCGGATTTGAAGGTATCGGTCCGGGGATGACCCGCCTAGTGACGTATGGCCAGATGGACTCTCTTGGTGAAAATTACTCAGTCTTGTGATTCCGTGTTTATACGCTAACGCTTAACTTAAATGATAAGAGGGAGAACAATTCATTTCTGCATCTTCATCTGGAAAGAGTATAGCCAAAATTATTAAGAGCGAAATATCCACCGTTTGATGAACAGCCAGGCACCGAAGTAATGACCCGTTGAAGAGAGCAACATAATCTACTATATATCTCTACGTTCTAGATCTAATTTCATACCTACTGTATTAGGTAGTTTAATGAGTTCAAGGATTTAATGGGGGGAAGCAGAGAGACAAAAGGGTTAGGGGATTTAAAGGGACTTATTATCATGATCTAGTAATACCGCCGGGCAGATCCGTGTATAACATCATCATCATGCCTTAGGCTTTGCGTCAGATAAACTTAATGAGATGGCTAGGGGGTTTAGAGAGATGGAGCCTTGAACTTATCTCCCGTTAGAAGGACGCTGACTATTCAGATTTGCATTCTAATACGTAGCAGGAGTGACACTTAGACGGCCTCCATCTGTAAGCACACAGTTTCCATTACAGTATGCCCCTGCGCGCGATGCCAAATACAATAGTGGGCCCATGATATCTTCTGGGGTCCCTGCACGCTCGGCAGGAATTTGGTCTAGAGGGAACGCCCCCTCTTCAGTTGGATCCTTGCCATGAATCAGATCAGTTGTCAAGTCGGTTGGAAATACTAGTTATGTGTCAGCATCCTTGCCTTCACTGTGGACCACCCTCGATCTTTCTTACGTCCAGGACAAAGAATGTTGGCTCTGATACGATAAGGCACCAAGTAAGTCGCTAGGACCTTCAACAGCATAGTTGTGGCCGCCTTGCTTGCCCCGTATGCAAACCCCGCAGTGATGCGTCGATTAAAGCTTCCGATGCTGCTGGTCGCGATAACCTGACTCCTGCCATTGCGGTAGCTCTGATTGTTGTTTCCTTTATCTAGCAGTCCCAGAAATGCAATAGTGGTGTAGAACACTGCGGTACAATTGACATGAAATGTGTTCGTAAAATCCTGCATGGAAATTTCGAAGAGTGCCTCTTGCACGTGTGTAATGCTTGATCCAGGAGGCACGCTTCCTGATGGGCCAGCAATGCCGGAGTTAGCAATGAGGAGATTGATATATCCAATATCCTCTTCAATGAATGCTACGGCCGATTTTAATGCCTCTTGATTAGTCACGTCGCATTGCAGTGGAACGACGTTATCCTGGCCCTGGTACCGGTCAGAAAGGAGTGTTTTTTTTCATAAGTCGTTGAACATTGGGAGATTCAGAGACGAACAATTTCGGCCACCGCTTGCTCAAGGACATGTTTCCTTCTTCCAAGAATGTAAACCTTCTTTGCTCCGTTAGTCGCCAATGCCCGTGTCATGAATAGGCCGAGCCCTATTCAAATTTTGTTAACTTTCAGTAATGAGCATTGCATTGTCTTGCTTCGCATACCACTTCCACCCCCGGTTACCACTGCGACAATACCCGTGACATCGAAGAGGTTGATTGCTGAACTATATGCAGTCATGATGGGATAGTGGGCTAAAGAACGACTGGAGCGAAAGAACAAAAGAATTAGGATCCAGTGGGGCCTGGCAGAATATTAATACTACACGGCCTTGGATTTCATTAGAAATAATAGAGATTTTGTCTGTCTAAGCGGTGAGACTTGGCGGCGAGGATTCCCTATCAGATTCCAAATGGGGTTTTATTGGGGGGAAGTATGCGCTCTGGCGGAAACACTTGCCAACCTCAGTGTCATCCGAAATTAAAAATATCCAAATTATTTTCGAGGAAGCCAACCAGAACTGGGTCAAACCCAAAACTGTGATTAGGTGACGTGTGATACCAATCCGGAATAATGTTTAGAAAGGGGTAAATTATTCTGTGATTCCGAGTATACGAGGTCTTAGCTAGAATCCTGTTATCTGCTGTCGAGAATTCTCAAATAATTATTTAGCCTTCATTCTTGTCTTCCACTTAGTATATACGCTCCCCCACATCAAATTTTGAAAAGCCTGCTTATTCAAGATATCCACTCTGGGCGAATTTCCTGTCAGTGGCATGATAGCTATAGTCCCAGGCCTAGTATGTGGTTTTTATCATATATATGGTGTAAGCTACACTGCTATAGCTATGTTGATCTCCACAGAATCGACCTCGTCTACGCAGGAGCTTCTGTTTTCTCGCCAAAATGGTCCAGGTTCTGGTATAATCCGACAGAGGATATGTTACATAACCTACATGGAGAGGTGATACAAGCTAAGATTAGATATCAGTCTCTCACCTCGTTTACGTACCCTCAAAATCGCGATGCCCTGCTCCTTGTATCCCCGGGCACACGGATCCCCTACACAAAGGCATACTCAAGAATCTAATTGGGATATTATTGATCTCTCGAGTCGGAGATGGTTGATTGAAGAGGATGCGCACATAGATGCTTCGTAAACGTAATTATCGGTAGTAGCACTATCTAATCTGTGGCGCTTCCCACCCCTAATAGCAAAAAGATCACCACCTACCCAAAAGGGATATATCCTACCGAAATCAAAGATAGTGATGGAAAAGCTGATGTTTCTGACGATTGGATTGATAGGGTGAACTATGGAGAAAGGAAAGAAAGCAAGACTGGGATTGGTAGGCCACCCCGGCAAAATACTCGATCCTAGTGAATTAGCACCTTATGATCGAAATACAGGATACGCTAGGCTATCTATCAAACAGTGTCATTAAGTCAGCTTTAACAAAGGAGTGTGTTCAATTCGATGTTTCCATAGCCTTAAAACATTAACCATATAGTCAATCTATGGTGTGAACTTTGTCTAGTCTTATCCCGTCTTCGCCGGGATAACTACTCATCCTACCAAACGCTCGGCATGGGGTTTACCATCGTTACCATTACCGCCGGTGGTATCCTTCAGAAACTCGCACTCTCCGAACTAATATTAATGGCGATGCGAAAGTTCCTCCAGAGTGGGTACGCTTAGCACTTAACGGAACTACTTCCTAGACGAAATTTGCCATCAAACTCTTATGTCCTAAACGGCAGCGAAACCCCCTAATGTGGGGCGAACTAGAAGAGGAAGCCACCTCCGAGGCTCACGCACCAGAGATTACGTTCGGTTTAGTTCAGAATAATTAAATAGATAGCCAACCAAGCTACTGAATAACCATTATACAAGTGTCCTATATACCTTCATATGTAGTTATTTGACTAATTTTACACAAATACTCAAAGCTCGTTATATTTACACTGGCTTATAACCCATGGCCCTACCCCGGAAGATAAATCTGCCATTATCACAGGCGCTGCTTTCGATATGTCTCACAGAAATTTATCACAGGTAACCTGAACACCGAGGTGCACAATAGGGATTAACCTTTGCTTTGCGACGCCACTGCTGAGTCGAAACTGTCTTGTTCTGATTGTAGATCTTAGTCTCCGTCCTGATGCTTAAAAATTGGTTGAGGAATACCCCGATAAGCCGAAGGTAATTTTTCAGAAGACGGACGTTACCTCTTAGACGGACTTAGAAGCCATGTTCTCTGCCTTTATTGAAGAGTTTGGCGATGTTGACATTGTTTGCCCCGGCGCCGGTGTCTATGGGCCTAAGTGGTCTTATTTCCGGTATCCCCCCTGGTGGATGGTGCTCGCGGTGTCCACGATGGCGGCCGCTATGTAAGCTTGGATATTAAAGATTACATGGCTTATATACTTCGTCGTGTCTCGGCCTGTCTGTTCCAATCAGACGGCCGTTAGTGCACCCTCCTCGTTAATAATTAGGCCTTACTGAAATCTTTAATTGCATACTATGGATTTTTATTGCAGTCATACGTATTGAATGTCCAATCGTGACTAGACGAAGTGAAAGAAAATCACGTCGCAATGACATCTAATAGCAATATTCAGGGTCTTGGCATGCCGCCATTTATAAGAGACCAGAAGTTTGTTTCAACGCCTTGGAAGGGCCAGTAGTCAGCTTCCGCTGTTAGATCAAAATCGAAATCATCCTCTGGTCCTGGAGGATCTACTTGTAGGAACAGGTTTGCTTCACAATTTTCGTGGGAGGAAGCACCTAGATCTCCAAGTTCCGAGCCTGTTCCCGAGGAATATGTAGAGGTAATGGATAGCGTGGGCAAGCACCGACTAATAGGTTCGGCTATAGTTTCAGCAACGTTACCATGATGCGTCGCATTCCCTTGCGTAGGGATCGCGATGTTGACGATGCCGAGATAAGGAACGTTGAGCCGAACGGTCCCTTCGTTGCCTTTTCCGGTTGCCAGAGACATCCTGCTTGTAGGTTTGGTGATTTCCAGGACAGGAAGAAGCTGGGATATGATATGTGCTGATTCCCGTGATACACCGTCCTGATTGAGGAGCACGATTTCCTCTAGCCTGTGTTTAACTCGGAGAACTAGCGCGCTGTCCTCTTCTCGCTGATCGACAGTCGGTTTGGTTGCGCCTGTAGGGGTATCTCTGTTGACTAGGTAGCTGAGCAGGAGCGTCATGGCAGCTATAGAGCATGAATAGTCGATATGGCGACAGGAGTTAGGAGACTCGATGTCGTTTCTTAGAATAATGAATCGGTGAAGAATCTCTCGGCTTGAACGAATGCAGGTCAACTTGCTGTAGATATATCGATCTTCTGTAGGTTCGCGCAGAAGGTATGGTAGGTGCAGCATCACCAGCAAGCTATGGTGATCGATTTGAATCATCAGGCGCTTCGTCTGTTCCCACACCTGCTGAGACGTTTCGGAAGCTGTTGTGATGGGAGTTACCCACCAATCCTGGCCCATAGATCTCGCGTAAGTATCCAGGTCACAGTCAATCGCCTGGGTTGTGACATATGTTTGAGCTGTCTTTGATAAATTCCTCTGTACAATGCGCGCCGAAATAACTGTATGCAGTTTCTGGAGTCTGTCTTCCGGGCTATCCATTTTCATGGCTTCATCCGATGCAAAGCTATTATCCAGTGATCCAATCTGAAGACCAAGCAAGAGTGATAGTGATCGGTCGTATGCTATGATAATATACCACATTCGGTCAAGAGATGCGGACGTCTGGAGTTCGACAGTGCAAGAGCTATCCATACCAACAAGGGGGAACGATCCAGAATCAATACACATCAGCTGCGCAAGACTCAATGCTCTCCGGAAAGTGAGCCAGGACTTTCGCAAGTTTCCTGCATTCGCATGCCAGATACCTTGCAAGATAAGGCATTCAAGGCCTTCGGGCGTTCCCGCAAGATCATCATTGCAAGTAACGAGGTCTGAGACCAACGACAAGATGTTGACCATCGTTTGTACGATGGGTGATCTTAATCCAAGGATCCTCTCGTCAAATGACGGGCTAAGTTGTTGCATACAAACAGCGAGTTGAAGAAGTCTCCTGGCCAGCAAGGACGGGTGATCATCAATTTGCGGGATAATAGTGATACTTGCAGGGGGCACCGTCTTCCCCGCAATGAGGTCAGCGCTCGAAAGGAAAAACTTCGTCAAGAATAAAGCTCCAGGGCTGCATTGGACAATTGTATCAATGGCATGTTGTGGTGGAAAGAGTGCATGCAGAGCACTCGAGATCGCCTTCCCTTTGGCCTCTCCACACGCGCCGGAAGAGGGGCCGGAACGGTCACTCGACCCCGTCATGAGGAAGGAAGGAGATGTGTAGTCGGAGCCGCTCGGACCTAGCAGGGAACTGACCGGTGTTTCATCCGAGCGGGTACCTGGAGTATCGGTATTGTGCGGTAAAAGGTCATTCCCATCTTTGGATGTAGATATGGTCTGTTGCCTCTCACTTGCATCACTTCTTACGAAATTCTCATCCGGTATGATACGATCCACAAGCCTCTGCATCAGCTGCTCGAGTTGATCCAAACGCTGTCCATGAGATGGGTTGCGCCGAGACGGCTGCTCCAAATCACCAGAGTCTTGCCTTCGGCAGACACTGCCTCGAAGGCTGCACTGAACGCAAACAGCGGCATTTGTAGATGGAAATTGGCAGCGGATCTTTCGTCGACGGCCTAGCGAATTGATTAGTTAGTCGGTTGTTCTTTTTCGGTATTAGTATCCGGGTCAAGAACTCACATTCCCAGCAACTGTGCGTGCCTTTCCGCAACCTTCTCTGGCCGATAGTAGATTCAGGTGTTGACAGGGGCTGGGAAGGCATTGCTTCATTATGTTGAATGATCCGATCTGCTTGTGAACGAAGGAAGTCTCCACCCAAATATCTGGCTTGACTATCGCCTTATCTCCGCTCGGCCTCCGAGACGGACGAACCGAATATCCGTGCGCTTCGGCCTCCATTCGGTGGTATCCACACCGTTTGCGTGTGTGAATGTGCTCCGCCAGGACCGCTTACCACTCGTCGAATACACGTGGTGAATAGTGCATGATTAAAGCGAGCCAGATCGTGAGAAATAAACGCCTCATTGGATATGTGTGGTTAGATCCTCTTCTACTTACTTCACGCTGGAAGACATTATCATAGAAGCTAATATATTTTGGGAAGCTGATGTCGGAGAAGGGTGCTCATTCACTGGCCCTCTCCATCTCCTACATTCACAAAATATGGGATTAATAGAGCTAGCGCTCAATTTCTTAAGAGTAGAATCACCCTATACATGGAACAATAATTTAATTTCAATTGACTCACCTGTCGTACATTATTCATCCGAGGATAGGCATATAATTTATTACGATTCCGGTTCGTCCGCTCGGTGCCCGACAGAACAATTGTCTGATGGTTGGTCCGTCCGGAGGCCTGCGTAAGAGAGACTGCGAGATATATAAGGTAGGGTTAGTCTACTGTGGGTCATCAGTGAGAATACATTACCGTCCATTATTACCGAGATCGACTTCTGTGCACCAGCGATGTTATACGCGGGTGCTGAGACGCCTACAGGACCAAGTGCGCAAATGGAGAAGAACGTGGTCATTCTCGGTGGCTCTTATGGCGGCATATCCACCGCTCACTATCTCCTCAAGCACGTTATCCCTGTTCTACCGGATAAAAATTCCTATCGCGTTGTCCTTGTCAGTCCCTCCTCGCAGGCTATGTGCCGACAGGCTTGCCCTCGAGCTCTGCTCTCGGACACCATGTTCCCACAGGAGAAACTATTTGTGGGTATTTCCGGACTATTCAACCAATACCCCAAGGGCTGCTTCCGCTTCATACACGGCGCGGCCACGGAATTTGACCCGGTCAACCGAAATATCTCCATCGCTTTAAAGGATGGTGTCAGTACGACTACGAGGGTCGACTTCTATGCTCTCGTTATTGCGACTGGAGCCTCAACGCCTTCTCCTCTCCTCGGTCTAAACCAGGATGAACATGCTTTACGACAGAACTGGGCCACATTCAGGGCAGCACTGCCGCACGCGAAAAGTATCATCATTTCTGGAGGAGGACCTTCGGGTGTCGAAACCGCTGGCGAGCTTGGTGAATTCCTCAACGGCCGTGCCGGCTGGTTTAACCCGATAGCCCCGGGCCCCAAGGTGCAAATCATGTTAGTAACGACAGGATCAAGGATTCTCCCACTACTTGCAGCTTCTGCTGTGAAGAAAGCCGAGAAAATGCTCGCTGATGTCGGAGTGACTATCCTGAAAAACACCAAAATCACAGTGGTATCACCACTGGGGACAGGAACAGACCATGTGGCGGATAAAGTGACCTTGACGATGGAGTCTGGAGAGACAATGAATGCCGATCTTTATATCCCTGCGACCGGCACAATGCCCAATACTGGCTTTATACCTAAAGATCTCCTTACAGCGGACGGTCGTGTCAAATGCAGCCGGGGCTTCCGGGTCGATGAAGCGGGGTCTCGCGTCTACGCTGTCGGGGATGTGGCATCCAGTATAAAGCAGCCCGCGGTCCATGTTATACTCAAGGCCATCCCCATCCTCTGCGCCAATATGAAGCGGGATCTTTTGACAGATGCTGGAGTGTCCGCGGCCGAGGACCAACTGTTCGTGGAGGACTCCCACGCTAACCAAATGGTACCCATCGGAAGAAGTAAGGGGGTAGGTACGGCGATGGGATACTCTCTACCCAGCTTCCTGGTGTGGTTGGTCAAGGGGCGAGACTATTGGATGTGGACCACAGGGTCCATCTGGAGTGGGAAACACTGGTCATAGGAGTCAAGTCTGCTGTTTTTCAGCTTTGGTTTGTATTAGAAGGGATTTCTTTTTAGGTAATCTACTGTTACCGCCTAGCCATCGTCTGCAGTAAATCAGGCTACTACCTGATAGAATCGTGTATGAATTCATTGTCAGCATCCACATCATCATCAGCATCTAGACCATTGTTCCATTTTGATGACTCGACCCTATTGACCTCGACTACTCGGTCGTTTGGTCATGCGTCCTCCCGTTTACACCTGCATAGATTGCTCTGCAGGTTTGATGGTTCTTTCCAGGACCAGCGCTTCTTTGTCTTGTAGACCTATTTAGGTCTTTCTCTTTTCCCTTTCCTTCTTCTTCTCTAGATCCATCTTCATCATCATGTCTAGATAGAGACAATCGATTCAGATCTCCTTTTCCTGCTTCCTTGCGCTGGTGTCGATGACACCATCACATTTGATGTAAATTGAAGTAACAAAGGAGAATTAACAACAATTCGGCAATTTCCTATACGATCATGTCTTGAAGTACCTTGACCAGGGCCTTCCTTAACCTCTCTTCTCCTCGAGGAACAACTTTAACTTTTCCTTGTCCGCAATTTGGTTGGTATTCGGCCCTTGCGACAAACGGTCCGTCACTGGAAACTGGCTATCTTCCTAAGGTTTGTCAATGGTTTCACTGTAACAGTCTTTGATGAGAACCACTGCGGCTAATTCATGATGGGAATCTCGAATAGCTGCTTGGTCTTGTCGAAAAAGAATTCCCGAAAAGATCGATACCATCTATCCAACTCAGTTAGCACCTTCAACAGAAAGTGTTGTACAGGGAGGGAAGGTCTGTGGGGGGCAATTCACTTACCGAAAGACACGTACAATTCGTCGGTGCCCCATATCTTTGCAAATTTTCCAATCAACTGTGGCTCTGATTTCAAATCCCAGACAAAATGCTCATGGGCAATGCCATAACTGAAGGCAGGTAGGTGTAAGTCAAATAAGCGAAACACTGAGTATTAACGGGCTAGACTTCACTTACCGAGCGAAGATGCCCCCACGATGGGTAAAAGGCAAGTTAGCCGCCTTCCGTGTCGATGGATCGTTTCGATTATAACCAAAATTCCAGCCCTCCAGCCATCAGTACGCTCTGTCAGCATATTCAAGGGCCTTTTCTTTCGGGATGGTCTCGGGCACAATGGTCTAACCCTTAGTATGAAGCTCGGTCATCCACTGCGGAACCTGTGCACCCGGTCAGTATATTTTAACAGACATCTTTGACAGTACTTTGAGTGATCTCAAGCGTGGAGCCATTCAACATACATCCTGGCCAGCTCCATGAATGGATTCCAGTGAGAACGTTGTCACCGTCTTTGAAGTGACTTCGGTAGCCGACATGATGTATAGAAAATAAAAAAAGGAAAACAGAATGTATCGATATAGGAACAACGGACTCTGTTATCAGATCGATTTTTTGAGGATGGTTTGGGATTCTGAGGCGCTTGTCACTGTTCCGATCTTAAGTATGGGCCACTTCGTTCTGTTGAACGCTCTATGGAAGGATGCGGATCCATGATTGTCCACGTTATCCGGATCACCTGGTCCCCCCAGCCTGAAAGGAGATTAACCGCGTAAAGTCTGCAAGCTAATCCCCAGCGTCACTTCCCCAAAAAGTTGAGTGGCGACTTTGTGGTGGGGTATACAGTTCATGGTTTAACAGGTTTAACCGAGGCGACTTGATTTTACCGGCGGCTATACTCTACTCTCCGCTTTTAGGTACGGGGAACTGGATACTGCCGGCATATTGAAAGCGGTATGATATCCCACTTATCTTTTAAGGGGCCAATAGGAACTGGGGTTTGGTTCAATTGAATATACAGTACGCCCTTGATACGGGACTTGGATAAGACAAGAAAATGTCAATTCTTCCAACAAGCAATGCACCAAGTATAATACACCCGTCGAAATTTCCATAATATCTTCAGACTCATTTGTCAAAACATGCTAGTTAGGCACATCTGCCTTTCATACGATTGAAGTTCGATATGAAGACGGAGATCGATCGGCTCACTCGCAGCCGTCGTTACTCTGCCATAAAAAGTCTCATCCGTCCCTAGCCTATATCGTCAGACCCCTTCCCATGGGCATGGTAATAATGCAATCATGTCACCTTGAGACGTGAAAGCAACATCGCCGATGCCACTCAAAGCTCTCAGGGCCGATAGAATCCCGCAGGAGGTCCTGGTGCCTTGACTGACGGGGTCAACGAATCGTGAGCGAGGGCATGAGACGAGAAAGTTTTGGGTTATCCACCTTCCCTAGAGGGGTTTGTGGATTCAAGGTACAGGAGTTTCAATGAGAGGCCTAGTTGCTTGGAATCGCAGGCTGCTTCGAAGAGAGGGCTCCATCCAAGGCAGAACGTAATCCCCCTCGATACGTTCCTCGAATGTGAAGCCGCATTTCCGCAAAACGTTGACGGATGCCTCATTCTCGGCGTCGCAGTATGCCTCCAAGACATCAAATTGTGGCCTAGCTTGCCAGTATAACTGGATAAAAGCATTCAACGCTTCTGTGGCAAAACCAAAGCCCCATGTCGATCGATGGAAAATGAAGCCAACTTCTGGGATCGGTTCTGACTTCCAAGTCCCTACCCACCCAAGAAATCCACCTGGCCGAAGCACCGTCTCAGTTTCGGGGTCTTCTCGTTGGTCATTGCTCGGATTGACATCAGATCGAAGTATCACCGCGTAATTTTCTCCAAGGGGGTTCACGTCGGGCAGTAGCTCTGCCATCCATTTCTCGCTAGCCTCCAGGGTTTTGCAGCGACCGTGAGGGCTCCACCGGGTCGCGATGGGATCTGACCAAATGGCGTCGTAACCAGGCGCATGATGCGCTGCCAGACGAACCAGTTGCAGGCGGGGGGTCTGCGCCATTGACTTGGTTGGCATGGATTGGCCGAAGATGGCTGTATGGCAGCAGGGAGAGTCGACTGAAAAGAATTGTGTCTTGATCCGAATGGTATGAGTATCGTAATAGCTTCTTCAGAGAATGATCTGCGGCGGCAAAGAGTAAGAATTTCGCCCAAAGAGGACCTTTCTTTTTTCGGAGAACTCCCTATTTAAACCCTTCTGTGCACCAGAAAGCAATGCACCAGAAAGCAATGACAAGCGGGAATCAAATTACGTCCGGTCGGGGTCCGTTTCTGGAAGTCAGGGAACTTGTGGCGCTCACCAAGCCCCTTCAACATCGCAGAAAAGAAGAGAACCACAACAAAAGTTTCACTATTATTACGTTTATGAACAAGATACCCTGATAATCTATTTGAGCTATACGAGTCAATTTCATCCCGCCCAACATTTCATTGCCACTAGGCTTCCACTTTCTGGTGCTGGCTTTAGATGCTTGTTCGCTTAGATTTCTGAATCTATTCTTGGCAGACCCGAAGTACGGTATGGCTCATCCTACAAGAACTTTTGCGTATACCGTGACTGAATTGTACAATCCCTAGAATACAGCCACTGATAACTAGTCCTCGCACATTTAGAATTAACTATGCATATAACAGGCCTTTTTTGGAATCGACCACTAGCCGCAAGCCAAGGCTTCACAGGATTGCATTTTGGCTGCATAACTTGAGATATGTTCTACACATTCTATGTTGACAACGGAGAATGGCATACTCCACCATGTATGTATACGCTCGGGGTCGAGACCCTTTGAGTCCACATCCCCGTCGGCCCCACCAGATAACTTTCGAACGCCTGAACTATGACCTAAAGATGACTTGCTTGCTCTTTCTTTAATATCGGAGGGTCGGTAGGGATTAATTACCTATCGTTGGAAGATCAAAGCAATAAGAACGAACTTGTGTCTTTCTGAATCGATATTGATTCGGCTCCTCAGAAGTCCAGAGCTTACTTAGTCCTATTCAAGGTAAAAGTAGAGACGTTTGATATCTAGATGTGGAGCCGATTTCATAGATTATGCTTGAAAGCACCTCCAAAACGGCCTCCACTACCTCCGAGCTCAAACGAGTTCAATCACCAAGCGCCCCCCCCCCCCCCCCCTCTTGTTGCTTAATGCCTAGCTCGGTTCTACCCCGCAGAACGCGTAAGTTGACCTTCAAGAGCTACAAACCAAGGACCGAGACTATTCACTCTAATTTCACGCCTCCAATCTCAATTGGATACTCGGGTTCTTAAGCCAATTACAAAGCTGAGCACTCATCGGCTCCACATCTGTTCACACTCGCATGAATTCCGGCAGTCAGGAATGAGCATCAGCCGAACAGTGAATTCTGCACATCTCAGTGTCTAAGCAAATAGCTCTTCTGATTGATTTGGGTGTTTGAGAGAACGCCGATCGCAATTCAGTCATAACTTTTGGTTGTGGTGGACAACCTTTGTACCGAGTCAGTGACGAAATCCTCTCTCAATATTTGAGAGGTATATATTCGGAGCTGCTTCCGCTCACTAATTATCAGCTCACTCTGGGGGTTTGAGGCTTCACAATCAAACGAGGAATTTTACAGTAGCCTAGATATGACAATGATGCTCGTATCCATTCTTCTACTAGCGGCTTTGAGCAAGGCCACGGTTACAATTCTCGATCCCAGTGACTTTGCAGACTTAGCAGCTGATGCTGCCGATAATGCGCTCACTGCGGATTGGGATTACGCTCCACTTTCCTATCAGGCATACTCAATCACTGGGCCCTACGTCTATAACGACACCTCCAAAGAAGTCTCCCACAAGACACTTACAGTTGCCGCAAACGACACCAGCGTTGTCGTGATCACGGAGGACTCGCAAGTCAATATCTCTCAGTCTACTGTGATAAAGCACGGCTACTCGACTGACTTGTACCAATCGAGCTTTTATGGACTGAATGCTGCGGTCAATATAGCAAATGCCTCCGTTGCCTATCTAGACAATGTCAATGTGACGGTTCACAATGGAGCCGCCAACGTCTACGTTTATGGGAACAATTCATACGCATATGTTTCAGATTCGTCGCTATACAGTTCGGGACCAGTGTCTCATGGATTATACGCTGCTGGCTACGGTACTGTGGTTGGCAAGAATCTTCGCCATTATTCAGGAGCATACCGATCATCCTCATTTGCCGGTGACAGCCCCAAGGGATACGTCTACGTCTACGACTCCATTGCCCACACTGCAGGCATTGGAAGTGCGATTTTCTACGGGCAAGGTACCGTGTATGCAGAGAATATAATTGGTCATGCGCAACAGGCTCCCATCGCCTTTCTAGATGGCTCGCAAATCGATATCCACGAATCGGATTTGACTGCCGGACTACTCGCGGGTGTTGTCACCTTCTCATCTGGGACTCGCCAGTCTGGGTCAGAGATCAGTTTCACCAATTCACGCCTGACTGTGCTTCCTGATGAGGCAGCTGGGCTGTGGTTCGGCAATGTGATAGCAAGTGCCAGCCTAGTGCGGTCCCAAATCAATACTACTTCGGGCATCTTGGCCATCGCAAATTACTCCCAAGTCACCCAGGACTTTAACTACTTTGCCGAATCTACTGCCGCTGCTGAAGCTACGATCACAGTCTCCGAGTCGGCGCTTGCTGGGGACTTAGTCGCTTACAATGGAAGCTCAATCAACTGGAGCTTGGGCAATTATTCAACGTGGACTGGCAAAGCATACTCTGGATATGGGAATGCATCGTTCTCGGTTTCGCTTGACGCTAGTTCATCCTGGATCATGACGGGACACACCGTCTTGACAAACTTTACCGATGCAGATACCACTTTGAGCAACGTTCATAGTGCGGGATACAACCTCTACTATGACTCTAGTAGCGCTCACAATAGTTGGCTGAAGGGCAATACCCAGAAGATGCATGGTGGAGGGTACTTGAAACCCGCGAGCAAGTCACAACTACGAGGATCTCATTGATTCTTGTTTGTCTCGCGCACGCAAGGGACTAGGTTGGACTGTAAATAGAACCTACCGTGGTTACTGCAGGACGACGACTTGGGAGGACTTTGGGAGCCGGTTGGAGAGTCACACAGAAAATCATTTTACTTTGAGACAGTTCCGCCATTCGGTCCCTTCCTGTTTGATGTCTACGGAGTAGTTGCTTATGTTATGTATCGCTGGCGACTATATACATCACCATCTGGGTTGAATCATCTAGCAATGATACATCGTTTAGCAGCACTTCTCCTGACTTTGCTACGGTGCTCCAGTGCCCTATATTTATGGCCTATGGTATGACTCACATTTACTAAAGTCAGTATGCTCTGTTTGCTTAATGAGATTGCTCAAGTTAGATCATATAAGGTACTTGGGCAGCTATATACTAGACAATGGATGAAAATTTTAAATTACGAAAGTGGAGGCAGAGGCTCCAAGTTGAGAAACGAAGTTTCATTGGTATCAAGAGTTGACTGGAATTAAAATCATACCGCTGGTGATGCTCCAACAAGCAATCCCAAACCATGACCAAAATGTGCAATCCCAAGTCACTGCACCATTAGGCGTAAAAGGCCGTAGCCAGGGGAACCCAAATTATGAGTAAAGGTATCACAAAAAGTCCAAAATCCAGAATCGCGCTCTCCAATTTAGGAGATGAGCGAACCGGTCAGAGATCCAGGAACAAGCTTGGGGATCTACTCTGTGTGGGTTGCAGCACCGGCCTCCTTGTCGGGGGCCCGAGTGCCAGCCTCGGCCTGCAGATCGGCCATCTTCTCGGACTGGAGAGCACCAGTCTCGAGCTGGCGGACGTGGTGGTACTGGACCTTGGTCTTCCATGGCTTCATTCCGGGGGTGTTGAACATGGTCTCCACATCTTCCAGTGTCTTACCAGCGGTCTCGGGGAAGGCGAAGAAGACGTGAACGGTCATGGCAAAGCAGAACACACCAAATACCAAGTAGGTCTTCCACTTGATATTCTCAAACGCCGGGGGAACGAAGTAGGATAGAGCGAAATTGAAGACCCAGTTAGATGCGGTCGATACGGCCACGGCCTTACCACGCAGACGCAATGGGTACAGCTCAGGGGGGTAGATCCAACTGACTGGTCCCCAGGTAGGGGCAAAGCTAGCAACGAAAAGATAGGTACAAGCAATGACACCCTTGGCAGCGGAGGGTGCATCACTCAGATCCCAAGATTCTTCGGGGACATGGTTGAGACCACCCGGGGGCGCGGGCTTTCCGTAGCTGGCCATGATACCACCGTTGGCAAACATGAAAGTCATCATCAAAGTCGAGCCAACGAGCAAGGGTGTACGTCGGCCCCAGCGGTCGATGAACAGCAGAGCAAAGATGGTCATTACGACGTTGATGACATACTGAATGGACGAGGCAACGAGGTTGGCGTTGCCAGAGAGGCCGGCCATACCGAAGACGTAGGTGATGTAGAGCATCATCACGTTCATACCGGTCAGCTGCGACCAGATCTGGGTGAACATACCAATGTGGGTGCGGTAGATCATGTTGCCCTTGAAGAGATCCAAGTAGGAGGCATCGGAATTAGCTCGCTCAAACTCGACCATGTCCCGAATCTCCTGCAACTCGGTCTGCACGAAGGGAGCGTTCTTATCACCCTTGGAATGGACCAAGGCCAAAACCTCATGGGCTTCCTCCCAGCGATCGTGCTTAGCCAACCAACGAGGGCTTTCGGGTAGCAGGAAGACCATGCCGAAGAGGAAGACGGCGGGGATCATCTGCAGGCCCCAGGGCAGACGCCAGGCCGCGTTGCCAGCGAGGAAGCTGCTACCGTAGGAAATGTAGAACATGATCAAGATACCCCAAGTAATCGCCCACTGCTGTGCACCCACGACCTGACCACGTCGACTGGGCTGTGCCAGCTCTGCAACGTAAACGGGGACCTGTGCACTGAGAATACCAACGGACAGACCGTTGATGAAACGGCCAACGACGAGCTGAGCAATGCTGAAAGAGGAACACACGATGGCACTACCGATGCACCAGATGACAGAGCCAGTCTGAATAGCCATGCGACGACCCAGCCAATCAGTCACGATACCGGAGATGAGAGCGCCCACGAAGGAACCACCAGGCATGGCAGCCGAGATACCACCCTGAGTGGAAGAGGTAGGACCACCGCAGGAGCCATCATCGCCATGGCCAGTTTGGTTGAAGAAACATTTGTACTGTTGAGTGCCAAGACTGTGGGAGAACGGGGATTTCGGTCAGTAACTTTGTGATATATGTTGAAACTTGCGAAAAAGCTTCAGGGGGTATAAATTTGAGGAAAGGGGGTTAGAAGAAACTCACATGGCAGACATGGAAGCAATATCAAAACCAAACAGTGCACCGCCAATGACGGCCACCGTGGTGATGACATAGATATTGCCGATCACGTAGCCCATGATGGACTGAGTGTGGGGGGAGGGAAGGTACACAGGAAGGGTTGAGGATGTCAATACAGGAAGCCTTGAAAAGTCCAAGGGAGAGTTGAGGTTAAAGGAAGGAAGAGGGAACAAGCAAGGAAGGCAGGAAGGGACGAGGGGGAAGGAAGAAAAGGGTTATATAGCAGTTGCAATAGTTAAGGTTACAATATTATAATTCACGGAGAATGGGGGGGGGATCGGCTGTCGGCAAGGATTATTAGCTGATGGACTGGGGTTGAGAGATAAAAAAAAGAAATCATAAATCCAAACAATGAAAATAATTGAATTAGGCAAATAGTACAGACTCCTTGGAAGACTGGTCGAATCATAAACGAGAGTTTGATACGGCGTCCCGTATCCAGTCATTTTAATACAGGACTATACATACATATCAGTCTCTAGAGTATTGTTCTTCTTATTCTACTTCTTATCATCATAAATTCCCTGTACCCTCGAGAGAAACGGTAATAAAAGTTTCGCTCCACATTCTGCTACTGCTTAGAATTTATATTGTGCCTAGGACTAGTTCTCAAAAAGAGCAAGTAGTATTATTCTTTGAAATGCATCCATCTACGCTCCCTATCGGGATAGTGCTCGGGCTGCTTTGTTCCAAACCATGGAAAATACGTCGGCAATACGTGTGAGCATGAAAGAGTCTCGAGTCAGGACCCATCGTTGCCGTTTGCGGAGATGCGGGGAAGTCCATGTGTTGGAGTGTCATGTCAATCAAGAATGGAATGATCATATGTCAACCATGGGGATCATGACTGGTCCGTTAAATGAGGAGCAAAGCATGGCTCCTAACGGGGAATTAGCGGGGGGATCCAACGATGAGTAGAAGCATTCATGGAAGGATCCATAATCCATAGTCCTCTAGTATTCTTGTAATCTTGATATTCTCCGATCGTATACAAATGGAAATAACAATATACAACTCCTATCCCTACTCTCCGTACTAAATACAGAAACTCTGTACATATTATACCTAATCATAATTTACTATGAGGTATCACACAACATTCCCGAACGGCAGATGATCTGCAGGGTAAACGACTCCAGCTCGACGCTAAGAAGCTAAAGCTCCTTGGTCAACTGCATCGGGCCTCCAATCAACTACCAGAGTCGGCGCCTCGTCAGCCCGTCGCGAGAGGCCCAACCGTCAGGCTAATTAAGACCCTCGGACTGCTCTCTGGAGGATCGAGAAACCGTCCTCGTCCAATGCAACTTCAAAGGTCGTCTGGCAAGCCACATGGTTTCATCGCGTCGGCCAATCACTGAAAAATTGCCTGATCGGGTCTCGGTCTTTAGGAATTTACTGCGGAGACGCCTAGAGTTGGTTTGTTGGTCCAGAGAGAGAGATCTAGGAGGCAGGACGATGATTATGATTATCATCATCAGACTTGGATGGCGCGGGATGGCGTCGAAAATGGCATCACAAGGGGGCTGGATGGGCTGAGCTAGCTAGCCTAGGGCGGGGAAGTGGCTGACCTTGGCCATTGCTTGCTGTTGCTGTCGATGAAGTCTTCCGGAGTATACGGAGTACTCCATACTTCTTCCCTCATGAGGGCCAACTCTCATGCTGATTGCAGGTGATGGTCACGAGTGCTCGACTTACTCTACAACGGGACTACCACCACCCCCTTTAACTGGCCATCACCATCTCCCTCTGTCTCGTTCATCCCTTCTCACGCCAACGCAGACAAAACTCAAAAGACCTACCCGGTATCCGATCTATCACCATGATTGGCCATTCATTCAGGCATACCGTCCCCGCTCTCTCTCTCTCCCCCAGATGGGCAACCCCAGAAGAGCGGGGCAGGAGTCCTGTCAGCCTACCGAGAGTCCGAGATGAGTTTCCCTGGTTGAGATGGGTTCTGCCTCGTCAACGATGGAGCATTACTCTGACTACTACTGTAGTATTTCTATTTCCCTGATCACGACTCACCCGCTCGGTCCTTTCTCCCATTCTGGCGCAAGGACCGTCTCTCAATCGGTATACGATCTACACAATCAACCGGTCGGGATGTCTGTCCCTGGCATTTTCGCACGTTGTACGACTCCCGTCACGCAACCCGAACGGACGGAAATTACGTCTTTCCGACCGTAACGTGTCAACAAGTTCCTCGGGGAATATCCACCTTCGGGAATCCTTAGGAGTTGCCTTGACCCAACGGCATCTCCAAGTCTACCTTCAGCCTCAACCATCCGGGGGTCCCACTCTCGTACGCCATACCCGAGTGGAACGCCCTTTACAAGGGAAAAAGACGCCATGGAGCGCCCGCCCGGCGGGTGGCTCTTGTGGGTGCCATCGGTACTGTCTCCGAAGACGCCACGGGAAAGCTTCACTCTGTCCCACCTCGTATTGACCTTCTAGCTTTCAATTTATTTTCCCATTCCCCGGTTGTGTCTATTCTCGAGCTTGGAAAGACTCGGTTTGATTGCCGTTCTTTTGATTGGTGATTATTTTTCCATTGGAGGCTCGTATTTCCAATTGGCCGGTGCAACCTCATCTTTCCAACACAGCCAAAGTCGAGACTTAGACAAAGCTGAGATGAGCTGATCTGTCTGATTGGCATCCCAGTCTCTTTATCATTACCCATGGGCCCTGGCTGGTCTAGAGCACGCAGCCAATACTCAAGATGCCTGGGAAATAAAGGAGCACCTGCTCGGAAACAAGCCCAATCTCCCGCTGAAGTTGTAGCCTTCCAAAATACCCTCTTGACTGTGCTTATATATGTCCAATGCAAGATCTCCTTTTCCGTGGTCCCTGGGCGCCGGCAATGCTGCTCTCTAACCGTACTACTAACCATCCGTCACTCATATCCTTCCGGGGAAAGAGAGACTCCATATGTCCAAGTCGAGTACGGTCTGATCAGTTGCCAGCTTACAGGTATAACGGCCTATGAACAAAAGGCTGCAAGGACCCGAAGAGGCAGGGTAATATAAAACGCCAGATTCTAAACCAGTAAGCGTAAGGGGGTTATGTGTGTTGTTGTACCGTGAGGCTAATGCCCATATATACTAATCACTGTATTTCATGATCAACGTTCAATCTTCAATAGCCCCCTTCTTTCTCGCCATTCACAATCTTCTTCCCATGGGCTTCGGTCTAGATATTATTTTTGGCAGGTATACACAGGAGCCCACAGCATTGGGGATCCAACCGCCTGCCAACGTCCTCCAGGGCGATTTCTTTTCCACAATCAAGGCATATAACTTACTCTGCATCCATGTTATACCGAATCTGAGCTGTTTTCCTCAAGGTGAGGCACACGTCTCAAAGTTCACTTCGAGTATGTACACTCCACACTTCAGCAATGCCCGTGCTCTCGGTAGGATGATTCTCGGCCCACAATGTGACATTTCTAATCGTAGCACGTGTGGTGACCGCAAGTCAGGTGGAAGATTGCTGTTTCCAGCCTGTACCTTCCAGTAAAGCATCATGGATGCTAACATGGATGTAGAAGGCGAAGTGGTAAGCATATCGCCCGTGTCAATACACACGATGTACTATTGCACTCGCGATACTTCAAACAAGGAATAATAGGCTCAAGGCAAATATAGATTTGTTACGCAGATATCCTTACCTCTACCTACAATGTATTGATTCCCTACCTAGGAACCCGGGTACATCTGGGCTTTTTCTATTGCCAGTAGTGACAAACATCCACAATGGTGTCAAGAGACGGGCTTGTGCGAATAACCTCCTGCTCGAGCAGAAAGGCTTTGAATGCCTACCGGAAAGCCGTATAGCCTAGGAATTTAAGGTGTCTCCCAACGTCACTTGACATGAATCATCACCTGTTGTTGAGGGATGGACCTTGTCGATAAAAGAGAAATATCGTCTGACGGGAGTGTGGGTCGATATATGTAATGGAATACCAGGCGTCAGACGGGAACATCTTTAGAATAGAATTCAATTATAGCATCTCAGCTACATAGTCCGGTAGAATGATAAGGCTCCGTTGTAGGTGGTATTCTACTAGAGTAGATAGCTTTTTTTTCGACAATAAACATCCTTTTCATATTCCATCTCGTTCTGCGAAAGCAACCAGCGTCCACCAGTCGCTACCTGGGGGAATATTACGAGGAAGATGAGCAAGAAACGAGATTGAGTATACGTCGAATAGAAAAAAAAAGGGGGGGAAGAAGAAGACTTTTAACTTACCCTTGACTTGGCTGGATAAGTCCATGGAATCTCAAGTCTGCAGGGCGGGGCGGGCCATCCGACCCTTTTTGGAAGATCCGACTCCAAGCGCCAGCGGATTCTTGGCCCCCAACTTCCTCTCTGCTTCGCTCCAACGAACTTCTTCCCAAAACCACATACTGGGCAGGGCAACTTATGATGATGTGGCTGTGTTGGCCCTGCCCAGCTGAAATGGATTTCTTCAGGAACATAAAAGCTGTTCCCACCCTTGTCACTAACCCTCATCTAGACCACCTTACATCCTTTCTCGAATCCCAGACACCGTGGGCCACCGACTAATCACCACCGTTGCGATCGGCCAGCATAGACCCGGGGTGAATATCCTCGAAGAGACCATGGACCCCTCACCACCTCCCTATACAGAATACGTTCAACACGGCCAGAGCCGCGAAGAGCAAGTCCCCCAGTACGAAGCGGCTACCTACAATCAATCCTCTGGAGACTTCAAGACTCTTCAAGATGCAATGGCCAAGTTTCCGCCCACATTGAACGGCTACTTTGAATGGAAAATGACCTCCACCTTTCATCTGGGCCCGACCGCCGAACAGAAAATGTTCGCAGTGACAATCCCTGCTTCCGTGTTTGGGAACAAGCCATCACTGATTCTATATGACGGCCCAACCAAGGAAGACCCCATCATGGCAACGCTCAAGTCCGACAAATGGGGTCGGATTAGGCCCGTTGACATCGCGCTGCCCCCTCGCCAACACGGCCATCACACGAATGCGATCGACGTGCAGATGGTTCCTGCGCCTTCGAAACACGTTTCCCCGACGTACACCTTCGAGACCCAAGGGACAGGGAAGGGAGCTGGGCGAGAACGATTTGAATGGCGGAAGACACAAGGAAATGAGATCAAAGAGCTTGCTACGGGTCATTCCTACGGTTGGAAGCTGGTGTGGCTATCCGGGCTCGTCACCAGCGCCGGAGGGAGTAGAAACGAACGAGAAATGGGCGTTGCCAGCGATGGAACGGAAATTGTCGCACTTCTCGCTCACAATGCCTCATGGAGTATGACGAAGGGATTTCGGTTTGCCTTCATGGGCACTGGACTCACGGGCATTTTCGGCGAAGTTTGGGAGATCCTGACTGTCACATCGGCCTTGCATCTGTGGTATTTGGACTTTCAAGGTGCAACGGCTGCCGCTGCTTGTTGAGTTCTTCAGGAACGAGTTGCATTTGGGCGTTGGAGCGTGGCTGATTATTGTCTTTTACTCCCATCGTTTATTAACCAATTTCAAGGGGCTACATGCACCCGACCACAAATTTTCAATAACTTGAACAGACATAGACCTTGAGTGCTTATGAGTCAAAATACCGCAGTAATCCACGAGATCTACTCAATAACACTATCATAAAGCATAACCAGGCATGCCATTTGGCAAGAGATAGTGGAGAATGACTGGATAACCAGCCTAGCAAATCTTCGACTTGACTTGTACTTGTAATATTGATCTTCGGAGAAATGGGCAAGGATGCGCTAAAAATAGTTCCTAAACTACTAATGAGCGTTGTGAAAACGCTTACCCAAACACAGCATCAAAATGCGATCTTAAAGTTTGCATTGACATTTACGAATGGTACAAGTTGATCTCCATGTATCTTATACGAGATGATCTACACGATCGACAGGAGAAAAGATAACAATAGATACGACCATCCTCCTTCCCACGCCGTTTCATTGGATCGATCATGGGGCCCATTGTGGTCATCTTTGGGGCCGTTTCAATACTCAGACAAGTCGACTAGGATATTCAGGTGCGATGACCAACGGCTCAAATTAGAACAACTCGCCGTCGATTGCTCTGGGCCAGTGGTCTGCAAACCTTTGCAGAAAGAGATTCTGAACTACAGGACATCAGTATTGTGCTCTATATCCCAAACCGGGGCTTGATCTTGCCATGGCTTGCTCCTTCCAGACCATCCTATACTAAAAAGCTGCGAAGGGTATCGTCCCCTGTTCCAAGTCCAGGAACACGAGGTGGGGAGAGGGCGGCCGTTGACAGCCACTACGAGGCTTGTGCAACGCGGGAGAACACGATGGACTCCACTTGGATCTTCATCGCTCGGGCGAAGAAGTCTTGTTCAGGTATATCGAAACCCTTGTCAAATGTGCGGCATGCGTTTACTCTGAACTCAGGAAAACTGTGTATATAATGAAAATCTCTCCTGACATCTGCCATCGATCCATAGTCTCTCATTAATCAAGTCGCTCATTTCTTCATTGACCTTAGCCTGTCTATAAATGTGGTTGTCCAAAGGAAACATGACCAAACCATTCTCCTGGCTTATCCCTGGCCTTTTGTTATCTCCTTTCTATCAAATTGCTCTATCATTCGAGCTACAGCCGATAGCGTCGTCTTTGATTGAAACCGGACGACACGCCACCAGGGATGATGACTTTTCCGTTCTCGATCTTCTCAGCAGCGAAACCTTTCTTTGGGGAGGTATGTGCCACTATATAATGTTGGCTTCATAAGGTGAAAACTCGCTAAGATGTGTTCATACAGGATCTCAAAATGGCCGATCCGCGCTGGGTAATCTGACAGTCCATATGCCAGGAGATGCAGAGAACATCATTTCCATGGAGAAGTTCCAACCCTTACTACGGTCCACGGAGTGTACCAACAAGAGCATGACCATGGATTTCAAGGATGAGAGATCTTATCAGTATGGTCAGCGCCTCTGGCAATGGGTCAACGATGCCGATGAACGAAGGTTTGTTTTGGTTGCCGGAAATGGCCATTGTGGCTGGAATCAACATCGGTTGCCCTTTGTCGTTTCCAACGTACTGTTCAACGATGCAAAGAATATGATCAGTGTTATTGGATACGTATCAGATTGGAAGACCGTTGCACATACGTATGAGTTGTTCGTTGGTGGCCACCCTTCGTCCGAGAAGCGTGATATTGATAAAACCTTCTCTCTTGATTTCAATCACGCTTTGCCCCTGAGCAGCAAGTCCTTCTCAATGGGAGATTTCAAGTTCACATATGACTGTGATGATTGTGGCACCAAGGGCGAGTTTGAGTTTCAGTTTGAACTCAAGACGGAGCTATTCATTCCCACGGGAGTTTCGATGACCCTGAGCCCCCAGGGAGTCTCTGCCAATTTCAATCCTCGTTTGGGACTAAGCGCCAATTTCACTGGTACCAAGACCGATGAAATGGAGCTCGGTAAGATTCCCATCGACGGACTGACCATTCCCGGAGGAATTTTAGATCTTGGGCCCGAGATTGTGTTTAGCTGGGGTTATGCGCTGGGTCCGATCATTGGCACTGCGGGTGTGTCAACGGGCGTCTCCATCGGCCTCGAGGACTCGGCAGAATTGAAGATTGACTTGACCTCTCCAGATTTGTCCGCGAGTGGGTGGACTCCTAAGGTTACCAAGAAGCCGATCACCGTGGACGCTTCCATCAGCGGTGGAATCAAAGTCAACACTAAGGCCGCTATGGAACTGGCATTGGAAGCTTTGAGTGAGTAGCTACCATTTGCCTATTTCACACGAAAGATTCTAACAAGCGAATAGATACTGGATTTGAGATTGGCTTGGATCTAGAGCCCTGGGCTGGAGCGACACTGACTGTGGCATCTTGTAAGTCAATATCTCAATGCATAGGTTTCCTGATGCAGCGGAGATAGCAAAGACTTTTCTCGCTAACTAATTATCCTCCTCGACAGCATCCGGTGCAGTGTGCCCTGACGACCCCGAAAATCATCATTTCGGCGTGAAGGTTGCACCGTCCGCCGGAGTGAATCTGAACGTCGAAGCCTCCCAAGCAGGCGATGAGAATGAGCCATTCTTGAGCAAAGCCATTGCTGTATGTCTATTCCCAGTCAAATTTGCGACACAGAAACGCAGAACCCTAACATTTCCGGCATCTTACAGTCTCTCACTATGCCTCTTCCTTCCATGTGTACTGGCTTTGGTGCACCTTCAAACGCAGCAGGCTCCTCGAGAAAGACGACGACCAAGGTCACGTCCACCCCTCTACCACGACCCTATACTACTTATTCGCCTACTACCGCCCCGCCCACTGTTGAGCCCACCACAATAACCACTGCCACCTCTACCTATTCCTATTCTTCGTCAAGCGCAATTTCATCTATCCCTGCATCGAGTCCATATCCGTATATCCACAGAAAGCGCCATATTGAGCGATCAAATGGATGAGGCCCTCTTCACTCTATTCCTTTAGTTGCGGCATAGTTACTGGAGTCTTTCTTATACTTCAAGGTGTGCTTCTAGGCATGACAGACCTTATTTTTCCAAGTGTATTACTACGAACTTTGATCCTTCGTCTGAAATTCACAGGCGATGGAGTATCCAGAATAATTTCAAATAAAAACACACAGATCTACTCGTAAGAGATTTTTTTCCCACCTAGGCATACCACCACGTAAATACGCCATGAACAAGATCGTGAGCGTATTTAGAATGGATAGGTTCTCCTCTCCGTATTTGCTGCGACAGAATACCCTTCTGTCTTAAACCTGACTTCTAGAGCTCGCTCTGGAAAGTGAGAAAAATGGCATTGGGACTAGTTTTTGTCTTACCCATCAATATCCAAAGACAACCAGTGACCATAGCACGACCATCATTCCGGACCAATTCTCGGCAGACTTGACTATTTCGGCCGCCAAGGCTAGTCGACGGGCACTTGCAGCAGTAGAGGGCGATCATGACGAAGGTGGAAGAACTAGCGGAACATGAAAAGCAAAAGAGGATGTGATTCACTCTACTGTAGAACGGCAATCGTAAAAGATGTACGATTTACAGCCATATCAAGGACCTCGGTGACTGCAATGAGACCAGAGATTCTGTAGACACGCGATAACCCGCCCACACTAGTAGATGCTAACGACTTTCGTTAAAACTCGATATCTTCTGTGCAGAAATGAGTCTCGAAGAGGGAAGGGAGGGATATCTCTACTTTGATCTCGAATTATTCCTTATCAATTAGTACTAAACGATCATGTTTATTACTATTACGACGTATTTAGTTTCGTGACATTTGCGCAGCGGCGAATTTGATGACCGCATGGTGGAGTAGGAAAGAAATTTCATCCACAATTCCACCAAAGGCTCCGCTGCCGACGATTCCAACGCCCCGTTGTGTTCCAAAATACCACCTTTATACATCCACCGGGGTTACTATGGTCCAATACAATCGTAGAGTGGAAAGAAGTGGACCAATCGAGGGCAGAGTGACTCTCCTCTAAGGCACTCTTTCGTGTCTTTGCATAGATTTGAACCAGTCAAACAATTCCTCGTCTCCCCACTTGATAAGCCGCTTATCAGTGGATGCTTCACACTTTTTGACTTTTGCCTTTCGCGAAAGAATTCATCTTTTCCTCTCCGAAATCACCCTTATATCCCCGAAGTGATGCGACCGGTCTTTTGAAAAGTTGACCGTTTATGAAGACCATGAATCTCCAGTGGAAGATTCCACAAACATGACTCTCGAGTCCACTGTATATCCTTCCATGATGACCCGTTCACTTCATCTACCCAACGACGTGCTGCTTTTAGTTGGTGAACATCTGGAAAGCCATACAGATCGCTGGAATCTTATTTTTGTCTCCCGTCACTTCCATGACCTCTTTGTCTCCCTTCTCTACCGGGTGGTTCGGCTAAACAATTGGCGCGATGCTTACTCGTTCCTTTGCGCCATCACCAAACGCCCGCCACTTACAAGAGCAGTACGCGAGCTTGACCTGAGTGGTTGGCAAAGGGACCTAATCCCCCAAGAAGATTGGCAATCGCTGCAAAGGTCCACCACATTAAAAGATTGTGTCGAAGTCTCCTCATATTCCCCTGACGAAACGGCACAATGGAACGAGCATCTTGCCACAGGTCGGGGTGATGCGTGGATTGCATTAATGCTGCCACTATTGACCCAGCTTCGGCAGCTTCATATCGTTTATTATACGCATCCCATCTGCTTGAACCACATCATGCAGCGGGCAATCAATGGCGAGAGACCGTTCCAATCGCAGCCCGGTTTTCAGCACTTGCGCAAAGTCTCTTTACATCATCAAGAGGACGTTGATCATTCCGCAGCGCAAGAGGATGCAGGAAATGACTATCATCAAACTTCATCAGCTCTCCTATTGTCATTCTTCCGGTTATCTTCCATGCGCTCACTGGTTGCCAACTCGGTGGTGGATCCGACCTCGGACGAGTCAGACTTTGATGTAGAGGAAACTGAGCAATCGCATTCGGGCCTTTCCTCGATCACCGAGATAGACCTGCGTCATAGCAGTGGTAACCATGGCATGGAAGCCTTGATATCCTCGTGTACAGATCTGAAGTCGTTCAAATATCAGCACTCGGATTCGCATCTTGCCTCTCACGGCTATCTACCGAGTGCTTTCTATCACTCTTTGACTCGCAGCAAACGGACCCTCCAGACATTGTGGCTGGACCACTACGGGGATCATTATCCTTTCACATCTGCCGGACTTAATCAGACCCACGATGAATGGTTTGGATCTTTAGCTGATTTTTCCGCCCTTCGAGAGATTCGCGTTCGCTTGCCCAATCTCCTCGACATTCGATATCAAAACGAACCAACGACTCCTCTCCTGAATTGCTTACCTGGATCACTCGAGACCCTTTACATCGAAGGATGTGAGGAGCGACATATGGGTATGCTAGTCTCACAACTCCGGACTGTTGTTAAGAACCGTCCCTCTCGATTCCCTCGCCTCCGATACTTGGATGTCGAGGGGGCATTCCAGAATGCCTCGGGCGATGAACTTGGTGACACGAGCGTCCCGGTGTCTAGCCGCACCGATCACACCATCAAGGCCAAGATTATGCAAGCTGCAGAGTTATTGCACGAGGATTGTGCTTCGGTTGGATTGGAACTGCATGTCCATGACCGCGCCTTTTCCAAAGATTTGCGTTATTGACGAGATACCCTTTGAAGCTCCTTTCCTCTTCTCGGAAAATCACTGCCTCCTTTTGTTTTAAACGTGATGATTTGACGTTCTTGCATATAGATTTACCCCTGTGATGTATATACTCCAGCAGGGTCTGGAAGCTTCTTTGCGCATACTTGAATTCATGGACATACATCGTCTATTGCGATGCTTAGGTATTCTATCTATGGACTCTTTCAATGAGCGACAATTATGGATAACGACCGAGGAACGCATTACGCATGGCTGGCCGCTGGTTAATACTTGCAAACGAGATCAATCTCGTTTTCTAGGGTCCCGTTCACAGAGATGCCAGGACAGCGTCGGCACCCGATTTCTACAAAGTCCATTAGCTTTTATCAGAGGGGGTGGGGAACGGGATGCTCCTACCTTGACGGCGCCCCTCTCGGTCTCGATTTGCGCATAGCTGACCTTGCCGTGGTCAATGACAATAGCATAGCGACTAGTGCGTCCGGATGCCTCATCAGCCCAGCCAATGCTCTTAGAGAACTGAGCATCGGGATCAGAGAGGAAAAGCTATTCCCCCCCCAAAATTGTTACTGATTGACCAAGGTACTCATATAAGGCGGGTAATACTCACGATCTCATCTCTGCGAACCTCGTTGGCTTTGCCCCAGGCGCTCATGACGAAGGGGTCGTTGAAAGCCACGACGGCAACGATATCCACACCCTTTGCGCGGAGCTGGGGCAGGTTCTTAATGTATCCGGGCATGTGGTTCACGGAGCAGGTGGGGGTGAAAGCACCTAGAGGTTTCAAATTCCTGATCGTCAGTCCTTGATCCATTGGCCAAAACAGATAGACGGGGGAGGGGGGAAACATTTGGAGACTCACCGGGAACGGAGAACAGGACAACCTTCTTGCCCGCCCATTCCTTCGAGGCATTGTAGTTAATAGGGATACCGCAGGCCTTAATATCACCGCTCTCTTCCGACCAGGGGATGTATCTGCAGACGGGGAGTTGTTAGCGGAGCTTCTGGAGGTACAGTACTGTGGGGGATAGCTCCAAGGGTCCGAGACACTGTGGAGGCACTCACTTGAAGACGACGTCACTGGGGAACGCGTCACCGGACTTGAGGGTAGCCATTTTGAGTATATGCTGAATTATGATCGAGAAAGATGGGAGAGATTGTGAATGAGAGTAAGAACGGAAAGAATAAGAAGGAGGAGTCAATTGAGCACGACAGCGAGACTGCGGGGCAACTGGAAATCACCTCGGGACGGGGGAAGCTGAGTCATCCGACAACTGGCCAGTCCGGGGACCGGAGTCCGCCGATATTCCGAGGTTTTCCCTTTCAACACAATCATCCATTCTCCAGTTCTCAACCTCAACCACAAAGGAAAGCGACCTTGGTCTGATCTCACAATGTCCATTCTCTATCTCGACGGGATATTCCACTCGTCGAAGCTGCAACCTCTACCCTCCGTTTCGGGGCCATCGATGCGTTATTTTTGGCCGTTGAGTGGACTGCATTGAGGATGATCAATCTTATTTTCTTCATACTCTTCTCATTGATTCTGGAAGTTCTGCCTCGATATCAATGCCTGGCATGCGACATGCTTCTATAAACTATATCAACTCGTTCCTCGAAACCCCGGCATCTTTTTTTAAAATGCCGGTCTGCGGGGGTGGGGTTTGGTGGCGCGGGTCTCCAGACTCTCCACGGATATTCGATCATCCATCCAACTTAATAATATCACGGAATTAGCAACCATCAAGCGATTACTCTGACTCTGACTCCTCATCATCCTTGATCCTTCAAGTCCTACACAATATCCTCTACCTGGCCTCCCGCAAGCATGAATGAGTTTGGCATCGCCACTTTGTCTCTCGGAAATTGGAGAGAGCACCGGCTCACTCCCCGACTCGAAGCAGCTGCCAAGGCCGGTTACCAATGGATTGACCTCTTCGACGAGTGCTGGGCTGCCTATCTGGAGGAACACGGACTTCCCGGCGATCAACTATGGGAGCCAACTCCTGAGAATCTCCGCGTTGCAGGCAAGCTGGGTGATCTTGTGAAATCGTTGGGAATGCGCATTGCTTGTACCCAGCCTCTGCGGAAGATCGAGGGTGTGAAAGACCCCGAGGAACGCCGAGCAACCCTCGACTTGGTTGCCAAGCGGTTCCCGTTTATGCGTGCCTTCGACACCGATCTCGTGTTCATGTGCGCCAATATTCGCACCGATGAAGGAGTAACATCTGACCTGAAGACCGTGGCTCGAGATCTCGCAGAGCTGGGCGACATGGCTGCTGCATATGCAAGGAAGGATGGAGGACGTATGCTCAAGATCGGCTATGAGGGTCTGTCCTGGGCGACAAGAAACACATGGTCAGCCTCGTGGGAAGCGGTGAGGTTCGCCAACCGTCCAAATGTTGGACTGATCGTCGATGCATTCAATGTCCTAGCTGTGGAGTTTGCAGACCCTTACAACCCAGCCGGACATGGGCGCATCTATCCGACTCTGGAGGAGTCCCTTGATGTCCTCGCCGGATCTATGGCATCTCTGGCGCGCACCGTTCCAGGAGACCGAATCTTCTTTTTCCAGTGCGGCGACGCGGAGCTAGTGAATCCAGCAACATTCCATCCACCGACCGACCCAGACACCCCAGCTCTTCTCCCCTGGTCGAGAAACCATCGTCTGTACCCTTTAGAGCAATCACTAGGGGGGTATATGCCCGTGGAGCTCGTAGCCGCTGCTGTGCTTGCGACGGGGTATAAAGGACCAATGTCCCTCGAGGTCTTCAACACCTCTCTGAACCAACCTGGAAATGATGTACCAATAGTCCATGCCTCTCGGGGCATCGTCAGTCTCCAAAGAATGATGGAGGTTGCAAGATCGTTACCTCGTTTCTGGGAGAGTCAAGCCGATGAACACCAAGCGATATCCACAGTCGCCCGACGCTTGCGAACATCGAGTCAGAGGCTATAGGTTTATCGTTCAAAGTATGTTAAATAATGAAATATTGCCGTGATTCTTATTGGACAGATAGAAAATCCCTTCCGAAGTTCTTTCAAGGCGTAGACCAAATTTCTCACTATAAATCGGCAACTTCCTCTGTATCAGAGATTGATGTCCGGCCAGTAGATCTCAGTCTCAGGTGATAAATTTCGACATTCTGTTTTAAGACCCATCTTCTGTTCTCTGTCCCGGTAAACTGGGTATTCGGCGCGTCCACATGTGTGCGTGAACTGAGGTGGTGCGGAATAAACCAGAAAATAATACTCCGCCGAATGGGCGGATTTCGGGAATTCAGGAAGACACGGAACTCACGAGCTCTTGACGACGGCTGTTGATTTATCCATTTCTGCTGAAGACTAGTCGGTGCGGAGAAGTTGAGCCCCCCTAATAGATCATTCCTGATTGATCAATATGTGGGGACGATTCCCTCCGGCCACTTAATTTGACTGCCGGTACCGAGGCCAGACATCAAGTGCATTGTGAGCAACATCGACTTTGTATAAGTAATAGGGACCCTATCTTTTCCAAATATGGATCAAGGATTCAACCAAAGAAGATTCCCAAATAATGGAGGTTCTTGATGTCGATACTCTCGTCTGCGGCGGTGGCATGTCTGGCATGGCGTGTGCTGCATTTGCCGCAGAGGCTGGAGCCCGAACACTGGTGGTAGAGAAGCAAGGGGAAATTGGCGGATCTTCAAGTCTCTCCGCAGGCATGTTGTAAGTTCCATCGTCCGATACTTGACTGTTACAGGTTGTTGACAAGTTGAACACGCAGCTGGGCACCACACACATATGACAAGCTGAGGTCCTGGGTTCCAGATGGTGATCCCGCATTGCAGCGCGCATGGTTGGACGAATATCTTCCAGCAGTTCAGTGGATGCGCGATAATGGCATACCCACTGCGAAACGATTCGATGGCATCATGACAATTGGTATGTTGACTATCGGCTGTGGATAGTCGTGTCACGCATGCTGATATTGACCTAGGAATTGGATTTCCAATCAAAATCCCCGACCTCCACAGGTCTCACCAACAACGTATCACTGCAAGCAATAATGGCTCTCGAATCCTCACCAATACATCAGTAGTCAAACTCACTCACGAAGACCCCGGGGTACCTGGATCTCGCGTTAATGGTGCCATCATATGCGAACAAAAGTCCGGGTGTCCCGCCGTTTATTATCAGGTCAAGGCCAAGCTGGTTGTTCTGGCTACTGGCGGTTTCCAGGGATCCCCCAGCATGACAGCCAAGTATCTCGGCCAAGGAGGTGATAATATTTTCGTGCGTTCTAATCGGGGCTCTGTGGGCGATGGTCTCAGCTTAGCTATCGCAGCTGGAGCTGGAACAAGCACAGGTTTGAACACTTTCTATGGCCACTTGTTGGCGGCACCCGTCCGAGCCGAGGATGTAAGTCCACAGGACTATCTCCCTTTGGCTCAGTATCGTTAGTACTCCTACACCCCTTGGTCAATAATTGCCCTATTACTAACTGCAGCCCAGAGAGCAAATACTGTATGCTTCTCAATCAATCTGGACGCCGGTTTACCGATGAGACTATGGGCGATGAAATCGTGAACCAATACTTGGCCAAGCAGGAAAAGCGCCGTGGCTTCCTACTCTTCGAGTTAGTACCTTTGATATCAGATATTCGTGTTATAACTAAACTGGTCTTTAGTGAGAAAACTCGCCTCCAGCACTGCATGGGCGCACTCTTCCCTAACGCAGGGGATGTTGACCGATTGCAGAAAGCTCGCGAATACGGCTGCCATGTTGCAAAGGCATCCACCCTTGATGAGCTCCTGGAGGTTCTCCATGCCTGGGGAGTGGACCACATTCAAGCAGGCAACACGATTGAGCGATACGATCAATTTGTCCGTCAAGGTCAGAGGAATGTTGATCTTGATGCCCCGGCTGGTGGTGTAGGAGCTCCTCCGAGACCATTGGTCGATGGAGAAGGTCCGTTCTACGCCATGGAGGTTCAACCGTCGTAAGTGTCTAATATCCATGTACCTGCTAGGCACCTAATGAGTCTAACGTTCAATTCTTAGCATCACCTTCACCTACGGAGGAATTTCAGTTGATACCCAAGGGCGTGCTTTAACACGCGACAAGAACATAATTCCGGGATTGCTCGTGGCGGGAGTTGACGGAGGAGGTTTTAGCAACCTGGGCTATGCTGGAGGTCTTGCACTTGCCTTTGTGACCGGGTTATGGGCTGCCCGATCCGTTGCACGAGAACTGGGGTTGGCAGAGCCCTCTCTACCATCTGCCGATGCAAGAGACGCAGCGCCTCTTCAGTCTCGTCTATAGATACTTATTATACCTTTCTCGCGATGGGAGCTCAGTGCATTAGGCACTCAATTTCCATTTTGAAATAACGTATAATAAAGGGAATGAACGGTAGCTAGCAATTGACAGTGAGTAGATTCTTGCATGGTCCAGCATAATGAAATCTCTACCTCGTCGCACGGGATCCTCGAGCGGCAACTATTCAAGCCCGACACCCCGAAGTATTCCTCCGAAACTTATGTCCTATGTTTAAATATAAAAGAAACGCTCGCTTTTACTGTGAAATATTCACATCCCAATTCGAGAGTGACAAGAGTTCAAAGAAGTTTTTAAAGATTTCCCTAGATTGCAACAGTTATACTTTACAGCGTGCTAATTATACCTTAGGTCCAACTTCCTTTTGTCCTGCCCTCAATTCTCTGCCACAAGGACGCCACGGTACCGCATCTTGCCTTCCTCCAGAGTCTTGAGGCTCTTCTTGACTCCTTCAAGTGTCATTGGGAATGTCATGTTGATGGGTTTGATATTATGCACAGCGGCAAAATCAAGCATGTCGCGGTGAACCTGTCTTGCTGAAACGATTCCTCCTTGTATACGGAGGCCGTTCAGCAGCACAGGCATGTATGGGATCTTCAAGTCGTTCGAGTCGACAGAGAGGGGTGAAATTACGCCGTTCGGAGCCATCACACTCAAATACATCCCCCAGTCTGGTTGGCTGCTGGTAGTCACGATCAGGTTATCGATTGGTTGATCCAACTTCAACCCCTTCACCCCCTTGGTTGCATAGAACTCCTTTGCACCCAACTTCAATGCCTCTTCTTTCTTGCTGTCGGTGCCCGAGAACACAACCACTTGGCAACCCATCTTTGCCGCAAATTGGATAGCCAGATGACCCAGACCTCCTACGCCAACAATACCAACTCGAGCCGTGGGACGGACTTGGGCGACGACGAGTGCATTAAAAACAGTCGATCCACCACACATCAGAGGGCCAGCATCCTCGTTACTCATGTTGTCCGGAATTTTAAACAAAAATGCTTCACGCCATACGGCGTGGGTGCCGAATGAGCCTTGGTCAAGATCTGCGAAAGCATACATCTTGCGCTCTCGACATAGAGTCTCCCATCCGGTAAGGCATTGACGACAGTGACCGCAGCAATCATGCTCATATCCCCAACCCACACGATCGCCTTTCTTCAGAATATGGGCATCAGGTCCAGTTTCTTCCACGACACCGGTCCCTTCATGGCCTAGTGCCATATCGTTGTTTCGGTAGTGAACATCAGTGAAACAGACGCCCGAGTGCGTGATCCGAATGAGTACATCATCGCGCTTCAGGTCGGGTCGTTTGGTTTTCCCTTGCACAACGGTTCCATCTTTCGACCCTTTGAATACAGTGAACTCGATCGGCATTGTTGAAGAATTCGAGCAATAGATCTTTTCGGCAGAATCTGACTGCAACATGGTTTTGGCGAGCTACTGGTCTGCTTTTAAGATCTTGGAAGTCGTTGAACGCTACGTCACCATCCATTTCAATTGCTACATACGGTAGCAGTCCTAGTCTTGACCTAGAGTCAGCTTACTGAAAATAGAGTTTTGAGCTGTGAGTGAAAGGATATGTGATGCAATTGATGCAAATTGGTGGGCGTGGACGGATCCTGTACGGATCCGTTCGGGCCGCTGATATCATCGCAGTTGGATCTTGCTTTCGACCAGGTATCCATTTATGGTTATCCAAGAAAACTCATAGGTAACAAGTAAAGACGGAGATAACGAAGTTCGTATTCAAATGGGGATGGATTATGGACATTAGAGCTTGTTCCACGAACTTACTTTAGACCTGTCGCTATTCGTACTCGACTCTATATATCCATTGCCGCATCAGGCACAGTTTGAGTGCCGGTACTCAATAGTTTTCCTGCAGACCACAAAGGCAGACAACGTATATGCTGACTCCCTTAAATGACGTTAGACAAGTGTATTTTAAAAAATCATCATGGTTCCCAATAATTCCTTGAGAGGAGGATGTGAGTAAAAATCCTTATTGACTGAGCAGTGATGTTCTCGTAGAGACAAAACCTGCAATATCCGAAACAAATCCTGGTTTGGGACCGCCCATCCCTCGCACACCCTCTTGAACAATGATGTCTTATTGAGAAAAACCGATCGATCCAGCCTGTGAAGACTTTGGTCTGCCCTCTTTAAATGAAGCCGATGCTTTCCGAAAATAGCCTTTTGACCTCTCCACCGCCCGCAAAGCGGCGGACAGTAGTCCGATTCTGCCTGATTCTATCAGGCGGTGAATCTCGCGATATCGGCCGTCCCAATCAGGAAAGTCTCGAAAAGTTAGTTTTGTGTTTTTTTTTTGTTGTTTTCGAGTCGTCAACTTTTTAAGACTTAACTTAAGTCTTTGCGTGAAAAAATATTGAAAGCGTAACCCGGAATATTCGGAGTGAGGGAATGATTCAACTACCCGGTGTTGGCCCTGCCAACGACCCCGCGCATCTCTCCGACAAGGATGAAGCGTTAGCTGTAGTGAGCGATGTGGCTCAGGAGATCGACCCCGTGGTCGGAAAACGAGTGTTGAGGAAGATCGACCGGTACTTCATGCCAGCGATGCTGATTGGTAAGTTGAAAACCTCCCTCGTTGAATGCATCACGATCTCTAATCAATTCTCGGCACAGGTTACGGCTTGGTCTACTATGACAAGGTTAGCTAAGCTCGACAAACATCATATCTGCGACACACAAGTTGACAATTCAAACAGGCGATTCTGGGCAGTGCAGCACTGTTTGGGATGACTACTGACCTTCAATTGAAAGTTGTTGACAATTCAACCTCTCCAGCTACAGTTGATACGTCACGTCTTAGTTGGGCTACATCAATTTTCTATTTTGGAATGTTGGCGGGGCTTTATCCAATGACATTTGTGTCGCAAAGATTTAATACTCGGCACGTCCTGGGTCCTGTCGTTCTCCTATGGGCAATTGTTTGCGCGGCCACTGCTGGTGTCACGTCCTGGCAAGGACTCTTCGTACAGCGGTTCTTCCTTGGTACATATACATCTTCTACTTTGCGCTACATCTCTCTAACATTGAGTAGGCTTCATCGAGAGTGTGATCCCAACTAGTTTCATGACCATCGTTAGTGGTTACTATACGCAGGAGGAGCAGGCTCTTCGGCAAGCTTGGTGGTTCTCAGGTACTGGCTGGTTCACTATCATTGGCGGTGCCTTGAACTATGGCTTTGGCCAGATTACCTCTGGGTCCTTAGCCAGGTGGCAGTATATATATATTCTTGCCGGGGCCTTGACATTCCTTTTTGGCCTTTGGTGCTGCACCATTCCCAACTCGCCCGTGTCGGCCTGGTTCTTGACTCCAGAGGAGCGGATGGTAGCCGTGGAGCGATTGCGAAAGGGCCAGACCGGTGTCCGATGCCAGAAGATCAAGTTTGATCAGATCAAAGAGTCATTGGCCGATGTCAAAATCTACCTAGTGGCTATTATGATGGCTGCAGCGTGAGTTTCCCTCGAAGCAGTCTGCAGTGTACCTGAATATACTTGCAACCTCCACATTCCATGCTAATAACATCACTAGGTACACGATCAACGGCGCTATTTCTGGATTTGGGCCCTTGATTGTTTCTACATTTGGATACAACACTCTGGAATCTATCTTGTTCCAATTCCCCGTGGGAGGTGTTTGCGTTATCTTTATCCCGCTGTGTGGATACATCTCTACCGTTGTTCCCAATACCCGCATCCCTATGCTCATTGCATGCTGTCTCCCTGTCATTGCCGGATGTGTGATGATTTGGAAATCTCACTGGGGATATCAGCCTGCCGTTCCGGTCATTGGCTATGCGCTGACTGGTTTCTTCGGACCGGTGGTCAGTTTGATCATCACACTTGGCGCCACTAATGTCGCGGGTGCTACTAAGAAAACAATCATGGCTGCCACAGTCTTCGTTGCCTATACAGTCGGAAACATTATTGGACCACAGCTTGTCAAGAGCAATACAAAGGCCCAGCATTACCCGGAATTATGGACCGGAATGGTGATATGGTCAGTGTTGCTGTTCATCATGAAATCAACCTTACAACTAACCGGACTATAGTTATTCTATCACTATCACTGCCGCCGTCGCCTTATATGTTGTCCTGTGGAGAGAAAACAAGGCTCGGGAGGCAATCGAACTTGACGAGGTGCAACGCGACAAGATTGCCTTCGACGATCTCACTGACAAGCAGAATCCATTCTTCCGGTATGCTCTGTAAATTCGTTCGAGAAAACAGTCCGTCCGAGCAACGATCTAGTCTGCACCCAAGCCCCATTCAACCTGGGACGACAGACTTTGTTTCAAAATTGATTGAATGCGTGAATCTACGTATCAAACCAATAATTGAACTCTTTAAGAGTTAATATTAGTTCATAATTTCCGGCCTCTCTTTTGTAGAGGCATCTGCTGTCAGCGGAACCACTTACAAACGAGTCATCCATGCATGACCTTTATTACACTGGACCATCCCGTAGGTAGCGCATTTGTATTCCCAAATCAATCATTCCCCGAGTCACTCATCTCCCGTAATATCTTTTTCCGGGCCCCGTGGCGGGCATTCGTCACGGTGAGCTAGGTCATCCATCTCGGAATCTTCAAGATTCCGGATTCCTTTACCCCGCAAGATTTCGCTCTTATATCAACCAAATCACCCCGGTGGTTCAATAAAATCCAACCTTTTTTGCAATGTCAGAGGTACAGAAGGCTGAAGTCAGCATTTGCTCAGATGACTTGGTCACCAGTCGTAACTCCAGGTTTGAGGTAACGTGGGGTGCTGCTGATAAGGGAAATCCAAGAACCTGGCCAGTCTGGTACAGATGCTTTGTTGTTGCTGCCACGTCCTTCTCGACCACAACGGTGTAAGTTTCTTTTTTTTTCTTGTGGAATAAGCAAGATCGCACCAATAACATCCAGCGATGTTGGTTTTCAGGATCATGTATACCACAATGTATACCTCGGGTCTTGAAGGGATGCAGGACGCATTCAAATCCTCAGAAACCGTGGTACTACTGGGTCTTACTACAAATCTTTTCGGTCTCGGCATCGGATCAGCCGTTCTTTCGTCACTGTCTGAGATCTACGGCCGAAGGCCTATTTACATCCTCTCCGTGTTACTCTTTGGCATTTTTGTTCTACCTGTGGCGCTCGCAAAAAATATCGAATCAATCTTAATTAGCAGATTTCTCAGTGGTTTCTTTGGGGGAGTTTCGATCTCGAGTGGACCAGGAAGCGTTGCTGATGTGACTGATGATCAATACCGTGCTCTGGCTTTGAGCTGCTGGAGCCTTGGGACAATGAATGGCCCTGTCTTAGGTATGCTCTGAACTCCGGATTCGTCTAATCCCGACTTACCTTCTCACGATTTATTTGACACGTAGGTCCCATAATTGGGGGTTTCATCTTTCAGTATCTTGGATGGCGTTGGATCAATTGGATCGTCTTGATTTGTACCGGGGTCTCTCTCATCTTGATGTTTCTAGTCAAAGAGACATATGCACCTGCCCTCCTTCGCCAACGAACCAAGAAATTGCAGAGAGACACAGGCGATATGCGCTGGTGGTGTCGATTCGACCATGAGCACACGGGGCTTCAAATTCTGAAAACCAACTTGATCCGTCCCGTTCGGATGATTTTCTTCGAGCCGATTTGGTAATTGAATCTAGTTTTGCCCGGCACATGCATTATGAGTGATATACTAACCCGTCGGTAGTGTCTTCTGGAACTTATATATTGGAATAGTTTATGCTGTCCTTTTTCTATGTTTCGTTGCCTATCCCATAGTCTTCCAAGAGCATCGGAGCTGGTCTCCAAGTCTTGCAGGGCTAGGTTACTGTGGTATCGGCATCGGAACTGCCATTGCCGTCGTTTCAGAGCCTCTGATCCGAAAGGTTATCAATTTACACCGTTCAGACCCAAGCACGGGTCGACCAGCCCCTGAGGCTGCCGTGTGGGCAGTTTGTTTAGGAAGTGTCTTAATCCCAATAGGAGAGTTCTGGTTTGCGTGGACAGCTAAATCATCAGTCCATTGGATACTCCCGATCCTAGCGGGTCTCCCATTTGGATTGGGCAACGGTCTGGTTTTCATCTACGCAACAAACTACATTGCTGGAAGCTACACAGTTTACGCGGCCTCGGCCATGGCAGGAAATTCAGTTGTCCGATATGGCCTTGGCGGCGTTCTCCCGCTTGCTGGTTCCAAGATGTACCACACACTGGGCCCTAACTGGGCCGGGACTATGTTGGCCATCATTGAGGTTGTATTGATCCCCATCCCATTCTTCTTCTACAAATTTGGCCACAAAATTCGGCTTCGTAGCCCTATGATTGTGAGTGAAATAGGAAACGGGGCATCTGGCAAATGATTCAAGGTGACGAAACATGGCTATAGTCTACCTAGTCCTTTGGGGCCTCGCAATATTGGGGCTCGCAAATCTCTTACCGGTTCCATCCAGTATATATGGCTTCAAATTCCATAGAGGTTACAGCTATCTCGGATCTGAATTAGAAATAGAATAATTTCCATTTTTCTCCTCTTTCTTGAAGAATGTTTTTCATCAAAAACAACCCTTCTGCCCTGGTAGATTGATCAATCCCACACAGGGAGAATCTGTGTATCGATGCCATTAGAAAACAAAGACTGTAGCCATTCCATTCCACCGTTGATCATTTCTCCGGGTAATGGAGCATCTAGCCCCCCTTCAGGCGGCACAAACTCGTACATTTGTGACGAAATAGCTCCATAATCATCACGACTGCTTTGAGTATCCGCTTCGCCCCTCATTCTAACATAGGATTCTGTTTCATTACGCATGTCTGCTGTGGGATATGGGAAGTCCTGTGGTCCTCGAGAGCTGGCATCCTCCAAGGTTGGAGGACGGTCACCACCAAAGTTCAACATCGATGAGACAGCGCCGGCTCCTTCTCGTGTTGGGTCAATCCTTTGGTAATTCTGCGTTTCCTTGACTCCTGAAATCGACCCGGTGCCCGGCTCTGACCGAACATAGGGGTTGGCAATGATGTTGATGTGACTCTGAGGTTCCAGTGGAGGTGCTGGAGAAGACATTGTCGGTTGATTGATTAAATTTACCATCTTGGAGTGTTTAGATGGACGTCTTTCGTTCTTTGAATTTGGCTGGGCCAAAGCTTTGCTCGCAGACACGCCGCTTGCACCATCTGCAAAGTGAGACCTGCGGTCTAGCGGTAGATCATTGGAACTTAAGATTGCATCTGCAATTTGATTCAGTTTCCATACTGTTTGCACCATTTTACCCGACATCCATGTCTTGCGACAATGTTCTTTGAGGGATTGGGTGGCCCTGAGCGTTAGAGCTCCATAGGAGCTTCTAAATGAAGGTTGTTTGATGATAAGTCCAAGTGCAATTATCGTAGCACTGGTCAGGTAATGCAAAAATGGAAACGTGTACTTAGGGTGATCTTCTGGTACGTTTCTAAAGTCATCGATGATTCTCTGAGCCAGGTGCATACAGATGACTTCGTTCTTGATTGCCTCGGGTGGTAAATTGTGGTTACTTCGCGTTTTTCGAAGCATGGGCTTGCGAATCAAAAGATAGAGTGAGCACCATCGCTGCCATGACTTATTAGCTTCGGTACAGTCATAACTGAGGGAATGTAGGGAAAGGCATAAGAGCGGAATCGGGGCGGGATGAAGGACTTACTATGCGCATCATGAGATGTTGCTTCACTTGCCACCAGGCCAAACCTTCACTGTCATATTTATCTTCATGATATGGGTCGTGAGTAAACTCCTTTTGAAGACCCCGCTGCGACTGGGTTGTTAGATGCTCAAGATACTCGTTGAGCAAAGGGCTTGGGGTTGACTCAGATGTGTTAGCCCCGTATAGAGCCTCCCACACCTTTCCAATGACTTTGGAATAGCTAGCCATAGCAATGAGGTACGGGACCGAAGTGGGAATTTGTTCCTTGGTTGACGTATTGGCGTTCATCGCAAGCTGGGTTGTCTTGTTGGTAGTGAGCCATTCGTCACTAACATTGCCGGGGAGTCCCACGTCAACATTTATGTCCTGGATGAGGAATGGACGGCCGGTTTCGATGGCCAATCTTCGATCCAACAGGTAGATGCACCACCACAAGCGGCGAGCCATTTCGCCCTGAAATGCAGACATTGCACTGACAACCCGCTCCCTATGAAGGCCAATATGATGCGCGTGCGATATAGCAAGGGCCAGTATTTTCTCAGCCGATCCGTGCGCATCGAGACGAAATAGGTAAACTACCATCAAAACAACTGTCTGTAGGACAAGGACTTGGTCCGCAGACTGTCGAAATCCGTCAATGAGGTCACCAAATATATCCCTGGCAGCGCTGTAAAGGCTCCAGCCAGCGGAATAAGGGCCTCCGTCGTCTTCCAATCGCGATGATTCAACACATCTTCCGTTTGCGATACCAAGTAGAACCTGGGCAGCTTGCACTCGGTAGCTGCCGTTCTCTGGTTGGTCTTGGAACCCTTCATTCCAGCCACGCTTCCAGAACTCATCATGAAGATGCCACAAACTATGAAGATGGAGGAACGGCACAAGAATATGCACCTCGTCACAAAAAGTGCGCAAAAGACCATCCCATTGGCGACGGTCTGGTACGATGCGATGCATATCCAGAACCCTTTGAATGAAGCTCGTATTTCGCTCTGATAGATATTCTGGTCGTTCATTCGGTGAAGGCGTAAGTTGTGATGTGAATTGTTGGCTTGGCGATGCGGAGCGAAGTCTTTTATATTGCACGCCCATCTGTTCCAGTCGTCCCTCGACAACCGTGAGGCTATGGGCAATGGATGTCTCTCCAGAGAAGGTCGGGACTTGCGGCCGTGGACTTCGAACTCGAGCGCTTGATTCCTGCACCGGGGTTATCTCTTGTCTGAGGGAGGACTCGCCATTACCAAGCGCCTCAGGAGTCCTCTCAGATTCAGCACATCCATCATTTTCGAGGCCGTTCACTAAGCCCAGCTGGCGCTCTACTCTACTCATTCGAGATGCCAAATCTTGGGATCCGGTAGATGCACGCTCTTTGGCTCGCCATCTTCCGCGCATATCTGTACCCACGCGTTGACAGTCTCGTCCCTTGACTGTACAGGCTCGACAGGGAGCATTTCCATCGCACTATCCAGAGAGAGAGCGCGACAAAGATCAGCAGAGAGTTCAAATTGACAACCTTTTGCCTACCCGCTCTTACATACTTTTATTTTACGTCGCTGGCACTGGGCACTACCACAGTCGTATTCTCAGTTATCTCGAAGATATCACGTAGTTTAGAACGGGAAGATGCTTACCATGCCTTCGAAACGTATTTTCCTCTTTTCGCTCGCTTGGGCGAGGGCTGAAGGTCATTGTGGGAGCGGCCTTCGCTTTCACTTTGAGATGGGTGTCTCCGATTACTCTCGGATTCCCGCGAAGCCTCTTGGAAGATTGCACCTCTCATCTTGAGCTATGATAAAAGAAAGTAAGTAAATTCCGACGAGATTGCTGACGGAATTAGTGTGGGGAAGAGGGAAAGCCTACGGGTGGGTCTTTCGGAACGAACGGGATCTTTGACTTTTGGGGGCCTCAAAGAGGAATATTACATTACAATAGGTTGTAGTAAGCGAACATTTACCGAGGAAGTATGTATTCATTTTAGACATCGATGATAGGTAGCTTCGAATCTATCGCGTTGCTAGACACTCTGGATCTGTAAGATCCTCTACCGGCTGAATTCAAATGCCCACGCCGTGCTAGCATCAGTTTGGAAAATAGGGAAAGTCAACACGTCACCGGAGTAAGTATGCGAGACAATGCCGCGGTCACTCGGGGAATCCACTTCTTCATACACAGAAGTGCCCGCAAATCCCCAGGTCTGAATATCAACCGTGCCTTCAGATGGGAGTCCGACGGCACTCATCCCCGTCACGGTGATCTGCCAATTTCCTGCTGTGATGCGTGTTCCTGAAAGAATGCGAACTTTGTCCGAGTCGACCGTAGCATAGACGTCGAACAGGCGATCTCCAGTGCCGGAAGTTTCGACACGGTGTCCTGTCATGTTCCCCTTGTAGTATTTATAGACCTGGAACTCTGGAGCCGGGGCGTAGTCGGTCGCATTATAATCAGTTGGGTCCGACTTTTTGGTAAGGAGATTAGCCATGAGGTCGTGCAATGTCCATCCACCAAGCCAATTCCCACGCAGTCCAAATGCATTGTATCTTTCCAATCGCGAGATCCACCACGCGGCTCCAGCGGGGACTTGCTCGCCATAATTTGCATACTCGTTAATGTTGATCTGGCGATCAGGAAGACCGTAATTTTGCAAAAGCGTCGCAAGTGTGCCGTTCGTGTTTTGAAGATCATTGTCCCAATCGCTCGTTTCGCCTTCCAGATGATAGGAATATTGCTCAGGGATAGTCTTGTTGCCTGCAATCTGAGCCAGCCAGTTGCTCCACCAAGTATTCCCAGACACTGGGCGATAGGCCAACGATGGGCCCGAAATCTGAACTGAGTGGAAGCTTGGATCCTCTCTGTACGACATGATCGTCCATATTAGAACTTGGTCAAATAGAAGAATTCAAAGTTGCCACATACCGAAGGAGCTTGTGTGTACGAATGTACAAGTCAATCCACTGCTGCTGATCGCGTTCCCAGAAGATGCTAATGTCTGGTTCATTCCAAATATCCCAAACCAGACCCTTCAGTGCATTGTTTGCTTTGAGATCCTTCATCAAGGTCTTGATGAACAAGTCATAATCTGACCAGTCGCCTCCATCACCGGGCCAAACTGTCGAAGAATTGGCGTGATCGGTTCCCCATACATCGTGTGGTAGCAGAATAAAGTCAGCACCGTACTTGCGACAAGTTCGGTAGTTTGACAAGGTTGATTCAAGGCGGCCTTTGTATTCTGACAATCCCCAGATCCAACCTCGTGCGGGCGCCTCAAGCTGTGCACCTCCAGCACGGCCATAACGGAAACCTATATCGGTGTACCAATGATCGGGGATTTGATTTGGGGTGTCGGGGATGCCATAGATAAAACCAGAAGCCCAGTGAACGGGCTTGCCCTTTGAAACGCTGAGGTTGACGGTGGCCGTGATATTGTCTGCGGTCACCAAGCCGGCCGCGAGAAGAGATGCGAAGATACTCCACAACATGATGTCGAAAGCTCTGTTGATGTTTCTAGGCTGTTGTTTTTTCCTCTGCGTGGAGTGCAGCTTGAACTCCCTTTTATCCCAGTCCTGAGCCTACCACATCCCACATCTTCTCCGCAATTCCCATATATCGTGCATGCGGTAGGCAGTCCATTTCTTCCGTGGGTGAGGAAAATTGTGGGGGATAATGCGGAGCTCCGGGGATTTTGCAGCTTATTTGTTTAAGAAACGGGTGTTGAGAACCCTGAAGATGTGGCGTTTCCCCTCGCGCACTACATGCAGAACGTTAATTTAGTCATAACAGTCTGTCCTCCGGTGGGGGCCACCAATTTTCCAAGGGTCCTATTCCTGTTCCAGCATTATTCCGGCGGATCGAGAATAGCCAACGCGGCTATAGCAGATGCTTGCCGAAGTTGATCATTTCTCTGGGCATTTAAAATTTCCCTCATCGCTGTCTTCTACGAGCAGCGCGGCTTCTTGATGAACGCTCAAAGGCTCTGTTCATCCTGTGGAATCGTGGGTCTTATCGTGCAACGGAAAGCTCAAGGGCAGAATTTATGTAGAGCCTGCTTGCATTGCTGCTGAGTAGTCGAAGAGTCCTCGGGGGCACTACATAGACTGAAGGAGTCATCGCTCGCCTCGATTAACACAAGAAGTAGAGCTAGCCATAGCATACCCGTATTCATTATTTATCTATATGCGAGAGCCTTTCTCGGCACTGTGGACAATAGTTTCATGGATCACTTTGATCCCACCACCATGACTGGTGTGGCTGGTGGCGTCCCAGTCCCCGTCACCCGCGGTGCATGTAGGTGGTTGCTGGCGTGAAGTCGGCAGAATCATCTGTTCATCACTTATGGTATTCCATTGAGTGTCGCCTGGAATAGAAAGTGGGTGACGGAACTTCTTGCGCCTCGCGTACCCACTCGCATCGCCATCTGATAGTTGGTAGGCTGGGTAACTTTCAGAACCAGCCCCTCTTGTTGTGATATACAGGCCGGCACGGCGAGCAATGCGGCGGAAAAGTGGATAGATCATCGGCACGTTTCCAATGACCACCGCGACGAAGGTTTCGCGACAAGCCCAGCTACCGGCTTGCTGGGCACCATTGGCACCAGCCTGGAAATCATGGTGTCAGATAAGGCACAACAATCATAGGAGAGTGTGATCTTACCGTCAGAATCAAGACGCAGCGTAGAATACCAGCCATCATGACGAAGAGACCGCCGCTGAAGAGAACAAGAAGCTCCAGTTTCTCCCGCCAGTGGAGACGAGCCTTGAAAAGCATCTAACCAACGATCCATGAGCTTTGAATTACGGTAAATAATTGACGAATCGATTTGCATACCGGAGCAGGGATACTAATAAGGTAGATATCGGTCGCAACGTTCAGCACAACTGTGACGTAGATGTCGATCTTAGAGACGGCAGGTTGACAGTAATCTGACCGAAGTTTTCTCGATTAGAGACGCATTATCCCGTCTTGCATGAAGTTTCTGCTTCCCACTTACTTCCGGGGTTTGGATATATCTGCCAGTTTTTGTGCATTGGGTGACAACCGAAGAGAATGGAGCAAATAGTAGCAATGTAAGTGGCGGCAATCAAACCGTATGCGATATTGATTCGGACTCGCATGTTTATCAAGCCCGCTCTAAGCCATTGTTAGCAATTAAATTGAACGAAGAAAAGTATCAAATCCTGCCTGCTCAACTACGGAACGTAGTCTGATCATCTGGGGGTCTCACGTCAAACGAGAGTAAAATATGGCCATGCAAGTTTTCAAAAGCCATAGAAGGAGAGTATACAAAGACCAGCCAGTCACCTGGACCTTAGAGCCTCCGACGCGTAGACGATATTCCTCGGAGTCTGGCGACAGTTGTTTACGTTGTTCATCTGTCATGGAATTGTTGGCAAGGCCTTTGAACCATGCGCCCACCATGTATGCAGCGCCAGTTTCTAACCCGTACACCACCTATATCAATCAGCACGACAGTCAAATAGTGAACAGTACTCAGAATGCCACATACACAAGCCAATAGCATCAGATAATCATCTGCTTGGAAATTCCTCGGTCCTACCATGATCCATCGAGCCACAGTACGCAGACCAATGATCACAATGGCCACAGCCAAGAGTGTGAAAGCCTCTGTGACAAAGTCACCCATGATGGATTCGGTTTTTGCAGATTATATTTTGCTTGCTGGATGCCCGGACAGAAAAGGAGAATGACGGCCTCCGGGGGTATTCATCCAGATAAAAGAAAGACAACGACACCAAACCATCCAAGGAGGGAACGAGGGCAGGGTGTGTGAATCAAGAGCAGGGTGGGAGACACGACGGACAAATAGTAGGAGACAATCTCAGCGAGGTGTGGTCTCCCCCGGGGGCCCTCTGCTTGTCATTGGAACCAGGCCAGACAAAGAAGCCCGCCCGCAAAACGGTCGACTTATAAACTCCAGAAGCCAAAAAAATGGGAAAAATAAAAATCGCCCAAAAATACCAAGAGTGGATGAGTCCACCTTCTCCAAGGCGCCAGTGGCGGGAGAGGGAGCCAAAAAGCTGGGAAAACTACGGAGTACACAGAATGCAAAAAGTCCCCTCCCGATGGAGCAACTCTGACGTGAACTCGACTTCTGAGAGGCCGATAGACCAAAAAGACAACGATGGATACCCGGCTAGCGGCAACGGTTCCGTTCATGACATTCGTCCTACCACTGACGGCTGTGACTTTTGACACATGTATTCTCCACCTTTCAAACGCGGGCCGGGGAGGATTCTCAAGTTCCAGACCACAATCTGTACTCCGTCCTACTTTTGCTTCTGGCTGGAGGGTTGTTGGGTTTTTAGGAAAAGCAAAAGGGCCGCCAAAAGCTCCACTACTCCCCTAAGTTCGACTATGGAGTTTCCTCATGCAGGAAAGACGATCGGCAGTGCAGTGGCTAACCCCATGCAAGTAGAGTCTAGTTGATTAGAACTATACACAGGCACTACTCTCCATCTCCGTGCTCTCAACCGAGTATTCCGCTCTCTACTCTTAGCTCGGTGCGAGTCGAGTCAGAAGGAGAAGTGCCTTTTCTCAAAGAAGTGACCCTGTCCAACACTCCAACCAGTTCCCCTCTACATGATTCGGTTACACCGACCGGGAATGACTCGGTGGGATCACTGACTCGGAGGGTCATTTTCTTTGTTCTGGCACCAGGACCAGCGCACAAATCAGCGAACGCAATGACGCAGTCACAAGCCTGGTTGCAGTGAAGGGAGCTGTCTATAGCCGGGCCAGTCATAATATGATATCAATTTGCCTTGATGGCCACCAACAATAGTTACTCTCGAGTTAGTCGATCTGTAATCAATAATAATCCAATCTTGCATTCATTATTCTGTCCAGATACGGGCGTTGTCGACTACACTTACTCTCCAAGGGGGTGTCAGCATTGCCGATCCGACTGTCGGAGATTGCGTCTTGCCGTGCACGCACGTCCAGAATAATTTAATACTGGAGAAGGTTAATCGCAGTCTGCCGAACACTTGGGCCATATCGTGCATCGGGAACCAGTAGTGGACACGGAGAGTTAGTTGAGAACTTGGTTAGTTGATTTGTTGCAACTTGCTTAAGCCTTAGCCTATCTTTGATTGTCTCTATCTCGATTTTACGTTCGAGTTCTTTTTTGCTTTTTCTCGCTTGCACTGTGAATTCCCACCTTCCAACTCCAAAAGTGCAGCTGCCTTATCAAAGAGAGGACTGGAGTATTATGCGACATCGGAAATTGACGAAATTAGCTGGGGCAGATTCCTAGAGCCAGTATGACTTTTCGCAACTGCCATATCCCTGATTTCCCTGTCCTATTTTTGTAGTCTCCTGTCAAATTAAGGGATTAGGATCCTCGGTCTTGTCATGGCGGCAACCAGGGTTCGGCGACCCGTTTCTAGCAGCTTTCTCCATTCTTCGGGCTTCTCGCCACCAGCCCCGGCTAAGTTCCATGTTTCAGAGCGCGGGTGGAGGGGCCGCGCTAGACCATAAGTACGAGAATAAAACTGCTATGGGCTTGTACTGCGTAGTCACAATGGCGACTAATAATGGCCGCTCTATGCGCCCTAGTACGGAGTACATACAGTAAATCCGCTCGGTCGGCACCCAGTGGAGTTTAGCGGGTCGCGATGGAGCAAACGGAGACTTAACACAATCCGGTTCTTGCACGTTTCCCACTACTCTTGGTCCTCCCCGTTGAGAAATTCCTCAATTGTCGCGGATCCCCGCCGAACGGGGAAGTCCTAATACTCTCTCTCCTCGTTGAGTAGTTCGCGCCTATGTCGGATGGGCTGGAACGGATTACCAGACGGTCGATGCACCGGAGATCTTGCGATGATGCGATGCACTATTGACGGCAGCACCCAACCGATCGGGCATAGCGCTGCACGTCGTAGAGACCACTTGATCTGTCGGTCTTCTTAAAACAAGTCTATTTCTCTTCACTGAACAAGCAGAGATCCGGGGGGGGTCAAAAGGTCGAGGGTGGCGAACTGCATAATGCTTGATTCTTCGACCGGGTCAGTTCAAGGTTATTAACGGATAAATTACAAAAGATCCATCATAATCACCTCACGAATAAATCCATAATAACCCAAATTGTTCTGCCTGACGGTTGCTTGGGCTGTTCCACTGGGAGAAAGATTGTTGGTATTTTCCACCCGCTCATGGACCACCAGGTAGCTCGCTAGTGGAGAGAGCTTCTTTAGTCTACCTTGCTAGCTCAACGCCCAAAGCCCATGCTGTCGGGATTACTCATGTGGCTATTCATAGGGACCAATCCAGCCGGGATCTTCTTCCGTAGTTTTCGAGCTCTAGAAGGAAGGAAAAGAACTCCAAGAGAGGAACAGAAAGGTTAGTGATCGTCGACACGGCCTGGGACATGGCCCACGCTGAACCGCACGCTTTGACAGCAGCCCCTAGCGCACGTCAAACGACGGAGGCAAGTTTAACTTTTTGGCACCAGTCTGTCGGGCTTGACAAGATTGCAATCGCCACCATCCTGAAGAATCCTAATTCTAATCTTGAGCCTGGAGGATAGGATCATCGTAGAAGAAAAATGACAGGAGTAATATTATGAGTTGATGCGGGAAAAAAACCGGATCTTGAATAGGCTCCGGGTGTTTATGACTAGGTAAATCTATAAGACAGAGTAGTATAGCATGTATAAAGTATAGAGAACAGGGTACAAAGTGCAGTATTTCGATAGTCTAATGGACGAGTCATCTAGTCATAACCGTTTCGGACCAGGTGCATGCCAAGTCGCCGGCTGCGAGGAATGCCCCTGACCATAATATTGCTTGCTCATGAATACTTTGCTTTGACAGGTTGGAGGGCTTCCAGATAGCTAGGGAGCTACTGGATGTGATTAGTTATAGCACTGTACTGGACTGGTTAGTGGGGAATTTGAGTTACTGTAAATGCCGAATCAGTAATGTCCTCGTGATGGGCTGTTTAACTACTATCGAGATGGCGTAAATGGACGGAGTAGTTTGATCACTGTATTCCGTATCAAACTTTACCCTGATTTGACTTCTTTCTCAAAGTTCCCCCCGTGGTGGCGTTCGATAGAAGCCACATTCTTTGATGCCTATTTCCCGAGTCAATCCGAGATGGATGCAAAAGTACTGAAAGTTAGTACTGTTTAGGATGGACTTGTACTAACCTAATGCTCCATAGTGCTAAGTTAACTTGGCCCAAGCCCTAATCCGTTGTTGCGCTTCATTTCCCCCCGGTAATTAGTCCTCCAGGCCCACTAAAGAGTGCTCCAACCGCAGAAGCCAAATACAAACAATTTATTAACTAGCGGGGTCTTTTTGGAATGGCTGGTTGGCTGCTCTAACTCCCCTCACATACTGTACTAATAAGAATCCAGTCCACCGGCACTCGTAGTCCGACAAGGACGACTGCGCGGGCACACTCTTTTTCCTTTCTAACTTCCCATCTAGGGTCTCCGCGCCAGCGAGTCAGTTCACCCGGTCGCTTTCTTTCATTCGAACCCCTACGATCAGCACGTCGCGAAACTCAACAATTCCCATCCCAGTCTTTCCAGTCCCCCTCAAAGATGGAGAACGTGGACTTGGTCGTGGTGGGCGCAGGTGAGTCGAGCTGCCCGAAAATTGAGGGTGTTTTGCCCAATCGACACAAGCTTCAATTTTTTATGCGATTGGCTGGATTCTAATTGAATTTCAACTCTCACCAGGATGGAGTGGACTTGCCGCCATCAAAACCTACCGTGATCTGAATCCCGATAGCAATGTGCTCCTTCTGGAGGCCGCCGACTCCGTCGGTGGAGTGTGGGCCAAGCACCGACTGTACAAGGGCCTCAAGTCCAACAATATGCTGGGCACCTACGAATTCAGTGACTTCCCAATGGATGAGGCTACCTTTGGAGTCAAGCCTGGAGAACACATTCCAGGCGAGACTGTTCAACAGTATCTTGAGGCATACGCCGAGCGTTTTGGCTTCACCGATCGCATCCGACTCGGCCACCGTGTCGAGAGTGCGCAACACAATCTGGACAGCACTTGGCAATTGAAAGTGTCGCACGGCGAGGAACTGGCGACGGTCGAGACGAAGAAGTTGATCGTAGCCACGGGAATCACGTCGCAGGCCTATCTGCCCAACTTTGAGGGGCAGGACACCTTCGGGGCCCCCATCTTCCACTGCCGCGACATGCAACAACACGAGCCCGAAATCTTGAAGGCTGGCGAGCGAGTCACCGTGTTCGGTGGTACCAAGTCCGCCTGGGATGCGGCGTACGCATGTGCGACGTCTGGAATGCAGGTCGATTGGATTATTCGCGAGTCCGGTCACGGGCCAAATTGGATGGCGCCACCATACGTGACGCCGCTGAAGAAGTGGCTGGAGAAACTGGTGACGACCCGACTCCTGACCTGGTTCAGCCCTTGCATCTGGGGAGATGCCGATGGATACACTCGCGTGCGGAGCTTCCTGCACGGAACGTGGCTGGGTCGCAAAATCGTGGATGCCTTCTGGGCCGTGCTGGCCGACGACGTCGTGCAGCTCAACGGCTTCAACAAGCACCCCGAAGTCAAGAAGCTGCAGCCGTGGATCAGCCCATTCTGGATTGCCTCCTCACTCAGTATCCTCAACTACCCAACCGACTTCTTCGACCTCGTCAAGGATGGCACGATCAAGGTACACATTACCGAACTCGACCACCTCTCTGATCACACGGTGCACCTGTCTACCGGTGAGGAGCTGAAATCTACCGCGCTGATCTGCTCGACCGGCTGGCGCGCTACTCCAAACTTGAAGTTCCTTCCAGAGGGCATTGACCGCGAGCTGGGCTTCCCCTGGAGTACCGACCCCCTGGATGAAGAGATGGTAAAGGCAGCCGACGAGGAGATCCTCCGTCGATTCCCACGCCTGCGCGACCAGCCTACTCCCAATCCCAAGTACAAGCCTCTGAATGACGAGGCCGAGGCGGCGGTCCCTCACCCATTCCGTTTGGCGCGCTTCATGGTGCCTCTGTCACAGGTCAAGGACCGATCGCTCGCTTTCATGGGTATCACCATGACCATCAACACCACCATCATTGCTCAAACCCAGGCCCTCTGGATCGCCGCATACTTTGGCAACCAGCTCACCCCGACAGCCGTGGAACACTGCCCCGCGGCCGTTCGTGCGGCTTCCGATATTAAAGTCGAGGATGATGCGGAGCTGAACCTGGCCTGGGAGACCGCGCTGCACACCGAGTTTGGCAAGTATCGCTATCCTGGAGGTTTCGGTCGCCGCAATCCTGATTTCGTCTTCGACGCCATTCCCTACGTCGATCTGATGCTGCGGGATCTGGGCCTGTCGCCCGAGCGCAAGCAGGGGATGCTGTCTCGGTGCTTCAGCCCGTACGGCACGGAGGATTATACGGGATTAGTGGAGGAGTGGAAGGCAAAGTCATCCAAGAAGCCATAAGCGTACCCTCTCATCTTATTTAATGACCACTGGCCTGCACTTTCTTTCGCTGCACGTTTTTTTTCCACCTTCGCGCTCCCCGCGATATACCCCATCTTTATTTCCTATTTCCTTGGTAGTTTGTGCAGCTCTTACTTTATTTAGGCTTATTCAAAATTCATTCCATGGGTCATGCCCTCTGCCATCCCAATATACTTGGCTTTTGATCTTCAAACACTATATCGCTCTGCTATAGATACAATTGCTCTGTGCCCGGACAATACTCCTTCACACTATCGGATCAGTTAATATTCTCGACGGAGCAACTATATCTGACCATGTCTGATATCAAGGCAAATAGATCGTATCTCCTCTGCCAATCTTGTTGAAGTGAATAAACGTCTTTCCATGTCTTCGAACTCAAGCCCGAGCGACCTTGTCTGTATGATAGTGTTTATTCCGCGAGGACAAATTGTTCAAAGATCGCACTGCCAGCCAGCAAGGACTTGGTCTTTGCTGAGCCCCCTACGGCATTTGTATCATGGTTCTGGTCAGCGCCAGACTGACTGACTTCACCGGTCATATCTCCCGCCCATCTGAAGTAGTACTTTCCATCCCCTGCAATGCGTGTCCCAGAGACGTTAGCTTTCAACCAACCCTCATTGCCGAGGTCAAACTCGAGATAGAATCCGTCTGGCACATCACCCGCCTGTGGTGGATATCGTGCACCATTTTCAGAGCCCCCAGTAGGACGAACAGTGAGGATACTCGAGTTGCAGGACGAAACGAGCACTTCGCCATCGCGTGCAACATAGCTGCTCACGTAGGTCGTCGCAGACGGGTCATCAAGTGCCAAATAACTAAACCAGACCACCGAATAAGGTCCTATCTGGCCGTGGCCCCAGTACCAGCTCTGAACAGAGTCTGTAAATGGTCTATCCGACCAATTCTATTAAGACTTAGCACTGGTATTTTCCAGTTAATGCAATGTGGCAGGCGATCCTTACCTTGTCATGATAGGCAGGTCCTTGGAATTGTAGACGGGAGCCCTTCACATTAATATCGACTTGACCTACTGCGTCAGGCTTCAATGCAACCCATCCAATATGGGGAGCAATCTGCAAAGTTGTCGTTTCGGATGTAATTCCACAAGGCAAATGAGGCGCCAGTGTCTATCACCGCGATTAGTCGTCCAAACACTGTGAAAAATCCGCTTCCAAGGTCAAACTCTCCAGACTTACCGAGGTCAACCCAAGTCGCCCGTCTATCTGAAGCTTTTCCGAAGAAATAACTACTTCATACTGGGACAAATCATCCTTCGGGGCAGCCCAACTAAACCCAGTCGACGACCAATTCCCCGAATTAGGCGAGTTTGCATCCTCGCCACCTACAACCCTGGCAATGGTCGCCGGCACATACTCTTCAAAGACCGACCCATTCGCAAACGAGGCCCAGACATATGCAATCAAAACCGAAGACTCGTTGCTCGGAAGCCACGGGAACGCAGTCGCAGTCGACGTGAAGAACGTAACAGTCAACGACTCGCGCGAGTCATTCGCAGAAACGGCATCAAAGTACCACCAGTCAAACACAGACTCATTGATAGCGCTGAGCTGAGGAGCGTCGAGAGTCAGGAGTGCCTGGGTATCTAGTTTCGACCCGGTCGTAGGAATGTCGAATCGCGCACGCGCAGGTCTATTCTGAACGTGGCTTGAGATGGCGTAGTTCCAGCTGCCGGCAGTCGAATCGAGAGGCACATCGGCTCGTGTATTCCACGTTCTTGCAGGGATTGCAGACGCCTTTCCCGTGAGGATGGTATAGATGATTAGCCCTGAGGAGAGGGCGCGACTCAGTGACGCCTCAATGTGCATGTTGGTATGTATGTGTAACAAAGAACCGAGTTGAGGAGGGTGAGAAAGCTAGAAGGGGAATATTGTAACAATGAAATAAGCGAAAGGTTAAATTATGTAGTAAGAGGCTAGAAGCATGCTCTATTAAATAAGTAGAAGAAAAATAGACGTGGTATAAGTGAATTTGTATTCTCCTACGCCTGCTACTAAATACTCCCATGACAGAAAAAGTGTTCGCATGTCTGCAGCTCTATAGTTGGGGTCTTACCCGAGACATGATTCGTCGATAGGTCTCCACTCGAGAACGACCATGCAATAAGATGCTCTCTCCAGGAAAGGAGGCCACTAGCCTGACTCAAAGTAAGCAAGCCATGTGGCCAGCAAACCGCGTGGATTTCGGATCGATCGCGGCGCCACGTCCTGATCGGGGGTCCAATGGAGTGAGACTGGGTCAGACGAAGGCCCAAGCGTGAAAGGAGGCGGCTGTCAGGGAACTCTTTCCGGTGATCTAGATTTGTTTGGTATTTCTAGCCCATTCATTCGCATTTACCCTGGTAATGGGTGTCATAAAAGGCGATTCGTTACGAAGATACGCTCGTAGCTTTCGAGGCCTAGATCAACATGGTATGCATATTCAGCAGATTGTGGTTGATTGTATACATTAGCTACCAGATTGATATCCGAAACTCTTGGAAAGATCAAATGATTCATGCACGGAGATTGCTATATACCATCGAACACCGTGGACTCGCGGTCCATTCCCGTAAAGTCAACAGTGAAATCAGGGGCTCGCTCGGTTCAAATCACAGAAAAACAACGATCAGTACACACGTCACACGTCAGGCTAAGAAACACAGTAATCAAACAAAAAAAGACAATATCAACCCATCCCAAGATGCCCAAATCACACACCCTTCGCCGAGAAACATGTCAAGAATAAACACGGTGATCCAAAAAAAAATATAGAGAAAAATAAATACCCAAGCGGGCAAGATCAAAGATCCCATCAAGAAGAGAGAAAGAGAAAAAAACACCCTCCGACTCCCGATACCACTGTAGGTACACGATCCTTCGTCCTCGCCCCCAGGATATACATACACGGGATGGGGGGAGGGGGCCTCAAATGTAAATGAGGAGTCGAATCGTATCCATTATGCCACAGGGATGCAAAGCGTAGTCGATGAATCCGCCTAGTTGCGCCCATTCATCATGGGGCTGCCGTCTTCACTGCGGCCTTCGCCTTTAATCGTCCCGTCGGTGCCAGTCTGATTACTGAGCGCATCCGAATCCCCATCTTTGCCGCAGCCTTTCACCAGGATATGTCGCTATAAGATAACGAGTTAATATATGGAACCGCTGATCCGGGCGAGGATTGCAATTTCGCAAAACGTACCTTCAATGCGTCCTTGCGCGAGAAGCTCTTGTCACAGTGTGCGCAAGGGAAAGGCTTCACGGCCAGGTGAATTCGTTTATGACGCTTCAAATCATGATTCCGGTTGAAGCTCTGGGGGCATTGATCACATTTGAACGGTCGGTCGGCGGTTGGACCAGGCATACCATGATGGGCTGCCGGGTGCGCTCCGTAGAGATGCTGCGTGTTGGCGATGTGTCCACTATTGAAACCAGGCAGAATGCCCGATTGCATTCCTCCCATCATCGACATGGGACTATTCGGGCTGTGAACATTGGTCATGATAGGGCCAGACATTGCGGGGAGAGAATAAGACGGCCAAGGTTGGCGAGGGAAGCTCAACGGAGGCTGGCCGCCGGGACTTTGGAGAGGCATGCGCGATCCGGGGTGAATTCCAAGGCCGCCGTGGCCACCAATGGGATTGGGGCCCGTGTAGATGGGAGAGAATCCGGTCTGATGGCTGGGAGAGGCGTAGAGAGAGTGCATTTTCTGGTTATATGGGTCATTCGATGGCAGCGATGCAGTTGACGCAGTGTGACCGGAGTGATAGAGACCCATGGTGACAGAATGAGGACCGGGAGCAAGAGTGGTGGAAGGCGCGGGTAGGGCTTGCGAGAAAGACGCCATGGGAGGCGCCTCAAACGGCTGAGACAGCCCGTCGGTAGTAGGGGGCGATGTGACTGGCCCTGAACGATGCAGACCAGAGGGAGAGAAAGAGCTGCGTCCAGAATAAGCGGCATTGGGTCCTGATGCCCACTGGCCTGGTCCAGCTCCTGGAGCTCCGTACGGAGTAGTACCAGGCCAATATGCCGAGGGCATATCCGAAGAGACACCAGAAGAAGGGGGCAACGAATGAGAAATGGTCCCGGTTTCCCCAGACTGATTCGTCGCGGGAGGCGTCAACAAGTTTCCCACACTCACGTTCGCCGGGGGATGCGACAGGGGCGGTTGATTTGAGTGCTGCGTTTGATATTTAGGAGCCGCCGCACCCGCCAAGCCGAACGGTGGGGGAGGTAATTCAAAGCTGGGCAGCGTCGGGGCCGCTGGGCGACGAGAGTTGATCGGCTGGGAAGCGAGACCATCCAATGCAGTACCCATTCCGGGGGCAGGCACTGCTGGAACCGTGAGAGCCGCCATGTTGGCCGATGGATCTCGGGGACCACCCGCGTACAGGTCGGCGTCCGACAAGGAAGATTGAAGATTGGGGGGCAAAGGCCCAGCAAATGAGTTGACCGGATTCAACGTCCAGTCTCGACCGCCAGGAAGGGCCCCCGAAGGGCTCGAAGGATCCAGGAGGGGCGAACTGTCGATCGCTGGGGGTCGCGATCGGAAGAGAAGAGTCGGAAAGACTCTAGTCGATCTCTAGCCGCGTTGGTGGGGAGAGGGTGGAGGAGGGGGGCGGGCAAGAATGTTGCAGATAGGCGACAAGACGAGGTTTTGGGAGGAGGAGGATTTTTGAGAAATGTTGTTGCGAGTTGATGTTTGATGCTCGAGAAGATTTGGGGCGCTGTGTATATAACCTTTTGCCGAGTTTGCGACAGAGAGGAGGGGGAGTAAGAAAGGTCAAGTCAGTCGCGGGGAGATCCGCGCAGAGCGGGAAGAGGAAGAGAAAGAGATCACGGTCGAGGATAGCGCAAGTGGTGCATGATCTCTAGGGTGAAGGAAGAGTCGCGCGGCTCAACTATAAGGAAGAAAAGCCGAAGCTGGAGGAGGAGGGAGGTAAGGTGTAGAGGAAAGGCGTCGCAATAAGGAGGAGAGATAGTAGTGATAGTAGTAAGTAGGAGAGAAAGTCGAGTGGGGAGAGAAAGGATAAGCCGTGGCGTTGGGGAGGCGCAGAAGCGCGGGGAGGAAGAGGAAGGGTAATTATATAAGACCGAGGAGAGTTCGAAGGAGGTGATGATCAGATTTGTTTTCGCGAGAAAAAGGAAGAAGAGAGAAGAAAAAAAAAAGGAAAAAAAAGGTGAGAACAAGCGAGCAGAAAGGAAGAAGACTAGCGGACCGGTAGGGCGGGCGGATTAAGGGCAAATAAAGTAGGCCTAGTAGACGAGTAGGTTTTTTTTTCCCCCTAAGAAGTGTATAGAGAGGAATTAGACGCAGAGAGAGAGGATAATCAAATAATAAAATAAAATCAGAGGGGGCCCACGTCCACGAGAGCGTAAAAGTAAAAAACAAAAAAAAGGGTAAATAACGGGGGACCCGAAAGAATGGGAAGAGGAATTGGGAGAGAAATTATGGAGCCACGGTCGGCGATGGTCTAGCCAGCGTGGGGATTTTGATTGAGGAGTTTGGGGAGGAAATACAGTAGAGGAATACTTCAAAATGAACTATTCGCATAAAATAGAGAAGATTGGGAGATATTATGCTTCTGTTCCAGGTCCAGAATAACCAGGTTATCGTCGTGTCATCCTGTCATCTTGCCATAGTCTCGTCCGATGATCTAATTCGTAGTAAACATAGCAGATCAAAAGTCGGTTGATTAACTACGGAGTATACGTATGCCCTGTAGAACTATTGAATACTCCAGATATCACCCATGGCGGACCTCCGGAGAATGAATGTGCATCGGAAGACTAACACTAGATCTATCCCACGAATAAGGAGAAACCAGATGGGTCCATAAGCAGCATTAGTAGCATACTGCTGTATAGTAGTATAGTATTGGATATGCATAACGATCAGACAGAAAAAGGTCCTAGAACTCACAGACCCGGGGGGGGGGCGAGAAGGACCAGAAAAGAGGGGCAAAAGGCAACGTGGTTGACAGGCCCTAGACCTTACCGCGACCCAGTGATTAGACCCAGAAAAGAGGTCCCAGACACCATCTCCATCCATCCAATGACCTCCTCGTATCGTATTCTTCTGGACCCCCCTCCCAGGAGGCCAAGCAGTCCCTTGGCACCGGTCCTAGAGCTCGCTGCACCATCTCCGGTTGGCCGTTCCGACCTGAATCGAGATCGTCTCTGTATCACTCGATCGCGATCGCCACTGGAGGACGAAGGGAAAAAGGTGGGGAGACTACTGCTTGTCTTTGTAGATATCGAGTATGGGATAAATCTCTCTCTCTATCTAACACCCTTTCAAATAAAAAAAATGAACAAAAGGAACACCGGTTTACCTCTTCTATTTCTTTTTTTAGTCTTAAATCATGCTCGACTATTTTGTACATACTTTTTTAATTAAACCTGGGAGGGGGGGGATAAGGGGGGGGGTCTCTGTTTAGTGAGAAAGGAAGCGATTGGAAACCTGAGTAAAAGGTTTAGATATTAATACGGTAATATTGACGATTATATCAGGAATAATTTTAAAAGTAATAATATAAGAATCATGAGAAAGGTGGACGGGGCCAATAATCCCGAATATCCAGTAGAAGCTCGTTGTTGACAGGTAACTGACTGACTGCGTGAGAGGCAGAGAACGAGAGGGAGGCTCTGAGTATCTTTCGTTTATTTCCTTTTTCTGATTTCCTCCCCTTGCGTCCCGACTGATCGCGTGAAAAATACAGTAGTAGAGAAAAAAAAGAAATTCGGAGCCAAAAATGGTTGGCGCTAGCGTAGGGACTTCCGGAGACAAAATCTATTCTGGTCCACTCTCCGGCTTTCGCCCGGCATCGAGAGTGTACAAGTTGCTGCACTAAAAAAAAAGATAGGACTTAGGACCAGCAATTTGATGGGTAAGCGGGGATCGGAGGAGATTGATCAGGAAAGACTCTACTTCTGGCAGTTCTTCAGTCTATATCCACCGTCTACCGGAGTTATTGGTGAATTGGCACTAAACCAATCTATTGGGGGGGAAAAAGACTATGTACATACTCTTCCGTATGGGGGAAGACAAATAGCACAGTCCCGAAGTACAGTTAGACGAAGGGAGGGGGAAGAAAGCTGAACTCGTGGCCAGTCACATTCACGTAGTGGGATTCCTGCCCAATTGAACCATTCTGTCTCTCTCCCCATATCATCCCATGGGAACACCAATCGAGCGCGTGTCAGAGGACGCACGGACTGGGCCGGAATGGCCAGAATACGAGCCATGGGAGAGTCTGGAGCTGCTGTTGGCAAAGGGTAGAGACAAGCGAGCTGTGAGGCCCGTCATTCGTCCGTTCAAACTAGCCTCCCGCACGCGATGGCAAATGTAGTTTAGTGCCAGTCTTTCAATTCCCTTCATGCCGGGTCATCTGCAAAGCTTTTTTTCGCCCCCAACAGCCGAGGAAAGGGAGGGGGGAGGAGGCGATATACGGCGTACGGAGTAGTTGAGAAAGGGGGATTGGAAGAGAGAAGAAGAAGAAATACTCCATAGATGTTGAGATAATAGGCTGGGACGAAAAGAAAAATCAAATAAATCAACTCGATGGAGAAAAGAAACATCACTCGGTAGGAGACCTACTTGATTGGTCCCCGGGTTCCCCAATGCCTCCTTTTAACTCCTCGAATCCCGTGAACTAGGTTTTTGCCTTCTCTATGGAGGAGGTTGTTCTGATATGCCTTCACCTTAAATGACCACAGAGTCCGGAGTACTATTCAACAACTCCGTGATATGGCAGTGCTAGGGTCTTAAATTTTTTTAACTTCTTTTGTAGAGAATAAGTCTAATTTTGCCAGCGGTTTTCCACTATTCTTTGGGTCGAGTGGTTCCGTTCAGGGGAGTTCTTGTCCACGTTGACAGCTCGTTCGTTCTGGATAGACGGTTTTCAAAAGGAATATACTGTACAGTCCAAACCACGGAGAATGAGTCCGGAGTACAGCCATACCATTATTTCCTTATTCTGTTGAGTCGCCGACACGGTTAAACACAAAATTATCATTCACAGTAAATATATTTACTATCCTGTTTATAATATTCTACTCATACTTCCATCCACCTCTATACAACTTAAACTACTGTACAGTAGTATACTCGCATGAACTTCGCCTCTGGGGTCCCCCCCCCCCCCGTCCCAGTCACCAGGATCCCATCAACCGTGGCACTCATTGGGCAGTGCCATCCAACCTAACAATGATACCCTCCAATCGCCATGCGCGCCAACTGGTTGGGTCCGGTCTCGGTCTGGTCGCCGCGGCGCGTGCGATCGGGGTGGCGTGCGGAATGGCTCGTTCCCCCCCTTAATAACTGGGTCCGAAGCTCCCTCCACACGAGTCACGGTCCCCGTGCATGTCCTGGTCGCTTCCACGGACCAGTCGCGACGTTTCTCTTATCGGCCAATAGACGGGTGGCGATGACATTGGCTTGCCGAGAATATGCACGGACTCTCCTCTTTTTGACAGTTGCAAAATGAGAGAAAAAGAAGGTGTGGAGGGGTTTAAAAAGAGTTGCCTGGGGAAGGTTAACGGCCAGGCCCTGTCGATCGATATGCAGACAGACTTTAATTATGTATGGAGTATGGAGTTGGAGTATGGAGTACAATATTTTTTTAACTAGTTTGTCTCTTTCTTGATTTCTTGATGGGGTCTCAAAGTACTCCGTACAAATTACATAGCTAATTCGCATAAACCTCGGGATACGTTTCAAATACTTACTTCGTGACTAGTGACTCCCAGTAATACCTAAAGTGGAGCCTAACGAGACCGCTTCTCTGAACACCCTAGACAGAGAAAAAAGGAGAAAGTTAAATTGGGCAATGAGGGATTGGGAACGGGAGTCAGCTGCGCCAGAAATTTAGAGTGGGAAAAGCGAGAATGGGAAAGAAATGACCCATTCACCGAGATCCCCTCCCTTCGTTTCCAAACGCTCTTCATTGGTGAAGGATTGGGGGGGGGGGGGGGGAGAAATATCTGGCCTGTTCGTTGTAGGCTTCGCTTCCGGATATATACTCCAGGATAGCGGAGAACACATGGGCGGAGTACAGAAGGACTGCCGTGCGTATTGCCGTACGTACTGCGTGGACTAAAAGGGGGTTCACGATCGGGCTGCAGTCTCCTTTTTTTTGGCCTCTAATCCCTTTCGTCTCCGGTCAAGCTTACAATAAACCAACAGTCATCAATTACCTCGGAACAGCTAAGTAGGTGGTAAATAACAAGAAGAAATGAGGATCAAGTCAATTCGTACTTCCCCCGTAAAATGACCCAATAATGGCCACGAATAAGAAGCCAGAGAAGAAATACGAAAGTCGACTAAGGGAACCCTTCATTAAAGGTGCCAAGGTCACATTCTTAAAATTCCACATGCCTAGTGCTGTCTTACAATTCGGACCCCTTCGATTATGAGCTAGCGAAATTGGGTGCGGAGAAGTAGTACCGGAGACAAGGAACATTCACTACTACAGTAGGAGCACTAGCCGCCGGTAGTCGACCGCATCCATAATCATGAAATGATATGAGATGAAGGGTTACTTCGTTCGGTCTGAATACTATTCCATGCTCCGTCCCTAGTCGATAGCACGGAGTACTAAGCATTCAAGACAACGAGTGGTGGAAACCGAGTAGTAATAGCCAGCCAGTAAAAATGAAGCCCAAAATCATACTCCGTATCACCACTATCATAGCATCAGCTCCTCCCGACCTTCAAACGCAACGATTCAAGATATCAACTGGCGAAATAAGCTCTTCTTATCCTGCCCCTTCCATGTCGCCGCCACCACCACCACCAGTAGTCTGAGGCGTCGATCACGGCCGCCTCAGCCTTGACCCCAAGATCGATCGTCCGGGCTCAGGGGGTGGACAAGAACCACTGGACGACGATGGTTCGCAGCCGATTTGCCGGTGATCTCCAGCCTCCATGCAAGGCGGCTTTGGTGGTGCAAATGTGACAGCGCGCAAGTGGATCCAAGGACGGGAATGGCTCTGTCGTACGTTGGTCGTTGGTCGCCTGTTCGTCGCTCGTTCGCTCTACGGGGATGTAGTGCTGGGCTCAAGCCATGCGATCGTCGTCGGTCGGTTCGTGCCGACGTGGCTTCGGGGTAGGCGTTCACGGCGTCCCACGCCAGACGCCTGCTGATCGAGAAATAGTGCCCTCCTGGTGTGTTTGGACCGGAAGTTGACCGAGCTAGCCCTGTCGGAAAGGTCAACTCGGAAGATCTGCATTCATGAGGAATAAAGTCTGCGGGGCTGATAGGAATGTTGCGAGGGCCGAGACTACTCTGTGCAGTCTACTCCGTACACTCTACGGGGTACAGTATGTACAGTATACTACACATCTACTATATCCACTCCTAACCATTACGGGCAAAGATACCGACCTTTTCTGGGCCAAATAGCAAGGGTGAGAGGAATTGATTGATTCCTGCTGGGTGGGTCTTTTAATTGAATCATGTTTCAGTTGTATGTGATTTGCTCGATACAAATGTATACTGTATGTACAGTAGTAGTGTTGTGATCCGATCGGGTCAATGCTGCACGGCATCTCAGCCGGCCAGACTTGCAGGAGCTGAGCCGCACAAGTTGTCTGGATTGAGATGAGAGATCTATTGATCTACTCCTTCGCAGACATGGGCGGTTAGCTGCAGATGAGGGTGACAGAAACATCGAGTTCTGCATTCTCGATCTTCTCCACGGATGCACAAGCGCGTGGGACGACCGACGGTCGTGTAACCATGCGCCGATGCGAGGCCAGCTTTTTCGATAGATCGCAATAATTGATCACTGTGTTGAGTACATACTGGATAGTCCCGTATATTTCATACGCGTACAATCATACTTTCGATCATGTAGTCCTGGATAAGTCTACAAATATCCTTTGATCGATTCGAAGACTCTCGGTTATTCCTCCTCTGTAGTTCTACCAAAGATAAATGATGTAGCTATTTTTAAAATGTTCAAGCTCTATTGTACAATTACAATAAACTCACAGTGCCTTTGCGACAATCAATGATAGTCATTTTTTGTTCAAATTAGGATGCATATATTCTTCGTAGACTGAAGTATATATTCCTGCACTGTGCACCTCTTACAAGTCCAATTCCGCCCGTTTACCACCTCCACTGAATTTAAACATCCCACGTGTTACTCGATGGCAAATTTCAAATTCTAGATCACCAAGGGCATGCCACTATTCTAACTTTATGGTCGCACTAGGTAGGATTCCGGGGGATCCTGTTTCTTCCGTTGGGATTGCCGACGCTCCGATGACGTCGACTGGCGGGGTAACCCCCCGACTTCCACTTCGATCGCAAAATATCAAGACGACTGCTTCACCTCCCTCCAGCTCTTTAACCACCTCAATTGCCCGATTGGTACGTGATCCAACCACCAGTGATCCCGGTCAATCTCTCTATATCTAACAAACCGAACCCCTCGGTAGCTCGCTTCGAAATACCTTCTCCCCCTCCCCCATTTATTACATACTCGGCAAAAATGTCTGGAATCAGCAAAGCGTGCTGCTCGTTCGTTTCCCCAATGCGCGCCTTTGCAGGATGGCGGGCAACCTGGCTGACCCGTCACAGAATCCCCCCGTCGTGTCCAAGGGATACCAGGCCAAGGGTGCTTACCAGACCATCAATGGCCTGAAGACCTGTGAGTGAGATGAAGATAATGTGCTGGAGGAGGAGAGGGTTTGGAAATAGAGCAGTCTGGGGCTGATTCTCTTCCACAGATGTCACTGGCCCCGAGTCGGCCACCAAGGCCATTCTGGTGGTATACGGTAAGTGTGATCTCTCTCACAGAATTCCAAGATCTGGGATCCACAATTGGCTCACCGTCCCTGATTTCTGACGCCCAGATATCTTCGGGTTCTTCGACCAAACCATTCAGGGTGCCGATATCCTGGCTACTTCGAACGAGCAGAAATATCGCGTCTTCATGCCTGATTTCTTTGAAGGCAGCCCCGCAGATATCTCCTGGTACCCCCCGACCACCGACGAGCACAAGAAGCTCCTCGGCAACTTCTTCTCAACCCAAGCTGCCCCGCCCAAGACCTTGTCCAAGATCCCCAACATTGTGGCCGAGGCCAACAAGCTCGCACCCGGCGGTGCCTTCTCCTCCTGGTCCATCCTAGGCTTCTGCTGGGGTGGTAAAATTGCTGCGCTGTCGGTGGGTGCTGATAACAAGCTCTTCAAGGCGGCCGCCCAAGCACACCCTGCGATGGTCGACCCTAACGACGCAAAGAGCGTGAACGTGCCGTTTGCGATGCTGGCCTCCAAGGATGAGCCTGCGAGCGATGTCTCTGCGTTCAAGGCTAACCTGAAGGTCCCCAACCACGTCGAGACCTTCTCGACTCAGATCCACGGCTGGATGGCTGCTCGCTCGGACCTGGAGGACCCTGAGGTGCGTAAGGAATACGAGCGTGGCTACAAGACGGTGCTCGAGTTCTTCCACCAGCACTCTTGATTGTGAGTGGTGTTAAAAGTAGAAAGAAATGCCCTCAATGAAAATGAAATGCCTAGTTCTATATGAGTATCAGCTATACATGGGTGTTTTGATATATACTCGCCCTGCAGAAGGCGAATGTTGAACCGATCGTCGATCTACACCTAGGTAGTGCAAACATTATTGCAGCAGTATCGATTCTTGTACTCCCTAATTGATTTGATTGTTTTGACTAACCGATCAAAGCATACAGTATTGCGTGCTTATAGAATGTTCTATCTAGTTGAACACCATACAGTGGCAGTTCACAAGTCTGGAAGTAGAGAGACGATTCAACGTGATATGCTTCTACATACACCCTTTTGGGGGGGGAAGATACTCCTAGATGTCTTTTACATAGTGTTTCTTGACGGAATCTAACATTCAAACCTATAAAACTCCGTACATCTGCTCTCTCGGTATGTTGAAGTCGGACAAAACTCGGAAACTCCGCTTTTCCCGCGTTGCCGTCACATCCACCGTCCAACCCCAAAACAGATTCAAGATCCGCCGTGTGCCGAGGGAGCCGAAGATCAGCAACCTTGAAGTCCTACCTTATTTTGAACTGCTCGATATTTAATGTGCTAATCTTTCTGACCTTCTCCCGCAGTTTTAGACCTCTGTGTCGATTGTGATTTGAAAGCTGCTTGGGGGTAAGAGTGGCCAGTTGGGTTTCGCCGATGGTCTGACAATCGCAGGGATCCTCTGATGTCATTCATTTTTGGACGTCGCCGGTCGCAATCAGACGCGGCCACCGACCACGCTGATGCCGGCTTCAGAAGATCAAGTCAAGAGTGCCATTCACCCTCGGGCGCTTATCGGGACGAGGCGACCGATTCGGGAATCCTTCATGGCTTATTTCGCAAGCGCAGTGATAGCGCCCTGTCTTTAGATTCGACTAAGGATACCCGGAAACAGGCAAGCCCTTCCACTGAAACATGTTAGTATATATCACTAATCAAGCTCCTAGAGTCGAGACAAAGGACAGCAACCAGATACCAAGGACCTTCCAGTACGGGAAAGAGGGCGCGATGCGAATCGGCGAGGATCTAGAGATTCTACTCCCAGTACTTCATCAGGAAGAGGAAGCCCTGACCCCCATTGTGCAGCGGCGCATAGCGAACCCAAACAGCCGGGAAACATTCAAGACTACCTGGACTATCGACTCGAAAAGGCGGGTCTGCCGGAGGACAGTACTGATCCCAAGGTCTCCTCGGAGCATGGGTCGGTTCTAACCAAGAAAGATGTCAAAGCACTTCTTTCCGGGGCACCTCATTTCATGCTGGAGCGAGGCAAACATGGTCGTTGGTACCCACAAGTCATCTTTCCCTGGGATGACCACAATCCTTCCATCCAACGCATGTTGGACCGCAAGCCCCTCGCTCATGCATCGTTCACACTGTGTACGTTACATGCTCATCTACCAGTTCCCGACGACTGGGCCGTGAAAGGGGGCGTACCTATCCCTCTGCAAGACTGGCATCGGTCGGGGGCTTTCAAAAGAGCTGCGTTCGACGTTGGAGTCTTTGAAGTTCCGAATATGCTGGGAAACAATGGCAAGGAGCCGGGCACTATCGGCTTTCGCAATTTCCTGGAGCTTTCTAATGCGGACCTGCTGAAATACACTGGGCCCGAACTACCCAGAGAGCCCTTCAATATGCAACGGGTCTCGTCACTTCCTGCCACTGAAGCGTTTGAGCTGATGGATCAGTATAACAAACCATATTCCCAATGTCTTAGTGGCGCCGTATTCGACCGGCGCAAGCTCATCAAGGACGGCCCCCCTGGATGGAAGCGCATTGGCGTGCGAGATGTCAATATCAGATATCTCGTCCAGCGTCTCGACCAATTACGACAGTTGCGCCTCGATGTACTCCGCCAAGGGTCAACTATCACCATTCTAGACGTTGAGTCGCCACATGAACTTCATAACATCCTGCATACACACTTCCTCCATCCTCACCCACCTCCCGCAGATGTGCTGCCAGGTCATCCACAAAGCCTGAAATCTCAGATCAAAACATTAGCAACGGTCCTAGCAACCCCCGGGGCCTGGATTGATTTCAGTCTGCCCGAGTGGCGATTCCGCGCCGGTCAAATCCTGTGGGAGACTCCTCCTCATGGAGATGGAGATTGCGTGGAGTCTAATGATTGTTCTGCTGGGACGACTAAACAACCGTGGGTCAATGCTGGCATGGAGCGAAAGTGGCTGCTCATTCAGATTCTCCTGGCTGCAGAGCTTCTGTTCCGTCTCGATGCTTTCGTTCGCGTAGGCATGTTGCATGATCCCCATGGAGGCCTGATAACGACGCAAGAGCTCCATCATTTTGATCAACTTCGAGAGGGAAAAGTGAACTGGGATCTCATCTTTGTGCGCCGCTTCCTCGACAATCTCGATATTACTTGCGATTCGACTCCATCCTCGCCAGCCGGTGGTAGCTCGTCATCGTCAACGATCGAAAAGCTGCCTACGAAACCCCGTCGCTTTTCTCTTTTCGATTCCATCACTCGTCGCATCTCGTCTATGCAGGAGGCTGACGTGCGGTCTGCTTGGGAGTGTCGTATCAGTTCCCCGTATGTGCGGCAACAGCTGGAGGGCTTGTATGTCTTTGCGGAGAACATTGGTTGGCCGAAGGTCGCAGCTCTCAGATCCCACTTTGAACAGATATGCCAAAGTGGAAAGGACGTGTTCACTCCAGTGGTGAATACAGATGACCTGTCCAGCCATGGGACAAGATCTGAAGACGTTATCAAGACTACCCTGGTGAAAAACGATATGTACACCCGCAGTCGGTGCCGTCGCAGCGTTAAGCTGCGGAGTTTGTCTGACGAGGACAAGGACCCTCATGCATCTGAAGTCCTTGGCTGGATCTCTCGAAGCTGGCTTTCAGGTCTCGTCATTCCTGGCGAGGCAATCTGCCATCTGCTGATTGGAACGCTCTTGGAAAATGATGCCGATGCGATCGAACGACTGGGGCCTACAGCAAATCTCTACGGCGGCTTTGTCTATGATAGTCGCAGTTATTGGAGCAAGGCCAGTATTGTGGGACGTGTTCTATCTAGCCTAGATGGAGCCAGAACTTGTATGGGCTGGGTGGGCAGCGATGTTCTTCCCCGCGACGAGACGACGTTTGAGCCACTGGCCGACGGTTGGCTCGAAGTCCCTATGCAAAAAGCCCTTCGCGGTCCTGGAAAGTCGCGCATCAAGCAAGGTGGGAAATTGGCAATGGAGTCGACGCCGCTCGGAACGGGAGACATTACGGCAGACTCGTTTACACTGCCGGTCGATCGACCTGCATCTGCGTCTACGCCAGAGGTGAAACTGATCAAGTTGACCTTGTCGGTTCGCTCCCAATGCAAGCGAGGCCTCACGGTCAGCGATCAGGCTTCGTTATCCTTCTCCCTCCAGAGCGCAGACGTATCATCCCCGACTACAGCCTCGTTCGCACTGAGTTATAATGTGCGCTTCATTTCCGCCCACGAGTGTCGGCGACCACGGGGTGTTGCTGCCCGCCACAAGGACTGTTCTGGTCTTCACGACAAGCAGCAGGAGGAGTCGGCGACACCTGACTGGAACCAGTTCAAGCGTCTACCAGGTCACCCACTACACCGGTCATTCCGATACCAACATGTTTCCCTTGACGCTCTCCCACAACTCCCCGCACCGACCCCCGCACTTGATGGAGATCCCGAGTTTCTAGTTATCGATGCGCGCGGATGCCGAGTGAACGAGACTTTCGCACGGGCATGGTGCGCCTCCGTTGGCTGCCATGCTCTGATCGGTCGCGTGGGGAGGACGTGCGTGGCTTGTTGTGTGAGGGAGGCAAGGGCAATCGATGTACCGGTGGTGGTGCGAGTGGGCGAGTGAGCTGGTCTAGGAGAACCGAGCATCTGCGACCTGCAATCGGTGGATATTGGTGGAGTGGTTTGAGGGCAGCTGAATACCGTCATTTTGGGTCTATCGAGGCCAATGGAGGTGGTTTTCTGCCTGTAATGAGTGATGATCAATTCCCCATCTCGTGCGCATTCTCCGCAGTGGCAAACACATTGCCAGGGGCTGAGAAGTATGAGCAACAGCAACAATTAAGGCCATGGTTTTCACGATATGCGCAAATTTTTATAGCGCACTCTCTGTTTTTATGTAGTAATGTATAGAAAAAAGAGTATCGCATAAGATATGAAATGATACGAAAGGGGGATATTGTTCATGTTCTCAGTGTTTTTTTTCCATGTAGTGTTGAAAGGGACACGCCTAGCAGAAGGGGATGCCAATACTGTACAAGTGTACAGTAGTACTTTGTCTTGAAGCGAAGGGTGCTATCATCAGCCTCAATCTCCACCGTCCATCAGGTCTTCTCGAAGGAATCCATGCTAGATGACTTCATTCGTCGGGTGAGCAACCCTGCGCAAGCCATAGTACCACATTCAGCGGGGTCATGCCCCTTTTCAGAAATGCAACGGCGTTTTTGCGGCTTTTTTTTATTTCGTTCTTCTATAGCTGCCCCCCTGGGCTTGGTTAGTATTGACTCGCGTGGGAAAGAAGACGTCAGTGAATACATAATCAAAAAGAAAATAGACTAGAACTCGGAATTTCCAACGGCTAACAATTAGCCGGGGGGTTTTGACCAACATCGAAATCGGTCGTGGACTCGTGGAAAATGCTTCGAGAAGGAGTGGGGAGGGGGGGCTTAGTAGGCTTCTCGAAGATCCAAAGGCTTTTCTCACGGAAATACCACCTTCTGCTTCGGCCACTATGAACCAGAAAAAGCACCCAAGACGTCAAAGCACAGTAGGCTCCATTTTGATAGCGAGGCGAGCCAATGAGGGGAGAGCGAGGGAAATTTTCCAGTGAGTTTTGGGAGGACGCGTAAGGCAGGTTGCAAGTTAAAAAGGAGGGACCCATACAAAGCAGCCGAGCACGGCCGAATAAGGTCAAGGGCCCGAAGATGGTGAAACAACTAAAATGGGGAGGGATGTCCCACCGGAGAGGGCTGAGATCGGATTTTCCGTGATGACATGAGATCTGGAATTCCGATTTTAATTTAATTTATCGTGTTTCTCCATACGGAGAACGGTTGAGATTGACTCCGTATTTAGTAGTTGCACGGAAAGGCACACGATCTATCTACTGATAGAGTCCAGTGAATGTGCCAGTGGAGCCTTAAAATGTAGACCATTGTGTACAGTATGTACATGCTCAACATGCTCAACAGGAAGTTAATAATAGTGCTCGATACGAGAATCCCCACCTACTAACAGTGATCCATGATATCTATGAGATCCTGAACCATGGACGACTCGAGCAATAGCTCAACAATCGTGGACAATAGCCATAAGCTTAATTTCGAGTCCATTGGAAAAGGACCAGACGGATAATGGTCACTCATGTTTGAAAGTATTGATTTTTTTCTATACCACCACCCCTGCGAAGAAGTTCTAGACTTTGTTCGTACTCCGTCGTATACATCTAGGCTTAAGATAAATATAACACGAAACGAGTGGAAAGTGTCCATCAAATATCGGAAAGATCGGACAAGGATCAAAATAAGGCTATGATGATACAGTCCAATCCTACTGCTGCGCAGCTAATGTTTAGTTGATCGTTGAGTCTCCCAAATGGCATTGCCGAACTCATCTCCGAACACTGAGACCTACGACTAACCTCGACGAGGCCAGAAAGATGCATATCCAACGGGCGCGATCATCCAAAAGAGGGTGAGGTCCGAAAGGATGCGCAATTGAGGACGGAGAGTGCCCGACTACTCTCTACGAGCTACTCCATATATGGATGACAGTGCAGAGCCCAACTAGATAGCCTGCAACCGAACTAGCATCGTCTGTAGTAAACTCGAGGGCCAGAACAGAAAAACGCCGTCGCGTCCTTCAAGTCGCCCCTTGGCGTTGCAGGAATGCACAAAATCCCGCGAAGCCCTGCCGGCACTTGATTTTGGCAGGCTGGGAGTATGGCTGCATGCTAGACCCGGACTAGTTTAGTGGGGGGGGGGGGGGGGGAAGAGAATCAAGAACAAGGCCGATGCTGGGGGTTTGGCGTTTGACTTTTGGGCTATTGACCGTTGGCTGGCAGCTGGGTAAGGTGATCTAACGTCAGACTGGACGCCGGAAATTTGCTGGGAGAAAATGGGGTTCTCTAGCATCCGGCATCGGTTAGACAGGTCACTCTTTACACTCGGAGAAGAATGTTGGGTGTACTCCGTACTCCATGACCCAAAGATAAGCCTAGAAGAATAGGTTTTCTTGGTCTCGGCACCCGCCGAAAACGCCCTAGGAAGGAGGATACTACTGTATGAAGTTTGTCGAACGACTTTGAGACCACATTATGTACCACTACCATGCTTCAAATTTGTTTCTTGGCCATGTCTCCAAATCAGAAACACCAACGTCCAAGATCTGAGCCAGCGTTGGACCCTTGTTTCATCACTCCGATCGACAGATGTTGGGTGGATTCGTCCAATGTTATCCAACCGAGGCCCGCCTCCTTTTTCCGGCCTCCTGTGGGACAATCGGAGAAGCATTCTCTTCTGGTACGATAGTACTGGTGTAAGTACAGTTCGCTTGTATGATGATGGTTAGTGCAAAGGGTGTCAGAGGGAAGTTGAAGTATATACTGAAAGTACCAAAGTGAGTCTATGTTCACATCAGATGTGCGTGCTTTCCGTATATACGGATATTGTCCGTTCTCATCCACTATCCTTTTGATCTCAGTGCAGAGGCCCTTGAGTTTGTTCCATGATAAGTTCGTATTCGGAGAAAGTGAATTACATGGGGCCTACAATGTACGGTTATCTCTGTACTGCTGGGTTTATTTTGCATCGCGTGCTCGATACTCGCCGCGTCAACATTTGTGTTTGCTTCTCCTGACTGGCAGTTCAACTAATGCACCCCGACCTCTTTGGATTTCGGGTTTATTGGCGCCCAATGAGACTCGACAATGTCCTTTCCCAAGGCCCGCGCTCGTCGATCTTTTACCTGAGTGCGCCGAGTACGCCGAGTGCGAGAGACGTTGCGGGGCTAATTGGCATGCCTGTACGGAGTACCTCAGTGTCGGAATTAATACGTCTTTGCCCCCCTCTTCTCCCCCCCCTTCAAAGAGACGGTCGAGCCACGGTGTCATTATTTCCACTTAAACTCCATATACACCACAGGCAACGGCGCAACGAAGAAAACGCCGCAGAAGTGTGTTCTGCAGGAGAATGGTGATGATTGGCTTCTTGTAGCAGGTAGCGGTGGGCTACACACCGTACGATGAAGATCGTGTCCACAAGTCCATTGTCAAAAGCAAATTAGAAGAGTGAAATTACACTCATAAAAAGCCACGCTGGCTGGGACACGTTTCAACTTCTACCAATAAATGCAACCGGTATGGAGGGGAGTCATTTCTATGAACAAAGAGGTGGAAAAGTAGCCATCGTCCACCCCCTTTTGGGCCTAATCTATAGACGTCATATCATGTACAGTACATATAGTACTCCTTATTCTTTTAGCGACTTAAATTTTTTTCCGGCTTAAGTTTAGTTCCCCAAGGAGGCAACAAATGAGCAAGTTTAACAACAGCAAACCGAGTCCGAGAGCCTCGTCAGACGTGACTGTCTCCCTATGGCTGTTATGCTGTTATGCTGTTATGCTGGCTCCATCGCTGATCTCGTCGGAAGGTCCCCCCAAAATCATACCAACAGGTCGAACTCCCCTCTTGGTTGGCTGGCCAGGCCTACTTAGTTCGTAGAAGTTTCCCCTTCTAACCCCATTTCCTGACTCCATGGAAGCTCGCTTGAGGCTTCGAAGAAGAAAAGAAGAACGATCTGAGAATCTCCCTCGTTCCGACGGGGGCGCCAAGGCCAAACCTGTAACACGCTACGGCGTTACAAGGATCCTTAATCAAACCTTGACGCTGGCCCCACATTAAAGAATGTGGGACCTTGTTACAGAATGGAAGAATGCAAGATCGCTTCTGCATGTTATCCACTGTCCACGATGAGCACAGGGCGTTGGGTCGCAGAAGTTAGGACCAAGGTGGCTATGGCAGAGTACTCAGTACTCAGTCAATCTCCCCTTGAGCCTATCGGACGGATATCCCAACTAGGGATCCCTACACCTTGTTCTGTAATTGGCAAATTATGTCATGATAAGTCCCTCGGTATACTCCGTGATTTTTCGACCGCGCTTCTCTTCCCCGTCTCAGCCTTGGATGGCCGCCCCATGGGCTCTGTCTTTTGTCCAGACCAGGATCGCTGGAGCCGATATGATTGAGATTGTCCGGATTGACTGGTTACTGGGGGGTCAACTCGTCCAAGGAACAGGCCCGCGTATTCCCCTTCGTACGGATTGACTGGATCGGTTGACTAAGGAGTTACGCCAGTTCTTATTGGTGAGCCCTCCACTCCATGGATCGTGGATTGTAAATGAAAATTTCCGCAGAAAAAGGAAGGAAAAGGAAAAAAAAAATATTAAACCGAATTTGGTTCACAGCCCCAGAACGATTGTTCTCGAAGGTGCAATAATGTGGCGGGCTCGATGTCATCGGCAAGCACTAGGGAAATTAAGCTATGCACAGTGGAAGCCCCAGAACGTGTCCGAGATTCGAAGGCAGACTAACGTGGAAAAATAAAATAAAAGCTTAAAGAAAGGGGGGGGGAGGAGGTTAGGTCGCACAACAAAGAAAGAAATTAAAAGATCTAAGCGTAAAAGAAGAAATGAAAAAGAAGTCAAGATAGAGAGAAATAAATCTAGAATTATTATACAAAAAAAAAGAAAAGCCCTCAAGTGTCCCATCACCCATTGCGTGTTTGTGCAGTTCTCGTATGAGCTGATACACATCAGCCGTGGACCCTGAAATCTGTTTTTAGTACCAATCAATCTGTGGTTCGTTCCTGGGCGATTCAATGAGGTTTTATTCGTGCAAATTTCCTCCAACAATTACAACAGTCGACAGCGCGGCGTACTCCGAGGGCTCAGGATTCAAACGGCTTTTTCATTTATACTATTATTATTTGCATAGAATGAGCTCATTTCCAGATTTGAATTCTACTCTTATAATCCCTCAAATCAAGGCTAAAATCCTGGGAGCTAGCTGCAAAGCACCCCTTCGAGAAGCGATCAAGGTTTCTAGCGATCACCTCCGAAATAACGACCAGAGACAGGAAGGTTTCTTTGGGTCGAATGGATCCGAGGAACAACAAGCTTATTGGTCGCAGCTGCCGACCTATGCTTTCATCGCCAATCAGTTAGCCGGGGGGGGGGGGGGGGGGCTTGATGGAAGAATTCCCCAGTTCATCAAGGATTGACAGGTGTATCTCTCCTGGCTCTAAACCCAACGTGGGAACTGCGCGACCCAACTTCCAACACTTTGAACACCCACTCTGACCCCACTGTGTCAGGGCTCCCAGACCATGGTTCTTCGACTCTACCTCATTTGCCATGAACCGGCTCTGAGAAGGGGGGTCGGGTCTATCATACGCAATCAGGGGCTTCTGGGGGTTTAGCTAATCGATCGGCTTCTGGCCAGAATAATGCAAAATATGCATGCCCCTCCCAAGTAGTACCGAGTGTTTAAAAAAAGAAACAATTAGGATGGGGTAGAAAATCTATGAAACCAGATATGAGAAGGAAAAAAAAAGAGAAAAAAAAAAACGTATCCCTAGCAAGGAAGCAAGATCTGGCGCATTTCATCGTAACCATAATAGCTTGAAACTATTCTCCAATTACCTTCAAAGTATAAAGGTTAACCTCGTGAGGAAGTTCTTCCCGGATGGGCCCCTGAGTTGGGTCTGAGATCATCGTTGTGGTCCATGACAATGACCTGCAGTTGATTTGGGTTAAGTCGATACATCCGTGTTGGTCCTAGTGTCGGTATGATGCAGAGCCACCTTGTTCCACGTACGGTGGGATATACATTGTGAAATCAAATAAAAAATTAAAAATTAAAAAAATCAGAAATCAAGAGGAAAAAAAACCAAAACCAGCCTTTGGGCGTTTCACCCCGCGATTAGCTTCCTGTCTCTTCATGTCTATAGGATATCCTCGACCTTCCTTCTCCCTTCTCTGTTCCTTCCACAGTCCACTTCATACACTCCTTTGGTCTTTTTTATTTCTCTTTTGCTTATTCTACTTCATTTTTCTTCTTTTTTTTTTCTAATCTTTTTCTGGGTGTTATTCGTTTTACCTGTTCCCTTTTTGCCCGATCTCAATACTTGCATCAAGATACCATCTTAGACCCTAAAACGTCTATTGGCCTCCCTCCCCCAAAACCCAAAACCCTCTTCCTCCCACCCCCCTTTCATCAAGGCTCAAGCACTCTAATTACTATAATTACCATTGATTAATTGGCAATTACTGGGCTTAACCGGGGTTCGTGGACCCAAACTGCAGTCAATCTATCCTCGACCATCCACATCTTCTATCGCTACCAGTGCGTCTGGCGACGAAACATACTACGACCACTCAGAAACTCGCACATTCATACTCATACCCTGATACTCAAGCGCGCATACCTCCGACTACGACTGTCACTACCAACGGCGACTGGCGACTTTGCGACTTGTGACGTTACGATTGCGGGCCCCTCCTTCCCCCCTCCCTCTCTCCTCTTGACGCTGTACGACAACGTCGCTCTGAAACGCGCGCAATATCCTTCCTGGTCCAGTGTGGCGCAAGGTGGACCTAAGGGCTTAAGCAACTTTAGAGTGTCCTGTCGGACCATCGTCACCATCCGAAAGGTGCGACTCCTCGGCTACGCAGCCTTTCTCGGTCCCCCAGTCTCTTTTCTCTCTCGCGCGCAAAGAGTGCCTGTATGACCTGGCATCTCTTGAATCTGCAATTTCCCCGGATCACGCTTAGAGGCAGTTTCACTCTAACTGCCTAATACCCCTCCCCTCCCCAAAAAAGAGGGTACCCTTTCTTGCAAGCGAAGCGCTATTGATGCGCTTCGGGCCGGTGCGGTGATAAGAGCTCGCTCCTGGGAGCTATGCCCGCGGTCATCGAGGAGATGGATACAACATCAAACTTACAAGCTGCTATGGATGCAAGCGCGGCTGATAAAAAGCGCAACAAGTTGGGTTATCATCGGACATCTGTCGCTTGTGGTGAGTTCCCGGCTTCTCTCAACGGCAGCATTCATTTATAGTACTCTCTTGCCGGCTCTCTTCACATGTCCCGAGGCACTGTCGCGTGCCTCAAATGTGCAGACAAATATAGAGGACAACAAGAGTGCTGTATTGAATGCTGCTATCCATGCGATTTAGTTCTAGTTAAAGCTCATTCATTCTCACAGTACACTGCCGGCGCCGGAAGATCCGATGTTTAGTGGCAGCAGATGATGCTCAAGGGCGATGCGAAAATTGTATTCGATTGCGCAAAGAATGTCAATTTTTCCCTGTCGACCAACAACCTCCTGTGGAGAAGAAGTCGCGGCCCAGTTCGAGGCTAGATGCCGGTTCCGCAGACCCTTCAGTGACAACGCCAATGTCCTTGTCGTCATCGCCCACGAGCTTGAACCCTGACTCGGTAGAAGCATTCTATCCATATGCTCAAGTGCCTATGAACGCTTCATCCGGAGATATGGCGGCTTTCAACCCCGGCGCATTTGCGGCGACTCAGATGCCAGGATTTACACCTGGTACGTTTGCACCTTATATACGTGGATTATTACCGGGCAGCAACTGCTCAAGTCAACTTATCAGCCAGACTAACTCGACATTTACTAGATCGACCTCTGGCACCGGGAGAATTTTCCGGAATGCCCACGATGGAAGGCGGAGTTGCATGGGATGAATTCACCACGATATCAGACCCACAAATGTTGGCCACGATGGCCGCAAACAAAGGCCAGATGATGAATTTGACACCAAATGCCTGGAATACCGCAGCAGTACCAGCTGCAATGTCTCCCGGTTCACCCATGTCCGGCGCATCACCAATGACTGGCCATGCGCAGCCGATGAACCCCGGACCAGCTTATGCGATGCAACCTGACGGATCAGTCTGGCCAGTACCGCCACAACCATCAAGGGCAATGAGTTACCCAGGACAAGACATGGGTCCTTCATACTCCGGTCACTTTCAACCGCAAATGGCCCCGGACCTCAAACGGAGGATGACTACACCTGCCCATCCAAGCGCCTCCCTTGCTCCCGCTGGGCATACATCGGACGTGCAAGTGCCTCCAGGCGCGGTCCCCTATCAGGCTCAGGCCGGTATGGGCTTCACACAATGGCCTCAAATGAATGCCATGCCTAGTGGGATGGGAGTGGTACCGTACCCAATGTATACTGGCGACGTCTCACAACAACAATACGCTCACGCTCCGATGGGCCACCCAGGACAGCCAGGAAGATCGGGGCCTTGACAACAACCTCTTTTCCCCGCACCCTATTCAGTTCTCGATTCCCAATTTTTCCTATTTTCCAATTCTCGCATTTCTTCGGGCTCGACTTTGGGACTGGGTTTATCTTTTTCAAACCTACTTTCATTCGTGCCCGTGGTTTCGTCACGTTATACCACGCACATACCTAGACGGCTTGCTTCATTTCTAATACCCCGTGGGATACACATTTTGTTGGCTTTTGTTATCTTTTGTCTTTCGCCTTATCCTCATACACCGTGGCGGGTCTGCTTTGCAGATGGTCATTAGCGGGCGCAAAGGGTTTTTGGGTGGCATTTTCCGTTTGATTCTCTCATGGCATGGCCCAACCTTTTTTTCCTTTCTATTTCCTCTTTCGGTCGTCCGTGTGGGCTTTTTATGCCCCGAGGACTACCATCTTCTTTTCTCTTCTCTCCTCTTACCCTTTGTCATTCATGTTAGGTTCCATTTTTTGATCTTGCATGTTCGTCTCTTGGCTGGCTCTCCTTGACTTGGAGCTTTGATTTCTCCAACCTTCATTCTTCATTCGGAAGACTTTTTTCTGGCATCATATAGACTTTCCTTTTTCCTCCCATTATATATTCCTTTTTTTCTCTTCTCTTCATATTCTTTCAGCCCTTCTCTTCTCGAATACCCTCTTTTCATGCATCTTTCGTCTTATCTCTCTTCTGTTGATCCAGTTTCTACCGAGATTCCCACACATTTTATCCTCCTTTTATGCGTGATCTGATTGTATCCATCAAATTTCTCTTTCATTTAGTTCAGGGCCCAAGTTTCGCACCAAGTGGGGTGGACCTCGGTTGAAGAATCGACAAGGATACTCATAGTATATAACATGGAAGTGCACGATTGCGACCCAGCAAGGCAAATTCCGCAGGCAAACACTGAAACACTCGCTGGCGATAAGAATGGATGCTGGGTTGAGATTACACCAACGTAATGAAGCGCCGGCTTTTATCAACTCACCGAGATATCCAGTCAAAGTCACGATATCGATTGGGGTTTATCACGGATTCTGAGAGGAATTGCATGTTGTACATATTACATTCTATATATGGAACTGGATCCAAGATATTACTTTGATAACACAATCACTTCTGTTGGTTGGAATTGAGATACCCTTTTCCCCTGTTATATTGTTATGCACATGATATTGATTGGGTACAAAGTATATTTTAACCACAGCTGATAGCCATGTAGGATCCCCCCTGTTGAGGTCCGCATCCCGAAATCGGACCGAGGATTGTGATAAAAAATCTAGAGATCAACATATCGCCATATCCATATCTATGATGAGCTCCGTCATCGTCGTCATCACATCGTTCCTCCACCCACCGAACCACTACGGCAACTACTCAACTTCCTTAGCTTTAATATCTCAAAATTAGAAATCATCATAGATTTTGTCGCTATCTCGCAGCCACTACTCTACTCCGCAAAGCCACACAATCCCAAAAGAGCCCCGTGCTTCTGGTGAGAAGAATTGAAGGCCAATTGATAGGCCGCAAGGGTCTCCCTCGGCGTCGCTCTGGGATAAATGGTTGAGCTGTATCTCCGATAACGGCCCAACCCATGAACGAGGCAACTGACATCCCAGGTCCCAGGGCTGTGCTGTCGGACACACTGGCCTGTCACAGACCGAGTCTTCTAGGAATAGACAGACTGATTTTATAGATCGGGTCGGCCCATGCTTATCCCGCAAGGGGCTGCAGAGAGATGCGACGTTTTGATAGGTTCCTGGGGAGGGCTGATCCTGATAATCAGACTACCGGACTGAAGTGTCTTTCTCCTCGGAGCTGGGTCAAGCACGTCTGTATGTTGGTCTAGCCCCCCTCTCCTTAGCCGAGGCTGAACCCTGTCAGTGTCAGTTGCTAGGAGATGCAAACCCTGATGATGCCCTTGCATGTTGAGCCTATCTTCGTTGAACACGGTTGAGTTTATGCCTGATACACATGTCATATCTACTGAAGTGGTCGACACATCGAAACGGAGTTATCAGCCGTATCTTGGGGTGATGCGCAGGAACCACCACGAACACAAGATAAGAGTCGATCTTGGCTGACTCGTAGTTCAACGCTTCTTCCGTTGAGGTCCCAGTTTTCCCCGGAAGATCCGTCGGACCAAAAGGACTCTGGGGTCAGAAATCTGGAGAATGAGATAGCAAGAAGTGGACACCGGAGTGGGACGGTGGATCTGTATGTCTTCCGTTTAGGGATCCCAGCGGTGAACACTGAATTATCTATCAGGCCATCAATTAAGCAATCAGAGGATCGGAATCCTCGAGAGTATCGGGAGATGTTCGATGATAGGTCTCAACGAAACCGACCGAGGGATCCGATATAGGACGATAGGGGGAGCAAGGTTATGGTGTGCGTCACTTAGGTCCCCAATTTTGTGCATGGATTTCTTAATTTCTTGAACAGGGGGCCGGTCTTATCTCTTGAGAGTGAGCCAAATAGAGAAAAAACCGAAAGGGTTGGAGATATGCAGACTTATCTGTGGTGGTGGTGGTGGTCCCTGCACTTTGGCGACGATATTGTCGTATCAGCCAGGGATGGGCTTGGGTAGCGTCACGCCTTATCGAAACCGATTTGGATGATAACCACACGTCCTGCACTGTGAGCCAACTTATATATACTCCGTAGGATGACCGCTGCTCGTCCGATCTGGTCTTGCTTGGAGAGGGGTATTTTGCCTCTCTTCTTCCCTTTTTTTGCCTCTCTGGTTTGACCTTCTTTTTTTCTTTTTGACGCCCTAATATCATCTATCCCAACCTGCTGGGAAGGAAACTTTTTTTTTTTGGTTTACCACGGAAGATGGGAGTCTCGTATATTACCTATGCGCAGTGTCGGTTTTCTTTGCCTCCACGCTCCGTCGAGGGTTCTTCCTTCTCTCATATGCACTTCTGACCTTGTCCTCGTTCTCCCTGGCCCATTTCTTTCTTAACCGCTGAAGCCGCTCAGAAAAAAAAGGACCTGGATACATCCCCCCCCCCTTTTTTTTTCCCTTTCCCCCCGGTCTTCACTGTGGTCGGGGGGCCTGGACAACAACCCCAGTCCCGGTCCAAAGTACCTACTACCTTTCTGGGTATGATTGGCGTCAAACCGAGGGCTTACTGCAGGAGCGCCACGGCCCACTTGAAAGCTCTTGTGAGGCGATACTGACTCCCGATGCATACCGAAGGTTGTGAATGGTCAAGAGGCGACTTGTCCTTCAGCTGTCCCGCTTTACCAGCTTACCCAGCTGCCGAGCAGTATTAGGGCCGACCGATCATCACCCAGTATGGATCCCTCCTCGTCTCCGTTCTCCATTCAGTGTGCTCCGTACTATACATCCGTACGGGGAGTACGTTACGAAAAGCATGGAACAAGAATGGATACCCTCTATGGAAAACTTGTCTACGTCCTGTCCGTTATCAGAATCAGACCCATGGTGGGCAACAACAAGAACAATATGACTTTCACCCCCTGAGACATTCATCCAACCTCGGATCCGATTAAAGCAAGGACCAAGTATGATCTCCCCAAAAAGCAAGAAACCATGCGACCAGGAGAGAGATAAGATTCCCATCTCGCCGTGGGGATCCACATGCGCCATGCCCGGTTGAGTGTCTTCCGGTAGTCGGGGGATTATTAGCTGGCATCGATACCATTATCCCGCTAACTCCCTGCGAAACCAACCAAGCCTCTTGATTTCGAAGCGAGTATTGACTGTCTTCCCGACCCTCTGAGAAACGAATCGGCGCCTATCAGCAAATTGACCACGGCTAATTACTACGCTTGGCTTATCAGGGCTCGTTATCTCCAGCTATCTCCAGTTGGGCCTATCGGGACGATGCGTGGATTTCCCCCGACCTTTTGGTGGAGCTCTCCTCGTGGGGCCAAGAGCCTTAGACTCTAAGTCTAAGAGAAGTCTTGAGTCTAAGAGTTCTATGATGATCGAATGTCTCTCCCGTGCCTTGTCCTGACCCAACATCAGACCCTCCAACCGAGTGTAGCCTTGGATCGACGACCTGGAGAGAGGCCACATTCCAAGAATACTTCCAGGACTTTTGATGCTCCTGCTGCTTGCCTGCAGTCGTCTTATTCCTTTATTACCTGATCCGGTCATCATTCATCCACCCCCCACCTCGGCCGCCATGGGGGATGATTTCCAATCCGTCCAATGCCTGCTCATGCAGCCAATAAAGGAAATCACCAGTGACAATCCCAACACAATTAACACCAGCAGCGGCAGCAGTCATCTCTTGAACACATCTAACATGAAGGTACATGATCGACCTCGACAATGATCCTGCGAGAGGGCCGGAGGTGAGGACCGTCCCGTCTGGTGGCAAAAAGAGTGCAGGGTGCCTTGCCAGCCACGACGACAAAAAAAGTGGATGATGGAGGGGCTTGCAGTTTAGCCGTGGAATGTGAAATCATCCGCTTGCGCCTCCCCGCCAAAACCGTTCAGATGTCGCAGATTGAATGAGGAGGAGAGGTTGGGTTCCATTTTGGAAATGGGATGAGCTGAATGGACCTGAAGGAACCGGAAGATTCAACCCGCTTCGACTCGAAAGGGCTCAATTCGATCTCGAAACGGGTGGAAAGCTGAATACGGCGATGGTTCCACTGGGTATACAATACGATACGATACGCAACCTCGGGTAATGTAGGGATTGTCTCGCTCGGTGAGTCGCTTCCATCCCACGTCTTTCATATGAGTTGGGAGGTTGTCCCCGCTCAACTACGACCGGCTGGGTCGTAGTGTGATGTATATGATGTATACTCTGTTGGTTCCAGAGTATGCCTGTAGAGAATCGGTCGCCAAAATCTGATATATGCGCGGGAGATTTCTGGTAGGTCTTGTAGAGGGATCCATGTTGGAAGTATGGAATTGTACACTCCGTACATTCGTGTATTCTACAACTAGAGCATATGTCGATGTTCCAATATTCAAATTCAAATTCAATATCCAATATACTCTATTCTAGACGGTACCTTTTTCTAGAATAAACAGTCCGTCCCTGACCGGAGATTCTCGCGAGCCAGCCCCATCGAACGGTTTTCTTATCTCCCTCTTCGGGCGCCATCCTATCTCCGGCCCCGCTGACCTGACTGGGTCGTTCCGACTGTCATTTGGGGATCTGACAATTTCCATTTGCCAATGGTTCATTGATCCGTGCTATGAATGGTTCCATTGAACTATCATCTTTGATGCTCTAACAACATACCCTAGACCAAGGGTACTCTCGCGCATCATGGCGCCTCCGCTAACACAATTCCATACCATGTTCAATCCAATGAGACGAATCATCTATTTGGATTTACCAAATTCTCCTCTTTCGATGCCTACAGTAATAGCTACAGTACTATTTTACAGCTCTTCCCCTCCTGCTATTCCGCTGAACTTCCTCCGGTTCGGACGAAGACTCCACCACAGGCAATCGGATCCACTCGATCACACCTATCTGGACGTGCCTCCGTGATATGCCATGCGTTCGGGAGCCCCGTCCAAGTCTGCAGCTCTGTTATTATTATTTCCCCCCCCCTTTTGCCCAGGTTTAAACCAAAGTACCTGCATCTCATAGGGGTCTCGATTCCGGTTTCCAGGTCTACGTTCTATTCTTTAGGATCCTCTTTCTCCCGTGATTTGCCCATTCGGACTCGGGCCGAGAAGGAGGTGGTCGAGGCTCTCCGTGCCGGACTTGTCATTCGAGGATGCCAGGAGATGGGGGGCGAACAAACATCCATCGTGGCGCGTCGAGTCCGTGAGCCTTGGGTGGCTCGTGCGGCATCTAATAGCTGCTTCTTCGACTGCATCGACTCCGCTCGGAGGCGTCTGGGACTGGAGTCACTAGACTAGTAGTCTAGTAAGTATACTCGGGACGAGGAGGGGAAACAATGGAGAAAGGGAGATGCCAGGACAGGTCTTTTCTCGCCGAGCGCACCGATTCGTGGAAATGGCAATTAAAGCAAAGACCCAGAGAAAAGAAGCCGAGTCCGGACTTTTGTGTGAACACGGGAGTGGCGCCCATACAAAACATGAATCATGATGGACTTACAGTACTCGATTATTCAATTGCTCATGTAACTATGTAGCTCTACTGTTTCTAGTAGTATATGGTATAGATAGTTCAATAGTCTCGGCATATGTACTTTTGACATGACTTTCTAATATCGTTCGTACTTATAATACTGCATACTAACTACTCCGTACACTACGTATAGAGTGTAGTCGAGGCAAGCGCCGTAAATCGGGCCAACCAAAACGGCGTAACTTACCGCTCCCGTATTACCATTACCATTTCCATCTGCGCAACTTCGTCGATTTCCCCGAGAATCCCATCTCTTCCCCTTCCATATCATCTTCTCTTCGGTCCTCTTCGACTCTCTCTTCTTTTTTTTTCTCTCTCTCTCCCTCATTCTACCTCCCCCCACATACACACCCTATTCGATCATCTCATTTCGCCCGGTCCATCCTCCTCTCCCAGACCCGTCAGTCTCGTCGCTACCCTCGCACAATTCCTCCGTGCGAATCCTCCGTTCCCTACACAATCTCACATCGGGGCATGAGCGTCTGGAGGGTCTAGCCCCCCCCTCCAACGAACAAGAAAGTGAAAAAAAAATAAAAACAAAAAAGAACCATACCGGAGATCTGGCTGGGTGGTGGTACTTTTCCTCCCATCGTGAGTAAAGTACCCCCCTCCTCCCTCTTGTTCGCCGCGTACGGTACTGACGTCGGTGCTGACCCCGGTCGTTGGCTGCGCCATCCTACCAATCGCCTCGCTCGGTTGCCTTCGATCTCTCTTCCCCCCGGCAAGGGTCTCGTTTACGGCGGGTACGGGGGAATTTCAATTCAAACTCTCTCTCTCTCTCTCTCTGAGCCCACCACTACTCTCTCCCCACGTCTATATCTGCCTTTTCCCCCCTCTCCCCCTCTCCTCGTCTTCCCTCCCCTCCCCTCCCCTCTCCTTTGGTTACCATGGAGGGAATGAATGGAGGGCAAGGGCACGGGCATGGCTATGGACATGGGCATGGAGGAGTCCGACCGTCGCAGCCGTCCGCGCTGGCCTTCCCAGGAATCGACATCGACTCACATATGATGTCCGACGACTTTACCTTCGGCTCCGCCTTCAGTCCGGCCAACTCGACGTCCAACTCCAACGCTCAAGACGGTATGCTTTCGGACGCCATCTTCCCGGAGTGGAAGACCGGTGCCCCGCGGGGTGGCGACAACCCCGAAGACTTACAGAAGAGTGATCCCTTGGCTGCCCAGATCTGGAAACTGTACACTCGAACAAAGACTTCCCTACCAAACCAGGAGCGGATGGAGAATCTGACGTGGCGCATGATGGCCATGAGTCTAAAACGCAAGGAACGAGAACAAGCTCGGTAGGTCGCCCCATCAGATGCATCCCGATCAATAGATCTGCATTCTATTTTATGCTCCCTTCCTTTCCCTCCGACCCGACAGCTCACTTTCTTGGCCCTGCAGGATATCGCAAGCCCAAAAGGATACCACTAGTCCCAACTCGAGCGGCATCGCCCAGTTGCGTCTATCGGACCAAACCACCAATAATTCGCCCGATCATCATGCTGACATGAACATGGATGCGACGCCCGACCCGATGAACATTGACGATTTTATCGTCCCCTTTGATTCTCCCGCAGAATATGCCTCCCACCCCGCTGCCGACCGACACTTTAATGCGACTCCCACTGCATCAATCCCCATCAAAGCGCGCAAGGACCATCCCGTGAACGATTCGGCCGCTGCCGCGTCATTCCCCCACCCGCCGTCCGATCAGCGCAAGAATAGCGAGTTTGGCTACGTTACCCGTCGAGTGCGCAAGACCAGTGTCGACGAGCGTCAGTTCTTCGCTGGTCTGGCCGTGCCCACTCGCAAGCGACCGGCCGATTCATCGCCCCAGGTTCCCCCCGTTTCGAACACGATGCTGGCGCAGCATTCCGAGTTATCCTCCACGCTTCCCGACTACTCCTTGGACCATCCACCCCCAGCCTTTGCCATGCCTGGAAACGGCACCCTAGGCGGGCGTCGTCCTCAGCACCACCACACCTCCAGCATTCCCTTCAGTCTGGACACTTTCGGTGTCGGCGAAGACCATGGCATTCACTCGGCTGGGCCGTATCAGCAACACTTTACCTTTTCTCCCTCCGAGTCCCCAATGACTTCTGGCAACCCGTTCTCCAACCTGTATGCGCAGACGCCATTGGCATCGTCCCTCAATTCGACAGAGTTCTTCTCTCCGCCACCCTCGGGCTATCAGTCGACCGTGTCGACTCCTCAGCCCATTTATGAAGGAGAGCAGTCCATGTTCTTTAACGATGTGCCGTCCGCAGAGTCCCAAGCCCAGCGCCGCATCCCCAATTACATCCAGCAACGAACGTCCAACCTGTCGGCATCGCTGCAGCCACGCCACATGTTCAACACGACCAACGGCGAGTTTTCGGCCCCCACTGCTGTCACAGGTCCGCCTGCGAACATGCACCAACCCGGGTTCTCCGTTCCACCACCCCAGCATGTGGATCCCACCCAAGTTCTAGGTTCCGGCGAGTTTTCCTCGACCGCCCCGACAACCAGCATGTTTACGTTTGGTGGTGACTCGGATAATGAAGACGACGATGGTCCCACGTATGAACGTGGAGGAATTACAATGCCGAATGACTTCCCCTCCATGGACGACGGTGACATGAACTCTGGCCTGACCTGGGATTCTGGGTTCGCTGGATCGGTCCAGTCACTGCCAGGCTTCAACGGCCCACACCGCAAGCATGTCACCATCGGATCCGTTGATATGATGGATGGTCCTTCTGATTGGCAGCACGCTGGCAGCTTGGGCCGTGGACTCGGCTCGGCCGCCTCCGTTAGCGATGTTCGCAACCGAGAGCAGGACCCCCGTCGTCAGAAGATTGCTCGCACTGCCTCGACTCCGAACGCTCCAGCACTGCTCCGACAGAGCATGAACGGAATCACCAGTGGCCCGCCTACCAACCACCCGTCCCCCAACACGCCTCCCGAGTCTGGTCTTAGCAGCGCAGTGCCATCACGTCCCGGCAGTCCTGGTGGATCCAAGAACGGTGACCCCAATGCCGGCCCGACCACTTGTACCAACTGCTTCACCCAGACCACTCCCCTGTGGCGCCGTAACCCCGAAGGTCAGCCGCTGTGCAATGCTTGTGGCCTGTTCCTGAAGCTTCATGGAGTCGTTCGCCCGCTGTCGCTCAAGACCGATGTTATCAAGAAGCGCAACCGCAGCAGCGCCAACAGTCTCGCTGTCGGCACTTCTCGCTCGTCCAAAAAGTCATCCCGTAAGAACTCCATGGCGCAGGTGCCTTCCAGTCTTGTTGCCTCGCGCACTCCGAATGGCAACTCTTCCGAGTCCCCTCCTGCCATGATTGGATCTAGCACGATGGGCAAACCAGGTGTGGTCCCCATTGCCGCCGCTCCACCCAAGGCTGGACCCCCTGCCGGTGTAGCTTCAGCTCGTGCTGGAGTACAAGTTGCTCCTCGACGCCAGCGTCGTCTGGAGAAGGCTCCGACTGGATCTGATCCAGATCCTGAGGACAGCCCTCGGGCCAACACCTCCGCTGGTCGGTCCAAGGTGGTACCCTTGGCACCCGCCATGCTGCCTGCAGCCGCCAACCCAGCCAACCACAGTATTGCTGGTGGTCAGGGTGCAAGCCAAGAGTGGGAATGGCTGACCATGAGTCTGTAAACGGTTCTTTCACCGTTGGAAAATCCCGCCGATGACTTCCTCCCCCCTTTCTTTCTGTCGATGTCTTTCGGTGTTACGGGGCTGGACTGCCACCACCTCTCTAATCCCATTTATACACGACTAATGCTCCACTTTGCTGGTGGTCACCGCATGGATTTATGAAACCCATGCTCTTATGCCTTTTCTCCCTTCCCCCTTTTTATCTCCCACTGTCTCTTATACGTTAACGTGTGCTTGATGATCTGTGTGATTTGATTGATACAATCGCGTCTGTCCGGTGCCCAAGTTTGCTTTTTCTTCTTGTCCTGATTTCGTGCTTTTTTTTATGTGCAACTTGGGTCCGGGCAGAAGTGCGCATCTCATGTCTTTTGGTTTTTTGGTTTACTTTTATTCTCTCTGGTGATTCCTCTTTGATGCTTTTTTTCCCGTCACTATATTGATTACGCGCTGCTGAGCAGGCCCGGTGTGATGATTGGGACTTTCGAATATTTAGACTTGAATTTGACTACGATTGTTATGACATTAATATGCTTGTTTGGGTACGTAGATATGGAGTTGTATATGTCCTGGTAACAGAAATTACCCCGATTTCGCTGTTACAGTAGAATCCACATGGACATTTGGATAGCAGGTATCTATTACCCAACTCAATGGTCCTATTTAGTAGATTCGACTCCGGTCCTAGAAGTGCTTACTATCGTATAATGCCTCTATCGTGACGAACAAGACGAGACCGGCAATGCCGAAGTTGTAGTGTACAGCATTTCAACTCGAAAATCACAATCAAGTTCCTAGATCACTGGGTCCACAAGCAAAACCCAATCCAGATAAGATCTAAGCTTAAGACAAGAGCCCCCCACATCCCCACCTGATAGTCCACATGTTCATACAAACCCGAAGGTACTTTCTTTCGACCGTCGGTCCTTTCTCCGTTCTAGCTTCACTTGATATCACTCGACTGGCAACGTCACTTAGATAATTCTTCGCGCAAATGTTATGCAGTTCATAGCTGGATTATATGGAATTCTTTGATGTTCATATTTTCATAAATGTCTCAATAAAGATTGGACGGACGGAATAGACGTCATGGCGACGAATGGCCGAGTCGTCCTTGCCTCTTGCCCCTATTGGTCTCTGAGCAATAATTTCTTTAGAATTCATCTACTTTTTAATGCCTTGAATTCCTAGAATTGGAAACATTTCGAATTCCCAGCGTTTCAAGAATACCAACAGCATGTCAGGCGCTGCAGTATGACACCCGTATCCATTACCTCCACCGTCCCCATCTAATACTGACTTCTTGCGATAGTACGATAGTGCCAGCACAGATGGCAAGTCCCTGCTCTTTTTTAAAGACACTTGACTCGCAGTCACTAACTTCCCCCAGAGGCCTCGGAGCCTATCATCGTCGACGTAAGCAAACCAGACAACTACACAATCCGAGCAAAAGAATCCGCGAGCAACGCCCGACAGAAGATCGCAGAGACATTCGAACCGGGTACGTAGTCCAACCAGCTATGGCGCAATGAATATGGCCATGTACCGAGGAACGTATCTCTCCTGATCATGCGTATTCGAGTCATTGTTAGGTACTAAAGGAACTAAGAGCTGAGCTAAGAACTCCACGTACAGGTGATACGAAAACCACCACTCGCCGAATGTCAGATACGCCGACTAGTATGCGAGATCAATTCACGAAATCGAGTGAGGAGTCTGCCGAGGAAGGGAAGTCAATGTTGGATTCTGCACATGAGATGGTTGCCAAGGCGTTGGGCGGGGGTTCGCGTGGTGAGTTGCGGTTCATACGGTTGATACAGTGTGTTTTGATCACATACTGATAATTTAAGTAGGTTCTAGTTGATGAAGTAGTTACATGAGGGCGAAATGGCTATGAGTTGGATTCTGTCCTGTCTTAAATCGCCTTGGTAACCTCGAGGATAGGTGTCTCGATGATAACGCAGCAAAGGGTGATCAATTTTGATACTGCCGTGATCAGTGCAAACAACTATATCCATGGATCTGTTCAGACCATTAGATAAACTTCATTGTTCTAAACACGGATCGATACATCCACCACACGTGTAGTCGATCAGTGCAACAATATGGGAAAGGGCAGCCTGGATGAAGTTTTTGAGGATTAATTCCGAATGTCCAGAGTACGCTTTTTTCAACTACTGTAAATTTGAATATGTCGCAGATCTTGTATGAAGTTCAAGCTCGTTGATGGAGGAAGCTTCATTATTTTCTTCTGTTCGCGTTAGGCTCGAACCGAGGGAAGACAAGATGGATCAACGCAATTTTCGAACAAAACCAGATCATAAATCCTTATTACTTTCGACCTCAGTCTCTCGTTCTTTTAGGTCCTCAAAAGACCGAAACAAGGTGATTATAGCCATTAAACTTCAGAAGCATCTCATACTTCCTATTTTGGCCGAGTCTGCCTGAGGCGGTTATCAGTATCACGTGGGATAGCCAGCCCAAAAAAAAGTCACCGCGACAGCTTTCTCCAATCTACAAACGACAACAGCAACCATGGGTTCCAGCGCTAAGCGAAAGAAGGAGAAGCAAAAGGACTTCCAGGTGAGATTCCCAGAGTGTTCACGATAACGAATCAACAAACTAACTCCCGCAGAAACCCAAGCTCAAGGTCGGCAAGGCCAAGGCGAAGCCGGAGAACTTTACAGACACCAGTTTCCGATCAAAAGGTACGCAATCGCTCTGCACGATGGAACATTCGACTCTAGACGAGAATCGATGTACTAATTTGTCCCAGCAATCGTCCTCAACCAACAATCTCTACAACTTGCCGCTCCAACCTCCAGCAGCCAATTCTCTCACCACCTTTCCCTCCTCTCCTCCAAATCCGACAGCCAACGGCGCGATTCCCTAGCCCACCTAACCACCTCAATCGCCTCGCGACCGGTCAATTCACCTCTCCCACAACCAGTCAGCGTTATGCTCCCATCCTTGCTCCCCTTAATCCTCGACGCAAACAACAATGTGCGCACAGCCCTTCTCAAACTCCTCAAAACACTCCCGTCCAACGACGTAGAGGACCACGTAGCGCAACTACTCCCCTACGTCCGCGCAGGAATGACCCACCTAGCAGCCGACATTCGTGTCTCTGCTGTCGAGATTCTCTCCTGGATGGTCGATGCAGCCGGCGAAGCAGTTGTTTCTTGCGCGGGTGGGTGGATCAAGACCTTCAACTGTTTTCTGTCGGTTCTGGGCTGGCACACCGAGGAGTCAGCTCGATGGTCGTCGAACCGGGCTTCCTTTGGAAAGTCAGGGAGCCAAGGTAAGCCTATGGTCAAGGTATTGGGTGCACTAGCGGGGTTCTTGGATGCCGGAATCGGTGCGCCGGGTACCTCGGTCGACGATACAGTGTCACCCGATGACCCTTCCTCCTTAGCATGGCCTTTCCCACTGTGCCAGACGAACCAACATATGATATCCGAATCGGCCGCGCCATATGCCTACTTGAATCTATTTGGACAACCGCGCGATGAAGAAGGCGAAATGTACGAGACCCGCGAGGACCGGTACCGAGTATTCTCGACACGGTTCTTGTCCGCTGTTGAACGCGGTCTGAAGAGTGCAAGGGAAGAAGGTGGCGAGTTGGGTCGCGCGTCTTCCAGTGTGAGCAAGGTGTTGAAAGACGCCTTGTCGTACGGGGCTGGACCTTGAAAGTGAAGTTTTACGATGACATGATCATAATACAGCATTTCGTTACCGCTATCAAAACGAGATGTTTCCAAGTGCTTGTCTGCTCAAATGGCATGGTACTTCTATCTTTGTGGCTCCCTGCTCTTTCGGAACCCCATGATATAACTCCCAATTGTCATCGGAGAAGCCTGGGTGCAGGCCCAAAGCCTACAACGACCAGTCTCCCCGTCCGGGATGACAGACTTGATCCCACACTAGAGAGGATTCTCATTCTGACAAAATGGGCCCTCTGTGCACTCGGGTTTGGAGAAAAGGCTGAAAGGCACGACTTCGGATCGGTTAATACTAGGCCTTTCAAGTTATCTTACTAGTTATACGTTGAATTGCCTCCGTGGGACAATTCAAAAAGACATCTAAGAAGACATCTAAAAGATTCAAGGAACAGAAAGTTTACATTATCTAGAGCTAGATCCTTCCCCTAGTAACTATACTTAGTACTCGGCACGATCGGTCTAGATGGGGTTTTCCCATTCAATTGGAATGCCTAAGTCTGAATCAAAACATTGATGTATATAAAGCATAACTTCATATGCCCCAAAGCGCTTTGCGCAACTACTCGTACAAAAGGCAAGGCGTAAAGATAGTCTCATGACATCCTCCCCAAAAAGAATATTCATCATGACAGGCTGGAACGCTCTAGACAGTCTTCTCCGACTCGGTCGGTATCTTTTCACCACGAGAAGTAGCCGACATTTGCTCCGAACCATCCGTCTCCACGCCCTCCACCACAACAGTTCTCTCATCATAAATCTCATCCGGAAGCACAGCACGTGGAATCTGCGTCTCCGTTACAGGGAACAACCACGAAAGAGCCAAATAAACCACCGCCGTACCAGAGAATCCCAATAACCAGCCAAACTGATAAGGATGTACACCGACCCCGACATCAATCTTGGAATTCACCGTATTGATCAAACCAGGGAGCGATGGGACAACACCCACAAGGAACGAGACCACCGCACGCCAATTCACTCCCCAGATAGTTTTCCCCGACATGAACGGCACCGTACACACGTACCGATAAATCGGATTCATTGGCTGATACAGGGCAAGACAATCGTACTTCGCGCGATTAACAATCCAAAAATCAAACAACATAATCGCAGCAATAGGGCCCAAGAAAATAGCGTAAGCACTCATAAAACTCAAAAAGTTATCCGCGGACGCAAGGATCTTCCATGGTACCAGTGCCCACGACAACAGGGCACATAAGATCTGGCCGCGACGGATATTCAAAAACTTCGGTGCTAGGGCGGTAAAGTCGTTCGCGGCGGAGAGTGAATTGGCCGAGATATTGACGCCCAGCGAGGCGATGGCGAATGAAGCTGCGCCGAAGAAGCGGCAGGCGCGGTTGGGCCAGTGGCTGATGAGTTCGTTAGGGTCCCAAGGGATAGAGGCGAGGTTGTAGTGGGCTTGGCCGGCGGAGGAAGCGGCAATGCCGATGAAGGAGATGAAGGTGAAGATTATGGGGAGCATGGGGATGTAGAGGAGTTGCCAACGGGGGTTGACGCGGGAATATCGAGAAAAGTCGGACTACCACGAGAGGAGTAGGTTAGTACTGGATGGTTGGTACTTGTATAGTATCAGAATGCGAGGTATAGGCTTACCTGATTAACGCTGAGAGTAGCATAATTCCCCAGGACGGAGGTCATGTTTGCCAGGAATAGCCAACTATACTTAGATCCCGAGACAGTCGCCTTCTGCTGATCAAAGATTCCACCACCACCTTTCTCAGCGACAAAAGCCCAGATCAAGATGGCAATCCAGGCAATCGGGACGACGATGGCTTTGATAGTGAACAACCAGCGCAGCTTATTCGGATGCATGCACAAGAAGGGGAACTGGAAGATCCAGAAGATCAAAAACGCAACCATCCCATTAGTCGTGATACCCTGTGACTCGGGGATATCATTATGAAGGTTCAAGTAACTGGGCCAGATAGCCCCGATCATAACGCGAACCGAATTCCCACCATTCACATTCTGAATAGCGAACCAGAATACAGCCAGAATCACTCGAGAGATAATGGCGATATATGAGCCCCAAAACCCCCAGCTGGCACGTGCAATCACAGGGAAAGGGACGTGGTAGATGGCGCCCACGGCACCATTACCAGCAATAACGAAGGAAATAATGAAAAAGGATATGGCGACGATAGCAATGGCCTCGCGATAGGTGAGACCGACGGCGATGATACTGCTAGCGAATTGCCACGTCGCTGCATTGAACGCGTCGGAGATCCAGTATGCTAGGGATGACGGTGTCAGACAAGAATGCACATTTGTTGTAGATTGGGCGTAACGCAAGTACCTATCAAACTCATTACACCCCATTTCCTTCCCAGCAAAGGAATCGGGTCCAAGTCAAGATTTGTCCATCGCGCATTACCCTGTGCAAAAGCCGACTGAGGCTGGGAGACCCTCAGTCGAGGCCTGGAGAGGCGCATGATGGGAGATGGGGAGAGTGGAAAGCTACTTTGTTAAGAAAGGTGAAGTAGAAAGTAGGCGGAATAAGCAAGCATGGAGCTTGTGTCACCAATGCAACCCAAAGGCATTTGAGCGGGGGGAAAGAGGAAAACAACAAAATTAACGAGGGAGAAGCAGCTCACAAGTACTATCATCCACAAGAAAGGACGAGTAGATCTTCGGATCTCGTCCAGTCGTCGAGTCGTCCAGAGTAATCTCTCGATGACGAGCTCCAGATAAGCTGATAAGATGAGAACAATGTGATAAGCATCCCTGTCCAGTTTCTCCAACTGATAAGCCCAACTGGCAAATGACAAGCCACACTCCCAGCGTCCATCGTGGTAGAAATTGGGGTAAACAGACTAAAACAGACTAACTCGCTCGGACGCGCTGTCAAAGCGTAACTTAAAAGATTCATTCTGATTAAGCGAAGGCTGAAGGGTCCTCCATAATCGCGATCCATACTCCATAAGACTCTCGGAGGACTCCGTCGTTCATCAGCGACTATCTCTGTCGGCGTCTTGTGTATCTACAAGTAAAGACCGGACACGGCCGAAGCAAGAGAAAGAACTGAGATATCATCGACATGGACAAATCACAGAGCACCATGGCCCTTCTTCTCCCCGGGCAATCGCACATCCTCCCATCCACGTCCATCACCCACACCCGGCAGACTACCATGCTGACGGATCCCCTTCCACTCGGTAACGTTCATCCACCCGATCTGCTGCACGTCGCCAAACCCACCGATCCAGTAAACATGCGTGACAACCAGTCGGGCCCAGTAGCTCGCATGCGGGGATCCCGGGGTAGCGGGTAACCAGTACTTCGCATCGGGATGGGACTGGAGGAAGCACTTCTCCAAGCTGGCAGCAGCAGCGACCGATAATTCGGGGAGAGTATCCAGATACCCGAATAGAGTGATACGCGGCAACGCAGCTGGACTAGGAGGCAGGCCTGGATAGACGGCGCCCGCATCAGAGAGATGATCCCACCAGTCGATTTCAAGACTGAGGTTCGAGCCGGTGCCGATATTTCTGAATGTCGTTGCCACGCGCAGAGCTAAGATAGTCGGGTCGCCGTTATCTCCGTGCGAGAGGTTCTCGGGGAGAATCCCGTCGCAGTCAGCGATATACTCGCGAAGACCGATAGGAAAACCGGCGACCTCGGCAGGTGTGCGGGACGAGGCGGGGATGTGACTGGGGAAGGTGGTGGAGATAACACCAGAGGGAGAGAGTGCGAGTAGACGACGGGCCATCAAAGTAGATGTAAACCAGGATGGACGGGTGAAGGTATCCGCGTCAACGTCGTGGGGGGAAGCTGCATGGTCGGCATATTTCAAAACGGCCTGATCGTCGACGTACGGGATGGCAGAGGCCGAGGTTAAAGTAGAAGAGCAGAGGGCGAGAAGCCCAGTAGTCCAAGTTTTGAAAATCATAGTTGAGGGAAGTTCCAACGGTTCTTAAGCAAAGCCGATCAGGCGTCCCGCGAGAGCGAGAAGTTGGAGTGCAAACGGTTAAAGAAGTAAAGCGGGCGAAGAGGGGAAAGTGCGGAGAACAACGGAAGTTGCATCATCTGATCTTATCTGATGATCCGATAGTCCGCACTCTCATCTGACCATAACTATAGTAACAACTATAGTAATAACTATAGTGTTTATAACTAGAATCTAAGGACCTATAAAATCGACGCCGAAAATAATAGCCTCTGGCGCTAGAAACGGCTACCTTTCTACCTATAACTTTAGACGGTAAGCCACCGCCTGGGGTAAGCGCGGAGTGAATGCTGGGATAATGGATGAGGCTAAGGCAGTGCAAGGTGGCGGTATATACTGGCGTGGTCTGACAAACTAGCGTCAGCTCACACAATGATCTTCTCCAGCTCAGACAATATCTGTTCATTGACGATTAGTTATGCGACAACTCAATATTTTAGCTAACCAGCTTACCTTTTCAATGTAGCGGACTCCAACCAATATGCCATCCTCATCTTCAAACTCCCTTTCATCTCCGAATCTCTGATTGTTTTTGTCCAGGCAGGTCAAACACGAGATAACAACGTCACTACATATCTGGCCCATCACCGCTGGCAGACGCGTTAGGGCCTCCCGGCCAAGGATATCCTTGATCAAGGTAGCTGCCCTCTGTTGGTCCCTAGCTCCAATGCGTCCCTTAATTGGTAGCTCCGGGCTGGGAGTAATGAACTTTGGATCTTCCGAGTAGCAGACAAATGAAGTCCAGAGACCAATCTCCAGCAGGCAGACTCCGACACTATAAATATCACGTTGCATTGTGTATTCCTCTTCTGGGTGGAGGTCCTGGCGTTTAGGATGTCGGTATAGGTTCCTTTCCCATGTATTGTCGCCCGACATGTATGTCCGCCCTTCTGCCAAACGGAAGCGCTCAAACCCGACCAGAGACAGCTTTCCTAGGCCATCGGCGGGCTGTTGAAGGAGGAGGATGTTTTCGGGGAAATTGTTCTTGTGCACCATACAGGACGAGTGGAGGAATACAATTTACCGAGCAAGTGATACTGCTAATTTGACGCGCTCGTTCAGGGAATGGCACGTTGGTGATATTGAAAGGAGATAACGAAGGCTTCTAGGTCGTGCATGCGTAAGCTTCTCCGGGATAGGGAATCCCTATTAAAACCGGTGATCTTTTGAGTCCATGGGTCACGATATTGGATGGCACTGTGACAGGGAAGAAAGCCAAAAAGCTCCGGGTCAACATTGGAGAGAACGCGCGCCAAATTTCGGACATCTTTTACAGTCTGATCGATGTCAACTTGCTCCCTCGCTGGAATATAGTCGATGACAAGCTGCCGACCCGAGTTGCTGTCGGTAGATGCAGTAGAGAGTGGAATCAACTTCTGGTCTTTTCTACATCTAGGTCACGTAGGAGGCGTTAGAATCAGTTCCTGCGGATCATCGTGAGAAAATAGGGTTTGTGTATATTGTATAAGCGGGTTGGCCAGAGTATAGTCCGTACGCGGACGGAGAGAGGCTCGAGGACGAGGAAGAGGCGATTGAAGGGTGCACTCTAGAAGATGTAGGCTGGATGAAGGTCCCATTTGAGAGTCAATCCCTGTGATTTGGTGTTACTTGCGACCTCATTGGGTTTGGGAGGTAGAGTATCACCGTCCGCCAGGGATGTCTTGTTATCCGTGAGAATTTCATCAGAATAAAGTCAAAGTGGACTATCATATCACGAGAGAATAATCACAAGGTTGTGCCATTATCTAATCTCGTGTTGCCTCATTTCTGGTGTTCATTGTAGACTTACGCTGCTGTAGCGAGGTGAGGACTTAATCGACTGATTCCTAGATCTGCAAACTACCACACCACCAGTGTCTGTTTCACCGCTGCATTGTAGTCCGCCGTATTCTAGTCTTAGTTTTGCTAGTTCGACTCGAACCCTTGATATTCGGCCTGCAAAGGCTAAGCTCTACTAAGTTCCGGTCGGTGCCGTCTTGGCCTGTCTTAGTTGGGGTTTCCGTTCCTAACCACGGCCACCTCCTCCGTTGATATGTCAATTCCCACCTCCACCAGTAATCCGGGGTTCATTTATATTCCGACCTACCTCCCCATTGCGCCTGGCACGCTCACAGGCTGTGACACATATCGGAACTACACAGCCGCCGCGTCTCTAATGTTTGACACCTCAATTTGGAACACCACGCTTGATTTCGACTACACGCTTCTCAACCGCTGTTCTATGGTCGTGATGTTAAATCAAGTTACGGTTGCCTAGCTTATAGAGTGGAATCTAAGTCTTTTAAATGACACGAGCACCTGCTCCCTATAGCCTAGATATAGCTACTGTGTCCTGAAAGACGCGAACTCCGGTAAGTCTTAACCTATTAACGTCGTGCTTAGTTAAAACTTATCAAAGTAACAGCCACCTCATACGACTATGATAGTAGCTACTGCGTAGCTGATAGCGCCACGGAGCCTACTACTGTGTCAAATTGTAACTGTTTCACTGAGGTATTTGGATATATGGTTGATGGTAAGAGGTTTCCAAAAAAAAAGCATATGAATATACGCCCGACAGGAAGGTGGTCGGTCGACTGACGTATACTCTAGATACTACATGTGCGGAACTTGCAGAAGATGTTGAGATAACAGAAGCCGATTTGCTGATATGGAATCCTTGGCTGGCTGGCGATTGCAATACTCAGCTCTTCTTGAACCTTACTGAAAATGATGCGCGCTCAGTGTGTATTGGGGTCGATACTGACGCAACGACTACAACGACGTCGAGCACCTCCGTAGCCCCAACTCCAACCGATACTATTTCAGGCTGCCAGGAATTTTATGCTATTGTCTAAGGAGACGATAGTTCAAGCATCGAGACCGAATTTAGAATAACTCTCGCACAGTTTTACGCATAGAATCTAAGCAGTAGGTCTCTCTTTCCCCCTTAACTTATATCAACTACACCTAGCAACCATGAAAAGAAGGAAAGGAAATGAACACATAAGAAAAATGCTAACCAAGGCTAAATAGTCGGGAGTGACTGTACCAATCTTTGGCTTAACGAGGCATATTGTGTCAAGGGCCCAGCGACCACCGCAACCACGACAGCAAGCGCTGTCCCAACACAGACTGGTATTATGTCTAATTATGATGCGTACTATACAGTTGTGGAAGATGATTCGTGTGCGAACATCGAGAGCTTGTATAGTATTACGTTTGCGGAGCTATACGAGTGGAACCTAGCTATTGGATCGAATTGTGAGAATTTGTGGGTAGGGTATGCTGTCTGTGTGGGTGTTTCTTCATAGGCACACACGAGAGAAGCTTATCAGCGATACACCTGGATGAGAATGTTGGATGCTCGATGGTTGTTGGCCGTCAGGTGTCTCTGGAAGACGTTGAAGAAGAGCTTCTGCAACTTCTGGTTCGATTTTATGTAATCTAAAAGGCATCCTGAGAAATTGCTGCATGAAAGGCAAAAAATGAAACCTATTGTGAAGCATGTTTTGCCGTGGAATGAAGTTACAATATCGACTGTCCAGGAATTCCTCCTTTTATGCTAGGCTCGCATGTTCTGTCATTCATAGATAGGGCATAACATCACTAGATCAACATAGCACCATGAGCAACATTCTTAGTTATACGGACTGTTTCTTGTTCCGATATGTTCCACAAGAATATAATAATCATCAATAATCTCTAAGCTGGTCCTAAAGTCAACCATAAAGCTAAACATAGCAATCAATGCAGACGCGGAGAGCCCGAAGGCAGCATCATGCAGCATCCTCAGAAGCGGGGAACACCTGTGCCACAGCCACAGCCACAGTTACATCTGCGCCACACTGCCGAGATCGGAACACGGCACGCAGCACGGCGCAAATCGGAGACATGAGTCACTATGGTACGACAGCCTAGAGACAGCCCATGCCGAGCCGCACTACCACAAGCGCAGGTCGCAGCCTACAACTCTGCCTAGAATACGAGAGATACGAAGAAGAAAGGACCAGAAATACTGCGATCAAGTAAATGTACGATTGGCTATCCGTAGATGCGAACCCTTTCCGCCCAGACGCCGAATCCCCCGATGATGCCCACATGGTGCCATGCAACCCATAGCGCCAAGTAGATAGGATAGGAAACAAAAGCGCAGGTCTTGTGCACTGCAGCTCCATCCGAAGAACAGCGGGATGTCAAGGTAGATAGGTAGGAGGTAGTAGTAGTAGTAATAGTAACCCCAGGTTGAAGGGGATATGGGTAATAGTGATAAAAGCGAGGGAAACCAAAAAAAAGAGTAACGAACCGTCCCATGCCCACCACACTCCGTGCAACGAAACAAAGTAGAAAAAAAGGATGACAAAAGAGGATGACGAGGGCAAGGAACCACGTGCATCGTACACTTGCAAGACCATTTTTGGTGGTAACTTGCGCGACAACTGAGTGGGGAGTCCGGGTTGAGAGGGGAGTATGTACAAGAGAGGTTCAACCCGGCACTCAGTTGCCAAAAGAGAGAGGGATAAGTATAGGGTAGTAGGGGAAAACGGGGTTGGGGAATCATCCGAAAAAACCACGAGGCTTTTGGTTGAAACAATCAAGAAAATAAAAAAGACGGGCTTTTTCTAATCCTCAAAAAAACAAAGGAAAAATCCCAGAAAAGCACCAGTCCCGTTTAGTTCAGGTAGTCTGCGCGAATGCTCGGGTTGAGAGCAATCTTGCGCGCCTCGCTGCCACAGCAAGCCCGCTTCATGCCAGCGGGACCTGAAAGCGACGATCCGTTCGAAACCAGGAACGAGTTAGCCAGCTGCCCGTCGGGAAGGACGGATGCAGGAACGCCAGATGCGCCCGCATCGATCAGATGGCGAACGTGGTTCTGGAGGAGCAGATCGTCGGAGCCAGTACGACCGCGTTTGCGACACTGGCGGCGCTCGGGAGTAGCACCCGACAACTCGCAGAGACTCCGGGCAGCTTCGCTCAGACTAGAGTCCAGGGTAAACGAGGACAAGTCCGGCGCAGAGCCCATCGCACCTGGGTAGTCAGAAGAACTGTAGAGATCCACCAGAGAAGTCGTCTCGTCGATCGGGGACGCAATCGCCAGAGTCTTGCGACTCTCCTTGAGAGAGTTGTTGGTGCAACGCAAGGTGGCCGTCACGGCCAGGCGAGAAGGAGCTGGGCAACCGGCACCTGAGGCGCTGGAAGAGACCGACGAAGATCGCGAAGAGCGCGACGACAAAGTCGACACGTCCGAGACCATCGAGTCTGGAGACGAGGCCGATGAAGCCGACGAGGTCGAGCGAGCCAAAGAAGACCGACGAACCGCAACCGGATATCCATCATACGACGGAGCCCGGGAACAGAACGAGAGCGGCGGGCGCTGATCAAGAGTCGAGCGCGCCATTCCCAAGTTCTGAGCCTGGGACATCGCAGTACCGATGGAAGGACGGCGGGGGCCACATACACTCGCAGCAGGAGTGCAGGCAACGTGCGACTGAGGGGTCATCTGAGGCGTGGGCAGCATCTGAGGGCGGGAGATGGTCGGCATCGGCAGATGCGCGTACTCCAGGCGAGGCGTGGGCTCCATCGTCCGAGGCAGGCTGCGCGGGCAGGTGGGAGTCTGTTCGCGCGACATGGAGCGAAGCGACTCGATGCTCGGAGCACTGCGTGGCGAGGGGGAGTCGGCCAAGCCCAGATCCATACTACCCATCGAGACGGGAGTCATCGGCTCAAAGTCGAGAGACTCCAACTCGGGAGTAAGACGAGGCAGGACGGTGCGCCAGCACTGGCCCTCACTAGCTGGGAGGCCACCAGCACCGGGGGTCAACTTCAAGACGAGGTCGGTCCAGCGCTGGAAGGTAGCTTCGGAGATGTGCAGGCGCCATCCGACAGCCTCGAGGAACATCAACTCATTCTGGTTGATCTCCAGTGTGTTCAGCCCCGAGATCTTACTCCACGCGCGGGCAGAGTAGTTGCGATCTTGGAGATACTTAGAGGCCAGGATGAGAGCCGCCAAAAACATGCGGCGACCACACTGCATGGCCCGCATACACGACTGATTCCGAGGTTGCTCCTTGGTAAAGTCGTGCGAGGGCACATGGGACTTAATCTTAATCAAATAATATAAAGCCACCTGCAGGGTGGAGTAACTAGTACGTGAACGACGAAGGGTTTCCTGGATAAACGTCCGCAGAGGAAGAACTCCTTTGGAACCCGTCGCGGCATCACTTCGGGATGCCGCGGCAGACAACGGCCAGATGTTTTCGACGATTTGCGACGCCGTATCTTCACGAGACGAAGCAAAGAGAAACCGATTTAGCCGGATGTGGGGGGACATTGGGGGGGGGGGGGGGGGGAAGGAGGGGGAGAGGATCTCCCGATCAAGACTTACCGACGAGGTTATCGACGAAATTCACCTTCCGCTCGGACTGCCGGAGCAGACATGGCGGAGGCCGCGCGGCGGAACCGTTGGTCGCAACGTTGGTGCGCCGAGGATGCATACGCAGCTCGGCAGGCACAGCACCATCGAGCTTAGGAGGAGCTCCCTTGGTAAAAGCACGAGGGCATGTGGCCATAGGTCTCCCGAGTGTCTCTCCCTCATTCTCCCAAATCACGTCGACGGGGTTGGTCGCGGTGGATGAAACCGAACTCTGTGAGGCGTCGAGCGAAAAGACCGAGGAGGAAGAGGAAGAGGCGGAGGAGGCAATAGAGGAAGGGTAAGGATGCGCGTGAGGCGCTTTGGAGCTTGGGTTAGAGATGTGTAAACCCAAGACGTCCATCCCCGACATATCCGGAAGCGTAGAGGGGTTCATGATGTGATGACTGATTCGGTGGCGGTAACAGTCACGACTCAAAGGACTTTTTTCTCAGGAGCGACCGAAAGGTTAAGAAGAGGATGATCCGATTTTTGGAACCGTAAGTTTGTTTGTCAAGATACCGTGTAGCAAGGAACCGGGAACGAAGGCCGAGAAGACAGAAGCCGTCTTTTTGCGGGAGGCGACGGCAAAGCCTTTTAAAAGGTGAAGATCGCCAGGGTGACGAGGAATAATTAAAGAAGAAAGGGAGACCACCGACGCGACTGACTGTGTGATGAGAGTCGGCAACGGAGGTGGCGTGTGTAAACTGGAGTGATGTGTTGTGGTGGTTGGGGAAGAAGAAGAGAGTAAGAAGGAGGAAGGTTAAAGAGATCAAGAGTGTAAACGGAAAGCAGGAACAAGTGGGGGGATATCAGAGTAGACAAAGGGGAAGAATATAAATCAAGAGTGGAATATAGAGAGTCACAGGAGACCGATCGCTTGGTGTTGCGGCTATGAAGGACCGTGGCAAAGCTGGTTGATGACTCGAAATCAAATTTAGATGGAGACGGAACCAGCGATGACGGAGACGAGATCGATAGCGGCAACACGGGCGATCGGGTGGGAGGAGGCAGTATACATTTTGATGAGGCTCGAATAGAGGATTAAAGGAAGAGATCCAAGGCACCTAAGAGTCCATGAACAGGCAGTCGTGACCGTTCAGGGCTTTAGGGACCAGGCAGGATTGGGGGCGAGAAGGGGGCGCGGTTAGGCGTTAGGCGGCAGTTGATAGTTAGAGAAGGAGAGGAGGAAAAAGAGATGAGAGGGAGAGAGGATGAGAAAGGGAGGCGAAGTTTGTCGAAATCGGGTATCGGGGGGGGAAAAGAGAAGGAGTCAGGAGGGCGAGCAGAGGTTTTTTTAGGCTCACGGGTATGACTCCTTGGGGTGGGTGGATGGATGGTTCCGAAGTTGACTAAGAGGGGAGAGGGGGGGAGTGGAGGAGAGAGAGAGAGACAAGAGGCGAAAGTTGGGAGGAAGAGAAAAGTGGAGAATGACAGAGTTCGGGGGGAGTCAGTTCGGTCGGTTCGGTCAGTTTAGAGAGAAGAAGAATCAAGTGAGTTGGGATGTGGCGAAGGTGGCGGGAAGACTCTGGACAACCCGGATGCGGCCGGGTGACTCAAATATACTCACGATAATCAGGAACAATACAATAGTTATCATATAATGATAGTAGTTAATACTACTATCATCGTGATTCTACTATCAGATTCTACTATCATATTCTCTCCTAATCTAGCCCTATTCTTGTCGGGTCGATGTTCTCCGTACTTTGTTCATCCCCAAGTATACTCTACACCCTAAAGTACCCGATCCCTCTACATACTCTAGTACTTACTGTAGTAGTCCTTTCATAATTTACTTGGGTACTCATCTACTCCCTCCCTGATTCGTCAGTCTATCCTTTCTTGAGTCATAACTCTACCCTGTTTAATAATGAAGGTGAATAATAACGGATTCCCTCCCCTTAGCGTTGCCACGCTGTTCTTCCCCCGGCCAATCCACGCCCGATCGTTCTGATTTTTGCCCCACGGGCCCTACCATTATCCTCCTTCTTATTGGCTATTCGTCCCAAATCCTCTGGCCAGTTGGGCCTTTGTCAAAGCCACGCCAGTCGCAAGATGGGCAGGGCTTAGGCCCTGCCCTCCGATCGGCACTATTCTTGGACTGACTTTGGACAAGGAAGCCTCCATCCAAGCCCGCTGAGCCACCATGGTCTGACCAACTTGGATGAAGCCAGAGAGTGAAAAAAAATAATAATAGACACTTAATAAGTACGCAGCAATAAAGGAAAGCAAGCGGCCTATCGGGTATCCAAGCGGAACCACTGGGCTGCAAGAAAGAGGAAAAAAGAGGTTGGGGAGCCGGGCAGACCTGCAGACCAGCATGAACTACGGAGTACTAACCACGTCAACTACGTAGTCAAATGCCGTCCGCTATCGCAATGCGGAGAAACTACTAAGCTCCGTAAACTTGATATACTCCATCTCCAGCCTTCTCTTCCTAATCAGTCCTAGTTCATGTCATGAGATTATACTGGAGGTTGGGCTGCCAGCCTATGACTGTTAAAGCAAAAAAGACCCTTGGCATGTAATAATATGTACAGTCTATGACAGCGACTACAAATTAATTTATATCCCTGTTCACTTCCCGGGCGCTTACGATTATTATTAGCAACCAGCTAGACAGAAAGGCAAAAAGGGGAGCACTGACAGCGAGCTGAAATCATCTCGTATTCCATACGCCCAGCTCGGATTCTATGACCGGCAGGAAGCTTATTATGATGATGACATTTTAAAATTAAGAATAAGACTGGAAAGTATGAATTATTACCCTCTTTAGGACAAAGTTTCGTTTCTCTATCACAGTATCACTACTATCGGCGCTTTCTATCTTCCATATCGTCACGAAATCAACCCAAAATGACGATATCGGCAAAACGCCGGCATCGGCCCCCACATAAAGTCACGAGGACGACAGTCCTCCGTAGACCGAGCACCATGGAAATGGCTATCAAAGAACCGAATCGATATCATCAGGTTCCTCATTTCCATAGTCCATCAAATATGACTCATTCTCCCACCGATATGCCACTCCCGTGATCATTCTACAACTCTGCCAGAGCCTCCTGGAGAACGGTCACTAGCCCCGCCACCTCCGCCTCTGTTGCCTGATTAGCGGCCCCATACTTGACGATATACTTGAGTAACGTGATGCGATGTTCAGGTCCACAGTGCCCTGAAAAGGCTGAAACCGCATGCACGCCATAATGCCATTACAAGGCAAGGGAAAGCACTCACCAGTATTGTAATGCAACAAACTCACTCTCACCACCCCATCATCCACATCCTCCAATCCACACACATCCTTCAATAACCGATGACTATACATATGGCCACTCCGGAACCCATACGCAGACCGCGCCTCAACAGCCTCAACCAACCGCTGACTCTGCACCCCGGACACGACGAAACTAATTACCGGCACCCGTAGCTCTTGACTAGCCGATGGCTCACCGATGATCGTGACCCGGTCATGCGCAACCAGGAACCGCAACAGGATGCCCTGCAGGCGTTCCTCATGCGCGACCATGGCCGTCCACGTTGCGCCGGGATCAGCACCAAAGTACGCCACCACGGCGGGGATACTCTGGGTGAGCTCGTAGTTGGCCGAGGCTAGGTTGAGCTTTAGGTCTAGCGTGTTGGTGGGTTTGAAGAAGTGTGCTAGCGAGTTGATTTCATCATGGATGCGAGAGGAGGCGTAGAGTTGTGCCAAGTGGGGACCGTATACCTTGTACCACGAGAATGCCTGTTTTTGGGGGTCGGGCCAAGAGTGAGTAAGAGAGCCTCACGATAAGCACAGAGTATGAGTCAGTTGTCGTATTGGGAACGGCTAGACTTACGTAGAAATCTACACCGAGGGCTTGAACGTCGACTTGGCGATGGGGTGCGAGGGCGACACCGTCAACGCAGAGGAGTGCCTAGTTGAAAGGTCATGAGTTAGTGCAAATACCTCTTTGGGAATGGATATGTTTGGCGATATCGTAAGATGCCAGATTTACTCACTCTCGGGTGAGCATGGACAGCATCGGCAATCTCCCGAATAGGACTAATAGTGCCAGTGATATTCGAAGCATGTGGACATGCAACCAGACGAGTCTTGTCTGACAAGAGGGTTTTCAAATCTGCAACATCACACGTAGGATTCTTTGGGTCGGACGATGCCCACCACTTCACGGTTAACCCGAGGCGCTCCGCGATGCGGGCCCAGGGTGCACTGTTAGCCTCGTGGTTGAGCTTGGACACGATGAGCTCATCGCCAGGCTGGAACTTGAGTGCCGTAGAGAGGTTGTGTAGTAACTGGGTGGTTGATACTCCAAGGCTGATCTGTGAAAGTGTGTCAGATGAATGGATCCTCCTGCTAATATGACAAGCTTAGTGTTGGGACACTTACCTCTTCTGGCTGCGCATTGATAAAGCCTGCCGCAGCCTTATATCCATTTTCATAAGCTGCAGTTGAAGTCTGAGAAGTCTTGTAGGTAGCACCAAGCTGGACGTTGGTATTCAGCAAGTAGGAGTGAATACTGCGCGTTGTAACTATTAGCTATCGTGCCTTGGCGATATACTATCTTGTCTAATAGACTCACGAATCCGCAACGGTGCCAAGAACTTGACTTCCTCCTAAACGATATCAGTAACATAGTCTATGACATACTTTGACTTGATACCGATGTCACTCCCTACCTGCATTATCCATGTAAATCTGCTCTCCTTCAAGAGCTGGGAATGCCGCTCGGGCAGCAGCCACATCCAAAGCAGACGCCATGTTGAGATGTTGGTTTTAAATAGGTATATAGTTAGTCCTGGACCTCTGAAGATTGATTAATGTAAGTTGCACAACTGAATTTAAGGAGTCGATGTTACCTCCGTGAGGGGTAGTTGTGAGGTGGATCTCATTTGATAACGGATTTGTTCCGGTGGGTTCGTGCTTTGGACCTGAATCTCGCCATGGAGATGAAATTTCGAATACATCGCTAGATGAATTGAATCAGCTTAGATCAATAGCTCATCGAAGCCTCATTTACAACTACTGAGGAATCTGTACCCTTGCTGGGAATTCAGAGAAGCTGGGAAATCTACTTACCCATTATAGTTCGGGCCGTGTTCCGGGAAGCCTGGAAATATATATCCAAAGCCTCAACACAGAAATGCAAATACACAAAGAACAAACTATATACTGGAATACAGGTAGCATAAAAAGGTATACAAGCAAAGCAAATCGACTTATCAACGCTAAAGAATTTTGCTTCGATCGGGTATATGCCATGAGAAAAGAAACCCCCGTAAGAAAAACAATCAACACGAGTAAAAACACAGCCCGAAAACCGCAACCACAAGACACCAAGGTATCAATCGACATCGCCCCAGATTGAGAAAAAAGGAAAAAAAATAGACACAATAATAGAACATTGAGATAAAATCTATCTACCGCGACGAACGAGCACCCGCCGCGCCAGGACCACCTCCTCCATGCGCGGCATCATGCACCACGCAAAGAAGATACTTGCGATCCGGCACGACGACAATCTCATGTTTCCTTGTACGCATACGCAACAACTTGATTTCATCCTCCTCCTCACGATCCCCCCTGCCCATCCTGATCTTCTTCCCTAGGCGTGGTGGAACCCGTGCCATTCGCATAGCTCCCATACTCCGCATCCAATCCGCTCGACGAATGTCCATTAGCAGTAGACTGCGTGGTAATAGGTCGAGCCAGGGAGATTCCCAGCGCAGAGGCGCTGGAGACAAAATTGAAGATATGCGCAGCCAGCGCCTCTGCCTGCGAGGGCTGATACGTCGTTGGTGTCGGGGATGTTGGGGAGGCAGGGGACGAGTCGGAGGATTGTGCGGTCGGAGTTTGATCGGGGGTTGATGAGGTTGGTGGTGTACTGCGAGGAGAAGTGTTCTCTGGAGCGGCGAGTTGCCCTGTGCTTTGGATGATGGAGCCGTCTTTGCGAGAGAGGATCAGGGTGGATTGGACCCCCGGGCGGGAGGTGAGGTGTGATAGGAGCGCGGTGACATGTTGGGGCACCTGTTGTGTGCGCTGCTTCGGTGGTAAGTTTGAGGATGTAATTGGAAGGATAGGACTGGGCATACCTGTGGTGGGTTGGCCATGCTGGGCTGCGGGGAATGTTGAGGGAGTGAAGAGGTGGGAGCGGCGGACGGTGTAGGGGAGGTGTATGTTTATGAGGGTCAACAAGATACGAGGAGGCTTGTAGTCCTTGACAATGGGTGGTATTTTCTTTCTGATACCTGCGCCGGGCAGTTACAGTGAATCAATTAAATTCGTAGATCAAAAGAACAAAAGACAAACCTCTCTGAGAGCCCAAAGCCAGCGGGAGCTCTGACGGGACCCAAACAGAGATGACTAAGCGGATCACATGGGGGTTCCAAGGTTGCCTTCTGGAAGGTTTCCTATTTGGGAATCGACATTGGAGAGTACAAAAGTACCTAACTAGTGCTACATGAGTTGCCTTCTCTATATCTACAATAAGACGTATGAAAAGACCATTTCTTTTCGTGCAGATCGAAAGGGTCGAATAACTTAGGGATAACAAAGTCCAGCAATCCGATTGAATCAATGATAAATGTAAATATGAAATGGTATCGTCGAGAAAAGTTATAAACACGATTGAATATCATCCCAACCAAATAAAGAGTATAAGAAACCAAAGATCGTCAAAGCTTTCAGAGATCGCATCACATCATCAGTAAGAAGTGACAAAGAATGTGAAAAACAAGACCAATAATAAATCGACCTCAAGCATAAACGAATCACCATCTTAGCGACTTCTCGCCATCCGGGCACCGCTCATACTCGATTTATCCGACATCCACCCACCACTCTCAATATCCTCCATCCTGTTATCCGATTGTCGCACATGAGGCCGCCCCTCACGATACGACCCGGGCGTCTCGAACCCGCTATTCTCACTGCTATGTGATGAACTGACCCAGCTCTCCGGACGTGGCGTGAACCGACTCTGATACGGACTCGGATGGCTTAGATGAGAAAAGCCGGGGGGGAGAGCAGAATCACCTAGGCCTTCAAAGGGATTCTTGACGCCGGCATTGAGAGCGGCCATCAGAGCGGCCTGAAGAATTTGGTTCTGGCGTTCCAGGTTGGCGACCCGGTCCTCAAGGTACTGAGTCATCTGGCTGGCGTTTGGTTGAGGGCGGTGGGTGTTGTGGGATTCACGAGACCGACGTGTAGGTTGAGAGTATGTTGATTGAGGAGACATGGCACTCTTTTCTAGAGTACGGCTGGAGCGGCCTTGAGGTGTTTGAGTTCGGATGGGATGAGGGTAGCGTAGGCGGCCGTGACTGGGGCGTGCATCCATGGTGGCATAGCCCTGATGAAGGGGATGAGCACGCGTGGGATGTTTCTCAGACGTGCGATGAGAGCGTGTGGTGTCTGCGCCAGGACCGAAGCCCTCATCGTCCGAGGATGGAAGTGGAGACTCGCAGCGACTTGGTTCAGAGGACTCGGGAATACTCTCGTGGCGCAAGCTGCTGCGGGAGCTGTTGCTGCGGGAGATCATAGAGGCCCTGTGGTGACCCACAGCGAAATGCAGGTCCATGCCCTTGGACGAGTGCAGACTCGCTGGGATGGGGGCAGTGTAATTCCGACCCCCTTGAGGACGTTCAGGGAGAGGTTGCGTCGGAGGTTCAGAGGGGAGAGCCGCGGTAGGTGGCGGCGAAGGCAAACCGAAGGGGAGGTTATTGCGATCCAGACGAGGATCGATCCGGAGTGTTCGAAGAGGAGGAGGAGGAGCACGCTTGTCATGAACTTTTGTCGGAGTCATTTGTCCTAGAAGCGGAGAGTCGGCAATCGGTAGACCCTCCTGTTCCTCATGATCAGGGCTTTCAGGTAAATCTTGCATGCGTGGAATACGAATGCTGGATGCACGTCGCCGAGGCGTGCTCTGCTCTGGGGATGTTGACTTTGGCCGCTCGGGGGTGTGAATAGATTTGGCATTATCATGGTCGGCCACCGAATCTGCCTCACCTGCGTATCCAAGTGCGGTTGCAGCACGAGTATCGGTAGGTGGCTCATTAGCCTGTGTCTCGTCAGGGCCCGGTTCACATGGGTGCTCTGCGATGGGCGAAGGATGTGAGGGCTCAACATCCGGAGCTTTCAGAGTAGACCGAACTGTGCGAACAGTGGTAGTAGTTTTGGCATCCGGAACAGCTGGCGGTGCACGCCCAGGTTGTGGGATCGATGGTAAAGGCCTCGTGGGTGCTGGAAGAGGGAAAGCCTGGAGGGTGCCCATGGCCAACGACGGTGGACGAGCCTTGGTCTTGGATTGTGTGCTTGGCTGAGAATTGTTGATTTCAGCCGTGGCAGACTCTGTGGAAACTGCAGATGTCGTGGTAACCCCAGAGCAACGTCGAGCCCCTTCGTCTTTTGATCTCCTCGACGAAATATCAGATGGAGTTGACTTCCCTGGCTTAAGCTCAGATGCCCCAGGCGGAGACTCTGTACCTGCCGATGAAGGCGGATTGGGAGGCCGTTGGTACTGAGGCACCGATGAAATCCTCCATGCGTTTTTGCTAGACATGCGTGGAGGTGCAACGTCAGGGAAGAGCTTCAACGATGGCTGTGAAGGGGGACTTCCGGACGAGCTTGAAGTGGATTTGTCCGAAGTCTGGGTAGCCGTCTCAGCAGGCCCAATGGATTGGTCAGGCTTTGACTCGCTCGAAACAGATGGACGTGACAATGCCGGTGTATCCTCACCGACAGGCTTGATGTTGAGACCTTGAGTCGTAGGTTTGGTGTCAGGGTCCACAGTACGCATGTTTGAACCACTTGCACTGGAATATTGCCGCCCAGGGTCATCCTGGGAGACACTTCCCAATGTTCCCGCTGTAGATGTGGGTGGGGACATCGGTCGATCGCTGTTTGAGCGAGAGTAAATAGAGCTTGAAAGTGGGAGTGTCGGCGACGACTGAGATGCACTATTTTGTTCACCCCGAGATGCGGCACCACTTGAAGAGAGCGACTGGTACGGCGGAGGCGATGAATCGTCGAACTGTTGTGACAAGGACACGGCCACGTCGACCATTGAGCCGAAATCACTGAGATCCAGAGAGGCCAAGCGACGTTTGAAATCGGAAGGTCCCTTCTTGGTATCATTGTCCAGCCATGGCTGTCCGATGGTCTCGACATCCTGCTTCTTGGACTTTGAGAATGTGCGCTCCAGGCTATTCTTCGAACTGATGCTGGTCTTGGCCGAATGGTTGCTTCTTGGCTTGGGAGCCGGAAGGAGGTATCCCTCCCTTTGGAGTGCCTCGATCTGGCGTTGATTGTCATCGAGCTTGGATTTTGGGAATAAATCCTTTTTCTGACGCTGCGTGAATTGAAGTAGACGACGATGTAATGGCTTTACTTCCTTTGCCATTTCCAATTGCTTTCCTTTTGGCTCCACGGATTCAGTGACCACAGGCAACGCCGTAGTACTATCCGGCGACGTAGGTGCCTGCACAGACGAAGGACCCGGTGTAGGCGTACTCTGGGCGGTCTGAAAGAAGCGAACGAGATCTGACAGATTTTCATTTCGGGACGGTCTCTCAGCCATGCCCGCTGAGCGGGCCTGTGGCCGAGGAGGAGACACCTGTGCCCTTGGGATCATACCCCCTCGAGGAGGGGTGGATACCGTAGATCCAGAGACCGAAGAAGGCATAATTGATTGCCTACGTTTGGATTTGGATGGGAGTGGATCAGGCCGCCAGGTCGGGACTATTGGACTCGGTGCAACGGCACTATCATGTACAGTGTCCCGATGATGCATAGGGGCATCAACTGGTTGACTTTCCAATCGAACCGTTCGTATTCATAAGGAGTTCTTTAGTTGGTTGTTCGGCTTTCCTTGATGGTTTGTGTTCAATGGCTCAAAAGGAGTAGACACTGTCGCGTGTTAGAAGAGTCATATCGAACATTATATTCTCCATAACTCACCAATTCAAGGAGGAAAAGCCCAAAACAGTAGGCACGAGAGCAAATCTGGGGGTATCAAGACGAGGAACGGAGACTGGGGCGAACTGAGAGACAAGTATTTACGAAGACGAGCCACTATGTACAAGGTGAATGGTGTGGCAAGTCTTTCGGAGCAAATGAGCGCAGTAGGGGGGGAAAGAGTGGACTGGAAAAACCCAGCTGAAACGAGGCAACCAGAAAAAAGTCAAGAACCCGACAAGTGGCAAAGGAGGGAATTGCTAGTTTTTAAGGATATAGGTACAGTAGCTCGGTCAGGAGCAGTTGAGCTGTCGCATCTAGGGTAGAGAGAGAGGGGGGTGCAGCCAACGCACCGCCATCCTGGGTTCGTCGATCCAGATGCAGGAATACTGTAGTTTTGGGGCCCGCCCTCGGCGAGCGGATAGCCTGGAAAGGGCCACCGATACGGTTGAAGTTAAAATCATTGGTTTCTAGGGCGGGAGAGAGGGGTTGGAAAGGGGACAATATTGGCAAATGCAGGCTCATTGAAGGGGTTCGTTCTCCGAGGAACCTTTGAACCGAGCCCGATTGTCTGGGAAGAACCATAGATGGTTCATCACTTTTGCCATGGGCAAGATGTCAGATTCAAACCGATGCAGCGGGTCATCTGGGTACTTTCAGTACGATGGTAAACGCGTCGAGGAGTCTGACGGTGGGCGGCAGTGCTGCATGGATTTGCAATATGACACAGCAGCTGGTGGAGTTGGCAAACTATTTCGGCCTCGCCCGTCTTCTAGCTGCAGGCGATTAGTTTGGGGTCCTCAGTGGGGACCCGACAAGATCAGATTGCAGCTCTCATTTGTGCACTCTGATCGCTCTCTGGTCCTTGTTGTGCAACACAAGCTGGCGCATGGCGACCGTCATATCGAAGCCCGCAGGAGAGACAAGACACGAGAAACGAAGGAGGAGTTTCCTCCTTCATTATGCTGCGCAAGGGATGGAGCTTTTTTTTCTCTCTCATCAGAAACCAGTCGATCCTGCCGACCCGATAAACCGGACGAGCTGGGCCCCGCGTACGAGAGAAAGTATAAACGACGTCAGGATGTGAGCTATCAGACTCCTAGGGGGGCAGTTGACGCGGGCGCCGATCCAAGTCGATCCCGTTGATCCAAGCTCAGGGATCCCCGGGGCGGGAACGGACAGAGACGATCATTCTGAATGAGTTGCAGCTGGAGTTCTGTTTCGTGGTTGCTAAGCAGACATGGTGGAAGGAGAAATGATGGAGGGTGGAAGGGGAAGAAGTTGTTGTGTGGGAGTGTTTCAATAAAGCGGCAATAATAATGCACACTGTACAAACCCTACAAAAAGGATGAATTTTGTGTCTACGAAGTAGCCGATCGATCTATCGAATATCGACTCTCCACCACCCTTGCAGTAGTCAAAAGATCCACCTTGGACTAAGTACAGTACTTATGATGACAGTTGAGCCTGTTCCCCTTTCAACCAGCCCCTGTACGGTCCTCTCGCTTTTATTCTCCGGCCACATCCCACCGTTCAATCTGCAGGATCTGAACAATTCTTATGTATCCGAGGATCGTCTTCCGGTTTGCGATCGCAAAAACGGAGCCGATAACGCCTCTCGTGCGCCACCGTAGAGTCAAATGGGAGACTCGCATAAGTAGGCAAACGGCCAACGTACAGCAAACATGGTGGAATCCTTCGCAAGGAAAGCAACGGAAGAACTTTATCCTAGAAATCACCAGAGTTGAATTAGGTCGATGTTTTACAGTAGAATGAGCCATCTCTCTACGAGGTCACTATCCATATGGCAGTCAATGTGATGTGGTACTAAGACGGTTTACCACCCATTGATATTGTGATAATGTATGCTTCGCTGGCTGTAAGGATATGCCTATGGGTACAAGATCGAATCTCAAACGTGGGAGGATTCTTGAAAACGCCTGCGAATGCTGTGCAGCAGGGCCGAGAACCTTATCGACTCGATTTTCATGACGAGTCTCGGGTAGATGGGCTGCTCGACTCTATTCACTGCTGCAAGAGAGATAATAGAAACAAATGGTTGGTTTATGTGGCCGGGTTGTAATGTGACAGGGAGAGATGTGATGGTGGAGATCGGGGTGGAGATCGTGGAGCAGAAGGACACGGAAGGAGGGATCCGAAGAAGAAAACAAGGTTGAGAGAAAGCGAAAATCAACACAATTCATCGTGAGAAAGAGTGAGACACGGTGGCGCTCTACTTTTGTTTCGGCTTGGGTCGCCGAATGAACGGGTCTACTTCTTTCTTTTTGCGTATGATTGGGGGACGCGGCTTGGGCTGAGCAGGATGAGGAGCCTAAACGTGAGAAAAAAAAGACGTGAGCAAACCTATCTAACAATCTTTAGAGCCAGACGACTTCGTTTCTTACCTCTGTAGCATTTGAGCCAGGTGCAGAAGGACCACCACCACCACCACCACCACCACTCGCCGACGGTTTCTTTGTGCCCGATAGCGGAGCGGGGCCGCTGCGAGCAGGATTACTAGCAAGGCCCTAAAATTAAGTGTCAGCATGGACAAATTTTGTTATAGATCAGATATGGCAAGGATTGAGATTAAACTTACAGGTGGCAAGGCTCGCGGTCCCCTAGGCGCATTCGGTGGTGGACCCGATGGACCGGTACGCGGCCGTGACGCCTTCGGTCCATCGGGGGGCTGCTCATTTCGCTTTCGCTTGTTGCCAGTGTTCTCATTGGGAGCCGAAGACGAGCTGCTGGACACGGCGATAGTGGGAATCTTGGGATCATGGCCACCCATCTGGCGTTGACGCTGACGCTCGGCATTTTGCTTTTGATAATCAAGACGACGACGCTCTTCATTGGCGATACGGCTCTTCTCATGCTTGGGAAGCGGCTTGGCCACGCATTTGATAGCAGCATGACCTATCTGACCACACTCTAGGCAGCGGATGGCAGGGCAGTTGAACTTGTTGTGACCAAACTCGCGGCATCGGTAACACTGGCCGCGGGCAACCTCCTTGGCGTCGTCGTTATCACAGTTGTGAGTGAAGTGCTCGTTGCTGCCGCAAATGCCACACATCTTGGTCTCGTCCAGACCAACGGCACCACCAGAGGGACCATCAGGGCGAGGCGTAGGAATAGAGACTGGTACGGTGGCCACAACTGGCCGGGGCCCAGGGCCAGCCTGTCCCGAGGAAGTTTGAGAAACCGACACATTATTGACTGGCGGGTTGATGGGAGCGGCAGTCGGCGCAGCTGGGGCTGCCGTGGTTGTAGGAGGAGTAGCCGCGTCAACATCAACCATTTCAACCTCCTTGTAACCAGTAAATTGAGGTCGCTGGAGAAGCTTTGGAATATTGCCTTCGGTGTAGAGCTTACGCTCTCGTGCGTTTGTGATGAGACCTCGCCAGTATTGACCCTGCATTAGGGCGCTAGAGTTACCTAACACCCAGAGAGAGGATTTGGCACGGGTGAGACCGACGTTCATACGACGGATATCGGACAAGAAACCGATACCGTTGTTGGAGGCACGCACACAGGAGAAGATGATGACCTCACTCTCTCGACCCTGGAAGGCATCGGTGGTGTTGAAGTCGACCTTTTTCAAGATATCCTCACCGTATGTAGATGCAAACTGGTTTCTCAACTCACGTAACTGGCCCTTGTATGGAGTGATAATACCAATCTTGTTTACAAAGTCGTAGTCCTTGACATCCGTGACCAGACGGTCATACAGTTGCATGGCAACCTGAACCTCCGCGTAGTTGATAAGAGAGCGACCTTTGGGCGCACTATGGTGCATACCCTGGACATCGAAAAATCGGTACGGACTGAGTAGTTCGCTCTGGTGCCACGGGCGAACACGCAGCTTGTCCATATCGGGACCATCCTGAAGCTTGCCATCGTAGAAGGTGAGGCTGGGGAAGGCACTGATGTCTGGATGCATACGGTACTGGACGTCCAGCAGATGCACATCCTTCGGGTAATTCTTCTGCATGCGCACGAACAAACTTTGTTCGTACTGGAACTTCGATGCCATCTTCGACAGGACGGTAGGCGGCAACTGTTTAGGGTCACCGACAAGGATACACTTAGAGCAACCGTACTTGAGCGGGATGAGGGCGCTCAGCTCGATACATTGAGCCGCCTCGTCAATAATGACAGTTTCAAACTCAACGTTCATGCCCAGGAAGATCTCGTGTCCCGAACCGCTGAGCGTGGTGCAAATGACATGAGCACCGTCGATAACCTCCTGCTGAATGCGTCGCTTCTGCATGTCCGCATTGCGGGCCAGAGTGGAGACTTGGTCGCGGGCCTTGTCAATGTCTGCACTCAGTTGAGTTCGCTTTTTCTTCATCAACTCAAACTCGCGCTCCAACTCTTCGGGTGCTTGGATTCCCTTGGCTCGGCAATCATCAAGACTAGATCGGAGCTCCTTGAACTGAGTGTCAGTCTTCTTGTGCTCGTCATAAAGTTTCTGCATATCCACGTTGTTTGATGCAGAAGGGCTTTGACTGATGCGGGCATTGACCATCTCGTCAAGGGTCACATCAAGAACTTTGGCATTGATGGCATCGCTTCGGCCCAAACGAACGACCGAGATCTTTTCTACGCGACCATGACGAGTCTTGACGCCGTCCTTCATTCGCATGACCAGTTCGTCGACAGCGGCGTTACTGGGTGCGCACACCAGCACTTTCCGGGAAGTCGCAGGTCGGGAGTTGCCAATGGAGACTGCAACCTTGCTGAGGACATTGGTCAAGAGACTGCCAACGAGAGCGGTGATAGTTTTGGTCTTTCCGGAACCGGGGGGACCCTGAATAAGGGTAAAAGCATCATTATCCATGGCTGACTTGATAGCCTTGGCCTGGGCACGATTGATCTCGTAGTTGTCCATGTAAGGCTGCAAAGTGGAATCTCCGTATGCGAGGAGTGGTGACGGCTTGGCAAGCACAATCTCTTCACAAAGATCATAGTATTCCAAGGCCATCAGAGCACCGTATTCACGCTCTACGGGGGTCAACGAGGTAACCTTGACACCAAACGCTGTTGAACCAACAGTGAAGGATTGAAGGAACTTGTTGGGTCCCGGGTTCATACGGTAGGTAACCTCCATCTTTCCACCTTTACGATTGACATGGGCAACTCGAGCAAGGATATGTGGAGCGCTCTCGGTCTCATGCGGCTTTGCAGCGTTGGAGAACAGAACAAGATCGCCTTCGCTGATAAAGAAGTCCTTGGAAGGTAGACCGAGAGGCAAGGTACTGACTTCAATCCACGAATCCACGGTCAAGCGGGTCATAACCTTGACCTCAAAGGGCCGGAAGGAGGAGGCGCCTTCTTCCTTGGCTGACTGGAAACCTTGCCAGGCTTCGAGAATCAACAGGGGCTCGAATGTGTTCTTGTATTCCATGGGAGAACGGAACGAATTCGAGACAAGGGTATAGTCTGTGCGCTCCGAGGTAGATGGGAGATCGCCAGTTGCAAAATAATTCCAGGAAAGAATCTTGTGGTGCAAGGACGAAAGATCCGGGGACAGACGGGCACGCATATCCTTCATGGAACGGTGACGCTTTACCTTCCTTATGGGCATCTGCTGGGGGGTCTTCTTCTGCTGCTCGGAGGCGTCCGTGGCATCGGACTTCTTGGGCTTCGCGCCGAACAACTCTTGATCTAGTTCATCCTCACTTTCAGTATCGCTGTCCGAGCCAGACGAAACCATCATACTATCCAGGGGAATTGAATGATCTATACCCTTCACACCAATACCTTTAAGGCCAGAGCCCTGCTCGGCCGTTTGTTCCGCAACCCCACGTGCAGGCACGTTCCTCTTGAGTTTCGCCAACTCTGCCATATCTCGTTTTCTCTTGGCCTCTTTCTCGCGCTCGCGTTTTTCGCGGAAGGACAGGACGCTGGTCGCATCATTCTTCAGACGTTGAGCAATGGGGCCCTTGGGCAACCCAGGCCGTGTCTGAAGTGCAGTTGAGGCGGCCATCCCGAGAGAGGATTGAGCCTTCTGCTTGGCAGCAAGGGCGACGCGATTTTTGTTGAGTTCAACAGAGCGAGAAAGGTCCAGGAAAGTTTGGTCAGAGATTTCGTCAAAGTCGTCATCACTGGGGACGCGAGAGGAAGGAGAAGACGGGGAAGAAAGGTCGTTGGGGCGGCGGGCAAACGAAGTGATGGAAGATTGTTTCTTCAGGGAGGCCGTGGAAGCAGTAACGACAGGCTTTTTCGTGTAGGCTTCAAGTGAGCGCACAAGTTCTGCCTTGTCGCGACTGGTGAGGATTGTTTTGATTGTCCCATGAACGGCGGTGCCTTCAATGAAGCTCAACGCGTCTGCCTTCACAGTCGTCACGTCCAGGCTACCCAATCGCCTCAAGATTTTCGAGACAAGCGCGACCAAGGACGTGGCCAGATATTCATCCTTTAGACGCAACCACTTCACCATGGCACTCATCGTGGTCGTAGGCGATTTAATGAAGTTCTCCGAAACTGCCTTTTGCGCAGTATCTGCTCCCCCCACGGCACCCAGAAAGACACCATATTGGTCGAAGAGGAAATTGGCAAATTGAATGGTATCACGACAGAAATCAAGCATGACTTCCTTGTCATTACCACGCATATGCCAGGCCTCCGTCTCGTCAAAGATGGTGGTTAATGATTGCCACAGGAATTCCCACAGTTTCTGAAGCGACAGGATCTCCCGCCGGTCCACGAAATTTCGCGTACGCAGCATACCCGTCTGGCTATTACACAGAATCTCTACGATATCAGTTCCCGTATGCAACATTCTTGGAGCAGGTGCGAAGGTCTTCATGTTGGAAATCCGTCGGAAGGACCAACTCATGCCATACATGGATGTTGTGAAGAATGACTCGAGGAGGTAGGAGATTGCATCTCGACGTGCGAATTGACCGCTGACGTTCTTGATGAGATCAACGGCAGCTTGGTAGGTGTTCAAATCCGCAGCGAAGAGGGTCGAGATAAGCGCACTACTGGTATCCTGGCTCTGGAAAAGAGGTTTCAGGTGTTCGGGTGGGAAGTCTGCCAAACGTTCGATCATCTGACAGGAAAGGCGGGTGAGATGGCCATAGATCATGTTGAAATGCGTCTTCTCTTTGGTACCATCGCCCTTGGTGGGGAACTTTTCGAGACCAACGAGAGGCAGGACACCCAGCAGAGCAGCTGTCGACAGTGCAAGGTTATCTTGACGAAGACGCTTGATCACTGCCTCCCAGACGGGAGCAGAATAGGTAGAGACGCCATGTGAAAGAGTGTCGTGCTTTAGAATGATCTCGTAGTCACTCTTCAACGACTGACACTCGAGAGCTAGAGTGTTGCGAACGACATCCATGCATAGAGACTTGATCTCCTCTTGGCGACCCTGCTCAATATTGAATACTGGTGGGCTGAGAATGACGTTTATCGTAGCAGCCACCACGTCCATGGTCTCTTTGAGCACCACGCTGTCAACCGAGCTTCTTGAAGCTTCATGGTCCGTAAACCGGCGGAGTGTAGTGAGCAGGCTGTTCAGGCCAACGTGAAAGCAGTGATATCGAGCGAGGTTAGGGTATTGGCCATCTTGGAGATGCTGTAGCAGTTGCGTGGACAAGTACCGACATGCAGAGGGTTGATGGTGGCCTTTGAGTGATGCCAGGAATGGACTGATCCAGGATAGCATATCTTTCACGGCAGACTTCTCATACGCCTCACCTTCGGTGGTCTGCATGAGGAAGGCCTTGAATTGGTAGTTGGCGAAGATCTGTTCGACGATGGCCTGAGGAGAAATAGTTTGCATGGCGTCCCAGAAGTCAACTGGAGCTTTCTCAAGCAGGATCTGAATAGTATTCAAGAGGAATCGGAGTCCCGGGGTTTGTAGGTGTAGATGGTCCACAGACAAGCGGCAAGGATCAATATCTAAAGCACGAAGGTTATGTGTGATTTGATCTTTGTCTAGCTTCCGCACAATAAGCTGCATCCCCCGCCACAGGCGCTGGATGACTGCAAGCTGTGGTTGTACTTGATTAGCAGCTTGTGAGCCAGCCTGCAAAGCACTGAGAAGACCATCTCGAATTGCCCATTCAAATTCCTCACTAGTTGGGGGTCGAACGTATCGCGTCCATGTCGAAATAGCCCAGAAACTGCGAGCTTGGTTCGAGTCAAAGAGGAAGCGAGTAACGGCAGGGACATAATCAGAGATCTTCAAAGACCTTTTTGATTGAATGAGTTTGAATGGCTCATCAAAATGCTCCTGGAGAAGTTGATCATTTCGCAGCATCGCCTCGCAGCTTAGCGTCTCGAAAATGGAGAGCAATGCAGCACGGTCCAAGACACTTAGATTGATCTCTTGCGGAGGGACATTTTTGAGCTGTGCGGATGCTGTAGCCAGATTTCTCGTGATGCGCTTAATGTCCCATTCATCCATTCGCTGGGAAAATTCCTCAATGTCTTCATCTTGGTACGACTCCTTGAGCTGGTCCATAAGCCAGACCTTGCCGGTGTAGTATTGCTTGATGCAGAGGTCGCATTTTTCCAAAGACTCGTCCAGTCTGCTCAAGACCCAAGTCTGTAGCTCCTCTACACCATCGGCATTGTAGGCGAGAATACGCATGGATAAGAGGAACTTTTCCTTGCGCTCCTTGGCCTCTGCCACGATGTCCTTGGTGCTCTTTCCTTGTTCGTTCACTTGATTTGGGTCGTCATAGCGTCCATAGTCATCTTCACTGTGTCTCGGGCAAAGTAGGTGGGTGCCTTCGGGGAGGGCCTTCAGCTCCCTATCAGAACGGACTTTGGTCAGTAACCGTAAACCATCGATGAGAGACATGTTCGACTTACCCAATCGCGTCCACAAATTCCATGATTCAAGATCTCACGGATTACGGATATTGAAGATTGAACCCAAAATCCCCCGCGCATATCCTGTTCCACCAGAATATTTCACCTAGCACATTGCCTTCCAGTGACTTTGGGCGACTTTGGCGGCAGGTTTGCGGAGAACGGGAATGTCCGATTCAAGGTGGAGCTGGGCGAGGTGACAACGATGCTTTAGGCGGGGGGTTCCTTTTCGTAGGTGGAGGGGGAAAGTGCTCTGATAGGCAAACTTCTAGTCGGCACTATGGGGCAAATCATCAGATTCGTTTCAAAAGTAAGAGCGCAGCAATACTCAAGGCGATGCGAGCTTGAGTGAGAGGAAGGCAACTTCCGGCATACCTATGGGCAATGTGGAGGAGGGGAAGGTCAAGTGAGGATAGCTTCCTTGGCAAATCAATCTACCGAGAAAGAGCTAATAGAAATAGCTAAATGTAACAGCCTCCGAGAGGTGTCTGTCGCTCGAAGCGCCTCTTCAACTTGAATGAAAGGAAAATCACCAGAAACAAAACGCGGCAGAATGACGGAGATTGGCAGAACTCGAGGGCGGTGGGCTACCCCAAACGCGTTGGACGCGCTTCACTTTTACCCAAGTGGGTTGAAATGACAATCTACATACAATTGTTTGCCTATGGAGTATTTAGAGACATTATCTTCGAAAATCTAAGAGACAAAGAAGTAACTCAATAGCATTTACTTTCGAACTATCTGATTATCCCACATGTAGACACCTTGACCTACAAAATTGTGTAAGACGACTACTGCTCTAGTTAATATGACCAATCACGAGGTCATCTAGTTATAGACAAGTACTTCGCCTATCTATGAGTTTGAATGCTCCAGGAGTACGAGGAGTAGGCGCAAGAAAGGCATTCATGTAATATTCGCATTAAGTAACTTTCCTTCATGGAGGCCGTGGAATACAATACATGAATATCATCCCCGGGCCATGCCTGCTCAGCCCCAGCAAAAGCAACAAGATAAAACACCATGGACTAGGAAAGAAAAGAAAAAAAGAGTAAAGGAAAAAAAAATCCCAACGGGAATATAACCCCAGCAAGCGGGAATCACGGAAACAATAGAGAGAGCGGGGAAGCCATCAAATGCGAATTGTCATGCATAATTGCAAGGAGACAAGGAACGCTTTTGTACAAAGGGCCAGTAGACACTATGAAACATGTGAACAGATAGGAGAACGGCAGCTGCCGAGGGACTCCCATGTAGTATAAAGAGAACGAGGCTTGGGTTAGAAAAGGGGGTAAGGAAATGCGCCGAGCCTCCGACCGAGTGTAGTATACCGAACGCCTGCTTTCTATCAGGGGGAATATCAAGGCTGGGAAGAGATGTAAAGAAAAGAGACAAGTCAACAAAAAAAAACACCGCAACATATTGCTCATGAAGATGGGAAGGGTAGAGGGCAATAAAAAAAGAGATCCACAGGGCAGGTGGCACTAGCCCAGTGAAAAGGGGAGAGAGAAAGTCGTCAATGACGGGTCGTCAACGCTAAGTTTATGCAAGGCCATTGGGGGAAACCCTCAAATCATATGTGCAGGGGGCTCGCCTGGAGAGCGGAACGGATCTTGGTTGGAACCCTGCGTATGGCTTGATTCCATCCGTTGAAGCCGAGCTGCCGAGGTGAAATCGTTGCTCTGCTCAAAGCTGTGCCGAATCCGTTCAAAGGAGTGCCTCGTTCGGTCGTGGGAACGACGGACATAGTCTACCGACTGAGGTCGTGGACATTGATCCAAGCTCTCCGTGTAGTTGGTGCCGTTGCTACCATTTTGGCTGCGAGGGTTGTGGCCGTTGGTGTGCTGGGAGGGTGTGTAGTAGCGTTGAGCTCCCTCGGGATCGGGTTGGTCCTGCTTCACTGTTGTTTGAATCGGCTTAGCAAGCTCCGAGGAGGTCGCGGACGCATCACCAGAGCCAACGATCGCGGCGGCACCCACATTTGGAGGAACGTAATCTTCGAACTGTTCCAGGTGCTTGAACTTGCCGAGAGTAACCTGCTCACGAATGATATCCACATCCCGGGGGAAGAACACCTTCTGGATCGCGTTGTACATGAAGCGGGGAAGCAAGGCAATCATGATGGTCACAAGTAGCACAATCCAGAAGGTGAGAGCACCATAGACCTCAGCAGCCGCGTCGTAGAACTGACCAGCTGCTGTGAAGGACGAGTAAATTCCAGTCCAGAAGAAGATCAGGAGCGAGCTGATCGCATTGATCAGGCAGGTGAACCAGTCCCAGCGGTAAGTATTCATCATGATGTAGACGTTGCTGGCGATGACGGCGCAAGTGGCGACCAGGACACCCATACGGGTTCGATCAGCAATGTCTCGGCCATTCTCAGTAGCAAAGTTGGCTGCCTGGTATAGCATATAGGGCATGAAGAAACAGATCACGGACTGATACAAGCCATCGAACATGTACATCCTGGAAATTCTCGTTAGCGAAAGAAACTTATAAGAGAAGGATTAGAGGGAACGAACCAAAACTTGAACTGTGACCACTCCTTGCGCTCAATACCGCGCATATACAGTTGAGGCACGGCAAGAGAGACCCGGTCGTCGACGTCTTGGTCAAAGATACCCATGAAAATAACCGGCAGCGAAGTGAAGGCCAAGTTGACCAGGACAATATAGGTGTAGTCGAAGAGATAGGAGCCGTCGAAGTTGTTGAAGCAACAGTACCAGAAGAGAGCGAAGGTCCAGACCAAGTTCTTGTAGAAGAAGTTGGCAGTACACTCTCCTAAACGACGATAGGACCATCTTCCGTGAACAAGGAGCAAGCGCTGGAGGAAGCGGAACTGTCCAATAGCATAGTCCGAGGACATGACAGCTTGCCGACCCTCCTCACCGGCGATACCGACACCAACATCGGCCTCTTGGATCATGGCGACGTCGTTGGCACCATCACCGATGGCCAGGCCCATGATGTTCAGACCGTGGCGGACCATGTTCACAACGGCGGCCTTCTGGGAAGGACTAACACGGCAGCAAAGAACAGCCTTGCATTGCTTGCAAAGCAGGAGGAACTTCTGCTTGAGCTCGTCGTCAAGCATCATCTTGAGTGTTTCACCATCGACAATAACGGCGTGGGTGGGCTCCGGCGGGGTGTGATCCTCACGAGCAGCGATAAGCTCTTCGTCGGAACCAGTCAAGCCGAAAGTTTGAAGATTCTTGTCAAGCTCTTTAGCCGCTTGCTCATGCTGACCCTCGGGGACGTTGAGGACGATCAGATCCATATTGTTGTTGAGCAGATTGCACGAGAAACCAATGTTGATTGCAGTCTCGACCTTGTCGCCAGTCAGAACCCACAGCTTGATACCAGCATCTGCGAGCAGTTGAATGGTGTCTGGCACGCCATCTTGCAGACGATCCTCAATGGCAGTTCCACCAATGAGCATCAACTCCTGCTCAATCTTGCTTGCAACCTCTTCCATTTTCTCTTCGCGCTCCGTGATTGCAGCAGCGGCAATGTCATGTTCACGGTTCCAAGTTTGGTATTCCTCTTCGCTAAGAAGACGGTCAGCAACGCACAGAGTTCGTAGTCCTTCTTTGGCGAATTCCTCGAGGTGCTCGGCAGTCTGGCGTCGGAGCTCCTGCTGCTTGCCACGGGCCAGGCGCGAGTAGATGATACTGTCGGCACCCTTGCAGAAGAGACGGATAGTGCCATCCGGCATGCGAATAATGGCACTCATACGCTTTCGCGAGGAGTTGAATTCAAGGGTGTTCAAGACAGTATAAGTGCGTTCCTCGCCCATGACGTTCAACAAAAGATCATCACCGGCACGACCAAGGACGGTAAAGCCACAGTCACGGGCAGTGCTAACCAACGCAGCTTCATCGGGCGATTGCGCCTTGAACTCAATCTGAGGAGGGTCACCCGGAGTGTGTTCGGTGATAACAGAGTGGCACAGAGCCAGGGCGAGCATGAAATGTTCCACAGCTGCTTTTTGGGTTTGACCGGATTGCCCTTCGACGTCCGCGACAAAATTGGGAGCAATGAAAGTCAAGTTCTCATCTTTCAGATAAGGGTTGTCATGGATACGACGCAGCATTTCCAGCATCTTTTTCCCATCCGCTGCAATCTGTGCACGAGCCACGGCAGCTTCTTCATCAGCATTAGCGCCTTCACGGCGTCTCATGCCAATTTGAGCTTCGGTGTATGCCTCGCCGTAGGCCACGCCATTGATGGTGGCTTTCTTGAATTCCATAACGTTCTGCGTAAGAGTACCGGTCTTGTCAGAGAAGATGTACTCGACCTGTCCCACGTCATCTGAAATGTTCCACGACTTGGGCACACAGTAGAGTCCAAGCTTTTCGTAGTACATGTAAAGATCGCTGTGGATAAAGACGGCCTGAATAGTGCGGACAATTTCCAGGGAGATGTAGAGTGAAATTGGAACCAAGTTCTGGAACAGAATCAGAGCTGTCCAGAAGGTGACAATACCCGTCACGGGGGGCGTGCCACCGTAAGACCCATAGTCGAAGAAGTTCAATGATTTATCTGAAGAACCCCATGCGACACCGTTCACGATACCTGCAACAAGGCACATGATGAACAGGATGATGAAGTTGTAGATGACGTTCCAGTTCAAGTCCTTGGCCAGGCGAGCGCGCTTGGCGGGAGTTGCACCAGAGTTGAGCATAATCTTACTCTCACCACCAGTGAAGACGACGACACCAAGAACCCACTCGGTACTGCGCAGGGAACAGCCACGAAGCAGCATGTTGTTAATTGTCACGGGCTCGACCATCTCCTTGCGGGGAGCATCCGGGAAGTTCGGGTCGCGCTGTTCCCAACGGATTGCACCGTTGTAAGCATACAGGTTAGGGTGAGGAGCTTCGCTTTCGATCGTGAATTCAGCCTTCTCACAGTCGCGAGCATGTCGAACTTGGCGACCGCAGTGAAGCGCCTGACGGACCTTCAAGTTGGTCTCGCCGTCCAGACCCTTCGTCTCAACGTAACAGGCGCCATCGGGGTCAGAGGTGGACAAAATCACGACATCGGCCGGAATTGGGTCTTCGTTGTAGAGACGGACAAAGTCACCGACCTGGATACTCTTCCAATAGTCCCGCTTGAATCGAGCGGTTCCGGGTGTCTGCTTCGTCTTGTCTAACACGCTTCCGGTTTTCTTGTCAAGCGAAGTGGGCGACATGACACTTTCTCGAAGAGCGCTGTTCGGGGAAAGGTACTTGTTCTCGGGAACGCTCTGGATAGGCCAGTCTTCTCGGACTTCAGCTTGAGGCGAAGGAACCTCGGTCATCGGAATAGCAGCATCGACGGCAAGAGAGTCGCGGTGCGAATATACCGAAGCCCGCGGGGTCGCTGTCGTGAGGAAAGAGTCACGTCGTTCTCCGTCGTCGAGATCGCCCTCCTGGTCCTTCTTCTTGGTGAAAACATTCTTGCCCCAGTGGTATGTGGAAATGGCGCCCCGCGTGCACGCTTTCTTGAACCGACGCCATAATGAGATATTATCTTCGGTCGAATTCACATTATTCCATTCGACAAGGCGATAAACCGGGGAATTGTTTACTTGGTTATCCGATACAGTTCGGCCCCAATCTTCGATAGCGTCCTTGATTGCGGTCACAACGATAATGACGATCAGGGGAACGGCGTTCAAACCGGGGTTGTTGGCACCGAAAATCGAGAAAAACTAAAGAGAGAGATGAGAGGTTAGAAAGAGCTCAATTCAAGTCTCGTTATTCTGGTCGCTTCCTGGTCTCCACCAAGGTCTCGGGAGTGGCGCATACATTAAGAATAATGACGAACAAGAAGTAAATGTTCGCAATGTTGTGAAACTGTAGCCAAATGTTCTTGGGGACGAATGTCAACGCTGTATACTTGGCGGTACGAATCTTGTTTCGAGGATAAGTATGAAGAAGGTGACCATCCTCGTCTCGTTCGGTTTCCGGGATTGGAATGTTGAAATAGATCGTTCGATTGATACCCGAAGCCTGGCTGTCGCCGTTGGTGGACGCGGTGTCGGCCGGAGTGCTCGGAGTTGCAGACCTGCGCTTCTCATCCCTCATTTCCGAGCGCTTGTGAAACCGATCGATGATGGAGACACGTTTCCGCACGCCACCGGAGCCCGCATGGCGCGTGGTGGCCCATCTTTGGCGTTTGGTCGGTTTGGAGATGTTGCTGCTAACCGCCTGAACTTCGTTGTTCTCATGACCACCCTCATTATTATCGTCTCCGGAAAATTGCACGGAAGCCATCTAGGCTACTGTTGCGCCCAGTAGGGCATAAAACTGAAATGAGGACCTGTTGCAAATAAGGGCGACCAAGCATCCAGGTTGTCCAAGCCGAATTCGCCTTGCGTGGCGATTTAAAAGTGATGATTCGGGGATCACAGGGGACTTGAACAGATCACTAAGCGCAGTTTCATCAGGCGCGGAAACTCGAAGTTGCGATTCTCAGCGACGAGGCCGGCGCGCGCGGATGACGACGGGATCGAGGGAGACCCAGTATTGACGGTCGGAGGGGAGACAAGGGTCGTATTATCCGGGAGAGGGAGGTGAGTTAATCGAGGACACGGTATCACCCACGAGGGGCCATGCAAGATTGGGGGGGGAGAGGAAGGTGGGAGGGGAAGGAAGAGAAGAACGGATGGAAGGGGTAAGAGAAGGTAAGTCAAAGGGTATTTTTTTTTCGAGGGTGAAGAGATGAGATGCGCTTGGAGAGGACAGCTTTGGGGACGGGACTATTGACTCGGGAGGGAGGTCCGTAATTACGGGTCACGGATGTACGGCCCTGCTTATGTGGACTTTACTGGATTGCTTACATGCCGGCTTGGTCAGCGGGTTTACTTGGCAGTGTAGATGAAGAGAATTTCGTGTCGTTTATTTACGCTTTGATCTTGAGAGGCTTCTAATTTTGACAATTTCTAGAGAGAAAATTAGTCTACCTTTCTATCATGCATTTCAACCCTCCATGATGGCTCAATCCCGCTCACTACTCTCATACTTCAGACTAATGCAGCAACACAGATACGAAGAATACTTCGTACATCAGCTCGGACAGAAATCTTACGTCCGGTATTGAAACCACGATACATCCCAGCCTCATCTCGCCCTTTCCAACCCATTGTTTGGTTCACCTAAATTTCTGATGGTGGCAATCAGGTCCTTTGGCACTGATGATAAATTCTGATGGATTCTGATTCATGCTGATGGTTCATCGCCCGGTCGGAACATTATACTCGATATGTCCTAAGTTCTGACCAACTCTGGAGTACGGCCGTTGGAGGGAACTATCGAGGTCTATTCCAGGAATAGTTATGGCCCCAGCCCTCATGGCCTCGTGCTGCAGCGACACAGCCTTTCTTTGTATTGGATAGGCGCCAGTATGAAGGAATTCATTCTATATCACGATACCCCACACATTGACTATGAACATACTGGATTTCCATACAATAATAATACCCCATGCCTCGAGTTATGTCTCCGATATCGTTCTACCGTATAGCCTAATCCTCCAATGCATTTTGATCAAAGGTGGCTTGTTCAATTTCCAATAATGTCCGAACTATGCGGAGCTAAAGAGACAGACAGCCAAGGCACTAGAAGGCTCTTCCACATGCTACATTCAGACCTAATTAAGAAGGCTTCGGAGTGCAAAGACTCGATTCGGTGCATTAATCATGCACAACGAGTGCACTCCTCCTTATGCTGGGTCCTCGAATTAGTGTAAACGGCCCCTCAAGATGCCGGTCTCCGTGGGGGCTGACGATGACCTCAGTTCCTGGCGCAGAGGCCACCTGGCTATAGTACCTTTATAGTGCTCTAACTCCGTACTACTGTATTCAATATCATCTTCTCCGTCCGGTGGAGACGGAGTACGGAGTAAGGACGGAGATTTTCGCGACCGATCACAGCGTATATAGCGAACTAGTGGCTTGGTGCACTACCAAGTTGCAGTGTAGTATATTACTGTAAGTTTGTAACCAAAGGGAATAAAACCATCTCGGGGTCGGAGCATCGAGCCTGAAACCACCAGCGACACGGCACGGGCGTCCGGTCTCCACCCAGGCGTTTAGTCAGCTTCTGGGGGCTCCAGTCGGTTCCACGGATGATTGAAATCCTTCAAATGATTCGAGAATCCATACACTGCGGACTCCGTTCCTCCAGAGGCCTCGCAGGAGAGAAATTGATTAACTGCTCAGGCTAACTCGTGCAGCACCATGAAGCCCTTCGAAAGAGGACCTTTTGCCTAGCACTTTCTCAATTACTGTTGGCATCATCTGTCCACCCCCTTTTTTTCCATTCTTCGCGGATGCCCGCGGTAAGATAGACTCTTGGCTTTCAGGAGAGCGCACTATACGTCCAGTGGCCCTTCTGGGCGGGACCCCGTGGACGATCATAGTGGAATTGCCGATGGCTCCAGACCTTCTTTGGCTTTTCTGTGCAGTCTTCGGTCAATGCTGCCTAGTCCCATCTCCTGCGAGGTTATGACACCTTGAACCGAACGTCCATGGCGGGTCCGCTGTCGCTTGGGTATGAGAGATTGCAGGAGACCGCCCAGAACAATATATATCCATAATGCAGCAGGTATCCAGCCTGACACAATCAAAACATGACAGCGCGTCGTCAGCCCGCGCGATCGACGACGAACCACGGTGGAGATGGACGATGCACTGCCAGCCAGATTCGTAAACCTAAATCGGATCTGCGGGCTGCGTCTGAGACTGATGGGACTGCGCTTAACAAGTTAAACACTCCGTGACCCCTGACTCCCAGTGTTGCGTTTAGTGTCTCCTGACAGGCCAAGCATTCCTCTCTTGGCGTGGACAGCGGTTGGTAAAACCATGTAGATCAAACGCGAGGTTGGGATCATCACTGATCCGCGCCATTGCGACAGTGGCTGGTCAGAGAGTTCGTTAGCCTCGTATCAAATGAGCCGAGTGGAGAGGGATGTAAACAGTCTCTACAATCATCAATATGAATAGCTATCATCTCAATGCAAAGAACGAGAAGACACCGATTCGGCCTTTGAACATGTACAGACAAAGGAACTCGAGGAAGAAACGGGGTCTACCTCCAATTACCCAATCGGGAAATAATTGATCACGTGATCCCGCGCCTCTGCCGACGCGACGCGGACTCGATAGCGGGACACTTCTTTGACCTCAGTTCAGCGCACATCACAACGCTCACGATGCGCACCCTCCGAGACTTTTTCATCCGGGTACCTGATCCAAGTATACCTTCGCAACCTACCCGCACCAAGGCTCAAAATTTGGATGAAGCGCCGGCTTCATCTCCACCCTCAGAGGCCCCGCGATCTTCAATAACGATAGACCTCACCCAGGATGACAATGCGCAGATAGAGGAAGATAGCCCTACAGCAGCTCAGCTTGATATATCGCAATCACGACCAACCACCGATAAGAGACCGGAACAATCTGCGCCAGATCAGAGCTTCACTGGATCAACCCCGCTGCCCTCGTCACTGAATAGCAGCTTCAATCCATCGCAACGCATCCTCAAAGATGGTAAAGAGGTGGTTATCAGTTCCGACGGGGATGATACAGACTCAATATCCTCTTTGGAAGATCCAGATGTCCTCTTTGCCCCGATGAACAAACCCAAGAATGATGCCCCGCCCCCGCCAAACCCATATCAACCGAACAAAGCCTTACTTGCTCAGCTCTCTGCGCCAAAGAAGTACAGGTTCAACCTCGATTCTCTCGTGCATGATGCGGTAGATGATGATGAGATAGAAGCCAACGTCGCCAAGGCTAGGGCACGATTACAACAAAATGGAGTCCAAGATGGTGCTGGGGGATCAAAGAAAGGACTGAACGAGGGCGTGTTGGCATCCGCTCTGGGCGGCGATTCCGATGAAGGGCCGGGTCTCCAACGTCTCATGGACGCCGTTCGAAGAACCGAGGCCCTCGAACAAAGTCGTAACTGGCGGTTCTTCGATCAGAGCCAGTTGCCACCTGCCACGCCAAACTTTCCTATTGAATTGTTCCCACCAGAATCGCCTCTGGCAGGACTGAGAGGTTGTTCGCACCACGCCCAGCAGGCTTATGAGACATTCACTGATTATTTTTGGTAGAACCTGACTCTCGCGCCCGGCTCCTCCAGTCCGGTATTTTAGAGTACGCTGCGTCAATGCAGCGTTTGCCAGATGATTTCCTCTTGTGGATCATCCGGTCTAGTATGTTGATCTTCTTCCATGGATTTGCTCTTCTTCGCACTAAAACTTTGTCATAAAGTTCCCCTTGAACCTCGAGAAGAGTTGAGGAAGGCTTATTGTCGGATTTTCACGGTAAGGTTCAAAGACCTCCTCCACTACGACACTCTCGCTGAGTATATACATAGCAAACACCTAAAGAGCAAACGGGATCATTGATGCGCCAAGATACTATAGACGGACTCTTCCGTCAACTGGGGGCTAGGCCACACGCGTTGATTCTATGTGAACCAGTTATCGCAGATCCTCCTGAACGTGAGTTCTTCGCTCGAGTACTCTCTGAACTTTTCTAACTGCTCTTTGCAGCATCGTTACACGCACCACCTACTAGAGAGCGACCGGCCTTGGTTTCCGTCTTAAATCTGATTCGAGACACCGCGGCAGCGGAGCTGTTAGTCCTAACCCTTTACAGATAATCCCAATCCGAGAAGGCTGACATCTCTCCAGGTTTGACGATGATACCCAGGTGCACGCGATTCAGATTCTACTTCGAATGTCGCTGGATACAGCATTAACTACAGACTGCGCCATACGTGCTGAACTTCAGGGAACGTTGACTTCCCTTCTGGAATTCGGGCCGAGGCAGAGAATTGTATGTTTTGGTCAATGTGTTCTGGGGGTCAATGAGCAGGCGCTGACTCTGACAGGAATATCAAATTTGCACCAGCGTTTTTGAAACGATCAAAGATCCGCAGTTTCAGAGCCGGCTATTACAACAAATTCTCCCAACGTCAACATGGGTGTCCTTGCTCCGATATCGACTCGCCGTTTCATTTCTACTGCAGGACCCAAGCCCCTTAACCGAGCCCCCAGAGGTGGTACTTGGTCTGCGGCGTATCACTGATCTCTTGGTGCGTGACGAACGATTCCAAGTAAAGAAACACCGAGGTAATAGCGACTACGACTACGGTGATTTAATTGCTATCGCCTTGCAACTCGAGGTGTGCATCAACTCGGCCCTCTTCGACTTAAAGTATCGGCAGGCAGACACGGAGGTAAAGTTCAATAAAGCGATCGACCAGCTGGCTGCGCAGATCAAGAAAATCTTCACCTCCATTGAAGATACCGGCGCATCCCATCTCCAGCGCATGCTGGCAAAGGACGCACTAGAGACACTGCACTATCGGATGATTTACTCGGTTCGCTCCAAGGCTCCTCCCAAGAAGACATTGTTTAAAAACTTCAGGAGGGAAACAAATCACAACCTCAAAGATATGTTCATGAGAGGGAACACTGCGACAGACACCACCGATGGAGCAACCGATACTGCAGATACCGAAAGTGCCGGTGGCATGGCAATGCCCATTCGACGACATGATTAGCAATTTTAGTCTGTTGAGTGGGTGCGGGTCTCCCGTATTAGTGATATGTATACATAATTTACGACCGTGACGGCATTGATGAGTATCAATTGAGCGAGGCATTTTTACATGCATTGTTTCCGAACCTTTCTGCAAATCGTAGATGAAAAATTAGACAAACGCTCAGGAAAGACAGACCATATGCTAGGTCAGACATGGGATGTGCAAAAAAAATAAGAAAAGGAACACGGAAGCCCCCCTCCTCTCTATGGGCATGTGGAGACGGTCAAAATGAGGCATAGCTAGAAGCCCGAACTATAAAACACGAAAACACCCGACAGGACTTGGGGCAAAGTAACCAGCGGAGAAATACAGAAATAACCCAGAGCAGATATTGTCTAGTCATAGAAGCGCCGGTTGACGTTCTTGCCGAACAACGTCTCTCGCACGGCGGGGAGAGCGTCAATCTCCAGGAGGCGTAGACGCTCCTCGAAGGTGTTGTTGATCTCGATCTTGCCCTTGCCGCCAACAATGACCACACCACCGGCACTGTAGAAGCAGTCTTGTTAGTACCAAAGCTCGAAAATACTCAGGGGAAGATGGCAGCAACTTACGATCCCTCGGGCAGCGGCTCGGACTCGTCCACAGTCGCGGTCACCTCCTTGCCGACGTTCTTCTTGAACTCCTTCGCGGCCTCCTCAATAGCCTTCTTCGCGGCATCGACATCCTTCTTCCGCGCACGAATCTCAACCTTCTCCTCGTTCAGGTAGTAAAAGCCCTCGAGGATCAGACCCTCCAACATGGTCTGATACTTCTTATTATCATCCGCAGCCACGGTCGAGACCTTCTTCCGAGCTTTCTCGAAGAGCTCATCCAAGAGCTCTTGACGACCGCCGAGCACACGGAGACGAGTCCGGTTGGCGAGAGTCGAGCGGGTGATCTGCTGGGACATGGCGGCCTGCTTGAACTTCTTCTCGTAGAGGGTGTCGATGGCGGCAGTCTCTTGGCGGACAAGCTTGGACTTCTCGATCGCGAACTCCTCGTCGGCCTTGAGCTGGATCTCACGGGCTTTCTCGAGGGCCTCCTGCCGGATGAACGCGGTCATCTTGCGGAGCTCGCCCGCGACCTACTCGCATCGGACATGGTCAGTCACCGGGGGTCGACTGCAGAGGGGGGTTGTACAGGGTTGGGTTTCAATGGGGCGGGAGGACGAGTTTACCTGATCATCGGAGAGGGCATGACTTTGCGACATGATGGCGATGTTTCAGAGGAAGATGAGGAGGAAGAGACGTGGTGGGTGGTCTGGTGGATGGAGTTTGGGGAATGTTGAATGACGTGGGGAGGTGGAAGGGAGTTGTGTCCAACTAAGCTCGGGAGCCGCTGCTTCTCTCCAGCTGCTTTTGCCTTGGCGTCCCATCCGCATCCAGAGGCCTCCGCACTCTCTCCTGGTCTCCTTGTCCCTTGTGTTCTCGCCCTGCAACCCTTTCCTTTTTCTTGTGGCGCTCGTCTTTCCCGAACGCTCCCTTCGAGTCCTCGCTCCTCACATCATGGCATCTGCACTTCGGTAGTGGCCCAGCTCTTGCGCTCCTACGCGAACCCCCGTTCCGCGGCCGACATACGATACAAACGACGATGGGCAACCTCGGGGATTTGTCGCCGCAGGGCAGTATCGCGGTGAGCACGCATATACCGAAGCTATGCAGGATTAGCTAGCTGATTTCTTATACATTTAGGTCGGAGTGATCGTGGGCCTCGTCTCGACCAGCCTACAAGCCATCGGATTGACACTCCAGCGCAAGTCCCACCTTCTCGAAGATGAGAAACCGCCTTATGAGGGCCGCCGACCTCCCTACAAGCGCCGGCGATGGCAGTTGGGCATGGGCATGTTTGTGATCTCCAATATTGTAGGAAGCACGATCCAGATCACCACGTTGCCACTACCAGTTCTCTCTACACTTCAAGCGGTCAGTCATCGTCATCGCCTTTAGTGGTTGCCATTTTCCCAAGGAATCCAGGTTGGCTAACAGCCAGAATGTGTGAAAAACAGTCCGGCCTAGTTTTCAACACGATCTTTGCGACTCTTATCCTCGGCGAGCCCTTCACCCGCTATTCGTTTGCCGGTACCGCTCTCGTCTGCATTGGCGCCATATTGATTGCAACCTTTGGCGCCATCGGGGAACCGGCGCATACCTTGAATCAGTTGTTAAAGCTTCTCATGCGACGTCCTTTCCTCATATGGATGGGCATGACCTTGGTCGTTGTAGGACTTATTCTTGTTGGTTCGAAATTGTCGAGATACTGCATACCGGGGTCGCGGGCGAAACCTACGGCGTCGGGGATAATCACACCGCATGTACAACGTGTTCAGGGCCGGGTGAAGCTCTTCCGGGGTATGTGCTATGGTGCTGTCAGTGGAATTTTGTCGGCCCATTCGCTGCTGCTGGCCAAGTCTGCAGTGGAGCTGCTGGTTCGCACCGTGGTCGACCGTGTGAACCAGTTCAACCGCTGGCAGTCGTGGGTGATCCTACTGGGGATGATCGCCCTGGCTCTTACACAACTCTTCTACTTGCATCGAGGTTTGAAGCTCTGCAGTACTAGTGTGCTATACCCTTTTGTGTTTTGCATCTACAACATTATCGCTATTCTCGATGGCCTGATCTACTTCCGGCAGGCGTCTCAACTGGCCGGTTTCCATGCCGGCCTGATCGCATTGGGTACGGTCATTCTTCTTGGAGGTGTGCTGTGCCTATCATGGCGGCTGGAAGATGTTGACAGCAATGCCGCTATCACGGTCGCCGGGCCGACGCAAACTGGCATCGGCCCAGGCATGGCAGTTGTTGAGGAACATGACACTTTTTCATCCGGGCTGCTGGATCGTCTGGAGGACGAGGAATCACATATTGGAGAACGAGAGCCTTTACTCCATGGGACCTCTCGCCCACGACACCTTTCATCCTACCAACGGGCCCGGGCGCCCAGTCTCCCGCTCATACCACCTATGGATCGGCACGAAGCTGCAGATCTCAACGCCGCATCCATTTGGGCTGAACTCGATGATTCGGATTATGACACTGCAGGTCCCAAATGGCGCTCTTCTATTGACCGGCCTCGAAGCTCCAGCGGCAGTGCAGCCCTGAATAGTTCTATACGCGGTCTCTCACGACACTCGACCATCGGCCCGATACCGCATCACCGCCCGTGGGGACCTCGTCGGCCTAATCTGTCAATACAAGGCGGGCAACGACGCTCATCTGCTCCATTGGCAGGATTAATGGGTACAACACGCCGGTGGCGCGGTACCTGGGGCCCTGTAACTGCCTCGCCAATATCGCAAGGAGTCCCCGGTTACGGCACCATACAAGAAGATGATGATATGCTTCACGGTCGAGATGAATCACCTACACCGCAGCCCAGATCAACATTCAATCTTCTCGCAGGCTCGAGAAGGACGCTGGTGGGTGCATGGCGAACCGGACGGCAATATCTCTCTCGATGGACGAACCCGCGGGCGGGTAGTCAAGAGCACCACCCCAGTGTTGGTGCTGGTGCCCGAGACGGGGCTTCATCTCCATTACTCCCACGATCCGAAGTCGGCATTCCACAAGCTGGAGATATAGACGACCATCATCCCAAGCAAATAGCCGGCACACCGTCATCCCTGTAAAGACTCGATCTCGATTTTCCCTTGCTTGTACATCCCGTTGCTCTGCACCTTTGCAGCTCTTGATATATACCCGGAAGACCTCTGTTTCTGTTTTTTGTCCTATCTTCGACCCTGTACAGTAGGGACGCATGTTCACCCAGCAATGGCCTCCCCACCAACCAACAAGGACTAGAGAAGATGCTCTTGCTGCTTTTCCTAGTGTGTTATTAGCCGTCCAAGATACTACGATACGATACCACTTTTCTGTTTCCTTTTTTGTTTTCTTGATATACCTTTGAATGAACAATGAACAGTGAATGCGCAACATGGGCCTGCCTATATATAGGAAATACAAAGCCTTACACCCGCTGTTTTTCGAAGTCTCCACTAGTAAATCAGTGGGTTTCTAGACAATGCTTGTCCAAGGGTGTACCTCCTGGTTGGTACCAAAAGTCTGCTCGTTTTCTTACTTGAGTAGGTACAGAACTGAAAGCTATGAAGATATATGCCGAGTACTGCCCATTCACCGAATAGACCTCGATAGAATCTAACACCGAAACATGGACATGAACGTAACCAACCGTCCAGTTACTTTACTAAGGTTAGTTTACTTAGTTACCTACAAACAGCAGCATTAGTCATTCCAACAGCCCAATCTCCCAAAAGGGGAATATACCCACAATGGCGGGCCAAGCTTTGCCATGGGGCCCCCAGGTGGCGTGGACAAGAAAGGGGCCGTGCAGGGATGTGATGTACGTCTATAGATTTGGCAATAAGCATAAAAATAAGAGTAATGCACAACTGAAAGGATTGAAAAGGATGAAAAGGAAGATTCGTACAGAAGCTTATACTTTTCAAGTACTAGGTTTATTTGTATCCCTGAAGGCAAGTCTATCATGATAGGAGCTAATCCGAGGTTTCAACCACGGATAGTAAAATCTAGACTACATAGTTCCTACTTACTTGACTCAGACTACAAGATAAACAATCAGATCATAAACAGTAGCATTAATCCCGTACAGCTTAATCTCCAGTGATGGCACCACGGCAAAAAGAACAATCGTCCAGACATCATCACCATACCAGATACAAGAGAGAGATACAAAGATACTAGTCGCAAGGACTTTGTGCTAAGAGCCCAAACCAGAGCAAGACAATCAGGGCATAGCCATTTCCGATACGTGAGTGCAAGCAAGACACCATTTCTCCACAAACCCGGTTGTAGGCTTGTGGAAGGTGGAGCGGGCAAGTAGAGATCACCAGTATTGAGAGGTAGAACACGGGGTGTTGAAATTAGACACTCGGAAAGCCAAAGGGACAGGGAGATAAGACGAGAACTTGGAAAAATAGCAGATTCAATAATGGTCGTATGAGAAAGTAGCAAACAGACAAGACAAGGGGGAAAGAATTCCACATCGCCGACGAAAAATCAATGCACCACGAACACCACCAGCCTCCGCCATTTGGTCTAGAGGGGGCAAGGGGAAAAATCAGAAACCAGCCAGGATAGCGTTCAAAAGTCCAGATTCACGTGCTTGCGCTTCTTTTTCTTTTCTTTTTTTTTTGTTGCGGAAAGATCGTTTCGCAATGTTTTCTTGTCATGGCTCAAAAAAAAGCCAAGTTTCGCCCGAAGGAGGAGTGTGATAACAGGCTTGTTGCAAGGGAATTCCAAGATAGTACCATAACAGACCGGATTACGGTTATCAAAGACAGACTGGAAATTATATCCAGTAAGAGTGTTTGACCATGTACACTTCACAGGTTGGAGTGGCAAAGGTAGCATAACGATAGTGCCATTCTCCACGACGGAGGGAGAGGTAGAGAGAGGGAAGAGAGGGGGGAAGGACGAGGGATCAGCACGGATGGACGGGTATCAAATGAACGCGAGAGAGTTGGGTGCGCAGGGGAAGAAAACAGAAGGGAAGACGCAATATTTAGGACCCCGTCCGCAGCGGCGCGTGAAAACATAAGGAATCGAGTTTAATTTACGCCGTGGGTTGGTGCTGCGGGGGCATGCGGTTGCCCACAGGCATACCGGGGTACTGGCCACCTGCTTGCTGTTGCTGCTGGAGGTTCTGATAGTAGGCCATCTGCTGCTGCTGCTCATTGGTCATGTAGCCGGGGTGCATGCCAGGACGAGGCATGTTGGACTGCGGTGCATTGACATTGTGGCCGACATCCTCGGGGGTCTCGGCCGGGACATCGGGAGCATCGACGCCATTCTCGTTGGTGGTAGGGTCAGGTGCGTTCAAGCAGGCCTAGACGGGGTGTATAGTTAGTAAATTTGCTGTGGCGATGGCAGTAACAAAGTTGGATTGGCGTCGACATACCTGGATGAGGTTCTTACCCTCGGCCTTGGTGACGAGAGGCTGCAGCTTGGGGGTGGTGAAGGTGTAGACGAGACCGGTCTCGGAGACAACGAGCAACAGCACTTGGGTGCCGGTGAGGACGGAAAGCTCATAAGCCTATGAACCGATCGAGTTAGCCAATACGAAGTATATAAAATGGGGTGAATGTTTTGATTTCGTTGCAAGCGACCGGTGTCAGAATCGCGATTTCGACGCGTTTAATATTTTTGTCTCCGACATGAATGAGAAGGAGGGTGCATCGATGGAAGAGGGGAGGGTTGGTGAACGTGGGAGGGAAAGTGTAGAGTTGGGTTGTGTCGCGACGGGAAGCGCGTACCTTCTTCATGATACCAGCCTTCCGCTTGGAGAAGGTGATGTGGCGACGCGACTTATCCTGGATAAACTTGATCTCGATCTTGCGGCGCTCACGGCCGGGCTTGTCGTCATCATCATCGTCGTCCTCGGCGCTCATGCGGTTGCGCTTGGTGCCACGGGCGTCGGCGCCGTTACCAGGCTGTTGCAGGTCATCGTGCTGGCCCGGGGAGAGCTTCTCGTCGACGGCAGCCATGTCGGCCATGATGGAGGAAAGGGAGAGATAAGAGGGTTGGAAGAAAAGGGAAGGTGGGGAGGGGGGTAGAGGTTGTAGAGAAGAGGGTTTCAATAGAGGAGAGTAAAAGGATGGCCCAAAGGGGAAGGGAATTGAAGAATACCCAATCGAGTAACGCGTTTTGGGATCGCAGGGTTGGAGAAGGAAAGGAAGGGGGGAAGTCGAAGAAGGCAAAGTGCGACGGACGAAGGGGCAGGCGGTCAGTCACGTGTGGAGTACCGTATCGGACGGGCAATACGGAAAGTGGGGCTAAGTGCGAGTCTGATTTGGGGGGAGAGATACTTATATTTACAATACAGTATACATGGAATACACATACATTTTACATACATTTTATATGTATCTACTATGTATTCGATATGTACCTCTCCAAGTATCCCCCTCTTTCCCAGGGGCGATATCGCCTCGTTTCATTACGGTATCACCCTGCCCCCTCTCGGTTTCCTTCCCTCTGATTGGTGGCTCCTCAAGGGAGGGCCAACTCACCGCGCTGAACTGAACGCCCCACGACCTCCGCTTGCATCCGCTTCGAGGCAAAGCGTAAACCCAATTTCACTGGTGGTCTGGACTCGAAGATAGCTGGTCGCAGGGAGGGGGACGGGAAAAGCATCGCCCACCTTTTCCCTCGTTTATGCATAATCATACTTTATCTTCTTCAACGATCAAAAAGGAAATTCTCTTATATCCCATCCTATAGTCGTATACCACTATACCTATTACTCCTTCGTACTACCCTGTAACAATTCACCTTCCATCAGTGGAGTTTCTATACTTAGCCCGACACCTTTTCCAGCTCCTGCATTCCACATACCGGTCCGCTCACGGGTTTGGCACCTTTTTGGCCCCCAGTGAAACACGATTGCCGATCTCAGCTCTGGATCGGGGAAATTCTAAGACAAATAAGCAAACTTGGTACTATCGACCACTCCTGTGGAAATATTCTCGCCTTTTCCCCTGTTCATCTTTCATCTTCCCACACTAAATAGATTCCTATTATTATTATTGACTAGCCACGAAAGTAGATATGGCTACTAGATTAAAATGTAAGCTCCCGTCCTCCTAGCTCGTTCTTCTGCTGGCCACATTCGGCCGTGGGACCCATGGTACTCCGTATTGTACCCATAACGACAAAAGTACGGTACATAAGCCTTGCTCCGCTGCGATCGCGGGGGGGGGGGAATGGAGACACGGAGTCGTACAAGGAAACCTGCGGTGTACTAGCACCGCCCTCTCCCTCAATTGGTGAAAATAGGGTTGACTGGATAGCCCATCTAAAATTGCTCGTTCTGCAACAAACCTGCTGAAGAGTCTGTTTTCGGTAACCCCTGCTCTCCGATGACGAGACCCGCCTCCAGATCACCATCACATTCAACATAAAGACTAAGGCATGCGCCACAGAATGGGGTTATCTACTACCCACAAACCCTATTCGGACACGATTTGAATCAGATCTCATTCCAGGTTCTCTGCTCCTTTCCTTTATCTAACTATATCACATTATAGTACACAGGCGTCCGGCAGGTAGGCCTAGGCTTTCTAGGAAAAGGGCGTAGTCTATAGCCAAATGCATAAAGTCAAGGCAACTGCGGTGTTCTGGTCCTCGTCTCCAATCTCTCGTCCATCTGCCCAATACACAACCCCAATCTACCATACTACTGATCAACAAGGTACATCCGAATTGCCGAACCGATGCATCGATCCCTGCCAAGTACCGGCAGAATCATGCTTGAGCCTAAACCCAGAAGATCCACGAGATCCGATCATGCTTGGTTGGCGGGCCGATCCGAGAGGGATTGATACAATGGGCAAGTGGTATCCCTCCAAAAAAGAGTCTCTACCTCGGGCTAGCAGAGTCCGAGCGTGTTTGATAGTTGGAACATTTGTGGTACCAAGTACACGTCAGTTTGAATGAATCAAGTATGAACTATCAGGTATCTAAGAAAATTATACACGAAGGTTGACAGAACTCATCATATTCTTCACATAAGAACAGTTCAACGCTAATCACCAACGGAGACCCAAGCACGGCCTTCGGTTCTGAAGTCTATTTTTACAAAGCAATGCATGGGCATGGATCAGAAGCCTCTGCCTCTCTCACTCCCACCAAGTCACAACGGGGGATTCATGAGAGAAAGCCAAATAACGAAGCGAATAAGAAAAAGAAAGAGAGAAAGACAAAAAAAAACAAGGACAAAAGAGCAAGCCAGGGGAACTGGAGGTGGGATAAGATGGTTTAATCCCAGTCCCGTAGGCAGCTAAGAAGGGTAGAGGGTGTAGTGTGGTGTGGCAATCAACAGCCGGGATATAGAGGGAGTACATAAAACCACCTTTGGTTCCTGCACCGGAATGGACTCCACCAATGCTAACGCCGGATAAAATGAACAATCAGAGAAACTGGAGGACGCGGTATTCAAGTCACGATCACGAGTCTCATCCGGGATCAAAGGAAATAAAAAAGGTTGGTCGGAAGAAGTATTGATGCAAAACGGGATTGGCGTCATGATGGAAAAATAAAAAAAAGGGTGGGAAGAGAAGTCGAAAGGAATAAAGAGAGAATGAATCATGTGCAGTGAAGTAAAGATGTGCGACGGCCGAGAGAAGTAAGGAAAGAGAAAAAAAAGAATAGGAAACCCTCAAGGACCAGCCTTGTAATCACTTGCGGAGTTGTTCTTTATTTTTTTTTCTTCCTCTTCAGTGACGAGCAAGGGGGAAAAAAAGAGAAATCATTGCTGGTAAGTACCCTGAATATAGTGATCAGAGATACCACCGCCGCCGCCGCCCTTGGGACCGAGCCAAACGATCTCGATCACACTGTGGCCCTCGTCTTCCTCACGCACATAGAACTGGTGCACATTATCACCGACGACGTAGGCATCGTGCAACAACCACCGGTCCTTGGTGACACCTTCGTCCTCCGCAGGACGAAGAGGACCCAGACGCTCCTCGAAACCACGGGGGTCTTCGGGCCAGGTCTTCTCAACGGCATCAAAGTTGATGGCATCATCGGCAACGGTGGAGTCATAAGTATACTTGACCAGGGAGTAACCGTTGGTCATGACCCAGAAGTGCCGGACCGCCTCGCCAGTTGCGTTGTTGATGGTCTCCTCCTGGTCGAAGACCCAGCGGCGGAGAACCGATTTCCGACCGGCGGCCGCAGCCACGGTGGTCATCTTCACCACGTCCTTGGTGTACCAGGAGTTCCAGTGGTGCATAGATTCAATCCTGCGGCCAGATTCGTAAACACCGTCCACAGGGTCGGTCATATCCATCTGGTAAAGCGAGGGCCAGAGAGTGAGAGCGGTGTCGCCGAAGCGCTGGATACATTGGCCAAGCTTCTGGTCACCAGGCTGCTCACCCCAGGACTGGCACTCATCATAGTACTTCATCAGCACATCCAGCAGAGGCTTGGAGACGAAGACACCGGCACCACCGAAAGCGATATGGCCAAAGGTCTCGACTTGCCAACTGGCCTCGGACAAAGATCCAATATAGTGCTTCTTCTTCTCATCGAACAACTTCAATTCCTTGGCGATGGTAGGCAGAGACAGGAAGAAAGTGTCGTCGTCGCTGAAGCCAACCCAGGTGGTGTGAGGGCGGTGCTTGCGGATGTGCTCGGAGAAAGCCTCGACCATACCGAAGTAACGAGCAGTGAAGTCCAGGGGGGAGGCCTTGAGAGTCAGATCCAAACCGCGGTTGCGGAAGTAGGTCTCCTGCTTCTCCAAATCGTCATCGGACTCGGGAACCAGAACAATCAGGCCAGCCTTGGTGTTACCATAGGTGTACAGGAGCGAGGGAAGGAGACGGTCGAGACGGTCGACGGTAGTGGCCAGGCCGAACAGGAGCTTGGAGGTCTCCTCGACATCGTCATCGGCGGCCACATCCACATCGATGATCTCGGGGCAGACAAAGTTCTCCTCGTCATTGTTGGGAGAGACAACCATGCCACGCTCCATCTGAACCATGGGGGGGAGGACGGGCTTCTCAACCTCCTCCATAGTGCGGAATTCGGTGTCGGGGCTGACGATGCGAGGGCGGAAGTAGGCACGGGTGTAATTCTTGCGGGGGAGCCATTCGGAGAAGGGGAGAGGGGCAGCCAGCTTGGGGTCAACCTCACAGGTGTTAGCCGAGGGGGTAGATCCCTCAGCCGGGCTACCTAATGACGTCTGGCTGCCACCCATGTTGACACGGTCAATAGGGTGCTTGAAGCGGAGGAACGCCGACCGATCATAGCGTTCCATGCAGAAGAAGAAAATGCCGATCGACACCAGGGCGATCAACGGAAAGACCGTCTTTAGCCGGAAAAGAGGCATCCTGACGGTAGTGTGGGGAGTCGATTTTTCGAACATGTACGTCAAGTTTGAGAATCGGGGGGAAAAGCGATATTTTGAGGGGGAGAGCGGTATGTTTGTGCCTGACAATGCGACACGTTCTCGTCGAATTAAAATCTTTCCCTTATCAGATTGGATTGGCGTAGGGTTTGGAATCAAACGAGGATGTCGTGGTCCCGGGGAAGAATCGTGCAACTGGCAAAAGGAGCAGAGCACTGAACAAGGAGATTCTCGAAGCGAATGTAAGTGACCAGAGGCTGGTGTGAAGGAATGGCAGGCAGATCAAATGCCGAAATCAACGAGAGGCTGGCAGCGTCGGGACCTGCGACACGGTCCAAAGGGTGTAGAAGAGAGGCGGTCTTTTCGGAGGTTGGTTTGGCCGTGGGTGGTGGATTTGGCGTTTTGCAGGAGGAAGGGGAGAGGGGGGAAAGGGAAGAGGAAGCAGACGAGAGATCAACGCGGCTGGACAGAGGAGTCCAGGAGCGAGAAGCAGATCGATGCTGGGGGAGGGAGGGAGGAGGAGGGAGGAAGTAGATCGTAAAAGGTTGAAAGATGTGAAGAGGAAAAAAGGGAGGAGGAGCGTAGAAGTAAGTAGTGGAGTGAGAAGGGACAAGGACAGGTGATGGGGATCGGGGGGTTGGTTGGTTGGACTCGTGGGAGAATGTCTGCGTCACCGTATTACCGTAATTTTGGGCGGGTTCCCACTTGCAGAAATAATCGACGACTCTTGCGTATTCTATATAGATGAGAAGAATTATCGATATTTCAATATATCTCTTTTAATCGTGTTTTAACATGCATCTTCCTTTGTTTGGAAAATCCTCTGAACATTCCGATTTATATCTGTCTGATCATCTGCTCCTCGCTTCGAGTCTTGTTGATTCTCGTCCAAGAATGCCAGCAGTGATCGTCCCCATCGTATCCCATGGGACTACGTGATCGGCACGCTTAGGTCTGTCCGTTCATGTCGCTCAAACATGGCCTCGTCTACACATTACCTGGCCTACTGAGCCATTCTGATTCGGGGATTGGCGAGAGAGGGTCTCCTCCGAGATCATCGCTCCGTAGCAGATCCGGATTCGGGTCGAGAAAAGGGACCCTTTTTATTCTTGCCATCGGAGATCGTTTGACATTTTTCAATGACAAGATCTATAAGACCGTCGGAGTACCGTCCGGTAGGTTACTTCTATCGCAGGATCCGGATCTCAAGAAACACCGGTGGTGTGAATCGGACGGTTGGTCCTACCCAGGATCAACGGCATACGACTCTGCAAACTTCCTTATACAACGCCCCGTATTTACTGTCACCTGCTCTTCATGGGCATATAGATGGTCAGTACGAAGGTGTCATTGCGACCGCATCAGAAACATTCCGTCAGACTTCCGGAACATTCCAATCAAATTCCCCGGGGTCTCATCATGATGATGCCGTGGGTGTTGAGATGATCTTGTATAGATCACGTCACCTATAGGGCATCAGCGTTGAGACGGGACTAGGCTAGGGCAGATTGGATATAGATCTGTTGAATATATATAGAATTGATGGGGAAAAATGTAATACACAGAACGGACCAAAGCCTGGATAATCTATGGGTTTGTTAAGTGTAGCCTGATGGAAGTATACTACTTGGTAACAATCAAGTACCGTATGACGGAAGAGCCGTTTAGTGCCAGATGAGATGACCAGTAAATAATCATAAAAGACACCCTCCGTAGTTCTACATATACCAATTGTAAGTACAGAGTAACTACAATATGTAATGAATCAACTGATATATTGGCCATTATTATTAGAGTCTGTAATAAATCGTCCGGTCTCCATGAGCAGAAACATCAGGAAATGATCTGAAGGTCGATCGCCCTGGCGTCCAGCCGCGCCCACCAGTCAAAAGCAATACAGACCCGTCAGGGCCGTTGAGGAGGACCCAGTCAGCGTCAGAGGGGGCAAGAGTGGCCACTTGGAGGCCCCCACCGACGCGTGTCCTTTCTCCTCCCGCTGAACTAGGACTGCAGGACTCCAGTAAAGTATCTGTACTGAGGTTCAGCCGTCGGGTTAAACTACGCAACTACGCAACTGCCTAGCGCCCATGGCCCAGCCCACACCACCACCACCACATAGAGAGTCGAGACTGATCTAGATTTGGCCTTTGGGGGAATTATTATGGACTCCTCAATTTGATAGATATCTACCAAGTATTATTTAGCGATATAAAGTATTTCCATTCTCTTTTCACTCGTGAACAGACCCTGAAAAGCTTATCGGCAGATCGTAGGTGTTGCAAAGTGGCGACAGGCCTCATTTTCGCAATCATCCCGTTCAAGTTCAGCCTACAGCAAGTGGGCCGAGATCGACAACCCTGGAAAAGCCATTCAGACTTTCGCCCTGCTTTTGCTGATCGGTCGGATATTTCATGATCATTTGGTAAGAGTCGAGAATTCTTTCCAGTGGCTGGTCATCATGGTTGATGAGACAGCTGCGTCATGGGCTTCGCATGCTTGTTCTATCTATATTAAGCATTCATCTTACGGAGTAACTAACTTACGGAGTACAGTATGTGTAATTATCTTATCCACGACAGGTCAGCCGTTGGCGGGTTTCACACACAGTGGCCTCGATGGCCTGGGTCACTGGGGCTGTCGCTGTGGGGGGTGGGAAGGACTACTCCCGTGGTTCCTTTGATGAGGATTCATTTAAATTCTTCGACATTATTGTGCAAAGTCTGTACATCTTCCAATACACCCTATAGAGTCTGCTCTGTTATCAAAAGCAGAAAAGAACTGCCTAGCGCTAGCAACGGTGTCAAGTTTCGATCAACCGTATACCCACTCTGACTAGCACTCTCTTCTGGGACCGCGGGTCGAAGCGAGGCCAGCTAGACACGACTTTAACCTTAACACTCCCTGACAACGATGATAGATTTCAAGAGGCTAGCACGTTTAAATAAGGTAGTTGAAGTTGAGATATTCTCATTAAATACCTTATTCATCTTCGCTTTTATAGATCTCCCAATCTAGCCATGAATAGCCACGTCTACCACTAACTAGTCAAATATACTCCATATTAGCATTTGCATCATCACCAAAATCCTGGTCAACTTTAGCGTCCGCATCTCGAAGGCGCATAGAACAAAAACTGTTACCACCATCCGTGCACAGCTGCACACTCGGCCCAAACCTGCGCTAAGGGTCAATGCCCGCCTTGGCATCGGTTTCACAGCGCCCAAAGAAGAGAAAAAAAAGGATAAACCAGAGGGCAAATTGTTAAATTGCCCATAAAAAGGGGGCGGCGCAGGCGCGGTAATCTTACGGACCCTGAAAATTCAAAAAGCGTGTCAGGTTCACGGTGGAGCCCGGGCCCCTGATCGCCAGTCCAACCCCCCTTACGGCCGGTGAGAACGCTCGGAGCCTCCGTTCGACATTTACTGCGGTAGTTAAAAAAAATCTGGATTGAAAGTAATCATTGGGTGTGCCAAGAGACATGATCAAGGTTGTGGTAGGCCTAGAGGTGGGCAGTTATCTGGATGGAGAGGGGAGAAAACGGGTAAGGGGCTTTATTATTTTCGAGGCGGCGGAAAAGGGGGGGCTTGTTTGACGGCCAACTTTGTGCTCCGTGGTACAATGTAAAGCGAGTGTGGATCAGCGGCCGGCAAATGATGCAATCTATCACCATTATTTGTCCCAATCACCTATCCCAAACGAGCCTGGTCCTATCTATCTCAAGCTATCCTGATTGCTTCAACTATGTTCCTGACATCGTGATTTGAGGATCACAATACAACACACTCTACTCCAGTGGAGCAAGGAATATCGTACTGTATATTCGGGCTGTGCTTAATTAGCGAACAACCTTGAAAGGCTCTGGCATAGTCCACTTTTCGGCTGCTAGCCCGCTTCGATGACTTTATCAGCCAGGTGCTCGTGGGATATCTCATCGGCTCGCCTCTGGTAGGTTCTCTTGAGTTGTACCTACAGTAGTAGAAGGATTAAATTCCCAGGATCGTGGACCGGGCGTGATGCCAAGGGTTTGCCCATATGTCCTCAAGTCGGTATGGGGCCCTCTACTCGATGGACGAAATAGTGCGTCCATTCGTCTGTATAGAAGCTTGTGTCCATGTTAGCGAGTTAAGGATGACGACGCAAGTAGTATGAGAGTCTGAAGGTGCCAATGCTTCTTCAATCTTATGGTAGTTGTGTGATGGTCTACTCCGTACTATACGGCAATAAGAGATTGATCAAGGACCGTCAGCCAGGGTCCTGTGATAAAATATATCCCTATATCTAATACGATATATCAATTGCAGACAAAGGACTCCAGTATTCGTATTCAAACGCCTTGGTGGATCTCCTGCCCTCGTTGGACTTGCTAGTCTCGCACTTTAGCTGATTGGCCTATGTATACTGTGGTTGTCGCGGACTATCGGGATGACAATCCCATCTCATCCCAGGATCTCAGCAGGGGTCCAATGAGGTAGGATTGGCTGTCAATGAAGCGATCTACAAACACGAAACACGGAAGGCAGTGACCCGATACAGGAGCAGTACAGCGGAGGATCTAGATATCTTCTATGACAGATAATCGCAGGCGGTACATGATCCTATCCCATCTCGAGTATACTGTAGCAAACGAGCAAGTCGTCATGTATCATCTCTTTAACAGTCATTTCGACAACAAGATCTACATTCTGGGACCCTTCCCCAAGGTTTCAGGAGTCACACGAGGATCAAAAAGTGACATATCCAATTAATCCTTCATATCTTGACGTTACCCGGGTATCACACGGTCGGCGACGGGGATCTTCCTTTCAAACCTGGCCACAGGTGTAACTGTTCGGAGATGAAGCTTTTCCGTGGGTATCATCACCATGTCATATTGCCTCAGCGTGCATGTGTGGATGCGTAGCGGGGGATGATGGGGTAATTTCCTGCATAATCTCTAAATTTTTATTGATCACTTTTCAAATATGTATTCCAACAAGGGATAGCTGTGGGAATGAGCATCGTTAGATGATACTGTCAAGTTCGACGGATGCTGGTCATAGTTGTCATGTCCAACCTTATATCTGGCATTCTGGCCACCGGGGCTCCTTGGTGCAGTAAATAGCAAGTACGACTGCGCGCTCAGTTTAGTACAATGTTCTTCTCCAGGCCACCATAAAAAACGCAGGAAGGTGCTTATTCTGCAGGGACTGCTGCATCAGTCAGGCTGTCCGAGAAGTAGGTAGTATTAGGGGGCAGGGATCATGGCCACGCATAATTAGTGCATATCTCATCCATTACCACTAGCATCAATCATTAGCTCCTTGACCTTGGCCATAATCTTTCATCGCACACAACTAAACTCTAGCAGACTGTGTATAAGCAAGATGCACACTCGGACCAGCAAGTACCTAGTCTTCTGCCCCTCTCTCGGACATCATTATGATTATTCGCATCAAAGTTTTGGCTGCATGCACGGGATGAAACAACCGAGCTCAGCAAATCAGCATCGCTGATACGTTCCCTCGAATGCATCGAGAACGGGGGTGATTTAAATCCGGTGACGGACTGGCGCCCTTCACATTGGCAAGCGCCTTTTCTCAATCTGTAGCTCGCATCGTCCAAGACTTCCATGTCCCCACTCCGTTCCCGCTTGAAGCCGCCAGACTGCCAGACTTGGACCGAAGCGTGGGAAATTGTGAGGGCCAAAGCATTTTCGCCAGTCGCGCTGGATCCTCCAGAGCAGCGGATTATAGGACATCTGGTAGCTGGTCTAATAGCTGAGAACTGCTATCTGTTGAAACCGCATCATCGTGCTGACTCGCATCAGTTCCTCGATCCGCTCGGTTCCCCCCCCTCGTTTAACACTCGTCTTCCTGCACGAGGACCAAGCTTGAGCCAATATGGGCGCTGAAACCGTGCGCTAATGACGAACTCGAGCTCGGTCCGAACGGATCTGGCTCGATCGCAGATTACCGAGGCCTATTGTTCCCCACAATTTGCCCCAGGTGGAAAGGTCGCACGGCGCAGTTCGCCAGCATGCTCCAGCTGGGCGGGGCTTCTGGAAGTATCCCTTGCTACATTATGGCCTTGGTGCCGTCGCAGTAACCCGAGAGCAAAAATAATCATCTCTTTTTTGTCTCTACAGAATCCAACGACGCAAAGGTCAAAATGGTGTTCAGCACGGTGGACGAATTTGACCAGGTACGCATATAGTTGATTAGGGCCACGAAATATACAACACTAACGTTAGACTCCGACAGGCCTATCACGATGTACACGTTGCGTTCCGATCCGGTGTCACCAAAAACAAAGAATGGCGGCGTCAGCAGCTCAAGCGTACTTGGTGGATGATTGAGGAAAATAAGGATCGCATCTGCGCCGCCCTCTACACCGATCTCCACCGACACACCTACGAAACAGGTCTGAGCGACATTGCAATGCTGCAGAATGACACCCTACGCACACTTGAGAAGCTGGATGAATGGACCAAGGATGAGAAGCCCACCCGATGGGATATGGTGAACTTTATGGGCGGCACACGAGTGCGCAAGGAGCCCAAGGGCGTTGCCCTCATCATCGGCGCCTGGAACTTTCCCATCCTCCTCTTGCTTCAACCAATGGTTGCCGCGATTGCAGCGGGCTGCGCGATAATTCTGAAGCCATCCGATATGGCGCCCGCAGCACAAGATCTCCTGATGGAGATCATCCCACAGTATCTGGACCGCAGTGCTATTCGTTGCATCAGCGCTGGGCCAAATGAGATGTCGCATATCCTCGAGCAACGCTACGATCATATCTTCTACACTGGATCAGGCAATATTGGTAAAATCGTGCATGCCGCGGCTGCCAAACATATGACTCCCGTGACACTCGAGTTGGGAGGGCAAGCTCCGGCTATTGTCACTTCGAAGGCCAATATCGACTTGTCAGCTAAGCACATCGCTGCCACCAAATTCGCTAATGCAGGCCAGGTATGACTTTCCTCCTTGACTAGCGCCCCCTAGACGGGGTATTTAACAAAGAGCTTGAGATCACTAACCAACCTCATACAGATCTGCCTTAATGTCAACCACGTCATAGTCGACCCCAACATCCGCGAGGCCTTCGTGAACAGCCTGATCAAGCACTTCGACACCTTCATGGGCGGCCGCGACGCCAAACCCGAGTACTACACACACATCATCAACGAGCGCAACTTCGACCGACTCGACCGACTCCTAGTCTCAACACGCGGTGACATCGTCTACGGCGGCCAACGCGACCGCGAGACCCGCTTCTTCGCGCCCACCATCGTCACAGGCGTAAAACCAGATGACATTCTTCTTTCCGAAGAACTCTTTGGCCCAATCCTGCCAATCATGGACGCAGACTTCGACTTTGCCCTTAAATACACCAGCGCCGGTGATAGACCCCTCGGTATCTACGCCTTCACTGACAGCCAGGTTGAGAAAACCCGCATCCTGGACGAGACTCAGTCCGGTGGCGTGACTTTTAACGATTGCACACTGCATGTCGCTGCGCGCGATGCACCATTCGGTGGTACCGGTCACTCCGGTCAGGGCTATTATCACGGTCCGTACGGTGTGCGTGAGTTCTCTCATCTGAGGACGTATGTGGATGCCATGCCGGCGTGGATGGAGTGGCTCATGGATGCGCGGTATCCGCCGTATTCGGTCGAAAAATTAAATAAGATGGCGCCGGCTGTGAAGGCGCCGTTTGACCGTGAGGGAAGAGATACTTCGCGTGGGTTGACCAAGTGGGTTGTTGGTTTTGGGGCGTTGGTGTTGTCGGTGGCTGTTGTGTTGCCGCGACAGCAGGTTCAGGCGCTTGTTGCGCGGTTTGTGAGTCGGGAATAATGGTAATGAAGGCGTAGGTAGGTCGGACATCAGGTCTCTGTTGGACTTTTATGAATCTGAACGATTTGATTAGGATGGATATGGGATAATGGAATGATTTCTGGAGATGGGATTGAACACAAATTTGGTTCTCTTGGTGACTGAAACTTAAGTTAGTCGATTTGATTCACATTATCTTGAGTCAGTTTGAATGGCTTGACTTCACTGCTCGACTCTCCTCCCGTGTAGAAGTACTAGTCTACTCTAGCATCATAGGTGTGCATGGGTATGTTCAGTTGTATTGATATTATGTGCAAGTACCTACCGGTCTAGCTAACCAGGTGCATGAATCGTGAAGCTATGCTACATCAATCATCAGAGGTGCCTTCGCGATCCTCAAAGATCATAAACTCATCATGAGCCACCTCATCTCCTACGATGTTGACCCACGCCTGTTTGATCATATCGACCGTCTGATCCTCAAACGCCAGATCAAGGCTAGGCGGTGGGAAGCGGAAGACATGAGGCGAATGGGTCTGGATGGTGGGTGGTGTTCCGCTGTTACTAAGACGGCCAAGCTGGTTATACCGCATGGACCACAGAGCAATGGCCTGGGGACCTTCTGCCTGAAGGAGTCGATCCACGGCACGCTCGAGGAGAGTGTGACCTTCCGGACCGGAGAGAGCGACGCTTCCGTAGATAATACCTGTGATGACACGTATTAGCACATGAATTTGGAATAATGCCAATGAAATCACAATCGAGGGTTGGTGCTCGTGATCAGGTATTGATAGATTAGGTTACATCAAAGCAATCAGGCAATGTAGATAAGTAAAAGATAATCATCATACGAGCAGGAGGGAATAGCGCAAGGAATTGATAGAGTGGAAAGGACTTACTCTGCTGTCGTGGGCAATCGCCGGTGTCACTCGAGTGGACTTGGAGGTACACCGGCGGAGATTGAGGGCTGCCCAATGTTTCGCCAGGGAACATAAGAACAGTGCTGGCAGGCACGGGTGCACCTTCAGCTGTAACGGGGAAGAGGGATGTGAAGGTTGAAGAAGCGACAGTAATCGACCTTGCAACCTTTGTACAAGGTGGCTGCTCCAGACTGGGAAGATCCCAGGCAGAACCAATGAGGACACGAGTCCGAACGGTCTCTCCGTCCGACAAACACACCTCGACAGGATGTTCTGATTCTGCCGAGACTTCGCCATCTGTGATTGATTGAATACCTGTATCCAAGGCATACACAGCTCCTCCGACAGCAGAAGCTCTGCATCCTACCTGAAGGATCTCAGAGCCTCCACCATACTTGGAGACGACAGCCCCGAATCCGGGTCCCAGGGCGCCGATGGAAGCCAGATGTCTCTTGATGCGAGGGACTGCATAGCTGGCAGAGGTATCCCGCTGGGGTAGCTGTGACAGAGAGAGCGAGAGCAGAGGATTTTGGAGATCCTGCGGGACACTGAAATTGGAGGACAGATAGTCCGCAAAGGGCATCGACAGGTCCTTATTTTCCTCTGCCTCGTCCTGCTCTTCCCCATCCTGAGGTTTGCTGATGTGTCGCAAGAATCGCATGAGCGTCCTCTTGGACTTCATGCTGATATTGCTATCGGCAAAGACATCTTCCCGGTTACCAGGAACACGGTGGAATAGTCGCGTAGCTCCAAGCTCAAGGCTATCAGCATTGGGGTGTTCCGGAGAGTGGATCCACCAACTGCCGACTGCCATGAACTCTAGCTGGCGGTAGACCTTTGAAGAGATGAGGATGGAGATTAGTTCTGAGCGGGTGTAGAGGAAGTATGGGGAAAGAGAGAGTGTGTAGGCGCGACTGGCAGCTAGCTTCGGACGGACGTCTGGTGTGCCCTGAGTACGCTCGCTAGTGTTGGAGTCGGCTTTAGAGGGCGCAGACTCTGATGAGTCTTGGTGGGTGATAATCTTGGCATCTTCAAATGGAGTCCGGCCTGGATCTGCCAGTTGAGACATATCAGCGATGAGCTGAGATGAAAGACACTCGCAGCGACGACCCACGTTGATTGACACTGTTCATCCACTCTGAAGCCTCGTCCAGACTGAAAGCGGCCTCTGAGCCACCATAGTATGAGTTCTGATCTAGGTGGAGCACCTTCTTTCCCGACCGCGAAAGAGCTCTGGACAAGGAGGAGGTTAGAGGGAGAACGAGATCCCAGCTTCACAAGAGACACTCACAATGCCAGAAGAGATTGATCCAGCCCAGTACCTGCAATGATTACATCCCAAGGATGCTCTGATAGTGACTCCATGTTGGCAACGACCAGGGCCAAGGTCTGAGCTGTAGCAGGTAAGTGCACGAGTTGTACTTTAGCAAGAAGCAGGCCCAACTCTCATCACATTGGGTGGCTCTTCAAACAGTATGTGAGCATCTCTGGAAGTCCACAGGCTAGAAACAAGAATGTTTAGCCTATGGATTTGAGTATCCAGTGGAGAGAGAGAAGGGAAAGAGAAGAAAAAAACTTTTGGCACGCGGAGCTTTTGTGTGGGAAGGCGGTCAGAGCTATACTGCCAACTATACCGCGTTGGCTTTAGTGGGGCCATGGACCATACATTATTCAGGTTCAATTTGTTGTATTGTGATGTAGAAGGAAGGTAAGGTTAAAGGACGCCATGTCTAGTTTCCAGATCCTTGATTTGTTCCATTAGGGATACTTCATAGACAGAGATGTCACTGTTTTGCGATATCATCAGAGTGTGCAAATCGAAGCAAAGTGGAATAAAAGTGAAACCATATCCGCAGCGAAGCCACCGCAGGGAAAACCCCATACATTGAGACTGCCCGGTTAGCTACATGGAAGTACAAAAAGGCTAAGCCTAGAGAAAACTAATTAATAGAAGGCCACACAAAGCCACACCACAATTCCCTGATGAGTCAAATCCTAGTTGTTCGGAGTGTTGCCATTCCATCGGGGATCATGAGGCATATCCTATGATTGCTGAACGATGGCCGCTGCTCGTTGGGCAATACGCCGGATTAAACCGGAACTGTAAGCATCTTCAATGGTGCCATCGGCGAAGCGGTCTGATCGTATCATGGCAGTGAGGAGCTTTTCAAGCTGTGCAGGAGTGGCTTGATCTAGGCCATCAGGGTCGCGAAGTCTTGTAGCTTCGTCAGATTCGATCCAGGCGACCCAGTTGAAACCAAGTTTACACCACCCGGCCATAGCTTGGAGAATTGATGACTCCACTGTAGCAAAGGGCTTCCCCTGGGAGAGTATTGGGACTATCCCTGCCAGCCTGGTAAGGCGTGGAATATCGGCGAGGGATGGCTTCGATGTAGCTTTATGCTCAACTGCGCTGGACGTCGCGAGGTAGCTTGGGATATGCAGTGTTGGACATTGTGTTGTGAAATAAAGAGCATGTTGTCCGGTATATCGCCTAAATTGGCCTTGAAAAATGTCTGCAAGAAAGGAGCGCTGCTCGTGGGTTGTACCTTCGGTGGACAGTGCTAGTTCGCCGTTGCGCGCTTCATAGATGCCTGGTTGACCAAGCCGTGGGGCATCACGAATTATAAAATCGGCTCCTTGGGTATAGGTAAAACCAGGGAGACGTTCAGCGATAGCGCTTGCGATAGCTGTGGATGGCGTTGGAGTAGTAATCGGCATGTTAACCTGCTTGCGATGGTGGGGTAGGTTGGAAAAGGCGTGCTACAGCAGGAGCTGCTGAGCCTTCAAAAATACTATGATCATACTAGACTCGACTTTTTTCAGTCACCCACCCCCTTCAGACTGAAAAACACATTGGTGCTGGGTATCTACACAACATCATATTAGTACGACTTTCTCGACTCGTAACTGACTTTGGCATTTGTTTTGAACTCGAGGCTGCTCTATACAAGACCCACACGTGACCTATGATTACTCAGCACACTCGTGATCGCCCGCTTAAAATGAAAATTCCTGCTACCGAAGCTTCTCTTCTCCCATGCCACTCCCAGTGCTTTGCACAGCCCGGCTGCCATAACATGACAATCCCGGGCTTCATGACGAATGCCTTCACTGGTGCTCGTCGTGGGGGTGGCAGATAAGATTCTCACTCTGTATCTGCTGCTCTGGATGGTGACATTTGACAGAAGCGGTTCGTTTTGTAGTGATACATTCATTCATTCGTCTACTATATTGGGTTGAAGGAGTTGGCTCCTCCGATATGATGGATTTCGTAGCTTCGTAGATGGGCGCAAGTCCCGATGCCATGCCCAATGGGCGCGAGCAAGAGTATCTCCGAGTTCAACGCGTGCCTGGTGGTGCTCGAGCTGCCAGGCAGGTTGAACCTCATGCGCCCAAGGGCGACTGCCTCAGTCCTCGATGTAGGGTGGTCATGTGTTTGTGGCTGCCAAAAGGAAAACCGTATCCCAGAGATAGATATCCCTGCGCTGAGCTGCAATGGGGCTGTAATGCTCTTGGATTGCGTTCTTCACGCCTCAGCTCCTTCCTCCACCACGTGAGCCCGAATGATCTTGACTTCGTCCATGGGCCGATCCTCGCCTTTTGTCTTGACCAAACCCATGCGTTGAATCACCCGCATCCCGCTCTTGACCCGGCCGAAGATAGTGTGCTTTCCATCCAACCATGGCGTCGGCGCAAGCGTGACAAAGAACTGACTACCGTTCGTGTTCGGCCCGCTGTTCGCCATGCTCAAAATGCCTGCACCGGTATGCTTCAAGTCATCACGGATCTCGTCCTCGAATTTCTCGCCGTAGATCGAGCTACCTCCTCGACCGGTGCCGGTAGGATCGCCGGTCTGAACCATGAAGTTGGGGATGATGCGGTGGAAGATCACGTTGTTGTAGTAGCCTCTCTGCGCAAGAGTAGCGAAGTTCTTGCAAGTCTAGACATTCGAATGTCAGTTCCAGATACACTTGTGCATGAGTTAGAGGTTTACCAACCTTGGGCGCATGAGTGTTGTAGAGCTCGACGGTGAAGGAGCCCTGTCAAGGTGTTAGTTTTTCGTACTGGAGAATGTAAGGGCCTTCAATCATTACCATTGAGGTATCGAATACCACATCTGTCGCCATGATTGAACTCGGAAACGTGTATCTTCAGGGGAGGGGATCTATAATAGGCTGGTATGTAGCACTCGAGTTGGATGAGAGAGTCGAGAAGAAGGAAAGTGGAAAGAGCTGCGGGACCGTAAGGTGGAGCTTGGCGCGGCATCTCACAGAACCTCCGATTCACCAACTGTTCAACATCCTCTCGTTTTGCACCTCGTGGCCGCCATGGAATAAGTCGCTCTTTTAACATCCACTGCGTTTGTTATTCTGGCTTCAGGAAGCCATATCTTTCATTCTCTTGAGTGATTACTCGAGCAACCGAACACCATGTCCGAAGAGATCAGCCCCGTTGCGGAGCTGCTTGGACTCGCAATCTACCATTTCGAACGCCTCAAACCTCTTCTACCGACCTACGGACACTTGCTCGTTGCATCCCTGTTCCCTATCTGGATTGGCGCACACGCCTCCCTTTCTCGACCATCCTCCGCCGCCAAACCTCCCAAGAAAACCGACGAGAAGGATGGAAATGATACCGACAATGACGAGTCAGACGATGAGGCGGGTCCAGTCCAGAAGATGGAGGGACTTGAGCCATCCGATGCTCTCATGTTCCCATTAACTGCTGGTCTTACCCTAGGAGGTCTCTACCTGGTCATCAAATGGCTGGAAGATCCCGCGGTTCTCAACAAGATTCTCAGCTTCTACTTCTCTTGGATGGGTGTGTTCTTCGCCATCGCGTTTCTCAAGGACTTCTTGTTGATTGTGCGGTCGTTCGTTTTCCCGAGACGCTATCTCTCTGGTGGGAAGATATGGCATGCGAAACAGTCAGAGCGTGTCTTTGTCGCTCAATCGGTGAACAAATCAGAAGTCACAACACATACCCGACACTCACCTCTTCCCGGAATATTCGGCGCAATCCCGCTCCCAAAAGCGGTGCTTGCATTGCTGTGGGCTTCTCGCACCGTTTTATATCAACGTTTACGGCTACGGGCCCATATTCGCGGTCTTTTTGACGTCAAGCCCCTCGTTGGCCTTCTCGATCTCCTCAGTGGGCTCTTCGCTCTTGCTGCCGTCGGGTACTTTGCCTTTGTGACAAAGCCTTGGTGGCTGACCAACTTTTTGGGATTCAGCTTCAGCTATGGAGCGCTGCAGTTCATGTCACCCTCCACCTTCTGGACGGGTTCATTGATTTTAGGGTCGTTGTTCTTTTATGACATTTACTTTGTCTTCTTCACCCCGTTGATGGTCACCGTTGCCACCAAGCTGGATGTTCCGATCAAACTTCTTTTCCCTCGACCACCAAGTCCTGGCGAAGAACCAGACGTTCAGTCACTGGCCATGCTAGGCCTGGGAGATATTGTTATTCCCGGCATGATGATCGGACTAGCACTACGGTTTGACCTATTCCTTTACTATCGCCGGAAGGGAATTCAACAAGCACAGCTGCAAGGCTTGAGCGAGCAAAATGTCAAGCCTCAGTATCAACGGGCGACTGGAGCATGGGGAGAGCGGTTCTGGGCTCCGGCGGTGAAACCACAAGTGCCAGAGTTCAAACCACCATACTCGGACGCGCGGTCTTTCCCCAAGGTGTACTTCAAAGCAAGCATTGTTGGATACGTCGTTGGAATGATCACTACCCTGCTCGCCATGCAATACTCCAACCATGCTCAGCCCGCACTCCTCTATTTGGTCCCTGGTGTCCTGATATCGTTGTGGGGTACAGCATTCTTCCGTGGCGAGACTAGCATCATGTGGGATTTCTCTGATGCCGAGGAAGAGGATGAAGAGGGTGACGGCGAAAGCGAGGGGAAACGCCCCGAGAATGAGAAGGGCGACGATGCAGCCCCTAAGGAGCAGAAGACCTTCTTCGCTCGTCTCTTCTCCGGCGATCTCAAGGTGTTCACTTCAAGCCCCAATGAATCTGCCCCGAAGAAAGCTCAGAGTGAGGATGACAAGGAGGATAAACGTGAAGGAGCTGCCGAGGGCAAGGAATCGAGTGAATCTGATTCTAAGAAAAAGCCGGGCAAAGACCCCAAGGGCGAAGGGAGCCTGGACTTGATCTCCTTTTCGATCTCCTTCCCTGAAAAGACTCGGAACAAAAATAGCTCCGATTCTGTAGGGCGCTCTGCTGCGGAAGACTCCATGGTCTCTATTCCCGATGTTGGCGATTGGAATGATGAACCTCCACTGAAGAAGAGACGTGGAACCCCCAGAAAGCCGGGGATGCATTGATTACCACCAACTGAACCGGTATGATTCGAAGCTTTCTCACATTGAAAGCTCACTTGTGTAACGATACAATGTATGATATCCTATGCTCTAGAATTCAGAATCTATTATTTCAATTGATCTTCAAAGTGGTATCTTTTGATTTTTAGGCTCATCTCTGGGCCATTAACATTGGTCTAGTATCCGTTTCATTTCATCCCATCTCTGGGCTGAGATCTCCACCAGCTGTCGAAGATCCTCGGTGTCCACAGTCCAGCCTCCATTCTTCTCCATCTTCACAATGGTCGTCTTCCCATCTTTTTGCTTGTCAACAACAATGCAAGCCCGCTCCTGAATCAAGCCCTCTTCATATCCATCTGGGTCCGCAAGGATCCACCTCTCCGGGGAGCCCTTCTTGCCCGTTTGGGTTTGCTCTGTAGCATCAGGAATAACGTTTGCACGCCATCCTGCCGCAGCATCCGCCTCAAAGACACCGAATGAGCTTGCCACAGGTAGACCACGCAGCGAAAGCTTGCGAGCATCTGAAACGCTGTCCGAGCAAACGATAGTCTCGTTGTCGACATCCCACCAAGCTTTAGGAAGCTTCGTATCACGAAGAGCGGCAAGCACGGCAGCCCAAGCAGCGTCGAAGGGGTTACCAGCGAGGGAGATTATCATGATATCAATGTGAAGAACCCAGAAAGCCTTAATTTCCCGGGGCTTGTCCTCGATAGTCGCACTCTGCTCGGCATCCACATCCATTTGTTCATTCTCGTTGTGTCGTTCTGGTTCCTCCGGTCCAAGATTGGGCTGTTGATACCAGACACGCAGGTCATCCGCGCGCACTAGTCGTGTGCTGTGTAGAAGAGAGAGGATTTGGTGGGAGAGTGACTGGGCGAGCGCAGACGGCGCCGCACCCGGAATGAAGCCCGGCGCACATCCGGTGCTCAAGGAGATATTTGGAACGAGTAGGTTGAGGTCTTCAATATGGGCGCGGTCATCCTCTGGATCTTCATCTTCGTCTTCCTCGGTTGGCTTCTCGCCAAGGTCTGCGAGACGCCGGCGCTTATTAGAACTTGAGGCCTGCGAGACGCTCCATGAGGCGATGTCTTCGGTGTGTAAGAGCTCTGCACGGACGCCGCATACGGCTGCGGTATCACCGATGCGCACTACAGCGCTGCCATTTGTATGGGTCAGAGAGCCCGCGTTGGCTGATGTGACTCGGAATTGCGAGGGAGCGCGGCCATTGGCGCGAATGGAAGGTTGGTTGCTCGCCGATGGAGGGGAAAGATGGGCAAGGAGGTAGGCGTGAGGCTGGATGCGGGCAAATTGTGATGGTGGGAGCGAGAGTGATGGAGGAACCGAAGGAGCAGCCGTTGCTGCTGGGGCGGCCATGGTAAAGAGCTTTGGTACCCAAATGTCTAGAGGATTGCGGATCGACAGACTTGACGAAAAAGCGAGCACTGGGCGGCAGAATGTTTTCCTATAAAAGGCGGTGTGCATCTTAAGCCTGAGGCATGAACTGGAACTAAAACTTGTACTACATAGTACCAACTATTCTACGCAGTTAAACATGGTTGAAAACTGAGGGAATCTGTCAATTTAGGTTGTTAAGTCTAAGTCTTCTTATTGTCTATTTGATGAAGAGATTGGTGGTTGTCATCCGCAATATGCCTGGATCCTACTCTTGTTAAAATCGTAGTAATGGAAAGCTAACTTGAACCTCGAACATGGACAAAATGAAGTCTTTTTCGGTGTACTATATATTTGACAATTATTCATATACAATCTAGGATACTGAAATAAAATTATCCATCTTTCGGTTTGTGTAATTTGGGCTCGAGTTTCCTTCCTCTGCATTTTAGCTAGAGGAAGCCAGGGCCCAAAACGGCCTCCTTGAGGCACGACCGTGTTCCATGAGCATTAGCCTGAAAAGCTTGCTGTAGGATAGAAGTTGTCGATCACTCAATGAATTGTATACTACAAGTCAATGATATCTCTCACTAGACTGTGAGATCAAAATGTATGAATATATGATGTAGGGCTAGTTAGTACAAATCTAACTACTAGCACCTCGAATGTTCACCTAAAGATGACCAAAATCATAAAGCCCTACAATTGGCTACAATACCCTGCAGGAGTTCTCTTTAGACTGTGAAACAGCCGCGAAATATTGCCTACCCTAAGCATGTTTCTGGGGTTTCTCCATAGTTACCTACTAGAGGTATGACATGTTTAACACCTCTCTCCCTCTCTCCTCTTGTTATACGGGATTTTTAATTTTAGATGTTCTATTTGTAGATATACTTTCTTCGCTTTAGCCTATATACTAGCTGTATGTCATTTCCCTATTTTTAGAAATGGCATCTCATCACACTTTCTCAGATCTATCACGGTCGCTTTACTCGGATATGCACGTCACTTGGGAGTGATTCGGTTCAGATAGCCGATTGAGAGCTAGGTACGAAATCCAAGCGCTCATAACAGAACAAAATTAAGCTAAGCTAATGGCGTACTAAAATAATAATAATAATAATAATAATAATAATAATAGCAGTATCCCCAAGTGTTAACAGTTTGCCCTGTTAGCGACAAACCATCAAGCTTCAGTCGGCTGCCGATTGGAGGCATCCCCGCCGCGCTAATGCGGTCGGATCACTTTCCATCACTCGAATCACCTCCTTTAAACGAGCCTGATTGGCTATCACAGCGCTAATCCATCACATCTCACTGGGAGTAAAGCTCACCATGTGCAGACCTGCACTCTGGCGAGACGCCCGGAGAGCCACCGTTTATTCGGTCCATGACTCGCCATGCCTCGGCCGCCTGCCATTGGCTCGGCGACGAGTCCTGCAGGACTTGTCGATGCAGTGGACTTCTTCTCGTCACAAGAGCGACGGCGCAGTGCTATTTGTGTAACCCCCGCTTCGTGCTTCCCATACATCAAGTTGACATCGCCCCTCGAAGTTGCCGTTTCGTCCTGCCACCCGTTTGATGCCTCCGTACCCGACCACCTGCGATGTCATGAACTAGGCGCAGCTATAGGTTTTGGAAGGGTGCGTCTTTACCTGCTCAAGATACATTGAGAGTTCACACAGCCAGGGTAAGATTTCTCTGCCGTTCGCCGAAATGGAAGAATCACTGGGGCTTACTATTAGGATTAGTCGCACAGGGTGCGATCGATAGCGATCAGGCTCTAGCGAATCTCCTACTTATACACAACTCAATATGGACTCCCTCAGGTCCCTCGCAAAGCGCGTCAATGTCGTCGTGTCGGCATCGACGACCCAGAAGGAGTTGGCGGAAATGAATCGAGATCCGTGGTCGCAATCCGCCAAATATGGCTACGGCTTCGTCTACTTTGCAGTTGTGTTGCTGGTCACCACATCTCTTATTCGATTCTATCATATATGGGGGGACAAGATCCGCATTGCCAAGTTCAAGGAGCAGCAATCAGCAATTTTCAGCAGCTCCCCGAACAATGTCTCGACTCCCGACGAGTACGAACTCCCTAGTGCTGGCACGGATGCTTCGAGCGCGCATTTCTTCCCAGCGCCAACCCAAATACCTCAGATCAAGCGTCGGGAATCCTTGGTACAACGAATGATTCCGCTGCAGAGGGTTATTGCATTGATGCGCTGGATCTTCTATCGACCTATCCCGGTGGTCAGAATTGGAAGTGTGGAATTTGTCTTCCCATCCCTAGCGGTTACGATCATCGTGTTGGCTGCCTTGATCTTTGTGGCTCTGTACTGCTTCCTCCCCCAGCCCTTGTACTACTGGACGATTGCCCTCGGATCACCACCTTTGGCGATTCGAGCGGGCATGCTCTCAGTCGCCATGGTCCCGTGGATTGTGGCGCTTAGCACGAAAGCCAACTTCATCTCTATGTTCACAGGATTGGGCCCGGAACGCTTGAATGGACTGCACCGGTGGTCCGCCTACATTTGCCTATTCTTGAGCCTCGTGCACATGATACCTTTCTACATCACTCCGATCTGGGAGGATGGAGCCATGATCAACTACCGCAAGTTCATCACACTGCCCCATATGTACGTGTACGGTAATGGACTCGCGGCCATCGTCCCTCTATTCGTCCTGTGCGTTCACTCGCTCCCTTTCTTCCGGCATAAACTGTACGAGCTCTTCGTTTTCATCCACATCCCCGTTTCTTGGATATTCGTAGCGATGCTTTTCTGGCATACCAAGAACTTCCTCTCATCATGGGGTTATCTCTGGGCAACCGTTGTGATCTGGATTGTCACATATGTCATCCGGTTGTTCTATCTCAACTGGACGAATCCGTTCCGTTTAGCATCTTTCATGATAGGAGAAGAGTCTGCAGTGACACTCCTCCCCCAAGGCGCAATCAAAGTGACGGTCCCAACACAAATGCGTTGGCGCCCTGGTCAGTACGTCTACTTACGCATGCCGAGTATCGCCTTCTTTGAGAGCCACCCATTTACTATTGCATCTTTGTGCAGCGATGATTTCCCGTCTGAATATGGCGAGGAGTACCGCGACTGTACCCTTGTCTTCCGGCCATCCCGTGGATTTACGCGAAAGGTATTCCGCAAGGCTTTGGAGAATGGTCCTTTCCGAACGTACACGGCCTTTTTGGAGGGACCGTATGGTGGCATGCAGCGCGAGATGGCCGCCTTTGACGACGTTATTTTCTTCGCTGGTGGTAGTGGAATCACCGCAATTGCCAGTCAGCTTCTGGACTTGATTAAGAAGATTCGAGATGGCAAAGCCATTACTAAATCGGTCAAGGTCATATGGGCACTAAAGAACGCTGAGACTATGGAGTGGTTCCAGGAAGAGCTTCGAATCTGCAAAGACCACGCACCTGCTGGTATTTTGCATTGTCATTTCTTCTTGACTGACGTCAAAGATGAGCAAAAGGACCGAGATATCGTGCAAGAGAAAATCTACGGAATGCTACAAGGCATTGACAAGCGGAACTCTGCATATATCCGCGAAGAAGCCGGAGGCGATGCCGAGAGAGAAAAGGAACTACGCCGCGAGAACGAAGACGGACTCGCCGCTTTGCCTGGAGCGTACACTGCTTCCCACGTCGCTAATAACCGGCACTATTACCAGCCAGGAATGGACCCGTATGCTGCTGCTGGGCCACACGGGTCGAATAACAATGTCCCGTTCGACTTTGGATTTGGCAGTCCTCAACCCATGCAACAAAGACAACCGGCGTCAACACCGCGCTATGCTTACTTCCAACCTGGATTGAGGCGAGACAATTGGCGGACAGATTACTTCCGTCCTGACATCTCACTGATGCTCACAGAGTTCTCGAAGAGCTTTGGACGGCGAGCGTGTGTCTTTGTGTGTGGACCGCCCAGCATGCGTGTGGAAGTGGCCAATACTGTGGCCAAGCTCCAGCAGCAAGTTATGACAGATTCATCTAGAGATGAGATCTTCTTGCATGCGGAGAACTATAACATTTAATCTAGTGCATTGCCTTGTTTGCTGCGCCTTTGTTCATTGGATACCCTTGGAGTTGGCCAAAACCACCTGTTTGACGAATGAACGCTCGATCATTACCTGTAATTAGTATATCTCAATAAAGTATATATACGTTGGATTCTTTCTGGCAATATTTGGGTACCGGTCCCTTGGCGTTCGAATGATCAAACCCCTCGTCGTTTTCGGTGATACCGAGTGACAAAAACTTATTGAAGGGGATGCGTATTTCTACCAGCTTGGTGGAAGCGTCTCCCTGCTGGTCTGATTGTGAATACGATTGCACCCAGGGACTGGCTTCAGCGACCGTTTTCACTACATCATAAATCGGCAATCGAATCAACTCGACTAGCCCGAAATCTATTTAAAATAGGAAACAAAAGAATGTGATATCGTCAAAACTTTGTTCGTAACGTCCAACCTTTGCAGATTCCTCGGGAGCTAGCGAGAACAATGGTAGAGGACGGATAAAGAGCTCCCCCAAAAACAATCAATCCAAAGTGTGCCCCGTCATTGAGTTGCTGAGCAGCACCTGCAATGGGAATGACAACGAGAGTGCCGATGCTCACCGAAGTCCACATAGTTCCCACTCTTTTCCCATAATCTTCTATTTCGCAGATCTGAGATATACAGACCGGCGCGATACTAATTGCTGATCCGCAAAAGAATCCGAAAATTACCGCATAACTGATGACTATTCCTAGATTTCGAGGATTGACTAAATCACCCGAAAGTCACAAAATGAGGGTGAGGATGGAACACATCAAACAGCTCACCGTCATTACGTTGAATCGACCAAGGCGATCCGCAATCAGGCTGGGAAGGAAACGTCCAAATATTGCACCAAGGTTCAGGAAAACGAGAACCCCATAAGACATTCGCTCACCAAGACCAACATCAAGTGCATAAGATGTGATAGCGATCTCTGAGCCTATCAGCACACCCGATGGTGAAATCGTCTACAGCCTATTGTGGAGAGAACAAAAGATACCACTATTCTAATAATTACGTGTTGAATTCAGCAGTTCAGACAATTAGAGATTCTCCACTACAATCTTTGGTATTATTATGGACTACTTCCCGGTTATATCAGAAGGCAACCTACCTTTGTCACGATGTGGGCATGGCCGTGGTATATCATCTATCAAGTTGAGCTTGAGCATAGATCATTATTCAAACTAAAAGCTTAGACAGCTGATTCTAAGGGAGATGGTGGTCAAAACCACGGGTATACCACTAATTAATCAATTACATAATATTGGAAGCATCCATTAGAAGCTTGAGATATTGATTGATCTACTAGATGACTAGTTGAAACTTCCTCACAGACCTAGCGAAGAGTATACAATCCCTATAATCCAGTCATATCGTAATAGCATCGCGTTTCACATATCTTCGCGTTGTTACTGCATGTATTATTTCAACTGTTATATTCCCTAGTCAAGGAATAGTCTATCTCGAATAATTGGTAATTCTCACAGATAAAGGGGAGTTAGCTCTCAGTCCTTCTTATCATCGGGACTTCCCGATTTAGGTCAAATTCGGAGCCGGACACTCGAGCTTGAAGGGCACCTAACAGCAATCTATGACTATTAGTTGTGGAAGGTAGGCTCGTATCCGCCCACGTGAACGGTAATTTTTAACACCTACACAGAGTATGGCTGCCGGCCCAGGTTACTCTAGTCTTTAACACTGCTTTCTGTGGTAGTTTCAGTCGGCTTTTACCGGCTGGGTAGCCAGGCGGTGCATGCGGAGACGGTATCCCGCCGTGCCCACTTGAGGGAGCACTCTGAACCACACAGAATGGATGTATTTATCTTACCTGGACGCGATTGCGGGGAAGAGTGGAGCAAATCTGGGGTCATAATCTCTCTTTAAAATGGATAAGATAAATAGAGATCAGTATTTCATATTGCGGTGACTGAGATGATAGCAGAGCACTTACACAAGTCCTGCAAGATACAGCACGAGTTTCCACACTTATCATTTTGATTAACAGCGTACCCTCTTATTTTGACTGCAATCTTTGCACTTATCTTCGCAATTATCTTTTCTTCCAATTATCGTTTCTTCCAAACTCACACGTGAGAAAATGGATACAGCTGATAAAAAGGCTGACCAGTCCGAGACTGCCGAGAACTTTTCAATTCTTACCCAGGCGCAATACCAACTCGAGCATCGGGAGCAAAAAGACATGGAGCCCATCAAAGACGAGATGCCAACATCAATCTTGCAAGATCCTTTTTCGGGAGAAGAAGGCACTCAAGTACAATATCGGATCATGAAGTGGTGGTATGTGTCTTCCTTTCCCGGTTGAACGCATGAATATATCGCCTAACCTCCTTGAAAGGCATTGTGCCATTTGTAGGTTTTCACGAAAATATCAACAGCTCTGAACTTGGCACTAAGCAGATTTCAGTGATGATCGCTCAGTCAATTTCATTAGGAGTTCTTTCTCTCCCATCGTCAATGGCAACCTTGGGTTTTATTCCGTATGTTGAAAAAACTACCCTGAAGCAAACCTCGTAAATATTTGCCCTTTTACTTACGCCTCCATATTCAGTGGCTGCATTCTAATTCTCGGTATCGGGGCATTGACAACGTACACCGGATATGTGCTTGGGCAATTCAAACTACGCCATCCTCATATTCATAATATGTCGGACGCAGCGGAAATTCTGTTCGGGACCTGGGGTCGCGAAATTGTTACTGTGACCCAGATCATCTTTTTCGTCTTCTTGATGGGGGCTCATATATTGACATTTTCAATCATGATGAACACTCTAACCGATCATGGCGCTTGCACGATAATATTTTGTCTAGTGGGAGCCATTATCTGCTTCGTACTGACCCTTTCAAGGCGCCTACAAGACGTTTCATATTTAGGGATCATATGTAAAAGGGATTCTTGTTCTTCCTTATATACACAGACTGACCAGATACCAGCTTCATTATCCATTTTTATCTCTGTTACGGTCACCATCATTGCCGTCGGTATTGAAGCTCCCGATATCAAAGCCTATTCTGTTAACCACCCAACACTGCTTTCTGGCTTCTCAGCTTCTCTTAATATCATCATCTCCTTTGCAGGCCATCTAGCCTTTTTTAGCTTCCAATCAGAGCTAGCAGAGCCTCGGGACTTTACGAAAGCATTAGTTGCTCTTCAGGTGACTGACACTTCTCTATACCTCGTCGCAGCTGTCGTCATTTATTATTATGCTGGCGCGGACGTCAAAAGTCCGGCGCTTCTCAGCACCAGCACTACTGTTGCGAAAGTTGCCTTTGGAATTGCCCTCGGAACGATCGTTATTGCCGGTGTTATTATTGCCCATGTCGGCGCCAAAACAATTTACGTTCGATTGTTTCGAGGCACTAATAGAATGAACGAAAGTTCCTTGGTGTCTTACGGCACCTGGGTGCTTATTGTTTTACTCCTCTGGACGATTGCCTGGGTCATCGCAAATGCTATCCCCGTTTTCAATGATCTTCTGAGCCTTTTGGCCGCGGCATTTGCTAGCTGGTTTTCATTTGGATTGGAGGGCTTGTTTTGGCTGCATATGAACCGAGGAAAGCTTGACACAAAGCGCAAGATTGTTCTTGCGGTTCTCAACGTTTTTCTTGTTGTTATTTGCGTTTTAATGGTAAGTTGAATCTATTGAGTTTTAATACGGATGACTGACGGAAACAGTGTGGGATGGGACTTTGGGCAACGGGGAAAGGAATTTCAATCAGCGCCAAGAATGCCCATGGTGCCTTCTCTTGTGCAGACAACAGATAAAAGTTCCCGGGGCGGTTTGACGTGTATTTAACGGGAGCACTACTTATTCCTGACTTGGAAATTTTGTTCTGTGGAAACAGTACTCGAGCAGACTGCTGGAAACACGATGGCATTTCAGTTTAGACATTGCTCCTAACCCCTTTCATTCCCATGATCATCTTGATTGGAATCACCAGAGAATCAGCTTACCAGTGGCCCTGACCACTTTGCCTACCCATCCAGGGCTAGGGTGGTCCGGTCCAACTTTCAATAAAAACGGTTCTCCAATGTGAAGAAAATCACCCATCCCCTCCTACATACCTCTATACTAATCACCAACATGGGTAGAATTCAACTTCCTCGCCATTGTACAGAATTAAGCATAGACAACACCGATATTGCCCCTGTGGCTTGATGTACAAGTTCTCTCCTTTTTTCACTGACTGAGAGTCAAAACCACCCATCTATTCGTGCCTTTTCATTCACCAGGCAGATTGTCCAGCGAACCATTAGTTCACATAACTTGGGGCCGCCTCTAATTCAGAGTCCTTCACATTAAGCTACAGTTATTACGATGTAAAAAGAATTTTAACATGTCGCCTGAAATTTTCAAACTTTCCAATTAGGGTTTAATTTACACTTGCAACTCCTGAAATATGAATCCCACGTCCACCTCTGAATCGAAATGAAGACACTAAAGCCTAGACAGCTCCTCAGCATTCAAAGCTCGACGAGGCGGACCCCCTCTGCTACCATCTCCACGAGAAATAGGAGCCGATGATCGTCCTAATTTCCACTTTTTCTTCTGAGTTTCAGACGCCTTTCCTTCAAAGCTGTCTGCCACGTAGCGACCCAGCACGGGAAGAAACTTGAACGCGCTGTTGTACTCATTAGTTTGACTTCGTTTGCGAGTTTTGGAGCAAATTTGCTTACTGTCCGCTGTCTCCAGTCGCGATAAAGAGATTTTTGAAATCGTAGTGATAGTCGACAATAAAGTCTCCCTTCGGGGTGTCTGAATACCAACACAACCGGCGATTTGAGAACTCTTTATCTTTGAACTGGGGGAAGAAAGTAGACAGTCCGTCCTTGAGTGCTAGTTCAGCATCTGCGGGGAGAAATGCGGATTTGATATTGCTGAGGCCCAAGCGCGGTGCTGATAACGGTCGTCTTAACGAACTCGATGGCTGAGATACTTCATATCCGTAGCCATGTCGCGCCATTTTCAAAATATGGGTTTTGGGGGTTGGAGGGAAAATGAACCATCCAGTTGAAAGGTTAATTATCACCGGGCAGCTTTTCAGTTCCTCGGCTTCTTTCTCTGTCAATTGGATGAACCCAACCGGTTGACTGGTTGAAATTGAGACATTGTCCATGTCGATCAGATGAGGCGTCCGCGCCCCTGTAGCCAGGATGGTAACATGCGACCTGAGAAAAGCTCCGGTACTGGTTTTCAAAGCTATGACTTTGTCACCATCTTTGATTAGAGAAGAAACCGTACCTTCAGCTCCAACAACGAAAGAAACTCCCGCCAAAACGCATTTCCGGGCCACTTCCTGGATGCTCTGCTTTGCGTCCGCCCAGCCAGAAATGGGATTGATATACCCTCTGATACTCTTGAGATCCCCCTGCACCGCGGGGTAGCGCTTTTTAATTTCTTCTTCTTCCAAACTCTCAACCCTTAGCCCCATTTTCTCGAGATTCTCCCGAGATTCTTCGAGATACGCGTGGGTATTATCCTGGGCGACACAAAGAAGACCACTTCGATGAAAAAAGGGAGCAAATTCCTCCTCCCATCCTTGCATAGCCTCCAATCCCATCTTGGTGTAGAATTCATCGGCATAGTCAGGCCTAATGACCCTTGAAATATCAACGCTTGATCCATCAAGCACAGGAGGAAGGTCACGATCCAGAACCAAAACGTTGTATCCCCGTTGCGCAAGCTCCAAGGCTGTCGTCAGCCCAAACAATCCAGCACCAACAATAGTAACACGCTCGGACTTTGAAATGACAGGGGTAGGCATTTTGTCTGTGCAGATGTAGATTAGAAATGAGAAAGGATTTGAAGTATCAAGGAAAATGTGGAATTAAATGGGAAAATTCTTCTCGTCGTGCCACGCGGGTTCTCTTCATTAATATAAGTCTCAGTATTGATAACTAAAATCACTATAGTATCAACCCAGATTTACGGTCCTCCTCGCGAAAAGGGAAGTAGTGCATGGCCGAATCGTGTCCTCGCTCGGGGCCACCCGGATACAGGCCCGGGATTCAATCGGTGGAGACGGAGGACTGCCGCGCGCCGCCCCAAGGCCATGGCAGTCTCCCCGTCCCTACCTCAAGGACGCAAGGCCGTGTTAATCTAGTCATATGAGTTATTTACACCCTATAATCTCTTTATCAATGCATATATATTTGACTAATTAAATGTTCCCTTTTGATAAGTGGAGGATCCGAAGACCTGGAAATAACAAATCAATATTTTTCAGCTATGCCTTTCGTGACTTTGTCCAGCTCAAGCCTCCACCGAATCCCCCATCTGGAAGGGGCGCCATCTTATGTACATTTCGGTTTGTCAAAAGTCCCACCTATTGTCGCTCGTGAAGGAAATAAGCCTGACTCGAAACAGTTGATACCTTTGGAACTCCCCTGGCTGCCGGGACCCAAAACCCATTAACCGGGTCGTTATTCTATATCGAGAGCACAGACGATAGTCAAGAGCTACGGCCTTATAGTTACGATGAGACCGGTGTAGTTTTGAAAGGTAACATACTATCCATATCCTCTCGGGGTGTTAAAAATCTCGAACTTGAAAAGCTTATACGACCACTAGGGACACTGACAATCGAGGATGAGACCGGGAAGACCGCAACTTTGGAGAAAGGTGATACTTTTTTCATCCACCGAGGCAGCAGAATAAAGTTCACAACGGCCAATTTCGGTATAGCATTCAAAGGTGCCTCTCGTTGGAAGAATGTATCCAAATTGTAATCTAGACAATTACACCAAGGTTATTAATTGAACCAGTTTACTATACAAAACACAAAGAAATTTTGGTCCCTGGGAAATCAACCACTGGCTTAGTGGTAAAATACCACTTGATGCGTTGACATGCTATCACTAGTGTCTCGCCTATGAAACTTACGACGAACCGTCTTAAAAAAGGCCGTCGCCTATCGCGAGCCCCCTTTCCTCGTGGGTTTTCAATAATCCTACCTTCAACAACCATCATGACAAGCCCCACACCCGTACCACTTACCACCACCTTCTCGCTGCCGGCCGCATGTACTACCGACACTTGGTACATTGAGTACCTGTCTGGCACTAATTACTACGACACCACGTAATCGATGCCAGCGACTCTGGTTGGTGGTTAAGTCAGGGGCCTACAGACTAGAGCAGCTGCTTTTTCCCTCGGGATATGCGACCAGCACCAACTCTTACTTCTCGCCGGGCGTGTGTCCATCAGGCTATTGGATAGCCAGCCAATCGGTTGATTGTATTAACGGTAATGTCGAGACTCGGGCAACCTGCTGTTCGAAGTGAGCTCAAGCCGTGTATATCTTCTGACTGGTTATTGACCATAATTTGTGTGACTAGAGTTTATAGCGCCCAAACCGAAAATGGCATAGTTTGGTACTCAGCGAACCGGTGCACCTCCTATAATAGCGACTCTAGCTACCTATGGATATTCACAAAAGCCGGTATAACATCTAGTATGAGGACCGCTGGTGGCATTAATGCTAAGGCCATCTTCATTCGCTGGTAACCATCCGATTTTGCGACGCGAACCACCACTAGCACAGGAGTCAGCTCGACGGTATCGCCTCACGGCCACATATTAGGGTAACACACCGATAGATAGACAATCTTCGAAAGTATGGGTTGCTGGTCCTGTTATTGGAGCCGTGATTGCGATTACCTTGATTGCGCTCGCCGTGATCTGGTATAATCGACGACGAAAGTATCAACCAAAAAATAATGAAAATGGCTCTCAGCCTGGAATTTGGCATGATAAGCCAGAACTGCCGATCAACGGTGCCCAAGTGTTCGAGGCCCCTTCCGATACTGTCCCCTCTTCCAAAAAGCCTGCGGGGGAGCTTTCTGCGGCGAATGCTGTCTTTGAATTGCCATAGTTAGATTCTTAAGAGGAACCATCGCAGATGAGATCGAGGATTAGAGATATGGACTTCCCAATATCGCGGATGCAAAGAAAAACCTTCCTGTGTCTTATATTTCACCGTTTTTTTCCTGACGAAATTGTCTCTATTCCACTCTCAAAAATTGACAATTTCTAGCTAACTTTATCCGACGAAGTATAGTTCTGTATAGGGATACGAAGTTGAGATTGTGATTTATTGATAGAGTTGCACTAATTGGCCATTCATCTTCGATAGTAATTTGTAAGGAAAACGAGGCGCATCGAGTAGGTCGATTAAAATCCCTATCAGGGATTATATCCCAATGGCAGACAATTTCTGGTGAAGTCCAATATTCAACTAAGTTTGGAATATTTCGTGATTGAAGAGGACAGACAATCGACCCAGATAGTCTATTTCTAATCTGTAGGTGATTCCGACCCTTGTATAAGTGAAAATCACGGAACCACTAGAGCAGGCATACCATTCCCATTCCCAGCTATGACTTTCATTTCGGTTAACGATACGGTGGTCGGCAACCCGAGGACCTAACGCACGTGAGCGGGAACGGTCCGAAGGCAGCCGCCATTTTCCCAGCCGAACCCTAGTTCCTTTGGAGCTTTTGTGGATCGTTGACATAACATGGGAAGGAAAAGTTGCTAGATAGTCCTCAGAAGTGGGAATGGGTGGCGTAGCCACGCTGTAGATCATCGGTCGATGTCTGAAATAGAGAAGTTATTTAAAGAGGTTCAATATTCCTCAATTGCTGTTGGGGAGAGAGGGAAAAGATATCTTTAACAACAGGATACTTTTGTTTTCGGAATCGCCTAAATATGGAGACTACGAATCTTGTGAAGCTCATTATTCACGCTCTGCAGTCTGTAATCGCTCTCGTGGTGATCGGCTGTTCTGCAGGAGAGCTGTCGTCGTATGCATCTAGCGCCTATGGGCTAGCTATTTTCACAGTAAGCTGGCTTCGCATCCTTTTTGCTGCTTCAACTACTTAGTTGGTGGGATCCCTAACTTCATATAGGCCGTCGCTACCATTTTTGTTGCTGTTTTCATCGCAACCGGATCGTTGATTGCCAAATATGCCTATAAATTTTGGATTTCCGTTGCAGCAAATGCCTTTACTGCCATTTTCTGGGTTGCTACAATAGCTACCTTAGCCCATCGCCATTCAGGTGGCTGTGGGGGCTATAAAAGTGACCATTGCTATAAAAAGCGCTATGTGAAGGGGTCACACTCCTTTTGGGTAGCTAATCTTGCACTGAGTGTTATTGATGGGTAAGACTTTGAGAATCAACCTCTAGTCGCCCATTACCACCGTATGCTAATTCCGAATATCTTAGATTGTTATCAATCATTTTGTTAGGGATGTCCTGCTGGATGAAGCGGTCGTCTGGTTCCCTATGATTATTTAAACTAGATGGGGGTTTTTGGGCAGCAACATTTCCTCCGAGCATTAAAATTTTAATGCTGTTGATGGTTTCCTACGGGTTCAATTTAGGGGTTGGATGAACATATGTTCCGCCTAATAATGTGAGAAAGAATCACTGGTTTAGAGTATTTCCCCTTCATTTACCGCATAGAAGTGCATCGACCTAGTATCATTGAAAAGTTCTTCCAAGTATCGAGGTTGAATCTCATATATCACAAATGTCCGCGCAATAGCATTGTGTGACTGGATAAAGACTTGTCATCATGTATAGGGTATCCAAAGTAAATCTAACAACAAACATGCAAGTCGCTCCAACACATGCACAGACTACCTCCGCTGAGGCTTATTTCCATTCTCCTCCTCTGCCTTGCGCTTCCTCGAGGGCGTCATTTCATCCTTTTCCAGGACTTGAGATTCGCCCAATAGTTGCACGCCGTGATCATCCTCTTCGCTATCTTCAACATCGAGTTTCTCCCACCCTTCATCGTCGGGGTCACTTCGAACTGTACTCTGTGAGGCATCCTTCTTCTCAGTGATTGGACTTGGACCATTGTCCTCTTCGTCCCATTGTATGTCTAACCGCACGACTCTGGCTCCTGAAGGCTGTAATCGACGATAGTATCCCTCCACAACACCGTCCTGCACCTTGAATCCACGAGCGATATACCATCTCAAGCCATCCTCGTTAGCTTCGTGGACATGCGCGGTCACGAAGCGGATATTGTAGTGCTTCACGATATCGGATAATCGAAGTTTATCCTTGGGATCTCGTGGCGATGCATAAAGAAGGGAGTTCAATAGTGAGGCAGCCACGCCATGGCCGCGGTAAGGTGACAACAGATGGAGTGTTTGGATATAGAGGTTCGTGGCAACATGGCCTTGAACTTCTTGAACTGGATCTTGTCTCTCCAGGCGACACCGAATACCCCCAATCACTTTATCTGATCCAGACGAGGCGCTCAAGTTCGGCGCAGCAGCAACCGGGTGGTCATGGTAGATCGCGACGCGTGATAGAGACGCGACGATGGGGTCTGTGATGGTGGTCGTGTAGAACGAGCTTGGATAGCGGATAGGCAACAGTAACCCCGTTATCCTCGTCAAGGAAGGAATATGAGCCGTGCGAATCGTTTCTACCGTGATATGCGAGTGAGGGGTTGCATGGCTCGCGGAGAGATCCCCCGGGTAAGGCGTAAACGGCTCTTGGCTGGAGGCATTCGCGGTCGGTCGAGGGCTCGCGACTGCGGACCGCGGCGGTTGAGGTGGAAGCGGATGAATAGGCGGCTGAGCCTGTCGAGCCGGAGGAGGAGATACAGGCGGGTTCGAGGACCGCGCCGGGCTTTTGGCAAAGAATTGGTAGGCCATTTGGAGGAGGCTCTCGAGGGGACAGGAACAAGAAGATGAGGGAGGGCGAATGCGGAGATGGCGATAAGATAAGCCCGGATGAGAACAACCTGCCAGCCTCATTCGTGCCAGTCCGCCTCATCTCCTTCCCTCCGACGATCAGCCAGTAGGCTCCTCAATCGGTGAGTTACTTGCTCTTTGTTGCCTTGGATGAATCCGGTCCAAGGCAGGGATCTATTGTCTGCCTTGATTCATCTTGCTATGTCCCCCTAATCGATCACGTTGGTCGGCCCATTATTCACGGGACCCCGAGGCTCTTTCAACCTCAGCTAACCGGGTCTTCGAGTCACTAGGGTATTACATCCAACGCCGTTCTTTTTCACCTACTCGTTTTACCTCTTCGCTCCCCTCTACTTATGCTTGATACCCTGCGATACCTCGGACCGACTCCGACCTCTCTACTTCGATTAGCATCTCCTGCATAGATTTCCGGCGCATGGAGAACTAGATCGTGACCCGCGGCGCGAAAAGGGTTCCGAACTGTGTCGCCGGCAGATACAGCTCTCAGCTTTCCGCCATCCAGGAACGGATACAATTGGGGGTTGATACCTCCGGACGACTTCAATCATGGCCGACTCCAACACCGCGAGCCGCAGGCCGACCTACCCTGCCGGAACAATTGCTAAAGTGGTATGTCATCGGATCAACCACTACGCTGGGCCTCGAATTTGGGACTCTACTTAACCCCGGGATTAATCTAGTCAACCGACATCTTGAATGAGACCTTCCATAACATCATCCATGACCTCGTCGCCAAGGTCCACCGCGAGGAAAAAGTGGCGCGCATGCGCTCCGCGGTGGTCGTCGCTCGCCAGAAAGCCGAGGAAGAGGCAACCGTCCCGGATGAAACCCCCAGCAAGTCAGTCGCCGCCGATGGAAAAACAAAAGAAGTTGTGATAGATGCGGCCAAACTTGCAAGCACACACCTCGAGACCGATGCTGCTACATTCGACCATGGGAAAGTCTTCCTGAAGGGGAATCCCATGCATACCGTCAAGGAAATCATCTGCCCTGACTGCCGTCTCCCACGCCTCTCATATCCCCCAGTCGGTGCAGGTTACCGACCTCCTCCCGATCCGAACGCTGAATACTGCCAGAACGGTCCATTGATTACACTGCCGGGCCACGACGTTCACGGGAAAATGTTTGCCGTGATGCCGAACCCGAAAAAGAAAAAGTCCGACAAGGACAGCACTATCCCTGAAGTTCCGACCAGCAAGTGCCCCATCTGCCCGCGCTATTTCGTCATGAATCGAGTAGCTCAGCACTTGGATCGCTGCATGAACATCTCCGGCCGTGGCAGCAGTACCCGTAATAAGACACCCACCGACAGCGGCGCTAGTGGCGCTAGCAGTCCGACCTCATCTGCTCCCAAACGTCCACATGAAGAAGACGAGGGCAGTCCCAGTCCTACCAAAAAGAAGAAGCTGAACGTGTCCAAGAAGGCCTCAAGTACGAAGCCGGGGCCAAGCAAGCTTAAGAACTCATTTACGGTGGAGGATAATGACGACGATGTGAAGAGTGAAAACGCAGACTGAAGGGGACCTATGATGAACGCTTCCCTCCTGGAGGCCTTCCATATTCCCTCTCGTGGTTTCCACGTTTTCCGTGTTGCTTTTTGTTCCTTTCTGGGAGTACCCGGCGTTTGACTGATGGTTTCAATGTGCTTATGGCGTCTCTGGGTCTGGTCTGACCCACACAAGAATTTGCATAGATGACGATGATGATGAGGGTGGGATAGGATTGTACATTACTTCATACCATACACTGGGCCTTAGCACGGCATTTCTTTCTGGTTTAATGTGATCATTCACCGAGATTTCCCGGAGGTTTATGATGGTGCTAGCGCTTTTGTATATCGCGTAGCCGACATCGGAGCAGGTATCCGGAAATGTGCTTACAGTGAGGTTGCCTTTTGGGCCTCCATGAAATTCGAGTCTTGCATACAAGTATAAGTGACAACACCCCTACAAGGCGTGTGTCAGGGAGACTATGTATCTATTGGACTTGAACGTTTCTAGACTATGACCGAGACGGTTAAACTTGGCAAATCACGACGGGGCTTTTTAAGACCCTTGTGTTTACGTATCGTTCAACCGGCTACATCTGTGTTCTAGGGTTAATCTCTCGATCAAAGTTCTCCTTTGCTAGTAAGCCAGAGAGAAAGCGCTCATATAAATTAGTGTGTACTGTAGGTATGCACTCTAGTTTGAGGTGCTTATTCTGAATGCACTTATGTACCTCTTATGATCTTTACTTGCCAAAATCATAGTTAGTGAAGAGCACAAGTGTCCACTATATCTCATAGTACCGAGAAAGAGTGAGAAAGAGCTATATCAATCTTTCCAATGATTTAAGTAGGTGATTGACTAAACTATATTGGGCTTCGCTATGCTGAAAGTGGCCCGAACTTCCACTTGAGGCCGCGGAGATGGTTAGTAGAGAACTTGTTTGTCATTCCCAACAATAGAACGTCACCATACAAGATGCACAGAAAAGTAATAGATTCCGCTGAGTTGTAAATACCATATGATTGGTCAAAAGCTCAAGTTGCTTTTTTACTGACTTAAATTGTGTCAGCTTGTCGGGGTATAGATCGGGCATAGTTCAAATGTGGGGAGCTCCGCAGGCACGTCGCCACTTCCGCTGCTTGACCTGAACCGTCTTGTTTCTTGCTTCTTGCTTCTCACCAACTTCACAACACCATAGCCATGCCGGACCTCTCAGCCTGGGCCCTCCCTCGGCTCAGCCAGCTGATTCCTCTCGATGAGGAGTCGCTGAAGCAAATTGTTGACTATTCGGCCTCCCTCTCAAAAGACGCTTGCGCCGATCACCTGAAAAACCTCCTCGGCGACTCCCCCGCAGCTCTCGAATTTATCACCTCCTTCAATGCGCGTCGAAACGACGGACCTCCCGCAGCCTCACCCGCTCAGAGCTATACTTCCGCAACCACACATACCCAAGAGCGACCGAAGGGGAAAAGCAAAAAGGAGAAGAAGCCATTGCACAGTGCGGGTCCCCCACGTCGCCCTGATAACTATGGTGATGTGGGTGGAGGCTACATGAAGTCCCAGCAGGGAGAGGACTATATGTCTGCCAGCAAACCTACAGCGCATGCAGCAGTACTGTCTGCGCCCGGATCCTCCGCCTCTTCTCGTGCTCATTCACCAAAGCCCCCGGCACCCTCGAAACCGCCTCCATCAGCATCGGGCCCCGTCCTGTCGGATATGCTACCAAATGTGCGATCAAAAACAAGCAAGCCGAGTCGGCAAGGAGGTGGTGGTGGGAGTAATTCAGGAAGCTCTTCAAAGTCAGGTGGATCGCTGACCACCAACAATATCTCGGATCTAACGGCCGCGATTGCTATGCTGGAGGTCTCGACGAACCCGACTCTGGGTTCAGAGAAGCGCAAATGCAACTGTTATGCTACGATTCACCCTCTATTTGACCCGGCCCCCAACTGTGTCAATTGCGGCAAAATTATCTGTTCACTGGAAGGTCTCCAGCCCTGCTCGTTCTGTGGCACACCCCTTCTCTCAGCGGAGGAGATCCAGGGTATGATCAAGGAACTGCGTGTGGAGCGTGGGCAAGAGAAGATGCGCGCTCATAATGAAAGTGTCCACCACGAAGGTGGCCCAAGACCAACGGGCTCTGGAACAGCCCCTCCAAGCAAGTTGGATGCGGCAAGGGCTCACCGGGATAAGCTGCTCCAGTTCCAGGCACAGAATGCCCGTCGAACCAAGGTTGTCGACGAAGCTGCCGACTTTGAGACTCCAAACGTGGCGTCCACATTATGGATGAGTCCCGCTCAGCGAGCGCTCGCCTTGAAAAAGCAGCAGCGTATCCAAAGGGAATTAGAGGAGAAGGCTCGTCCAGAATGGGAGAAGAAGAAGACCGTGATGAGCCTCGATATCAAGGGTGGCAAGGTCCGAAGAGTGTATCAATCCGCGGCCGTTGAATCTACCCCAGTTGTTAATGAGCCAGAGCCCGACGACGTCGTCGAGCCCGAAGGAACATCATCGAGAGGGCACGCGTTCAGTCACAATCCCCTTCTTGCAGCGGGAGGACTGATGCGTCCAGTCTGGCGCGCTCCCGAAGGCAAAGAGACCAACCCCGAAGAGCGGGCAGAGCGGAAACAAACGTGGCGTCGCGTGCAGGATGACAATGACGATAACGAGCAGTGGATTTTAGATGGTGGGTTGCATGGACATGATGAGACGGTTTGATCCGATACGTCCAGTTCGACAAGCCGCCGAGTTCATTTTCTGATTCGTGGAGGAGCGTTGCACTACGGGATATGCTGGATAAGCACTACTGGCCTCGGCCATATTAGGTTGGGGCACTTGAATCATATCAACGGTGGATGACCCCAATTACAACTTCCTGCTTGGGGATTTGCTTTCGGGCATACTATCCTATTGAGAGACATTCCGTCCTCTACTTCTCCATCATTATTACCCTTCGAGGCAGTTGCAGCTGCAGCTGCCCCTCCTCTCGGCCGCGTTCCACAGCGGGGCGGATAATCGATGAGATATGAAAGATTTCGGGTACTGGCGGGTATGCCCCCAGAAGAAGCCATTTAAAACCGAAGATCCACCGAAGGCCAGGTGGATTGAACAAGGGAGGCTCTTGGCTGGTTTAAACGTGCATTTGCGGTGTAATAGCATGGCTCGTATAGCCTAAAGCCCTACAGCTAGACCCTAAAATCCATAGACCTTAGACAAATATATGACCATGACATGAAACCCCATCTCTCAATGCTCAATATTTCTTCCAGTGTACCCTGTGCCCTCGTGTTACTTTGATTCTCCCCCGCATAATCCTCCAATTAAGCATAACTCGGCCGGGTCTCCGAGAATTTGCCCCGTGGAGACTCCCGCTTTCAGCTTCCACCACATGAAGTCACAAGAATTATACAATTACCACCATCTCAACAGGCACACAAACAGCTGCAAATACCCGGACGTAGCCGCCACTCCCTAATCAGGTGCTTCCGATTGATCGAGACCGAAGCTTACCAGGTGACCGGCGCTGATTGTGGTGGATCTCTCGTCATCGTTTCGTCGTAGCCGCGGCTGGGCGCGGGTACCTTCGGTGGAATCGCATTTGGGAATGTCGGAAAGTATATAACCCAAACCTGCTGGGGAATTATTGTGAGTAATGCTAAAAGCAATTGTACAGCCCAAATTTGACTTCATGCTGTGACCAGCTCCAATTCTCACGATGTTCGTTGAACCGGTGCTGAAGCAAATGACCCTGCAGAGGGTGACTGTGGATATACTCGGCGTGGTGGGAGTATTGGTATGTCTTTGTTATCCCTTTCAGATAAGCAGCACTCGAAAGGAAGAAGTGAGATTTGTATGAATCATCACTAATACCATGGTCAGACCGTCGCCTACGTCCTCTACAACCGCCTCGTCCACCCACTCCGCCGTATCCCAGGCCCCTTCTGGGCCTCCGTGACACCATGGGTACAACTCTACCACGGCCTCAAAGGTGACCGCCATCTGTGGCTACACCGACTCCACGAGCAGTATGGCACGCACGTCCGTGTGGCGCCGAATTTTGTCTCCGTAAACACCGACCGCGGTCTACACGATATCTACGGCCATGGCAAGAGACTCCAAAAGGCTGATTTCTACAACGCATTCCCCGCTATCAAGGGCGTATACAACACGCATAATGCGATCGATAAGACTATGCATGGGCGCAAGAGACGTGTGCTCAGCCAGGCCTTTTCAGAAGCTGCCCTCAAGGGCATGGAGGATGTGATGTTGTTACACGTGCGGCAGCTCTGCGCCGTGCTGGCGGGCGCGAATGGCAATGAGAGGGGGATAGCAAGGGAGTGGTGAAGAATATGGGCAATTGGTTTAGTTATCTCTCCTATGATGTGATGGGTGAGCTCTGCTTTGGAAAGAGCTTTGACATGCTCGTTGCCGAGGGTCGCAGGCATATGATCGGGTTGGTTGATCGTGCTGCGAATCGACACTATGTTGTAAGTTGGAGCTGGACATGAAAACGACATGTGTCTTTTGGCGTCTTTCTAACACATGGTCTATAGTGTGGACTTTGGATGCCTTTGGACCGCTGGCACCTTGACCAGATCTTCATTCGCAAGCTTACCCAGGACCGTTGGAACTTTATCATGAACTCGCGTGTGGAGGCCAATAAGCGCGCCCAGGAGCGTGCCATGGCCGGCCGTGAGGCCAAGAAGGACTTCTTCTACTACCTGCTGAACGCAAAGGACCCCGAGACCGGCAAGGGTCTCAGCACGCCCGAGCTCTGGGGAGAAGCCAACGTTCTCATGATTGCTGGTAGTGACACGACCTCGACCACATTGGCCGCCACACTGTTCTACCTGGTCCGCTCTCCGGAAACCCTGGCCAAGCTGACCAAGGAAGTCCGTGACGCCTTCTCTGCCGTCGAGGACATCGTCAGCGGTAGCCATCTCAACGAACTCACCTTCCTCAAGGCCTGCATCGACGAGGCCCTCCGTCTGGCTCCCGCCGTACCGGGCGCACCTCCCCGCGAAGTGATGCAGGGTGGCGCTGTCGTGGATGGAGTCTTCCTCCCCGCAGGCACCGACTGCGGTACACCGACCTACTCAATCCACCGACAGGCACAGTACTACCGCGAACCGGAGATTTATATCCCCGAGCGCTGGATCGAGGGCGCAACATGCAAGGCTTCGGGCGTCTCTTGGACGAGCACGAAAGAAGACATTGAAACGGCGCGTCGGGCGTTCTGCCCGTTCAGCATCGGACCCCGTGGATGCATTGGCAAGAGCATGGCATTCATGGAGATGCGCCTGACACTAGCCCGACTGATCTTCCTCTTTGACATGTCACTAGCTGATCGCCAGGGCGAGGATGCAAATGGCCATTTGGCGTTGGTAGACCACTTTACCAGCGCGAAGGATGGGCCTAACGTGGAGTTTCAAAAAGTGTTGCCGGTGAAATAAAAAAGGGACTTTCCAATGGATATGACATGAGATGCAAGCAATTAGCAGAATGAGCCATAATGACATAGAATGAGATCTATTTCTTTTCTCAATGGATGTTGTTGAATGTAGAAGTATTTAAAAGTCGAAGTATGTGTTGAATTGAGGCTCGAGTCTCGACTCGATAGGACACGGTTGCGCGTTCTTGGCAAATCTCCTTAACGCCAAAAAACGCCCCCCTCAACACAAGCCCCAAAGAAACCCAGTGGGGACATATCAAAAGGTATCGCGAGAAGTCCAATTCAACATTTCTGGCATTTCTCGACGCTTCATGGCCCCAATGCCGCTATGCCCTCCGCCTTAATTGTGACGTTCGCGCAATCGACCGTCCTCAATGCCATTTCCAACCTCCTGGCGCAGCTAATCGACCAGCGCAAAAACACCGTAAGCACAGAACGAACCCCTTGATCAAAAACGACCACCCCAAGAACTAGATAAAACAAAATATCACTATCAAGTACTAACATTCTACTAGACTCCTTTCACACTCAACACACTCGCTCTCCTCCAATTCGTCACGTATGGCATCCTAATCGTGCCAATCAATTTCTACTGGCAACGCGCCCTGGAGGCGCGTTACCCAGGCTTTCCCTCACGCGCCGAGATATCAAATCTCCTATGCTCCTGGCGCTCCCTTCTCTCATTCTCTGCTCTCCGGGCATTCTTCTCTTCTGCTATTTCATCCGAGGCTTCCCCGCGACTTCACGACGATGCTACTGCGCTGCCTCTGCATCGCGAAAAGGAGAAGCAGAAGGAGACGGGGGTCGCTGGGCGCCTAGGGCGCAGCGTTCGGGATTGCATAGCTTTGTAATGAAGTTTTTGTTTGATCTAACTGTGGCTGGGGCGATGAATATTGTGCTGTTTGTTGTTTTGATTAATTTTTTGAAGGGGGAGAGTCTTGCGAAGGTGTGGGAGTTGGTTCTTGTGGTATGTTTTGTTTTCTCCACCATTAATTCATACGCTGCTGGGTTTACCCACCAGTATTGGAATTTTTGAATGGTGCTTATTGATGTTTCTAGGATTTCCGCCCCATCATGATCGCCCGTTTGAAGTATCGCCCCGTGGTCTCGACTTTGATGTACACCGTCATCCCTATGGATAGGCGGGTCGTCTTTGGCAGCGCCTGTGGGGTGATCTGGGGCATTTATCTCAGTCTGTATGCCGTGGTATAACTGGCATTTTGTTTTTCTCCTTTCATTTCCTTGCAATTTTCATAGAGTCCTATTCTGGCGTCTCTTGTTCTACCAAATTTAATCTAGCGGGCATAGAGCAAGCATTCATGCATACCCATTCTGTCACAGTGTTCTTCCGCATGACCAACCAAAAAGATAAATTTACGTCCCCAGATACACGTTAAATTACATTACCCCACAGTATTAACCTAGAGCCACGGTGAATTAGAATATCGGAGTTCACAACCTTACAGACTGACTGCTGGAAGCAAAGAGAAAATATATGGAGAATGACCGGATAGGGAATAGACGTCTAGAGCCCCGGCGGGAATAAGGAGCAACCAAAAGAATAAGGAGAATAATTTTGTATCGTTTAATTAAAATTTAAAGGCGCTGGTGGATAGATAAACGGGGAATTTGTTGGGTATAAGCATTATGATGAGGTCTTGGATGTCGTGGAATGAGTTTGTATGGAGACGTAGAACTCGTGGGTTCGTTCATGGAGATGGAGATTATTTTCTCTAGAGAACTGTTGCTGTAGTTTTTGAACTTTCAACTTTTCAGCAGAATTTATACTTCGAAGTAAACCCATCCTCACTTATTAAGACATTCTGTGTTAGAGAGACCTTTTGCCTGGCGTCTCAGAAATGCCACTACTTCAAACCGCAGCCATCTCAACCTTCTTCCCCTTAACGGAGAGCCACTCGACAAAGATAGGTCCAATGAGAGACAAAGCACCCATAGCGACGGCCACATAGAACGTCTGCGTGATGGCATCATTGTAAGCGACCAAAACACGCTCCAGAACGGGTCCCGAAACAACAGTCCGCAGCATCGTCGCACCAGCTGCCACAAGCTCGGCGGCATTGGCAGTTGGCGCGTCGGCGCGAATGTTTGTGACCAGCTGGTTCTGGAAGATGTTCTGGGCAACGGAGATAAAGATCGAGCCACCCAGAGTTTGAGCGAACATCACGATGGCGGTTCCACTTGGGACATCGCCGGCGCTGAGAGCAGTCTGTGCCACGATCATGGGTTGCTGCATGCCCAGGCCTAGGCCGATACCGAAGAGTGCCTGGTAGCCGATCCACTTTGGGTGACCCGAGTCCACCTCTAGGGTGGACAGCAGGCCAGCGCCAATGGTCATGATGATGGACGAGGCGATCATGAAAGGAGTGTAGTAGCCGCAGGCCGTGACGAGACCGCCAGCCAGAATTGAGACGAGCACGACAGTGATGATCATGGGGAGGTTCATTATACCCGACTTCACGGCCGAGGCGCCCTTGATAGCTTGGAACCAGATGGGAAGCTGATCATCGTTAGCAGTTGAACAAGATGCAGTGTGTGGGAGGGGGGTGAACTGACATAGTAGACCAAAACAAAGTACGCCGCACCAATAGCCAGCGCATACCAGGCTGAACCCCAGACATTGCGGTTCTTGATCAATCTCGGGGGAACGGTAGCACGTTCTTGACCCCACCATTGCACACCGATGAAAATGATAATCAATACGCCAAAGACCACGAACAGAGCAATGATGCGTCCACTGCTCCAGGGATACTTGGTACCACCCCACTGCAGGGCAAGCAGCAGACTGATGATGGCGGGCAAGAAGAAGAATGAGCCGAGGAGGTCGATTTCAGCCAGCTGCTCCTTCCATCCCTTGGCATCCTTGAGCGACTTGGGGTTCTTAAAGAAGAATAGAATGAAAAAGAAAGTAACCGCGCCAATGGGCAGGTTGATATAGAAGCACCAACGCCAGGTGAGTCTGTCTGTGAAAGCACCTCCCATACTGATACATGTTAGCAAGGCCCCTCTCAAAAATAGATCGAACGATCATTGAAAATGAAGGACAGTGTAGGAAGTATATGAAAACATACAGTGGGCCCGCAACGCTAGCAATTCCAAACATCGAACCCACAAGACCCGTATACATAGGTCTCTTAACCAGCGGGACACTCTGAGTGATAATCAAGATCGAACCCGAGAACAAACCCGCAGCACCCAGACCAGCAATAGCACGGCCGCAGATAAGACCGACCGAGTTCGGGGTGACGGCGCAGACCAGCGAGCCGATCTCGAAGATGGAAAGGGCGATTAAGTAGATCCATTTGATGGAGTAGAAGGTGTAGAATTTGCCAAACATCAGGGTGACGGAGCAAGTGGTGAGCAAGTAGGCACTTCCATACCAACCAACATCATCGAGTGAGTTGAATTGATCGGTGATTTTTGGAATAGCTGTTGCAATGATTGTGTTGTCCTATATTGAGAAAGATTGTAAGCAACGGGGTCAAGACTGATATCTTCGGATTGGTGATGGGCGACATACCAATGCCACACAAAACACGCAGAGACACAAGGCAATTGTAATGAGGAGCAGTTTGAATGCCGTCGGGTATTCTGGCTCAGGCTCTTTGGCTGTATTCTCTGCATCGTCATCACTCGAATTCTTGTCTTCTTCCTTGGCAGCCTCTTTCTCGGTATCATTCTTCACAACAGGCTCTTTATTCGAGTCCTCATTAGGAATTACCTCTGGCGGTTGATTGTCTCGGGTCGTCTCTTTGTTGGTATCCTCAGAAACGGCTGAATCCCGAATTGGCTCATTGACGAGGGTGCTCTCTTTCTCGCTGGATGGCTTGGGAGACTTTTCTCTCTGGGACTGGGCCTCCATATCGGATGGCAAGGCATTATGAGAAGCGAGCGTAGGAGCGGCAGATGTTGTAGTGTCACCCTTATTCAGATCAGCAGGCGATTCGGTGCCTGTGTCTTTGGGCGAGCTGGAAGAACTAAAGAATGTAGACATTATAGGCACGTTTGCACGGAGTCTGGAGAGCATCGTCCAGCAAACAGGGTATTAGGGAGTATGATACTGTAGGGGGAAATTAAGAAGAGGGAGAAAAAAAAGAAGGAATAGAACACGAAAAATAAACCAGTTGGGCAGACGAGACTAATAAATCCAATCCATGCAGGTGTGCAGGCAGCGCAGGATTGGCATTGACAATTCAACTGGCCCTTTGTACAGGTCTCATCATAGACCAGGGCGACCTTGCCGATGCAGCCAGGCAGACCGTGCTACTGTGGACTCGGCCAAGGGAAATTGGAGTACAGGAGAAAAGGATCAGAACAAGGACCGGGGCTTTGACTCCGGTCGCACCGTGACTATTGAATCTTTATTTTCCATGTGGTACGTGGAAATAATCCGGGGCCATGGCGTTTCTGCATGAACTCGACAGATACATACATGGGGTATATAGCGGTCTGCAGTCTGGACTTGGAACTTGGCACTCTATACGGACTATGGAGTACAAAGCTTGCAGTTCGCAGGATGACAGCATTTCCTTCAAGTTTTCCAACTTTCTTTTAGTCAAGGCACTAGCAAGTCGATCATCGGGTCGATCATGCAGTGCACACACTGGCGTATCAAATCGTCAGCCATAGGTGAAACCGCGTCTCAGCCGCAGGCCGGGGCCTAGGAGACCACGCAAGGATCGCGGAGCTAGAGGCTGCAGGTCTGGGCCTGGCGCCCTTGAGAGACCCGCTTGGCCACCGCTGGAGAAATAAACTGTTGTACGTAAACAATTAAATAGTGAGGATCCCTTGCTCCGTTATGACGGTGAAGGCATCGTTGCACATAATTATAAGTAGAGAAAGGGATGTGCGAAGAAAGGTGTGAGAGTATAGGAACGAGAAATAAGGGAGAAAAGAGGACCTCATATTGGGGAACATGTGTTATGTATACCTCTCTCAGCCCTAGCTGCACACCTAAGCCAAACCACGGGATTTTCAGAGTATAAATCCATCGCTAATCCCTACTCTAAATATGAACTCATACTCGAATGTCACCAACCGGTCCGGATAGTCAGACTCGGATACGGGAAGAATCAGTCCCCGACGGATCCGTGACTCCTAACATTCCCAGATCGACCGGAGACTTTGCCAGGGTGATCCGGGGAGATCAGATCGAAGAACCATTGCGGGAATTAAGGGAGTTAAGGGGATAAACTCACTGGCCTGACTGGCTAACGCCGACGGATACGAAGATCGTCCGAGCGCCCGCAAGGAGGGACTTGATGCCTGGGAGCCTGAAATTCTTCAGCGTTGCTGACAGCCACTAAGTCCTAAAATGGTTTAGCGTGGTCCGGGGATATGGACGGATATCGTCAAACGGCGGACTTTGGGGTTAAGTTTGTTTGTAGGGGCTCTAAGAATCCTTCGAAGCTGGGAGAAAAGTAGAATGCAAATGTATACAATAATTATTAGTTGGAAAGTGCTTTATCTATGGACTGATTTACCGGTTTGTTTCTATAGCAGAAATGGGTTTCCGAGGATATTATAGTAGTGAAAACGGATTATGTGTACTATGTGACATCATTATTCGAGTATAGATCAACAGCGTCGACAACTTGAACAGGATTCGAAATGATAACATAAATGGATATTTGCTGATCAAACAGAGCATAAACTGCATAGTCATAGTCATCAATAATGAACAAGCAGTCATACAACTTGCCAAGCCATTCGACGGAATTGCTCCATCGGATCCAACTCTTATTTCCGGATGACAGCTTGTGGCCCAAGGAACGCTCAAGGTTGACGTCAAAAAACGCAATATAAATACGAACGGTATATCTTGATTCTTGACATTTCATCCATCAACTCAAATCATCAGTGACTCTAGTCATCTCAACCATATCGACCTTACCATCTCAGTCTCCTCGTCTATCATCACAACATCCACCACAATGGACGAACTCTTCAAAGCACCCCCCGAACCCGCCACCGCTCTGGGCCGCTACCGCGTTCTCTCCTCCACAGCGGGTATCCGCGTATCCCCCTCCAGCTAGGCGGCATGTCCATCGGCGACGCCTGGGCCCAATTCATGGGCAGCATGGACAAAGAACAATCCTTCAAACTGCTGGACGCCTTCGTCGCCGCCGGCGGCAACTTCATCGACACAGCCAACAACTACCAAAACGAGCAATCCGAGACCTGGATCGGCGAATGGATGACCGCCCGCAAGAACCGCGATCAAATCGTTCTGGCCACAAAGTTCACCACGGACTATCGCACCTGGGAATTGGGCAAGGGCAATGCGCCTAACGCGGTGGGAAACCATAAGCGCAGTATGTTCAACAGCGTGCGCGACTCGCTGCGCAAGCTGCAGACCGATTATATCGATGTGTTGTATCTGCATTGGTGGGATCATACTACCTCCATCGAGGAGATTATGGACTCGTTGCATATCCTCGTCGAGCAGGGCAAGGTCATGTACCTCGGTATCTCGGATAGTCCCGCGTGGGTTGTATCAGCGGCGAACACGTATGCCCGCGCACATGGCAAGACGCCATTCTCCGTGTATCAGGGTCGATGGAATGTGATGCGCCGCGACTTTGAGCGGGATATTCTCCCCATGGCGCGACACTTTGGTATGGCGTTGGCGCCGTGGGATGTCCTGGGCAGCGGACATTTCCAGACAGCCAAGCAACTGGAGGCACGCAAGGCAAGCGGCGAGGGTCTGCGCAGTGTTATGGGCGCGGAGCAGAGTGAGGATGAGCGACGCATTTCAGAGGCCTTGGCGACGGTTGCTGCGGAGCATGGCATTGAGTCCGTCACTGCTGTTGCGTTGGCTTATGTGATGTGTAAAAGTCCCAATGTCTTCCCCATCGTGGGCGGCCGCAAGATCGAGCATCTGCATGATAATATCCAGGCGCTGTCGATCCGTCTGACGGAGAAGCAGATTCAGTTCCTTGAGGCTGCGACGGTGTTCGATGTTGGGTTCCCCAATAACTTTATTGGTCAGGACCCGGCTACTACTACTGGAAAGGCTGCCATGCTTGCCCAGACTGGTGGTCACATTGACTTTGTGATGGCTCCCAAGGCAATTGGATATGAGCCCGGTCATTAAGCTGGGGAAGTCATGAGTCGTGTAGATAGGTATTGATCGTTCACTGTATATCATTCCACTCTTAACAGAATCAGATCATCTTCTTTGCAAGCAACAACTTAAGCAATAGTCGAGACCAAATATAAAAGTAAATATTCAATGATATTTCATTCAGATGAATTCAAAGCCAAAATGCAAATATGTGCAGGGATATCGGATCCATGGATACCGTTCCACGCCAGGACAATGTCTGTGCAACTCCGTGAGACCATAACCAAACAATAAGCAAAGAAAAGAAATATATCTAATGATACATCCTGCTGAGTGTACCAGGCAGACGCAGAATCATGAAAGTAGAGCATCCAAATGGTGACCCCGGGCGCGTGAGAGTCGTGGGGCCCTGAGAACTAAGCAATTCTAGCTTATTTCCCGACAAGGTCCGTCGCATTTGAAATTCTCGTTTCAGCGAACGACCCTTGGCCAAGGGATCAGGCTATGCAAAAAGAAGAGCGGGGTGGAAAGCTAAGTGGGTGCTTGTCCATGGCATTCCAAAAAGAACAGACAAGACCAAACAAGTTTCGAGATACTGGCCCAGCCAGTACTTTCAAGCAGCCCCGGCGAAAGGAAGACCAAAAGGGGGTAATAAGACGTGAAAATTTTCGTGAACTGTGGAAAACAAACCTCTGGTTCACATTCATTTCTCGTTGGCGTTGGGGCTCTTCAGAGTCTCGTCCTTGCTGGCCACAAGAGCGATCAAAGCGGCACCAACGCCGCTACCGTCCTTGGAAATACCGATGCGAACCTTCTTGTCACCGGCAACTCCAACCTGGGGCACCTCACGTAAAGCCTCACGAATGTACTCCTCAAACTTAGGGTAGAACTCCACCAAGCTGCCATCGACACCGATATCGACCATGCTCTCAGTCTCGAGCTTGCCAGTGTGAATGAGAATGGCAGCCATGGGGACAGCGCTGAGACGTGCGGCGCGCTTGCCGATGGCGTGAACGACGATCTTGACAGCCTCGCACTCGGCATCGCTGGGGTTCTCGATCTTCAGGTGGTCCTTGAGCGCAGCCTTCACCTCGACAAAGTCCTTGCTGGTATCGGCCTCGACCTGGCTCAGCAGACTGGTGTCCAAACCCCATTGGCGGTAGAAGAGAGAGTCGGAGGGGAGGGAGACGCTGGAGGTCTTGCTGGCCTTGAAGAGCCCCAGGTCGGGGTTGTTGTGCATGGCCAGCAGAGCGCGGCGCAGGATCTCACCCAGGAACATACCAGAGACACGCTTCTCGAACATTTGCACACCGGGATTGTTGCTGTCAGCATCCAGCTGCTGGTCGTAGATGGTGTCTGGAAGCACGCTCATATGGTTGTCGAAGCTGCCCCACTCGGCGTTGATAATCATCTCGCCCGTGGAGGTATCGTATTTCGCGTCCTTCATGTCCTTCAGCTTGGTCACCTTGTCGAGCTTCTCGACGTAGGCTCCGTTTGTTCCAGTGCCAAAGATGGCACCCACCAGAGTACCAGTCTCGCCGGGGGAAGTGTACGAGCGAGCCATCAGGGTGCCGACGGTATCGTTGACGAGCGCAGCCACACGGACCGGCAGGTGGAGCTCGTCAATGGCAGACTGAAGCAAAGCGCATACGTCGTGACCGACGGCATCGGGGATGTTGAAGCCCTTGGTCCAACGGATCAGAGTTCCGGAGTTAATACCGAATTGGCGCACGGGGAAACTGAAGGTGAAGCCCAAGTCGAAGAGGTCCTCCATCTGGTTGCCATCGCGCCTCCGGCGCAGGTGGGCCTCAAAGTGCTCGTTGTGGTGAATGCGCAGGAAGGCCTCAATTTGACGGGCCAGGAAAAGGAAGAGATCCTTGGAGGTACCGGAGGCCATGAGTTCCCGGGGGATCATGATCTTGGACTGAGTGAGGGAGAAGGTGGTGTCGCCGTGCAGCTGAACGGAGCATACACGGAAGTTGGTACCACCCAGGTCAACTGCGAGGTAAAGGCCCTATCTCTCATAGTTAGCGAAAGGAGTTCTATGTCGTTGCTGACGGGGTCATTGGGGCTAAGACTGTACCTTTTCAGTGCCATTGGGGACCGCGGTCACGAAAGTAGGAATTTGGCTCAATGTGGTGTTTTCCTTTGCCAGACCCTCATTTGATTGCTTGATATACTCATCAACACCGCGCTGGACCTGGTCCGCAGGGTAATCGAACTCGCGCGCGATGCGCGTGGCCTCGTCCAGCAGCGCAGACGACATGGTGGGGCTAGTAGTAAAGATAGATTGACGGTTTGCGGAGAGCTGGTATAGGGGATCGTAACGCAGGAAGAGGATAGAACTACAGCCGGAAAGTCAAGGAGGGCCAAAAATTGGAAGAGCGAGAGGAGAGGATGAAGGGAATGAATGAAGAAAGTCCGGACAGAGCAAAGACGAAGAAAAAGAAAGCGCGTGCCAAGTGGGATGACGGCGGGGTCCATGAGGTCAGTTCCCTCTTTTAGGTCCGCGGGCAGAATTACGGTATGGTACCCGTTTGGTACAAGTATGGTATCTCCACCATCCATACTTTTCTACACATGAAGCCAAGTATTGGTCCTGTATTACTCGAAAAAGTATCGGCTTCACCGGAGCCGGACTCGTTGGAAGTATGAATCTCGTCTTCGATGGGGAAGGAATTGACAATCTCATTCATTGTTTGAACTACTTCGATGTCTAAAGACTCCGTAGTTACTCTACATAACCCATGAACACCCGCATGCAGCCACCCTACAAGAACCCCCCTGCATTCCAACTCTGTACACCCTAAGGGGAAACTTCGTCATCACCCTTACACCACAGTAATACAAACCCCAAGCCACCAAAATTACACTGTGCCTACTTTTCCTGTCCCAGTCATGACGGCATGAATGTTTTCCCTGAAACTACGGAGATGATAATTGTGGGGAGCAGCTGTGACTGGTCAATAGCTGGGGCTCTCTCCAGTGTCTCCATGGCACACGTCTTGCCCCCCGACTTCACCGGTGAGCAACAGAGGCTTAGGCGCACACGGAGAGACGGAGGAGTCGGGGTTGTTGGGGCGTGAAAGGAACAGGGGACGGGAAAATAGGGAGAAGAAAAGGAAGAGACACAAGACACACAACGTCGTATGCAGCGCACAGACGGAAGGAAAGTACCCCAGCCGGGGAGACTAAGAGAGATATTAAGGAGATTGCATCCGATGGACATATTCTTAAGTCTATTGGGCACCATCGGAGTATAGTGCTCCTAGAGCATGCATCTTAGACTCTTAATAGTGACCTGATATTGCCCAAAAGATCGAATATTGAGTATAACATCCTATACACCATGCATCGAGTAACTCGATCCCTCCTAGATGCCACGTTGGGCGTTCCTGGGGCAAGTTTCAGTTCTCGGGATCCATCGGCTTCTCCCACTAAGAATTCGGCTCCCGAGACAAAATGGAGTTCGGCTGGCCCGATTCTTCGGATTCCCGATCCCCAATTCAATTTCCCATGACTAAACGTGTCCCATAACTATGGAGAGTGGGGAGTAGAGGAAGTTCTTAGCCAATTGTTCAGAATGGTTTTCTGACTAGAAGGTTCTTAGAATATATTCAATCCATGGGTGCGCAATCCTCTACAATAGGCGAATACATAAATAGCTCTTCAAGGTGAAATTACGTCAGACTATGCCCATATGTTAACGGGAGTGTTACTTTAACACAGAACTTGAGATACGACTCTTGGCGTAACCAACACATAAATTGTTCATTTCCGCATTCAATACCTCAGGACAAGAGTCAAACAGCAAATCACAACATTTCTCATTTGTCCACGCCTCAAAAGTCCCGCAAGACTTGGAAGAGACGCTACATTGAGAGAACCATCCAGTGCAATCCCATTCCCTTCACAGCGAAAGCTCCTGGAGGCATTGCTTCAAAGTCTTTTGCAATTTGATAGCCTCAACACGACGATGACTAGTTTGCGGTGACTCTGCAGCCAAGCGCAACAAGTCTTCGTCCGAGTAGCCGCTGACAACAGTCGGGTCAAACACGCCTGGCAGGGGGGCGAGAACGTGTCGTTCAATCACTTGTCGGCATACATTGTCCACAAAGGTTTTCATGGCGACCTAGGCGATATGTCAGTATAATTGTAGATCTTCGGTTGTGGGGGAGATACCTTGTAGTAGGCATCAAGATCTATCAGCGCCTCGGAGCAAGCCCGGTCCACCATGTTGACCTCAATCCGGGCTTGTAGCGAATCAACTAGTCTGCTGATGTCGACTTGAGTGCCAGCGGAATTTGACCTGCCGTGATAAGTTGGCTGGATTGCATTTTTCACCGCGCTTTCGAGATGTTCTTTCGTATTCTCATGTCGCGCCTTCTGGATGTTGTCGGTGTAGTAGTGGTTGTAGGTGATTGGATGCCCTTGCTCATCCTGTAAGAGTTTGCCGAGTTCTTCATGAGAATCTTCAATATTCTTGTCAAGGGCAATCTTCACATTCTTCCACACCCTTTCACGAACTGTGGTGTCCTCAAGGACAGACTTGAACACAGAGCTCAAGTATTGAGTCACAAGTAACACGACGCTATCTACGTGGGATTGGGAAATTTTACCCCACGAATAAGACTGGGCATGGAACAATCCCTTCAATAGGGAATGGTTGTAGTTGCCTGGTAGCTCTCGGCCTCTGGTTTCAAGGTACATCTGTTGAAGTTAGCGTGGCATCTTGAACGTGGGGTTGAGACATACTTTTTTCACCCATGCCAACATTTCCTTTTTTGTCACAAGCACCTCTTCACCTTGGGTCGCTTCGTCCTTTTTGCCAAGAGAAGCGCCATTACCTTCAGCAACATCGCTAGGGGAATCATTGGCAGCATCGCTTGCATAGTCTTTGTCACAAGGATCGTCGCCTTCGTCCGTGTCGGGGACAACCTTGCGCTGCTGACCATGCATCCTCATGAAGTCGGCAAAATTTTCGTTTGCGATGTGGATTACGGCACGAAGATGGCAATCTGTGTTCACATCGCCTTTTGGAGAGGATGTTCCGTCACGGGCGTCGTAATTTCCCTCGAGACCATTCTTCACAACCGATTGGAACTCGGTACTGACCCGAGTAAGGAACATGCGAATTTGAGTTGGCTGGGATCTCTCGGGTCCTAGATGGGCGATTTCTTTACGAAGCCCTTTGAGAAGAAGATGCACTTCTTCTCGCACCTTTGGAAGCTCTCGCTCAATGTGACTGTCCAAGATTTCTTGCAAGAATCGACGAAGGTTTTCAATGCCGACTCTTGTTCCATCGAGACCTTGAGCCTTCCAAGATGCGCTTGAGAAAAAGTCCAACTCGGCTTGAGCACGTTGCTGGAAAGTGACACCCATCTCCAACTCTGTTGGAGATGGATTCTTCATGAGAAAGAACCCATGATGTAGCTTGGTGCGGTCCAAATTCTTTGCTAGACGTGCAACACGTTCCTCGGTACCTTTATTGATCAGGTCAGGCTTTGTAATAACGCCAATGGTCCTGATACCATCCTTGTCAAAGTGTCGCGCCCGTTGTATGATGGTCTGTGTCTCAGCATCGCTGGTAGCTGGTATGACGGCGAGAATAATGGTACGCGAGCTCTCAAGATAAGAGTCGACCAGCCTCCGCACCATATCAATGTCTTGGGGATTTTCCGAGACGGAGATCAACCCCGGAAGATCGACCAATGTCAGATGTAGCCCGGTATTTCCCACCACTTCCAGTCGAAGGACGTCCGTAGCAAAGGCGGGGGCATCTGAGAATTCACTACATCGGACACCCATCAAACGAGAGGCTTCCTGAATAATACCGGGCAACTCGTCGAAGTCTTCAAACTCGCGGCTAAAGGCAGCAAATAGGTCTTTTTCTTGAGAAGTACGCGAGGGAGAGGGTATGAGGCTGGCTGCCTTTCTGCTGATGGCGGTGTTGTGTCGAAGCACGATCTCGTTGGGGAAGCGAGTGCAGAGGCCATCTTGACGTGGGAATGGGCATCCGCTAATTCCTTCGAGAACGGAGCTCTTGCCTGCAGACCGGTCACCACATACCACGAGTTGCGGCAGCGCAATGTGATCGCCAACCCCCAGGGCTCGTACCCGGTCAATTTGGTTGAGTCGGTGAGAGGTTTTGAGAGAAGACAATCCGCGGCTGATCTTGTCGATGGGGAGGTCATCGGAATTGTCCTTGCCCTCGTGGGGCAAAGTTGAGAGCCCCATGGTGTCTCGGGGGAGAGTGGGAGAGTCAGGAGGAGATTTGCGAGAAGGTGAGGTGTCAAGAGGAGGATTGTATTTTGGAATAAGAATCTCTCAATGCGTGCCTTCCTTCTTTGCTTTATGGGCTCTGGCAAGGTCCAGCAAACGAACCAACAATGGTACTTTCCATTTCGGGTAAGTTCCATATTTCTTGTCCAACGCGTCTACTGGAAGTTGCCCTTTGTTATCGTTTATAATATTCAACAACTGAGATAATGAAGCCTGTAGAGCCTTAATTCATATGGGCAGGTATCCTTTTTGGTCATACCTAATAGGTAAGTGCGATGTCCTATATTGAAGGCTTCTAACCAATCAAAGCCCCCTGGGTCTCTTAGAAGTTGAATTGAAGCCGATTACTTACATGTATACAAACCGAATCAGGTCATTATTACCCCTAGCTATACCTAGCTCACTCTACCATGGTTCTTCGGCCTGTGGTCCTGCATCGCCACCCAATTTCCCCTGCTGATTTAGAAAACTATGGAGGTGTATTAACCGTAGCAGCCAAGCAGGAGATACATGGAAATCTACCTAATACATTATTCCACCTAACCCTTAAGTAAGCAATTCATGAGGAATGATGACAGAACAAAAGTCATTGAACCGATAAATAAACTTCATTTGGGTGAGCCAATCCTTGGACTCCAACATTGATTTTTGATACGTTACCAGGAAACCAGAGCATAAAATTTTCATAATTTTGCTCAATAGATGTATGTCTCTTACCTCTCTATGAGGTCAACGCATTGGAATTCCGTTATCCACCGATCATCTTTCCCACAATAGCTCGTACCCCCATCCAACCGCCAGCTTTCGCAGGCTTTCCATTACTTCTTAAGCCAGCATGAACTGTCCCGAAAGCCCCGAGTTCCTACGTGGCCTCGAAGGCACAGATGTCACTCTTGATCCCCCATCCGAGCCGCCTCTCGGTCTGGCCCGCCAAACCTGGGTGATTGATAGGAAGCTCTCCGAACGACTCCATTGCTTGACACAGCAGGACGTTTCCGAGGGCCTTGGGCTTCCATACGCAGCTGCCAAGTTCCTCTGCCATCGGAAGGGAAATCCTGGCAAGAACGCCTTTATGCGGATTTATCTTCAGATTCCGATCCTCGGTACTCAATACCAAAGCCACCAGGTTCGACGAGACCAGGCTGCTAAGCCACAGCCGCACATGGAGTTGACGACCTTGAAAGCCCTCAAGACATCAGGATGCGATGTCGTCCCTGACCTTCTTGGCTACCAAGAGGGACAGCAAGGTGAAGATTGTATAATTCCGTGCGGTTATATCACTTTTGTGGTCTGGGATAAAGTTCCCGGGGAGCCTCTAAGTGCAGACGCATTCTGGGCTTTAGATCTGAAGTCCCGCCAAGCGATCCGCGAAAGATTTCGCGAAGTCTTTCCGTAAGTCTACAGAGCCTCTCTGCCTGGTGTACTCTCCATTGACAATGCCAATCAGGAAGGTGAAGAAGTGTGGCTACCTGCCACGCAGGTCAACTATGTCGAAGATCATCTACGACAATGCCACTGGGAATATGTATGCTCCCATCTGCTGTTGAGTTGTGAACACTATACGCTGACAACAAACAGGCATCTTTCAGGATTTGCACGAGCAGGCCGTACTGACAAAAGTGAAGAGTGGCATGACAAGTACTACGTTCAGTTTGGTTTGGCCAAACCATCTCCGAAGACGATGGACTGTGAGAATGATCCCGCAGGATGGACTTGGTGAACGGAGAAATAACACAGAAATGGATCACTGGACGGAAATATCAGTCAATAAAATAGAGGATCTGGTAACTGCCACGACGAACTAAATCCAACTCGATTGGGTTTCCTCTCCGTCTTGAAGTCCGAATCTAGCGACTAGAAAAGAGGAACCTAGCTAGATACGCTGTGACTGCCGCTTTTTTTAGAGAACTTTTTTCAAGGCGTTTTAGACCTTCTTCATTAATAATCATTTCTCAGGCTGTCTTTTGAATGATCCTCAACTAGATTCTTCGGAAATTTAGCCGGTGAGCAGGTTACTACGCAGTTGTCAAGGAGCCAAGGTAATGATCAAGATAAACTCGGGACCGACAGTAGTCCTCTGACAACGGCTGAAGATGATGATAGCCTTAGATGGTGTGCCGTGGGTACTTTGTTAATGGTGATCAGAAAAGCTCCAACTTCAAAGAACTAGAGTCATGAGGATACAAGGCTCAATTCGTAGTTTCATTCGTAGAAGATGAAGTTTAGTAACGCACAATGATCGCAGCCCTGTAGGCGGACACACGTCAGCGAACTGGTGAGCTGACTAACCAAGCCCCACGTGACCGAAGTATCGGAGCTTCGGGTGGACTGGGGCGTCTCTCACAACCGCCCTTCTGTTTGACTGACTTGACGGCATATACACCTTCCAATCGGAACAATGGGCGCTGGCAGTTCCAAGCCCGAGGCTGGGGGTAACTCCCAACATGTCTTTTCAAGGTAAATTGACTCCCCGATGTTGATCCACCAACTCGACAAACCCGACGTTCCATGGCGGGAACCGGAACCACGAGACCCGATCGATCAAGCGCAATTGATGCGATACTGAGCAATTGGCATTGACCGAGCACGGTCTAACTGGATATGGGCTATATGACAGGGTTTGCTAACGTATCTCCTCGCGCAGCAACTCTCCCGTCCAATTCTCCTCCAACCTAGTTGAGGCCCTCCAGTCCACCTCCGAGGTCAGTTGAATCCCTCACGGCAAACATTATACAACCCTCAAAAAGATACGCAACTCATAACTCACACCAAAACTACAGACGGATTCCTCCCGCGCCAAGGCCCTCGAGCTCGAGATCCAAAACCGCGTCGCCCAAGAACTCCAGCGCCTCCGCGAGCGCGAGCAGCAAACCCTCGCCGAGATCGAGAAGCGCCTCGCCGAAGTCAAGGACACCGGCTCCATCCCCGTGAGCGCTGCAACCGCACCCGTCGCCGCCTCTCCCTCCGGCTACCCCGTCGGATCTTTGAACCTGGACGCTCCCCGCGTCCCCTTCGCCGGCCGCGAGTTCGATCCCGCGCCCGTCTTCGCCGCGCCCCAGGAACCCGTCGCACAGCAGCAGCCCGTGGCCAACCGCGAGATCTCGCGGGACTCGGTCATGAGCGAGATTGACGTGCTGCGTAGCCGTCTGGATGGGCGGAGAAAGTTGGTTGAGCTGGATGAGGGTGTTGAAAAGGCCAAGGCGGACGTTGTTGGATGTCTGCGGTTGAATGACCGACGGCCATTGGATTGCTGGAAGGAGGTTGATGCGTTTAAGAAGGAGGTTGCGAAGATGGAGGCTGCCTTTGTGGATCGCATTGTGGGTTAGATTAGCGGGAGGTTATACCACGGCTTGATATGAAAGTCCCCTTGTTTCTAATGTCTTGACCGTGGGATGCTGTACTGTATGTATAGATTGTGCTATTTTTTTTACCTCCTCTTCATTTTTTAGTTGCCATGATTCTGCATGGGATGGAATTGATCCTACATGAACGTTCTACTACGCATGATATGTAAGAGGATGGGCTCATCTATGGGCAATTCATATTTCATCAAGTATCAAGTAGAACCACGTTATAGGGTATCAAAACACCAATAATGCCATCACACGAGCTCCCACACTCCCAATCGTCCTATCTTCTCTCCTGCAGTCCTAACAATGCACATCTTCCTCTCAGATGGTTTCACACCGGGTAGTAAAACCTTCGACAGTAGAATCGATCCAACACCCGTTCCCTTGCCCTCGGAGAGATTGAAGTTTCCTGCGGTCACAAAGCCTATCAGGTCTTCCTCAGTAGGGACTTGCAAGTGTTCAGATCCGGGATCTTCGGGGATCGCAGTGGTGGCCAATGCTTCAGCGAGTTGGCGCTGGGCTTCTTCGCTGGAGGGAGTGGATTTTGTTTTACGGGGGTGTTTCCGCTCATTGGTCTTTTTATTTGATGGAGAAGCAAGATCAAGCCATTTTTGCCGCAGGACTGGATTTGTTGGAAGGCGATAGACGCGGGCACAGGATGTGGGAGTGCCGCGATTGGAGAGGGTAAGATGGATTGTAGCGAGAGCCGAAGAGTCAACGGGAGATTTGCTGAGTTTGTCCAGAAGAAGATTTGTCTCACTGGGTGGATAGCGGACGCTGTGGATGTTGGAGGGTGGAATGTTGGGATCAGTTGTGTTATTGTCCTTTTCAGCAGTATCATGGCTGGCTTGATCCTTCGACGGACCTTCAACGAGCCTCTGCCAGTCACAGGTCCAGCCGTGGCCAATCTCTCCCTTGGGATGGCCATCGCCCAGGACGAGACTGTCAAACTCAACCCGGCGTCCCTTAGGTCGTCGCTCCCATTGACGTCGAGACTTCTCGGCCTCGCGTTGGCTCCACTCCCAGCCAGCTCGGGTACCAGGGAAATCGCCCGGGAACCATCCCTCGCCCGCCTCAAAAGCAAGCTGCTGCTGCTCCTTCAAGCCACCGAAACGTGGATTTCCACCGCTTGATAGAGGGTAGAACATGAGCGAGTACCATACTGGAGCCACGCATTTCCACGGTAAAAGTACGGTCCAGGAGCCTGGAGCAGTATTCCGTTTTGACCGAGTCTGTGGACGATTGGCTGTTATCATAACAGGAATTTGTGGGTCAGTGGCTTGTGCAGCAGGATATTTGCCAGGGCCGACGAGAGCACGACGACGGTTAATAGCCTTTTGACTTGGAAGCTGTCGAATAGCAGCAAGGCGACTTGGGCGGTCAAAAAGCGTGGATGGACCCTGGGTTTGGTCGGGTGACCATGTAGAGAGCAAGACAGCCAGGTCATTCATGTGAGATTCGTTGTCCGGGAGTTTGAGACTGCGCGGTGGAAATTGGAGGCGAGGATCAGAAACAGGGAAAGACAGAAGAGCATTCTGAGGCAGTGATGACGGGTTTGATACGCCGAGTAAAGATAGCCAGGTCGCTTCTGGACTCTGTGCCGTGAGACCTTCTGCGCCTAAGACAGGCTGCAATGTAGCCAACAGTGCCTCGGCAGATCCTGGACCGGTGATCTCGATGCTACCAATCTCAAATCTCAAGTCCTCGACCATGACGGGCGGGTTCTGTCGCTTGGAAATCTCAAGCAAATCGGTCCACAGCTGCAAGAATGCAGATGGGTGGACGCGGATAAAGAGCTTTCTCCGTGGTATCTTTATCTTCACGGTGGTAGAAGCTTTGTCCGCATCAATCATTTCAACATCCTCAACCTTGGGCTGCACACACCAGATCAGCGTGATGGGTGCAATTGGTCTGGTTGGCTGTTCTTTCTCAAATGCCCAAGCTTGCAAAGACCTCGTTCCAGCCCTCCACTTCTTGCCCTTCGTACCCCACGCCTCATCACCATTGACACCAACTGCTCGCAAGACAGCTTCAATGCAAGTCTCCGTCCCTTCTAGCTGCACGGTAGACATATAGCTCATATCCCACGCCACAGCACCACGGGCACCGCGAGCTCGATGCGTAGGTCGATAACTCTTCTCCGTAGGCGAGATAGGAATAGCGAACCGCCAGATCGGATCCTTGGTGGTAGCCATATGAGCACGCTTCGCATGAAACATGTGCGTCGGCAGCCAAGTCTTGCATCGCTGGCGCTTGCGGTACTTCGCATCTGCGGGTGGCGGGCGTGACAGCTTGCCCTTTTTGATCTTCGGCACTCGAGGCGCAATGTTGAAAGTATGGCTTCCTTCTTCCTTGGCGGTAGTTTCGTTCTCTTTGTCTCGTTTGGTGCGTGCTGCTAACCGTCGATTCTTAGATTTGGCATTGAGATTTTGGAGACGTCGAGCGGCTTCGAGGCGGATGCGCATTATCTGGCTTGGTTTGCGACGCCGTGCGGTGACCGTAGGAGTATTGTCCTCAACCATCTACCATTTTCGTTCATCAGCTACTATAATTTCAGTCGTAACTCCACCAGTGCAGAAGAACTTACCTCTCGCTGTGCCCGCGCCCGCAACCTCCGTGGAACTCGTTTCACATTATGGCTCGCCGTCCGACGTCGCAGCGAGCGAGGCACCTTTTGAAACGCACGTGTCGTCAGCGCATTTTTCGAGCGCTGCATGCCCTCCTCCAATGCTTGAATTTCGAATGCCCGGGCAGCAGCGTATGCGGCGACATCGAGCTCGCCTGTTGCGGAGAGGGCAGCATCGGTGGACTGCACGGCCAGCGTACGTGCGTCAAAGGTTTTCGCACGCTTCCTCGCGGCTCCGGTCGCACCATGAGGCCCGGATGCGCCGAATGGCTTCCTTTTGGCGGGATTGGAGGCCATGGTGGCAGCTGTCGGGGTTGTCGAGTTGAGCAATGTCGAGCGATAAAAAAGTTGCCGGGGCTTGGCGCGTCATTACAGGTGATCGGCGGCCCCACGACATTCCACTTTATTTACTTCCGTCTGGCAGTCCAGTAAATACTACCTATCTTAGAAGAATTTTGAATTTAACTTGGTATGCTTCAAGCCAGGGAATCAAGATAAAAGGCATAAGTAATTCATTCATCGTATCAGAATTATCAAATTATAGTAAGAGCATCCCAGTACCGTCATTGAACTACGTTATACACAATACCGAAAGATATATACCTGGTCCACTTACATCACGACCGCAACATGGTCATCCATGTACTTGGTGATATCGCCTAAGAAGCAAGCAGCGATGATCGAAACAACACCAAACGCAATACTAACATAGTACACCCACTTATAAGACTCGGCATACGCGAGCTGGCCCGCTGCAACTACCATCTCATAAGCGGTCTCGTTACCAGCAATACCGGGAATCTGCTTCATCTCAGTCAACAGAGAAGCACCGGTAAGCTCGATGGCTTCAGTGATAGCCTCGACGCTGGTGATGTTCAGCTCGGTCATCATCACACCTCCGATATAATATTTTGCTGCCGGAACAAACTTGGAGATGAAGACGTTGTAGTAGATGGTGTAGCCGACACTGCCACCCACCACACGAATAGAGAGAGTGAGAGCGGAGATAGTGGCGATCAGATCATCGGGACAAATAATGGTGGTGATGATCGATGCGGGAACGACGATTCCACCAATTCCAAGACCGGCAAGGACGAGGAGTCCCCACAGCTGATACATGTTGTCGACGCGACCGATCGCGAGAGCACCACAGCCTGTCAGAACTGGTTAGCATTTTCGATTTCTTGCAGATGTACACAAGGCTACTTACCAGCTGTCATGAGAATACTGCTCACAATCAGGAGCTCCTTGTTATGTCCGCGGAACACACTAAGGAGGACCAGCACGATACAGGCACCGGCTAGAATGCCAAAACCAACAGGAAGACTGCGAACGCCGACATCAACGGGATCATGTCCGTATACATTAAAAGACTCGGTGGGCCAGAACATGAGCACAGAGAAGAAGTTGGCGCCAGAGATGAAGGTGATGACCAGGGTCAGGCCCAGGGTGCGAGGCTCCTGCTTCAGACGCGTGGGGAAGATGGGGTATTTAGCACCGTAGATCTCCCAGAAAGCAAAGGCAATCAGCATCACGAAGCCGAGGATAAGTGGAGCGAGGACGTGAGCAGAGCCCCAGGGGTACTACAGTGAGAGATGCGTTAGAGTGACCACGAGCAGTAGCATGGGACCTACACATACCATATAACCACCCCATTGCATACCAGCCATAAACAGAATCAGACCGGTGATACTCAAGAAGCCACCGACGAAGTCGATTCGGCCGATGACTTCCTTCCGACTCATACCGAGGGAGTTGACTCGAGGAGGAGGCTTGTAGAAGAGAATAGTGATCAAAAGACCGAAGCCATTCCAGGCACCGCAGAATGCACCAACGTAGCGCCAGTTACTGTGTGCAGCGATAAGCTGAGCCCACAGAACGGACGGGCAGAAAGGTACGATGGTGAAGATGAGGACGGCAACGTAGACACCACGCTTGCGGGTTGGGGCCATCTCCGAGGTTGCGGCCAGCGCAGTCAGTTCATTGACACCAGCGCCAGCACCGGCGATGGCCATACCAGCTGGAGAATTCAATCAATATACGAAGCACGGTCAGTTGGCTGGAGTACACTAACCAATAAAGGTGTTCATCGTATTCGCCGTGCTACTCACGATCATACCGAGGCAGATGAGAGAGGCACCAAGAATGGCGACATAGCGACGACCGATCAAGTCCGACAGAGATCCAACGAATGGGCAAACACCCGCAAGAGCGAGCAGATTTCCAAGAACCTGTTGCACCGCCAGAATTAGTGTATGAATTGGCGGTCTGGCTGGTCGATTTACTTACAAACCAGATCCAACGGTCCGCTCCACCAATCGACCCATAGATATAAGGGGGAATACCGCCTGGTTTAAAATGTCAGTGACTGACCCGAAACGAGGAGCCAGGGGCTGTGTTGTACCAAACAGATAAACAGGAATTTGACTGCCAGTCCACAGGAAGGCCATGGCCGTGAATCCCATGAATCGACGGAAGGTCATCTAGATATCGTAATGAGTATGAATTTTGAAGGTTGACACCATAGACATTGAAGCTCGTACGGGAATGTCCTTCTCGGACTCGTGAAGCCCAGCTTCATTGGAGCTACCATCAGCGTCTCCCCTGTGAATATTCTCCTGGTGCTGCATAACGCCCTTCTCCTCGGTCTGCGGCGGAGTCTGGACGTCAATAGACCCAGTCATAGTGGGCAAGTAATGTACAGCAGCAGTACGATGCTTGGGTTGAAAAGAAAATGCCGCGCGGGGCAAGAAGACAAAGAAAAAGGGACCTTTTAGCAAGGGAGATGCCAATTCCCAACACAACACGGTCTGAGGACTCCCTCCACTTGAGTGGGGAAGACGAGCAGATATATCTTGTCAACGGCGACAAGTCCAGTCATGCAGTCATGAAACGGTGAGATCGCACCGCGTCGCGCCGGAATAGTAGGGGGTCCACTACTATCTTTTGTCGGAGCAGTCCGTAAGGCAACTAGCCAATCAGTCGAGGGAGGGTGGATGTATCAAAGGGCGGACACAATTAAGTTGGAGAGAGTATAAGCGATAGCCGGGGTCGCGAGCTCAAAATCCAGAAAATACCGAGGTACGCTTAGCATTGCTTAGGCGTTTCTTGGGGGGTCTTGGGAGGGAATGAAGTTTCCTGGGCGTCTTTGGGGGGCGAATTGGGCCGTGGGCGGGAGGGAAAATGCGGGGGAAAACGTGGAGAAGGTGGACTTGCCATCATCGACTTGATTGACTTGCGGGTCTCGATCCCCGCCAGTGCGGGCGCAGTGCCGCAATGGGATCCAGCCCCGAAACTGTAACTGGCAATAGCTAACCTGTTAACTTGTAACCCTCGAGGACTTTTCTCCAAGAACTGAACTAACCGAGTGGTCACTCGGCCGCGGTCTGTGCTGGTTGGTTGCCCACTTGCTGTTAGCTAGGGAGACTACAGTCTAGACTAGTCCCCTTTTTGGGAAATGAGAAACGAGTGCCAGAATTAATTGTGGAAACAACTTTTGTACATGTAAAAAAACAAAAAAAAATAGTTCCGTTGGTAGTTCGATATCTGAATCCTGCAGCTGGCCTTAGCGGGAGTAGACAAAGAAAGTTGTAACTCTATAGTACATAGTGGATTTCTCAAGGCCCCAGCCCTTTCCCCTCCCCCTGAAGGCTCGATAGCTACTTCGTCTCTGGTAGGTGGGTAGGCGCAGAGGGGCCCTAAACGTAAGCAGGTCCAAGTGGCTGACGAGTCAAGCACGCCCATCCTACTTTGGAGCTGTCTCCACTAGATGGACTAGACAGACTGGCCAGATTAGACGAACTGACTCGTCGAGCCACCAGACTTCCGGGAGCTTCACACTCCCATGGGTTCGTGATTCCAAAAAGTTGGGCTTCAGAAAGTGTCGCCCAGTCTCACGAGCTTTAGCTTTTTGGGGACAACAAAGAGACCGGTTGCCTCGACACAGACTCGTCCTGTCATATCGCGTACCTCACACTTGACATACGCCTTGCGGTCTGTGCTCTGCTTCGGATCCAAGGTCGAGTGGATCGAGTAGAAGTTGTCCGAGTACACCGGTGCACGATAGTTAATATTGAGGTTGGCAGTCATCCCCGTCCGTGCAGGGAAATGTCGAACGGCGGCACGGCCGAGATTCTCGTCAATTATAGTGCCAAGAGCGCCGCCATGCACCATGGTTGGCCATCCTTCGATGCCAGATCCCATAAACACCACGCTAATCAGCTGGTGCTCCTTTTCATTCCAAAATGCCCTCTATTCGAATATGAATCTCGGTCAGAAAGCGGGATCCCGAGGTTCGGCAATTGCATCACTCGGCACTTGCTGGTCAATCCCTGCACAAAACTGCGACAGAGAGCTCAATGCGCCCGCCGAGAGATGCAAGCCGAGAACAGGTCGTAGCCACTCACCTGTAATGCAATGCCCCTGCTCCCACCCAGAGCACCCGAAGTCAGTCGATGTGTCTTGCTCTCTTCCGAATAGTTCTCGTAGACGCCCATTTCCACAAAGTCGGGATTCCCACGTAGCCTTTGGACTATCGGGAGCCCAGTGTCGAAGACCTGCTGGATGTCCTGTAGCTGCAACTTATCCTCTGGTGTCCCAGGAATTGGTGGCGCAGCGACCTTCTTGTCCATCCATTTGCCAACACTGACCCCGAGAGCTCCGAAGATTGTAGCGTAAACTAATCGGCGCGTCCAGCGCGACGGTTGGGCCGAGGTGTTCTGGGATGCGGCAGTGTTGCTGATGTTTCGGAGGGAGACCCTTGACGCGAGAGGGAATCTGGGGGTAACATGCACTCGTGGTGCATGCGCCCGGAGTGGTAGCTGGAGAATTCCGCGAGAATGCATTGCGCTCACATTGCCAGCGCACCGGAGAGGAGATGAAGCTAAAGTGGATAGGAGTGGGTGAGATGGCCGAGGCCCGTATCACGTGATTAGATATACTGGGACAACCCATTCAGAGGAGGCAATGGAGTACTGACTACTCGAGAAGGATTATTTAAAAACGGAGTGGAAGCTACTAGTTGAAACAAGATGTTTCATTAGATATCCAAATCCATAATTCCAAAATAACTACCAGCATCGACTCATGGTCATCGTTTCTATGCATCTAAATCAGGGCTTTCCCTCTTGGTTGCAGACAAGGAGATACAATCAATATGTAGCGTAGCGTCCAGATAACTGGTCTTGTTGATCACTGCTCCAACGTGGGAAGTTCAATAGCCCGATAGAGAAGAATGAGAGCCGAGTGGGACTCGCCTAGAATAATGTATTAGCGATATTGATTAACCATCAACCGTCTGTAGAGTATAGACTTACCACCGCCGGAGAGAGTCTCGATCTTCTCAGCCTCCACCTCGGTCACCTTGTCATCGTTGAACCACCACCACTTGCCGTCGGCCTCCTCATCCTCACGGCGCTTGTCGCCGGGCTGGGAGCCATTCGATTTGCGTGGCTGCTTTTTCACGTACGCGGTGTAGTGACCACTATCGGCACTGGCACCCTGGTGGGTGATCACACCACGAAGCTCATACAGACCAGACTGGTTGTTTCCGCTGTCTGCAGAGGAGTGCTGATTGATCAAGTCATAGAGCTCTTTCTTGGCAGCCTTGATCTCTTCCATCTTTTCGGCCTCATACTCGGCGTCGGTCTTGAAGGTCTCTTCCATGGCGGTATCACCGTCCTTGTCGTTCGCCTTGCCCTTGGTCTCCGCAGCCTCCTTCTTCTTCTGCACAGGCTCTTTGATAACTTGGGGCCCAGTCTCTTCCTCCTTCTGATCACCCTCCCGCTTATTATTCAGCTTCTGGCGCTTACGAGACCGCTCGACGTCCAATTCGTCCTTGCGGATCTCCCGAACCTTGTCGCGGACAGGCACCAGTTGCTCCCTAAGCTCCTCGGTACAGAATTCCACAATATCAAGCTCGGCTGGGAATGTCACCTTACGCATGATCTTGGCCTTCTTCTGAGTCTCGCGCTTCCAGAAGAAACGCACAAAATGCACAGCGAGGTATCTCGGCAAGCGAGAGATGCGCGATCGCTTCGTATACAGAGCGTTGCGGTCGAGTGTTGGGGACTGCTTCTCGATCTGCTCTTCCAAGCCTGCCAGGATACCATCTTGAAGGTGGTTGGTTTCCTTTCCAATGTGGCAATCCAACTTGAAGAAAACATCCGAGGACTTGGTAGGTTCCTCGCCGACTTCCTTAGCAGCGGGGTCGTCGCATTCGGTAACGGAGTCGAATTTGCCGGCCATATACTTGTCGACAAAAGAGACACTTGATGTAGAATCTCCGTTTCCGTCAGTGATAGTCAGCTTGTTGCGCAGCTGGTTCACAATCTGCGACCATGCTTCTTCGGCATCCTGCTGTGCGTAGCCCTGTCCATTGCGATCCTGTTGAGCGAACTGGGGGAAGGCGGTTCGGAGGGCATTGAGAAACTTAAAAGGGGGATGCCCTCTTGGGTTTCAGACATCTGCTTGAACAGATCCCGAAGAGAACCAGTCACATCATTTGAGCCACCCAAGCCACTCAGACCAAAGATGCTAGGGTCCGCAAGACCGGGCCGGCCAGAAATGCCACTTGATTGATACCGCTGAAGCTCTTCCTGCAGCTCCGGGACACTTCGAAGGGTTTGTAGAGTAGAGTTCAGATAGCAGGTGTTTCCCAGGTTTTGTAGACCAGCAGGAGTCGCTCCCTCTTGCTGTGCGACTTCGGCCTCCGTCATATCCTCCAAAAACTTTACGACTTCTTTAGGTCGACCGAGATCGGCGGCACCTTGAGCTCCGGATGGCGTGCCCATCATCATGAATGTCTGCCCTGGCTTGGCCTTGAGGGAGGACAAGGGAGTATCATCCTTGAGCTGGCCACCTTTCACCAACACCTTTTGCCGGTCAGGTTCAACGCCAGTCAGAGAGAATAGCTGATATTTCAACGTTTCGCCGTTGGCTTCGGGATCGAGCTCGACTTCGTGGCGTTTGCCCGCATGCTTCACGATGACTGGAAGAGTGATTAGTCATGGCAATAGAGGACTCGAGGTATCATTTTTTAACACTCACTTGGTATAAGCGACATATTGTTTGATTCGCCCGAATGGAGACAGATACTGAAGCCGCAACGAGTGATGAGATGGTTGGTGAGGGTTTAACAGCTTGGAGCTCCGGGGAAGGTGCTCGAAGGGCCGTGGGGCAGAAAACAAACGCTACGTCACCGCCTTCCCGCCTTGCGGCCTGTTGCGCGGAACCTCCGCCACGGCCCCCTCCATCTCCTGTCGCCTAGCTTGACGTTTGTCAACTGTTTAACAACGTCTTCCAAGAACCACGGTCTTTGCAAAGACCGGAGACGCTTCTAAACCAGTCAATTCTCCTCGCATCTCTTATTGAATAGGCAAAAACACCTCTGTTCGCCCAGCATGGTACGTGTGATCCGCAGCGCCCCAGTTCCAAGTACTGAACCTCGACTAGTCGCAAAGTCTCCGCCCCTATTTGCAGTGTGTCCGTGTGAGTCTCACGGCTGCTTTGGCAGGTAAGATTTCACTTATATACAGACACATCAGGACTCAAGCTAATGCAATTAGTCTCGAATTTCGCGTCCCAAACCAGCGAGCGCCAGTATGATTACATCGAGTCCGAGCACGAGGGCATACACAGGAACTGATTGGCCTTCTAGCAACGTCCCAGAAGTGGAAGCGGGAAGCTCTCCAGAGCTCATCTTGAACCCGGTCACAATCAGCCGTAATGAGCATGAGAAGGTCCTTATTGAACCCAGTTAGTGAATCCATGGTCCCCAATACACCCTTGGCTTAACATGCTAATCCAAAGCTAGGTGTCAACTCTGTCCGCTTCTCGATCCGGATCAAGCAGGCAGATGAAATTGAACACATCCTTGTCCACAAGTTCACACGATTCCTCACGCAGGTACGAGTTCAACACGTCCCGTTCTCCTCGATCTTTACTTACCATAATCGACTAGCGCGCGGAGTCATTCTTTATCCTCCGAAGAAAGCCCATGCCGGTACGCACCCTCCATAATTCATTCCTTTCAGCTACTTATGCCGTTCTCATTGCCGCGAACGCGCTCCGTTGTCCTCGACACGACCCTCGTTGCCATTTCAACCACACCATGACTCTGACATTTGCTAGGGCTATGACATCTCGTTCCTGATCACCAATGCACACACCGAAGCGATGTTGAAGCATAAACTTGTCGACTTTGTTATTCAATTGTGAGTTCATGCCGTATTCACTGGCCCATCGCCAAGAGAAGACTTGCGTGCTAACAGAGGAAATAGTATGGAGGAAGTTGATAAGGAAAGTAAGTACTCATGCTCGCCATCCAGATTTCTCGAGAAAGTCCTAACACTCGATTCTACAAAAAGTTTCGGAGATGAAACTATTCGTAAGTTATCTGATCTTGTATCATTGTCATCCCTATCATTGTTCACTAATTTGTTTCCAGCTGAATGCACGTGCTCGTTTCGTCGCCGAATCCTTCTTGACTCCGGTATGGACCCCGTTGAATATCCCCCTGGGGAATTTGTGCTTACATTCGTACAGTTCGATTAAATTGCTAGCGTTTTCCCCGATCCCATAGTTGCAGAGCAACTCCATGATATATGACCCTGTGCTTTCACCATTCCTGTGTTATTCAGGCCGCACTGTCTCGCAATGCAAAGAGTCCAATTCATTCTCCATCTTTAGCAACTCCACTATAATCTATCCTCTCATCTAGCTTGGTACTCATTGACTCGATAACGATGGCAACCCGAATGTATACACATAGACTCGAACGATTTCCGCAACAGCCGAGAGCTCGACAATATAGAGTGGCTCAAATCTCTACACATCTGCTCATGGCTATGTTTTCTTCCAATGATGGATTTGAAGGACCACCTGATGCTAGGCACATCCAAATTCGTCAATGTTAGCATCCTGTGGGGGTAGTTCCGTGGGCATTGTATGGTCAAAATTGGGAGTCTCGTTTACATTCTCTTTGGGGAAAGTACACTGATGGTCTATTTTGACTGTTATCATCACGACAACCTCGAGTCCCTTACTGGCACGCTTTTGGAGTCAATGAGCACGCTCTCTAGACGCACACTTGGTCTCAATAAGCCCCTTTGGCATTGGAACTACATCTGTCTTCGACTCCATTCTTTGCACACCCCGGTCCCCCTCTTCCACGAACTATTATCCCACAGGACGGCTCTTTTTTCAACCACGAACTATCAGACCCAAACTTCACTTCTTACCGTACACCCGATCCATATTTCCCCACGACCCTAATACTCCCTGCTCTACACGACCGATCCCCTTTTTCCACGAACTCTAGGATCCCCAAAACATATCTTCTTCACTATTCTTCCCTGCACGCCGATCTGTTCCCCCCCCCCAACAAACTATCAGATCCCCCCAACTTCACCCCCTCAACTACCTGCTTCGGATGCATGATCTTTCTTTTTCCATACTGCGCTTATTCGCACGCACTTATTCATCTTCTTGACACGCACTCTCCCTATGCAACATGGTTCACACACGTGCCAAGTCCGTGGACCTTACTGGCATGGTCCGTGCCCCGATCAGAAGTATGAATCGTGATCAAGTTGATGGCCCTAGCGAAGAGCGACCTCTGCAGCCTACGGGTTTGCCTGGTGACCAAGAAGATGCTGGTAAGAAGACTCCTGAATATTCCAGTCATTGGCCCAAACCCCTCCACTATCAGATGATATTGACGGTGCCTACAACAAACAGATCACCAATCTGGTTCTTCTCCGGAAGAGCAAACTAGGGCTAATCCTCAGAAAACAGCCGATGGGGATGGTGGGGACGCAGAGCTCTCGCTGATTTCCCTCTACATGCACGAGGACCAGGCAGACAGTGAGATTGATTTTTGGACTTCATCCTCAACCGGCAACCTCCGTCGCTCAGCTTCCTGCCCTCTTCTCGATTCTCCCCCTCGTCCTCTCTCCCCCACCTCTCTTCGTGAATTCCACAATTTGAAATTCCTCGTTCGCCTGAGAAGAATCAACCGTCAGGTTCGCGCTACCCACACTTCATATCTTGTCACCTACCACCTCTGCCGTTTACCCTCAACCTTCGAAATTCATCACGACACCCCCTCCATAAGACCAGAGTCTATCCCCTTTGATACACCGTTCAACATGTATCACTTCCCGACGAACCCTGCACTCTACGCCCAGTACCACCAGCACATGGCGGATTACCACTCCCGTCCGCTTCAACGGCTGCTGGATCCAAGTGAGTGCCCGATTGGCAGCGAGGCTGATCTCCGTGCTCGCCCTTACAACGCGGTTGTTCTCATCGAGAACGTAAGTTTACCTCACATCTCACCCTTCATTTGACGCGTTCTCCCTCTGACGGCCCTTCTCTGATACAGATTCCTTACACGGTCACCCGGCAGGAGGTGGTTCAGTTCTTTGGGCGTGATGCCAACCTCGCTCCGGGCTGGCCTGTCCATATCATCATGGAGCGGTCCACTGGCAAGACCATGGCCTGCTATGTGGAGTTTGCCCACCCTGTCGATGCTCAGCGAGCTGTGGACCGCATCAAGCAAAAGCACGACTCTAACCAGGGTCCCCGGATGGGCAATCGTTATGTTGATGTCGTGGTCAGCAGTCAAAATGCCCTCATGAAGGCTTTGTTCCCCCGAGCCAACTGCATTGACTGGGTGAGCGGTCGTCCCGTGCAAGTTCCCCCGCCTGCAGACGACGAGGGTGCACCTGGATTTACTGGATTTTTGACCGCTGAAGAGCTGTTCTGTGTGGCCCGCCATGCTCGCGAGCCGAATCGAGTATGTGCTTCCCCTCCCCATGGTTGTTTTACAAACCCCAAGACTGACCACAACTTTCTTTTAGAGTGCCTATGCGACCAAGGTTCCCCAGCGCACCTATGAGTCGATTATCAGCACCGTCTGGAAGGTAAGAAAGCCATATTTGCCTCTTCAATGTTTGGTCTGGTGAGCCTTGCACGTTGTTCCTTGTGTGCTAACATTGGGTCTTCTAGTTCCCGTGGTACGTGAAGCACATGTACACCGTCCACGCTCGCAACAAGCTCTTCTACACCCTGAAGAGCATGATCGAGGTCCTCGTGGAGCGTCTGGAGGCCACGCAGACGATGGGACTGGATGGTCGCCTGGTGACCGAGCTGCTTCGTGCCGGTCTTGAATGCCCTGCATTCAACCCCCGCATGAAGTTCGTGCTTGCAGAGGCCAGCGAAGACCAGGGGATTCTTCGCCGGATGCACATGCAGTGGCTGCAATTGTTCCCCTTCGACACTCTGACGTGGTTGCCACCCAACAACCCCATCAAGTTGGAGGTAAGTCTCACTGCTTTCACAACCTTCTTTCATTTCTGTGAGAAATCACTAATGTGTTATGATCAGTTTTACGCAGGGCTCATTGCAAGGGGCCAGCCCGACAGAATCCCAGAGGGGATGAAGCGTCTCTGCTTTGAGGACGATGTCCCAAAGCTCTTCGGCAACTTCTGGTTCGAGTGGCTCAGCGAACCAGCTGCCAACAAGCTGTTCTCTGTGGCCGCCGCTGAGGAGAAGCAGCTCCTGCGAAGCCTGCTCACCTCTGGTTTTGCTGCCGTGCATGGCACGACCCCGGGGCCCTCCAACCCCCCCTGCTGGTCCGACCTGGACCCCTTCCTGGCCTTCGGCCCGCGCCCCCGCCCCGGCGACCCCTACTCCCGCCCCGCCTCGCGGCCCTCCCCCTGCGTCTGGCACTGGCCCTCGCCGTCCCCCGGGTCCTCCCGGTACTCTTCCCTCCCGTGGCCCTTACGGCCCTGGCAACTGGCGTGGTGGCTCCTCCTCTGGAGGTGGCCGCCGCGCGCAGTAGGGCCTCCCACGGGGAGAAGGAGACCAGGGATGCTTCGGCATCACCTGAGTCTCATGATCAACGAGAAAGATCCTATCCTTTGGGATCTCGTGGAAGATGATCTAGCGGCCGATATGGCGATGATGTGACGAATTTTTCACGACCTTAATGACCTGATCTACTAGCGTTGATCTGACATGGCGTTCTTTGCGGTTTCCACCCGGTGCTTTTCTGGATATTCTTATGGTGGTCTCCGGCTTTGCTTTGTTTTTTGCTTTTACGATCTTACGTTGTGATTGCTTTTCTTTTTGGTTATTAGTGGTTAGGATACGCGGGCAGTTGGAAACTTCCCCTACTTTGGGGGAAGGGGCAACCTAGTCAGCTAGCCAGTCCATTACCACCAATTAACCATCATCATTGCTACTTATGTTCCTTTCTAAATGTGTAGGGTGTTTACAAGATGTATCTTGTCTTTGACCTGCATGCAAGTGCTGTAGTTTTATGCTTAAATTAGTAGCCAGATATGCATCAAACGCGACTGCATTAGCCTTTCTTCAGCCCTATGTTGATTCCCTTGTCCAACCTTTTTCCTACAGCAATCTCAACCAAACAGATTGCATCTTTTCTTTTGATATGAACCCAGCTTCCTCTTCTGTTTCATATTGCATGAGAAATTTGTGAATGACCCACTTCAAGAGAACTTGGACCGTGGAGCGGGATCAAGGGTGTTGGTCATTGAAGGCATATATCTCCCACAGTATCCCCATGAGAGTAACTATTCTACTGACTACATAGCGCGCCCGATCGAGACTTCTACCATTGACTGACTAGCCATCGCATTTCCAGGTTCAAACGATCGTAGCAGGATTCAACAAGCGATCATCCAATATTCGGTCATCCCATGGATTCAGTTTCCCTGTTGGTACAAGGTGTATCTACGACTCTCGTGGCTGTTGCGGTACGGATGTCATACTGTGTATTTGAGAACTGTGGTATGTCTGACTGCTCCAGATTACAAGATATGGCGGCGTATAGATATTAGAGGTTATGCTAAGAAGCTCGAGACAGACAGACCCCTCTCCATTGCAATGCTCTGCGACGATGCTGTACGTGTCAGGTATTAAGGCGATTGGGAGGACTCGAGCATTTTTGGATACAAAGCCTCTGCAGCTTTTCTTCTGGAAAGATAAAGAGTCTAAAAGGCATATTGGAATGCCCCTAGCGAGGTGCAGACACGGAATGGGGACTTTATGGGGACTATGGCTGACGGGATTGCGTCAGGCAGGGTTCGATATCGCCGATCGTCAAAATTCGATTATCAGCGAATAAGGCGGGCAGAAAAGAAGAAGGAAAAAAAGAGGGTTTGGAACCGCGAAAGCGGAGCAAATTTACATTACTAAAAGAGGCTAAATACAATACTAACTGCTCATTTAGTTTACCTACCACGCGGCTCGTATTACGCAGTAACAAACAACGAAAGCCGGTTTTAATAGGCAAGCGGCCCCTTTGCTTGTCGAGTTGCGTTTTTCTTTTTCTCAAGCCGGAGGTTCTGCACGGGCGCTAAGAATTGAATCTACAATCTTGCAGTCTCCCCACAGTTCATTCGCAATCGAGTGTCTGCCGAGGCGCAGGCTGGTTTTCGCAGCTTGAGCTGGTTTGCAAAGAGCCATTCGAAGATACGGCGGGAGTCACAAACAAAGCAACAAATACCTACTTGGGCCACTATTCTACCGCTCCATACGACAAACCAACAACGAAGCCAGCACATTACGACCAAGAATCAGATTGTACCAGATCAATCTTGTCAATTCTATTGATTATATTCTATTGGACCCCAGTTATGCCACGCCGATCGTCGCGGGCCGCTCCGGCCTCGCCGCAAGCGCCTGGGGCGGCGCCAAAGCGACGCGCCTCAGCCAGGTTGTCTCGCTTCGCAGGCCGAGATCAAGAGGGTCAAGTCTAATGCCTCCTTGCCGGGGAAACCCGTCAAGTCCACGACGAAGAAGAGCAAGTACTTTGAAACCGGGAACTCCGAGGAAGAAGAGTCACCGTCCAGCGAATCCGGTGGAGATGAGTCGGACTCTGCTTATGAAGAAGACAAGGCCTCCGATGCGTTGTCCGAGGACGACTCGGTGCCGGAAGAGGCCAGCGACAGCGAAGAGGACTCGAAAAAGTCTCATCCGAAAGGGAAGCGGGCTCGTAGCACTGCCACGGACGAGGATCTTCTCAAGGGCAAAGAGCTCTGGCGCGAGGGCGTGCGAACTGGGTTGGGACCCGGAAAGGAGGTGTTTATCCCCAAGCCCAAGGCGCGAGACCCCGGCAACGTGCCATACCAGGATGAGGTGTTGCACCCCAACACCAAGCTGTTCCTGCAGGATCTGGCGAAGAATAACGATCGCGAATGGCTCAAAGGTAAGCTAGATCGGTAATCGCGGTTGCATTGCGCACTGCGAGCTTGTTTGAGAGTGATTAGCAGGCAAGAACAAGCTGACAGTTCCACTCATAGCGCATGACCCTGATTACCGCGCGGCAAAGAAGGATTTTGAGACCTTCGTTGAGACCTTGACCACCAAGATCACAGAGAAGGACGGCACTATTCCTGAACTGCCGGTGAAAGATCTGGTACGTCCAGCAAATCATAGGAGATCTGTTTCACTTCCTCTTCTTGTCTCTGACCAATATCGCCCAGGTATTCCGCATTCACCGCGACATCCGCTTCAGCAAAAATCCACTTCCGTACAAGGTATGTTTTCTCCTGCAGGATCGGATCTCCTTCCGCCAAATCACCCCTGGTAAGGCAGGTGACGCGGGTGACGTGACAGGGGAGATGCTTGTGTTACTGTGATGCTCATTAGCGGCGTGCGTGTGCCCCTGCTGACGGACGAATAGATTCATTTCTCGGCTGCGTGGTAAGTGCCCTCGACTCCCAGGAGTGGAAAGGTGGAAATGAACCACTGATCAATACAAAGGTCTCGGACGGGCAAGAAAGGCCCCTATGCAGCATACTATGTCCATTTCCAGCCTGGCGCTTGTTTTGTCGGTGAGTTCTTTATCATCACGCACATCCCTCCCTTCTTCTCAGGGCCTTTTGCTCCGTCCTTTGTGCTTCTTCCAAGGCAATCCTGCTGCTCTGTCCCTGCTACTCCTCCTTTTATAGCCACTGGTGCAGCCCATCCTGACTCATTCCACGTTGTAACGTATAGGCTGCGGCCTTTGGCACCCAGAGGCTGACCCATTGGGGACACTTCGAGAGGACATCGACGTGAATGCAGATCGCTGGAAGGCAGTTCTTCGGGCGCCGGCCCTGCGCCGCGAGTTTCTGAAAGGAGCGTCCGATGACGACGATGCGGTCGTAAAAGCTTTTGCTCATGCCAACAGGGAATCGGCCCTGAAGACTAAACCTAAGGTATGCATTAGAGTTCTTTCTGTTTCTTGTTTTAGTCCTCCTCCCAGCTGTGGAAACATCATTATAAAGATGCTTGGTGTTATCACCGGCATCTTTATTCGTATTGGACTTCGATGATCTCGGGTTTCTATTCAATGGAGGACGCCGAGGGAGGAGGGAGGCTCGGGAGGGTGGTTGGGAGGTCGCCGTGCGATCGAGGGCTTCATCCATCCCCCGACCGGCATTGGGGAATCCAATTTGTTCTGCAATTCATTGCAAACTGGAGAGAGCAGTTTCCAAACGAAGCTATAATGCTTCAATTGCATCAACTGGAGGTTGAGGGAACCACTGCAGGCCCGTTGAAGAGGCGCCTGGCCAGTTTGCGGTCGACGCGTCCCAGGCTAGATGGCCGCTCATACGGTACCATATGGGACTGGACGAATCACAATCTGCCCGGTCAGCCCAGCAAGCAGGAACCAGCAACCATGATGGACGAGCTTAGCGAATTGAGAATCTATTGCTCATGATGATCGCCCTTCTGGCTGGATTGCGCAGTGGCAGGAAACACGAGACCCCAAGCGCACGGGTGTCTGCGCGGGATACGCAACCCGTGTTTTGGTTCAATCTGGCGATGAGCTATGAGATCTGGGAACTAAGAACGTCACCAATTTCTCCGAGAGCCAGGCCCGACCAAGCCCGACCAGGGGTGTGGCTATGGTCCAGCATTGAGCATTCACCATTTGATGGCTCATCTTTTTCGGTCAGAAATCGTGTTGGTGCTTTTTCGCGCCGTCTCGTCTGGTTCCATGGTTCACTACGGGGGCTCCACGGGCCTCAACCCATTTTGGATCAACCTTGACCCCTCAAACCCACGAGGAACAGAATTATTACTTCGTGAATATATACACCTAACACAACATGATATCACTTCTAGGGCTACAATGCAGACAACGAGAACATTCAATTGCTCCGTCTACGGAGCTTCACTCTCGGACGGCCCGTCTCGGACGAAGAAATGCTGGCTGCGGATGCGCAGGACCGGATCGTCGCGCTCATCGAAGTCATGGAGCCTTTTGTAAGTAGTCTACGCCCCAACTCAATTCGATCACAATCACACCAAAAACCCCCTCTTTCACCCCCTCTCTTGAACTTTGTACAAAGAGGACTAGAGAGTGATTGATCTGCTTCGGCTCGTCTGGCCTGTGCCTTGCCCTGGCGCCTAGCCATTCCTTGTCCACTCTCCCCGGCCGATTTTGCCCCCCATTCGACTAGCCCGTTTCCCTTCTGAGCTAGCCACTTGCACCCGGTTGGCCGTCCCTGTTCGCCCACCGTCGAATCAGCGGCGTAAAGTGGGCGACGGGCAATACAGCCGTCACACTTTTACTGTGCGAGAGGGAGGAGTCACTGCAGCTTTCTGGTGTCTTGTGTTTCCTTACTGACCGCTTCTCGCTCGACATAGGTGACGTATCTCAACAGCGTGGTGATGCCCGATCAGTAGCGTGCTTTTGATCAGTTTTCCTTTGATGATCAAAGCTAATTGTCGGGCCATTTTTTCAGCATTTGGCACGGGAAGATCGATGGGTGGGGTCTTTGAACTGATGTATGCTATCTGATTTTGTCTCTGCACATTTCAATGTTTGATATTGATTCGAACACACTATTATTTTCATCTCTGCTGGACTCTCGTAATCATCATCTCCATTTCTCTTCATCAAAGCCTCCACATCTACGTAAAGCCCCCGGCTAGAAGTCCCACCGCTACAAAACATCCCCACGACGTCTCGCAGCCCCAACCCTGCACTCGGCCACTCTAGGAATATTGTCTGACAACCTAGACAAAGAATCAATGAAGTGTCACTGCGCTGCATGTCCATTGCATCCTAGCTGCATGGTCAGCGAGGTCAAATGGAACCAAATCAAGGCCCGTCATTCGGATAAATCCCCCGATCAGTTCATGTTTGTCCGAGTCCGAGCCCTTGCCCGCACCAACTCGCTCTAACTCTACATTCATGCACCCTTCACATCATCCGCATCCGCAGCCATACCCTTTCGGATCGGGCCTAACGTGATACCGCAGTGTAGCGGCGCAGGGATTGGAACTTTCCTTACGACCGATCACAGTTTATACTTGGATATCTTATAAGAAGAAAGTGTTTTTTATAACAAGAATAGAGCAAAATATTGTATTGACGAAATCGTATAGTTAGTAACTACAATGCCGGGTGCTCCGTCTGTCCGGGGCCAGAGCAAAAACGAGAAACCCAGACCCAGAAACAGACCCATTCCCAGGACCACAATTCTGCAGCCCACCCAGAAATGAAATAAGAAAAGTAAGAGAAAGTGGATAGAAAGAAAGTAAAAATTTCTCACGGCATCCATCGAGCTCAGCCATCATGCATGCAGACCTGTACTCCATAGAGTTAAACCCGTAGATGCAACCATAAGCCCCATACACAGACAGTACAGCATGCAATTGCATTTCTTTATACTTTCATGAAACTCAGATACCATACACCCTACACACACAACTATCCATATCACACACTATTTCCAAACATAATACCCTCCATAACTCCCGTGCTTCAGTATGAATCGCCACCTCAAGTGCCCGCAACGGCCGCGTTCGGCCCGTTGTCGGGCTCGCCCGCTGGGCAAAACCTTGGGCGCCTCCATCAGCCAACAAGTGGATTGAAGCTCGATTGTGGATTGGATTGGGTCGGGGCGGGACTCCGCCTCCTGTCCCAAGTTTCTAGCAGCTCTACAGAGTCCTCTTTTCCATTTGAATTTCCGGGTTCTGTGGCTCAATCGAGACCTTGGTTTGCGGTTCCGGTGTGATCCTACTGAAACGAGGATGAAGCAGTACAATACATTTTTCGTACTTGTCCATCTTCTATGGTACGCTAGAAATGGATTCCAAACAAAACCCCCGGGTCCAAGCACCTTCCTGCTCTGGAAAGGAGCGGGTTCGGGTCCAGCGTTCCAAACGGAGAGCGCGTTTGGTTCAGCGCTTTTCTGTGATCCGGACGGGTCGAGGATTGAACTGAAGTGTACCCCATTGTTTGGGCGAGGGCGCATGGCAGGGCGGAAACTAGGAGATTAATAGACTAGCACTAAGATAGACCTTGCCCTAGGGTCCTCGTCATGTCGTTTCCATTGTTTGTGTGGTTGTTTATGGAAGTCGTCCGAGACAAAAGGTTGAGCGTGTGGTTGGGCGGGCTGATCTACGGCACGGTGGCTGTTATTGTGGTGATTGTGCCCCCGAGAGGATGGACGATACTTCTTCTCGTACTGTACTCGGGCTCATTATTAGCAGTGGGACAAGCGACGAATTGTATCTTCGAGCGGCTAAACGGGATTATCGAGAAAGAAGGAAACAGTCCGAGGATTTGCTCATTGACATTCATTTCACGAGTTATATTAAGCTTTGATTAATTGTCCAGGGTCACAATTAGTGGCTTTTCCGAAAAAAACGTGGTGAAATTGTGGACCGGGACTCTGCAGACTGGAAATGGTAAATGGTGTGGTTAGATTATCGCTACATCCCGCTCTGGGTACTCGGTTACTGTAGCGATAGTGGGCATATACTCGCTTCGGTTAGTTTAGTGCAGGCGTAGAGATGTTCCTAGAGGAGTGACCTCCTAGGTGGTCCTTGAACCACAGAGTGGGTTGTTGTGCACATGGCCATCTCTGCGTTGGCTGAGTAGCAAGCAGGCCTTCTAATCGAGGTGCCTGGGCATATCCCTTCTAAGGGCAATACCGGCCGCTTGTAGCGAATCTCGGCATTGTCGACCATGTAAAGCTGGGTCAGGTATCAATATGCTATCCTCAAGTGATAGTAGGCCTAGGCAGTGGGAGCCGGAACAATTCCTATCAAGACATGTCAGCTATATGTGTCTATTGAGGATTGTAGGAACAAAATTCCAACAATGGAACAGAATAGAGTGCGCCATAAGTGGACATACGTAGGCATAGAGCTCCGTACCTCTGAACATCCTCTGGCAGCAAAGCCATATTCTATTGGCGGATATCTAGCCTATACCAAGGCCAGGGATAAAAAGAACAATGATCGAGTCGTGATACTGAATTGGCAGTGATCTAGATATGACTTGGTCGCACTTTTGTGCGACCTTGGAGTCGTGTCGTGTCCGTCGATACATTGGATCTGGTCACAATGCAGTCAGATGACAGTGCCGGGTAACAGAAAGGAATATTGATGTCAATGAATTGAGTCTACTTTGTTGCGGCCCAAGTTTTTGTAAAATCTTGGAAAATCTTGGGCATTTTGGTTGTTGGTCGTCCCTGCCTATTTAGAGCACCACGTGCTGGAATGGTGTCGACAATGACGGGTCGACGATGACAGCGCATCCTCTATAACCTCGATCTCACCATCACACATCTCCTGACTCGGATCTTCTGCGCGTCGACTGCATAATGCACTCCAGTCACATTCCTTCCATTCCTTCGAGTTCAGATCCTAGTCCCGCTCTGATGTCACCTCCCGTCAAACCCCACGATGCACGCTACGGAACGAGGCATCGCAACGAGCATGGATGCCCAGGCAAAGAGATCACTCGTGCGCCGGCAACCAGCAGCAAGAAATAAAAAAAGCAACGTGATCGTCCCGCTTCTGTACAACACAAGCCAGTCTTTCACTCCGAACAAAGCTGGAATCGTAACGATGTGTCACCGCCAGTCGATGGAAGAGAGGACTGGCCTCGAGGATAAGGCCACCATCACACGACATGCTTCAGCACTGCCCTCAGGCAGGACAAACCTACCACACTTTTACAACCCTGTCTACTTCCCGTACAGGGCCCTCTGTACGCCTTGCGTTTCCGGCCACGTCAGATCCTCCGAGGACAAACAGGACCCGTTCTGCCTTCTCATAGGCCTGATTGTGTTCCCGTGACCGTTCAGCCATGCGGGTAGTGCATGGCAGCGTCTATTAGTGCCCGACGGGCTCCATCCCTGTTGATAGACGCGCTCCCGTGTGGGTAATTTTGAGAAGAGGGGCCACCGGAGGGGCCGAAACGGACGGGAAGTTTTTTTTTTGCTGTTCAAAACCTTCATCCATCAGAAAAATATCGACCCAAAAATCCATCTTCGACAAGTGGAGAGAAGGGGGAGGGGTACAAAGAATCCATCATCATGGTCCCAGGCTGCGACATTTGCGACCGGTCGGGCGGCGGTTGGGTCCCCAAGTCTGCGCTCAGTCCCTCTCTTTGGGACCAAATCGATTAGCGCGTCCCCAGGACAGACTGCATCGAGTGGCCAGCGGCTCTGGTTCTGGTGTGGAGTATAATCCCTTAGACTCGTCTGGAGGCTGGTACGCTAACGACAAGTTTGAACAGGCCACGCCAGAAAGAGTGGAGTGCGGTAACACGGAAAGACGCGGACGGCAATGCACGAGCCGATTGGGTCCTGCCCGCCTGAACAAAAGGCCCCAAGAAGAAAAAAAAAACGTGGCAACAGGGCGCCAGATCAAGGCAGGACCCAATCATACAGAAGTACAGCCTGGCGTACTACTTTGGTATACCTCGTGGTATAACCAGATGACCGTGGACCATGATCATGACTATGACCCCTCCCGTACCAATCACTATCACCATTTCGATTTATAACGACCAGCCAATCTTCTCTCCTAAAAAGGGGAGTGGTTCATCCAACAAAAAGGCGGAAAATGGGGGGCATGCCAATCACCGGATTCGGTGCTGCACTGACAAGGCGTCCGAGGTCCTTTCCGTCTTTCCAGATGGCACACACATGCATGAGATCGGCGGGAAGGCCGGAGCGGCCCGTGGGACAAGTACCCCGACCACACAGGCCGCAAAAGTTCACCTCGCTTTGCACCACCACCAGCTAGCGAGCTACTAGCTGACCAAGGATGTTTCACACCCGAAGGAAAAACCTAACAGAGCACACAGACGGGACGAAAGTTGATACATGATGCCATTCTGGGTATCAGGTATCTTGTCTGAGGCCCAATCAGACTTCTATACTTCCATCTCATCCGGACTTGCTCTTCTGCTTTCCTTGGTTACACATCGACTCCCCTGCACTCCTTCGCTTCGTTCCCAATTTTCATTGGAACAGAACTGGGCCAATGTCCCCCCTATGATCCAATCCATCTTGCCATCGACAGCATATACCTGATCTATCGCGGGCTATGGGCGGTGATCGAAGGACAACGGTCCCCGTATAACGTGGATGTGGCTCTCTTCAAGGAACCAGCCCCATGTCAGCGGTCGATTCGCACGCTAATGCAGGTTACCATGGCTCATGATGGGCTTTCCGGATCCAGTCCTTCGGACCTGGGAACTTAGCGCCTCCACTTGCTCCGGTCAGCGCGTCGGAATGGGCTCCGCTCTCGTCACCAGACACCACTTCGTATCATGGAAATGGTGGCGAGAGAGCTGAACCCCACTCGTCAGCTGAAGTCTGATCGCCACTTCACACCGCCTCCCGCGCCTGCAAAGGGTTTCTTGGGGAGGGGGAAACAAGAGGTTCGATAGTAAGTCCTCCGTACATGCAGTAGCGCTCCTGTACCTCGCCGGGAGCAGGTTGGCTTTTTGTGTGATTTCGCCCTAAGAGAAAAAGAAAAGAAAAAAAAAATAATAATGATCCTTTGTGTCAAAATGTCGGTCACTTTTTCCCTCTTTTTCTACAGGCTTCCTTTTTCTTTTCTTTCTTTTCTTGTCTTTCGGTTGATTTCCTTTTTATTCTTTCTTTCCTGTCAAATTTTTTCTGACACAATTTCCCCGCTAGACTACGCTAGGTTGGAGGAGGGGAAAAAAAGCAGGATGATTATTGGACTTGGAAGATAAGAAAAAACAACCGACATTTCGCCCCGACCCGCGCCCATCGCCATGGGCGGGCATCCTGGTTCCGCGGGGCCGGTTGCGGTTGTGCGAGGACGGTCCGAGTCGTCGCTGGTCCATGGCCCAGTCAACTTGTCTGAACCAGGGATTACGGAGGAATTTCCATGATGATCCACGCTCAACATTATTCATGCATGGTATATTCCCCATGCAATCCCTGGTCGTCGAGTCACCTGGTACGTTATTATTCTTGGTCCTTGATCTCATTTGTTCCGTTACCCTGTCCTTTCATGCTGGAATGAGTCGGTGATGATGTCAACTCTTTTTTTTCTTGTGTTTTTTTTATTTAAACTTCTTTTTGTCACCCAACCCCAGCTAAACCTATCGTTGCACTGGGATGAAGCATCCGCCACGAAGGGGGCCAACGTATGAGCCACGGAGTTGGGGGCTAACAAAAATGTGGCTGATGGATTTACTACAGAGAATCCTGTGAGATCCAGTTCGGAGTTAACGAATGAATTGTCTGGATGGAGTAATCGAGCAAGCGTCAAGTTGGAGATGCTTAACCCCACCATCATGAACGAAAAGGAGGAGATCGAATCCTCGCAACCCAGTGGCCAGTCACAAAAGAAAGTTTCTCTGCAGGCGGGCACTAGCAAACCCATGCGCCTACCAGTCGCCGTTCTCGGCTTTGCAGCAACCGATCGCTGGTACCCTATGGTAACCCAGAGCACCTTCGAATACCCTGCCCGCTCTCTCTAAGCCACGAGAAGAAGGAACGAGACTAACTAGGGGCGCTAGGGAGGACGGGGAGAGTCCAAGTCCAGTCAGGCTTTTTGGTCTAGTGCTCACCCGAGAAAAAGCCTGTGTCTCGTTCGAGGCTGGGCTGGGAAAGAGGAGGAGGGGGATAGTGTACCAGGCCCTCCAGTCTCTCCAGTTCCCACGGGTATCCCATGGCGCGGGCCACACGGGGGCTTACCTTGTTCTGGTTCAGCTGATGCCCTAGCGTCCTAGCGTCCAGGAGGGTCCGCCGTCCATGTCGACGGGTCACCGGCGCCGCTTTAGCCCGCGGGTCCTGCCCGGGCTCCACCCCGTTTGTGCTAAAAAAAATGGGTTGGGGGGTGCCAATCAGAAAATTGTGCGAGAGAGGTCCTTTTTTATTTCTGATTATAATGATTATTTTTTTTGGCCCCAAAGATGACGGTGGAGAGTGCAGGATTGGTCCTAGTCTATCTTAGTCCGTGAAGGAATCGGTTGTCGAACCCAGATTCATACAGTACAATCTTGACTAGGTCATTTAATATGATGCTGATAGTAAGATGGTTAAGAGAGTTAAGTTCGTTATGATTAGTATAGATTATCTCTACTTGTGTGTAGTTCATGACCAGACTGGATATAGAATTCCATGCTTCCGGGTCTTATCTTGGGTCGTGGGGTCATCTTGTCGTCCTCGTTGATGATTCTTCTTCTTCTTCTTTTCTTTTCGTTTCTCTTGTACTTAAGTACTTTCGTTACTGTACTTCGTACTCTCCTCCTCTTGATATAAGGTCATCACTACAGTACTGTCTACCACTGTATACTCGATCTTGCAGGGCTCGTGTTATACTCCGTTTCCCCGTCCGCCTCCACTTCTTGTCTGCTCACGTCATAGTCGCCGAGGCTCTTTTTTCTCTTTTTTTCCTTTTTTTCTTTTCCCCTTTTTTTCTTTTCCTTTTGGGCTTATTTCCTTATTCCTCAATTTCCTTATTTTCCTTAGTCTTCTTTTCCTTCCTCTTTCCCTTTCCTTCTGGTAGCGCCTATCCTTTTTCCTTTCCCCTTCCACCTTTTGGTTTCATTTTTTCTCTTTTTTTTCTTCTGTGATTTATTTCCCTTTTGGTGTTGGATTCCTTTCCTTTTTGTCTCTTTTTTTTCTATTTTCCCAGACTGCGTTGGGCCAAATTGGATCGTCCTGCATCGTCCTGCTTTCCCCTGCGTGACCGCGTTATGCTGGTGTCGCCCGTGTGATTATTCGACTCCCCCCTTTCAAACTTGAACGTCACATCCCTGTCTTCTTGACTCATCTCATCTACATTTTACGCCCCCCCTCTTCTCTTCTCCTCCTTTCTTCTTTCATAAACACCCCAATGTCCCGCCATCCCGACGGAGACCCCAATCGCCGGGGCCAATACCCTCCACCCCCCGATACAGATCCGAGTCGCCAGGGACAATATCCGTCCGACGATCCCAATCGCTCGCGCGCTTATCCCTACGAGCAGCCTCACTATCCGGTATGTGATTTACTGCACAAAAAGGGGGGGACCCGCTGGTTGTCCTCCTTTATGTTTCTTCCTGAGCTCGTCGAACGCATAGAACTCATCATCCCTTCCCTCTTTTTTTTCTAGTATCCTCCTCAGCAGTCCTATCCCGCCCCTCAAGAGCACGATCGCGGATACTATCCCCCTCCACCTTCGCAATATCCTGCTCCACCACACATGGCTGCCATTCACCCACACGCGCCGCAGGATTATCGGCTGCCGCCTCCTCCGGGAGCTTACCGGCCGGATCCATATCAGCAGCCTCCGCCGCAACAGCAGCCGATGCCATATCATGCAGCTGCTCCCCGCCAGCGAACCGCTATTGCCTGCCGGTACTGTCGTCGACGCAAGGTATGTCGATGTTTGGAATGGGGTTGACTCGGTTTCGCTGCATGGAAAAATCCCCACAGTTGCGGCCCGCGACGCAATCCAAGACACTGACGGGATCTGCTTTTCTAGATTCGTTGCTCGGGTTTCGAGAACTCCCCCGATGGACGATGCACCAACTGCCAGCGCTTCAACCAGGACTGCATGTTCACACCCGTCTCCTCCCAGGCGCAAGCTTTCGTCCCTGCGCACGCTGCTTACCCGCACATGCGCCCCGGCAACAATGTGAACGGCCAACCTCCCCCCGGCACAATTCTCTATGGGGCTCATGGACAGCCGCTTCCCCCTAACTCGGCCGTGCAAGGCCCCGACACCACCTTGCCGCCGCCTCAAGGGATGTACGGCCCTCCGTATAGCCGACACCCCACTGACGGTCCCGCACCGCCCCTTGCGCAAACTATGCCGGATCCGGTAAGGCAGTCATTCCCCTCCATGGTGAGCAGGTCCGATCTAATGTTTTGGTTGGTTTTTACAGAGACAGCGGCGCGGCTCTGGCACAGGCTTCGATTATCCTGAGCCGGCCAATCTGGCTCCCGTTACACCCGCCAGTTCCACCCCCGGATACCAGACCCACACCGCTCCGAGCCCTTACTATGGTCACCCGCACGACCAGCGCACCTCGCCGCAGGCTGCCTATGCTTACGAGCAGCCACGTCATTCGACTTCACCGCACGGTTCGCCGTATGCGCCAATGACTGCCCCTCCTGCAGGCCAGACACCCCCTCCAACTTCGACTCCTGGTGGTGCCCAGCGGGGTGGTCTGAATGTCCGCGATATGCTGAACCCCGGTGCGGACGGCGACTCTCAAGGCCGTTCTAGTACCGACAGCGACATGCTCAACCAGCTGAACCGCCGTGGCCCTCGGTAAATGCAACCCCCGATAGGGCTGTTTGCAGGGGGAGGGGGACATCGTTAAGAGGGAACAGCGCGCAGGACGCGACAAGAATGCGGGGAACCCGGAGGAATGGTCAGAGACCGTGTGCTGGCCACACGGTTGGAATTACCATGTGTTGAATTGCGCATTACTTAGAGAGGTAGCGTGGTCTGATCGGGGCAACACGGTTGGACTCGGGCTTGTCAGCCATTTTTCGCCGCTGGAATATTTGTTCTCGTCATCCCTTCCGACGCGCACGCACCCTCATGAACGCAGGGGGTGGGCTTTGCTATCGATAGCCCTGCACGGAAAATCGGCAATCTCGACTATTGGAAGTCATCGGGAATGAGAAGGGAAATCGATTCGACATGTTGGAAAATTCGAATGCGCAATCCGACGAAAATGTGAAATGGGCGATAAAATGGGACGACCAGTCTCACTGATTTTGATTCGATCCGACTACGAAGGTACGAAAGAAAACGCGGACCCACGAGCTTTACGAGCCGCACGACGTTTTACACCGAGATGGCTAGGCCGCAAGGCCCTGGATATTGGTATACGACATTTTTATTGATACATTTTCGATTCTTTGATTTAATCGAGGAGAAAGGAGGATCCGAGAGTACTGAAGCGACCAGTCAACATGGTTTGCTGAAAGATCAGCCGGGATTCACAGTATCCTCTTATACTTGAACCCGACTTCGATTCCCGAGGTTCGGGCTGGATTCGGGTCCGATATTATACTCGACGCTATACACGCCACCGCTCGATTCTGTGAATACACTTCATTACCGGGCGGCAACAAACCACATCTTTTCAATTGTCACAAATTTCGGGCGGTTATTTGAATTACTTTGCAACGTTCTGCGTTCCGGTTCGGCTTTTGTCTTTTCATCATTCCGCGTTCCTCTGCTATTTTGTGCCTTTTTTTTCCCGCGTACATCTATATTCTCCATCAGGGAAGGCAATTTGATTTTTACTTGCGTGTTGGTGGTCCCCTGTTTGCGACAAAAGATGGTCGGCTGTGTGAAATTTTCTTGATTTTTTTTGCGTCTGGTTTATTGTTTGGTCGGCTTTTGCGTGTCTACTTTTTATCACTGGGAGGCTGTCTGATCACTCTTTTTATGAGTTTTTATCCTTGCATGCGTTTTATATGCTCTGATCTTTCGACGCTATACTTTTTTTTCGTCGGTTAAGCGCCTGATCGATTGAATACGATGGTGTCAAAATCGTGTAATGCGGTTATCTGATTGATTTATTTCTGATATCATGTAAACCGTACGCAGTATGATCTCAAATCGAGGAGGCTAGTCAACTGAGAAGGGACTAGTTCAGAATGGCCAGCCCTACGACAACGAGTGAGGTCGACATTGACTTAAGGTTCATCGGGTTGCCGAAGAGTGGATGAGCGGGACCTTCTTAGGGCTTCAATAGTTCCTGCGGCTCCCGGCTCGGTTACTCCTTAAGGGTTCCGTAGAATAATGAGAAAAGTACCTGTATTAGCTACTTTAGGTATCTTGTGTAAAATTAGCTCGATAAAAGCGTCTCCACCTCTATTCTATTCCTCCACAATAACCACCGTCGCACCCCCTGCAATGGTATGATTACCCGACAACCCCTGTTGACTACCTACCGAGTAACGACCCGAGAATGGAGGAACGAAGGTGCCCTGGAGTCCGGCCGGTGCTGTAATTTCGAGCACGACCTTGCCTTGCTTGTTGTATCCCCATGCGGCGTAGATCAGGCCGGATGGCGTGGGCACTCGGCCGTGTACCCATTCTGTCTTGAAGTCTGGGAGTGGGGCGAAGAGGAAGGTAGTGTAGCCGGGTTTAGTGGGCCGAATGCCTAGTGCGTACTCGCTGAGGAAGACGGTGGGATAACTGCCCCAGAAGTGGCTCATACCGGTGAAGAGGTCGAGACCGGGGTATGTGCCGTCGGTGCTCTGTTGACATGTTAGTACATACCGACCAATTACACTTGCTGTGAAATGAGAGGGGAAAGGCTACTTACGATGTACTCCCAATATCCACCGGTGTAATTGCGATCGCGATGCACCATCGGTGCCCAGGTAGCATCCAACAAGTCCTGCGCCAACTTGGTGCGCTTCGTAGCAGCGAGACCTTCGAGCAAGAAGCTCATGTAGTACGCGTCCACGACGCCGGGAGTATCAAAGAACCGGGTACCATTGATATAACCAGCGGGAACTTGCAGGGTGGACAATTTCTCCACGAAGCTCGCCTGACGCTGCTCACTGCCGATACCAGCTAGAAGGACCTGCGCGATATCCATGAGATCATAGCCAGTTCCGCCCACCGTCGCGGCGTAGTACCCAGCAGTCTCATCCCAGAGCAGGGTATCGATAGCAGTTCGCGAGAGCTGAGCTTGCGTCTGGTAGAATGCCGCGGCATCATCGTCACCGACGAAGCGGGCCATCTCTGCCATCCTCTCCAGACCAATAATCATGGAAACCGTATTAGCAGGACCAAGCGCCTGCCCCTTCTCACCAGACAACGGGGTTCCAGCACTCCCGTACGGGGCACCAAACAACTGAGTCTTCTGATCCAAAGACCTAGCCAACGCATAACTGGTCGTCATAACCATGCGAGGCCAAGCCTTTTCCAGGAAGGTATCATTCCCCGAACGAACCCAATAATCATAAATCACCTGCATAAAATCAAACTCGTAATCCACAATCAACGGATCAACATTCGTCGTCCGAATCAACGTCCCCTCCGCATCCAACGGGCTGAAAAGCGTGTTAATCGGGATCTGACCCGACCCGACTTGTCGCGAGAAGGCTTCTTCCGCAGGTCCCCAGACGTATTCACCTTGTTGAGAGGCCACCATGACTGTGCGAGCAGAGATGAGTCGATCACCTAGCCATGAGAAACGGTCACGTTTGCCAGAGTCGGAGCAGGTGTATTGACTGTTTGTTTGAACGCCGTACTCGATCAGGACATCGTTCGATGTCATCGGGTTGCTGTAGACGTTCTCTCCGGTGCTGAGAGTGGCGTTCACATTGCGCACGTAGGCAGCTTGATCTTGCCAGGGACCGAAAGCGAAGCTCTTATAAACACCGCCGGGGATGTAAGGGTTCGGATCAGCGAGGCCGTAAGAGCTAATGTTGAAGTGTGCAATGCGCTGATCATCCAGGTAGACTGTGTAGGTATCGTCACCGGGAGACTCGGTACGAATAGTGTGCCAGGTCTTCTCGGTAACGTTAAACTTGAGTGGGAACTTGTCCAGGACGTAGCCGGGCAGACTTGTTTGGTTTTGCAAGGACCAGCCACGTCCGAGGATCAGGGTATTCGGTGGGAGGAGGGTTGTGTCAATGTTTGCAAACGAGCCCGATGGGTATTCACTAGTAAGAACGACTAGAGCGAGGGTGTTAGGTTGTTAAAATGCAGTATGTGGGTCGCAGTTAGACTTACAGATAGGTCCAGTGGCTTGGATAGCATCAATCTCCGTATCAACACGCCAGCCAGTACCACCACGATCGATCAGTGTCTCAAAGGAGAGGGTGTAGTTGCTCAAATTGACGACTCGAGCAGTGGTAGCAGGCTTTTGGCCACGGATATATGCACCCTTTGAAGTAATCTCCCAAGTCGAACTTTGAGATTCAGGCGGGTAGCAAGCCAGTTGCTGAGTCCGAGGACCTAGGGCCCAGATATCGGTATAGGTCGAGTTGCTAGATGCGAAATATCCGGGCATGGAGTTCAACTTTTCTCTGCATCAGTATAGTTTTCCAAGGAATATAGTGAGTGACTAGGTACTAACTCACCGAGCTTTGATCAACGGAGGAAACAAATCCAGCCCGTTTAATAACCAATTTCTTCCCACTGATCAACTTGATTGACTGCCACCGCTGGGAGCCTTGAATGAAATATCCAGTGAAATCTCCAGTCTTGGTAATGTTGAATGTCTCGACTCGGAACGTAGCGGCCAATCCGTTTGCAAACGCAAATGGACCGTCACCTTCGGGTTTCAAAAGACCCCTAACGAGAATTATTAGAACGGAATCCTGGGACTAGCCAATAACGATACAGGCAAACTCACGGGAAAGCTTCGGTATACTTGACCTCGATTTGAGGGTTGCCCTCCGCAACTTGGACATGGAAAATTGGCTTTCCAGCGACGTCGCTGCCATAGTCCACTGCCTTGTAGATTAGACTTCCATCATAGTTGAGATATGAGATTGCATGTACTGACAAGTATAAGTATCTCCAACACTCTGGAATACCAATGCATTCCCCGAGCTACCATTGACAAAGTCACTGCTCAAACCCTTCCTAACAGAACTAGGATAAACGTGGACAGGGCCATTGGGAGAATCGGCATGTTGGGGTTTTGGGATTGCCGGCCACGGAACATTGCTTTGCGCAGCTCCCAGGGCACCAATGGCCAGGGAGAGGCACGAAATAAGCTCGACTCCAACCCTCATCGTGAAATGACCTTAGAATTGAAAATTCCCCTTTGAAAATTCAGTGAGCTATCGTTCTTTTATCGACCTGCATTTCGGTAATGTGGGCGGTGGGGGTGTAGCTTCCCCCACAGACAACGTGGACGAAGTTCTGCCGAAGTTGGGGTTTTGTATCCACTTGCCAGAGTTCGGGGTATAATCATCCGGGGTAGATTCACGGGGAAGGAGTTTCCGTCAAGTGCCAAAAGGTTGTTCAACAAAGTTGTATTGATTGATTTCACTAACTACATGGACTCATCGATTGCAATCCTTTCCAACCCGGTGTATTTCCAAGATTAGAGGAATCAATCAAGCAAGCGGGTCTAGTAACGGACATGCTGCGATTATGAATTACATGGGGTGTGTCTGATTAGATGCGCCAGTAGGAGAAGAAACAGAAACGGAAGGTCACAAAGGTACACTAGGGAAGATTGAGATGCGAGATGAATAGAACTGGGTGATGTGGTTTTGGAGACAGAGAATGTGTGGAAGTTGGAACCAAAGGCAAAGAAAGACAGACGAGAAAAAAACGAAGGTATGAAAAAAAGGAGAAAATGAACGAAAGACTCTGACATGCCGAGCAAGACCAGGCTCGGTGAAGGGATTGGTATGTTGGAGAATGAAATGCAAGCGAGTGTGAGTATTTGGATGTAGAAGTAGAATCAAACAACAGATGCATGGAAATTTTTTGCAGGGCTGGAACGCAGCAATGCGAGATGTGTAACCTCGAGACTGGCTAGGGAATTGAGAAGAAGAACTGGCTTAGATCAGGCGAGTGTGCGGGTTCAAGGTGAGGGTGGCATGATTTCCAGAACGCGCGCCATCTTCTTTGCTCGGACGGGATCCTCAACAGCTAGGCCACGGTTCTTCAACATCATGTAAACGGCGTCGACCACCTTGTTGAAAGAGGAGGCAGCGCCGCGTTCCTGCTTGAATCGGACAAGACTGAGGTTGGCTTGGCGACCATGTTCAAGCACAGTGTAGAACTCTGCGACGAACTCAACCTCCCGAAGGTGAAATACTAGCTTATCATTAGCATTTAATCTTCTCAAGGGAAAGGGTAAAGACTTACAGTTGACTTCGCTGACTCGACCATGGACAACACTATTGCTCTTGTCCATATGGACGTTCTCCATTCCATACTCCTTCCAGTCACGTAACATCTTGTAGATCTCCTTGCGACCCTTGATTTTAGACGTGTTCAAGGCGATCACGCGAGAGGCTGGCTTGATTTGGAATACTCGAGCAAACCAATTCTGATTGGCAAGCGAGAGGCGTTTGTTTCGAGGGGGGTTGACACCGTTAACCGAGTCGAAGGAGCTCTCCGAGTCCGGGAAGCCGTTGCAGAGCATTGCAGAGTTTCGAATATCTTTGGTCCTGGGCTTTTCCATGTCTTCATGGGTTGTCAGCAAGATGTGCCGATAGGGGATGCAGCTGAACATACCCGTCTCGTGGGATGAGAGGGACTTGTTGGACTTCTTCGGCATAAGCCTCTTGAAGAAGCCGCCGCCGAAGCGTTCCATAGATGACTTGCGGGTCGGTGCTCTCTGCTCATCAAGACAATTGATAGGGATTGAGGCATCGGTCTGGGAAAGGTCCTGTGGGGGATTAACAATCATTGAGCCTTTGTCCGAGACAATAGGCTTGATGTCCTTGACAGGCAGAGATGGCGGATTGTCAAAAACCTGCGAGCGGTGCTTGAACCATGACCACTTTTTATTGTCAGCTGGTCTCTTTGGGGAAACTGGGATCTCCTCAATTGGATCCAGCCCACCGAGGGGGCGACTTTGACGGGAACCCTGGGAGAAGTTTCGCGATGCCTCGGCGGAATCGCTGTTGATGGCCTCCGAATCACTAATTTCGACTTTCTTGCGAATCATCAACGGCTTAACTTCCTCCATCGACCGTAGCGAGCTGTGTGGGACCATTCGGATGGTGGTTTTGGCGTCATTGACACGGCTCGTTGCAGTGGATGCTCGTGCCTTCGACTGCAACTTCGGCATCGGACTGTATTCGCAAGGGGCACGGACAGGGCTTGCGAATTCCTCGTTAATCACAGGAAGGGACGTGTCTTCGGTGCCTCCATTGAATGGATCCACAAGGGTCGATGTGCTTCCCTCCATCTTGCGCCGTGATTGATCGTGGACCTGGTCCTCTTCAATTAAGCGGTCGAGGTGACCAATAACCCCAGTCAAATATGCCGGGATACTGTCACTGCATGCTTTGCTGTGTTCAACCAGTTTTCGGCGAGTCTCGGTGAGCTCTTGGATACCGTACGATTGACCTGACTCATTCGGCACTTCGCTTGGAATTGCCGCTGTTTCTGTCACAGGAAGTGCAGTTCGCTGCTGTGGACTCGAAACTGATGCAGGTGTTGCCGGTGTTTCGTAACCTGTCGCAGAGCTAGAAACACGCATCGTCGTAAGGGAGCTTCCATTGAATGCTTCTTCACAGATCTTGCTGAGCTCATTTGATACCTTGCGAGCATCTTCTGTCCAGATCATATCGGACTGGTGAACCTTTCTCTCGCGGACTAGATTCTTAGCCTTGGCACTGCTAGGGCGGACAACAGTTGGTTGAGCTGGAAGAGGAGGGCTGCTGGGGATGTCTGGCACAACGAGTTCATCGGCGAGCATTTGCAAGCTGGCTGCACTAGGCGAACGTTTGAGGTCAGACTGCTGGTTGGTGCTGGTCCTTCTGCGCTTCGGCTTGGTAGATCCCTGGGATCGATTCCGTATGTGATGGAACGAAACATTACGCCGATAGCTGGTCGATCGAGTGGATAACCCATGGTATCGCGAGCTAGAATGGGGCACTTTGGATGAGTGGAAGGACCTCATCGAGTTGGGCTTGTGTTTGCGCTTTTGAAGCACAGTGAAGGGTGAGGGCGTAACATCCTGGGTATCCTCTGGTTCTTCCTCCTCCACGATGGATGGTGGAGGTTTCACAACTGGAGAGACTTGTCCTTGCTCTAGAACCTCGGATGGTTTGTGGATGGTGATCTGTGCATACTGTACCTCCTTTGCAGGAGTTCTAATCTTAGGTGATCGGTACGGATCGTAGCTCTCGATGCTTGCGCTGGACTTGGGCTCTTTTGGTGCGCTTATTCGACGATGGAGATCTTTCACAGCGGAGACTTGAGTTCGTCTCTTAGAAGAACTCCGTCCTCGACGGACTCTATCTCCAGGGCGAGAGATGTGGTGATAATCACTGGCAGAGTACTCCAAAGGTTGACCCTGGTAGTTTTCGAGTTGCTCATCCCGGAACTTTACCAGAGCATTGTAGAACATTCGTTCATGGGTTGGTCTGTGAGTAACGTTAGCATTCGAGAGAACTGCTTGTAAGTTGGTGATGAGTGTGACTCACTCGAGACTCATCATTCGATCAATCAAGGTATCCGGATTTACATTATGCCACAATGTCTGAAGATTTCGCAGAATATCAAAGTCGACATCTTGGCGAGAAGTTATGGGCTCTCCACAGTCCTTGATGGACAAAGGGGGGGGAGGCCCAATGTAGTGGTCAGCCATTGCATTGTGGAGCTTCTCGTACTTGGTGAGCAGCGGGTGCAGCCAAATCTCCTGCATAGTGATGCGGTCCTCTGGTCGCTTTTGCAGAATCTGCTGGATAAGGTCTGCAGCCTCATCACTCAGCTCCGGAGGGATCATATAGTCACCCTTCTTGACCAGTCGCAGCGTGTTTGCAAGGTCACCACCATCGAACGGAAGATAGCCGGTCAATAGAGCGTACAGAATGATTCCACAGCTCCACATATCAGCCCTGTCACCACGATATTTCCGTCCATAGATGATCTCAGGTGCGGCGTAATGCGGACTTCCGCAAGAGGTATTCAACCAGTGACCTGCTGGTTGGAGTGCAGCCATACCGAAATCGGCAATTTTGACGTTGTGGTTGCCGTCGAGGAGAATATTCTCGGGTTTCAAGTCACGGTGGCAGATGTTGAATCGATGGCAGTATCCTAGCCCAGCAATGATTTGACGGAACAAACGCACGGCCTCTTCTTCCGGTAGAGGTCCATTGTTGGAGACATAATCGAAAAGTTCACCACCTTCTACATACTCTAGGACAAGATACCTAATTTGTTTGTTAGCATTTTTTTCACGTGAAGACGGCTGCATCAGCTCAAAGGGGGCACGCACAGCTCTCCACGATTCTCCCAAACATCATACAAGCTGATTACATTGGGGTGTTCAATCAACTTCATGATTACCACCTCTCGCTCGATACCACAGGGCATCTGTCGAGCATTTGAAGCCCCCGTAAAGGTGCTTGCAGTTCGGTCCATTGCTGCAATACTTTCGCTTTGCACCATAGCAGCAGACTTTTTGGAGACGATTTTGATGGCGGCAGTCTGTCCTGTCAAGGCATGTTTCGCAAGTCGAACACGCCCAGTGGCGCCTTTGCCCAAGGTTCGGCCCAACTGCCACGGTCCAACATGGGTCTTTCTCTTGCCCCTGTTGGAAAGAATCGATGTAGCAGACAACACCGAGTTGCGGGCAGATTCGGACTGGAATTCTGTGGCTACGGATAACCGTTGGTTCTCTTTGTTGTCTCGAGGAGTCGAACTCGTACCGATGGACATACGGTCCGGAGTCTTCAAATGGTCCCGGTTCTCAACACGTACACGAGGTGTCTCGACCTTGGCGGCTTTGGTATGATTAATCCTGCTGGAAGCATCGGTCAATGGCTGACGCCTGCGGTGAGCGTCCAACTGATCCGACATGGCATGGTCCATTGCTATCGGTGGTGTTGTCGGATATTGGACAGCAGGCGCATCAATGTTTGGTTGTTCTTGTTTTTGGTTTTGGTTCGGTGGTCTGTTGTCTGGCTTTTGTTTTGAGGGGGTAAAACTATAAGTTATTAGGCCAGAGTTCGCGTATGAAGTCGCGCCTTCCAATACAAACAAAGACTCACAATATGAGGATAAAGATAAGGCAAACACTCGCTTGGAGTGAAGATACAAAATGCAAAATCAAGAGAGGGGAGGTAAAGAACGATACCAGAAATATCTGGTGGGGATTAATGAGTGACGATAGACTGGCTAGCACAGCATGGCAAGGCTTGGTCGACGAGAACGGGAAGCAATGCGGGAGCTGAGGACCCGATGCAATGATGATTGTCGACACGAAGGTGAGGAAGTCGCGTAGCCAGTCAGTCACAGGGCTTTCAGGGTGAGGGGACCAAAAGAGGGAGATGTGGAAGGGAGTTTGGGGAGTGGAGGGGGTGATAGTGGTGGCATGCCTCAGCACGACTGTTGTGGAATGGAGGAAGGAGGAGATGCCCGTCTGATCGAGTTGGAATGCCCGGATCACCAGTCTGTCGTCTCTACTTTTTGTTTGTAATCCGGTAATTGATTCTTCATAATCAAGTCACTATGATAATACTGTTTTACGTTTTTATTATGTTTTGTTGTGATTACTCGTGTCGAAACGAGGTGGTTTGTGAGGCTAATTGGTATAGTTGGCCGGGGTGTATAACTTCATGTTGCTTGTTTACCAACACGGGCCACCTGAAACTAATTTCGGCAGATCGGCGGTATACCCACCAGCCAAAAAGCATCATCCAGACAATTGGTACCCATAGCAATCATGTTTGAATGTTGTTTGACCTCGGGAAAGGAAACCTGAAGTATACATTCCAAAGTCGACGGTAGGGGGTTGCTGGTCGTCTTATCGCTTTGGTTTATCACTCTGTCATCTTCCAAGGGGTCAACCCACATAATTACCATCGACATTCCCTCTCCCTAGAGTCCTTGCCAAATCTAAATGTGAGGTCACCTTGATTTTCAAGCTTAGGAAAAGTCTCGGCTCATCCAAATTTAACATCCTGGGTGATATGGAGGGGTAACATGCGCCATCGGGTCGCCCGATGCCACAAACCATATACTTTCTGCACCACACCTGACAAGTTTCCATACTTGGATAACTACACATGATCATCGATTTAATATTCCATTTGACTTTGAACTCTCAAAGCTGCCATTTCGATCGCGCCTTTCTAATTGGTCATGGTTAGCATTCATCCATCCTCCTCCATTGGCTCTGTAAACTTCAAAACAGAAAGTTGACCCGGCCGCTTTCTAAGTGCAAGAAAGTAGGCTATGCAGCTGTCAATGGCTGTCAATTGCTGTCACTACTAAGACTTGACTACTGATCAATTCACCCTTGGTATGCGCCCGAGCCTGCTTTTTACTTTTCTTTGCACTTAAGCATAGGTATTGTGGCTTAGAAGTAGTACTGAGCACTTGGCTTCAAACCTGGCGATGCGCCTTACTATAACTTTTTCGTCTTTGACCAGTCAGACCTCTTCAAACCCGTCAAATCAATGAACTCGGGCCCCAAAGACCTTCGGGATCTGCGAGGCGCGCTAAAATGCACCGTAATCGCGAGCTTTCTTCTAGCGTCCGACTTTTGGCCCCCAGAAAGACCACATCCACAAATTCGGTCATCATACAAATCCCGAACACTAGCGTAGGATAGTGAAGTGGTCTATGTATTCGTAATAGTGGGTAGAGAGGTGCGGCATTATTATTGACATTGGACAGTCTAGCTGAGCTGCAGCCTAGACTAATGCACTCGATATATAATGATTTCATGCAGACGTATATAGTTCAACGGTCGCGACGGGCCAGTTTATCCTCCTCTGAATCACTCCGCATCCATATCTCTAGCCTTACAACAAGCAATATTCAACGACCCAACCATGGCCGATATCAAACCTCCTTTTACCGAAGAATCGGCCAGGAAAAAGGTCAAAGCTGCTCAGAACATGTGGAACACTCAGTAGGTTCTGATTTCATTTTCCTCACTCGCATCCCGACCTGCACACTGCCCGAAGACCATGTGGCCGAAGGAAGGGCGTCGAGGGTCTCATCCCTTGCATTTTTCTGATCTCCAATGTTTTGTCCGTGCGAGAAACCCTGCACACATGCGAGCATAACTATTCCGGGTCAACCATGCTAGGTTATGATCATCTTTCCTTCATGAAGGCCCCTCCATGCAGTCACATGGAGATGACGTAGCAGAATCTCCCGAGAACCACAGCACTCAAGCTAACCATGCAAAAGAGACCCCTCGCGAGTCGCACAAGCATACACTCCAACTTGCATCTGGCGTAACCGTACCTTTTTCTTCTCGGGCACGGACGCCATTGTCGAGTTTCTCACGGCCAAATGGAAGCGCGAGCACAACTATCGCCTGCGGAAGGAACTATTCGCTTTCCGGGACGATCGGATCGCGGTTCAATTCTGGTATGAGTATCAAGATGCGGATGATGGGATGCGATGGAAGAGGTGCTATGGTCTGGAGGACTGGACTTTTGATCGCGAGACGGGGAAGATGTGCAAGCGTATGATGAGTGGGAATGATGTACTTCTCGGGCCGGACGGGAATGGGGAGGGGCGCTGGTTTGTTGACGGGGTTGATGTTGATGAGGTCTTGATCAGCCAAGAACATTGGTGATGGTTTATTTGATTGATTAGAATGAAATTGAATTAATTGCCAGTGTCTTTGTTTAAATGTAATTGATGTTCAAAGGTGTTATTTCTATCAACACATTGTTACGGCGAGCAGTTGAGACGAGAGCCCCCCCCCCTCCCCCCTCCTTCAAGTATATATTTTGAGCTTGTCAAGTATGACCGACGCTTACCTACCTATAACTTAGGTGGCATGTTTAAGATGTGTATTTCACATGATAGCTATGATCAAGATAATTTTTGTTCTCAAATAATTGGTGAATATTGGGCTATATGGATTGAACCCAGTGGTTAAGATTGTTGCTGAAGTAATCGAGCGAGGTCAGACTTGGACGCGTTTGGTACTTGGGCGCGAAAACGCGGATGCCAGTTGCCCATCCAAACTAAATGAATGTTCTCCAGCGTAAACCATCCTTTCGCCCACCTTGGTGCAAGCTTTATTTTCTTGTGGTTCTATCTATTCAGTTGTCGCCTCTAGTGGTGGAGTATCTGAGCACAGAGTAGCCATCATACTTTGAGACCAGTCAACACCACACATTTAATAAACAAGAGAAGAAACTTACTCGGCAGGGTACTGAGTCCCTTTGATTTCCAACCGTTCCACCAGTGTTCGGATTTCTTGCACTTCTCGATCACTCAACTGAAGAAGCGCCGACGCCGCATTTTCGTCCATTCTAGCAGTCGACTTGGTACCAGGGATGGGAATAATATCCGGTCCCTGCGCTAGCAGCCATGCAAGAGCGACCTGTGCCAGAGTACTTCCATGAGAATTGGCCACGCCTTTCAAGCCTTGTACCAGGTCCAAAATCTTGGGGAAATTTTCCTCCGAATACTTGGGTAACGCGCGACGTATGTCTCCCGTAGGGATTTCCTCGTGAGATTGGAATTGGCCTGTCAAAATGCCGCGTCCAATAGGGCTGAACGCCACGATGGCCACACCCAGCTCACGGCAGGTTTTAACAAGATTCGAGAGCGAAGATTCGATATCGAGTCTGAATAAGCTATATTCCACCTGCACGGCTGTAATAGGATGGATAGCGTGCGCCCGACGCAGCGTTGCGACTGAGACCTCTGAAAGCCCTAGGTACCGAATCTTCCCTTGACTTCACGTATAGAATGTTAGTCATCGCTAGGTCAACATCAAATACAGAGAATGACAGATGTACTTCTTCAGCTCCACCATAGCCTCTATAGTTTTCTCAATAGGCGTGACACCATCCACCCGATGACAGTAGTAAAGGTCAATAGTGTTGACCCCGAGTCTCTGGATGCTCTTTTCACAAGCAGCCTTGACGTACTCAGGGTCAGATCGAAAGAAAAATTTCCCATCAGGTTTTCGCTGAAGACTAAACTTGGTAGCTAGGAAAACATCGTCACGCTTGCCCGATCGCTTGATCCATTCCCCAGCGACATCCTCGCTGTCACCGTAAATATCGGCCATGTCCCAGAACCGTAGTCCGGTGGCATGTGCGTGGTCGAGATGAGCCACTTTCTCGTCGAGGGTGCCAGCTGGTCCGTAGAAACCGGCGATGCTTCCAAAACCGAGACCAATGGTAGAGACTTGTGGGCCATCTCGGCCTAGGGTTCGCAAGGGGAGAGGCATGCTCGGTGGAGATCAAGTTGCAAACAAACGGGAGAATGAAGAGACCTGCTGCTCATTAGCGAAATCCGTGACATTTTATAAATGTTTATAAGCCTCTACATTATTTTATGGGGTTTGAATGCTGACCAGGATAGACTCTTTTTTACTCGTCAGATCTAGTCAGAAGCTATACCCGTTTGGCTTCCCGACGGCCGACCTCTGCAAGTAAAGACAAGACATCATTTAGGCTGAAAACATATCCTAGTACTAGTGATAGGAGATATTAATTGGAGGAAAGATATTGCAAGCAGCAAATCACAGTCAAGTTGTATGCGTTGGCTGAGAGGGAAGACGAGAATCTCTCTGGAGTAGAAGGTCTACATGTATTGGCAGCCTGAGAATTCAGGCCAAAAATAAATAGAACTCTGGAACTTTCTCAAATCTCTTGGCTTCGCGGGAAAAGTCAAGCGATCTTTCGAATATGCTTATTTCGTAATTTACTGGATGGCCAGACCCTGAAAATCATAGACATGGATGGATAGACCATGGAAAACGGCCGGCGATGACAAGTGAGGGGCATCGGGAGGGCATCCGGTGGAGAAGCTTATCAGTCGAGGTCCGTGTGTAATGACCGGCCACCCTCCCGTAGGCGATGCACTATGAACTAGATGTCGTGTGATGCCCACGAGCTAACGATGATCTGGGGTTGAAATCCGCTTTATGGAGACCCTTATCCGACCATTGATGTCAAATGTCAACTATGGACTGGAACCTGGGAACGGACTATCTCCGAGAGGCGACGCCAGCAATGGACGGACCTACATGATAAGCGGATGGAAGAGGATTGGGAATCATTAAGATACAGTACTGAGACTCTAGTCGGCTATTAGAGACGAGGATCGTATGCATTGACCGAGAGGAAGTGTTTGGATAATCCTAAAGTCTATAGAGGTTGAAGAGTGCATCAAGACTAAGAATCAAACTGCCAATTCAAAGGAAAAGGGTACATGTTCTCTTGAACAAAGAAGGCATTTTCAGTCTAGACTATCAGTCTACTACTAGACTACTAGCCTACTAATTGATCTATATAGACTTGACCAGATATTCATAGGTGGCAAAAGTTGCCTTATCTGTAGCAGGGCTATTATTATTATTCGCCCCCTCCGTTATCTCCTTAACTCTCAGCTCCACCGGCCAGATTCCCCCGCACTTTCACTCAATTGATAATTTCGTGTTCCCGGCTTCAACGGCATCACACCCGGCATTTACAATCAATCGCAATCATGGCGGGCAGCGGTCCGCGAGTCGCTAAACGATCTTTGAATGCGTATGTACTATCTTGAACGTTACAGGGGACCTTAAGAAATGGCTGAGATTGCTAATATGGCTTCGATCTGCCCATAGCTGCACTCGATGTCGCAGGCAAAAGATCAAGTGTTCTGGATCGCAGCCTTGCGATGGCTGTAATAAGCGCAAGCTTACTTGTATCTTTGATGATCGTGATCAGAAGATTCTAGTCACCAGAGGGTATGTATCCGATGATCTAGTTCATAACTCCCTCGAAGGCAAAATGGCTAACCCCTGTATAGGTATATCGATGAGTTGCTGCAGAAAATTGCCACTTTCCAACAAAGCGACCGAGTGAATCCTAGTCCTTTAAGCCCTGAATATGCAGAGGAAAGATCGCCTGGTTGGTCCCAATTGCCTATCCCACTCCTTGCTCGCCTGGCTAATGCTCAGGGTGCGTCGCAGATCTCAAAGACCAAAATGATATATCAGATATTGCCAAGTCTACACCCAACGACAAGGAAGACATCCATCAAGAGCTAGAGGATCCTGCATCAGGACTGACGAACCCTCTTTCCACTGGACCTCCCGCATTCATGTCGGCAGAGAATGGAAGAACGTGTACGTGGTCAACCCGCCGTATAGTCATCTGGGCTATTCTAACACCTCTGGCTAGTCTACCTAGGAACGTCATCAAACTGGTCCTTCACCCGCCGAGTCCTGAGTCTAACGCACGAGCACATCTACCAAGAAGCTCTTCCAACGGGAGCCTTGCTCTTCGATGGCACGACCTATGACCTTGGCTGGGATGGCCTGCGCAGACCACAGGATCCAGAAAGCCCCGCCGTCCCCACATTCGACCATGCACTCTACCTTATCAACGTTGTCAAGTTCCGCTGCGGGCAGCTTTACCACCTTTATGATGAAAACGAATTCATGAGGAATTTGCACGAGTTTTACTCGGGCCCCCAGCCGAATGCGACGGCGGGACTGTGGTATATTCACTTCCTTTTGATCTTAGCATTCGGCAAAGGCTTTGTTCAGCATAAATTGCAGGGCAATAAGCCAGCGGGTGCGGAATACTTCGTGAAGGCACTCCAGTTACTTCCGGACGTCAGTGTTCTTCATCAAGAGCCTATCGAGTCTACGGAGATCATGTGCTGCGTGGCTCTGTACCTGCAAGCCTTGGACTACCGCTGTTCTGCACACAATTATGTAGGTCCTTTCTTCCTATTTTACCTTACAGCCGGGTAGCTTGCTAACCCTCACTGCTATAGATTGGACAAGCCATGCGAATGGCAATGGCTGAAGGCCTTCACACTCAAATGCCGATCGAATACCTCGGAGAAACCTTTGTACAGAGGTGCCGCAAGATCTGGTGGACGGTATACATCATGGATCGTGAGATGACTTCACTCATGGGGCTGCCTCAGTCTCTGAATGATGACCACGTCAATGCCCTTCTCCCTACATTCCCAGGTGCCGGCCAGAAGACCGCTGGAATTGGGATGCAAATTAAAATGTCCCGAATCATTGCGGAGATCAACAGTAGTAAGTTCTGAAAATGGAGTAGGCTATGTAGTGATTCAACTAACTGTCTCTCATAGCTGTCTATGCAATTGATGGACGATTGAACCGAAACTTCTTGCTTCGGACCAAGACAGCCTTGGCCAGCGTTGCCCGTCTAGCCGATGAACTGCAAGAGAGTTTCCCATTACAGGCGGACCAATCGACGAATGGCGTTTCCAGAACATCCGCATACCTTCACCTTCTCTATCACCAGTGCATCGTGCTTGCAACCCGACCACTTCTCTTTTTTTTTTTGAAGATCCGCTTTGAATCACCACAACATTGCACAGATGCGTTGGACACTTCCCGGAACGTCCGAAACTTGATCCAAATGTGCATGGAGTCTTCTCAACAAATCATTAGTATTCTTCATAGCCTCCAAACAGAAGGCCTCCTCGGTAAATTATCTACCCCTTACCATTGACCTAGGATCGTCATTAATTTATTCCTTCCTAGAAACATTCCTCTCCTTCGACCTCGACTCCATCTTCGTCTCAACAGTAGTCCTCCTCATCGGATCCGCCATCGACATCCGCTGGAACTACCCACTATGGGTCGAAAAGGCATACACAATCTTCGAAGAAATCATCGAAAATGGAAACCTAATAGCCAAGTTTCGACGCTCCGAGTTACAGCTTCTAGATGAACTACTTAGCTGTTACCCTCACGATCAACCCAGGCGCCTTTCAGCACCGGTATCCTTCCCGAACAATGTCCTCAACCAATCACATGGGAGCTTGGCAAGCTCTTTTTCACCGTCTACGCATGTTATCAACCATGATTTAATGTCCGAGTCTAATGTTGGGATGGAAGATGATCCTATTTTTACTAGTGGGTGGACGGCGGCGCAGATTATGGCTGTGGCGGATTCTATAGAAGGTATTGATACGGAGTGGATGTCTAACGCGATGATTGAACATAGTATTTGGTAAATGAGTTTTACGCTGATGAATGAATGATAAATGCTTGAATTGAAAATACGTCAAGTTTCCTGATAACTCCGCAACCTGTATGTATGCTAATATTCGTAATATGTTGCCCACAGCCAGGAGCCACCTCACTGCCTCTCAGCCTGCGCAAAAAAAGAGGTTCCATAAAAAAAATACCTGCAATGCAAAAGAAATAGGGATCGCACACTCTCACATACGTGAAGGCACCCTTAATACTCTAAACGCTTCAAAAGAAATTCGGCCATCCATCATCCTTGCACGCCTGACAAGGACCCGCCACCTTACAATTCTGGGGATCGAAGTATTTCACATACTTATGCCAAATCGCCGAGTAAGGCTTGAAACGGGTCTCTTCTATGATTACGCAAGGCTGTTGATTATGCCGCTGGATGGCCTGTGGACATTTCCGGAGACCGGCGATGAAGACGTGGCCGCAGCCAAATTTGCTAGAATGGTCCAAGACTGCTAGGAGACACATCTGGAGACGCGTTAGCTTTGATGTTGTCTTAGGTAGTTGGTGGCTTACCTTGAGGTATGAAGATGGTTAGATGTATCAAAAATTGCTGTAGTGTCAGCTTCCTTTTCAGTATTGTGGAGGGGTTCAAGGGGACTTCTTGGGTGGTGGGGAGTTGCTGATTGTTGTAGAGAATTTCTTTTGATGTTATTCTAGGGAATTTAATCCTACTTTATATTGGAGAGAGGAGATCTTTACGGGTTAGTTTGCACGCGGACTACAAAGGAAACTATAAAGGAAACTATGCTATGTTTGCCGCCAGATTAAGGGTACTAGACAAAGAACTCGAGGACATAAGCCCGAACTTGCAGAAATAATTAACAAAGCTATGGGATGACAGTTCATACGATCCTATTATTCAATGAAAGAATGTGGTTAATTTCCATGGCTCATATAGTCTGTATTCTTTGTCTCGAAAAAGCGCTGACATGATTCTTTGATTGAAAGTGTTATGTAAGTAACAATGCAGCAGACAAACTAAAAGTGATCTATCTTTAGGTCATCGTGCCCTCGGCAAGAAGTTCCGAGAATGCTATTCAACAGTATGATGGAATTACCATCGATCGGGATCTATTTACAGCTTCGAGGCCTTTGGAGGCAGGATGGCAGAGAATTCCTTGGATTCACCAAGACGCCAGCTCACGGCACCTCCCCAATCCTTTCCGGCATTAGGATCGGGTTGCTTCCACCGCCAGCGTGCCAGAGCCTGCTTATTATCCGGTGCTTCTAGGAGATCCGTAACCCAGGAACCAGCGATGGGGAACATCTTGAACAGGTGGCCCGAGTCACCGGACAAAAGCATGAGCGAGGACTCCAGATTCGGCACGTAGTCAATAATGAAATCCGAGTCGTTTGTATCGGCGAACCAGCAAAGAGACTTCTTAACCAGGGGACGGTCGGCCAGGGATGGAAGGGTTTGAGCCAACAGTTTCCTCATCTGCTTCTCGTCCTCCTCCGGGACGAAGGCACTCTCTTTCAAAGACTCTGGTGAAAGTGAAACGCCCGTCCTGGGATCAGTATTGATATATCCACCACCCATCGGGCACAGCTTCAGCAAGTTGGTCTTCGGGTCCGGTTCAAAGAAGAATCCCAGATCACGGGCGTAAGTCACGGGAATTCCACGGAGACCCGAGGTCTCGTCGTCGGTCAGTTGGACGTGAGCAACAGACCATGACTTGGCGACAACTTGCTGTCCAATCTGGGGAACCAGACGACCGGCATTGGCGCCGGCTGCAACAATGACCAAAGCCGAGGAGTGGAATCGGCCATTCTTTGTTCGGATTCCAGCACACTTGCGTCCATTGACGGTGCTGACGTAGACGATTTCGTCCACAGCACCTTGCTCGCCAAGGAAGAATCGTACTCCGGCAGCCTGTGCGGCGCGATAAATCCCAGCCAAGGCGTTACCGGAATGGGCATACCCATCGAAGCGATTGAAGTAACCCTTCCAGCCTGGAAGAGGCCCATCCAGCTGCCAGCAAGTCTGACGGATATCTGATTCCCCATCTAGAGCCGAGACATGGGGTTTGATCTGGCTATTGCGTTCGGCCGAAGCGCGGAATCTGTTCAGGGTATCGATCGCTTCCTTGGGCGCATCGCCAGACACGCAGTGGAGGAATCCGGTTTGGTGGAAATGAGGGGCGAACAATGGAGTCTTCCATGCGGCAATTGCTTTCTAAATAGTGCCGATATTAATTAGAATATTTTCCCGATTCGATGTCGCCATCATGTATACATACAATCGTCAAGTCGGTGTAGAAAGGATCCTCGTACTCAGCGCGCACGATCTTATTCAAATCATTGGCTGCAGAGTAGCGCGGGGGAATATGATCATCTTTCTCGAATACAGAGACATTCGTGTACCCTTTCTGCGCGAGATGGAAGGCCGTGGAGAGGCCAAAAGCACCACCTCCCACGATAAGAATAGCGTCCGACTTGGAGACGCCCATGGTCACTTATCCCGAAATTGAAATATTTCCTGTCGGTGTGCGTGGTCTCTGCAGTGCCCCGTTGCCGCCCGATGATATTTATGACTTACGATAAGTACTATATACCCCGCAGTCGCGCATCTTCTTTCCAAGGACCGGCATCTTTTGCGACGACAGGAATAGCTGCTGTGGGCCCATCGTTATCAGTCGGGATGAGCTGCCGAGTGGGCTGGAGGCGTGAGGAGAAGAGGAGAAAGAAGCGCCCGCCAAATCGCGGGGGGCGACAGTCTCCACTTACACTCGGGCGCCGTGCCGATGATTGTCGACTGCGAGGGGCAACTCGATTGTTTCACGGAGTCTTTGTTGGTGTCACTTTGTTACCTTTTCAAACATTGAGTCTAGTGCAAGAAAGGATTCTGCATTTGTTGTCATCTGATCACAATGGCAGCAGCGAAAATGGAAACTCTATGCCTACTGGGATGTGGTAAGTGAATTGCGAAGCTGCGAGCATGCTCGAGTCTAATCGGTTGAATATAGGAAACCTGGGATCAGCGATCTTGAACAGTCTGCTCAGTACGGTAGATAGCGATCCATTGTTCAGTCGATTCATCGCTTGTGTCCGTAGCGAAGCCTCGGAGAAGAAGCTCGCAGAGAAATATCCCCAACACGGGAATCGACTCTCCATCTCTCGAGGCAACAATGTTCAGGCTGTCCGCGAGTCCGACGTGATCATCCTAGGCGTGGACCCGGCCGATATTGAGAATGTTCTGAAGCAGCCAGGCCTGCCGGAGGTGTTGGAGGGCAAACTCTTGATCAGCATCGCAGCTGGCTGGACCAGGCAAAAGCTCGAAGAAAGCATCTACGGAAGCGAAACTACCAATGACAACAAGGCTAGCCGGGCATGGGTCATACGCACTCTCCCCAATATCGCGGCGCAGGTCTCGCAATCCCTCACGGCGATTGAGGTCTCCGAACCCTCTCCGCCAGAGTCGTACTTGAACATCACAACGGCGATTTTCGAGCGCATCGGGCGCGCCGTGCAGATCGAGCCGAGACTCATGAATGCGACAACTGCGGTGGGAGGGTCTACGCCAGCGTTTTTCGCAGTTATCTGCGATGCGCTGATCGACGCGGCCGTAGCGGTGGGCGTGCCGCGGAATCTGGCTCATACGATGATCTTCCAGTCCATGCAAGGTACAGCCACGATGCTCCAGAGTGGAATGCACCCGGCTATACTCAGGGATCAAGGCACATCTCCAGAGGGATGTACTATTGGTGGACTAATGGTGATGGAGGAGGCAGGCGTTCGGGGTCATATTGGACGTGCTCTTCGCGAAGCAGTTACGCTGGCTCGTCTTATGGAGACCACGGAGCATGTGAATGACACACGGCATTAAGTTCATAGATTGCATACAATTTAGTACAGAAATGAACGAAGTGAATACCATCTATATTGTCAATATTATTTCTCCAATACTTGCTCCATGATCTCTCTAGTATCTCAACTATAATCTCTTTCTTTGTAACAGTTCAAGTTCCTACATCTAATTTCCCATGAAACATCGACCTCAACTCCATATTGGCCAAACACCCAAATCCAAAAGCGGGAATAATCCGAATACACCTGAACACCGTAGTCGAGCCCAAATATCGCTGAGACTGCACGATCCGATCTGAAAGTGGCACATGATGCTGCCGTATATACAAGTCAAGTGCGAACAAATGTAGCGGCGTCGCAACCAACTGAGTCAACACCGGCACGGTCAACTGCGTAATAACCGGCTTCGCATGTGGATGACTGGTCAAGTCATCCGGTATCACATCTGCGAGTCTGGGAGCTAGCGTGAAAGAACCAAAGATCGTAATACTATCGCGAGCGAGGAACATGGCCGTCGCAGCCCTTGCAATGCCTTTGTTCTGCACGACTGACTTTCGCACCGTCTCGACATTATCGGGACCTTTTTGTGTTCCAAAGATCTTGGCAAATCGAATATCCTTCCATACACCCAACGGTACATTGACGATAGTTGTTGAGAGGAATGTGATCATCCCCGTCGCTGGAGCTTTCAGCTCTGTGCCGATCGTGTCGGTTCCATTTGCAACCGCGTAGGTGGCAGCGTACAAGGTCCAGATAAGACCAAAAGGCACTTGGAAGACAAACCGCGCGGGGTTTCTTAGGGCAGCAAGTGTATGATTTCGGAGGCCACGAATGATGGGTTGATTGAATGAGGACTTTTCAACGAGAGCTCTCGTGGATTATTAGCTTTAGAGGTTGGGAATGTCGTGAACAGATGCTTACCTGTCAATGACTGTAATTATGGGTGTTATGAGTGTCGCTGATACTGCTGCTGCACCTAAATCTCCAGCTAATCGTCTAGGAAGCGAAGTATGCCAACGATGTTGGCGCTCGGCGGGACTTTGCTGCATGGTAGGAGGAGTTGGTGATGGGTTGGCCATCTTTGCATAGATGATTTGGTGATAGTGTTCGAATCCACGAATTTTAGCACCAGCCCGTTGACATGTCCTGCCCACAAGACCAACACATATTCTTTTTTTTACCGCCGACTAATGTTCGTCTGGGTTTCTTTCCTCGTTTGGTCTCGTGCGAGTCGCTGATAAGTGCCGACAGACTGCGGGGCGCGACCATCGGGAGGCCTTCCGATGGTCAGATCTGCATCCTTTTGCCATACTCTTTTCGACTTTCTACGCTTGGGACAGCTTTATCGCTGGCTCCACAGGGCCAGCGCGTCATACCTCAGAGCTCCAACAAAAAAGAAGTACAGCGGGGTATCGGTCGGTAGACATCGGTCATGGATCCGATGCCTCTACACTGGCCGGCCTTGATAAAGCTGGCACTGTCGTCAACAAATTTCAATCTGTACACACTTCAGACGTTACACAGTTTGAGTTACAGTTCAGAGTGTCGCCATGTCTACCACATCTCTCCTGAACCTGCGCTCAGCGCGGACCTTTGCGCCTCGTCTGCGAACTCTGCCTGCTCGGCCTTTGATTCAGCTTCGAGGCAAGGCGACGGCACCTTTCCGCCTCCCCGATCCCCGCAATGAACCAAACGTGAGAGAAGAAATCCCGAACAACAGAGTTGAAATCTGGCCTAACATTGATACCTTCTAGCCGCTATACAAGAGAGGCTCCGAGGAGCGCATCAAGCTAGAGGAAGCCCTCACCAAGCTTCGAGCCCAATTGCCCGTTCGCAGCGACATCTACTACGATGGCAAGATCCAACAGAGTCTCAAGTCTTGGGACCAACCACTTCCCGCTGAACACGCAACTACTTTCACCAACTACCCCCTCGCCACAAAGGAACAGACCACGGCTGCTATCAATGCCGCGCTAAAGGCCAAGAAGGAGTGGGAGGAGACGCCGTTCGTTGACCGAGCTGCCATCTTCCTCAAGGCCGCTGAGCTGGTTACCACCAAGTACCGCTACGACTTGGTCGCGGCTACAATGCTTGGACAGGGCAAGAACATCTGGCAGGGAGAGATTGATGCTGCGGCTGAGCTGGCGGACTTTTTCCGTCTCAACTGCAACTATGCTGCAGAGATCTTGGAGAGACAGCCTACTCGTGGCAGTGACGGCATGTGGAGGTGAGTAACAGATAAGCTGCCATTAACTGGGGATTCCCAGAAATTGAGGACAGCCGCTAATCATATTCTCTATAGTCGGCTGGATTACCGACCCCTGGAGGGCTTCGTCTACGCCGTTTCACCTTTCAACTTCACTGCCATCGGTGGTAACTTGATCGCCGGTCCCGCGTTGATGGGTAACGTCGTGCTCTGGAAGCCATCGCCCTCCAACGTTTACGCCAGCAACTTGGTCTACAACATCCTCCTGGAGGCTGGTCTGCCTCCCAACGTGATCCAATTCGTCACCGGTGACCCCGAGACCATCACCGAGGCTGCTCTGGAGCACCACGACTTTGCCGGTCTGAACTTCATCGGATCCTCTGACGTCTTCCGCTCTCTCTACGGCAAGATTGCCACCGGTGTCGCCAACAAGGCTTACCGCGAGTTCCCTCGCGTGGTTGCCGAGACCAGCGGCAAGAACTTCCACCTCGTCCACCCTAGCGCCGACATCTCCAGCGCTGTCAACCACACTATCCGCGGCTCCTTCGAGTACCAGGGCCAGAAGTGCTCTGCTACCTCGCGTCTGTATCTCCCCGAGTCCAAGGCTGAGGAGTTCTTCACGCAATTGAAGGCCGGTGTGAAGGATATCACCATCGGAAACCCCGACAAGGACCTGGAGGCTTTCATGGGCCCCGTCATCCACCGCAAGTCTTTCGACAAGATCAAGTCTATCATCGACAAGAGCAACAAGGACCCCTCCATCAAGCTCGTCGCTGGTGGTACCTACGACGACTCGGTTGGCTTCTACGTCCACCCAACCGTCTACCAGGTCGACTCGGCCGACCACCAACTCTTCAACGAGGAGATCTTCGGCCCCGTCCTGGCAGTTTACGTCTACCCCGACGCCGAGTGGTCCTCGACCCTGAAGAAGGTTGACGAGAACGGTGGTGGCTTCGCCCTCACCGGTGCCGTCTTCGCCTCAGACCGCAGGGCTATTCGTGAAGCTGAGGATGCCCTCCGCTACTCTGCCGGTAACTTCTATATCAGTAAGTTTTGTCTTCAATATACCCAGTTCCCTGACGCATTGACTAATATCTCCTCTCCAGACTGCAAGACCACCGCTGCCCTGATCGGCCAGCAATCCTTCGGCGGTGCCCGCGCCAGTGGTACCAACGACAAGGCCGGTAGCTCGGACGTTCTCCGTCGCTTCACTAGCCCCCGTTTGATTAAGGAGGAGTTCTTCCCCCAGACTGGATACAAGTATCCCAGTAACCATTAGATTGATTGCATTATAGCGGTATTTTGTTTGATTTTTACTGTATGATTGAAGTTTTAACTAGACCGAATATATGCTTCAAAAGCTCTTTTGCTTAAATATTTACTGTCTTCTTGAGATTAATTAAGTTGCCATAAAGACCCTGGATGTAGATTGACTCTCATGGAGTTGAAACCAGGAGCATGAGAAGAGCCTATAGTTATTCGACAGCACAGATCGAATTTCATTCTAAAAGATGATCTTGTTAGAACTCTTTCGGCAGTGTCCGACGTTTCTCAAATTTGGAAACCTTGTACATAATGCATAGACAATACTTTCAAAAGAGGGGTAAAATTGATCTAGACTTGCAGGTAGATCAGAGAGTAACACCTTCCTATCGCTTATCAAAATTTACGACTATCAACCCCGCGTTTTCTCAACCCTATTTGGGTGGCCAAATCCCCCGATTACCAAATGCGGCTATCGAACCCTGTTTCCCGCAGCCGCCACTCGGCAGGGCTCCCGTAGAGTAATCTTGAACGATAACTCTAAATCTTGTATGCGACTAGTTTCGATTAGGAGACCGATCAGCGCTGGTTACTTGTTACTAAATCATCACAAATACAGTCTCGCATGAGAAGCTCACTTCGTTGCGGGAAAAAAAAAAAAAAACAAGGGTATTTCAAAGATAGTTAATTCATTTCATGATATTGTCATCTATTCTTCATTTCTGCGTAGCAAAAGAGAATCCACCCTTCAACCTACGCTTAAACTCTGCCTTAAGGGCATTATACTCATCACTCGTGCGCAAGACTGCATCGCGATTCTCAATAGCCCTTCGCAACAGATACGCCAGACACTCTCCCATTCCACCCCAGGTAGAGCACTTGTACACCTCCGGGGTTCCATCGCTGCCCTTCAGGGCGAGAAGGGAGAAGCTCACTTCATCGGACATTCCGTGTAGCTGGGCAAAGCCGACAGGGATGGTGGGAAGGCTGGCTTGAGTGCGTTGCTTGTGGAGATTGTGGGCTGCCATGACGCTCTCGCGGTTGTGACTGGCCAGGAAGAGGTTGACAGAGGGGAAGGGGGTGGTCGTTCCGAAGTCGCCGATGGTTCGCTTCAAAGCGCCCTGGGCAATGGTGTTGTATGCGTTATCGGTGTCGGTCTTGGTATCGTGGATAAGGGCTCGCTCGTCAGAGGCCATGTATGCGCCACGCACAAGCTTAAGGCCCAGGGTAAATCCATCTTGTTGGGCAGCGGCAAGGTGCTTGGCCAGTGTGTTGGATGTGCTCTTCAAGTAGGCTTGGTAGGTGTTGTAGACGACGGCGTATCCGTCACGGTTGTACTTGCGCATGAGGTCGAGGGTCAATCGGAGGATACCCCATTGGAAGTGCTGGGACTCTGCGTCGACGAGGATTCGCACGTTGCGCTCTTTGCATCTCCGGCAGACTTCATCCATGGCGTTGATCATTTGTGTTGGGGGGAGGTCACCCTTGGAAAAGGCCTCGGTGACCGTAGGACCAGCCCCGGTCAGTCTATAAATTGGATTATGTTAGTGACTGTCAACCAGGAAGAGAATGAGAATTAGATCCGAGTTGAAAAACTTACTTGACAGCAAGGTAATCTCCATCTTCAAGCTGTTCCACCGTTTCCAAAGTTCCCTTTCTCCATGCTTCAATATTGGCACAGTGGACCAGACGAGGATCCACCTGTTCTCCATTCTTCTCGGCCTCCAAAGCGGCAACGCCCAGTCCATGTTGAGTATTGGTACGATGATCAAAGACGGTCTCTTTGGCGTATGTCATAATCACACCGCGGAACCCCATATCCTTCAACTCTTTAATAGTGGCTTTGGTCTCGGCGGCATTCTCGCCCGCGCAGAATTGTTCGTAAAAGGTCTTTTTCAAGATACCGTGGAGTATAGGGTTGCGGTCCACATTAAGCAAGAACCCTCGGTTCGGCTTGGAGAGGATAGACATGACCCATAGAGAGGGGTATAGTAGCCATGCCTTTGAAGAGATAGTCGACACCAGGAGAGACCGGAGAAGGACACGGGTAGGCAGAGCAGACAAAGGAGGAAGAGATGGAGCTGCTGGTGCGGTCTGTTTTTGGGTAATCTCCAGCGTAGATGTAAACCTCCGTTGCTTCAGCGTCAACCCTGTCGACCTTTGAGCAGGGAGTGTACTCAATCTCGCAACGAGGATCTCTCCCACGCGAGGGTTCGGCTTTCCAGTAAACGAAAGAGCCATAGTGTGTGCCAGGTAGTCGGCGGATTCAGCGTCTTGAGAGTCTGACTCTGGATATGACCGTCCTTCCTGGTCCAGATGAACCTGTTTATTTATCGATACGACCCCGCCTATCCATCTTCCCCGCGGTATCATCTGGAGCTCGTTATCTGGAGGGACATCCTCGGGGAGCTGCCCGACAGGCTGGCTGGGTAAGCCAGACGAGACCGCGAGGGGTTCGAGTTCCAAGAATGAAGGTGGTGTACCATGGTGCGCGTGTGCCTACCCGAGCCTCCCGTGTAATCATGCCCGATCAGCTGGTCGGATGAGATAAGAAGTTGTTTGCTAATGGAGAGGAAACATGGCCGGGAGGGTGGCCGTACGTGGGGCATCCCGCCAGTGGTTGGGAGGATTCGGCCATGCTACCGATGGAGGGGTTGATAATAGCTAGGTATCACGAGGACAGGTGATAGTAGCAACTGTGGGATTTTTGACCTTAAAGAGGAAGATAGTATGGCGGGTTCCAGGCAAATCAAGCAGGTTGCATGGGATCGTGCATAGTCGTTGGCTGTCCACCGCGGCACCGCAGCGGTGAGGTGACTTCGGTCAGGATAGTCTTCCGGTGAGATTGTAGATCGAATTTCTTGAATCCTTGTGTTCCTTCATGGTATATAGGTGCTCTGGGTGAGATTGGAGTTTCCATGATCTCCAAGACTTCGAGAGATTCCCGTGAAGTCAGGATGTCGGGTATACAGTCGGGAATATACTTCCGTTGGATCCCCGACAGCCTGAATCCCAAGGCCGCAACTATGCCCACCTGCCCAAAACTGAAGTTTCCAAAAAGGGATAAGTGCCACCCACAGATCACATGATTCTAACCGGACACCGAGATCCCGTTCCTTCCAGGTATCCAGGCATCCAGGCACCCACGGCCTTATCATCGGCCCCGCCACTAAAAAAGTACCAAACCCTAAGCCACTTAGTGTACTTAGTCATGGCCAAATCAGTCAGCGAGATCTCGGCGGTCTATTTTGCTAATCCATGCGGTTCGGTATCTTTCTGCTTCGGATCACCTCATGGATAAGGCCCAGTTGATGGTTCCCATCGTCCCACTCCCATTCGTCATATGGGCGATCCCGATGGGCCGATATGTGTAATCCCCTTAAACGTGTGCCGCTAATCTGGCCGGAATATTAAAGCCGCTGTTTTGCCCCCGTTCTTCTTTTCTTATCTCCAATCTATAATTTCTTTCTTCTTCAACAAACTTCCCTCTCTTTCCTCCTCCACATTCCCCAACCCAATAATCGCAACCATGTCTCTCAAGGCCGGTGACAGCTTCCCCCAGGACGTGACCTTCTCGTATGTATTCAATTTCTCAATTTCCCCCTCAAATTCCGCCATCATCCTATTCCTACACTTCCACCTCAAAAACCCCCGCCACCCCCGCCCACCCCCCTCCTTCAATCAACATCAAATTCCGTACTAACACCACCTTTGTTCAATAGCTACATCCCCTGGGCTGAGGAGTCCAGCGAGATCACCTCCTGCGGTATCCCCATCAAATACTTCGCCTCCAAGGAGTGGGCTGACAAGAAGGTTATCTTCTTCGCTCTTCCCGGTTCGTCACCGCTTCTCCCCCCAAATTTTTTCCCACCTTCCACCAAGGTTCCTCCGCTGACCGCTACAATCTCTACAGGTGCCTTCACCCCCGTTTGCTCTGCCAACCACGTCCCCGAGTACATCCAGAAGCTCCCCGAGCTCCGCGCCAAGGGTGTCGATGTCGTCGCCGTCCTGGCCTACAACGATGCCTACGTCATGAGCGCCTGGGGCAAGGCCAACGGTGTTACCGGTGATGACATTGTATGTTTTTCACTATTGTCTTCCCCGTCATTACTTAACTCGCCCCGTCAACTGACTAACATTCTCCTCCTTACAGCTCTTCCTCTCCGACCCCGAGGCCAAGTTCTCCAAGAGCATCGGCTGGGCCGACGAGGAGGGCCGTACCTACCGCTACGCCGTCGTCCTCGACCACGGTAAGGTCACCTACGCCGCCAAGGAGTCTGCCAAGAACGTCCTGGAGGTTACCTCCGCCGACCACGTTTACAAGCAGCTGTAAGCGTGATCGCGTTATCGCATTCCAACAAATATAGATATGGGTTTTAGACTGGCGCATTTGATTACAGGGTATTGATTGTAGGTGGAACTTGTTTCCGCCCCTGGCTGCGATGTGCAGGTCTTTGATATCATTACCCACGTGCTTTTTTGCTCTTGTCGACCATAGAGAAATACTCATTCTAATGAAGCTATGACAATACTTGTTTCCTCGGTAGTAATGGGTCATAGATTTAGTCATTCACTTTGTAGAATAGAAATGTAGAAGTAAATAATGAAGTGGTTAGTTTAGTGTCAGGAACCTCTTCCCTATGATTGGTGCCCCCGCCATCGTCCGTCCACGCGGAGGCCAGTGCTCATCGCACTAACTTTTCCATACACTAACTACTTGCCTGGTTTGATCCGATGTGGACTTCGGCACACAGTGGGGGATCGGCAAATTCGGGGCGAAGACAAGCCGGTTCTTTGAATCAAATACATCAGTCTAGAAGTTTGACGGTATTGGTTCAATTCTTACCTCGGTCTTCAATACTCGTAGTGTCGAGATTGAGGATGGAAATGCTAATACAGGCAAGGGATGTCTACAATTCCAAGATGCATAAGCAAGATCAATATCACTGGTGGTGAATGTGTACATGAATGTTCAATGGTATAGAGCATGATAAAATACATAGACACAGACCAAAAACAAGGTGGATATCATCGGGAAACCAAAGAAATCAACAAAAAAGAGAACCCCAACACCATATCCCCACTGCCAGTTCAAACCTCAATCATTACAAAATCATTTCCCTCTGTCCTTAGGCGTAGCAATTGCAACCGTCCGGTTCTTCTTTCGACCATCCTTCGTCGGTAGACCCTGACTCAGTCCACCGCCCATACCCCGCGCAAGGGAGGCAAACGGTGACGATGTCTGCCACAGATCCAATTCATCTTGAAGCTGACCAACTCCCGTCTTCGAGGTAGGAGTGTTGCGGCCGCTCGAGTCTGGGCCCGAAGGTGGTTCAGACTGACGGCGACGATGTCGTTTCTCATGAGACACGTTCCGGTGGGGGAGACCGGTGGTTTCTGGCTTGGTGCGCGGTGACATGGGAGACTCCCATACTGGCGGCATGGGCACTTCTGCTGTGACATACTCGGAGCAGTTGCAGCCACAGCCGGTAGGGCATGTCGGCAAAACACCGGTGTCCTCGGGTGGATTAATCGGACTATCGAATCCATCGCTTGTTCGAAGGAACCAGTGACGTTGGCAGGAGAAGCAGCTCACATGGCCGCAGCCGAGACACGGTACCAGCATTCCGTCGACAACTTCGCCGCAGATTACGCAGGGCAATCGGGTAGGGAGAGGTTGGCGGGGTTTGCAGTTAGAGCAGCGAGACGTTGCAGTCTGTCCCCGGCGGGAGCGCTTAGACGGGGTGTCTGGGGTTACCAGTGGAGCAAAGATGGATGTCTGCTGAGCATGGCCGCAACTGGCACAGTGGCGCTGGAAATCAAGACCATCAAAGCCTGAGGGGGCAGCGTTTGGTGTTACCTCAGGGAGGGTTGATGCTGTCTTGGAACTGCGGTTACTCCAGTACTGGCTGGTATGCATATCATCATCCGCATTGTCAGCCACAGCCCCGATCTTCAGGACTTCACTCTGCTGGACAGGAAGTCCCCAGATGGACAGCAATTCGGCGTACGCAGCGCGGTACGACCGGTATAGCCATTCCTTATCGCGGTCAAGTAGAGATTCGGGTGCGGCATCTTCGCTATCAAACGCGCTTTGATTCTTCAGAGTGACCTTGAATCGAGCTGCCGGTTTACTTGGCTGAGGACGGTCACTTTCGGTATCGGATGGGGCCTAATCAAGTCAGAAACCTGCTGCAGTAAAAATAAATAATGCTATACATACCACCGGCACAGTTGCCGCGCCCGGGCTTTGACCCGGGCTTGGCTTCTTTTTCATTAGATGGCTCGCGGGCGGCGAAGCCGATGAAGGCCCAAAGGTGAAGGAACGTGATAATGACGAAGCAAGCACGGATCCAAATCCAGACCCACTTCGAGGTTGTGATTGTTGATCTGGCGATGCTGCTATCGAGACATTATGGCTGAGAGCCTTGCGGTCGGCAGCAATACCCCGTGGGCGGGAAGAACTCAAGGGAGGCGTAGTACCAGTAGAGTAAGGAGGAGTGGATTCGAAGCGCCAGATCTCACTCGACGAGCGGGCCGATGTGTGAGGAGGCAAAGGTTGAGGCTCTCGCGGGAGAGACGAAGCAGGAGTAGCAGCTTGCGATTTGCTGTTCTGCACGGTTGACGCAACCGATGAGAACTCTAGGGAGAACGCCCGTTCTTCAAGACGAGGCTCCGATAGTTTGTCTGACCGGCCCTCGTGGTTCGCCTCCAGCAAGACACAGGAAAGCATTGCCACCATCTGCACATCGCCAATACGCTCGAAATGGTCAAACAGAGCAGGGACAAGCCAGTGGCTCCCCATAGGATGGTCTCCCCACCGAATCACACTGCTCGCGAGATCTTTGTAGAGCCCATCCTTCACAGTAGCTTGGGTAGGGGTCATGCTGCCGATACTCTGTACGATTTTTTTCATTCCCATCCTTGATTCCAGGGTAGAGGCCGGTTTCCTTCGAACATGAAGAATCAATTTGATGAGACCCCAGATTTGAGCCAACTCGTAGCAGCCCGCGTCTAGAGCGACGGCAGCATTGTGAGCGCACACATCTGTTCCTTTGCCGCAGATACGATATTTGCTAGCAAGCTCCCGCTTGACTGGCAACATGTGGCTCAAATCATGGATAGACACAATGTTGCGGGGCGCCTCGGGCAGTTTTGCCGTCGCGGCTCCAGCAGTAGATCTTTGAGAGTTGTCCGTCGACCGTGGTCTGTAAATGCCGATACTACCGGCACTGCGCCAGGTCTGAGGTGCTTGGAAGCGGGCTGGCAACCCAGAGAGAATATCAGATGAACCAGATGAGCTCGATGTTTCAGAGTATGAGTCGTCGGAGTAATCAGATGCGCCGTCATCGGTGCTTGTGATTGTACCGGTCATGCGCGGGCCCGGGGAGCTTGTCTGCAGGCGGCCGAAGCCTTCAAAGACCTTGTCTGTCCGGGACAATCGACTCATCTCTTTGAATCCAATATTATCGAACAGCTCCGTCGACTTGTCCTTTTTCGGCGGGAAGAAGCAGATCAGACGGCCATCGTTTGCCCACAACGCACCGCAGCCCTTGGCAACCGGCACCATCACATTGGCATTGACCGGTCGAAGTAGTTCTGAGCTCATTCCCAGTTCTTGGCTTTGCGTCATGCCTACTTCGTCTTCATCACTGGACTCGCCCTCCAATTCACCATTGATAGGCGATTTAACATTATCGCCGGTCTCACCCAGAATCCACGCGATGCTCTCCTCCAGACTACTCTCTCCCAAAAGATAGCGCACCGCGCCTTCCAAACAACCTCGCTTCCTCGACATGTAGGTCTCGGCGATAGTTCGCAGTTCAGCGGTGAGTCTCTGAGACAACTCGTCGGTGACGGCAGCTGTCTTCTGGAAATTAAAGGTGGGAATGGATGTCTTGGGATAGCTGACGGGGAACTTGATATCAACCTTGAGAAACAAGGATGCAGCTTCCGCGCCCCAGGGACCATTCAGTGAGATAGAAATTTTCCTCTGTCGCACATCCACTGACTCGAATGCAACCTTGCTGAACTTTTCGCCCACATGACTGATCTCATCTCCCAGGGTCTCAATGTCCCAACCCGAAATCTTCACGCCGCGCATCCACGCAATCGGGTTGGTATCGGCTCGGAGATTTGAACGCGGCTGCATACCTATCCGGGTATCGACATGGCGACTGCGCGTCCAGGCGCGGGCGTGCGGCACCGAAATGGCATTCATGCCGGGACCCCCAGGATACTGGGTGGTTGTCGCATGATGAGGGCCCACAGATGATGCGGCATCGAGTTCATCCACATCTAGATCCGAGTTCACATCCCTGAAGCTTCGATAGACTGCGCCCAATCGTGTCACGTTTCGAGTTGAGATGAAGGATTTTCCTTTCTCGTATCCGACACGCTCCAGAATCTCGGGATCCACGCGATGAAGACGCAGCTCACGATCGGTTCCCCATGTAACGAGTTGGAACTCCCGATTATCGATTCCATCCACCACGCCTCCTCGCGGTCTCCACAGGAATTCTTTCACCTGTCCTTTGTGACCAGGGAAACTATGGACCAGGGGCAGATCATCTTCCGGGTTGCTCCCCTCACCAGCTCGCCGGCTATAGAGGTGGAGATCGCTGTTGCCTCGCTGCGGCATGGCAAGTACGCCCCATCCGAAAGGCGTGTTGCGAGCGCGCCATACAGGAAATGGTGTGCGGATCAACTTCTCCGGCACCTCCGTATCGGTCGTATAATCCCAGAACTTGATGGTCTTGTCCAATGAACATGTTGCTAGCGCTCCTCGCCTAACTCGATTCCAGTCCACACCATAGATCTTGGTGTCGTGGGCTTCAATGGATTTGATCGGGTAGGCACCCATACGGTCATCCCAGATTCGGAGATATCGATCATGAGAACTTGCGATAACGTGAGGGTCTTGTCGGTTCCATTTGACTTGGGTGGCGCCAGTGAACCAATCTGAGAACGAAATGGCGGGCCGTGAAGGTGTGCGCAGATCCCAGCAATGCACGAAACTGTCGACTGCACAGGTCGCCAGTATATCCTGATGGAAGGCTGACCAATTGATATCGGTGATTGCGCGCGAATGAGCATGCAGCACAAACTCGATGGAGTTCTGCCATGTCTTCATGGCCAGATTCCACACCAGCGCTTTCTGGTTGGAAGTACTTACGACCCAGTAGTCGCGTGAGGCGAACGGCGACCACTGCACATCGGCGACCTCCCATGGCGTATGGTGAGGGAGATATCGTGGCGGGGAGTAAGGCGAGTCCAGATCGATAACGTGAAGGCCCTCCTTGGACGCCAGAACCACATCGCGCCCACATGGAGATATGGACATGGATCCGACCGGCTGTGGCACATGGAATGAGCTATCCTCGTCAAAAGTCGGGCTTTCAAAGGCCGACGTGAGTGGCCGGGGTTCCATGGAGCTCGACATCTTGATTGCTGCGATCGGCCCTCTCGGCCAATGCAGGCCTCCCCAATGGCCGCAAGATCAGATCACTGATTATTGTGGAAATATTAAATTGGAGTTTGCTGTGTCATTTTGCAAACACTCTCCAGACGGGATGGTTCGAAAGCACTAATGTCTAAGGTCTCGCGTGCCCGAGGGGGAAGCTGCGATAACGCGGAGAGCAACGTCTGTGGCTAGTGGTGTGGCGTATCTGCTTGATCCGGCAAGATGGCAGACCAACTGTGGCGGTGCATGCACATGACGGTACGGCCGTCGGCAGGACCCCGCCATGCAGTGCCCCTCGACGGCTTCGTCGCGGATTTTGTTGACAGGTCGCGTTTCAATCGCGTTTGCTCTCAAGTCGGTCTCATTGGCGTGTCTCTGGATCTACACAGTCATACCTATATCCACCAAGTTCTCTCCCAGAGGAATCCATCGACTATCATCCCAGCCGTGTGCTTCCGTGATTCATAGTCGCCATGGCCGCCCTTCCGAAGCGCATTATCAAGGAGACGGAACGACTCATGGCTGAGCCGTAAGACTATATCCAGATCTCTCGTTCTTGATTTCGATATACCTGACTGACTCGGTAATCAATATCCAGGGTTCCCGGTATCAACGCCGTTCCTCACGATGATAACCTGCGGTACTTTGATGTTTCTATTCACGGCCCCGCTCAGTCTCCGTATGAAGGTATGCATGATTGATAACCTCCCTTATTTGTCTCAATTACCAACAAGCTTGACTCTAGGTGGCATCTTCCGACTCGAACTGTTCTTGCCCGATGACTATCCTATGACCCCTCCCAAGATTCGCTTCCTCACCAAGATCTACCACCCCAACATCGATCGTCTGGGCCGAATCTGCTTGGACGTCCTGAAGAGTAAGAAACTCATCTAATTCGCATGAGTGGTTAATGTGGTTAAATCTGACACATTCATTTAGACAACTGGTCCCCCGCTCTCCAGATCCGCACTATCCTCCTCTCGATCCAGGCCCTCCTCGGCGCTCCCAATCCCGATGACCCGCTCGCCAACGACGTTGCCCAGCGCTGGAAGGACGACGAGCCTGCGGCCATCCAGACCGCCAAAGAGTGGACTCGCACGCATGCGATGACTTGAATGAGACTAAATGCCATGTGACCATGATAAAAAGAGAGAAAGAATAGTTGCAGTGCACCATATCGGAGTCGTTGACCTAGGGATAGGCGAGCCTCTGTCGTTTTCTTTTCCAGCGTGACCACTTTTTCCTTCATAAATTCCATCTGCACTAACGATGATGGTATCTCATAAGGCGTTGCATAGAATCCAATGCGTTATCTGGAGTTTTTATCCTGGTATTCTTAGACACCGCGTCCGGCGATGTATATCAAGGCCTAGATGTACACATCAGACGAAGATCATTAAAGTATAAAAGTTCCGATCAATACCAAAGTGGTAAAATGGGGCACCACGTAGTACCTACACTCATGCCCTACAATTCATTTTGTTATAAGACGTTCTATAGGAGGGCGCATAATTACAAATGCGGCTGAAATCTAGCTCTACGAGCATAGCCTTGTTTGTATAAAGGGCCCAGCGCCCTTGCATTGGCCGCATCTGCAATGGAAAAAAGGTATGTACAAAACGCAATGTTTCTTTTCCCTCATGAATGTGCGAGAAGCCAAACTTTTGGACAAGCCGCTATAACATAATTCAGAAAAGGAGCGCAATGCTTAATGCTCGCAAAACATGCCCATAAGAACCAGTAGGTATCATGAACAAATAAACCAACCCAATCAAAAAATCAGTAGCTCACCAATCATCGTTATCATCCTTCTCATCATCTGCAGCCATCAATTAGCATATACTCACTATTTTACTTGAGGAGATTTTTACTTACCACTACCGCTGACTCGCTGCTTTCTCTTATTCAATGCGTCCTGCAAAGCACCGGCCAGTCCACCTTGTGGACCTCCGCCAGAGCTCGAGGCGGCAGCAGATGATTCCGCTGCGCCTCCCGGAACCATTGCCGCACTTCGGTCCTTCTTGTCGGAGTCCCTCACCTTTCGTAACCCTCCTCCGCCTGCACCTCCAGAGCCACGAATAGCTGCTAGGAGATCGTCTCTACCACCGGTGCTCTTAGGCAAGGCAGGCGCCGTACCGCCTGGAGCTGGAGGGGGAGGAGGCCCTCCCGAAGAAACACCGGGGGGAGGAGGTGGTGGGGGGAATCGCAGGTCCAGAACGGCCTGGGGGTGGAGGAGGAGGCGGGCCTCCAAACCCACCAGCACCTGGAGCAGGTGGCGGCGGAGGGGGGGCACGCCAGGTGCAGCAGAACCTGCAACAGGAGGGGGTGGGGGTGGCACAGGGGGTCCAGAACGCCCAGGGGGCGGTGGGGGAGGTCCTGGTGGTATCACTGAGGTTGTCGTAGGAGGGGGAGGCCCTCTTGGAGGGGGTGGAGGTGGAGCGGGAGGAGCAGCTGCAGGAGTGGATGGGACAGGGCGAGGCGCTGGCGGCGGAGGCGGGGAAATCGGAGCTCGAGCTGGCGGTGGGGGAGGGAGGCCAGATGGTGCACCCGCATTGGGGACTTTGGGAGGGAGCTGGGGAGGTGCTGCCGGGCTAGCTGTACGAGGCGGTGGAGGTGGAGGGCCGCCAGGGATGGGACTGCGACTTGGAGGGGCAGGAGGGGCGGAGACCTTGCGTTCACCAGTGAATGGAGGGGGTACCCCAAACCGGCCTTGAGGCTGGCTTGGGCTATCTTCCATTGGCGTCTTTGGAGGACGTGGAGGCGGCGGCGGGCCAGGCGTAACGTTTGATATCGCCCGTGGCCGCCGCGGGGGTACAGGTCCAGCAGGCTCAGCAAACTTACCAGCGTCAGCGATTGGAGGTGGTGCTCGGAACATACGGGTTGGCGCTGGTGGAGGAGATGGTTCGCGAGGCGGAGTGGGAACAGTCTCATCGGCAGCTTCAGCCCGACCTTTCCGTGTTGGAGGCGGCGGCGGTGGCCCACGTCGACTCGCTGAGCTAGTCCCTGTACCCTGAGGACTGATTGTAGCTACCTTGGGAGCTGGAACACCAGGGGGGTGGTGGAGGTGCCCGTGGCTTGGTATGATCAGCAGCTGCAGGAGACTCACTAGCTGCGGTCTGTTTCTGGGCAATCCAGGACTTGATGAAGTCGGAATTGTCGGCGATTTGATCTTCGGTAATGCCCATTTGTAAAAGCTCGTCCAAGAGTCCCTTTTGTGCTGGGTCATTGATATCGAATGGCAGATCTCCTTTGGCTGGCGGTGCGCTTGGAGCCAAGGTGGGAGGTGGACCAACTGGTATTGACGGCGCGGGAGCTGGGGGCAGGGTGGCACTCGGGGTAGGGTTCGAACGATGCAACAGACTACCAAAGAGAGACCGCCCAGGTCCTTTACCATTGGTGACCGGTGCAGGTCCTTGGCCTCGAGAAGATGCGAAGGGAGTCTTGCTAGTTTCCTTGCTCGCATGCTTCTCACGCTCCTGCACTTTCTTAATGAATGTCTTGGCCTCTTTTTCGTCGGCGAACGACAGACCCGCCGGGCAGTCCTCGAGCTCGAAAGTATGGAAGAAAGTGCGGTCTTGATTGTAAGAGAAGTTATCGTAGATCTCCTGGTCCCAAATCACACCCTTTCCAGCGGGCTGCAAAGACCGGAACAATGTCAGCAAATATGATCATTAACCTTCATGGATTTCCGGACACCCACCGAGACATCGACCATTTTCAACCAAAAGGTGCGTCCAACTAGATCATTGCAGAGGACTACTGCACCCTGCACACCGGTGTATGTCCATCTTTGGGGGTCGGGGTAGGCAACGTAGAGTCGTGCGACAGCTACGGCCAGGATCTTGTTGGCAGGTTTAGGCACCTGTCGCTTGACAGTTTCCTTGTCGGCATCGGTAAGGATTGAGGGCATGGCGAATCAACGCAAGCCCCAGTTAGACAGCGCAAAAGAGTTATAAGTGACGGCGCGGGTAGGATCGAAGTTGTCGAAGGCGCATGGCAGACAGGGCGGAGCGTAGCGGTTCGTGGTCCCAACACACCGACAGATAGGGCACGGGCGGGAGGATAGTATAGGCGGCCCTTAGGGAAAATATGGAATGGGGAAGTCGGAGGAGTCTCGGGGGTCCAAAGGCGACAGGCGAGGAATTGGTAAGGATCCGACCGGCGGTTGCCTTGAGGGGAGGAGAGCCGTGGGGAGAGTTTGGGTGAGTTGGAGGAGAGGTTGCTTTGGTGGGGGCGCAGTACGTCGGAGGGACTTTGGCCGGGGCGCTTGGCTGCCGCGAGGCACGTGGTATCCCCAATGTATACTCGTAATGAGCCGCCTCGCTCTTTGAGCCTGGATTTACTGGCATAAGATAGGGCTGACTAGTTATTCACCACAGCCGCAATGGTTTATTGATTCTCTTCAATGTAGGTAGTCAATATTGGTTGCTTATAGTTGCGTGTAGCCTGGCAGTACACAGAAACATATTCCCACCAACACAGAGAAGGCTTTTAGGGTGGATTTAAAGAGTATATTAGCCTGAGTAGTCGAATAATGTACAATACAATTTAAATTTTCCTGCTAACCAAGTCCCCAATTCACATAACAAAATTGAAGCCATGCATTTCTACAGCTCGCTCTACAGGCAGTGGTTCATGCGTACAATTATAAGAGGTCGAGGGGCCTTAACTTCGAGCATTTGTCAGTATTTCTTCCTCGGTACTCTTATCCACTCCCTGACTCCGTAGGCATCATTTTTGTGTAGCAAGTAACGTTCTCAAAGGTCTGACACAATGACGGTAGGCCGTCAAAGCCCAGACTCTTGTGAAACCCCGGCCAACCTCTGACGTCACTCTATACTAGAAGTATATATCTGGCTGCCTGTATCAAGTTTACTATCCAGCTCATCACTACCCGAGAAACATTTTTCGATACCGTTAGAAATCTGAAGAAAAAGTGCAAAATACCCAGCCTTGTCCCATACCAGAAGTCCATTTCCTCCACAATGCCCGTTATCCCCGATTCATCCGATTTTCCGTCGGCCTCGAAGAAGGGTTCCACCGAGTCCCAGACCAAGCCAGGAGAGCAACGGGAGAAAGCATCGGCGATAGACCATCTCTCCAAGGGGCCTCAGATTCCAGATGGTGAGAGATCAGAAGGATTCCCTGCTATAGAACCTTTGACTAATTATCGTGGAATAGAGATGCCACCCAAGGCATCTAGGGAAGAGATTGAGGCCCGGATGAAGGAACTGAACAACTCGAGTAATTAGATGCCTTTTTTCACTGTGAATGAAACACAAATATGATTCATTTTTGATTTCCCCATCAACCTCCTACTGTAGAAACCAAGGGCCTTGCAACTCGTATTTCGGCCTTAAACTACAAGTTCGTTAGTTAACTATAACTAGTTAGGTAGTCGACGCATTACATCACAAGTCACGTGGTCTCGCGACGGCTTCAACAGGTGCCTGACCCTTCTCTCATCAACGCGTCAAGAAGGCCTCCTCATGCCGCCGGAACGAACGAATGTGCCGGTGAAGCTGTCTCTGCCACTGGTAAGTCTGTGAGAAGCTCCAGATCTGTAGCTGGGTTCGCTGACAATCTCGAAATCTAGCAATACCAGCAGGACATCTTCACCGAACTACGCGCTGAGGATGAGTTGGTCATTCTTGCCCGTGGGTTGGGGCTTCTCCATCTCATAACGAATCTACTTCACTTCTACGATGCGGCGGGCAATAATCTGGTATTAGTGGTCGGTGCGGATGAGCGCGAAAATGAGTGGATTGGAGAAGGTAGGTCGAGTCCATCTGGAGACTGCAGATTGTCCGGCGCTTACATTTTGGGGGACTCAAAGCTTTGGCGGAGCATTATGCAACCAGCAAGTCTCCACTTGCACGGGGATTAAAGGTCATCAATACGGAGAAAGCTACGGTGCCGATGCGGTGGGTTTCAAGAGACATGTCAGTCGTGTCTAGGGCCATTCTGATCCTTGCATTAGAGAACGAATCTATGCGGAAGGCGGTATCCTGAGTGTGACATCCAGGATATTAGTCGTGGATTTGCTATCGAGTGAGTTAAGAAGCTGGCCCTTGTCCGGCGTCATACTAAGTTCTCCAGAGCTCCTTGATCCTGAAAAGGTCACGGGAATGATCATTCTGCATGCCGATAAGTATGGATGGCTTTTATATACCTTGATCTATATAGTTCGATGACTTACATGGATACTAGAGTAGTGGCGACCTCCCTAGAAGCATTCATAACTCGCATCTATCGGCAGTCAAATAAGCGGGGATTCTTGAAGGCGTTTTCAGACTCCCCCGAGCCATTCACGACCGGATTCGCACCACTGGCCAATATGTTGCGGAATCTCTTCCTGCGAAAAGCTTCATTGTGGCCAAGATTCCAAGTCTCGGTGGCCGAGGCTTTGGAAGGTAATCGCAAGGCAGAAGTGATAGAACTGGAGGTTCCCATGAGTGCCAAAATGCGAGAAATTCAAAACGCCGTTCTCGAATGTGTTGAAATTAGCATTGCCGAGCTCCGAAAATCTAACACGGGTTTAGACATGGAGGAATGGACCTTGGATAGTGCCTTGCACAGGAACTTTGATGTGTCGATCCGACGGCAACTTGATCCCATCTGGCATCGGGTCACCTTTAGGACGAGGCAGATAGTCAGTGATCTGACAGATCTTCGAGGAATTCTCCAGTTCGTTCGTCCCCCAGCTTTGCCTTTCAAGTCTAACCCGGTTCCAGCGCTCTGCTTACCTACGATGCGGTATCCTTCATGAAATATCTCGACACGATTGTGTCAGCGCATTCGCCACCTCCAGGTTCCAACAAACACAACTACTCTCCCTGGCTTTTCCTTGATGCTGCCCACGTTCTTTTCCAAACAGCAAAGTCACGAGTCTACCAGGGCAAGATGACTGACGAGATGTCCCGTTCATGGTCATCAACCAACTTCTCGGCTGAGCTAAAGCCCGTTCTTGAGCCACTGCCAAAATGGGAAGTTCTGGCCGAAGTTCTCGAGGAAATAGAGCAGGATACCTACTTGAACCCACCAAAGCCAACCGAGGATTCAAACGGTACGATATTGATCATGTGCAGTGACCAACGCACCTGCCGTCAGCTTCGCGAATATGTGGGCACTATGCATGCTAAGGTCTCTCCTGGGTCAAGTGAAAATAACGAGGAGAAAGAGGGGTTGAGTGAGGAGGTATCGTCGGCAGAGGTGATGATGCGACGTCGACTACGTGATTATCTGAACTGGAAAAGATCGCTATCCAATGTCAACAAAAACTTGTCTCAGCCTGGAGAAGGGGCAAAACCTGCGGAATCGACAAGGCCAGGTCAGCAACAAGGCAGACCTCCTCCAAATAAGCGTCGGCGAGTGCGTGGTGGAGGAGCAGTGAACTCTGCCTCTAGTCGTGTTCCGGACAGTAGTGTTCAGACACAGGTCGAGTTACCGGCTCAAGTTGTCAGTCTACTCGAGGAGATCCAGCCCACCGAGGTCGAAGAATTACAGAAGGAAGAGATTGTTGTTGATGACCTCGAAGATATGGAGGATTACTACGAACTATACGAGATGAATGATCTGGTCATGATACACCCATACGATGGCGACATGGATGAGCATATCCTGGAGGAGGTTCGGCCGCGGTACATCATCATGTATGAGCCGGATGCCGCGTTTATTCGCCGGGTGGAAGTCTACCGAAGCTCCCATGTGGGCAGAGTTGTGAAGGTTTATTTCCTCTCCTATGAGGGATCTGTTGAGGAGCAGCGATACTTAAGTGCCGTGCGGCGGGAAAAAGATGCATTCTCGAAGTTGATCAGGGAAAAAGGAGTAAGTTCGACACGTTCAACATTCGACAAATATCTTCTGATCCTCCCTAGAATATGGCGGTTACTTTGACGCATGACAAGAGTGCTGAAGACCCACAAGAGCAATTCCTACGCACGGTCAATACTCGAATTGCGGGAGGTGGAAGGCTGGCGGCGACGGCAGCTCCTCCTCGGGTGGTAGTCGACGTACGCGAGTTTCGCAGTGCCCTGCCATCTCTTCTTCATGGCAACAATATGATCGTTATTCCCTGCCAATTGACCGTTGGAGACTACATCCTCACGCCAGATATCTGCGTCGAGCGCAAATCTATTCGCGACTTGATCTCTTCTCTTCGCAATGGTCGTCTCTATAACCAGGCTGAGACAATGATCCAACACTACAAGACTCCGCTCTTGTTGATTGAGTTTGACCAGAACAAATCCTTCACCTTTGATGCATTTGCAACCATCTCCACTGGCACAACATTCTTGACAGACTACAGCTTCTCGTCTTCGGGGCAGGCCACTAGCTCAAGTACCAGCGCACATACTAATCCCTCGAACCCAAAGTCTGCACAGCACTTGCTAGTGCTGTTGACACTCGCCTTTCCACGACTGAAGATTATCTGGTCATCATCCCCGTATCAGACGGCCGAAATCTTTGCAGAGCTCAAAAAGAATGCTGCGGAGCCTGATCCTCTTCGCGCCGTTCAGATTGGTCTGGATATTGATATCTCAGGCTCTGCCAGTGATGTCATGGCTGCAGCTGGCATCGAACATCGAACCTTTAATCTGCTTCCGCAGGACATGCTCCGGGCCGTGCCAGGGGTTTCACCACAAGCCCTCGACCGGCTCATTCTTGAAACGGAGAACCTGCATGAGATCGCTAATATGAGCATGGAGCAGCTGGATCCACTTGTCGGAAAGGAAGCCGCCCGAAAAATAGTTGCTTTCTTCCGGAAGAGTGTCTTTGATGATTGAGAGGCCATTACATGTATATCAAATCAAGGAGATTGGCCACGGCGAGGCTGTCAAGAGCCCATGCAACGAATTTTACGACATGATTGGGGGAAATCCGTAGTAAACTAGTGCATTGTGTATGTACAAAGAAGTCCAGATCCTATGGGTGCACGAGCTAGCGTACACGTAAATCGGAACTGTTGTATTTGACGTATTTTGAATAAGCACAAATTAACAAACGACAAGCCGAGACATCCGGGCTCAATTGCAACACCACCAGAGCCGAAACATTGTACGACTCCATCGCTTTTCGTCTTGGCGTCGATCCTGGGCGCAGATCGGCCAAAATAGCAACGCCGCCAATACGCAAGGGTCCACTAAGCAACGCCCCCTGGGAGTGGAGAAGGAACCCCATATCCGGACCGACCCTGATCAGAGTTCAGACCTCGCTTGACCTTCAGGCTCCCTGATGCTTCATACACCCATCTAGTAATGCATTTCAAGGCGACCCTGTTGGCCCCGGTAGCGTTGGCGGCGGTTGTAGGGGCTAGCAAGAATGCACGAGATGTCGAGCCATGTGCGCAGATCTCCAAGTTGGTGGCAGATGCCAATGATCATCAGAGTGCGTCTCGGACTGGTTGAATCGAAGAATGCTATGAATCTAACGGTCGCAGTCAGCGCTAAAGTGCCCCATGACTTGGCACATCAATGCTTGATGTCTATGCCATTCGAGTCGAGTCGGGCAGTGACGTTCTTGAATCAAGTCCGAAAGTATCTAGAGTTCCACTCGACTGTGGACATTCTCAAGAGTAGGGAAGACTCGGCTTTGTTGTCTTTTGATGCGACTGACATGAGATTGCAGATCCTCCCTCTGGTTATATGATGCCATCTACCGATCTCCTGGGAGGGATCGATTCGATCTTGGAAAAAGTCAATAACAAGGGGTACTCCAGCCAATTCGAAATGGACCTGGAAGTCTCCAATCTCATCAAATCAGCACACGATGGTCACTTGGTCTTCCAATTATGCTCACAGTCAATATTTAACTATGTGATCGACATGCCTCTCGTTTCTATCTCAACAGATGGTCTCGAACTACCGGAGGTCTACACATTGAGTACGTGATGTGCCCAAATAACTCGTCAACCTGTTCCTAATGCGTCATAGGCGATGCAAAACTCCAGCAGAGCGGTACAAAGAACGTGTCTCCCCTTGTATCGATCAACGGCACCGATGCGGCCGAGTTCCTTGTTTCATATGCGTCTCGTCAAAGTCTTCAGGATCGCGATGCCCAGTACGTTATGAACTCCACAGCAAATATCGATTCCTCTCTTCTGACATTCCCAGGTACAACCGAATTTTTCCAGCTCTAGCTCGCACCGTCACTGGAACTTCCATTGATGAGAACGGCATCTGGGCCAGCACTGCCGACTGGAGTGATGGCTCCGAGGTAACTCTCAAGTACGGTAATGGGACTACTCAGACCGTGGAAAAGAATGTCGTTCCTAAAGAAAGATATTTCTCCTACACCAACGGCACCCGTCTATACAATGTCAACTGCATTCCCCGAGGCCTCCCTACCGCCGAATCTTCTTCGTCGACAGCTGAAGAGGCTTCCTCTCTGCCTGGACTTCCAGATACACAGTGGCGCAACCCTGCCAATTCCATTGCCGGTTATTTCTCGAATCTTACCGGCCTCGAGGACACTGGGATTATCTTCCTGCCCACTTTCTCCTCCAATCCGCAGCAGGCGGCTCAAGTGGCGATAGATTTCCTACACAACGCCACTGCCACGGGAAAGAAGAACATCCTGATCGATGTTGCAGCAAATCCGGGTGGATACTTGTCGATTGGAATCGATCTCTCCCGGATTTTCTTCCCAGATGCTTTTCCGTATACCGCGACGCGATATCGAGCGCATGATGCATCCAAGTACCTCACCAAAGCATTTTCACGCTCCACAACCCAGGACTCAAGCAATACCTTTGCGTACAAGGAGATGGTTGCTCCAGACCAGAAGACTGACTTTGGCTCCTGGAAAGACCTTTATGGACCAAATGAGGTCCTAGGAAGCCCTTCATCAAGCTTGCTCTCCAACTTCAACTACACTTCCACTTCCAGTCAAAACTATCCAATAAACGGATATGGGCCTATTCCGTTGAATCCCGATAAATCACTATTCTCCGCTGATAACATTGCCATCGTGAGTGCTGTAATAATGGTGCCCCCATCTACGAATGAGAGACTAACAGCTGAACATCAGATTACCGACGGAGACTGCGGTTCAACCTGCGCCTTCTTCGTCAAGCTCATGAAGCGCCAAGGTGTACGCACCATCACATTCGGCGGCCGTCCCACCGAATCCGCAATGCAAGGAGTCGGCGGTGTAAAGGGTGGCCAATCCCTCGGAGTCAACTACATCAACGGCTACATCCAGCAAGCCAACCAGCTAATCCAAAACTCAACGGGCAGTTCCTCTCCTCTCCTGACACAGGAGGAATGGAAGAAATTCAACGATTCGTGTCCCGGCACGGCCACCTCGTTTTCTTGGAGTGGAAACGTCAATCTACGGAATGAGTATGATCCGGACGATGATCAGACGCCACTGCAGTTTGTGTATGAAGCGGCGGAATGTCGGCGCTTTTATACGATTGATAACTATCTACAACGGGAGACTGTGTGGCAAGATGCTGCCAAGTCCATGTTTGGTGATGGGGGTTGTGTGAAGGGTTCGACTAATGGTAAGGGTAGCTTGGGTGCCTGATCAAAGTACTGTCATTGTCATTTTATTAGAGCATGAGCGATTTGTATCTATGGCATAAAATCGAAGACTGGGATCATATTGACCATAAGCGCATAACAAAAGAGCTAGATGCCATTTTCGACCAAAGACATCAAGTTCGCCACCTGTTTTCGAATCCCCTATGGTAATAGATAAGTATCCAGTCTGGTGAGTCGGGCGCCCCCCATGGTTGAGTACGAAAGGAAACTCGAGGAAGCAAAAGAGGAGCTCTGCAGTTGCTAGATACCGGTTACAAAATACGCATAGACATAGAATTTAAGAGGCAATATTTTCAATTCTCATGACCTTTTTTCGCAAAATCTATCACTCGAAAAGGAATGAAAAGCACAGCTAGACAGAGGCACATAGTATGCAATACAATGCAGCACGCAGTTTCATCATGCGTGTTGCGACCAATTTTGCTCTGTAGCTTGACCGCGAAGATTTTGCAGGAACAGATAGAGGATCGTAAGACGTGTGTCTGTAAAGACCGTATCGGCTAACATGCAAAATGTCGAGATCTTTTTGTCGTCGATGTCTTCATACCCTGGTATATTGTCGTAACGTCGCCGTAGGTAGGGGGGATGCCCTTCATCTCCATGCAGGGCCGCGGTGGGAGTGGCGTCGAGATTCGCTTGAGAAGGCCCTTTTTCGATCAGGAACGGAGTACTTCAGGAATTCAAGGAAGCTGCAGTTGATCAAGAGCGTGTATATCACGGCGCTTAAACCAACAGTGGCGGTGTAGGAATGAGGTGGCGGAACGTGAAAAGCACCATGGTGTAGTTCGGCATGGCGCTCTTGCAGGGTAGAGAGCATCGAGCTCTGGGGTGGTAGGGTGAGCTTAGAGCTCGTCGACGTCGATTTCCTTCTCGTCCTCGCTCTCGCGGTCCTCGTCGAACTCGACGTTGTCCTCGAAGCCCTCGTTGCCGAAGGTGTCGGTCTCGTTGATCTTGGCGTGCTCGGGCAGCTCGCCGTAGGCCTTCAGACTACGGGCCTCGTCGGCGGTGTACTTCATGATAACATCACCCTTCTCGTCCTGGTAGTCACGGAGCGAGAGAAGGATGATATCACCCTGGTTGATCCAGACCTTCTTGCGGAGCTTGCCACGAATGTGGGCCAGACGCTTCTCGCCGTCGAAGCAGAGAGCCTCCAGACGACCGTTGCCGAGCATCTTGACGACCTGGGCGTACTCCTGGCCATCCTCCTTGAAAACGAGTTCACGCTTCTCGTTGTCGTTCTCGTTCTTACCACGACGACGGTTCTTACCGCCCTGTTGATGAAAATAGTCAGAATTTGTGTCAAAGGTATATGTGCAGTAAAAGACAAAGGGGGTTTATCAAAATGAGGCCCTCTTCCAAAGCCATCAACCTAGATTGCCGGTGATCGGTCTTTCACAGGTGATGGTGGCGGGGTGGCACATTCCAACAGGGAGGGGCTGAATATTTTGCGCGCTTACCTTTCCCTTGTTCTTGGGCATAGCGGCGGGGTACGACGTTCACTGGACTTGAGTCTGAAAGTGTGTCGGTGTCTCGTTTGTTTCTGCGTCAAAATGCGACGTAGAAAGATGAGGCGATATCCCCGGAGAGTCTGGTTGAAAGAAGAGGAAAGAAGTAAGGTGGGGGAAGATCTGTGCCGATATATCAAACCCTGGCGGCTTAGCTAATCAGGCACAAAGCTGGGACTGGTGGCTGGTGTCGCCTGATTTTGCAGGCGTCATGTATTCACCGCCCGGGATGCTTGGGGCAGAAAAAAAGATACCGGAAGCATGGTGAAGTCAATAACCAGAAACAACTATTCACTTTGGGGCTTGGGGAAGGCCTCGGTTCCTGGATATTAGTCCTACGACTGTGGACTACTTTATGATCTCTTTCCTGCCATTTTGACTGCCACAGTGTCTGTTACAGTCCTGAGACTAGCAAGCACAGCGCAAACACCAGACTAGTCTTCTTATCCTCCGCACCGTCCTGCTCCTCCGATGCGCTCAATAAACACTCGTTTCTCTCCGCTATGATACCGATGCGCTGCTTCTATTCGACTTCTCCTTGGCCTAAATTGGCGAATCTTTTCGACTATCCTTGATCCTCCCACTATGAAGTTCCTCGCTTCCTCGAGCAATCTGCTCTTCCGGTACACTTCCGAGTCCGTCATTCCTCCAGTCGCCCAGCGCTACCTAGGCTCCCCGGTCCATCCGATTCGACCAAAGATTGCATATATGTATCAGCATCGTGATCCAAATATACTCTGGTGGCGGGTCTCGGTATCACACTTGAACCAGTTCAACCGGACCATTCGATCTTGGTGTGCGCGGAGGGCGCGCATTGCTTTCCAGGAAGCTCTGAGGCGACAAGGGTATGATAAGTTAGGGCGTCCGATCTGTCCACCTAGTTTAATGGAGAAGCAAGCCTTATTAGGATCTTTTGATATTACCATCCGCCCTTCGTGCGTGCATCAGAGCTTCGAGGCTGTGCAGAAAGATGCCGACTTCCTCTTACAAGGCATCTTGAAACAGCGAGAAAGGCGCGCTGAGCGTGCCAAATACAAAGGCAGACCTTCTTGAGTGTCTTCCAGGAGCTTGTGGATCATCCATGTACAACACCATTCTGTATTATACTGACTGACGACCTGTCCATACCTGTACATTAAAGGCGGGAGCATCATTGCATGGCGTTTGGGGGGGGCTGCGATTACCCTATATCCAAAGTATTAGTATCTCTACTCGCAATTTTACAATTCAAATATCTTCAATCATGACCATTTAATTAATTGATAGATGTTCACCTTGTATTAGTTCCTCTTGTTGGCGGAGAAGGTAAATATAGAAGCGGCCGTATCTTAGCTCCCGTTGCCTCAAGCCTCGCTAAATGCCGATCTGGCGGAAACAACGGGGCTTTGATCAACCGAGTCTCCCTCATCTCCGACCACCACCTTCAACCTCCCTTGTTTTTCTAGCCTCCTATTCACCATGCTGGTCTCTCTGACTGTTGGCAAGGTGGACGCTGGCGTCGCAGTCCTCTTGACCGAGGACAAACGCCTAGTAAGTTCCCCAACCCCCTGGTGGCCTAGACCTCCCAAACACGGAGGATGTTAGTCTGCGATTCTGCGCCTCTGCGCAAGGCACATTATCCCAATGGCTTGCTAATTCAACTCTTTCCCGCATAGATTGAATTCCCCTCCGTTCTTCTTCCCAACGGCATCTCCTCTGGCAGCATTGTTGACATTACCGTTGCGCGCAACCATGCCGCTGAGACAGCCAATGCATCTACCTTCCAGTCTCTCCAGAAGCGCATCCTGAATACCTACGGTGTCAAAACCCCCTCCCCTCCCATCTTGCGCCTGCGCAATGCCACTCAGACCTCCCTCGTTCTCGAATGGGATCCAATCGACTTGGCAACCGCGTCCCTGAAATCGCTTTCCCTCTACCGCAACGGCTCCAAGGCAGGCTCGATACCCCGCCCCCTCGAGACGCGCAGCACCAAGATTAGCGGCCTGGCTGTTCACCATGAGTACACATTCCACCTCGTCTTGCGCACAACCGCCGGCACCTATCAGTCGGAGAAGTTGACGTGCCGGACGCACAAGATGACCGATCTGTCGGGTATAACGGTGACCGCTGGTGTTCTTGACCCGCAGCGTAAGGAGGCCCTTGGACACGCATTGGATCGTATTGGAGGCAAGATGATCGACTCCGTTCGCATCGACACCACCCACTTTGTCTGTGCTGAGGGACGGGGCCCGCTCTGGGAGAAGGCCGTGGAGATGAATATCCCAGTCGTTGTACCTGAGTGGGTAGATGCGTGCGAGTCTGAGGGAACGATTGTCGGCGTGCGCGACTACTATCTGAACGCGGACCCCAAGGCGCGCAAGCTTGGTACACTCCACGGCTCTTCTCACCAACGCACCACCTCGACCATGTCTACATCTTCGGCAGTCAACCAGGGCCGGCCCAGTAGTCTCCAGCCACCAATCAGGGAGGAAGATCCCGCCGCGCCTGAACCGCCTCTCACGCCGTTCCCAGGTGGTGAGATGAGCATTCAGCCACAGGCACAAGCCGAGGAAGTCGGGTCGGAAGATGAAGAGGAGACACCACCACCTCCCCCTCCAAAGGACGAGTCCGATGACGCAGAAGAACCTGCGCAGACGAATGGAGATACGGGAGATCTAGGCGGACCAGATGAGAAGATTCAGGAAGAAGAGGAGACAAGCAAAGAGAGCACTCTCCCACAGCATATGCCCGAGGGAGACTCGGAGCGCACAAGTAATGATGAAAGCAGCAAGGGCAAAGGTAAAGAGGGCGAGGGTGACTTCAATGAAGTCCCACTCTAATGTTCTTACAACTCGTCCTTCTGTCTACCACGGCACGTCTACGATTATATCCAGTACAGGTTCATGCTATTGAGTTTGGGCGCTTTCCGTTACAGGTCGGGGCATCGTTTATGAGAATATCGATGCCCGCCCCTGATTTTGTCTCTTGCCGTTCTTTTGTATAGTAGATAGCCCTTTTTTTCTAATGCAATTTTGACATCAATCATTCTTTGATATTTCCTCCTTAGCCGGGTGAGAACCGAAAGTAGTTGTCATTCTATATATGAATTCTATCATCAACAGTCGTAAACGAGTACCAAAATATCCTCCCAATGCATGTTCAAGAGCCAAGAAGAAATCGGGCTTTTATACGAAAGGTAAGACCGCTGGTCCCCCTCCGAGAAACGCTGTGCAATCGAAACACATCCTTAACTTGTATCGGTTTAAAGCACGTTACGAACCACGTCGTCAATAGCCTGGGCCACATAGGCGACATTCTTCTTGCTCACTATAGTCGTTTAGATTAGTATTGATGATGGCGAGGAATCCAGGGTGGCAAAACTTACAGCCGCTAATGGAGGCGCGACCAGACTTCAGCAGGTAGACGTGGTACTTATCCTTAAGGGCGTAGACTTGCTTGGGGGTGAGACCGGTGTAGGAGAACATGCCGTTCTGTATCATGTGTCAGTAAACCTGTCAAGTAAACCGAGCGATGGAGAAGAGTCTTACCTGCTCAATAATATGCTCCCAAGTGCCGGGGGTCTTCAGACGAACGAGCTCATCATACAGGGCCTGGCGCATAGACTTGATACGCGAGCTCATGACCTGAAGATCGCGGTGCCAGTCGGCCACCAGCTCATCGTTGGTCAAAATCTTCTTCACAATGCTGCAGCCAATACGGGGACCCATGGAGAACTCGCCACGGATCAAGTGGCAAAGGTTGTTAACGATAACGTCGCGGATAACGGTAGCACTACGGTTGGTTACGTAGTGGTAAGCACCGACACGCTGGCCGTATAGACCGAAGTTCTTGGAGAAACTCTGCGCAACACACATCTCCATATCGGGCTTGTTATTGAAGAAGTAGCGAACCGCCCAGGCATCCTCCTCGACGGAACCCGAGGCGAAACCCTGGTAGGCAGAGTCGAAGAAGGGGAAGATCTTCTTGCGCTCGCACAGGTCGGCGATGGCAATCCACTGCTCCTTGTTCGGGTCCAGACCGGTGGGGTTGTGCGCACAGGCGTGCAACAAGATGACATCGCCCTCCTGGGCCTCGTTCTCCAGGGTCGACATCATACCCTCGAAGTCGAAGGACCGCGTCGCAGCATGGTAGTAAGGGTAGGTCTTGCGCGGGACGCCAGCCAGCTCCCAAATAGTCATGTGGTTGGCCCAGGACGGGTTGGACAGCCAGACGGTGGGGGGCTTCATGTGGTGGGCGAGGAACAGGGCACCCAGGTGGTTGGCACCGGTACCAGCGACGGTCTGCACGGTAGCGATGCGTGCCTTGGCCTCCTCCTCACCCTGTTCTCCCGTGAATCCAAACATCAGGTCCCGCGCAATTGGCAAGAAAGGGATGTCGCCCTCGATCGCGGTGTATTCGTGTCGCATGAGATCGTCCTCCTCGGCCAGCTCCTTCTCGGCCTTTTGAACGACCGGCAGCGGCCAGGGCTTTCCATCATCTGTGCGGTACACACCAACACCGAGGCTGACCTTCTGGGGGTAGGTATCGGCAAAGTAGGCGGCGTTCAAAGCGAAGATCTCGTCCGGAGGCACCGGGGCCACGGTAAGGCGAGTAGGAACAGGCTTGGCCATTGTGGAATTGTGAGTCGTATTGGGAATTGGAGGGTCTCGTTCGATTGAGGTCTCGCAGGAATTGATCGCTTTGCGGAGAAGAATTGCGAAGTATAAAGTTGGCCAACAGAATTCGGAAATCGGTTCGACGCTGACTCAACCCGATATCGCAGGGCTGTCCTCCCCGGCACCCTTTTTGCCCCGCGGGAAGTACCGCTTAATAGCGGTATCCCATCTTCTTTGAACAATCAGGACTTCCATCATCGTGATCTGGGTTGTCACGAGGTCCAAAATGCCGTCGATAGCCTTGCGATGATAAGAGATGGAAAGAAGATGAAACCTGGTCTTAGCTTGAGATAATCTGGGGGGTTAAAGTTTAAGATAAGCGTAGGACGTCATCTCATGCATGCTGACTCTACTATGTACCCTTAGGCCTCTTGTTTCTATTTGATTGGAATAACAAGAATATCTTTCCAATGAATTTCAGAGTGAAAATCAATACTCATAAAGCTTGGGTAGCGTATTTTGATGCCATGTCCGTGGATTATGTTCCTAACCGCGGGAGTCCGACAAGAGATTATCCCGTCGGAGATCTATATTACCTGCCTAATAGTACTCTACCTTCAACCTAGTTCTAAATAGTTTGCTTGAGATACCTTCATCCTTATCTCCATAATTATTTCCACCGTCAATTTTTCTCAAGTCTTGGCATGTTACTATAGCCGATTTGGCTTCTTCCACTGCGCGGCTATGATGAGCGATCGCAAATCGACTTGAATTCCGCCGCTTATTCCAGTATGTTTGGGACAGCCGAGTTTCTATTGGCTACATAGTCATCTTTCTGCTAGAAATACTACTGCTCGATATCTAAAAGATCAATCTAATATTTTCTTCAGGCTGGCGCCTTGAATCTCACGATGTGTGGTGCTGGTTCCACCACGATATATATCGAGGTATATAGGCTTTAGGACCACATCAAAGAATTATTTTCGTCACTTTTTCACCCAAAATATCTATTATCATCAACTAGAAGTTATTAGAAGACTTGTTGAAAGGATTAGTATTCTATCCAACCTTGCTTAGGAACTGCAAAGCACACAGCGTGGAAAGAGCATAGGACCGGGAACGGGAAGAGCAATTTATGGATGTTCTCGCAAGTATAATCAAGGTTCCGTCAACTATACTAGCTACACAAACATGCAATTCTGGCTACATGGCCTTGTTCGTTTGCTAGTTCGGCCAAGAAGGAGCCCTACTCGTTTTACATGAATGCCAGTTGACCCCGCGTTGCTCGTACTACCTCAGCAGTGGGCCAATTAGGTCGAGTAGGTTGCCTGATAGCCCCTTCCCCTCACGGGCGAGGACGGTGCAAAGCGCTTCTCAAGGAATTCTCCCTCATAGTTTACTTTCATGACTCTACACGTCCTCACCATGGCTCAAGAGAGACCCCCGAAATGCGATCCAGCTCTGCATCAATGGCGAGCACGCGATATCATCCAGCCACTTCATAACAGCATTCCCCGAGAGCTACTGGCTCGATTTGATCCTATCTACATTGAGTACTACTACAGAAACAACGTGGGCCGTCTGCACACCCACGAAGTACCCATTGAAGAGTTCCGAAAGAACCCAGCTCGGTACACGATCTCCTACGGGCGTGAACATGGCCCGGATGTCTATTGCATCTCAGAGCAAAAGTGTCCTGTGCAGAGAGGAGAGATTACCATTCGAATCTTTGAACCTGCACCCAAGATGGATGCACAGGGTCAGCCGAAGAAGCGAGCAGCTTATGTGAACTTTCACGGGGGTGGATGGGTGTTTGGAGGTCTGATGGTTGACCATGACTTTTGCAAAAGAATCGTCCACGACCTTGATGGGGAGGTCGTTGCATTCGATGTGGACTATCGGCTTGCACCTGAGAATCGGTATCCGATCCCCGTGGAGGACTGTTGGGGTGCATTCAACTGGGTGAGATATGATCGAAACTTTCCATGGCCCAGAGGCACGAGACTGATACTCAGAGGCAGATTCGTTCCCAGAAAGCAGTCGAATTCAACCTCGACCCAGACCGATTCGCTGTGGGCGGTGCATCTGCTGGAGGCCATCTTGCCGCGGTCGTCGCCCATCTCTGTCGCGACGCGAGCATCCCTCTACGACTGCAGGTATTGACCGTTCCAGCCTGCGATTTGCATAGCACCTTTACCCCGGAGGGTGTATTTGATCGCAAGAACACTCCGTACAAGTCATACCGAGAGATGGAGTTCACGCCTGTTCTTCCAGCGGCGCGAATGGCGTACTTTCACCGGCATTTCCTCGGAGTGCCTCGACCAGCACCATCCGAAGATGTAAGTATCGACCTGGCCCTGATTCTAGAGCCTAGGAACTCAATCTGATTGATCATTTTCAGGACTGGAAGATCTCGCCCATGTTCGCCCCGAATTTCTCGAACCTGGCCCCCGCACTGGTGTCGACCGCGGAACTGGATCCCTTACGCGACGAGGGTGAACTTTACGCATCTAAGCTCGAGGATGCGGGCAATCGAGTAGCGATCAATCGATATCTTGGCGCTCCACACACGTTTGCTGGACTGGATGGCATCCTGGACTGTGGGCGCGATTACAATCACAGCGTGGTTGCGGCGATGAAGGCAGAGCTTCTCGCATAGAGGGTTATGTGTGGGAGAGCTCACTCGATGGTGACGGAAAGATAGCTTCCGTTATTGTTAGACAGGCGAATCCAGGAAGCCAAATCGAATCACTTTTCATTCTGGGAGAATTGTAAGCTGATCAAATCAGAACAGAGTACGGAGTAGTTGTTTATCTGATCTCCGCAGGGATGAATGTATAGCAGGCATGACCATACCGTACGCGGAAATACCACCGCTTGGACTAAAATTACCGGCAGTTGACTCGGGCGCCGGGCGTTGGTCGGTCATGCGGATACCGGGAAGTTTCGGCTGGACTCGTCGGAGTGTTGAGTTCATCTCAACTTTTTGTTTCTGCTTCCCTTTTCTTAAAGGAGACTCGCGGTCCCTATCCCTCGTCCATCACAGACGCCTCCGAGCGAGCCAATTGGGCCTGTTATCACCTTGTCTTGTCCTTCGCCGGCAATTTCACAATTTCCACGGTCACAATGAACCCTGCCTCCTCCCGAGCCGCGGTGCGCTCGATGGCCACCCTAACACATGCGGCCAGAGCTGCCAACCCCGCAGCCCGCAGCGCTCTGTCGGTTGCTGCTCGCTCCCCGGTCTTTGCTAGCCGGGCTCTGAGCTCCAATAGCCGTCAGTTCGGCCAATTCCCCCGCCTTCAGCTCATCAACAACAACAAGAGAGCCTTCAGCACCACCGTCAACATGGTAAGAAAGCCGCACTTGGACAGCTACTGAATTCGGGTTACTGATGCGCAGAATTCTAGTCTACTGCTTCCCGCACTGAGAGCGATGCCTTTGGCGAAATCCAGGTGAGTGACGTCGACTGACATTGCCCCTCATCCTCATCGTCCCGTCATTCAATAGCTGACCCTGAGGTTTGCGACGATCTAGGTCCCTGGCGACAAGTACTGGGGTGCCCAGACTCAGCGGTAAGACGAACCCAAACGAACTCGATAGCGAATTTGCAAAATACAGTGAGTGGAGGAAAGCTGATATGCGGTTTGGAAACCAGCTCCCTGGGCAACTTCGACATCAACCAGCCCCAGGACCGCATGCCCGCCCCCGTTGTCAAGGCGTTCGGTATTCTCAAGGGTGCCGCTGCTACTGTCAACATGAAGTACGGCCTTGGTGAGTAATGCATACATCATACGACGGTGACTGGATTCCGGACCTCAGTACTGATAACTGTCTCCTACAGACCCCAAGGTCGGTGAGGCCATCAAGCAGGCCGCCGCCGAGGTCGCCGAGGGCAAGCTGCTGGATCACTTCCCTCTGGTCGTCTGGCAGACCGGCTCCGGCACCCAGTCCAACATGAACTCCAACGAGGTCATCTCCAACCGTGCCATTGAGATCCTCGGTGGCACCATGGGCACCAAGAAGCCCGTCCACCCCAACGACCACGTCAACATGTCCGCCTCCTCCAACGACTCCTTCCCCACCGTTATGCACATTGCTGCTGTCCTCGAGCTCGAGAACACCCTCCTGCCCTCTCTCCAGAAGCTGCGCGATGCTCTCCAGGTCAAGGTCGAGAAGTGGGACAAGCTGATCAAGATCGGCCGTACTCACTTGCAGGATGCCACTCCCCTCACTCTGGGCCAGGAGTTCTCCGGCTACGTTGCCCAGCTTGACCGCAACATTGAGCGTGTCCAGGCTTCCCTCCCCCACCTGCGCTTCCTTGCTCAGGGTGGTACCGCCGTCGGCACTGGTCTGAACACCTTCAAGGGCTTCGACGAGGCCGTTGCCGCCGAGATCACCAAGATGACCGGCACCGAGTTCAAGACCGCCCCCAACAAGTTCGAGGTCCTGGCTGCCCACGACTCCGTCGTCGAGGCCTCCGGTTCCCTCAACACTCTGGCCGGCTCTCTGTTCAAGATCGCTCAGGATGTCCGTTACCTCGGTTCCGGCCCCCGCTGCGGTCTCGGCGAGCTGATCCTCCCCGAGAACGAGCCCGGTTCTTCCATCATGCCCGGCAAGGTTAACCCCACCCAGTGCGAGTCCCTGACCATGGTCTGCGCCCAGGTGATGGGTAACCACGTCGCTGCTACCATCGGTGGCATGAACGGCCAGTTCGAGCTGAACGTCTTCAAGCCCGTCATGATCCGTAACCTGCTCCACAGCGTGCGTATCCTGTCCGACGGCATGGACAGCTTCCGTCTCCACCTGGTTGGGGGTCTCGAGGCTAACGAGACCCGCATCAACTCTCTCTTGCACGAGAGGTATGTTCCATCGCATTGACCCTGCACCCCTTTCCCCTTCTTCCATTCCTCCACGACCCCTTGTTCGATAGTACAAACTCTAACTTTTCTGCTATTAGTCTGATGCTCGTGACCTGCCTGAACCCCGTCATTGGTTACGACATGGCCTCCAAGGTGGCCAAGCACGCTCACAAGAAGGGTATCACCCTGAAGGAGAGCGCCATGGAGCTCAAGGCTCTCAGCTCCGAGGAGTTTGACCAGCACGTCCGCCCCGAGCTGATGCTGGCTCCCAAGGAGAAGAAATGAACGGATCGCACCACGGTGTTGTGTCCGAAACTATGTGCCACTATAGACAAGTCTAGATAGGCTTTGTATACTGAAAATTTATTTGCATCTCATCTAATGTTGCTGATCGGTTGTAGGATAGCTTGTTGCTATATGCCGTGAGTGTGAACCACCGTAGTGAGATAGATTCTGTGCCCTGTAGAAGAAGGGCTAGTTGTCCCAAGAACATGCCGAGGCTTTACTTTGGGTAAAGACATATGATAAGAACGAATAGCCATGAAAATGATTTAACAGAGAGCAGTTTGTGGCTGATGTATCGAGCTAGAATCTAGGTTTATGCTGATCATGGGAATTGGCCTCGATGGACAAACATGGCTAAGGTTAGCTGAATGATAAGAATCCCATCTCCGATTTTTCTCATAGTTCCAATAGTTACCGTAAGAATCTGCAGCCGTCAAAAAATTAACCACTAAGAAAGACAAAGGACCTAGCGGCGTAAAGAATCGAAGAGTATATTAATAGTAGCACAGCCGAGGGGCCACTCTTGTCTCGGCGTCTCAGCCACCAGAACCGTGGAAACTGCTTTGCAAGGCTGCTTGTTGACCGTCCTCCTTGCTCGGCTTCAATTACTTTTTCTTACACGAGATTCGCATTTCTTTCCTTCTAGACACCTTCAATTCTTAACTCCCCTTTTCTGGCACCTTTTGTCTTCCAACAATTACCCATATCATCGCCCAAATTTGCCCCCTCAGTCGATCTCCCTTGCGCTAAAACCCCGCCGTCTCAACCCCATTCGCCCCTCCCCTGACCGATTAACACAAAAACCCACTGCGATCGCTATTCCTCTTCCTCCTCCCTCCTTCTCCCTCTCTTACACTTACAATCGATTACCCCAAAGAGTCAATCTTAAAATACAACAACAAATACACAATGAGCACTCCCGCCGTGGCAGCAACCACCATCCCCGAACCCACCAACACCAAGCCCATCATGAACTCCACCGTCACCCCCGTCGACATCGAGACCGATGGCCCCCTCTTCCCCTCCTCCCTGATCTCACCCGAAATCATCTCCATCCTCCCAACAGACTATACCATCCGCCCACTGCGTCGCTCCGACTACAAGCGCGGGTACCTGGATGTCCTGCGCGTGCTGACGACCGTCGGCGAGATCAGCGAGGACCAATGGAACCAGCGCTATGACTGGATCGCTTCCCGCAACGACGAGTATTACATGCTTGTCGTGTGCGATGGGCAGGATAACATCGTCGGTACTGGCAGTTTGATTGTGGAGCGCAAGTTTATTCACTCGCTTGGTATGGTGGGCCACATTGAGGATATTGCGGTCGAGAAGAATCAGCAGGGCAAGAAGTTGGGTCTGCGGATTATTCAGGCTTTGGATTTTGTTGCTGAGAAGGTTGGCTGCTACAAGGTGATTCCCCTTTATTCGTTTGCGCGGAGAGTGTCACATACTAATGATTATACCAGAGCATTCTGGACTGCTCCGAGGCCAACGAGGGCTTCTACGTCAAGTGCGGCTTCAAGCGTGCCGGTTTGGAGATGGCTCACTACTACTGAGCGGGCTTGCAGCTATTTGGTGTCCACTACTTTTGGGGTTTCGGGTTACCGGCGTTCAAGGCATTCGAATCATCAGCCTGGCAGGGCTTGTACATCGTGCACGACACAATTATATATTTTTTTATTGGAAAAGCAAAACCGCCCACCGTTTATGACCGAGTTACCGGCCACGACTGGAAGGAAAGCTTCGGGCCGAGTCGCAGTGGGTGTGCAAATATCGTCCTCCGAGTTTTCAGAGCGATCGATCCTGGGCATGGTCCAACCCAATGACCTCGGTCTATTTGAGCATACTGTGGCTAGCATGAGAACCGAGAGTGCTGTCATTATAGCTGTTGCATTGAGAATGCTGGACAGTTGGCTTTGTTAGACTGTTTCGTATGTATAGTGCTTTTGGGTGTCAAGGCAAGAGGTTGGACTATCAGGAATTGATACTCGAGAGACTCGAGAAGGCTGGAACAGTTTAGATTTTAGATGTTAATAGACCCCTTGCAAATGCAATCAATCATTTCAGACAATTGGCCCTCCACATTCTCCATACTACGTCATGAGAATTCAATAAATCCATAGGATAGCGGATCGACGTTCAATTACTGGCATCCACCATAGATCCTACAAGAGTAGAGGACCCAGAGGCAGGCCATCCAGATGTAGACCTACACTGTACGACCCGGTCTATACTATAATAGTATGTACCACAAGCCGTACACGTACAGCACGGAGGACCAAAGTCTCATAGTGCCAAACACAGAGACTCAAAGAGAGAAACACAATTTCTTGCGGTGGTTTGAAAATTTTCGTAGATTCCTTTGATTCCCATTTTTCTGCATAAACAATGTTCCAGAATCAAGGGTAAAAAAAGTAGATTTGGCCGATAGCCCCGTCCTCATAGAGACCGTCGAACTCCAGCACCCGAGTTCCGCAAGTTCCATCATATCGCGAACCGTCAACACGAAAGAAACACAAACACCTCTCTTTTTCCCCAATTGCCAGACCTCGTCTTCGTCATAATTTTTTGGGTGTTTAAATTTAGCGAGACTTGGCGGCGACCTTGGGGGCAGAGCCCTTGGCACCCTGCTTGGAGGCGATGCGCTGAGCACCACCCTTAGCGGCGCTGGCAGCGGTCTTGGCCTTGTCGGCCTTCTTGGCAGCGCTGGCGGCGGCCTTCTTCTCCTTGGCCTCCTTGATGGCCTGCTTGCGGGCGGCCTCACGGGCCTCGGGGCGCTGGGTGCGGCGCTCCTTGATCTGCTCGAGGGAGGCACCGACGATGGCACGCTGGTGCTTCACGACGCGGCGGGTGCGCTTCTTGGCGACCTCCTATATAGTCACGAAATAAGACCCGGTCAGCATTCTCCAATTCTCAAAGGTGTTTTCTTGTCCATCCATTCTCGTGGTATCATAATCATATAATCATGATTTCCTCCTCTTGCACCGTCTGTTCGAGAGTATCGAAATATCGAAAATTGTGTGTCTGATCAGACGGCCTTGTATTCCACCACATATATTCCAAACGAAAACCAAAGGAGGGGTTGATAACGGACCTCAGAGATACCCTTGCGGTGCTGGCGGCGGTAGAGGACAGTCCAGGCGATGCGGCGGGGGTTCTTCCGTTGGAGGAAGAGCGACTCGGACTTGCCATTCTGGAAGCGGAAGATCTTGCTGTCGCCACGGACGTACAGCTTACCCTATAAACGAGCAAGACACAATATTAGCGAAACCGTAAAATCCCAGAGAAATGAATATCGTGTGCGCAACGAGGGGTTTCAGCGAAATCGTGGGGACGTAGGTTCGTGAGGTAGGATACGTGAATGGGCTGGTGAGATCGCAATGTCGAGGCGTTGTCGGTCGTTGAAATCGCACAATTCCCGTTCATTCTCCTCCCACACGCCGACGAGGGGGGAAATTTAAGAACGCACCTTGCCGGGGTAGATCTTCTGGCCGCTGAAAGCGTCGTCGTAGGTACGCATCTTGACGGGGGATGCGCTGACGAGGTGTCGGTTGGCGTTTGGTGATGGTCGAAAATCGGGGATCGCGGTGTTCTTCCTTGCTGGGTCCAATTGTGGTGCGCCTCGCTAAAGTGCGACACGTGATCTGGGCTGCCCTTTTGCGGATGGTAATCCCCACGTGACCCCGTTATCGTTATTAGCGGGGACCATGACATTGCACTAGACCATTTTTGGAACAGACTACAACGACCACAGTAACTATGACTTTAGAGAGACTGCTTGTCCTGGGTTTGTTTAGCTCCTCTGTATTTCATGAATATTAGGAAATTAGTACTTGCCGAAGGAAATAAATGGGGGCCAGTAATTAAGCAATATCTTCCAACCTGTTACCATTACCTCTTGTTATGCCCCTTAGAATAGGCTACCAATGGAAACACCAGAGTTCTCATTCTAAATCATAATTATTGTCCCTGGCTACAAATATGGACCTGCCCTATTGAGTAATGGCATCATGAAGGTGGATATACTCAGCATGGATCATGCTTTCCTTCTGTTACACCTCGACCTGCTTTTAGGTAGCATCAAGAGCCGTCAAATACTTGATAATCCGAGTTCTTGTTGTCAGCAGGGGTTTCTTTAGCCTGTTTTGGACAGCACACGCAACGGAATAGGATTGGTATTGACCAAATTGAGTTACGGAGGAGACCATTTTATTCAAAACACCTTTGACAGGGTCTCGGCATTTTATTCATACCTGTACCCAGACCATATCATTCTCTTTCAACCATTGTGTGATCATCTCATATATTCCGAAAATGAACCCAAAAGGAGCAAATTATTGGCTCTTGATCATAAGTCAGGTGTTTATAACATGCCTCGCTTGGGGACTATCGCTGTTCTTATCAATCAAAGCAGCGCAGTATGCAGCCCAGAGCGTCGACAACTTTTGGAAAGTTTTACTCTGCCTACCCCTACTGCTGATACTGATATGTATTGTACCAGTTCTATTAATCCAGAAAATTGTATGCTCTATCCTTCCTTGGTAATGAAAAACCCTGCTAACAATACCCAGGGCAGAGTGACCAATTCTGTCAACCATGTGGATCTCGAATCTGGCCTGGAGCTCGAGGAGCAGAGTCAACGATCAGTAACTGAGTACTATTTGCCGGAATTCTTTACTTCGGAAACCCCGTCCTCGGGAATGAGATACAGTCCTATTCACAACTGGATCGCTGAGCTGCCATCAGCTGAACCATACTTGGTCTGGGATGTCGATCAGTCCGATTTTGACAGCTCTGATTACATCACCTCTGATAGTTCTGATTACATTACCCTCAAGTGCGAATCAACAATAGGGAGCACCCAGGCGAATTCTCAGAGTACAACGTCTTGATTCCAGCGGCAGGTCACAAGTCTTAATCATGAAATCCCAGAAAAGATACAGCCAGATTCATTTCAACTTGCCTTCAAGATACCTGCCTGAATGGGCCGTGAACCGTTGCTTATGTATTTCATGCAATACTTCTTACTTCGTTTTTCAAAGCATGGCCGATGGAATTATCGTGAAGTTTGGTCGAAGGTTCAAACTTGAGGAACTGCACTGTGTCACTTTCTGTTCCCCTGGTACCTGTGCGACGGATATGATAGACACCTTCGAGGTGGTTGCTGAATGAAGCTTTAGGGATGTGAATTAAATTATTGATACTTATTCAAGAATCGCTATTCTTACCACTCCTAATCCTATGAATGTGTACATAATAGTAAATTTCCGCTCATGCCCGTAGTATCTCCAACCTGAATTACATATTTAGTAGCACTAGGTATTCCATCCATCTCTTATATCGTGTAGGGCTCCTGCCACTCCGTTCAACCCGCCAGCCACAACGTTGTGATGCATGGCTCAACCGCGGTAGAGCCGGAGATGTCTCTGCGGACCTTGAGTGAGGAAGCAAAAGTAATAAACACCGATAGTGAGGATCTCCAAAAGTTGGTTAGATAATGATCTATCTTACTACTATCTATGAGCTAGCCTTAAAAAGAGTTGATATCTCCATGAATCGAACCCACGACCTCTCGCTCCCTATATACTTCACGACGATGCTCCATGGACAGCCCACGGCTTCAACGCGATACAGCACCTAATCAACAACACATAATAACACCACCAGATCACCTTTTTAATCCTTTAAATAGAGACCATAAGTTCTATAGAATTTAGTGATTAATTTGATATAGAGAACATATACTAAAAAGGCTTTAAAATGCAGTAATACCGTAGGGTAGTTAGAATTCAAAAAACTTCACCCGCTGGAGGCCGCACCTGCTCCACAGAAGCTTCCTCGCAGTTACGATCTCCGAACCCACCGAAGTGGCTACAGCAGCCGGGGAGTTAACCCACTAGGCTACCGGGCAGGATCAGTTGCTGATTTCAACTGGAAGTAAATGATAACACCTCATACGATTCCAAGGCATCATCAGCTTACAAATACGTCTCAGTTCCATTCCACCCGACTTCCTCCTCTCCCACGCCTGCCCTTTCGAGTCCTTATTTTCAACCATCCTCTTTCTGCAAGTTTTTGCCTCTCTCATGGTTCAAGCAGGTGGACCAGCCTTGGTTCTCCGGACTTGTCTATTCGCACTATGTTTTGCAGTATTAGGGAATATCCAGGATGTCTCAGGATATTGTGATATCCATGAAGTCCAGTCAGAACTGCGTCTCCTCAAAGCATAGCTCCATTACGCCGAGTATGCACCAGGTTGTTATACAGCGCAATTTCCGCCAAGACTGCGACAAATGCTGTATGTTACCCAGAAGATCATTGCCAGCCCATTACATAGGACTACGATCAAGACTGACCTCCAGCCGTTTAGGCTCTCGGAAGCAGACCTGTACAAAGGAATCTGATGGCTGTTCTCTCTGCAAAAGCTTAGGCATTCACTGTCATTATTCCCTTGGGAAACCCACAGGTCGTCACCAAAAAAGCTCTACCTTCTGCTACTGGCGTTGGAGACCCACAAGTGACCACTTACTGGAGATCGGGGAAGCCCGGAGTATGAGCAGCTAAAGGATACACCGCTTGATCCGGAGCAGTGGCGGCAGACGACGCGTGCGCTTCTCAGAACAGATATGTATGGTAGTGTCGAGGGAGGCATTGCGGGCAGTCCAAGGGAACGGAAGAGGGACAACATTTAGGTCTTCAAGGGATGATCACGATGCTAGAGAAGCTTGCAGTGACAGGACCTTTGCATCATCATCAGATGGCTTTGGGTCCTCACGGGTCAGATAGGAAGGCTTCGGGGGAAGATTTGAGAGACACGACCAAGCGGAGTGTCAACAAACTCATAGTATTTTGAATACGACAGATATCTGGATGGTTCGATGTGAAAGACCATATTCATTTTACAATCATCGGTTGCAGATTATATACAACAATCACCTATGCATACATACATCATCCAGACGGGATAATTCAGCAATTAAAAAGCGCGAGCCCGCTTGCCAGACTTCTTGCTCTTCGGCTTCAGCAGCGTCAGAGAATCACCAACCTTTCCATCCTCGCCGCGGATGTACTCCCACTTCAGGGTATCTGCGCTGACGACAGTCAACTTGCTGAAGCCAAAGTCCTTGTTGTTGAGGACAGCAGTGATGTTCTCCTGGCTCTGGCCGGTGCTGAACTCGCTGTGGCTCTCGATGTTACCGGCGGCACCGTTGATGAGGTGAGTCATGGACTTGCCGGGGTTGGCGCGGTAGGTGTTGTTGTTGATGATGGAGGCAGTGTCGATGGTGCCGTTGGTGCCGAGGGGGAAGAGGCGCTCGTACCAGTGGATGTGACTGAAGATTGGTTAGAAAGGCTCTTTTAAGTGTTCTTTGACGATGACTTGATAACTTACCCGGAAATGTACGCATCGACACCGTTCTCGAGCATCAGGCTCTCGAATGCCTGGCGGAGGTGCAGCTGGTAAGAGGAGTAGGCAGAGCTGTACATGGGACGGTGGCTCATGGCAATGACCCAGGGAGTCTTCTTGCGGTCCACGCTCTCCAGATCCTTCTTCAGCCACTTGTACTGCTCATAAGACTTGGTGTCCTTGACGCTGCCGTCGACAGCACCGAAAGGACCACTGTCAGTGATGAAGGTCTCCGACTCCTTGGGGTGGGTCTCGTTGCCGGAGAGATCCTCGGCGAAGGACCACTCGGGGCTGTTAGCGAAGTCGGTTTCGCCGTCGATGGAGACGAAGTGGGCAAGACCGTAGTCGAAAGAGTACCAGAAGTTGCCGACACCGCCGGACTCCTCACCGGGCATGCGGAAACGGTGCTGGTAGGCAGTGAAGTTTCTATGCATCTGTCAGTAACGTCTACCAAGATCGTAGCATGGTGTCTTCTCTCACCTCTGGGAAGGCGGGCAGCTATAGTAAGTCAGAGCATCCTCAGCAGCACTGCTGTTGGCCTTGTTGTCATTCAGATAAGCAGTGAGGATGTTGCCGGGGCCGTCGAACTCGGCACAAGCAGCTTCGTGGTTACCGGGCAGAACCATGTAGGGAATCTTCTTGGTGACATCACCCATCCACTGCTGCCACAGATCCCAGTTAGACTCGTACAGGACGCTCATATCACCACCCTGGGGACCACCCTGGTTGGCAATCTCGCCCTTAGGGAGGGGCTTCTTGTACTCGTCGGGGATGGGGCCGCCGCCGGGCAGAGTAGTGCTGGTGCCGTTGTAGCAAACGGGCCAGTCATCGGCACAAGGCAAAATACCCGAGTACCAGTCATCAGCATAGCTGATATCACCACCGTGCCAGGCGAAGGCAGCACCCTCGCTGGCGGCCTGGGCCAGGTACTTGTGAGTACCGTGGGCATTGGTGTAGCCCATGTCGTTCAGGACAGCCACGCTGAACTGCTTGGAGTCACCGGCCTTCTGGGCGGTCTTGAAGCTCAAGACTTCGGACGCGGTAGTACCATTGGCAGCAGGAATCTGGTAGTAGTAGGTGGTGCCAGGACTAAGGCCGTCGAGAGAGACCTCGTGGAAGAATTGACTGCACTGGGTGACGGCCTTGATTTGGGAGCAAGACGGAGTTCGGTCATAGCTATGGAATGTGTTACTAAAAGGCCAATTGAGAATAGATATCGGGTTGATCGGGTACTTACGTGTGGGTGAAGCCTGAAGCAACCTTGTTAAGGTTCTTAGCGTTTTTCCCCCACTTGATCTCCGGAGCACGGCCCAGGCCAAAGGGAGTCTGGTAGTGAATGTGAATGCCATCGGGAATGTAAGACAGCGAAATCACATTAACGTTGTTGGTCGGGTTGGAGGAGGCGGGCTTCACAGCAGGCGGCTCAACCAGACGGGGGAATCCCTTGCCATTGCCATTGATGGTAGGATCAACCCAATCGCCAACAGGAACCTCCGGACCCGTGTAGGCGTACTCGGTATCGACAGTAGGGCGGGCATTGACAGCTGCGGACAGCGCCAGCAGGACAGAAGCGGTGGTAGCCTTCATGGTGAGAGGAATTGGAGCCCGTATCGCAGATCAAGACGATCGCGAGGCGGCCGGGCCTTATCTATCTGGGGGAGCTGCCATAGCGACGGTCGAGAAAGCTGCAGCCACGCGCTGATAAGCGACCATCAAGGTAAAGTCTTTCCACGTGCAAGGGGATAAGGGCGCCGATTGGCATATCAGCGGGATGTTTAGACGAGGCCGTCAAGGTGGGATCAAGCAAGCTAAGCCTGCTAAGAGTCGAGCTAAACCCAGCCCGACCAAACTAAAGCCGGACTCCGCACTTGACCGACGACACATGGGCGCTGCGCGGGAAACTGATTGGCGGCGCAGGCTTAACGGGATTGGCTTGTCCAAACGGATCATTTGGCAGGGGAATTGGAGAATGTAATTCGCTAATCCATAAAGGGGATAGCCACTTGCGCGACAGGCACGATCGGATCGGCTATACAACTACGGAGCCACTGATGTGCCTGGCATTCATTTTAGCCTGCAGTCAGTGGATGGCGGGTTGTATAGCTCTCGGTTTGGTAATTGCAATTTACTCTGCTTCCTTTCTAGGTTATCTCCCCGACCGGCGCGCCTTGGTTCTTATGCGCCATGCTTCTATACGATGTTCTAGCTGCAGGTTATCACCCATCGGCATTCTCCGACGGATGCATATTCAACTTTTCGCAGACTCGAATCTCCGCTTATATCATCTGTCTTCCAATGATGTCGAGTATTTTAGCAACATGCTCGTGTTGTGGGGGTTGACATCATTGTCAATGACCACCATTCTGGCCAAGAAGTCCATGAGTTAAGCTATAGGTCCCTTATGTCGGCTAAATAATGCATTATTACGAGAGTGCCAAGCGTATATTAGTCGTACTTTCAAAAGGAAATTCTACCTAAATTGACTTGGCAGAGTTCTGTTATGCATTTTACAGGGCAAGTCTCCGTGCCCAATCCGTTTTGTAGCTTCTTCAATAGCTGGCTTCCAATCTCACATTCTTTATTGTACTTATATTTAAGGACCGTAAACTTCGCTACCTAATTATACAGCTTTTGCTAATGTGAAGAACATTAGATCTCTGTGACGTTTTGTCCTTCTAATCCAAATTTAATGGATGGAGTGTGGTTCCTGGCTTTGAGAATTCAGGCTTATATGTGCCGTTATACACAAGGCTATCTGGGAGTTTGGCATTCGATCCCTGAAGCTTTTATGGTCTCAAGTTTTGTCACACTTCAAATGTATTGTTAGACGATCTTTCATGAATTCTCTGCCGTTTAATCTCGTTCATTTTGGATTAGTCTCGAGACAGATGTGGGGAGAAAACCCCCAGATATTTAAGAGCATTGTCCTTACTTCACAGCGAGCATCTGACAGAGCCATTGAATCCTATGACCCTAACATAACTCAAATGAGTAGGATCAGGGGCATCAATAAGCAAACGAGGTAATTCAGAGAACCAATCCTGTCAAGACATACTTCCTACCGGACTAACCTTATTCCGCCACACGGGAAAAAAGCCGCGACTGAAGTCATCGGCTCTTCCGTGCAGCAACAGTCAACACCACGGAGACATGCTGTCTCCGTTGAAGTCGTCTGCTCCGTCAGCCTCTCTGCTGCGTTTTCTGCGCTCCCAGTCTGGCTTTGTGAGTGGTCCCGCAGCATGTGTGCGGTCCAGGCCACGGGCGCCATGTCATGAGGCCCTGACGGCGGTATCCCGAAGTACGTCAAGCTGGGCACGCCAGGACGCATGCCAGAGCTGCACGAAGTCGAACTCGGCAACATTCTGTCTATCCGAGAGCAGACCAAAAGCCTCCGTGAGACCTTTCTCATTAGAACCGCTTGCGCTTACACGACATGCCTCCACGACTCGCCGTCCATTTCTCCGAAGATTGTTTGACCTCAAACGCGGCAAGACTGCCGACCTCAAGGGCCATCGCAACCAGGGCCCTGCCACGACCGACGAAGGAACCGAGGGACTTTTCAACATTGGCCGGGGACTTGCGGCGAAGGCCTCAAACGAGCTTCGGATCCGGTGCACGGAATTCGACAACAATGGCGACGTCACACTGGTGAATGGGGAATTTCGCAAGTCAGAATTGATCGCCAAGGTAGGTGCTTTTCACCCTTTCAACGTAGAGGCTTCTTGTCTGACTTTCTACAACAGTACGGTCTCCTCCCCCGCGACCTCCGCAAGATCGACTCTTCGACTCTGCCTCATATCCTGGTCCGACCAAGCGCGATCCTAATCAACCTCCTGCACCTGCGCGTTCTTATCAAAGCTGACCGTGTGCTTGTGTTTGATGCATACGGGTCAACTGATTCGTATATGCAGTCGCTTTTCATCTATGATCTCGAGGGAAAGTTGCGCCAGAAGCAATCTCAAGTCGCCCCTGCTGGTCAGGCGCTTCCTTACGAGTTTCGCGCCCTGGAAGCGGTTCTCATCAGCGTCACCACTGGCTTAGAAGAAGAGTTCAACGGGGTTAGAGAACCTGTCGTTCGAGTTCTCCGTGCACTGGAAGAAGACATTGATCGCGACAAGCTTCGACATCTCTTGATCTATTCCAAGAAACTGGGTACTTTTGAGCAGAAAGCTCGCCTGGTGCGAGATGCTATTGACGACCTACTCGAGGCGGACGATGATCTAGCGGCCATGTACCTTAGTGAACGGGCTACTGGCAAGGAACGCGAAGAAGATGATCACCAAGAGGTTGAAATGCTGCTCGAGTCATACCACAAGGTCTGCGATGAAATTGTACAGTCCAGTGGTAATCTTGTCACCAACATTCGAAACACTGAGGAAGTGTAAGATCTCCCTACGACCCCTTCAGCTTGCGCATATCTAATGTCATGCAGAGTCAAAGCAATTCTCGACGCAAACCGAAATTCGCTCATGCTACTCGATCTGAAGTTCAGCATAGGCACCCTTGGCCTTGCCACAGGAACTCTCTTCTCCGCTCTATACGGAATGAACTTGAAGAACTTTATTGAAGAGTCTGATATCGGCTTTGGCGGTGTCTCCTTCGTCTGCTTCGCTTTGACTGGGGTTGTTTGCATCTACGGCCTCGCCAAACTTCGCAAACTGCAGCGAGTCCGCATGTGGGGCGAGTCTGGAGTTGGTGGCACTTCTCTGTCGCCTATCTCTCCGAGACAGGGCATCCTGAATATTCACCGCAACTGGCGCGCCGATTCCATTGAGCCCGTTTGGGGAAGCTTGCCGGGCGAGGCTCGATCGGAGCGTATAAGACGACTTCGAGAGAACGCGTTCGCGGCCGCAGCTGCTACTGCATCGAGGTTCCCCAATAACGCTTCCACCACATCGACATCCTCTGGGTTTGATGATCTACATCAATCCTCAAGCAACAAAGACAATCAAAAGAGACCCGATTCTGCTGCCGATTCTCATATGAACAGCAAGGTCTCTGCATGAACATGGCCGACTACGTTCGTTTTTCACCCTTTTGCCTTTCTGGATATACCTTTTCATTGCATCTTACTCGACTTGGCGTTTTGGTCTGGACTCATCAAGTAATAGAATCGGTCTCTGGAAGAGTGCCATTGTTTGAATATCCTGTACATTACACTACCAATCTTCCCTCCAAGCCTCCAATCGCTGCTCGGCCCGGGTCAACAAAGTTAATAGAAAGCAGAACACTCTCATGAATGAACTATGTCTTAGACACAATATTTTCACTCCAAGCCCACTCAAACACCAGAGACTCAAAGCTCATCATTTGTCTTTATCTCTCGCAGACGGAACATAGCGACTCCATGCGGCTTGACGTGTGCAGATACGCTCCCACCAGGCTTGACCGTGCTAATTTTTGATCCCATCAGTGCCTTTGATGTTGGCAATGGCACTTGCGAATAGACCTTGCTCGCACCACCCTCAGCCGTCATATTGATCGGCCGTGTCGCATTCTCTCCATCTTGGATGATCGCATTGGCAGTGGCATTGCTCATCCGTCCAGCCCATAGGTCATATACATCCCAGCTACTCTTTGCCTGCGATGCAGTGCCATCGGGTCCATTCTCCCAAAAGATATCATTCAAAGTCGCGTTCATGTCACGGGCTTTCGTTCCTCCATTCAGAAGCAGAACTAACTGGTCACCTCCACTGAGAGGTCCGCTGTACATCTGAATCTCACCGTCGTCGACGTAATAACGCCAGATCCGAACGGCGCTCGATCCCTGGGGATCTTGGGAGACTGCCAGTACAGCAGTGTTTTGCAAGATGGAAAGAGTAGGGGCGTCAATTTTGGTCATTACGTTGGTCATAAGCAATGGTGACTTTAGGGCTGCCCACAGGCTGAAGTGTGAGATGGCTTCGTCTTCAGTCAGACCACCATTGCCGACCTCTGTACGCTCCCTGTCAGTGACGAATACACGATAATTCATAACACGGATAGGAAACTCACGGAGCATATCGAGGTCATTCCATGCGCCGGCATATGCCTTAGACGGGTAGTACACTGCCTTGTTGACGACGTTCATAACTGAACAGTGATATCCTGGAAGTTTACAATCCAGCCCGTCCAGTTCAGCACAAGGGCAGTTAACATCCTCCCGATTCCAAACATTGGTCAAGTCACCACTCGTGCGCCATGAATTGGCGATGGTGGGAGCAAAGTTCCACGGCCCGTCAGATCCCCAATTGCACAGCGAATACAGGATAGGCCGACCGGTGGAATTCAAAGCTTTGCCCATGGCATTGTACCGATCATAGGAAAGCTTTGGCGTTCCTTCTTCACCTTGGTTGTAGCAGTTGTCATATTTGAGATAGTCGATCTATACAGATGTCAGTAGATCGTCGAAGATAACGTTAAGTTGAAGCAAGACATACACCCCAGCTTGCCCAGACAGCAGCATCCTTGTCTTCATACCCCAGAGAACCTGCATAACGCGCGCAAGTCATGGTACCCGCGCTGGAATAAATACCAATCTTCAATCCCATATCGTGAATCTTATCCGCGACATCTGCAATTCCATTGGGGAATTTCTGACTATCTGGAACGAGGTATCCAGAAGAGTTTCTACCAGCAGACCAGCAATCATCTAGCACGACGTAATTGTAGCCGAGATCTTTGAAGCCCAACTCGACAATTCGTTTGGCTGCATCTAGAATGACAGTCTCATTCATGCTGCAGGCAAATGAATTCCACGTATTCTATAACTGTCAGCTTTGCTCTTCAATTGGCAAGACAAATCGACTCCTCATGCCATACATACCCATCCCAATTGCGGAGTTCGTGCAAGACCATTGTCCAACGCAGTAGCTAGCCCTATGGCCAAGAAGAATACAGTAACACGCATGGCTTTGAGATTGACCAAAATTTACACACTGTACTACTGTAAGCTATATGTTAATGTAACCTTATATACCCCGTGGGGAGCGGGGTATTACCCGGAGGAATGTCGGTGCTGACGTCGATGTCTCTTTTTACCCGATTCTGAAGAAACATGACAAGAAATCACCGAAATTAAACCGCGACTAAACCAATGCATGCATGATCTGCGCAAATCAGAGTTGTTTGAAATTCTATTTGGGTATCTGAGCATCGTCAGTGTGGTTGGTGGCTTTTCCTTGGTCCTTCTGGAGGCCCCGTGCACGCTCGATCCAAATCTGTGCAGAAGCTTGTATTCCCCTTTCCCTTGAGCATTCGCGTTCGACGATTTCCATAACATTCTGCACAACCCGAGTAGCCTGGTTTGCTTGAACTTCGCCTGCTGTGGATGTGCTACTAGACCCTAGCTGCCTCCACTGCTCGGTCACTCGCTGCCGACCTCCAATCACTCCCATGTTTCTTGTACTCGGGATGCGAAGGAGAGTCTTCTCTACTTGATATCCAGCTTCCTCGGCGACAGTGATAGTTTTCGCCGTGAGAAGACCATACATGGATGTCCACATGCCATTCTCAGTCTTCTCTGCTTGTTTGGCGGCCCTCAATGCTTTTAGGTCGCCCGAGGCTGGCTGCGGATTTTGCTCTGTCTGTTGATCTGCTTTCTCTGTGGCACCAGTGGAAGTCTTCGGCTTGGTTCCCTTTGGAAGGGGATAGCGATATCGAGCTCCAGAAAGCGAATGAGAACAGCATGGTATGGCGATAAATGGGAGAGGAGATTCTGGACACGCCAGAGCAGCAATAAGCGGAGTCCACACGGTAAGTTCGTCGGCGTGATTTGATATGATGAATGTATCACGCGGGAAATCACCCTTGGTTATATTCATTCCAATATCACCGGCTTCAGCGATATCTGCAAAGGGCTTGGGAATGAGAATTTTCTCCGTGAGACGTTCCTGGACCCATGAAGGGTAGATGCTCCATGATTTACGTCGACGGGCATCGAATCCGCAGCCCGAGTAACCTTCCATGAGGAGAATATAGACTAGCACTCCATTTCCACACGCCATGTCCACGAATCCCGGGAATTTGCTAGCCTCGTTGTGTTCAGTGGGATTCTCCTTCGGTGGAACGACACCGTACATCATTCGCCATAGCTCAATGAGAAATGCGGTGATGGCCAAATCTTCATAGACGTGCTTGCTTGGTTCGGTGCTCTCAGCCCAGTTTTCACAAAGGTCGGCGGCATATAGAGTCTTGAGTCGTGCATAGGTGTTTTGAGCCATGTGACGAGGGACGAGATTATCTTTGGAAGAGCTCGTCTTGTTCGTGCTCTCGATTTCGGGCTTATCTTTAGCACCACGAGTAAGTCGAATGTAGAAGTTGAGGAGGATATGCAATGTGCGTTCTAGCCGATCGGGGATATCACTTGAGAATGGCAGGAAATGCACAGACATGACACCGGTGTTTGAACCTTGGAAGTCATATAGAGTAGCGAGTCCTTTCAGCTTTGGGTGGTAAAAAGGAATGTCCTCTTGAGACTCGATGTGTGGAAGGGTCATAGTCAGCACACGTTGTCGCTGTAAGTGTGGGCCATTATTCGCGTGCTCTCCATCACTTTCCGAGGGGGCATTTTGGGATTTGTAGAAATGACAAGTTTGGACAACTGGCTTGTCAATATTTTGATTTCGAGGAATCATTTTTCGAATGACAGTTCTGACGAGATCGAAGCCAGTCACTCGAGCTGCAGGCTTGGCCATGACTGTTGTCTCTGGTATTTCTGGCGCGGTTGCACCAGACGTCCCAGCAAGCTCTTCGTCCTGCTGGGGTGTTTTGAGGATACCCTGGCTGTCGAATAATATATCCGCACGGAACAAGTGGCTTGAAGTAATGTTCGGATTGGCCATGAGAAAAACTGCAGTTTCGTAGAAATTTTCTGGAGAAAAGGACAATCCAGCTTCACTAAGGTCTGAAGATGTGAGCCAACCATCCGAGTCCATTTCCAGGACTTGACAACTTGACTCCATAGTTTCTTTGAGGGGATTCCCTGAGAGCTTGCTCAGGTCGCGCACGTTCTTTCGGTTTGGCATGTTGGGATCTTGCTGGTTTCATTGAAGTGGGATTTCCCATATCTCAAGAAAGAAGACGAATGACGGTCCTAAAAGGACGAGCCGCAGCCGTATGTGTCAAGATATGAACCTTTTGGTCTTTTAATGGTATTTTATCCAGATTTTGTCGCCTCTCCCCTTAGCAACGGCGTTGGCTACTTGACCTGCGCTGCCCGATGTTTCTATGCGCGGCAGAGGGCACCGGTCACGTGATATCTATACGCATTATGCATGGGAATTGGCCATGAGAGAGGATATAAATAATAGTATCTTCCCGAAGTTTCGGGTGTACTAAGCTAAAAGATTCTGAAATCAGATGCACTATGAGCTTGTCTTTGGCAAATGTCTATGTAAAAGGTACATAATGTCTTGCATCGTCTGGCTTGATGGAATCAACCTGTTCACCAAAGTCTGCTCTCGGGACGATGTAAAACTTGATCAGAATATTCGAATTAGTTTGAGTGGACATTGTCTGATGCATTGGGTTTCTAGAGATTTGATCTGATTCGCAGGTCGACGCTATCGCGGTCAACCGTCACGCACGGCAAGGTACAAATCTGAGAGCTAGCTCCGACATTCAATAGATAACAGGAGCAGGACATCATTAAATATCCCTAAAGACCCAGGTCCCACAGTTTCACTTACACTAGGTAGATATCCCTAATCGCAACTTTCTTTGGTTTGTACACTCCGCGGGGTGCTGTTCTTCATTGGGTCTAGTGTGCGGCGTAAATGGCGTATTTGAGAGTCCCCCGCTTTAAAAGTCTATACATTAGATTAGGATTGGCAACCTAATTCATCGGTATCCGCTGCACGGCGCGATTGGCGTAATTGGCGTATTCAAAGCCTTCATGAAAGCGAGGAAGCAGGAAATCCCCGTTGTACTATCGGCTAGCCTACGAATACTCATAATCTCGTGAATATAAAAACGTCTTCAGGCTACCAGGGAAAATCATAGGATGAAGCAAGACTCATAAACATCCGAACCTTTTATCATGTCGCAAGCAACCTTCAAGCAGTACTATCTCCCTCAGAAATCAGGATTTGATAGCCTGACTTTGCGTGAAGTCCCCAAAATCTCTCCCAAATATGGCCAGATCTTAGTCCGCCTCAAAGCTGTGTCACTCAATTGGAGAGACGCGATCCTCGCAATCGGAACGTACCCATTTCCGAGCCCTGATGCGCTCGTGCCAGGTAGCGATGGGGCCGGTACGCTCCCTATTTTCTATGCTGCATCAAGCCCGCCTTTCTATTAACTTGTCTTAGGCATCGTCGAGGCAGCTGGGGAAGGAGTAGCGGAATGGAAGCTCGGCGACAAAGTCCTGGCCAATTTCACCCAAGATCACCTCGCTGGTCGACTCAATATGCAGACAATCTTGACACAACTCGAGGGCGAGACACAAGGATTACTTGGCGAATACTTCATTTTTCCCAAGACCGGAGTTGTCCGTATCCCGGACTATCTCTCCTTCGAAGAAGCATCCTGCCTTCCCTGTGCAGCCCTCACTGCCTGGAATGCTTTATACGGTCTAATGCTGTTGACAGCCGGCCAGACAGTGCTTGTCCAAGGCACCGGCGGTGTTTCGACTTTTGCTCTGCAAATCGCCCATGCAGCGGGCGCAAGGACTATCGTGACATCCTCGTCCGACGAGAAATTGGCCAAAGCGAAACAGCCCGGTGCGACACATCTAATTAATTACCGAAAAACACCTGAATGGGCTACCCAGGCCAAACAGATCACGAATGGCCGTGGAGTCGACCATATCATTGAGGTCGGGGGAACACTCACTCTGCAAGGATCGTTCGATGCTATTGCGATGCACGGAATTATCCACTGCATTGGACATATTACGAACCCCGATCCATTAGGTGCTGGTAAAGACCTTCGTGGCCCGGATGCTGCTTTCCTGGCATTGGATCGATTATGTATCGTCCGAGGAGTGGTGGTTGGTTCCCGAGGGCAATTAGAGGAGATGCTAGAATGTTTCGAGACAAGTTCAATTCGACCTGTCATAGATCGAATTTTCAGCTTCGAGGAAGTCAAGGAAGCATACGAATATCTCTGGGGGTCGACACATACAGGAAAGGTGGTGATCCGTGTTGATTAGCGCGTTAGAGTAATTTATAGTAGCAACTTAGTCACCCGGTAGAACAGGAGAAAGGCGCATCCAGAAGATAGAACAATAAGACTCTCGTTGTGGGTAGTCGGTTCTATACAGTAAAAATCCAGGCAGGTTCCTAGCAGTCGCGAGATCAAGACAATCGCACAGCGTAATGCCTATTTGTCAGCCGCTTAAGGCTGTGACGGGAGATAACCTTCCATGGGTAGTAACATTCATCACAGCCCCACGCAAATTGCTAGGAAATTTCAACACTCTACTTGACACTTAAGCTTTTAGCTTCCTACATAACCTCTTGTGGGAGTATCTCTTGCGCAGACAGGATGCTCGTCCCTGCCGAGACCATGAAGCCAGTGAGACGCCGCAATGGCTCCAAGCATGACAAAACCGGGTGCTTAACTTGCCGCTACAGGTAGGCGTTTGTATTTCGATTCCAATTGCAGTCGGGACTAAAGACGCAAGGCAGACGCAAGAAATGTGCCCACAACAGTTTTCCTGTCTGCGGAGACTGCAGTCGTCTGAATCTTCACTGTATTCGTGAACCGGCCCGTCAAGTCTTGCCTGTCACAACCTATCCCCTGGCAGACGGTTTGTCTCGATCGAAAGGTTCTGGATTGCATGGGGATTTTGAATACGCCCAACGTCGATCTGCCATGCAATTCTACATCACGACCCTTTCTCGGCTTCTGACTGTCTCCGAAGAGGAGAATTGCTTTATTTCTGGTAGCATCTTTTGAATATCCTAAAAGTCGCAACGAAGTCTCGCTCTAACTGAATTCACTCTAGCGTTTCTGCCCATGGCAATGGAGTCGTCCACACTGAGAGATGCATTAGTGGCCTGGTCGGCGGGCCATCTGGCCCTTCGTGACGATCGCTATCACTCTACAGCACTTGAAGCACGATCACGCGCTCTCAAGTCTCTAGCGAGTTCTCTTCCCGCTGATAGAATTGCTGCCGGGGAGATTAATGCTGCTACCGGTCTGATCCTTACAGGGTACGCCCATTCCTCCCTCATGCGTCCCGAAATATTAACCAGAAACCGATCTATGTATTCGAGTATTTTATTGTCCCGCAACTCGTGAGCCGCTTCAAGGTTTGTGAGAGCAGTGCATAATACTCTAGGCGGCTGGTTGAGATGATACGCCGTCTCAATTGAGCCATCTGCGTTCCGTTTCCCAAAATTGTACGCAACAACTCCACCTTTTTTCTTTTCACTGCTAATAACCACGTCGCCGAGCCGGATGTCGAGTCCACCGTCTCCACAGTCTGGGATGCCAGCGCCAATGCCCACCATCAAACCGATTCGTATACTAGGAAAAGTCGATAGCATGTCGTTGGCGACTAGAGCAGCAGAAGGGCTACCGACTTCTGCCCTCGGAAGGCACGCTATAACCACATTATGGTGTCCGATAGAACCCAGAGCATATGTATTGTTGTCAGTCTTCCGTGGGAGATTTTGCGGGGCCCCGTGTTCCTTGTCTAACATGCCCTTCGCGGCGGCTAGTTCGAGAGGCAGGGCAGTGATCCATCCTATATGGTAAGCCTCATTTGGATATACGGAATAGCACTCATTCATGGTGTTCACGGAGACTTTGATATCTTGATCAAGGTTTTGCTGCATTATATATGGTCCAGGGGTTGCTATCTTAGTCAAAGGAAGCCAATATTGTGACAACGGAGATATGGGTGTAATCTTTCAAGTAACTAGCAGCAGACAGCAACGCTAGATGTACTTATATGCTGAAGAACAAGATTCAGCTCAACGACACTATTTGGAAATCTTGAAGGATGCGACCCAAGGAAGTCTCCGAGGAGGTAATGAGAGAATCCCAAGACCAGATGAAGCACCTCAAAGGAGAAGGAAAGTGCTGTTGCCACGTCATCAGGCTAACACGGCGGTGTAGATCTGGGGCAAACCTATGGGAATCTGATGTCGAATTCGGCAGTAGCTATGCTTTCGTTACAAAGTCAAGCAATTGAACCACTACCAAGATCATGCGCTTCGGACCAAAAGACTATAATTACATCAACTTTAGCAATTATTATCCCCATCGAAGCTACCAAAAGTAGTTTAACCGGACATCACTAGTGTGTACAAAGTACGGAGTACGTTGATCCGACACGAGTCTCTATAGATTCGAACTCGAGCCTCTAAGATCATTCCAATTATCAAGTAGAAACAGCTCTACCGCACGAAATTCAAGATCTACACCTCTTCCAGTTCCAAACATTGCTTCCCATATCGAAGAAAAAAGAAAAGAAAACCAAATAACTGCTACTTCTCCACCATCGATTAGGGTAACCCACCTAAGATTAACTAATACCCTCGTAAGAAAGCGATAAGCCGCTTATCAGCCATGACGCAAACCCCGCGGCGCCCTCCAGCTTACCCAGACAAGGATCAACAACTACATCCTCAGCCAGCCATCCTTTCAATTTCCTCGTTCATTCACTTTCAAGGGGAATAAAAATGGCTCCGCGCTGCTTCATCGTCCGCCACGGCGAAACAGAATGGTCCCTCAACGGTCGGCACACTGGTACAACAGACCTCCCATTAACCGCGAACGGCGAGAAGCGCATCAAAGCCACCGGCAAAGCCCTCGTCGGTAACGACAGGCTAATCGTGCCGAAGAATTTAGTTCACGTGTAAGTAAAAGCATGGCCATACAAGCCCTCAAACCCAATTCCTATCTATCCTGATAAAACGTGACTACTAACTCAATCGCGTATATCAGATTCGTCTCCCCACGCTCCCGCGCCCAACGAACCCTCGAACTCCTCGAGATCGGCTGCCGCGAGCGTCTTCCCTGGAACCAGGAGCGGAAGGCTGAGGAGGAAGAGCCGATTCGGACGGAGGCTGGGGTGCAGATTACGGAGGCGATTCGGGAGTGGGATTATGGGGAGTACGAGGGATTGACGAGTAAGCAGATTCGGGCTATTAGGGCGGAGAAGGGACTGGGGCCTTGGAATATTTGGACTGATGGGTGTCCTGGGGGAGAGTAAGTTTATTTCCCGGGGAATTGGGTCTTTTATGATTGTCCATGTTCGAGTATTCACACTTGAAGTTCTGGTTTGGCTTGTTTCGGGATCTGGGAGTGTCCAGATGTCTTATGCAAATGCTCATGCTAATATATGCTGTCCTTCAGATCACCCGAAGACGTCGTCCGCCGTCTGGATGCCCTGATCACTGAGATCAAGGAAAAATACCACCGCCCCTGCTTTGAGCATCCTGGCCAGCCGAAGGGAGACGTCCTAGTCGTGGCGCACGGGCACATCCTCCGCGCATTCGCTATGCGCTGGACTGGCAAGCCATTGAATGAGACCTCGCTGATTTTGGAAGCCGGTGGTGTAGGCACTTTGAGGTGAGTTGATGACCCCACAATGGCTCAGACTTGCCAGCCTTCGAGTGCAAGGGCCGTATTCAAGGCCGCGTTGCAGAAGCGTGACTGATGAAATCGCCCAGCTATGAACACCACAACATAGATGAACCAGCGGTTATCCTGGGAGGCCAATTCGTTGTCGAGTAATGGCCACAACCCTCGATCCTTCCAAAATGCGCAAGCATCTCGACACCTACAAACTTTTTCCAGTAAATAGTTAGCAACAAACTATCCTCAACCATAGACACAGCCTCTTCCAAGCGCATCCACATCCAAGCAAAAAACAACTCACCCCATAGAATCCCCCAATAATACCTCGTAAAAATCAACCACAGTCCTTAGTTTTCAATCATCAATCCTCCTCCCCCTCCTCCTCCTTCTTAACCCTCCCCTCATCACCACACCCTTTAACCCCCTCCTCCCCCAAAACCTTCGCACCCCCCATAAACAACGCCCCCATATACCCACCCAAAAACCTCATATCCCCCGCCTGCACCGCCGTCATACGCAACAGATTCTGCGTATCCGCTAAGTTCGCGTTTAACTGTGCCAGTTGTGCGTGCAGGTGTGCGTATTGGCGCTGTTTAGAGGCGGACATTGAGGCTGTGCTGCTTGTGGATGATGATTGGTTTTGGTATTGGTATTGGCTTTGGCTTTGGTAGGGGGTTTGGGTTGTTGTTGCGTTGAAGTTGGTTGAGGTTGTGGTTGGGAGGATTGAGGCGCGGGGGTAGGAGGGGTGGGAGTCGGTGCGGTGGTGGGTTGGGTTAAGGGGCATTTTTGCGGTTTATTTTCTTGATGTTGCGGTGGTGTGTTTTGGGGTGTAAATTTCTTGATCGAGGAAAGCTCTTAACGGAGTGTAGGGTATGAGTTGGTTGTTGACTAGAAAGATCGCCGAGAAACTTCCAATGTTTACATCCAGTATATCATCACGTGATTCTGCCTATCAGTTGAGGACATCCATTCGGCATGCCACAACGATACAAATCTACTCAAGCCGATTTATAAATATACCAAAGAACGGAAAGAACAGCCAGACAAGCAACTTCAATAATATAACGGGGAATTTCTATCAGTTCGTGCGCACCATCAAGGATACAAGGAAAAAACGGTGTCTGTCCAGAGCACACCCCGATTCGCCAGAACCAGCGTAACACACCCGTTATTAGATTCCACGGCAAGCGTGGACCCAAGCCAGCCATGAATACAAAGTTCAACAATCCGGAAGAACATATATCGAACGAATCCTCCGCTCTTTTTGCAATGCGCCAAGGGAGGAATGGGAAAAGCAGACCGCAGGAAAACAAACAGATTCAGAGACGAGACCATAGACGTGAGACCGGCCAGATGAAGAGGCAGAGTTGAGACAGCAAAGAAAGAAGAAGCTTCAAATAAAGGAAAGTTGAGATGCCGAGGTCAAGGCAGGATGATGGGAATGATGATAATAGAATGTGGAGCAGGCAGAGAGTAGTAGTGCAACGTATACGAGCCACGCATGATGAGTAAAGCCAAAGGAAATAAATAAAAAAGGAGTGCGCCGGTTCAGGTAGTGTACAGTCATGCAGAGAGGGAAGGAGAATAAGGAGGGTTGTCCAAGGCGTTGCGACTGAGGCAGTATTGTTGGTTATTGCGGGATGATAGAGGAAGGCCGAAAAAGACGTTATATCGATATGCTGCAAAAAGCAGGAACACGAAGAATAAGCGGTCTAGGCTGTGCAAAAGCTGAGGCGTGTAAAGTAGAGGAGCGGAAAAGAAGAATCGATAATGCCTCGAAACCGGACTGAGTATCAATGCAGAGGACGAAAGTAGAGAGAAAAAAAAGGAGATCAAGTCGAGCACAACCCATATCCCCAAATGCTCCGGAACAAAGACAGAGGGGGAAAAACAACGAAACACCAATAAGCGATATGAACCCCTATGTCCCTCATGTATATGTAAAGAAGCGAACAGCAGAGTATTAACCGATAGCCTCATTCAAACCGGGGGTGTCGAATCCGTAAAACAATAATCCCCGTAGAATGACCAACGCAGCGATGCAAAAAGAGTCCAAACATGACAGAACTTGAGAGAGCAGGCGAGAGAGAGAGAGAGAGAGGTATTGCGTCCGGGATGATAGGAAAATAGTGGAGGTGGAAACATCAGAAAGGAAAAAGAAAATCGAATCGGTTCATCGATCGCCAGTTTTCGTCATCGAGTGCGAGTAATCAATCACGCCGTGATTTTGAAAACAATAAAGGGGAAGAACTTCAGCGAACGGGCGCTGCCGGAATGGCGTGATGGTCACCGAGGCTGATCTGGCTGCTATGAGCAGACGCTTCGGAATCAAGATTCGCGCTGGCTCCGCTATCACCACTTTCAGCACTGGCACTCGCACTTCCGGTCAGACTTTTATTCTTGGGAGGACCCTTAGCGGGAAACGAATTGCTCACCCCATAGTGTTGCTCAAGCTGCTGCGGTCCAACCGGGCCTTGTCCTGACGGGTGCCGGGGGACCGGTGTCCGCATGTTTCCAGGCGGCGACGGATGGCCATTATGATGAGGTCCACCATGGGGACCAAGACTTTGGTCATGACCTGTCATGGGCCGACCCATACGAGATGGGCCGGGGGTCCGGGGAAAGGTGCGGCGGGGGACTGGCTGTTTCGCCGGCTCTGGGGGTACGATCGCGATGGGAAATCGCCCATATGACTGGCCGTTAGAGAGTTCGCCCGTGAATCGATGCCCATTTGGTTGCGGTCAACGGCTCCGTATCGGTTCGACGAGTAGCTCATCATCGGGTTGTCCATGAGAGAGTCGTGGAGGCCCGGGATTTCCTGCATCACTCGATCACTCGCGCGTTTCCGGCCAAAATAGCGACCAAATGATGACCCGGGTCGACTTTGAGACATGGGAGGACCACCACCCATCATCTCGGGATTCTTGCGGATCTGGCTGTGGTTGGGAGCCTTGCGGGCTCGGCGTGACGTGATACTCATCATGTCGACTTGATCGGGATCAATGTGGGGAATCGCCATGTTGTCCATCGGGTCGAAATAATCCTCATCCTCTTCGTCAAAGGCCGTGGCTGGTGCCCGAGATGGGGGCCCACGGCGACCAGGGCCGCCCGGTCCAGGTCCTCTTCGCATGCTCATCTCCTGTTCCCGTAATTGCAGTTCACGCTGGCGAAGAGCCAACTCGCGCTCGCGCAAAGCTATATCGTTGGGGGAAGAGGCTGCATCGGGATAGCCATTGCCGTTCGCCTGGGGCATGGGCATTCCACCCTCCGATTCATCGTAAAGCACCAGATGGCTGAACTCCTCGAGTCCTTCCAATGAAGTATCTCGAGAAACGCCGGGTCTGCCCTGAGGACCCATTGGCATCGGCCCGCCGGGTCCCCGAGGCATCATACCCGAGGGCGGGCCCCGTCGTTGGCCGGGAGGGGGCACACCCATGCTCGAATTCGCCCGACTCCCCCGCATCGCACCATTCATTGGCGGGCGTTGTCCAGGAGGAGCAGAGGACATTCGGGGTGGCGGGTGACCCATGACCGATGCGGGCGGAGAATCGCCTGGTCGGGGTCTGTTCTGGTTCGCAATATTAATATGGTGAAGCATGGCGTATAAAGCTTCGATCCGAGGAATAGACACGTTGGACTCAGTCGCCAATTTAATGGGAGACCCCAAAAACGTTTCGATTTCCAAGGGGCGGCGGGCCTGGAAGTCCAGGTACATGGTGCTCGGGGCGTCTGATGCGGTCATCTTCTCGATCGTCTTTTCTCGGAAATCGCCGGGGAAATTGCAGCCCTGTACTCGAGCCAGCTCCAAGAGCTCGTCGATAATGCCGGTCACTAGTTGGCGGACTCCGACTTTCTCTAAAAGCTGGGTGGGGTTAGAAGTTTCGAACGCTACACTTGCAGGATGGAACGCGATAGGACTGCGGCGGTCATTAGTACAACAATTGAATTCTCCGGGGTCACTCTCTGGAAGGTCGGGTTAGAAACTCACCCAATCATCCGCTCGAACTGTTCCTGTCGAATATTGTGCGATACGTGACAATTGACCTGCCCGGAGTTCAGAGTCATGGCCAATGCCTCAGCCATGTCGTTCTGAATGGAGGTGGGAATGGCGGATTGCTTGTTGGTCGCGCCGACATGAATCTCGCTCGAACTCAAATGCTCGAAATCGCTGGGGCCGGTCTGAGAGATCTCCACGTTGGAGACTAAGGAAAGAATCACGTTGGTAGGATACCGTTGCTCGAGGTGGGCCTCAATTCCGATGGTATTCGTCGTGTTTACGAGAATACAAGTGTGCTGGGGAGTGACGACGGATTCGATGACCGAGGCGAGATCGTAGACATCGGGCAGTGCTTTCACACAGAGAATCACGTAGTCGTAGGCATTTTCGCGAGAGGAAGCTTCTTCGGGTGTTCGGACGACTAAACCATAGCAAGCGATGAGTTAGCCTTGTGGCCAGAAACCTTTAGGGCTTCGAGAGGTAGGGGGGAAAAAAAGAGGATCGTACCATGACGAGGCTTGAATCGCTCATTGCCAAAAGCTTTTGATCTGTGACAGAAACCCAAGGTATCAGTAAACCAGCCTGCAAACGGGCGACCACGGGCGCAGTCATACTTGAACGAAACACCATATTGAGCGACGGTCTCAAAGCCCGATTTCCAAACCAGCGTTACGTCGCAGGAAGTTGTTGCTTGCAGGCGCCATGACAGGAAAGCCGAAATCGCATTTCCACCGACTACACAGACTCTCATTAGCGGGCGACCCATGATGGAGGTTGGGGGTGAGGATAGAGTGGAAGTGTCGGAAAGATCGGGAGGTTGGGAGGATGACAAGATTGGGAGATTGGAGGATCAAGAGCGAGCAAGGGCCAGGATGAAGAACTCACCGGAGAGGATGCGCAGGCGTGGAGGAGGAGGGGGCGCCATGATCAAAGGCAGGAAGTGAAGTTGGGGTGGGACCCAAATCGAGAGGTCGAAGAGGCGCGCGCGGCGGCCGATAAGCAGAGATCACCGGCGAGCCAGGGTTTTTGGGGGGAAGGGAAAAGAAGGGAGATGGCGATGGCGTCGTGGGGGGAAAAGGGCGGTAGGGAGGAGAGGGAAAGCGAGTGAGGGGGGGGGGAGAGGGGATGGAAGTGGGAAAGAAAAGAAAGGGAGGAGGAGAGAGTAGGACAGAGGGAAGGAGGGCAAAAAAGAAAAAAGCGAGTTGGGCAGGAGGAGAGGAGGATGGGGATGGCCGGTTTAGTCGGTTTTGGGGGGGGAAAAGAGATGAGCACGGGAGATTGGCAGGAGTTTTTGCTTGATGAACAATAGGAAGAAGAATAGGTTACTTGATCAGCCTCAACTTTCTTTTTTGTTTCTCTTCTTCTCTTTTCCTTTTGCTTTCTTTTTTTCGTTCCTTTTTTCTTTCTTCAACCTTGTCCCTCTATATCGAGATCAAGTCAACTGTAGTTCCAAGAGAATCTTGATCCCAGGCAGAAATGCACAGTCTAACGGTCGTGGATCCCCCGCCAGACTCAATCCGGAAACGGAGGCCAGGGAGGCGATAAGGAACTCTGCCAACGGACACGGATTGACGGCTGCGTCAACTATGATAGATACCATTCTATCGATAGTTCGACTAATTCCTTGCTATTTACTATTTAGTTCACTATCGTATACACTCCCACCACTATTTACTTGGGGCTGGACTTCCCGCGCCATAGCCGTTTCGTGGCCCTCCACGCAATCAACCCGCCGGTGGTACATACTTCCAATTGGTGGTCGAGGCCCTGCACAATTTGTGAGCTGTGAAGTTGCCAGTATAATCATAATCATAATAATCATAATAATAATCTTAGTTTCACGGATAATTCTCTATAGCTCCAATTATGACCAGTACTATCTAATCTACATGATCTCTGCCCCCTGATACTTCCTCGTCCAGCTCTCTATTTAATTCTCTGGTATGTGCCAGCAGCATAGTAGTGCAAGGTGGGTTTGGAAACTGGCTGCTGCTATAATTAAACCTACGCTCTGATAAATTTTCTTGGGGCCTTGATTTTGATTTTTTGGGATTTTAATTTTTTTCTTTTCTTTTTTTTTACTTTTTTTTCTGGGCCCTAAATCAACTAAAAAGGGAGTCCCACCCACTGATGGGAGCTCCACTCTAGAAACCCAGAACGTCGATGGTTGATCGGCACGGCTATACACCACTGTGAGAGCTAGGAGCCTATGAAGGAAAGATGGAGACCTTGTTTTGCTTGATTTAGTGCTCGTAGCTTGTTGCGTACCTGTCATGTCGTTCTCCCCGGGGCGAACGGAGTGGAATCAACCTCAATAACGTAGTTCATGGGCTGCGACGCGTATATCGGCCGCGTTCCCCCTCCACTTTGGTCAATCCACAATCAACTAACTACTGTCGCCGGTTCCGAACGAGGTACGGGAGTACAGGGCTCAACGTATACAAAGTACCTAAAGTAGGTAGGTATACACAGGCTGCCGTAACCTTAGTCCCCTATCAAAGCTCCGACTCGCTGCAGAGACTAGGCCGAGAATTGAGTTCGACTTTCATATCTCATGCCGCTCGAGCATCCTCGCTTCTATCGTAGCTTTCTTCCAGGGGAACATGGAAATAGTAAATGTAAGCCTGGCTTCCGATCTCTCCTCGCGGCCAGCGTGGTATTGGGCGCATACCTGCGCCACGAGAGGGGTGGTGGAGGGGGGGAAACGTGAGCTCAGTCCTAGCGGGACAGTGGTCAATTAATATAACCATCGGATAAATCTTAGTCACATGGTTGTACATTGCAAAAATATACAACATGCCTATCTTTTAGTCTTTACCACTGGATCGTCTACCTGGTTTATGTGGAGTACAAGTCAGGTACGGCACACCCTGGATCGATGGTGGTTAGCAACTCGCCCAGGTACCACGACGAAACCCAAGAAAGCAAAGCAATCCTGCAGCGATGCAAAACGAAAATTGAACAAAGCATCGTACGATAAACTACATGTCTCAAACTACTGCATTTGCTTGTGACCCCACATTTGACTGGCATTCAGAATAGTTTAATCATCTGAATAATGTCCCAGCACCTGATCATTCAAGCCTCTGATAATGAAAACCAACACAACAACAGCTATTATACTCCAAACTAGAGTCAAAAGAGCATGTAGCTCCATACACTATTTCCTTCATCCGGCCTAGTTCCAGGGATACTTCATCCTGCAAAGGAAGAAGGGGGCAGGAGACAGTGTTTGCTAGAGGTTGATAGGCAGGCGCAGCATACCACAGCCCAATCGGGATCACCTAGAGGGATCGACAACACTCTTCCGTTTGCAGCAAGTTCCAAGGGATCAATTGTTTCTGCTTCTAGATCTCGCCTGCTGCGGCTGCTCTGCCTTCGGGGTTTTTTGATGAGACGCGAAATGACTCCGAGGAATCTGATAAATCCTTCTAGCATCTTGTCTCCCCTCGGATGATCGTCCTGCATACTTGGGGTGTTTCATATCGAACCCTTTCTCCTCCATTGCATGCATGGTCGAGTCAGTCCAGACTCTAGCTGGTTGACTCCTGCAGAGGGACGCAGTACTGTAGAAAATATAATATTCAAGTGAATCAGTAGACCCCCTACTAGTGTACTACACACCCTCTATACCTACTATTCTATAGATATAGAGTATATAAATGCATACTCCATGCTATACATGTCCACTCAGTTCACTAGGCCAGACGACGCGATCGCAGCGACCGGACCATCAAAGTGGAGACCAACTGGGTCAATTCCGGCCATCAGCCGAACAATCAGAACAATGAGCAACAAGCGCGTCGCGGTCACGGTGGAGAAAAGATCCACATTTACATCAGCCTCCCGATTAATAATCCCAAGGTCAAATTCCTTTTTTTTCTCCGACCGCGCGTGGTGGTCGCGGCCGGATGTTCGTGAGGGGGAAACACCTACGCGGCCATGCCGCTGGGTGGCAGGGGAAAAGAATCGAGTGAACCACGTTTGCAGGGCGATGTTTTTGTGTTTTTGTTTTTGTTTTCGCTTTCGATAGGCGGGGCTGGATTTTTCGGAGTTGTATATCCATTGAATAATCTTCATGTAAGACTGGTTGGTTTCTAGTACCTACGCGAGTCCGAATTGACCATACATACTGTAGAAGTTAGAGTACGGGAGTCACTACGCCAACTATGCTGTGACTATCACGCGGAGAACAACCCTCCTACAAGACTCAAGAATATGCCAGTACTTTACGTACCTAGACCCCTAACCACAGTAAGCAAGTCAATTGCTCAGCCACGATCTTCGGCCTTGGCCTAAGAGGTCAAGGCTAGCCCCCCAACAGCCGGGTCCTGACGATCGATGATTTCACGATTTGCACGATTTTCATCACGATAGTCCCCGAGCAGCGCGCCACACACGCGCTCATTGCCTCTGCCGGGGTTAGACTAGTAGAACGAGCCACTCAACGTATCGGTACTGGACCTTGTACGGAAGACCCGGAGTACACAAGGACGAGATTTAATCTACTTGGTACTCGTGTATGAAAGAAAAAAAAACTTGGGGCCGTCCCAGGGAATAATTTGTTCCCTGGCTCTTCCATCAGTCCAGAAAGGTCGATCGGGGGTCCCACCGAAACCATGGTCTGCCACAGGTACAGCACTAAAGTTGCCCACAAGAGGAAGACAGATTCGATAGCTCGGATTCCGATCGTTCTTGATTTTTGAGGAGCTGGCGAAACAAAGCTACTGTCCTTGCATGGATAGCTTGAAACGGTTCACGCGGCAGATATCAAAAGGGCTTTCTAGTCAAGTTCGATTCCTTCGATTCCCATTGATCGCGATTGTCACACCGGATCGTTCAGTATCCCCGTTTGGTAGATGGTAGCAACCAACCGACAAGAGAGAAAAGACGGGGGGAAACATCCAAGGTTGGCGGATACCAATCCCATTGGCTGAATAGAATTGACCCCGTCTCACACATTACCTCACAAGTATCGGCTTTTGCAATTGAGTCAGTGGCGGCTGCCAATGAACGCCCGGTGGGAGCCCCAGAGCAGATGCGGAGAACGCCGGGTCCGAGTTGTTGAGGGTGAAAGACGGAGGATGGTGAATATGCATGAATGGGCATTGGGTACGGGGACAGGTACAGGATACAGTAGTTACGGGATACGACTGTCTAGAGTCCCTCTACGAATGAACAATTCGAGAGAGCAACTGCCGCAGGACAACACCAGCGCCCAAAGTCTCATCGACGCTAAAGCAAGACAAAGGGCCCTCTGTTCCCCTGTGGGTGGACACTGGCGCCCGGTGGTGCGAAGGTCCGAGACAGGGTTTAGCGCGGGAGAATCATCGCAGAAAAATCGGGTTTCCTTGGTCAAGCCGTCAAGGCGACCGCTGTAAGCAGTTTAGTGATTTCCCCTACAGCCTTTTTCTGGGTTGGGCTGGGCTAAGTGGCTAGGGTGATCGTTAGTTTGTGTCTGCTGCCCTGTTTTTTTATTTTATATGCGCTACCGCCAGCCAATTTTTGGAGGAGTTTGGGGATTGGCCCGTCGCATTGTGTCGTATTGTTTTTTTCTGCATGGGAGATGAACGAGCCGCTGGGCCAATCTCCCGGGAATTGACCAGTCTATGAGCTGTCATAGTGATTTCACTTTGCCACCAATAAGCTTAGTCTGTACCTCCATTACTACTAGATACTACTCGATATGGTTGCGGTATCCAACGGGTTTAACGCGGTTGCAAACACAACCAGGACCAAAGTACAATTACTTAATGATGCATAATTCAACTGCACAATTACCTTTCTTGGTCTCCGAAAAAAAAAAAGTCCTCAACTATTGAACATCCTGCATGTTGCATCCTCGTGAAAATGTCTCCGTAGATAGTTCCCTCCGAGCTCACCAGTCGACTCTACAATCAGTCGAATCACCCAATTCAATCCACGCCGATCCCTCGAGTTTCTCCCCAAACCCAAACCTTAACATCAACCGTTGATGACTTGATGCCGAATCAAAACCCACTCTCGTTAACAATCAACCCCAGCACGGCCCCAGTTTGACTGTGGGCACAAACCATCACAATTTCCCTGCCTTGTTTTTTCTTTTCATCATTAGGGCCCTGACAGCTGTCAATTCTTCCTGCACGCTGCACGAGGAAAAGGGGGAGAGAGTAGTTCGGCAGCCCAAAGGAAAAAGGGGTTAGATCTGCTAAACGAAATCCTGGTTCATAATGATCATGATGCAGTATACTTTCCCTACAAAAACTGCGTCAGTCCTGTCGATCGACATGACCTCGCCATTGTTCAGGTTGTACCACTCCTAAGCATAAAAAGCATTAAGGCCCTTTCGTTGCACTCGAGTTGTCCAATTAGATCTTGTATCCGCTACAGCTCGGGTGAGTTTTGAGTCAATGTTCTAGGCAGCTGGCTGATTGGGCAGGGGTGTTGTGGTTGCCCCCAGTCCTTGCGCCCGTCTCTCTCGTCTGGACCCTAGACTAAGTGGCTGGTGACCGGATACTGGCGGGCGCTAGTTGGAAAAGTCTCAGTTGCCTTCCTGCATGGTCAGGGAGACCGAAGATGGAGGGGAGAACTAATGTTACTTGTGTAGGTAGGCCTTGTCAAAACCAACTGCAGATAAAGGAAAAAATGTTAAAATAGAAGTGAAGTAACTCTCTGGACATAGTTCATTGGCTCCAATTGGGTTTATTTGGACCGTGCCCATTCCAAGGTTGATTCTAACACGAGTAGACGGTACATACATATATCTTGTAGTCTATGGAACGAAACTCATCCCCCTACGGCTTCGAACCACCTCAAAGCTCAAAGAATATGGAGATTAAGACGGCATGGGATTAAATGTACATTCTGTACATTCTATCCTTGGTAAGAGCATATATTTAACCTAATACTACTCGTTCCGATACAGACGGTGTTGACGATAGTTCGAGTGAGTTGTATCGGATTCTCTAATGTCAGTCTGCACCTTTGGACGCGTATAGTTTTCGCTCTGTGGAGGACCTCCAGTTTGAGCACTACTTAGCAAACCCAAAATGGCATACGAACTCATAGGATGTTGGAAATTTAAGTGCATTTTGTTTCCATTCTTATGTTGACATACATGCCTGGATCCGCCACGCGGGCCCCAAGCGAAAAAGATAACCCATAGCCGAGCTATTGCGCCATATTGAAACTTCAAAAAGAAAAAGAGATAAACGAAAAGGGGGAGGAATTCAACAAAGCGTCACCACCACCAGCTAGCGCAGCGAATGCAAATGCAAATGCCAACTCATAACTGGCGTAGAACCACGAGCATCAGAAAAGGCTTAAGCCATGTAGGTCGAGGAGTCGACACCATCCTCGGGGTACTCACTGTTATTGTGTTGGTTAGTTTTGTTCTGGACATTGAAAACTCAATAGGTGACTGTAGTGGGTGGGTACGTACGGAAGAGCAACCTCGAAGCGCTTCTCAATCTCCTTGAGAACCTTCTCATCATCCTCGTTGCTGACAAAGGAGATGGAGAGACCCTTGGTTCCGAAACGACCGGCACGACCGACACGGTGCAGGTAGGAGTCGGCATCGGCGGGGAGATCGTAGTTGATGGCCAGGTTGATACGCTCGATATCGATACCACGACCGAAGACGTCGGTGGCAACACAGATACGCTTGTTGAACTCCTTGAACTCCTTGTAACGCTTGATACTGCTAGCTGTTAGTAGGGTGCATGCTACGGCCAAATTCCATGGAAAAACTTACCGCTCCTCTTGGCTGACACCAGAGTGAACAGCAATGCTGGGGAAGTTGCACTCCCGCAGCAGCTTGTCCAGCTCGTTAGCACGCAGGGTGCTCTTGACGAAGATGATAACCTGGTTGAACTCGAGGTTATCCAGAAGCTCGTTAAGCTTCCGGTTCTTCTCGTTCTCGCTGAGCTTGATGTAGTACTGCTGCAGACCGTGCAGGGTGAGCTTGGTGTCGTCATCGACGTAGACCTCGAGAGGGTTACGCATGAACTTCTTGCAGATAGGGCGAATCTCCTGGGAGAGGGTGGCGCTGAACATCATAACCTGCTTGTCGGCGGGGGTGGCACGGAAGATCTCCTGGACGTCACGGCGCATGTCTAATGGAAAACAAGGGAAATTGTCAGCAAAGCAAGATCCTGTCAATTAGAAACTGATCGTTCACTTACCAATCTGGTCGAGCATCTTGTCACACTCGTCAAGCACGAAAGACTTGATGTTGCGCAGAGACAGCTTCTTGTCGCGGACCAAGGCATTCAGACGACCGGGGGTTGCAACCACAATGTTGGGGTAGGTCTCCTTGTTGGAGAGGACCTCAATATCCTTGGCGATGGGAGTACCACCATAGAAGACGGCAGTCTTGACATCAGGGAGGTACTTGGAGAAGCGAGCATACTCGTTCTTAATCTGGTAGGCCAGCTCACGAGTGTGGCACATCACAAGGATGGAGCACTCGCCAGGGACGGGCTCCAGCTGGTGGAGAGTGGTCAGAACGAAGACCGCGGTCTTTCCGAGACCGGACTTGGCCTGGCAGAGAACATCGACGTTGAGGACTGCGGTGGGGATGCAGTGCTGCTGGACTGTGGGGAGGCGAAGTGGTGGTTAGATTTGGTTTCGACTCAAGGTGAAGCAGCAAAAAAAACAATCGTGTCGCAAGGTAAAGGTCCGTTCGTCCGTCCATCTCTCGAAATCCGCCACATCGAAAAAACAACTACAAGATTGATACTCGAACAGTGTTTTATTCCCGGTCGCTTCTTTCGTCATTCATGGCGCCATCAACCGCCAGGGGGTAGAAGGGAGGCCACGTTGACAGAAAAGGGTCGTTCCAGGGATCTGTCATTTGCAGACGACATGAGGGAACGCCTATCACCGGCGTCACCAACAGAATCGATCGCATTGTTTTCTAGCAGGAAAACAAGTATGGCCCACAGGTAGCAGAACACACGTGGAAGCAAATGACGACCATGGCCGTGGCTAAAAGCCACGCCAAAAGAGAGACCTCCGGCAGAGCGCTGAATCGCAAAGCCGATCAACCACGTGTATATGGGCCATTGCTCAAGGACAATGTGGCCTCTCATGTCGCCTGCACATTCGGGGACGACCGAATCCCCAAATAGATATATACCGAGATTCCCGCGGAGATGGACGGACGTTGGAGCTTGGAGTAATGGAGGAAGGCATGTGGGAGAAATGTTAGACTAACCCTCCGATGGATGTTCGAAGCCGCAGTCAGTGATGGCGCGCAAGAGTTCGTTCTTCAACAGGAAGTCGCGGAAACCGGTGGAGTGAATGCCGACATAGCTGCCCTTCTTGTCGGGGCGGCCACCAGACACGGTGAGGTCGCCCTTCTTCTCCGCGTCGCCGTTGGCAGCAGCGGGAGCAGCAGCAGTCGCGGGGGCCGCGGTGGTGCCCAACTCCTCGTCGGAGTAGTCGATGAGATCCTCTTCGTGAGACATGGTGGCGATGATGGGTGAGACTGAAGGATGAGAGGTTGTTGTGTCGCGTCTTCTCGGAAGAGAGAAGCTTGTGAATTAGGGGGTGGGAGTGGGAAAGGGGGATGGAAGAGGATGAAAAGGAAGATGAAAGCAGTGACTGGTGAAAGTCCCTTGAGATTGAGCAGCACAAAGGGGACGAGGGTCGACCAGGAAAGAGATGACAAAGAGGGGATTGCGGCTGCGAGGGATGCGCCGAAGTGGAAGAGAGCGCGGTCTGGGTCACATGACTAGGCTCCCAAATGCCGCATCGGGACTAGTTCCATCGGGCGATTTTACTCTGGACGAGTGAATTGTTTCAGCTCTTTCAGCGCCTCCATTCAGCTGTTCTTCGCAGTGGAGTCGACAATGGCCAAGGCGCGAATCCAGAAGGAGGCTAAAAATGCCAAAAGCCACCTGAAAGCCCGGATGGATTATTTGCAACAGGCTGCGAGATATCTCCAGGACGTCCATCTACAAGGCAGAGCTGTCGCGGGGACCAATACAATCAATCCCCAAACGACATTAGCCAACAAAGAAAATCCAGCCCAAACAGCAACTTCAAACGCTGATATGAACAAAGATATGACCATGAGTCAAGCTTCTGATAGTCAAAAGGCGACAAAGAAGCCTTTGACCAATATCTCCCGAGTCTATACCTCCCACATGCGCGGCGTATCTTTGAAGACACAGACCCGACTGTCAGTACCGGTGAAGAGATCTTTTTGCAAGCGCTGTGATACAACTCTCATTCCAGAGGTCAACTGCGAGCAGGAGATTCGGAATGATAGCCGTGGGCGCAAGAAGCCATGGGCCAACGTGCTGGTGATACGCTGTCTCGTCTGTAGCACCGAGAAGCGCTTTCCCCAGGCAGAAAAGCGTAGCAAGAAGCTATCCGAGCGTCGAAAGGAGTTGACGCAGAAGGAAGAATCGCAGCACCAGGACCAGGCTGTCACAGCGTGAATTCGCCTACGATGCTGCATCATTCAAGGCTCTACGAGGGTCTACGAGACGATGTGATCTGACACAGCACCACACCATGCAACGGCTACTACCATCAGCGCCTCTTCCGATTCAAATAATCAGACTTGGGAAGACAAAGGGTGCTGGTGTGTCTCTAAGTCGCCTGGGCACGATCATCTACCGGAAGCCTTGAGCGAAACGTCATCGTGGCCCTCAACGTTCGTGCTTCTTGATCGGCTTAGACGATCTCCATGCCGTCGCTCTGCCCGCTCTGGAGTACGTCTTTGGGGGGTGACTACTGATCAAATGGGCCACTGCGATCAGCCAGGACATCCTTCCGAGGACGGCTTCATTGAAACGCCCCGAAGCCTCGGTAAACAGGTGCTTCCGGTTACAACTGCACAGGAACAACTCAGAAAATAAATCTGTGATCATCTTTGTGTCGGGCAGTGGCCCAGACGAAGCCGAAAGCCTGAAACCAATATACAAAACTCGCAGAGAGGGGAATCGAAACCACTGGAGATAGTAGCACACATCAAATCAGACAGCAAGCAACATCACGTTTATGCGCTCAAAGCAAAGATTCAGGAAACGAAGAAGAGAAAACAAACATTAAAAGTCCATTGTCATGGTAGTCGTCAGATTCGAACAAGGCCCGTAGCGAGGGATGGGAAATGAATGCGTGAAGAGTCCCACGGAGCAGTGAGAAAAGTGAAAAAAGAAAAAACGACCGCAAAATCCGAGCGCCACCCAAAAACACTGCAAATCCTATTCACGCCTCCGGCTGACTCGCGAGTCAAGCGCCGGGACCGAAGGTGCCGCGAGGCATGCAGTTCTTTCAAATCAACAGTCGATAAGTCAAAATATGCCGAACAGACCCATGAAGAAAGTATAAGACAAAGACACGTGGGAGAATTGACTGGGTCAACTGAAAAGGATGTCCGCGAGGACCATACTCGTATATCAGTTTGTTTTCTTTTGTTTTTTACCCTCCCATTTTGGGCGGGTTGAGTGTTTGGTTTGCACCGAGGTCTCGAGGTGTAGGTGGAGTATAGACAGATAAGGTGTGTAGGAGGAATGCCGACGGAATGCCAACCCCATGGTTTTAGGTAAGGGAAGCTCTCTCGTCATGGGACAGCCCCACAGGCTCCGTTAGTATGGAGGGTGTTGATATGTGATTCGCGAGGAGAAGTACGTGGAGGCGGGATATCGGTAGAGAAGGGTGGAGGGGGTTTGGAAGTTATTGCATCAGCGTCGCCGGCGGGAACTCTGGTCCATACGATGATCTAGAGTTTCGATTCGACCGCGAAAGGATTTGACAATATCGCGGATGTGGGAGATCTTGGCTAGCTCATTGTCCAGCTCGTCGATGCTGGCGAGGATGGAGCGAGTGCGGGCGATCTCCGCGTCCGCGTTTCGGATCACGTTCCCGGCGCGGTCGTAGCTGTTTTGGATAGAGAGTTGCATCTGTTCCTCCAACTAAATCAAGCGGAGAAGATGTAATGTCAGGAAAAAATGGTTGTTCTTCTGAATAGTTGGAAAAAAGGTGGAGAAATTTGGCAGCGGGACACAGAGTCACAGCCCGTGCGGGGGAGATAATCAACACATACATATTCGATGCGGCCGCGGATCTGAGCCTGCAGACCGTCCAACTGGTGCGACAAGGCGCGAAGGCTCATAGGATCCAGTAGCAAGCGGCCCTGGCTGCTGGCGGCGCTGGTTGCGCGAGAGCTGGAGTTGCTGGTTCGACCAGTACCGCGGCCTCTGGAGACTCCATTGCCAGCATGGCCACCCTGCAGGGCAATCTGCTGTTGTTGTCGGAGGATCTGGATCTCGGAGGAGGTAAGGCCAAGCGAGGTGTCGGGAATCGAAGCTGCTGAGACGGACATTTGGACCCGGCAGAGACATGCTCCAACCGCCAGTCTACGAAGCGCCGATCAAACTCAAGGTGAGACCGAACGGACCGTAGGTCATGGTGGACGCGACAAGTCGGTGTGTGTGGGGGGGGGGCCGGCGCTGCTGGTGGTGGTCTGTGGTGTAGCGGTGGAAGGAAGTGGATGCGGGGAGATCAAGGAGGACAGAGGATGTAGGAGGGAATCAGGAGCGCCCGTAGAGTTCAGAATAGAAAGACTCTTGGGGGAATAGCTTTGAGGAGAGCGAGAAAGTAGGGAGAGGGAAAGGTGACAAGATGCGAAAAGGTGGTGTGCTGGGCGGCAACTGAGGCGCGGCTCGTGAGTATCCGTTACACCGAAACAGGAGAGCGAGCCAGTGGGATGCCGCGAATTTTATATCGCGGGCCCGAGAGGGGAGAGGTGGAAATGATGGAATTGGTGGGAGTGGGAAGCACAGGCGTAGGGTTTGGGGGAAATCTGATACCTCGGAGAGCCCGTTGGAGGACGAGAATGGGAAAAGGGGGGGGGGGGGGGGAAAGGAAAGACAAGAGAGGGGAAAGCTTTTATGTCGATAGGCTAGCCTATAGGTGTTTAGAAATACAAGAAGAAAAAAAAAGAGAAGTCTGCAAAAAAGCAATATACAACGAGATAGATGGACGAAGAGACGATTTACAGAGACTGAAGGATCATGGTTGAGCGGCTCTGGAAATTCATGGCTTGGATCTTCTGGTCGCAGTAGGGCGATGGAGCTAAAGGAGACGCTGCATATGTGGAGAGGCCTTGAGACGGTTTCATATGGACCTAGAGAGAGCACCTGACTGAGTGTCCAGGGTATAGGCTTGTAGGCCTTGTATATCTCTACAAGGTTGTACCTTTCTAAGCTTGCAGAGTCTCTGTTAGATAGCTAGGTCCCTCTAGAAAGAGCAAAATATGCACTATACCACAAGTGCAACAGTACATCCAGCGCTAATATAAGTACAGAAATCAAATGTAGCCAATCGTTAGTAGTATACTCCGTAGTTAGTAGTATAGTTCGTAGTTCTAGTCAATATCTGTCGACGATCGAGAGGAGGATCCATTCCGAACCATGGAAAGCCCTCCGCCCACTCCGCCTTTACTTTCTTAGCTTCTTCGCCTCTTCTTCTCGAATCACCTCCCTTCTGGCCTGCACCTCCTCGCCTCGTTCTTGCCCGTCCACCAAACGCAAACCGTCCTTCCCCTCCTCTCCCAATCACACGCGAAGTCCGGCCCGCTGCCTAACTCGTGAGGCTGAAGTAACGTCCAACCCGCCCCGACCTCGCCAGTCTATTGGCACAGACATTGCGACCGCGGGGCTTGCAGTCAACTCACAGACGCGCGCTCGCCCGTTATCCACACAGTTGGAATAGCGCATCTGGCCTTTCAGCCTGTGAGCTGCGTCCATTCCTTTTTCCGATCTCCAACTCCTCCTGCAGCTAGCTCTCGACCCAACGGCCTGACTGGACCCGATCGTCGCGACGTCGGGGAACTGACGCTTTGATCACGTACGGCTACAATCTCTTGCATTGACGGGGTTCTAGCCTGCCTCTCATAGCTCAAGATACCGCCATTGTCTGCACACCTCCCTCGCGCTACTTTTCACGTGAGCAGCCTGTGGAGCGCGGGTCCTGCCCTACGAAGCCGATTGAGGGTCTAGTCCAAGTCTAGGGACTCTGCTTACCACTGAAATCGCATCGGTTCGTGCCGTCGACATCATCTCACCGAGCCTACTACGAATCCTGGCATACACAACTCGCGGAGATCGCATTCCCCACCCCCCGCTCCTCCGACGCTAGCGAACAATACGATACCCATTGGGCACAACTAGACCGTCAATATGGCAAAGGACAAGGAGCGGGCGATCAATCCTGCGGCTGCGCAGCGGAAGCAAGACAAGCAGAAGAGCCTGAAGAAGGGCAAGGCGGAGCAATTGGCACGTCGGAACGAGAAATTGGCTCGCCGCAACCCAGACCGAATCCAGCGACAGATCAATGATTTCAAATCGATGGAAGAGTCGGGCCAACAACTACGGCCGCGCGACAAGGAAGTCCTGGAAGCACTCGAACGGGATCTACGGGCAGTTTTGAAAGCGCGGGAAGCTTTGGGCGATAAGGCACCCAAGTTCAGCCAAGGCGGGCGAGACGGCCCTCACGGCGCACGAAGAGAAGGAGGAGACAATGTACTGGGCAAGCGGAGGCGAGACAATACTTTCGGGCGACAGCAAGAAGAGAGTGATGGAAGCGAGACAGACGAGGATGTACGGAGGATACCCATGCCGCGCGATACGCCACCGCCCATTCCCCGCGAGCACCAGCGGAAGCGTGGCCCGGCACAAAACGAGGATCCAGAGCGTTGGGGACCCCACGCGCTTCCGTCCAGGCCGCCAGTGGTCGAGGCCAAGACGGTTTACGAGGCAAAGCCGGAGATCCGTGACTTGCGAAAGGAAGCTGTGAACAAATTTGTTCCCTCGGTAGTCCGAATGAAGCAAGATTCCATTAGAGGTACGGGCAAATTGCTGGAGCCGGAGGAGATGGATAAGCTCGAGAAGGCTGGGTACACGGCCGGGCCTGCTGGGGTTCAACCAAGCACCACGACGGAACAAGAATCTACTGCCGAGGAGTTGCGGTTATTGGAAGAGGAAGAGAAACGATTTAACCAAGAGATGAAGAAGCATGCTCACATGGAAGAGGTTGAAGATGAGGATGCGTAAAGTCCTGCATCAGATTACATGAACTCAAGACACCATCTACAAGGATTTCTCCTAATCAAAATGTATACTATTTCTAAAAGAGTTGACAATAAGACCTGTTGTACCGGCTTGGACAAGCCACCGCTCTCATCTTTAATTCTCTGCCATATCTACCTAGACACGATCTAGACTGGCCACTAATGTCGGGTTCTCCCAATGCTGATAATAAACCGCAATCACATGCCACAGCATGGATGCAACCTTATCTTCTTCGAGTCAAATTGGGGGATGACCATGCCTTAGACCCCGCCAGCTGATAATTTGCATGTGTCTAGGGTTGTACAGGATGCCCTTGAGGCTCAGCCTTCTTACTCACATCTTACATATGCACCCCCTTCGTTTCAACTGCCAAGTGCTTTACGCATACCGAAAATGTATAACACAGCAATTATTCACTCTTGGAGTTAACCCTATGTGATAGCCCCAAGTTCTATATACCGGGCAATCGGGTTGGAAAGATCTAAGAGCCCTTCCATCTAATTAGCAGTTCCACGCCCATAGTCATTCCGATCACCGCGTCCCTGGGCCCTCTTCCTCTCATCTTCTCGTCGAATACTCGTCACATAGGACGGAACCGATTACACATGTCCAACACCTTCTGGAAATGCGCTTTAGTGACAATCGTCACCAAGGTTTCGTCATAGTCAGGATCCTCTTCACTCTCAAACTCTGCCAGTGTAATCGCCGTTTGTAATGCATTGCGGATATCCCGTCCATTGAGCTGTGTCTCGCCCGCCGTCTCTAGAACCCATGCCTTCGCGTCCGGGGAGATCTGGATCTTGCCCGCTCGGTCACAAACTAGTTTCCGGAAAAAGCCGTTCCAGACCTTGCGACGTGCGTCTTCGCTAAGGGATGGGTATCCGATTGCGATGTGGACACGGGATATAAAAGCGTCGTCTATTTGGCCGACGCGATTGGTGGTTAGGAAGAGGAGGCCTTTGAAGTACTCCATTCGCCGTAGGAAGGCTGCGTGGTAGTCGTTGGAATTTCTAATGGATAATCTCATGATGCGATTAGCATTTGACCTGATACCAATCCTTTCCGAGCAAGATCTCGATTTTGTCGACGTTCGAGGAAGATGTCGGCTTCATCGACGAGAAGGACGGCATTCCAGGCTTCTGCGAGGTTAAACCACTTCAAGGGTTCGACTTCGACTAGAGTTTCGACCGTGCCGATATCAGCGACTGTCAGCGCAAGGAGTGGCCGGTGTAGCCACTCGGAAATAGCCTCTGTCGTTATTTAGTTGAGTTCGTCTACAGCATAGAGGGATGGGGGTTAACGTGCCAACTGCGTAGGTTTTGCCAACTCCGGGAGGCCCTGCGACGGCATTATCGTTTAGTGTCGTGAAAAAACAGATCCATAACCTACATACCGTGCAGTAATATAATTTGCCCCGATCCCTTTCCCTCGATAAAGTCCGCTGACCAGTGTTTGATCTTGCTATTTTGACGGTTTGAGAGAACTTGGATAGTTCTCAACTCGGCCTCTCCGATGACAAGGTTGGAAATACTCTCAGATGACGGAGCAGATTCTTGAACGTGGTCCAATGAGATCAGAACTGTAGGCAGGAGTTAGAGGGAAACTTAGTATCCGATCGGTCAATGAGGCTCACTCCATTGCTTGCTCACTCCATTGCTTGTGTTTTAGTACATATGCTAGAGCGTGGGGGGTTAGCAGTAAAAGTTGATGTTCGGTGAGTTCATCAACAACAGGAGCGTTGAATTCATCTTCATCCGTTTCGTTGATCTCAAGTGCAGGAGCAATGAGAATTTCTTGCATCGTATCACCCGCGACGGCCTCCGGAGTCTTGGTCCGAGGGTTGTGTATGGGTTCATAGATAATATTCAAGTACTGGAGGATCAGTCTGACCAAGAATATACCCGGGACCTTCTGAGAACTATCGCAACTCTTTGTAGGCTTGGCCGCGGAGCTCCCCGCTCAGACTGCACAACTGGACGAGAGGATGAAGGAGTAGCTCTGGGAACGAGAATTTGTTTCACTACGGATGGCTATGTGGATGGTCTGGCACAAGCTTCAGAGCTACAATTGCTTGATAAAGTTGAGTTTGATCTGGAGACAAATGATCCTCTACCAGGGGAGATTGGTGGTGGGCTTGAATGGGGTGGGGAGGAAAAGGATAATTGACACTACTTCAAATACTACTAGCGACAAGAAAGCTATGACTCACGAGTATAACATTGATGGAATAAAAATCGTTGTAATGATTATATGTTTAAGAATTCAGTATTGATACCCCCAAACTGCACATTGAAACCTAACTCAAATCTGAACCTGTCGCCGAAGACAACGATGACATCTACAACCTGGCACGCCCGTATTAAGCGTCCACCAAAGATCCTTAAGTGTCTGTACCTCCATTTCACCAACCCCAACAGAATTACACAGCAAATTAGCACTAACAAAATTAGTCTTCAATTCCATATGAGCCGCATCCCGATCCAGATGACTCTTGATACTACAGCGCCCAATTTGAACAGCGATCATCTCAATCGCAAGGGAGAAGATATCAGGGCACTCCTGGTAGCTCTCACCCTGTGGATACCCCCGGAGAAGGAGAGCTTGTTCACGGAGCTGGCCTTGGACGCGATTCAAGCAGTGGATACAGCAGTTGTACGCTCTATTATCAAGTAGGTCGACTTCTGTGTAGGCTATTTGCTTGAGGATGTCAATTTCACCAGTGATTTCGAGGAGATACTCGCCTACGGTGGCGGGCGGGATTTGCTGACCCTGAAGTCGGTGGTAAACTGTGGTTAGATGACTGACTAGATTGTTGCGTGTCTCTTGGAAGGATTGGAGGGGCATGATGGCGGTGGTAGATTCGAGGGGGCGTGTTTCTCGAAGGGGAGGCATTTTCATTAACTTGATTATATACTGGGATGGTCAAGTAATTAAGTACTTTCCTGGGTGGCAGGCAGAGTGCCGGCATTTACCTTGAAGATGGCGAAGAGGTCAAAGAGGAGGTCATACAAGGAACATGCTATTTTTTGCATTATATAACAATAGAATGCAGCTTCAAGATGTGTAGCGCTTTCAATGCCAAAGGGCACAATGGCTTTGCTTGTCTGCGACTCAAAATAAGTTGAGACAATTAGAAACGACCCATCCCATTGAATATTATTGTGTTCAAAGTAAACAAGGAATTTCAATAACCCCATTGCTGGAATTCATTCATGGTTGACAAAGAACACTTTTTGACCAATGGGGCCCAGTGCCTTTCATCATTATTGACTTCACAGGGATGCTTTGGGTTGTAAAGAACAAAGAAAGTTCGTCTATACATGTGGTCCCCTGAGAGGATTAGGTTCGAGTCGCGATATAGAAGGGAGTAGAATTTTTTTTGTTGAAATTGTCTTAAGAATCAAGGTTGAAGCTTCTTAATTGAATTATAGGATTCATCATGAAAGTATAAGCGACAGAAGAGGGGCTTTGCCGTGTACAGGCGGCATTTCTCGCTGACTGCTTTGTGTTTCCCTCGTGCTCGAGGGTAACTGAGATGTTGTTGTCGTCGTCCCTGTAGCCAATGGTAGAACAGGATGTGATATAGAATTGTGTGCATGAAATCCTTTGCAAGGGTTGGTAGTATCATGTTGTCGTGATAGTAGATTTGTAGAACTGTGTCGTAGTTGATTGGGAGGATTAGACTGGTGGTATAGAGGAAATGTGCCATTGATACATTGAAGAGGAAAAGGACCTTTGTCGGTTGGCGTTGCACTTGGGGTCGATATAGAATCTCTTGACGGGGGTGAGGAATTCGACACACTCGTGGGCGAAAGCATCGGACAGAGCTCGGAACGAGACTTTGATGTTGTAGCTTCGGCTTGTTCTCGAGCAAAGACAGAGAAATTTTGTAGGTCATTGACTAGCGACTTTGGGAAGAAAAATTTCCGCGGACAGATGCCCTGCAGTGCAGGGTCGGAAGTTGGAATTTGGAGACGGTCGTTCGAGTTGGGGGAATGATAGCTGATCAAATGCAGCCGCCGTCCAGTCGTGGCAGTGATACCAAAAGACTGCTTTACCAGACCATCGGTTTTGAAGCGGAGATTTTGGTCTTCATTTTGAAGCGTGTCCGGTTGATGGGCTTCCTTTTCCATTTCCCGGTAGGCTAAGAATCTGCCATTGACCCGACTCGAGCTCCATGATCTGCCATCCGTCCATCTTCGCATACCCCCCTCGTCTTCATCCCACACGAAGACTGAACCCGATCGGATTGATCGTCGTTCTCTTTCAGATAGGCGATTTTGAAGTCGTGGCAAGATCCCATCCTCACAAGCTTGGATGATGAGTATGGCGTCTGAACATGTGCGAACATGCCCGTAGTACGTTTCCATCGAATTTGACATTTAAGCAAGCGGAATCGCCGTGAAATGTTGGTTTTGGGGTATGATAAAGTCAGGTCCAATAATAATGAAAGATTTAGAAATATGTGACCCAGAAGTCGCGCCTTTGAGGACGTCCAGATCCACAACGAGATAGAAAGAGCCGCCAAGCGTCTGCACTCAGTACTCTCGAGTCCCGACACAAAGGTAATTGGTACCACCACGAACAGGCTTCAAGGAAGGTTCATTCAGTATTCAGGCAGAATAAAGACTCGGGATTCTTTCGACAAGTGGAAAAAGAATCTAGATCAAGTCATCTTGTCTACTAGAAAAAAACAACAGGGCTATCTTGGATGTCGGCGGTAATTTCCACCTTAAGATGGTCCATAGGTAAAGCCGAGAAAATAATGCAGTCCATTTTAAGAGACGGCGGTCCTTCCGGGCATCGTATGTTGCTACTGTGCCTTTGCATAATAATGAATCCATGGATTATTCTGTCACGACTCGTGGACAATTTCGGTATGCGAGCACGAGTTTTATTGTAAATACCCTCTTCGGTGGGGTCATAAGGCAGCCTACGTCATTGGAGAAATAGATTCCGACTAAATAATCCATGGGAGCGAGAAGAATTTTCTTCCTATCAATAACTTATTGGCTTGTTCTCCTGCAGCATCGTGTCGGAAATTGGTCTGATCTAGTATTGTACTTGGTAATATACGAGAGGTATTATGGTCTGTATCACCCGTATTTTTATGTAATTGCGGGTGGTGCCGCCACGTTTTCGTCCGAGTTCCACACAAATCCTAGAAGGATCTGATAACGTCAACAAGTCTTAGTGCTGTCAGGCCTCAAGGTCAAAGTCGGAGCAAAAATCGCTTGCGTCTGGTCTCAGACAATGGTTGTGGCTCGTATTGAACCCACTGTCCGCAAATTGTCTTTTCTTAGAGTTCTTAAGCGAAGGCTGTGTGGAAGAAAATCTCCGACCCTCATGGTATTTTTGGTCGCCGAGAACTTGCTGCATCCTCACTGGTTCTGTGCAGATGCTTATTGGATAATGCTTTTTTCCGATGTTTTCTTGGCGCAAATGCAATAACATTGAGCCGTGGTACGAAACATCTGATTAGATTAGCGTCGTCGGTGGCGCTCCGGGTTCGGGTTGGGGAAAACGCTGTAATAATTCTTACATACAAGCACTAGTGGTTTTCATTGTCCGAGGTAATCCGGGCTTGGTGCCTGTTATGTTCCGATGAACAGTATTTCCTTGCTGTGGACTCTACATTTGGGAGATCAGGAAGGGTGACATGGATATTACTCTACTGGTTTTTGATATTTTGAGAACAAAAGCATTAGGATCATCAGAGATGATGATCTGATTAGATTGGTTACGCTCTAACTCCCATCCATTGTGTAACGGCGACGTCTATAGCTTCGAGTTCACCCACTTTGGCGGTCGCTTCTCCACGAATGCCTGTATCCCCTCGCCAAAGTTATGGCCTGCCATGAGTTGGGGGTACCATTCATTCTCCAGAGTTGTCACTGCCTCCTCCACATTTCCCGATTCCCAGCTCAGTCGAATTCCTTGGCGACCGACAATCAACGCATCGGGACTATTGGCACACATTTCTTGCGCGAGTGCGAGCGCAGCCTGAGCAACATCCCCTCCCGCGTCCACTAGTCGAGAGATCAGGCCCCAATCGTAAAGAGTCTTCGCGCTGACATTTCTCCCCGTAAGCGCGAGATCCATCGTACGTTGCAACCCCAGTGTCCGGGTCAATCGCGGTAGACACCCTGCGACCGCCACGATACCTCGCTTGACTTCTGGTAGAGCAAAGGTTGCGGATGAGGAGGCAATGACGAGATCGCAATTTGCTACCATCTCAAAACCGCCTCCCATACAAATGCCGTTCACGGCTGCGATAATTGGCTTCTTGCCGCTTCTTCGGGGCAGCCCTGCGAGGCCGGGAGCGGTCATTTTGTTGACCACACCGGACCTGTTCATTTCGTTCCATTCTATGTCGACTTCGATTAGCCATTGCACTACTTCGGGTTCTCTTAGATATGATCGTACCGTGAAGGTCTGCACCTGTACAAAATGCTCTTCCAGAGCCCGTTATGATGCCGACCCATAAGCTCTCATCTTGATCAAACAGCTCCCAGATCTCCTGAATCTCCCGGCTGGTAGATTTTGTGATGGAGTTCAGTTTTTCAGGTCTGTTCAATGTGACTTGCACCACCCGCTCATGGGGAAACGTCACATTAAAGTGCTGATATTGCACTGGCCTTGAACGCAAAGACATGGCTTTCTAGTGAGCTAGAGACTGACGTAAGAAAGTACAGGACGATATGATCACTCGCCGAATAAGATTATGATGCTTCAGTTTTATAATCTGCTCGGCCGATCATAGCTTTTTGAGGTTTGTACTCTTAGCGTGTATACAATACCTGGGGCTAGGAATCGGTTGTAAAACAAATCAAACATTAATTTCTTTATTATTACAGCTCGGTATTGTAACCATGTGTAGGGAAGGACCCACTCTGATATTCTCCACAAAGTTCGCTTACAGAAAGTCTCGCAATTTGATCTCCGCAAAAAAATATTTCAAGACATCGTTGAAAGAAAGAGAAATGATAATCGGCAACGGTCACTCCACACAATTACACAGGTAAAGGTATCCGGGCGCGCTCGGATAGAAGACCATGGTTCGTATCGATTACAGCTAAATTTCGAACGGAGATTCCGGGATGATACAACTGATTGATAATTCTTATCTTATGGAACTTGTTAAATACAGTAACGCCACTGAAATTATTGTATGATCTTGTATGCCTCGGCTTTCTAATGCCTTTGCATGGTCTCTTTAATGGCGGCCAATTCTCTTGGATCTGGACTTTGATCTGAATAGCTCTCTGCCTTTGCTACTTGGAAAAGCTGACGTTCGCCCCGATTCTCTGAACGACTTCCTTCAAAATGGCATCCAGCGCAGCCAATCCGCCCAAGTACCCTCCGGTGAAGCTGCCGCACCCCTTTCTCACCACATATCGAGTGCAAGCAATTACCGGGACGACACCGACAAAGCGCCAGTTGGTTCTGGCAAGCCAGCCGGCCGATGGACGTCCTCTGGCAGAGCCTTTACATCTCGACTCGCTCTCATGGGTTGACTTGTCCTTCCCTCCTAAAGATCAATCTCCTCCCGACTCAGATAACAGTGCTTGGGCCCGGGCTCGTCGCAGTCCAACCACTACGTTCGAATGGACGTCAGATTGCCCTTCGCTGGGTCAAATCTGGAATGCCATCCATGCAATCTACCTCGCCAACCCCACATACGAATATTTCCGGCTGACTTTGGCCGGTCGGGACGGTGATATTCTTCGCAAGGAACTTCTTACAACCGGACTGGCGATCGAGCACCCGAAACCGTGGCATCGGCCCCAGGATAGGGCGACTTGGAAATCTGATGACTTGTTGATTCTCCGAAATGCTTTCTGGCAAGGCGCAGCTTCTCCAACGGGCCCTCGGCCGATCTGGACAGTGGGAGATGGAACGGATGGCCCTCTTCGCAAGCCTTTGGATCAATTCCCCATTATGCCCGAGAACTATCAGATTACTATGAAGTTCCCAGAAGAGGCTGTGTACACCCGCCATCCGACTCGCCGTCCCAAGCCGCACCCTGGATCCATTGCCTACAGCCGATACATCCCTGAGGTTGATCAACACTTTTCCCTCGAGGTGGTCGATTGGGAGAACCTTGAGCACTTGAAGCTCTTCAACACCTGGCAGAACGATCCGCGAGTTGCAAAGGGTTGGAATGAGACTGGAACTTTGGACGAACACAGGAACTATCTTCGCAAGCTGCACTTTGATCCTCACGTTCTTTGCTTGTTCGGACGTTTTGATAACACCCGCTTCTCTTATTATGAGCTGTATTGGGCCAAGGTAAGCCGTCATTTACCCTACACTTGACTTTTCCATCCCTTGATATCTAAACTTCATACATAGGAGGATCACTACGGTGCCCATTACGACGCCGGTGAGTACGATCGCGGACGTCACTCCCTTGTTGGCGACGCATCATTCCGTGGTGCTCATCGTGTAAACGCCTGGTATTCAAGCTGCATCCACTACTGCTTCTTGGATGACCCACGAACTGTCAATGTTGTTGGCGAGCCCAAGGCTACCGGCGCAACCATCTTGTCGTATGAGAATGCCCAGGGTCTTACCATCGGCAAGTACGTCGACCTCGGCCACAAACGTTCAGTCCACAGTATCGCCAGTCGTGAGAAATGGTTCCAGCTGTGTCCCCTGTTTTGGGATGGACGCGAAAGACCTCTTGAATCTGCCGACCGTGCCGCATGGAATGCCAAACTCTAAGACTTAGAAATGTACGATATTGCTAGCTTGCTTGATGGCCTGAATTCTGAAGCTGGATCCTTGAATCACGTTCTTTTCGAGTACAAAACGTTGTAGATCCACTTGACTGTTTTATCGGACCAGTGGGGATTTCCTATGCAGGACTTCTCCTGAAACAAATTGCTTCCGAGTCATAGTGGCACCTGATCCCCCAAAAGCTGACGTGTAATTGAACCCCGTGAAATTTTGAGGAAGTGGACCTTCGGACATTAGCAAGGTGTAATGTAAGCCAAGAGATACAGTGGCGTGTATTCTTCACTAGCCTCGGTTAGGTTACGAAAACTTCCGTTTAAGCTTGCTTGTATCTTTATGTAGGCCATGGCTAAACATTACCGAGATGTGGAGCACGTATCCAAGTCCCCTCTTCTGCAAGACTCTCCATCAGAGTAGCAGAATTGGTTAGCGATATCGGCTGGTTAACTTAGCCTAACAAACTTACAATCCAAAGACCGTGGCGGAAATAATGTAGTCGCCCTCAACGGCAGAGCAGTTTTGGAGACAGATTGTTTGCCCGCTTGCGGCGACTATACTTGTTGAAGAACTGATCCGAGAACTCTTGTGCAAGATAATAATTCCGAGGGAGCGTCGACTAAGTTGCCCCATTCGCCCTAGTGCTTGAAGTGGCTCTAGGACCGGCCATGTATACAGTACGATACGATACTAATCAGTATCAGTAATACAACATTACGGTCAATACATATCAACGCCCAGGTATTACGGGCCCCATCCACCCCATAGTTGACGAAAATTCTCCATCGACTGAGTCTTTTTTCTTCAGGGGGACCAGTGGGTTAAGTTATCTGATCCGGATGCTAAAGCTGCCGGTCCATACCGATGTCGGCAAATCTCCTAAACTCTTTTGGGTTATCTCCAAAGCTTTTCCCTTCTGAAAATTTGCAAACTTGACATGCTCGTCAAGCTAGTGTCGACAACGAAGCTCTCATAGCTGCCAACAAACCTCTTGTCGTGTGGAGCTGCAATAGAAGCGCACTTCACCAGGCCGAGGACGCATCCTGGGGTCGTACAGCTGCGTTTTTCTCGAGTACACCGCTACCGAGAGCTAGCTAGCTCACTGAGGGGTAAGTCAAGTGAGGAGCTAGAAAGTCTTTGCGACTCAACCATCTAATGAAAACGGCGCTTATAGCAGGAAAGAAGCACATCGGTCTCGAGTCAAAATGATGTTCCTTCAGAAGCTGGCGGGCTATCCCCGCCTGCTTATGGCAGGTAAACCATCGCAACTCGACATAGGCATGCTATTGACTGGTCTGGCCAGTGCGATAGCATCTGGTGTCCCGTTCCCTATCATCGGTATAATCTTTGGTCAACTACTCGATGACTTCAACTCTGTGAGCTGTGATGAAAGTAGCGGCACAAGCACTTCAGAGTCCAATGCGAGCTACCAAAGCTCTATCAACAGCAAGATCTTGTTGATTGTCTACCTGGCCATCGCCCAATTTGTCTTGATTTATGCCCACCTCACATGCTGGACCATGTACGGTGCCCGTTTGTCTCAGAGGCTACGAGAGAATTATCTGCAAAACCTGCTTCGACAAGAGCCATCGCACTTTGACGACTTGCCGCCAGGCGAGGTTGCTTCTCGACTCAGTAGCGATATTCAAACCATTCGTTCAGGCACATCAGAGAAAGTCGGCATTGTTATCGCTGCCTTCTCATTCTTTATCACTGCTTATATCGTCGCTTTCATCAAATACTGGGAACTTGCGGCAATTCTCCTCTCATTAATTCCCGCCTATCTCTTGATGTCCTTCGTTGGTAGTCACTACATCGAGAAGTACACCGGGCTGATGTCGGATTATGCTGCCTCCGCCGCAACCATTGCCTCAGAGGCACTTTCAAACATTGTCGTAGTGCAGGCCTTTGGTGCGAATACCCGACTCGAGGAAAAGTTCTCGCGAGCTCTCAAGCTAGCGGAGCATGAAGGCTTGAAGAAGGCCGCAGCCGTTGGCACGCAGTCTGGAGTCCTGTACTTCATCGCGTACGGCGCCAATGGTCTGGCCTTTTGGCAAGGTGCTCAGCGAGTTGCGGATGCAGTGAATGGTGGCTCTGGCGATGTTACTGTTGGCTCTACTTTTACCGTGATTTTCATTTTGATTGAAGGTATGTTTGGGTATTTCCTTTGTGTCGAGTTTCGATTCTAACATTTCCAATAGCCACTTTGATGTTGAGTCAGGTTGCGCCATTCCTCCATCTATTCGTCCAAGCCGTTGCCTCCTACGCAAAACTGCGTGAGGATATTGACCGCCAGCCCCTAATCGATGGCACTACCACTTCAGGTCTCCGGATTTCGCAGGCAGAGGGTGGCTTCGAGCTCAAAGATGTCTCTTTCATTTATCCATCCCGACCTGAGATCAAGGTCCTGGATAATATCACCATCTCCTTGCCCGCTAAGAAGCACACTGCTCTCGTTGGTCTTTCTGGAAGTGGCAAGTCCACTATCGCAGGCCTGGTCACTAGGCTTTATGATCCAACGGAAGGTCAAATCTTTTTCGATGGCAACGAATTACGCGATGTCAACCTTCGCGACTTGCGAGGCTTTTGCAGTCTTGTTCAGCAAGAGCCTTCTCTTCTCGACCGCTCTCTACTCGAAAATATCGCACATGGTCTTATCAACTCCAGTAACCCCAGTCATGAACACTTGAAGGATACACTCCTAAGCCCTGCCCTTGACGAACTAGCGTCGGAAGTCAGGGACGGCAAAGATCTCATGACAGCAGCAGAGGCTCGGGGCCAGGAAGTTGTCGAAATCGTGAACCTCGTGCAAAAAGCGGCGGTCCTGGCAGATGCTGATGGATTCATCTCGAAGTTGCAATACGGATACGGTACGTCTGTCGGTTCGAGCGGACGCCTTATTAGTGGTGGCCAGAAGCAACGCGTGTCACTTGCTCGAGCTTTGGTCAAGGACCCTGCAGTCCTCATCCTGGATGAAGCGACAGCTTCTCTAGATTCGCGAAGTGAACAACGCATCCAAAAGGCAATCAATAACATCTCTACCGGCCGGACTGTGATTACAATTGCCCATCGTCTCTCAACAATTACCAACGCCGACAACATCATTGTCATGCACAAGGGTAACCTTGTGGAGCAGGGCAATCATGCGACCTTGATGGCTCTAAATGGAACCTACGCTGAACTCGTCAACCTTCAAACTCTTGGATCTTCGTCTTCAACCGATGCTTCGTCAAGCAAAGACACTGCCAGCAGGTCGGATGAAGTCTCTTTGACCGATACGGAGAACGAGAAGATCGGATTATCGCAGGAACTTGAAAAGCAAGAGGTGACACAAGTGTCGGCTACTGAAACTCCTGCACCGGATTCGAGCGAAGAGGAACCTGAGCCAGAGACTCCACGTAAATCATTGTGGGCATTGCTGAAGGGCTACGGACCAGCAGTGAGACCCCATATCTTGATGATCTTCGTGGCTCTCCTCGGCGCAAGCATCGTCGGTGGAGCTTTCTCTGGAGAGGCCGTCATTTTCGGAAATACAGTTGGCAGTTTGAATCCTTGCAATGGAGCGGCTAGCATTCGGTCTCGCGGGAGCTTCTACGGCCTGATGTTCTTCATTTTGGCCATTATCGAATTTTTCGCAAACTTTGCCAGTTGGACTGGATTCGGCTGGGTTTCTGAAAAAGTTGTGTACGCAGTCAGGGTTCTGTCTTTCCGGTCATTGTTTGAGCAAGACCTGCAGTGGCACCAGTCGAATGGCCGAACTCCCGCCATGCTTTTATCCTATATCACTCGAGACGGCAACGCCCTGGCTGGCCTGAGCGGCTCTGTTATTGGCTCGCTATTCTCTATTACAGTCAACCTCATCGCTGCAATTATCCTCACTCACATCATCGCCTGGAAGATTGCGTTGGTCTGTCTCGCTTTGGTGCCACTTCTCCTTGGAGCTGGCTTGATGGAGCTCCATGTGCTTGGGAAGTTTGAGGAACGCCACGAAAATGCCTACACTAAATCTGTGGACATTGGTACGGAGGCAATTACGTCTATCAAGACAATCGCCTCATTGTCTCTTGAGGAGGAGACATTGAAGACCTACCGGCGATCATTGAAGGGACCTCGCCAGGAGACTTTCAAGGTCACCGTGCTCGCAAGTCTCTGGCAGGCTATCACCTACTTCCTTGGCAACTGCGTGAATGCCCTCGCATATTGGTGGGGTGCCAAGCAGATCATTGCAGGAACCTATACCCAGACACAGTTCTTGATTGTGGTGTTCTCGCTTCTTGTCAGTGCACTTCTGTGGAGTCAAATGTTTGCTCTCGCGCCCGAGCTTTCCAACGCTCGCGCTGCAATGGCAAGAATTCTGAGTCTGATTGAAATTGGCAAGGACGGAATGCAAGCACGCATCCGTGCTCCTTCTCTGACCGAGACCGCAGAGACAGACCCCGAGGCTACAGGGGAACACAAGCCTACTATTTCTGGCGGCGCTTCAAGCGTGCAATTCCGCGACGTTCACTTCGCATACCCCGCTCGGCCAGATATTACAGTGTTGAACGGTTTGAGCCTTGATATTCGACCTGGCAAATTCTGTGCCCTTGTCGGACCCAGTGGTGCTGGTAAATCCACCATCATTTCGCTCGTCGAAAGACTCTACAAGCCTGCATCAGGCGGTATCATCATCGATGGTGTCGACGTGACCAAGCATCAAGACGTGGCGTTCCGTGAGTCGATTGCTCTGGTTCCACAAGAAAGTGTTCTCTTCGAGGGAAGCATCAAGTTCAATATCGGCCTCGGTGCTAGACCTGGCCATGAAGCAACCATGGAAGAGATTCAGGAAGCATGCAAACTTGCGAACATCCACGAGGTCATCATGGGATTGCCTGATGGCTACGAAACCCTCTGTGGACCGAATGGTAACCAGTTCTCCGGAGGCCAGAAGCAACGGCTCTCTATCGCTCGAGCACTCGTTCGGAAGCCCAAGCTCCTGATTCTTGACGAGTCCACCAGTGCCCTGGATGCTGAATCGGAGAAGCTCCTGCAAGATGGCCTCGAGAAGGCTGCCAAGGGAATCACGGTCATTGCGATTGCCCATCGTCTGCACACTATCCGCAAGGCCGATACCATCTTCTTGATTGAGGGTGGGCAGTGCATTGATCATGGGTCCCATGATGAATTGCTCGAACGGTCGGAGAGTTACCGGGCGAACGTCATGCATCAAACCGTGGCGACATGATGAGAATATTTGCGATAGATTTTGAATATTGTATATCCCATTTAGTTTTTAATAGAATTGTTTGCATTCAAATGGCCTGTTAGGTCCGTCAGGTTGATTAATATTACAACCAAAATAAGGACTGGAAGTGAGGATTCTGTCACCAGAAACGGCTGTCTTTCCACTTGGCGCCTCTTGACCTGGATCCTAAACGGCAGTCTGAAGGCCCACGGATCCAGTTCAAGTCTGCCAAAACGGTCATTAATGACTGCCGATCACCCCGCTGCTTATCTTGTGTTCCTTGGCTCCGCGGATGGGCTAAGTTTTGTGTCAAACCCAGAAAATTAAAGACCTTCTTGTTTTGATCTCGGCATCTCCTCATCGTCCAAAGTGGAAACTGGAAAGGGGGTCCTCAGGCCCCACTCGATCGGCCACGTGCATCTAGGAGTTGCACTTGCTGACATTAAAGAAGCTAATGATAACTAACCTAGCGTACTCAAATGAGTCCTTTCATTTGGAATGTCAGAAAAAGCTTGAGTGGCCAGTACATTAAGCTCTGGCCTCCCAGGGCGTTTCTCAAACAATAAGCAAAATACTATATGATCCGAGTCTTGTCCATCTCGATCGTATAGGCCGCCCCCTTTCATTCATTTCAACGGCTTTTGCCTCTCTACCACAACAATGCAGTGGCTGAAGTCGCTGCTCTGGCTGTGTGCTGCTTCCACGGTGGTCGCTCAGTCCACTGAGGGAATCTCCAGTCTTGTTCAGCGTCGACTGCCGAAACATGCCAACAGCTTCCGGTTTACCTTGGTAAATGCCACTAAAGCTACCAATACCTCCGACGAGTACGTCGTGAACACCGCTGCCAATGGCACAGTTCTTGTGCAGGGTAGCTCGCTAAGTGCATTGTCCTCGGGGTGCGTATCATCGCTAATATCGGCCTGGCCTTTAAACTAAATGATCAACAGTCTCCACCGCTATCTCACTGATGTCGCCAAAGTTGACATCTACTGGTACATTGGCAGTCAGCTGGACCTTGTGCCCGCCCAACTGCCACAACTTGCGCGGCCCATCACCGGCTCGAGCACTGTACCGTGGCGGTATCACTTTAACACCGGTCAGGCTCCCCCCATAATGGCACACCCTTGTTCTTTAGCTAATATTCACCAGTGACCTTCTCCTATACCAGTGCTTTCTGGTCCTGGGAAGACTGGGAGTTACAGCTAGACTGGCTCGCCCTCCGTGGCGTGAACCTGGCCCTGGCCTGGGTTGGCGCGGAGAAGATTATGGTCGAAGTGTTCCGTGAGATTGGCCTCACGGACGGCGAGATCTCCAGTTTCCTGAGTGGCCCGGCCTTTCAGGCATGGAACCGATTCGGCAACATCCAGGGGTCCTGGGGCGGAGACTTGCCAATGCAATGGATCGATGACCAGTTTGTCCTGCAAAAGCAGATCGTGCAACGCATGGTGGAGCTGGGTATAACCCCCGTGCTCCCCGCATTCACCGGTTTCGTCCCTGACAATATTACCCGCGTTATGCCTAATGCGAGCGTGGTTCGAGGCTCTGAATGGTCTGGGTTCGCTGAGCAGTACACTAACGACTTGTTCCTCGAACCATTCGACAACTACTATACTCAGCTTCAGAGCAGCTTTATCCACAAGCAACAAGCTGCGTACGGAAACGTGACCCACATCTACACTTTGGATCAATATAATGAGAACAACCCATACTCAGGCAACCTTACTTATCTGAACAATGTCACACGAAACACCTGGCTCAGTATGAAGAACGCCGATCCCCAGGCTATCTGGATGATGCAGGGCTGGCTCTTCTACTCTAGCTCGACCTTCTGGACCGACGAGCGCGTGGAGGCCTACCTTTCCGGTGTCGAGAACAACGAGGATATGTTGATTATTGACCTGTACTCGGAGTCAACCCCAGAATGGCAACGCACAAACTCGTACTATGGCAAGCCCTGGATCTGGTGCCAGCTGCACGACTTTGGAGGCAATATGGGCTTGTATGGGCAGATTATGAATATCACCCAGGACGCGACCAACGCACGTCTCCAGTCCACGTCGATGATCGGTTACGGTCTGAGTATGGAAGGCCAGGAGGGCAACGAGGTTGTATACGACCTAATGCTAGACCAGGCGTGGTCATCCATCCCCCTCGACACGGATGTATACTTCCACAATTGGGTGACTAGCCGGTACACAGCCGCAAAGTCGATCCCAAGCGAGCTATACGAAGCCTGGGAAATAATGCGCATAACCGTGTACAACAACACCAACCTAACGTCCGCAATTGCCGTGACCAAGTCCATCTTCGAGCTCCAACCCAATATCAAGGGCCTTCTCGGTAGAACGGGCCACCACCCAACAACTCTGAACTATAACCCATCCACCCTGGTCAACGCATGGCGACTGATGTATCAGGCCGCCAACGCCGAAAATTCCCTCTGGACAAACCCGTCCTTCGAGTACGATATGGTCGACGTCACGCGCCAAGTCATGGCTAACGCTTTCATCCCCCTCTACTCGAACCTCGTTTCAACCTACAACGGCGGTAACTCATCCAAAGACGCCATTACAAACGAAGGTACCAAACTCACCAGTCTCCTCAACGACCTGGACAAAGTCCTCTCCACAAACCCTCACTTCTGCCTCTCAACCTGGATTGACGCTGCCCGGTCTTGGTCCGGAGGTAATGCGAGCTACTCCTCCTATCTCGAGTACAACGCCCGCAACCAGATAACACTTTGGGGCCCGCGGGGTGAAATTAGTGACTACGCCTCTAAGTCGTGGGCAGGTCTGGTTTCCACTTACTACGTTCCCCGCTGGGAGATGTTCGTTCAGTATTTGAAGTCGACGCCACCTGCTTCGTACAATCAAACTGAATTCAATGCTCAATTGTTGAATTTCGGTCTCAAGTGGAACGCACAAACGTCGAATACGCCCAAGTCTTCGTCTGGTGGTGCGAGGGATCTAAAGAAGGTGTTGGCTGATGTGCGGGGTCAGTGGTCTACCGTCTTTGGGGCTTGATTTTAAGTTATTCTTGTAGCATTGAGGCTTTGTTAACGTCATGGGATATGGCTTGGATTAGTTGCTGACACTCCCCACAAAACAACTAATGGAGTGCAGAAGCGTCACGTTTAGTAGAGAGTTGAAAGATCGAAGGGGAAAGCATGCAAATAAAACAAATAATATTCTAAACGGTATATAAGAAGTAGAAAGCTAACAAACAACATTAAAAAGTGAAAACGTGGGCAAAGTCAATCTACCCCTGTTCGCGATGCTAGAGAAACATGACTACTGCATCCAAATCAAACTAAAACAACTCCCCATCAAGTAAGACATCTGAAGAGCATTTTGAAAGCTCTGCAACAGTCGTAGCCAGATCATCGAGGATTTCGACAACCACGGTCGAGTCCCTTTCAGCCCCAACGGCTCCGACGTGCACGTTACCACCCCGCACGAAAGAGACCACCTTGAATGGATACGGTGCATCGCCATGGGGATTTGAGATGTCGACTCTGCAAGATCCTTCAGCGAAAGGCATGGTATCAAAGTCATCAAAGTCTTGATGATGAACAATCGAGTCGAAAGACTGTGTCTCCAATGGCCAAGAAGTGCACTGCTTGGCAATTTTGTCGAATCCGAGGAAATCATGGGCTGCAGACTCGGCACTCTGCTTTTGAACAAATTGCAGAAGGCTCAAAGCTGTCCACTCTGCCTCGAACTGGACTCGGATGGGAGTGAGCTGGTAGCATGGACCCACGACATTCTCCACATTCGCAAGATCAATCATGCGGCCGGACGTGACACCTCCGAATGTCACGTCCGACTTCTTAAGACGACGAGCTAGAAGCAAAGCCCACGCTGCAGTCAGCAAGTTTGCAGTTGTAATGTCTTCCAGGGGTTGGCATGATTCAACGGGCTTGGACTTGAATACGCCCTTGTCTCCGGGCTGATAGGATGTTCCCTCCAGAACAGACAACGATGAGCCGTCAAGTAAAGTGCTCCAGTAACCAAGGGACTTTGTTTGGAAGCGGATGTCACGAATGCGTGCCATATAGGTGGAGAAAGGCTCGAAGTCAACGGCAGCCTTTCCGGTATACAGCGCCTCCAGATCTTGAAGCAGCTTGGGGAGTGACATGCCGTCGTAGAGAGCGTGGGATAGACCCAAGATGAGACATTCCTTTCCGTCATCACCTGCGACGTGGATAAACTTGAAGAATGGCGAGCCAAGCTGGAAGTCGGAATTGGCATCCTCCGCACAGAGATCCTTGACGAATGAATCAAGATCTCTATCTGCCAGATGCATGGTCAGAGGAGCATCCAACTCATTCAAGACAACCTGGAAAATGGTGTCATTCTCCTCGATAAACACAGTCCGCAGAATATCGTGGGTCTTGGCCAGGTCTCTGCAAGCTTGGAACAATCTTTGACGATCGATGCCACTGTCGAAATACAACATGTTGTATTGGATAGAGGTTCGGGGGATTTGAATAGTCCCTCTGACGTCAAGTGCTTGAGTATCCGTGACGGGATAGACGTCTTGAATTGACCAAGTCGGGTGAGCAAGCTTTGGTTGGACAACTTCAGACAGAAATTTCTGGATTTCGATGGATCCCAGGAGGGAGAAGGGTTTGTAAGGTTGAACTTTGCTCTGCGGTGACTGCCCAACCTTGAGTCTCTTCGCAGCATCCCCCAGACGCATATGCTGGAAGATATCAGCAACCGTCAAAGAATGACCCTGGGCGCGAAGGCTGGAGACCAGCTTCATCGCCAGAACGGAGTCACCACCAAGACGGAAGAAATTGTCGTCGACGTCAATCTGGTCCGCCTGCATTCCAAGAATATTTGCCCACGAGGACCGCAAAATGTTCTCAGGGCCAGTTAAGCTTGCTTGAGCAAGACTCTGCTTCCACGCCTCCTGGAGCCCTTCGTGCACTTGGTTGAGCACTTGGCAAGGAATCTTCGAGGCGAGTTGGCTCACAAGGCTACGGTTTGTTGGCAATTTGTCGAGCACAACGTACGCAGAAGGTACCATATGAGTTGGCATTGAATCTCGGAAGAACTTGTCGAGACGCTTCAGTGCTACAATAAGGGTTATGGGCGCTGAAGCACAAACTAATGTCCTCAGACTTTGAGGGTCGGACGAGTCCCACACGACCTCATGGTTCTCTGACATGAGCTTAACATCGTCACCCTCAGATGCCTGGCCCTCGACAAACACGGCCAGTTGCAACTCTGATGTCTGATTTGACTCATCCTGCGATGATTGGATGACGGCTGCAGCCGCACGGGTCGAGGATGGGAGGTATCTCGAGAAATGAGTCTCGAGATCTGCGATATCAACCGCATGTCCCTGCACTGGGACAATGTTGTCTTTGCGGCCGATAAATACCAGGCTTCCATCCTCCTGCTGCTGGACAATATCACCGGTCGCCTGTACAATCCCTGATCGACCTGAAATCTCCGAGCTTCCAGCCATGAGCCAGGCCGGTGACTGCGTAGTCTCGCCCGAAAGGAATGCTCCTTCCAACCAAAGCTCACCAGGACAACCGATGGGCGACAATAATGAGGGATTGCGTGGATCACACACCCAGTGAACCACCGGTGGAGGATAAGCCGATCCTTGCTTGATATCTTCATTGGCACGGAGTTTTCCAGATGACTCGTCCCAAGACAAAGGAGCAATCTGGTTCCGTTGCCAAATTTGTGTCAACTCGTCTTCGGGAAGGCAAGATATTTGATCAACCTTTCTCGAAAGATCCTTGGCCAGCTGAGAGCAAGCCACTTCAAGCTGAGCCAGAACGCGCTCCATTTGTGACACACTGACCAATCCAGTATCGAAGCTCGCGCATACTCTAAAGCCTCCCTTTCGAATTCCACAGCCAAGCATGAGGGGATAAGGATTGAAGTGGAGAGCTTCGCGGACGACATCACCATGAGCAAAACCAAGATCGTTGCCTTCGTACTCCGGCTCAGGCTGAACTACCAGACCGGTACCAGCCTCGCACGCATGTTGAGCATCGCGGCTAACCTTTCGAATGTTCTGCATTCCCATGTGCTGGTAAGGCGTGCGTGCAAGGATGCTCTGCTGCACAGCCTGAAGGTATGACTCGACGGTGCTATCCCGGCTAACATGGATGCGAATCGGTACGGTCGCAATCAGCGGGCCAACGATTCCTTCAACTCCTGGGAGTGTAATGTCACGGCCAGTAAGCGTTTCGCCAAACACAACATCGTCACTGCGCGTATACTGAGATGCAACAAGAGCCCATGCACCCCGGATGAATGTGGCCAACGTGAAAGGCGACCCAGCAACAGCCTCGAATGGAATGATACGCTCAACCATGCCGTTTGGAGTAGGCAAGTAGTCTCGGTATGGAAGGCGCGGGAATTGAGGTCCAACGGCACCGTTCAACTCCTGGCGCCAGAAGTCATTCATGGCGATATCATCAGTATCCTGGACGAACTTGACAAAGTCCTTCATGTGTGCCGGCATTTCAATATTTTGACCTGCCAGTGCATTGCGAACCTTTTCGAGAATGACTGGCTCTGACCAGCCGTCGTAGAGGACGTGGTGCACTGTCCAAACCATGTAACGCTTGCCATCGATGGAATTGTCCACAATAGCATATCGGGCGAGGCCTTGTCCAAGATGCATCTTCTCATTCCGGTCATCCTCGAGGTACTGATCGAGATTGACAGAGTGCTTCCAATCAACGCTGAATTTCAGGACAACTTGTTGAAGGCCAGGGTCTTGTAGTTGCACCAAGCGACTGCGCAGGATTGGGCTTGCTGCGACAACCTCCTCCCATGCTTTCTTCCAGGCATCGAGGCTGATATGTTCTGGAATGCAAGCAACTCTTTGAGCAACGTATGCCTTGACTGATTTCAGCGAAAAGGTGAACAGGGACTCTTGCGTAGGCGTAGACGGATAGATATCTTCGACAGCGCCTTGATCCACTCCACAGGCCTGTGATGCTTCCAGGGAAGCACTTTCGACAGCTTGAGTGATCATCGAGAATGGAGAAACCTCAGATCGTACTTGTGTATCGCAAATCTTGACAACCTCGGCCATGGCTGAAAGGGTTGGATTGCTGAAAGTGCTAGTCACAGAGAGATCGAGGCCTTGATCTCTGCAGATGGAAACGAGGCGCATTGCAGCCAAGGAATCGCCACCAAGAGCGAAGAAATTATCCTCCAGCCTAATGTTATCTGCATCCAGCTTCAATGCTATACCCCATGCTTGTCTAAGGCGTTGTTCCAGTTCAGTCAAGTCCCGCGAGACGGCGTTTCCAGCACCTTGGTCCAGCTCTCGCAAGTCAACGGTGGTACCAAATTGCCGAAGTCGCTTGCGGTCGGTCTTCCCAGAGATCAATGTGGGAATATAATTGACAGGAATGTAAGATGTGGGAACCATGTACCGTGGCAGAACCTTGGAGATTTCTGCGTTTGCATCGGAGAGAAGTTGGCTCTGGTCAGGACTGAGCTCAGCTGACTGAATTTCCAGATGTTCCTGTCCCTTGGCTGACTGAAAGGAAACGAACGCGACGAGAGTAGACTGGCCGCCGGCTCCCTGAGGCACAATGACTTCAGCGATAACCGTTGCTTCTGAGGGCAGCCTAGCATTAAGTTGACTTTCAATCTCCCCAAGCTCCACACGCTGCCCGCGCAGCTTAACTTGAGTATCCTTGCGGCCAACGAACACGATGCCTCCAGAGCCATCGGGATCATAGACGCCGAGATCGCCAGTCTTGTACAAACGACCCTGTCTTCCAGCATATCCCTTGTGACCAGCCACAAGCCATGATGGGTCGTGAATGAATGCAGCTGCAGTCTTGTCGGGGTCGTTCAAGTAGCCCTGTCCAACGATAGGGCCTTCAACAAGAAGCTCACCAACGGCTCCGACCGGCATCAATACTTCATGGTCGTTGGGGTCGACAATCCACATCGCCGCACCGTTACCATGTCCGATGGAAATGTAGTCTCTGCCCGACGCAGCACTGCTGTTGATGGTGCATCCAATCGTACATTCGCAGGGACCGTAACCAATGACAATCCTGGTATCTCGACCCCAAACTGTCACATCTGTAGCAGCCGCGGCTTCTCCACCTAGGCCGAGGATATCAAGTGATTGGATGACATCGGCATCCAAGATTCGAGCCATCGATGGGGTGATACCGGCGTAGTTGATTCTCATCTTCCGAATGACTTCATTGATGTCGTTCAGCCGATCTTCGTCCGAGGGAATGCAAAGGCAGCCACCATTCCCGAGAGTCAGCAGCATACTGTCGATGCTGACGTCAAAAGCGTATGATGCAAAGTCGAGAACTCTGGAAGTAGACGTATAACCAACTGCTTTCGCTCGTGGAATAGCACTGCTGGTATATGTTTGGTGGGAGATTTTGACACCCTTGGGAGTGCCTGTGCTTCCCGAAGTGAAAATGATGTACATCAAGGCGGAGGCCGGTACCGTTGCAAGCTCTGGTAACACTTGAGATGTCGAGATATGCGAAAAGATGTCTTCTTTCACGACAAATCTCTGCCCATCCGGCAGGATTGATGATGCCAGCTCCTGTTGGAGTTCGGATGACACCATTGTCTTCGCATTCACTTGCTTCGCCATATTCTGAAGGCGAGCCAATGGTAGCGTAGGATCCATGAGAACAATAGTTCCACCAGCCTTCATCACGGCGAGTACAGCGACAATCGTCCACCTTGACTTTTCAAAGCACACTGGGATGAAGTCATGGAGTACGACACCCGCTTCTTGAAGCGTAGATGCGAGCACCGTTGAGTAGCGGTCAATCTCACTGTACGTCAAAGCACCATCCCAGGATAGAATAGCCTCTTTGTCGGGGAATTCCCGAGCACGCTCAGAAATCATTTCGTGCATGCAAAAGTCGTATGTTGGAGGAAGCTCATGATTCCAGCTCCAAACTGTATCAAGATCATGCTTTGTGGCACGAAGACAGTCCTCTATGGCTTTCTCGGGACTGGAGATACACATTTCGATAGTATCCACCAGGGATTCAATGTGTCTGGTAATTGTATATGGCAGAATGTTGTCAGAGTGCCATACTGGACGGATATTGAGATCTCCATTATTCACGGAAACTTGAAGCTTAAGCACACCCTATAGTCGATATGGTCAGCCACGGACTTCTCAAATGAAGCTTTCTAAGTAGGCACGAACATCGTTCTTAGCGCCATCAGGGCTCTCCAGCAGAGACCCAGTGCTTAGCAGAAGTGACGGAGAGCTAGGCTCCGCTGTCAAACTTCCTTTCACGTTCTCAATGTGACGAGAAATAGCAGCCAGGCTGTCTCCAACATTATCTTGCAATCTGGGGAGTACTTCCTCGGTAGAAAGCTTGTTTGCGACTTCGCCATTTGACAAATCTCCTTGGGTCTGATATGCCCATTCATAGCTAATACGTCCGTCTTCTCTAGTTCGCAGAAGGACTATGAGCCAGGACAAAAGCACAATCTCCTCCTTCATGCATGTTGACGTGGAAACTTGATCAGCGATAAGGCCAGCGACCTTAAAGGATCTGGTGCTTGTACCATTTGGCTCGTTCTTAGCCAATACATCAGCACCCCCATACAAGTGCTCATGCTGGCTCCGTAGATCGTCGATGTGTATGAAGCCCATCTTGACGACGCGACGTGCTTGCGTTGTCGCAGAATCCTGGCGCACTTGAATGTCAAGAGAGAATGACGGCTCGCGACCGACCGAAACCGAGATGGTCCGATCCCACACTTTGTACCCAAACTTTGTCTCCACTGGCGAGCTTGCCGCGAAGCAAGAATGAGTACTGACTTCGTATAGATACATAACGAAATGGTGTGGAGACGGGTTGTTTGGGACTAGTAATACAGGACATTTCACCGTTTGGTTACAATACCCCGTGGACAAAACTGAATTTCACCTGACAATACGTATCATACATAACCCCGAGAGTAGGACTTGCCAAATTGGATACCAAACCTCTCCACTCGATGTCTCGGAGTCAACCTTGAACTGAGGGGATTGGGTTGCATTGCTACTAAGTCTTGTCAGGCATATTCTCTGTCGTACCCCATGACCACGACAATAGGAAGTTACAGACTAGTATTACCGTATATAATGATAAACTTCTAACAGTATCTCCAATGGGGAGCAAGCCGATTGATGCCACAATATCGCAGTTTCAACAGACTAAGGTGTAGATCAACATGCATTCATTGTAGATTCTCATAACACTCTCATGCTCTCGTAGTAATGTCCGCTGCGGATACCAGTCTCTTCAACTTTGTCATTCTAGGCCGGAGTAGACCTTCGGAGACATCATCTAATCAGATCCTGGGACACAGCATCCACAAATCTAATCAGATCCGGTGACCGTTTGGGCCACCACTGCCCACCAGTAGGGCGTATAAGGCGTAGAAAAGTCGGTGCGCCCCCCTAAACAGGTTATGTTGACACTGAAAGGATGGATCCGCGCGAAGCGAAGGAAGTTGTCGCGATGGGTCTACCAAAAATACATACTGTACGACACCCTCAAGACCCACTCGGTAAATACTTACAGTGCTGTACCCGTTTGTGTTTACCGTACCTTTCGTTTCTAGGCGTTCCATGGAACAGATGTTACCAAAAGCTGCCCGAGCTTCCGCATGCTGATTGATAATTTTTTCCATCTGATAATTTTACGCCATCCTCCCCCCACCAAAGGAGGGGCAGACTTTTTGTCAGAAGCAAAAATTGTCTCGTAAAGGATGGGTCTTAGCGTCTCGGCTGAGCAGAAATATTTCCATCTCAATGAGCCAAACAACGTCACTTCGAGCGGGTCTTTTTTACCCGGCAATTACCGGTCCAGGGGTTTGCTTTGCTCGCGTCGCACAATTAAACGTAAAGATAATCTGTAACCGACTTCGGAGTGACACAAGATCCATCTGATAACGAATTGTTTCGTAAGCAGCCACGTGCCACACGTGCTTGTTCCCGGCGCGCTCTCCTTTAGCTTTCCATTGCAACTTTCTCCAACGATCTTGCATATACACACTTTGGCCAGTCAACACCTAACGTCGAAATGTACTCCAAGTTCTGGCCGAAGGGTGGCCTTCCTGGCATCCTGCACCACTACGTATGTTACTGTCTTCTGGGCAATGGATTCGAGTGCAATTGACAAGTTTACTAACACATGAACCTCACAGACCGAAACTCTTGTCACATTCGAATACGCCTCCACGGCCCCTCGTCAACCTCACAGCATCCTCTTTGTCGGAGGTCTTGGTGATGGCCTTGCGACTACTTCCTACATGTGTGATCTTGTCCGCGCGCTCCAGCCCACGGAATGGTCCCTTTTCACTCTCAACCTTACATCCTCCTACCAATCATGGGGCCTCGGGCACCTCGACCGCGACACGGATGAGATCGCACAATGTTTGAATTACATCAAAGAATACAAGACGTCCAAGTTCGGCAACGGCAAGATCGTGCTCATGGGTCATTCTACTGGCAGCCAGTGTGTGATTCACTACTTGTCTCGACCCAACCCTCACACGAGCACTCCTGCGTTCGATCCGGATCTCGAGCACATCCTTCGCATGCCACTTGACGGTGCCATTATGCAAGCCCCCGTGTCTGATCGGGAGGCAGTGCAATGGGTGTTGAGCGAAGGAATTGGTGGCAAGACGGGCGACGAGATTCGGCCAGTGTATGAGAAGATGGTCGCAATGGCGAAGGAGTCCGTCGCCAAGGGTGAACCTCATGATACAATGCTCCCCCTGTGGATGACGTCTCATATCTATCCTGCGAATACTGCACTCAGCTGTCGCAGGCTCTTGAGTCTGATCAGTCCGGACAGCCCTCAGTCACCAGGTGAGGATGATATGTTCAGCTCCGACTTGAGTGACGAGCATTTGAAGACCACTTTTGGAATGATCAACGAGCGGGGCCTGCTCAAGCACAAATTGATGGTCTTGTTCTCTGGTGCGGATCAAGCAGTTCCGGAATGGATCGATAAGGAGAAGTTGCTATCGAAGTGGAAGGGTATCACGGATCATGATGGCAAATACCAAATTTGGGATCAAGAGTACAGTGCTATTATCCCCGGGGCATCTCATGCATTGAGCAACGATGACCAGGCTAAGCCACGGGAGTTCCTCGTGGAAAAGGTCCTTGGGTATCTCAAATCCGCAGAAAAAGTCTGATCAAATAACTACCTAAAAATGGAAAAATTGACAATCTTGAAGACAAAATAAGACCTAAAATGGTAAAAGAACATGATAGAGTTATGAGAACAGATTATTTCTCACTTTTGATTGCATGGATTCAATGGACCTTGCTCATATAACCGCCGCAAATGCTCCTCTAATTTTGCCCATGTCCGAGGCAGAAGGTTTGCCATCATCCAGAAATTCCCTCGATGGTCTCTTCCTTGTATCCAGCAAACATTGAAACCACTCCAGCCCCGTTCGAGACCTTCATTCCAGTAAGTAACCATACTTCCCACTGGATTTTTCCGTGTCTCGGAGCTCTCGCCCTGATGCAGAACCGCAGGACCAAAGTCGACAAGTTTAATCAACTCTGCCTTGCTCACGTTGTTGATCAGAATGGGCACGGCAGTTGACTCTCCAAAAAAGAGCCTGGGGTTTTTAGCCACATCAATATCGCGGTAAACACGCTTCAAAAAGCAAAGCGTCTGCTTCTCGGTCGACTGCTCGGCAAAGTGACGGCGATGGCTCACTGCCACAGCACCTATAGAACCCGTGGCAGTCCTCGCAGATAGGAAAGCATACGTCGAAAGGACCATATTCTGCAAGAATACCTCGGTCGATTTGCGTATCTCGGGAATCCGCGGTCTAATGTCTAAGAAGCTCATGATCACCATTGGGCGGGGCCTCGGCATGGTAGATGCCGCTGCTTGACATATCCATGCAATTAGGATGTCCCCTTCGCTGGCAAATGGCACATCCTGAGTGCTCCGGCCTTCATTCTCGATCTCCTGGAGAATCTCAGCTTTGAGCTTATTGAGAACGGGTTCGGGTATAAACAAGGCTCGCTGTTGCCGAGGCTGGTTGCAGAACTTGTCCCACAAACACCGCAATTGAAAGACAAGTAGTTTGACTCCAGTGAGACAGTTCTTTTCAAGTTTGAATTCTTCGCTATTTTCCAGTTTTTCCGATGCCGTCGCTTGCAGGAGAATGTCCTCTCGTGCGCCTGTTACCACAGGGACATCGCTCTCGCGACCCGCCAACACTGATGACCAGCCAGACAAGAGGGCCTTCCCGGCCGAGGCATCCATCAACACATGAGGCCATGAAAGTGCGACGAGCGTCGCATCCTTGAAAGAAGAGACATGAAGCGCAATGGAAGGTTCTCTTCGTTGTACTGACTGAACAAAGGATGGATAATTCGGACGAGCAATAAAAGGTCGAAAGTCCTCCGAAACTAGATGGGTAGACGGTCCATCTGTCGCGTTCGGTAAACAACTTGCCAGCGGATGGTCTTGGATTCGCATCTCATAAGAGTCGTGAGTGAAGAATACATTCCGTTCTCCAGTTTCAGGTAACTTTCGGAAGACAACTTCCAATTTTCCATCCGCCTTGTCAAGGTTAGCCGGGTGTTCTTCGACGCTAACCTGTATCAATGAATGCCCAACTCTATACCTACCTTGAATCTCAATCGCCCACCTAGTTTCTTCCAATCTCCAATCTCCAGCAGCCTCGACAATGAATCGGCCAATTTCTCAGCATCAAGGACATCATTGAATCGCATCATCCATATCACATTGTTACGAAAACTTTTGATATCGTCGAGCTTGTGTAGGGGATACACCTCCTCCTGCCCGTCCAAGTACTGCCGGTCAACTTTCATATTGTGGCTGCTACTTACACCATAACAGTGTCATATTAACGGTCGCGGGGTGATCGGTTTCTATTTGAATATCGATTGTAGCCAATTTCAGTGCCAGATAAACCTGGGGAACCATTCTTTAGGTTCTTTCTCAATTTCAGATCAAAGTGGGTCTGTAGACAGAACCCAAAGATTAGACGGGATTGAGATCTACAAGGGCGAAAGTCTCAGCTTGTCACAGATATCACTTTGAGACATTCGGCAAGATCACTCGTTTCTCGTTTCTGGGGCTTGAGATAAATATCAGTGACTGTTTTCACTCTCTGTTTGTTTGAGAATACATACCGTACTTGTAAATAGAAATGGAGACTGATGGTTCTCTCCTTGATAATTGACGTCATATCCTCGGTAGGTGGAGTGATCGTGCCAAGCCACAATCGAAGACTTGGGCGCTGATCTTATACCACAAGGGAGTGAAGGGTATCTAGGATTTAAGCCAGGCTGCAATATTCAGAAATGCCAATATCAAGGTTGTGATTGAGAAATGATACATGCGTGAGAGAATCCGGAATGACATTAGATACAACACCTATACACGTCCGGCCACTCTCGCCATTAGAACCTCCCAGCCAAACCATGAAAGAGAAGAACAGGGTATAAAAATTGTAGAAACTCCAGGCATATTATGTACATTACAAAATCGTGAACAATGTCCTCCTTCAAAGACTTTTGCCTTCAGTTCACATGCTGCGCTCTTGCAAGCTCAACATCAAAGCCACTACCAGCGGTAGTACCTGGCAATCGGCAGGTGTTGCTTCGACTCCTTACAAACCTGGGCCAAGTATTTGTGAGGACGAGATACTTGACTGCCTTTACCGCCTCATCAAAGACATTCGCACCAAGTCCACAGGCGACAAACTCCTCGGGAACATCACCCCAATACCATACACGGTCTCGCAACACGGATGCTGTTACATGAATATCCTTCTCAGAACCGTCGGACGACATGGCCGAGGGTAGCCTTGAGAAGCTGGGAATATTAAAGGGTGCAATCGCGTTCATCTCGGGTTCATCACCATAGATGATACGAGCGGGTTCCTCGAAGATATTCTCAAGTTTTGAAAGTTCTTGGAAACATAGGTTGATCGGGAATTCGGCATGAGGACTGACAAATTCGACGTAGATAGAAAGGGCGCTATTGTATCGCTCTTGTAGCATCTCTTTGAGATCCTCTTCATCTTCGACATCGGAGGCATCCTGTAAGGAGCTCTTCCATTGGGCGACGCTCGTAAGAAAGGCAATATTTTCTCCAGAAAAGTCGTGGAGTGCTGAGAAATTCTGTAGCGAGGCAGGATCACGATCGAGGACGTGTTCGAGAGCAGGCATAGACATCACACTCTCATCGGATACGTCTGTTTTAACAGAGCCTGACATCATAGACTCGACAGTTGCCGTGGCAGATTTTAAAGACTTTGTTTCGGGAGCAGACTTTTGCTTCGACTCCCATTCGGCAATCAAATCAAGAGTCTCTTGGTGAAGGGACTGGTGTCGGAAAACCTCCCAGCAAGGGAGCAATACAGTAAAGATCTCGATGAAAACGATCGATAGGCAGATCCTAAATGGCAGTCAGATCACCTAGTCCACTCGGGAGATAGATGTTTAGGAAATTATTCTTACCACTGAGCAGGTAGCCAATAATTGTTGACCACTTCCATTGCAGGAACATAGAGGGCTATAAGCCAAAGTGGAGTAGCGTGGAGACTATCCAAATAATCAGCAAGAGCACTTTTCACTTCCTATTCACCGAGCTTACCTGGCAACAGCACAGCCAATGGTCTGAACTCGCCAGCCCTGAGTATCATGGATCTCGCGAGACTTCCAGAGAATAATGGGAGCAACGATCCAAGACCAGAAGAATTGCCAAAACACGCCAGGCCACCTGTGAAAGTCAGTAAATCCAGTAATTGGTTCCCATAATTAGGGGTGCCCATTATATTTACCATTCCCAGCCTCGACCCATCTCGGATTTCTGCTCCATCGCAGTCCCAGTAACCTCAGTGCCGGGGATACCCCAAGAACTATGCCATTTGCGGGAAATTATATACATCGACGCAGTGAGGAATATCTAATCCATGGTCAGAATGACGGTTACAAATATGCGCAATGACATAAATAAAATCTCGAGGCACGGGACATATCGACATACTTGGAGGAGCATTGCAAAGCCCACAGTGATGAGACTCTTGGTGGTATAGTCAAGACGTCGGAAGCGATCGATCAAGCCCTTGCCGCCCTTGGGTTCAAAAGCAGTGTTCCCATAAGGTAGCCCGACAAGACGGCTGTTGGGGCGAGTATATCTTTTCTGGAGATTCGCAACATGGACGAAGCGACTATTGGATGCGTGGAAAAGGGCAATGCCACACGGCAACAGAGTGCCCATGATCCAGAATTCGGCGTCCCCTGGTGCCAATGAGCCGACCAATAACCCCAACTGCACTGATATCCAATATAAGTGAAGGAGAATGACGGCCGACAGTGATAGGCCGATGCCTCGAAGTCGAAGGGGGGTTGAATTTCGATGAATGATCAGGTAGACCATGCCTATCGCAATAACAGTGGTCCAAACGCATGTCCAACACACCCACCAGATGCTGACAGGAGTCAGACTGAGCTCCGCCTTGGAGTTGGCGTTGACTCCAAGTTCGGACCCCATGATCGCGATCTCGCCTGGATCACCTTGCTAGATGTCGTCTGGATGCTTCGGTCGCAATGAGAAGCGCACAATCGTGGAGAGGGGGTTGAAGACGCTTATTCTCTAACTTCCACGTGCTGTGGGGTCCGAATTGGACTTTCTTCAACGTAGGATCGAGGCTGCATTAGACAGACGGGCGACGACGGACACCGGCGCTATGGCCGACTTAAGTGACTTGCAGCGTTTCCGAACCCCTGTGCTGAAAATCAGGTCTTTGGAAGGGAAAGCGCTCTTCAGGGATTGTTAAACAAGGGCCGGTTAGCGCGGCTTCGAGATACGGATCCATGATCTTCAGGTCCCAAAAGTTTACGTCCTGACCGTGATTGCCCGATCGATGTGGATGTGATACGTTCAAAGTGCCTATGTGCACATCACACTAGTCGCTATCGGGAGGGACAATGCGTCTTATCATTGCTGATTTAGGTTAAGTGGCCCGTGGAGCTAATGGCCTCCCCCGTGCGACTGGCTATACTCGATCGGCGTTTCAAAACTATTGATTTTGATCCTTCGTCAGCATGACTAGTGAGATTAAAGGCAACTTTGGTACTTTCTTCAGCATCCAAATGAAGGCCTTTGTGTGACTCCATAGCTTCATGATCTACAAATAAATTGTCTCTCATGATAAATAGTCTATCTAGCTTTGTCGATCGCTCATCACTTTATTTCAACTTTTGGGTGTATATAATTGCCTAGCCATCTTTTAAAGAAACTTTGATTCCAAATTTTAGCAAATATTCGAACGGATCATTTTGTCAAGTACATCTGTTTCCCCCTGTACGGAGTATTCAACCCTCCCTTGCCCCGGTTTCTTCAGCAAAAACGACCTCGGACTACCCTCGTTGCTGCAGCCACAATAAACTCAAACTCAATTCAGGCTCTGAAACAATAGCAAAGGGAGCAGAAAGACATCTCCCGTGAGCGACTCCCCAAATCTTCCCATCTGTTCACTAATCAATCAATGTCGAGGGTGCCGGGCGCAAACCCACCCGGAACAAAGTCCAGAAACGTATGATAAAAGCACCGCACCTTATACCTCCTGCATGTTACATCTAGCCACGCGCTTCCTGTCGAACAAGTTCCATGCCTGCAATGCGAAAACTTGATGCAATCTGTCTCCCTATCGCAGCCGAACGTACACATTCCGCTATCACCGCATCTATAGCCATAGTCGCAGTCCGCATGTGTATCGCAGTACTCCTCGGTTGGAGGCTTGTTGTTGAATGGTGGTTTTGGACGCAATGCAACGGAGGCAGTACTGTTGCTGTTTTCTGGATCGCGCGTGCTAATTGAATGATTCCCAGAGGAGATCAGGGTTTCTAATATATTCCCATTGACGCCATTCGTTGGCGCCGCCATTACTTAGGTTGGTCGAAGGCAACTAAGCACCAAAAGGCCGAGAACTGGAGAAGTTAACAACAGGCGCACTCAAAAGCTTGACGCCGACGACGAACCGAGTATATGTCCACCAGGGACGCTAGGACGTGCGAAGATCATCTTGTAAAGTACCAAGCTCCTGCTATTCTTAAAACATATCCTGTGGGGCTTGTTCGGATCAGATATTACGATTCAGGAGATCTCAGATCCAAAGGGACATACCGATCGCAGAAAGTTGATTTGAATGACACTGGTGTAGTTTGACGATGTGGAGGGGGGCGGTGGGGAGGTGGGGAGACAACTTGTCAAGGAAAGAAAAGGCCCAGGCAGTGCTTTATAAAAGCACTGCGTCTATTCGATACCCCAAGAAGGGATAGTAGCGACTTACTTGCCCATTTTGGGGCAGATATAGTTTGCTCTACCATGGAACCCGGATCGGTCCCAATCGAGCTGTTTTTCGGCACATATCATTGCTTGCTAAGTGATACTAGAGCCGTGGCGGGCAATTGTATATGACAACGCCTGAAGTTTATCCAGACATTCCCTCTGGATGCTATTCAACCGTAGCTGTGGTGGGAGTATGCTAAGTTCGTCAACACCCGGCGTCTTTGTTGTATTGTGAAATACTCAAGAGGGATTGGTATGGCCGCCCGCTACCAAGACAGTTGTCGCCTCTCCAGTTCCGGGGGCGGCGCTCCTGCCTGTCCTACCCAGAAGATATCAATCGCTCCTATAAACCAAGCTTCCTCCATCTCAAGTCGTCTACGCAGGATTGGGTTGCCTTGAATAAACAGGACAATAAATTTGCGGAAATAGATTTATCAAACAACATCAGCATTCAAATCTGAAGCCTAGCAAGAGAGAAACCATCAACAGCGTATGTGTGATGAACACCAGTAAATGTACAACGAACTCCTTTCCAAGATAAATTAAACGAAAGGGGCATCACGGCGTCACAAAGGAAAATGGGTAGAAGAGAGTCGGTCAGTCAGGGGGAGTGGGCAGTGATCACCAAACGGGACAAATCCACCAACACCACAACACAAAAAACACCGTGGCCTGTATGGGGTCATAAGAAAGTTGCCGAGCCCGCAACATAGCAAGCCAAACTCCGTGATGGGGAACAAAGAGGTATGCGCAAGAATGGAATGGAAAGTCACAATGACAGTCGGTCTGTAGAAGAGGGAGTTTGCCTCCAACAAAATAAAACCACAACGCCAGTACACCATGATGAGAAAAAAAAAGCCGCTCCAAAATGGGATGCGAGGAATAGACAAAGGAAAAGAGAATCAGACAGGTCACCGAAGGTTGCGGATAACCTTCTTGCCGCGGGCGAGGAAGGGGCTGGGCATCTCGTCACGCTCGGGATCCCAGATGGCAGGTGGCTCACGTTCGGAGGATTTCATACTGGAGGCGTGAGGAGTGGCGCGAGAGTCACTGGCACATCGCTTGGATTCATCCACAGGACGACCACCGGCTCTAGCCTGGGCAAGCTCAACTAGGGTACGACCACCCATGTTGCGCTGCATGACAGCCTTGAACATTTCATCACCACCAGGATTATTAGCCTTAATCGGGGGCGGCTGCTTGGCTGAGTTTTTGCGGGTAGGAGACCCAGCGTCAGCCGCAAGGTTGGCAGATGACGGGATCTTGGACAGACGACGGTGAGGAGACTTGGCCCTGCCCTCATTCATGTTGTTACGGCTATCATATTGAGAGGCTGACGGGCCTCCAGACATCTGTGGAAGCCGAGATCCACTAGAAGGGAATAGAGGGGGCTGGGTGCTGAGTTTTTGCATAAGCGCAGCAGTGTTCTGGCGCAGAAGAGGTCGAGGGGGAGCCTTGAAGGGGTCAGGCTTGACCTTCGGGCGAGTAGGGGACGGAAGGTCAGGAGTGTCGTCCTCATCATCAGAGTAAGCCAGAGTAGGTTCCCACTTGGCTTTTTGGCGCTCAGCTTCGGCGAAGATGTTGCGCGAGGTGCCCGAGGCGGAGGTGCGACGGGGCGAAAGTGAAAGTGAAGCAATTGAGATGGGGGATGGCTCGGCCATTTGCACATCCTGGGGTGACTCGACTACGGTCTTGGAACGACAGAACGGAGTACGAGTCTCTTTCCTGGGCTTCCTATTATTGTTGGAGGAAGGAGACTCCAGGGATAGCTGACTGATGTCGGTGCTAGACGGAGCGTCCGAGTCGTCAGTTACAGCTCCGGAGGAACGCGATTCGCGACCACTAGTCCGAGATTGCGAACTGGAATCGGAGCGACGAAGGCTGGTACGGAAGAGCTCTTCGCGAGGATTGCTGTGTCTCTTCTGCTTCTCCAGCTCGATGGAAACGCGGTCTTGGACCTCCGCTTCAAACCGCTTGCGAAGTCGGTCCAGTTCGCTCTGCACCTGGCGATCAATCTCCAATCGCGCCTTCACCTCCCATTCCCGGCGAACGGTGTTTTCAATCTCAGCCTTGAATTGCTGCTTCTCTTTCTCCACGTTGGCCAGCTTCTGCTCCATCTCGCGGACCTTCTGCACGGCGACCTCCTCCCGGCGACGCAGGGTCTTGCCAAGATCCACTACTTCCTTCTCCTTGCGCATCAGACGAATAACAGGAAGGTTGATCAGGGCAGCCGTGTCCGGGCGGTTGTCAGGGTTGACGCGTAGGCAGCTCCCAATGACGTTCTTCAATTCGGGCGAGTAGTAGTCTGGGAGAGGTGCGTATTTGCCTTCGCGAATCTTTTGCACCAATTGAATGTGGGTGCGCGCATTGAAGGGGGGCTCCTTCGCGCAGAGCTCATACATGATACATCCGACCGCCCAAATGTCGGATCGGAGAGTGTACTTCTCGGCCGCGCAAATTTCGGGGGACATGTAGAAAGGGGTGCCGACATATGTGGACGCGAAATCGTGAGATTGCATCTGCTTCGACAGACCGAAGTCGCCCAGCTTCACGGTGTTGTCGCTACCAAGGAAGATGTTCTCGGGCTTGAGATCACGGTGCAGGATAGTCACTTGACCCTGCTTTCCTTTGAGGCCAGATGGTTTGGGCGGTGCTCCGAGGATGTTCGATCCAACTTCGGCAGGGTCTCCTCCGTAGTGACATCGGTACAAGGCAGTAACCAGCTGTGACAAAATGCGCCAGACAAATTCTTCCTCGGCTAGCTTGTTTGCCTTCTTGAGGTTCTTGATAACCATGCTCAAGTCTCCACCACCACAGTATTCCATGTACAGGTACAGATCTTGGCTTGCTTTGAGATGTTCGCGGTGGTAGTAGGCGACAATGTTCGGATGTCGGAGGGAGCTAAGGATATTGAATTCCGCTGTGAGCTGCTCGCGCTCCTTTTGAGACATCTTGATGTAATTGATTTCCTTCCGGCATAGTATCTGCGACCAGTTAGGTATGTCCCGCACCAGGAGCCTGCGCCGGCATGGAAACTCACGAATCCGTCTGACTTCCGCTTGACTTTACGGATGATACCGAAGGAGCCGCAGCCTAGAGGATACATGAACTGTCAATAGGAATTGTATAAATCATCACCACCGGATGTTGTACAACTTACCGATCTTCTCCAAGATCTCATACTTGTCCGCCTCAGCCAAAGCAATCGCCATGGCTATAGATTACTGTACCAGACAGTCGGGATCACAGGTATCGAAGGGATATTAGAAGGGAGGGAGGATAAGAAAAAGGTCATGGAAGAGGAGAGTTGACAAGGTCCCTGTGTTGTTAGTAAGGTGAATTGAAGAATTGGTGGAGGGAAAAGTTGAAGACGGTATGGGGTTTAGAGGTTCGGCGATCCTCAGTGTTTGGGTGCTGTTGCGTTGCACGGCAACGGGAGTCATGGCGCTTGCCCTTCAATGGCAGGCGGTCGCAGCAACCAGAACGGCCACCCAGAGTGGGACCATCTCCTTTAATTGCCTCGGCCAATTGAGGAAATATATCTACGTAACAAGTGTAAGGCACAAGAATTTCATGCATGAATCTCATATACCGAGGAACCATCCTTGAGCACTTAGACCTACTTTCTGTTGCAGCATGTCCGTATTTCCGTACTTGGTAACTCTTGCTGCAACAGACAAACAGACTTCCTGCAAAGCCCTAACTGACGTCACATGATCTTATCGATAAGCCCGGCAACTGGTCCCGCATCTCATCGATTCTCCTCCCACTTCGAGGTGACAAGCTGGATCGAGCATCATGGAAGACACGGAAGAGAGGACCGTACTACGCAAGGATCAGCTGGAAATTAGCTTGCACAATGAGAAAAAGCTAATCAAAGAAGGCACCATCAAGGATGACAACCCACTAGACCTGAGTGAGCCATTCCGTGACCTTTGCAGTGCTTGCCGGAGAGGTGATCTGAAAGCCTGCCAGGAGAAAATCACCGAGGGCGTCAATGTGAACGCTCGCGATCTATATGATTATACGCCATTGATCTTGGTAAGTGCTGTGAAAGCCACTGTACCGGGCATCTACGCTTCGGCTCCATCGCTTGAACAACATTAGTAACCAATATATATCCTGGACAGGCCAGTCTATGCGGACACTATGAAGTTGCGCAACTTTTACTTGAATCGGGCGCACTCTGCGAGCGAGATACATTTCAAGGAGAAAGGTAATTTTAAATTCGCACTGCCATTGGAGTACTCAGGAGCTAAATCATCGACTCGGATAGATGTCTATACAATGCCTTGAATGATCGGATACGAAACCTACTCCTCGAGTACGATTATTCCAAGTCCACGGACCCACTCCAGCCCCTTGCTGCGCACATCGCTTCATTGCTTACTCGAGAAACTCCTGTCACAACCGATATCACCGTGGCCGTCGGCGACCAGGACGTCGCCCTCCACAAGTTCATATTGGCCGCCCGCTCTCCCTACTTCCATACCAAGCTTGCCGCTGCTCCAGAGACAACAACATGGAAGCTTCCCAGTACCACCCCACCAGAGGCATTTGCCGCTGCAATCCGATATCTATACTTGGGTGAAGCTCCTCGCGAACTTCGGAGTGGACCAGGGACTGGATTCACAGAATCCGAAGTCTTCACTGGCATCGATAAGATCTCGAAATACCTCGAAATTGAAAGTCTCATGGATAGCCTGCTGGATAGTGGGGATAGACGGCGGGCACGGCAGCGCAGAACTACGGAGCTTGCTAAGGGCCGTGATCAATTAGAAGAGTGGTTCCGGCAGAATGTCCTGGGCAATAGGGTGGTCGTCGAGACATCGAAAGTGAATGATGTCAAGTGGGATCGCAATAACGCAATCTTTGCAGATGTCCTTCTGCGAGCAGATGAGCTACCGGACGAGGATGACAGCGCTGCGGACGAGACCCCGAAATCTACTCTGTTCCCCTGCCACCGGGCAATGCTGCTTCGATCGGAGTTCTTCCAGGCTATGTTCACATCCTCGTTCAGAGAAGCGCATATTACGAATCACCTGCATATTATCGACGTGGACTGCTCGCCCGACGTTCTGGAGATTATCCTGACCTTCTTATACACCGAGCGGGCGGATTTCTCTCTGGAGATTGCTGTCGATGTGTTGTTCGCCGCCGACATGCTCTTCATCGAAAAGTTGAAGACCAAGGCGGCCGTTGTCATCAGTACCTTGGGCAGTGGAGTGTCTCAATCCGAGGCAGCTCGGACTCGAGGTACCAAGGATGAAGATGACATTGATATTTATTCTATTATTCGAGCCGCTTGGTTGACTCGCGTCCAGCGTCTGGAAGAATTTGCCGCTCGTTTCCTCGCATATAGATTAGAGGCTCATATTGATTCGCCCGAATTTGCGGAGTTGATCCAAGAGTCTGCGGCTCGTATTCAGGCGCGCCAGGAAACTGACTCGATTGAGTTGCTGGATGATATTCGCTTCTACCTCAATGAGCGTTTCAGGCTACGATTCGACGATGCCGGTCTTGATGAGTTGATGGAAGAGCAGCCAACAACTGCGAATGGCGATGACACTGCCCGGGCTGACAATATGGAAAAGATCACGGAAGGTGTCGAGGCATTGAATGTGGCCAAGTCGACGCCGGTGACAACTGCACCAGAGGCGCCTGCTCAGCAACCGTATGGATATACCCGAGAGATTCGGACATTGGACGGTGCGCTCGTCGAGGACGAATTCGACGAGGACGCGATGAACTACCAAATCCTGTTGGAGAAGCTGGATGCTCTTTTGGAGAGATTGAACCTGGACGCGTAAGCTCTATGTGCAGGGTGATCTTACGATCGACCGAAGGCCGCCGACGCAGTTTTACCTGCATCTGCTTTACGATCTTATGACCGTGATTACAAATACTTGGCATGAGAGGCAATGTGAGTTTTGCATATACATATTATTTACATACAAGGCAGACAAAAATCTAGATATAGATATCGATCGCATTTTGCGTCATGAACCGGGGGCATTGACCTGCGCATTTTGCACTCGTAGATGAAACTTGCGGCATGATTGTGCAAGATCCAGTGGACGTCGAGGCCTTAGCTCGATAGACTTGGCACATGCAGAGTCGATCGATAGTCGCTCATGGGCACCAGAGGCCACCGGCCGTTTGGGAAGGTTATCTTCGTTCCATATGAGTTGATGGATCAATTACCCTTCATGGGCGTCTTGACAACATCTCTGATGAGCTGTAGAGGTCTTCCAAGGGATGACCTGTGATGACCGGAGACTGGAAATCTCCCACTGCCTTCAATTGTGTTCGGACACCCCTTCATGGCGTATGACACCAGAGGAACTCATTGGCGGGTTGAGGCCGTCTGGCTTCAATGTTCGTGATGCTTGCTTGGTTCAAGCGGCAGGAAAGCATGGTTATAATCACCGCCGCACTTCCGGTTGCTCCTTGTCCTTGCTGGATGCGGCCCTCTGTTTCTTTTCTTCCATCTTGGCATCCAAGTCCCGGATCTGATTCTCAAGTATGCCTTTACGGGCAGTCAGGTTGGAGCGCATGTTCTGGAGAGCTGTAAGTTGCTCATCGAAGGTGGATTCTTGGCGTTTTCGCGTGGTCTAGACATACAATTCAAAAGAAAATGTTAAAATCCGACACATATTTGGTGTATCCTGGGCTTATGACCGTTCACTCGGTGAATATGCCTATTGCTAGACACGGGGGTGCGGAAGCGTCGGTCTTCGAACTTACCTCCGCAATCTCCTCTTTCGTCTTCAACCCTGCTCCATATAGCGAACTGACAATCGTAATCGACGTCACTGCGGCTGTCAAGACCAGCCGGCGTACATTTTGAGGCGAGGGCATCTTTCCATGCGATGTGAAAGGTAGTTTCCGATCTTCGCTTTGTCTCGTAGCTGCAACAAAGAAATCCCCGGATTCACCGCCTACCCAGATGGGCCTTAGTATTGATCGGTCACAAAGACGCGTCTTCCGTGCCCTCCTCGCGCGTGAGATCTCTTTATCAGTGGACTTGCGCCTTGCGCCTTTCGTGGCCCCTCCTCCACTCCACTGATCAAAATGTCTTCTCGCGGCGCAAGACACCATACGGTACCTCGTCGGCGCTCTCGAAGCGACGTTGGTGACGACAGTGACGATCCAGATTCCATCAACGCGACTCCCGCATCCAACAGCAAACGTCCTCGCCTGAACCCCACCGAAGAAGAGCCTGTCACTGAAGATGGAGAGAACGAGGAGGACGACGATGATGAAAGCGACGCGGCCGCAAGTCAAGACTCAAGCCAGGCCCCCGCCCGGCGCCAAACTGCCCACCGTGGAATCGGTCCGGGTGGCTACAAACCTGGAGCGATCTTTCGAATCAAAGTCACAAATTTCGTGACTTATACGTCCGCCGAATTCCATCCAGGCCCGAAGCTGAATATGGTCATCGGCCCGAATGGCACAGGCAAGAGTACCTTGGTCTGCGCCATCTGTCTAGGTCTTGGTTGGGGTCCACAGGTATGCTCCATCTACCCTGCACGGATTTCTTCGCAGTTCGCTGACACAGGGAATTTTTCTTTGCATTAATAGCATCTTGGACGAGCAAAGGATCTTGGTGAATTCGTCAAACACGGCTGTGCGGAAGCCATCATCGAAATCGAACTCGCGGGCCCACCGAAGCTGGCTTCTAACCCCGTCATCTGTCGAACTATCAAACGCGATGGGAATAAGAGCTCATTTACTATCAACGGACGGAATGCCAGTCCGAAAAATGTGGCGAACCTTGTGCAATCCTTCGCGATCCAAGTGGACAACCTCTGCCAATTTCTCCCTCAGGACAAAGTTGCCGAGTTTGCGGCCCTTTCACCCGTCGAACTTCTCCATTCTACACAGAGAGCTGCAGCTGATCCGGAGATGACTAAGTGGCATAAGAATCTCAAGGATCTCCGGCAGAAACAAAAACAACTTGAGATTGAGAACCGAGGTGACAATGAAACCTTGGCAAACCTGAAAGATCGGCAGGATCAGCAAAGAGCCGAAGTCGAAAACATGCGGCAGATGGCCGTAGCACGGGAGAAAATGGAGCTTCTGGAATTCTGTCGGCCGCTTGTGGAGTATAGAGAATACCACAGAGAGTTTGACAAGATCAAACAGGACAAAGCCCGAGTTGAGCGAGAGTATGAGCAACTCAAAGCCGAACTCGAACCTACGATGCAGGCAGTCACTGCCAAGGAAAGCTATGCAGGCAAGATCGACCTCGTTCGAAAATACCGCAAACAGCGTGCTCAGCAATTATCCAATGCAGCCTCATCCTGTGAGCAAAAATTGAAAGATCTCCAAAGTTCGATGAACGACCTAGATAGTCAAATCGCGGCGCAGAAGACCAGCTCCCAAAAGCACAAAACCGAGGGGCTGCAGGCGCAGCAAAGAGTGAAGAGGCTAAAGCGGCAATTGGAGGAAGAAACCGTAGAATTTGACGCCTCTCACTACAATGAACAGCTGGTAAGCCCCCCCCCCCCCCCCCCCCCCCCCCCCCCTTTTTTTCCCCCCCACGACTCGTGCTCATATCTGTTTTTAGAGGGAAAAAGACTTGCTCTTCGTGAACTAGAGGAAAGGGCGAAGACCATTAAGGATAATCGACTCCCAGTCCACGAAATATCGAAGCGGCTATCGGCCCAGATCGAAGAGGCCGAGACGCAAATTCAAAATCTGGATTCCCAGACGGGCCAGCAGGAGCTCAAGCTGCAACAACTGTCTATGGATACCCTCAAAGCCTATCGATGGGTTAAAAATAACCAGGCCATGTTCGAGAAGCCAGTCATTGGGCCTCCCATCGTGACTTGCTCGATCACAGATCCCAAGTATGCCAATGCCATTGAGGCCCTTCTCAATAAAAACGACTTCCTGGCATTTACAGTCCAAACCAAGAAGGATTTCCGTACCCTGCAACAGCAGCTGATGGGACAACTGAGACTTCATGATATCACCATCAAGACGAGTCCTTCTCGGGATAATCGAGAGCCCCCAACGTCGGTCCAAGAACTCCAGCAGCTTGGCTTTGACGGCTGGGCGAAGGACTTTATTAGCGGACCCGATCCTGTCATTGCCTCTCTTTGTATGGAGAATCGGTTCAGCCAAACTGCCATCGGGCTCAGTCAATTTAGGGGTGAACAAGCAGAGATCGACGAGCTGCGCAACAAAAGAATCACCACATTCGTGGCCGGGACCCAGTTGTACCACACTAATTACCGTGCAGAGTATAAAGCTTCTTCAACTAGCATCAAGGCGGTTCGCGAGGCCAGAGTCTGGACATCACAGCCTATCGACACGTCTATTAAAGAAACACTTCTCCAAAACATCAAGGAGTTGAAAGAGAAAAAGGAAGACGTCGAATTGCAAATTCAGGCCTTCAGACAGGAGCTGGACGCATCGCACAAGTCTCACAAGGAGACGAAATACGCAATGGTATTTTCTGAGGTCTGGAACTTGACACGCCATTTCGCTTTACTAACCAATTATTGTAGGAAACAATTGAAAACGAAAAGGCTGCACAGCAAAGTGCTTACACAAAGTGGCTAGCTATCCCTGAAACAATCAGTACGACACATCGCTATCTATTGAACTTGTTGGCTTGTGTATTCTAACTTTCTTTTAGGCCAAGAAGAAGCCAAGATGAAGAACATCCAGGAGCTGTTCGCGGAGGTGAGAGAACAAGTGGCTGCGTATCGGGACGAGCAGGACAAGATTGCTATCCAAAAGGCGGAGGCAGCAATCGCTTATGCGGTAAGTGCCTTGCTAATTCAAAAATTCCCTCGCCGATACTAATGCGGCCCTTAGGACGCTGCCGAAGCGCTTCGACGTGCTTCTGAGGAGCGCATCAAAGCTGAGGTCTGGTACCTAGAAGCCCATTCGGATCTCGAGACCCTCAAGGAAAAACATGCAAGCTGCACAAGGCTGCTGGAGCAAAAGGCCCTAGAAGTAAGGGAGGTCGGGGAGAAGTTCAGAGAAGGCCGTGGGAAGGGTAGCAAGTTGTTAAAAGCGGCCAGGGAAACTAGCACAAAGGTCAAGGAGCGACCAAACAGTGAGGAGGTCGTGCAAACGGTTACCCATATGGCGTATACTCTCGACAATCTCAATGCCGATATCGAATCCCAACAGGCCCAAGTTCGGTTGTTTGTCGGGGGTAATAGCAACATCATCAAGATCTTCGAAGACCGGGGAAAACAAATTGAGAGACTCGAGACCAAACTCAGCGATTACCGACGTGATTTGGCCGGGTATGATGATGCAATCAAGGAAGTTCGGGAGCGTTGGGAGCCGAGACTCGATGCACTCATTGCCAAGATTAGCGATGCCTTTGGGGACTCGTTCGCGCGCATTGGCTGTGCTGGTCAGGTCAGTCTGGACAAGGTAGAGGCCACACCTGGTCCGAATGGCGAAACTGGCGGCAGCGAGTTTGACCAGTGGTCTATTCAAATCCACGTTAAATTCCGCGAACACGAGCAACTCTCGATCCTCGATTCCCATCGCCAGTCCGGAGGTGAACGCGCCGTCAGCACGATCTTCTACCTCATGGCCCTCCAGTCGCTGTCCGCGTCACCCTTCCGCGTCGTCGATGAGATCAATCAGGGTATGGACCCTCGAAACGAGCGCATGGTCCACGGCCGCTTGGTGGATATCGCCTGCGACTCTGACGATGACGGAGCCACCGACGAGGATGGTAACCCTGTTGGCGGCGGCGGTGGTGGTCAATACTTCCTGATCACTCCCAAGCTTCTGAGCGGGCTGTCTTACAAGCCCGGCATGCGCGTGCTGTGCATCTACAGCGGCGAGCATATGCCGGAGGAGTATTCCAAGCTCGACTTTGGCAGAGCTGTCCGGAAAATGAAGGCCATCAACGAGAAGAATCAGATGGCCATGGGCGAGTCTCATAGGATCGATGTCCACGGCTGATGGGCAGCACTTTCGGGAACGTCTTCGGAATTCTGATGATTGTGGCAGCTCTATCATGTTCTAGCGGATAGTCACGTCGACCTCCTGGCTTTCTCAATTTCTACCAGGCGTTTTCCTTTTTCTCTCTTCGTGCGTTCTGGGTTATCTTGGAGTCTGAGTGGATGGCAGCTTGGATGGTATCGCTGATTGATTTACAAATACCCAAATTCCATCACTATTGAATTCTTCCAAGCTACCAGAAAGCATTATTGTAAGATGTCTTGTTATCTGGACCGTACCTATCTAGGATTAGAGTCCATCCAGTCTTGAAATCCTTGGTTGGGTGTCTATTCCATTGACTTGTAGGTATGCCTAAGTGTAGCCCTGGATCTAATCAGGTAGTAAACAACCTCGAGACCTTCCGGGTTCTAAGGGTTATTTTCAGTAGATGTATGGAGTTCTGCCCCGGTGTTGAATATATATCTTGAAGTGCTACTACCTATTCAGGAGTACACTGATGATTGTCTTTACTTCCTTTCTCCAATCCAATCGCTGTATCTCCAACCTTATCGTAAATATTGAATCTATCCATTTTCACTGCCTGTAGAGTAACCCAGCCTAGGCATGCGCAAATCCAGTTCCAGTATATCGCGCTCGTTGCATCCCTCCCCGCCAAGACAGGCTGACGCGGTCGACCACCAGCCATCGAATCCTAGCCGGTCGCAAGCTAGAAACGAACAGCATGCCGAAGCTTGTCGTACTCTATTGCCTACTCTAACTATTCTAATTCCCAAGATAGCAAACACCCGACTCAATTGCAACTATATCGGCTTCAGATATAAATATCACTGTCTATTGACGCCTCAAACTCATAGTATCCCCATCCCAGGGACGCGATGATCATCAACGGCGTGATCGGAGCTACTAAACCGAGTAGGCATAGCTCGAATCGCCCACATCGTCATGGCTCATTTTTATCAATACGCCGCAATCAACTGGCTGCATGAACCCGTCTACTATTCGATGAGGGACTAGGGAGAGTCTGGGATAGTGTGAATAGGGGATACAATACAGTTATTTACCCCAATAATCAGACCTTAGGGCGGGCTGGGGGCATGGTTGGATGAATTAACGAAGCAAACTAACTCATCGGGACCTGCCCGACCGGGCAATAGCCTCCCCTCCAGACTGTAAATTAATGGGGTTTATTTACCACGGAATATTCTAGTGGAGCGCGAACCCACAGCGAGCCTCCGGACCAACTTCTTCTTCCTTTCTGGCTCCATGCAGTGTCGGCCACCCCGTGTCTGTGCTGTGTCCACCCTGTCCCTGTCCACCAATCCTCTCCACTCGACCCTTGACCCAGGCCCCGTCGCTTCGGTAGACGGGAGAGACCCTAGTGATTGATGAAGTCCACAATCCACTCACCATGAAGGAAGGAGCAAGCACGCAGTATGTGCTACTCCTGTATGTGCATACATAAAATTGCAGGAAAGGAGCCAACCATCATCATGATCGGAGATTAAGAGGAGAGAAGGGGAGATATTCCTGGCTATCCAAGCCAGAATCCCGGGGAGGATGTGACCAGCACAGCTAGCAGCTCACTAGTTTTGCTTTGTACGCAGTCCAGCATACAGAGTACAGGAAGCATGCTTAACGACCAAGTTTGGGAGCCATCTTGCAGTGTGACGACGCTGCATTGTCAGGTGAGTCGTTACATTGGTGATCATCGTCTTGTTTTTGGGGGTCAAACCCCTATGTATCCTGGATAGTCCGAGAAAGATATCTAGAGGTATTCCAGATTGTATATTTTGTTGATCGCTGGGACCTTCTACCTCGCGCATAAGGCTATGATTCAAAGTATGCGTTCTTGGAATAAGTGTTAAAGTGTATCTTCTATCTACCTCCTCGAAGGAGTAACGAGCGTCGATCAGATAGTCCACGTCCGTGCAGAGAACGGAAGTGATTGTCTTGGATTTTCGTTATACATGATTCATGATTATTGTTTTCTTTGTTTCTAACTTTGAAAAGTCTCAGTCAAAGCTAATAATGCAAATGCCGATGCCTAGCGGCGAATCATCTTAGGCTAGATTCGACAGAATGTATTATCCTTCCTTACTGACGGGTACAACTTATAATAGTATGTCGGATGAGATGACAGAAATAGTCAAGCCTGGAGGGAACGCCTTTACTTTAATGGCTCCTAGATTACCATAACCCATTATGACTCCATATTTCCGGCCTCAATATGCAACAGAGTAATCCTCCTCGATTCTCTGCGACTCCGCCCCTTACCACTTGCAACTTCGCTTGGACGCACCATGTACTCTGAACATCGGCATCTTGATTGATTTAGATTAGCAACATATGCGATGGACATCGGCTAGGGCAGATGATCCTCGTGCTAGTTGCGACCGACAAGGCTACAGCACACTACCCTGGACCACTACTGTACTAGTATGGACTCGTGTCATGCAGATCGACCACCGGGCGTTTCCGCCGCCGATCACCGGCTCCATCCTCGGAGGTTTTGCATGCCAATCGTTGGGCGACGTTGGGCACCCCTCTCTTTACGGTCAACTCTAAACCGGCTGGATCCCTTGGAGGGGAGAGCTTGAAGGCGGATTTGCCTCCCCCTCTTCGGTCATCATCCGCGGAAGTGAAGTTTTCTATCCGGACGGAGTCCTGTTGGTTCGTACAAAGAGAAATGAGGGGCATTAATCTATTCAACGCTCTAGCCATGGCAACTACTGCCTTTGATGGGATCGTTCCAGCCCTCCTCTCATCGCAGAACTCAAAGGGTTGTCTATGTACAAACCTTGACCGATCGACACTGCGCCCCATCTGCGGTGGAGATGGCTGGGACGATTGGTCCTAGAATCTACGATTCTGTCGGAAACAACCCTCAGGACAACCAGTTAGATCCCTAGAATGACATTATTTCTCCTCGCAAGCTTGAACATCATCTCGCTTTCCACACGAGAGATCCCAAGCAGCTGCGCCTGAGCTCTTAACCTCTTACACGTTGCATCCAAGGCGGATCCATCATCCTACGCCTCCACCGGCGCATGGACCAGATCTTACTTGGGGCGTCCCACGCTGCTTTGTTTAGTGGGGTGAAACCGTTGGGTCATCTGTGAATTGCGACTCGAAAACTGACTCAAAGACTAACCAGTAACTAGAATACAGTATGAAATGCAGATGGAAGACCGTACAAAGTGCTGTACGCTTTGACTGCACCGTGATTTCCCTCGGCCCCCCCTTCTCCAACTGCAAAGTCAACTCTGCAGTGCGACAAAACTTTCTCCTTTCTATGATGTGTACGAGGTCAATTTATTTTCCCTCGTTCACCGCTCATTTCTGGTTGGTCATCATCACGCAGGGTGTATACTGTAGAATGGTCCCTGTGCTCGAGTCCACAAGGCCACAAAGTATACCCCCACGAAGTATGACGCATTTCTCCAACTTACCCAACCTCCTCTTACCTCGGAATTTCCGCGATCCAAGCAGCCAGCCTCAAAAAGCTAGCTGCAGAAAATCATCCCCATCCCAGTCTTGAGTCAAATGGAACGCGCGGACGGATCTCCGTGGCGCCGTTTCCCTTGTTCTAACGGCCGACAATCCTGGCCAGCCCCCTCCCCTTGCTACCCTGGGGCCATCATGGCGTTCACCCTTTAGAAACTGCGCCTTTTGCTGGTGGCTTGACTGTATCCGTTGCCCCGGAGTATTATGGAGCTGCTTCTAGTCTCCCCAGGGTGTAGTCCTGACACCCACCGAACGGCGAGTGTGTGTGGGTACATGAGTGGTTGGCCACATTGACCCTGTGATGCGATGTGCAGAGTGTTAGAAGGGCACGGCGCTTGGAACACGAGATGGTAATCTCTGCAGTAGTGCTCGCATCTCATCGTCGAGTAACCTACATAAGTCCGATCCAAAGATAGAAGGCAGATAAAAGCACAGACCGCTAGAAGGACGGTGTTGAGCAAGTATATCACTCGACAACCTCGACGAAATTTAATGATTATACTGATAATCATGATAATAATCTAGATAGCCAAGCAGATGGTATTGTTGCCTGACTATCTCTTGATAAAAAGAATGTGCTCTATCGTAGGCTGGTTTAGAACTCCTACCATACTCGGTTTAGAGAGAGAATACTAATTTCCTAGCTCCACCACAACCGGAGCTTAATGCATCCATCCGCAACGGCTCTGATCTCCAATAACGTGGCCGGAGAAATGCACCCTTTCACAATCAACAACCCCAGTCAGATCAGACACAAACAAAGCGCACACACCCGATGTTCCACAGCAGCTTTCATCACCCCCTGTTTTAGGAGCGTGTTCCGATCCCAGCGTCGTACGACGTGTCGCAAGGAATTTCGCCCTGTAAGCTGGAAATTGAGAAATTCAGATCTGGACGGGACCAGATGACAACTTCCTCTAAGCGAACCTTCCACATCCTTACACTTTGATTTACTTTTGGATGATCTCCCAGGGGGAATACGGAGGTCAGCAGCCGTTTTGGATTGTGCTTTGGGCTGGCTGTGCATGGAGTTGGGAAGCGCCGGCGCATGGCAAACGTACAATCAAAGTGATGAGTTTGACTATAGACTTTTACGATGTTTGACTTGCATACGTAGTAAATAATACAGTACATGGCGTATGATAATACATCAGATCTTTGCAACATTCGCGAGACCGAGCGAATAATGAATACCAACTGAGTGAGGCCTTAGGCATTCACACACTCGACCATGAATGGAATGCAACCGTAGGATGATCTCCTGCACCACGAGTAGGGCATTTAAGTTGGGAAGAACCAACAGCAACAAGATCAACCCACCCACGACGAGACTGGACAGCGTATCTCGCTGGACCGGTTTTACTTTGCCCACGCACCCCCTCCCTCATCCCTGCTTCCCTCTTCTATACGAAATAACGAATCATCCAGCAGGAAGCCAACGCAAACTCACAGCAATCCCTGCAAAATAGATAATTCTCGTTCGTCGGGAAGAAACA